ACGCTTAGGCACCTTGCACAGGGCGTCAAATATGTGATTAAAGTAGATCAAGATCTCTCCCTTGGCGACCTTGGCGATGTTGTACATAGACTCGCATGCGTAGTAGCGCACACGAGGGTCCTGGTCAGTGAAGCAGGCCAGAACGGGCGGCACAATGATCTCGAGATAGCGCGGCAGCTCAGGGCCTAGAGCGATCGCCGCGGCGGCCAGCCCTATGAGGCCACCGTTGCGGGCATGGGGTTGATGGACTGCATAGGCATATTCGTTGACCAGCTGGTCCAGGATAGACTCGACGCGGTCATAGTCCTTCTGGGAGACAAGCTCGCGGATGACGCGTTCGAGCCTGGGAAGTGTTAGGTAAGTGTTAGAGTGGCTCTCGCTCGTATGAAGACAAGGGGTACTGTAAGCGTATAGTATGCTCGTTAAAGAGATTTGGGGGGGGGGGGGTTTTCAAGGGGGGCAGGAGAATAGTATAGGTCCGGGTATGCTACCCGATGCAGTTGCAGGATAAGATGCAGTGAGAGCTGAGCCATCAAACTCTCCCAACACACAAACAAAGGCGACCCACTCACTCTAAGGCGCCGGTCTTGCGCTTTTCGTAGATCTTGTCGGTCAGATGTCGCTGGATGGACGCATCCATGGCTGTGTTCCTCTAGCGGGAGCCCTTGGACCAGACCGGCATAACTCCTAAGAGGTGGTGAAGACTACACGTTAGGGGGGGGGGTAGGGTAGGTAGTCAAATCTTGGTCGGCAAGATGGAAGCCGACCTGGAATTCTAGATGAGGGGCACGAAGCTGCCGCCAACCCCAACAAGCCCAGGGTGAGTGAGGATGGATGGGGTCAATGATGATGATCAACCCAGACTCGCCCAGAGTCAAGAATGGATGAAGCCGGCCGAATTGGACAGTTGGTGGGGATGCGATGTGGGGCGTCCTGGATTCGCACTGCTTCTAGCCCAGGCACAGTTAATACTGAGATCTTAAGACTCGGATGCTTAAAGCAAATGACCAGTTTGACCAGTTTGGTGGTGAATGTGTGTGTGTGTGTATGTGTTTTTGTGTGTTGCGATGAGGGGCAGATGCAACGGACTGTGGAGCGACGCCGGTCGGATTCGATGCGACTTGAGTCTCACTGTCTTCCAACTGTCTTTTTCTGAGCCTGCCTGGAGTGTTCGATCGGGGGGAGGCGGCAGCGATTGGACGGGCTGGAACAGCGTTGGCCACTGGACACTCAGCAACAAGTAACAAAGTCACTGGTTGATGAGCCGTGGACAGCTTAGATGGATGACAACGTCATGGCCAGGAGACAGCAGAGCTCCGCGAGACTGGAGCTGAGCGCTTAGAGTTGCCCAGTGCTTGCTGGTGGGGAGGGGGGAACATAGCGCAACGCAACGTAACGTTACACAGTGGGGAAAGCTTGTAATATTACCTTATCTATAGCTTATCGGGGGTTCACTTTGTGTGTAAATTACCAGTTAAGGCATCCCGGCCATTCAGAGAGGCAAGCCGTGCTCGAGATTTTTTGGGGGGGGGGGGGGCGCGCATCTGTGCCGTGGGGTCATAGAAGGGAAGAGTCACGGGTCCGTTACCACAAACTTTTCTGCGGGTTCAGCCTCACTTCAGTCATCACCCCCAACTCAAGCAAAAATTAATGGGTTGCACAGCTTAACAGTCTTCACAATCTACTCCTCATCATTCCCATCATGTTGCTCATCACTATCACTTCAGCGCCTCGTTCATCTCTTGCTGTATGGTTGCTGTTACTCCAGCCGACTTGACAACAACGGTTTTGTGATTCTGACAATCAATGTGCCCAACTGCCAATGTCTCGGCCCCTTGCGACAGCTCTACCTCTCACATTTCAGATTCAGCCTGTCTCTGCGTCTCTCAGTCATTTTGCATGTGCTGCTCGTCACTGGAACACAACGACTTAGGTATGGCTGAACTAAACTGATTATGGTGGGAGACTGAATCCTAAGAACAAACATTGCAACACCTGCACAATGGCATTTGGGGAAGGAGGGGGGGGGGAGGGGTTTATGTAGAAAGCAGGGAGGGAGGGAGGGATGCACACGAAGTACACATCGGTATCCTGCATTGCGATTCTGATCTCGTTATCCCATCCAATATCTGATCTCCCTTTGCGTAGCGTATACGTACCACTCCTTCGGTTCGTCTCAGCTCTACACTCCACACGTGGGAGGACTCGTATCCAGTCCTGTCATTATCCTGGCTGGCTGTGACCGCTCCCCACCCATCTGGCATACCCATCGATTTTAAAATAAAATAAAAAAAGAAAAAGAAAAAGAAAATAGAAAAAAGAAAAACGAAGAAGAAAAAGGGGAAAAGAAAAGCACCAAGAGTAACAGCAGCAGGAGCAACAGTATGAATCTGAATATCTGTTAATGCAAGATGCAAGATCATACATCACAGACAGGGCGATGCGATGCAGGCCAGATCATCAGGCCGCGCCCATTCCGGGGGAAGGCCGGAGGAAGGAGGAATTACGAGATCTCGCTTATCTGATCCAGAATCGATCACAGCTGCAAGCAGTCTGATCATGTCCTTTCGAAGACAAGGACGGCTTGGATGGAACGTGCACGAAGAGCCAGTCATCTGCCGTTGACTGGCTTGGATTCGTCCCGGGTTCCAGGTTCCAGCCTGCTTGGTAGGGGTTGTTTCGTCCGGCTGGCAATCCCGATTGTTTTCGGGGTCGGCGCGCGCCGCCCACGCCACACCAAGCCTACCCTGCCTGCCTTAAGATCCAATCCTGGGGAGATCGTGGATAGAAGCACGGGCTAGATCCAGTCCAAGTGTTCCATCTGGTCCACCGGGTTTCAGGTTTCGTCCATTCGTTCGATAACCGACCCGTTCTACCTCGAGATCGAGATGCAGTAGCGTAGCCTAGCGGCGCAAGAGTGCATATGCAGGCGAAGACACAGCCAGTGGGACGGGGAAATTGTGTAGTCAGCATCCTTCCATTTGCGATGTAGAGCTCATTTGGTTCGTTCGATCGGGCGGCTCCTTATTCGACCAAAGCCCCCGAGCCTGATGAATGACCAGGTTTGTTTCGCAGGAATCTTGGAATCGATCCCTGGATACAGGCATGTCCAGCTGCGGAGCCACTTGTGATACTGACTGTGAGGCGGGATGGACTGCATCGTAAGTGGTTGGTGGGGAGAACGAACGAATCTGTGATGTGATGTGTTTTTGCTGTGTTGACAAGAGCGTTTATCCATTCTATGTTGAGAGTGAGTGGTGTTTGATACTGGCCAGAGCCCATGAAGTCAAAAGCCCCAGCGCCATTCACAATTTGAGAAGCTGTCAAACAAACTTGAAGAGACAACCTTCCTTTTTGACACATTATTCCGTAGGCAAGGCTTGATACCAATCAGTAACTGTGACCGTACACCGCCACCGAGTGACACCGAACGTCCGAACTTCTCCGAGCCTGTTTCCAGTATACTGCAGTACGCGCAGTCATGTCATTAAAATGTATACACTAGGTACACTTCCACACAAGACGGACCAAGTTTGAGGAGCAGACTCCTCGTGGCTCAGTCTAGCCTGGTTCTGTCGTGTCGGTCATCTATCTGCTACAAGCATGAGGTACAGATGGAATACTGCCGTCTGACCCCTCGGGGGCAAGATATGCAAAAGAACCTTGTTCTGCTGAGCAACCGGGCCCTTACCATAGCGATGGAAACGCAGATCGTTTAACCAGTTGCCTAAGGGGTGTGCGTCTAGCCTGAGGTATTGTACTTCGTATAGTGTAAAAGCTTTGTCTCGTCCTGACAACACCCGCCCCCCACCCACCCACCCAAAGTAAAAGCCCTTGTTTCAAATCATACACAGGCTTTCTTCTTGGCCCAGGTGCTCTATGATGAAAAGTAAGGACTCAGCATACACAAAAATCTCCCGAAAGAAAGGATCGATCAAGAGATGAAACCAAAGTAATCGTTGGGATCGACAACCACTCTCCGTGACCACAGTGCCCCAGCCTGCCCGATCAGGGCACTGATCAGAATGGGCAGCCCATCACCCAGTTCCACAGCTACGATTTGCGTCAGTGGACAGTTTACGAAGGTTTTGAAGAAACGCCAGACAAGGCTGTTCTTCTTTTTGTTGAATTTTGGAGATTGGGAAATGGGATCACTTTTGATCTGACAAGAACGACCGTTTTTTTTTTCTTTCATTCTTTCGCCAAGCGGGAGATCAGACATACGTACCACAACATACACCCAGTACTCAACTCTCAACTTCGGTGTGATGATGGTCCCCTTCTCTGCCGTGGAGACCGTGCCAGGCGCACTGCCTAACCAATTGATCCGCCTTGTCGGCCCGAGAGGCTCGTATAACAGGCTCCCGAGCGGCTCTCACCATCCAAAACATTGCTCGAGAGCCAGTTTGTGGCCCCTTCCCCTTCACTGTCAGGCCAGAACCATTCTGCCCTACGTATTGCATCTCTTTGCTCTCTTGAGGGATTGAGTACCAATAAAAGTGATGAACGGATCTACGTTGAGATAGCATTGAAGGAGCAGGTCATGGACCAAAAAAGCTGAGGATGTTCAGTGATTTGGCGTGATGGTGATGATGATCAAGTGTCACAATTTCATCTTTTGCACCTTACACTTGTTGAGAGTTGAGTCGATTTGAGTCCGGCAGTGACCAAATGTCGTGTTCAGCTAGTTAAGGTAGACAGCTAATGTCCTCCCCCCCCCCCGCACCCTCTCCCACCCCTATGCAACACGTTCTCCCCTTCGACCACTGACAACTCTCCTTGTTCCTATCTCAGTGTGGGTATCCAACCATGTTGTGCTGCGTAGCGATTGTCTACTAGTAAGCCTACTAGGTAGTGTAGCGTATTGAATAGTAAAAAAACGAGAGAAAGTTTGTCGCCCCAAACGCCAACCATCCAACTCCTTAAACGAAAGAGATGCAGTACAGTCCAGAAAAGAGAAGAAAACCAACTGAATACAATTCCCCCCGTCCCACAGCCGCCAACCAAGTATCATCCGTAAACCGTCGTAGGCAGTTAAAGTAGTACGTAGTACAATGAACAGGACCGAAACAAATTCACATCCTCCAGCCCCTGAGCTTCCAGCCCGTAAAGCAGACATAAAAGTTCCTGATCCATAATCGAGATAAGCAAGTGCCCAAGCAAAAAGGCCATTATCAGTTTCAGTGACTAAGCAGGAGGTGGTCAGGCAGACTCGGCATCGAAGTAGGTAGCACGTAAGTTAGAGATCAGCGCCGTCCAACAGCCAAAGCCTTGCTGGTTGTTCCACTGCCACCGACGTTGCCGGCATTTCTGCTGCCGTCCCCGCCGATGCCAACGACGTTTTCGCTGCCGCTGAGGGCTGCGCCCAGGCTGTTACGCTGGGCTGCGGCGGCAGCGCGCTGGGCGAAGGGGTCCTGTTTTTGTGTGACTTGTCAATATCTCCTGACCATATAGGAAATTTAACCCTCTTTCTCTTTCTGGGGAAGGGTAAAATCTGCTTGGTTGGGACTGTTGGGATTAGGGGACAATGAAACCAGACCAGCTCGTCCGCCCTGTTCGCCCTACCATATCCTTGTGCACCTGACACAAAGCAGGGGGGGGTTCAGGCCGAGCTGACTATTCGCTGCTGTGGCCGAATCTTGTGTTGCCCTTAATTTTGATTTTGTGTGTGCCTGTCTGTGTGCCCCTATGCATCCTTTGCATCCAGTCCTTTTGTGCGGGGTCACCGGGCATGGGCTGCATTTTTGGAAAAGGGAAGGGGGGGGAGGGGGGAGTAGAGAAAGAGGAATGTGTGGGAAAGGAGGGGAGGGATTCGTGCATAATGTGTATGTACAGTTCTGTTGGGACGATCCAGAGGAACGCCAGTACTGGCCACGGATAAAGGAAGGAGAGAATGAAGGAAGCAAGTGCACAGAGACATTTAGAGTCCTCTGGCTTGTGAGAGGGGAAGTCTTATGCAGGACAGGCCTGCCAGACGCAGCGGTGTGTGGCACGAGACTCGATGCTAGATACTAGATTGGAGGATGGAGAGGGGAAGAAAGGATCCAGGCTGTGTTGATGGGGGCTGTGACGCAGCTTAGGTGGCCGATTTCGGTGGATGGGATGGGGGGGAACGGGTAGGGAACAGAGGACGGTCTCGGGAGGAAGGTTAGGAGGACGAACAGCTTGACATGGACTCACCTTCTCACCGCGAGCCTTGCAGATGCGGGCCGCGGCCGCCGCGTCCATCTTGCTCTTGCCCATGGTTGGATATTTTTCGAGTGTTGTGTTGTTGATGAGATGGAGGTAGGTGTGTAAGATGGGTTGTTGGATGTAGGAAGGCTTGAATGTGATGATGTGCTAGTTGATCTGGGGCGTTTAGGAAGATGACTCTGATAGATATAGATATAGATATAGATATAGATATAGATATAGATATAGATATAGATATGTCGAGAAGGACGAAAAGGATCTTGTTGAAGATGATGGATAGGTCGATGAAGAACTCTTCTTCAAGAGGTCTTATATCCGGTGTTGTGTTGATAGTGATGGTGAAGCAATGGTTTGGTGTTGTCCGACGCCCACGCTGGGGACTCAACCCCGATCTTATATACAGCTTCAGACCGACCGTATAACCGGCGAACGAGCAACCACGGTTCACGGCCACGACAGCTTCACCGGTAAGAAGTGAGGGCGGAGGGCGAAGCCAACAAACAACCAGAATGCCGCCCTCCTCCGAGCAAAACCACTCGAGGCAATCAGTTTCCCCCTCCCCCTCGAGGCTCTGTCTGTTCCTCTCCTGACTTAATACGGAGGAGAGATTTCAAAAAAAGTGAGCGGAAAAGGCAGACAAGAAAAATTTTCGAGACGGGCCAATAATAACGTCGAACTCCTTTCGGTGAAAATCCCGTGAGCCTGTCAAGTAACCAGTCAGCACGACCTCTCACCTTCACAAAGTTCACTACGCTGCCCACTCCCCCGTCTCAAAGGGATCGATCTATCCGATCAGAGTCGATCGATCACCGGCACCACGCGTCTGTTCAGCCTGGCTGGGCATACACAGATATAAGAACAGGCGGGTAACGGGAAGGGAAGGGCAGGGCAGGGCAGGGCAGGGCAGGGCCACCAGGGCCCCCAATTTCTCCCGTATCGGCAAGCCGAAAGGGTCGGTTGGTTTATGGGACGAATGCGCATCTCAGCCGAGCATGAAACCTGCTTCTTAGTTTGCAAGTCTGCCTACCTCCTCGGCTGTGGGTTTTGCCCCTCCTCCAGCCACTCTGGCCCAACCAGCAGCAGCGTTGGTGCGGGCTGGCGTCATCTTGCGGGATACGCAGGTAGGTATGGAGCAAAGGAGGGAGAAGGGGGGGGAGGTGTGTGAATACATATACCTACCCTAATCTAGTCTCTGCAGGATGGCTGTAGCAGCTGTGAGATCAGATGATGCGAGATGGATGATGGTTGGCAGCCAGCAGACGGAAAAGGGGATCTTTTTGCCTCGTTGGATCAGAAAGGTCCCCTTGAGTATGTAAAAGGAGGGCGCGGAGAGAAAATAGCCCCTGTGCAATGCAGCTGGAGACAGAGACAGACAGATGACAGACGGGTTTCTCAACCGTATCACTGGATACGTCGGGAAGGCTTAAGATCCGCAGTCCTATATGTGTAAGTCTGCAGGTAGACTACAAAGCCCTTCAGCGGGCCAAATGTCCATTGAGGGTGTACTTTATGAGAAGAGGGAAGGCACCCAAGAAGGGAGGGACAAAAGGGTCGTCCGTTCGTCCGATCGATCAGGTCCGTTTTCAGAGCAGCACATGCCAAAAGTACGGCAAGACCGTGTAGTAGTCGGACTCAACTGGTGTAAGTTGGATGGTAGCAAGAGGGCACACCAATTGAGCCTCAGTCTCTTGATAGCGCCGTTATTTCACCGACAACCCCGTCCATCAGTCGTCCGGCCCGGACCATCCAGGCTCCCAGGACAAGGGTTCAGGTTTGTTGTATACACAGCAGGCGTCCGTCCGTCAAGTGCATAGAAGCACTGGAGTGAAACATCGAGGACAGGGCCATACCGTTGGGAGCCTTGGGATGATTACCAAGACCCTGGGAAGCGCAGAGCGGGGGTCAAGCCAATTTTTGTTTTCTTTTTTCCTGCTAGTTATATCCGTACTCCATGGTGTACGTAGATACACAAGTTCAATCACCACTTGCTCGTCTTTCCTAATTTCGAGAGGGGGTGGGGGAATAACGACGAGCATACGGATTACCCTGAATTTACCACACCGGGTACGGGACTTGACCGGGGGCGGGGAGGGGAGGGGAGTTAATTAAGAACGAGGGGGTATCATACGGGTCGGCACGTTGTTGGCTGGAGCGCCAGGGCTGGAGCCGTAGAACAAAGAGAGGAAAGCGGACTGATGAGGCTTAAAGATGAGGCTGATGAGAGAATGTCCATCGCCAGGCGAGCAGGGGAGGGCCCTGTGAAGAAGCTTGGCTGAGACCGGCAGGCAAGGGTTGAGGGACAGTTATCATTATGGGAACATAACACCACGGAAATGTTTCCCATCATTCAGCCAAGGTGTGTGGCTTTGTGGGGGAGCGTTGAAAACTTGACTTGCTTCTGGGGAGAGAGGGGGACCCATGTTGATGGGATGATGCCAAGGGGACGGTCCTTGCCCATCACCTCTGCTCATCATGAAGTATGTGTAGGGTATCGGGCCGCGGGTACTTAGCTTCAGCTCGGGTATGTCATTGTCTCTAGAGACTCTCTCCTCTTTTGGCGATCTTCCTCAACCATACAAGCTGTTAACGGCGATAGTCCCGTCTTGGTAGTTTCTCAAGAGCATTGCAAAAAAAAAAAAAACCAAGCAATATCTTGTGTATCAGTCCCAGATGTTCACGCCGGCTTCAATGACGGGCTAAGCCTGAGCTTGGAAGCATTCTCGGGACCGAACAGAGTACGGATCCTGTCCTGGCAAAGCAATCTACAAATGGCCTTGTGTTCCATTGCAGACATCTTTCTCTATCCCCTCTTCCGCTTTCTTCTGCTCTTCCATTGTCGTCTTTGGCACATTGTCTTCACATTAACCCTGGACCAAAAGCGCGCATATTTTGATTCGTCAGTGGAAAAAAAGTCCACCGGGCCTGCGTCCTTGTCACGCAGGCCCGGGCCAAGTCCAACCCACCCCTGCTCAGTCGAGCTGGGGCAGGAAACCTTTCCTGCTTGATCTTTTGCATATGAGAGGTCTGTGGCGTTTCCCCCAAACAGTGTTCCCGCCATGCCGGATAGGGGGAGCATGTCCAGGGATGCGGCGTGTCATTGGCTCAATCGAGAGGGGGGCATGGCCAGGGCAGAAGAGATTGGGTTGCTATACCGTTTCCAGCGCAGACCTACCTACCTTAGGTGTGCAAGTTTCTCGTCAGTAGGTAACCTAGCCTACAGTAACTGTAGGCTCTGCAAACTGCAAGCAAGACCTGCCTAAGTATGTACTTCCTGTGCCCATATGTGTGAGAAATATGATAGATCTCTGGATCGCCGGATCTTAGGTGGCGCTCCCAGCCCACAGCAGCCCACAGGAAGAAGAGACAAGTGAGAGGCCGGAATGCACTCCCAGTGCTCACAACTCCATGTCCGATCCCACTTCGAAAACTAAGCGATCTCGCTTTGAGAAGAGGAAGGAAAAGAAGCAGCCACACCCACGCCCAGCTGAAGCCAAGGAGACTGAAGAATGCATCCTGCTGCAAGTTGCACTCTCATACATAGCACTGGCTCTGTACCCAAGCACAGATGCTTCCATACCGGGACATATCCGGGTAGATCTGGGCAAATGGGAGCTGGAGAAGTTGCTTCTCGGCGGCCTGCTGGAACGCGCACCGGCCCCCAGTTTCAATGTGGTGCTGCAGTAAGATGCAATCGAGCAACGCCAGGCCTGTAACAAAGTGTTAAGGCACATAGACACCAGGAAGAAGCGAGCACTTAGCTCGGTATCGCTTAAGCTCTGAAAACAGTCTGGTCACATTCAACTGTCACTGCGAGCGATCGTTTGTACATAGGCATGTAGTATAGAATTTCCGTTATCACCTTTCAAAGGGGGGCATGGTGAACCAATGATCCGACGCTAGTTGCACGGCAGAATCGGCCGATCTCCAGACGCACAAAGAGCAATCGCAGGCGTGTGTCCCAATTCTATTTCAGCTTGGCTAGCCAGGCCGTCGAACCAGCACAAATTCCTACAATGGATATGTGGTTTCCGACTTACACTGACTGGCCGAAGATAATGCGGTGATGGAAATGGTGATATGCACCTACTGTAGTAGTAATGGCCATGATTGAGGCTGAAATGATGTTGTTGTAAGAATGGACCTGATAAGGACCTGGCCAATATCTGTTGCAGTACAGTAGTGGATGTAGGCAGTTGAAAGCGAGTTCTGAATCCCAGGCGGCTAGGCTCTTCTAACGGTGACCGGGGGGGGAGGAAAGGGGGAGGGAAGGACGGAAAGGAGGCACAAGCTTACCCGGGCTTCTGCAGGGTGATCTGATCCTAAGGTCAGTGGCTAGAAAACTGGATGAAGAGGCGTCGAGGTTAAGCGTGCCACAGGTATCTCACAGCACGATCCCGGGAACCGTAACCTAAGACAGCCACAGGCCTAAGTAAGAAAGGCAGGTGTACCGCCAACCGACTCAGAAGGGCATATGTAAACGGGAGAAAGGAGAGGGGTAATGTAATGAAGAACCATCAACGATGAAAACGAGAAAGTTCAGCGCGCGGCAGGAAATGCGGAAGATCCCTGGAGGGGAAAGGTGCGAGAATGGCAAGATGAATAAGCTAATGCATCTTTCTCAAACGGACATAAACCAAAAAAAATAAAAAAAATAAAAGAGCCATGCGTTGCAAAAAGAGTAAAAGAGCACAATTCATCCGAAGTATATACATGCATGCAAGGTTTTCTTGCTCATCATGGGTACGAACAATCAAGTGACACATCTAGATCAGAAGCCTTCATCCGATCCGATAATTCATACTATCTCCGTCGTCACACATGCCGATGCTAGCTTAAAGCGCCGGCCGACGGGCCGTTTTTGGACAACCGGTGAGCTACCTAATCCCAGTCTTCGGAGCAAATACCTCCCCCCCCCCCCACCACCACCCCTTTCCCCCGGTTCCCCCCTTCTTCCCCCGCTCTCTCTCATATCCAGTCCGTATAGTTTTAATGCGCATGACCAAGCTCTCCCCTAGCTAACATAGTCTGGCACTTCTTCAGAATAGCCGCCTGTCTGGCGACCTCAGCCAGCGTCCCAATGACCTTCTTATTCCCATCCACAAACCCGTACAGCGCGTACGGAATGCCAACTTCATTGCAAAACTCTTGCACCAGGCGCTGCGTCTTGCGCAGGTTATGCCTGGGGATGCGGGGGAACAGGTGATGGATGGCCTGGAACTGCAGGCCGCCGTGAAAGAAGTCGAGCCATTCGGGGCAATCGACGTCCATGGTCGTGCGTAGCATGCGCTGCGGGAAGGACTCGTCGACGCCCAGGTCGGCCGTGCTCATGGCGAAGTGGGAGAGTGTGATTTGGACGTGCACCGGCGTCGTGACAAAGTGGCTGACGATCAGGTACATCAGGCGCGAGGCGTTGTTGTCGATACTGCGGTACAAAATGCCGTAGCCGAACCAGTACCAGAAGAAGACCTGTCCGGCTAGCTCGAGCCAGCGATGCCAGGCCGCGATACCCTTGCGCGGGCCCTGCCCGCCGAGGATGTACATCCACGAGAGGCGGTAGAGGTTGAAGCGGCCGAAGAGCAGGATGATGTAGTACAGGCGGTGCTGGAGGGAGATGAAAAACTTGGCGGCGGCGTCAAATTTCATGACCTTCTCGTAGTAGGTTGAGTACAGGTTCTGTAGGAAACGGTGCGAGATGGCAAAGAAGGGCATGTGCTCGATATCCGGGTCGTGCTCGGGCGAGTTGGTGACGATGTGGTGCACGTTATGGTTGCGCTTCCACCAGCCCAGCGACAGCCCGCCCAGGAAGTCGGCGATGATGATGCCGATGACCGTGTCAACCTGGAAGTTGTGCGTGATGCCCATGTGGCCTGCATCGTGTGCTGTGAAGACCAGCTGATGCCAGAAGACGCCGAGGAAAACGGCGCTGAAGAAGTACCACTTGTGCCACAGGAAGAACATCGACAGCGAGAAGAAGATGGCATAGCGCGTACACTCGATCGCGTAGGCCCAGTAGTTGCAGTCATAAAGACCCTCGGCCTTGATGCGCTCGTTGAGCTGTCGGTACTTCTCCACGATGAAGTCTTGCGTGGCCGGGTCAAGGGGCGGGTAGATGGACAGGTCCAGCTTGATCTGCTGTCTAGTTAGAGCATCTAGATGTGCCATGCCGTCAGACGGCTTGTCTTCTGCATCATCTCCCGAAGAGAGCGACGTGACCGAGTCTACCCTCGCGATCTCGGGCCGGCGCTTGCGGAGACCCCCTTCAGCCTCTTCCTGGTCAAACACAGGTGAAGGCGACCTCGAGCTAGGGCCACTCGATGCCGGCGAAGCATTTTCCTTAACAGGCTTCTGTGGCTGGTACTCTTCTTCGCTCTCCACACCCCGAGGCCTAAACTTTCCCCCCTGAATGGGCGGTAGGAAGTTCTTCCAGCGGCCCTCGATCCTTCCGATTCTATACCTATCCATCATGCGACGGGCCTCAGGCGAGTGAATCCTATGCTACTGTCAGCACAATCCATTCCAGTCCCCATGTATCGATCTTAGTCCCATCCAGGGATGTGATTGAACTCACACATGAATCTCATCCGTCGCATCCCTCCCCACCACATGCTGAATGGCCTTGTCTCCTCCCGGATGGTACTTGATCCAGGCGTCTGCCTTGACGACGTACTGGTCCAGGATGAAGACGTGAGCGCCCTCGGCGATCATGGCCTCGATCTCACGCCGCGAGAGCACGGGGTACTGCCGACCGGGCTTCCCCTCAGTGGGGGATTTCGTAAATGATGCTGCCATTGGCGACGTCGCTGTTGACGGAGCGGGTGTGTATGCGATTTTGAGTTGTCAATGGTCGATTAATCACGAACCGATTGAAGATATGGATGCTATAAGCAGGGTAGATAGACCCTTAGGGGGGTGTTGTTCTCAAACACCAGCAAGGTCCGCAAGTGGAGATAAAAGCGCCAGCAACCGTCGATAACAGTGAGCGTGACAGGACAGAGCTCAGTCTTAACGGCCCAAAGTCCGCAGCTTCCGAGTGGACGACCAAAACGCAACGGAAATGGAGTGCCCCGATGAAAAAAAAAATCGAATAAACTTCCGGGTTCTCAAGGGCGCTGTGGGCGGTAAGGTGAGGAGCCAGCCGTGGGTTCCGTTCTGAGTCGTTAAGGGTAAGTTGCATCAAAAGCTTTAGTGAACGAACGAGATCGATCAATTGACTGATCTCTGCCCTCACAAAACCCCGGCCGACTCAATCAGACAGCTCAATTGAGCAGATCCAAAAGCAAAACAAGATCGGGTTTCACCCAAAAACCAGATCAATTGGCCCAACCTCGAGTCAAAGAGTAAACAAATGGGTCAAAAAGGGGGGAGAGACAAGGTCCAAAAGAACAGCTTGCGACGCCACCAGACAGAAAGGTGCTGCCCCTGGGGCCTAAGCCTTGGGGGACCTGGAAGCTCAGGTTGGAGCTTGCAAAAGTTCTGGAACCCTGGGCGTTCAACCCCAACCCCCAAAGCCAAGCAAGTAAAAATAAAAATAAAAATAAAAATAATAAAAGAAAAAAAAAAAATCCCAGGCTTTGCTTGCTCTCTGCCAAGTTCCCGAGTTTGAGTAAGAGAAGATACTGCGACAACCAACAGATCACACTTTTTACTTCCGATCTGCAGTCAAGTGAATCCACCGCCCTCTCGGGTTCTTCGTCTGACGGTTCAACTGCTCTAGCAAGGAATGTGGCATGATCGATGGGCCAAATCGCCCTGCCTTGCTTTGCTGCAACGGTATCAAAAGCTGATCGAAACAGACCAGGGGTGCCAGGAGAGATTTGTTGGGACACAATAGGGTTAGGGTTGGGTATGTGCTTTGGACGGAAAAGCCAACGTCTCACCGGCTTGGCAGCACTTGGGGCTGGATCCCCACCATTCCGCCGCGTTGATCTGGCTGCCGGTCGTCATCACATGAAGATGAGCGCGGTCGACGCCGGCAACAGGAGATCGTCTACTCCTACAAAGAGTCATTTTCTCCCTTTTTCTTCGAGATAACCTGGGATACTTCTCTTTCTGCACATTACCATTCTCCATGCCGTGGAGCAATTGGAAGATGGTGAGCTCCAAGATTAAGCTATCACAACTCGATAAAAACTTTCACATCGCACTTCGACATCACCACCATGCAATACAACAAATACTGAGCACAAAATTTACATAAGCCAGCCGCGACGATCAGCACAACATCCCGTCCCGTCAGCACATGTCTATCTCTTTCAATATGCTATCAAACGCCTACTACAAACCCTCCAGCCAGCATCACCAGTCATGACCACCCACCAACCAAAGCCTACCAAGCCATTCGACACCGGTAGGGCAAGTTAAACCACATCGCATGCGCTAATGATGAAATTGCATTCCCCCACCGCCAACTAGCCATTTACCATTTAAATGCCTTCGTTTTAGCACGGAGGAAATCAATCTACTAGAGTACAGACCGAGAGAGAGACAGACAGGTACACAAGAAAGAACCTCCGGCGCCCGGGCGTCTCTTCAATACGCCCACCTGCTTATCGACCTCAATCCTTCCATCCGTCCATCCGCCGTCCCAACAACCGTCCGAAATGTTGACCCAACCGCTATCAGCTTCTCGCGCACACACACACACACACACACATACACACACACACACAAAGCTGCTTAGAAGTGGATAGCCTTGGAATAAGTAGCCATAGCAGCCTCCTTGAAGGCCTCAGCCAGCGTGGGATGGGCATGGCACGTGCGAGCAATGTCCTCGCTAGAGGCACCGTACTCAAGCGCCAGGGTACCCTCAGCAATCATCTCACCAGCGTTGGGGCCAATGATGTGGATGCCCAGCAGGCGGTCGGTCTCGGGATCAGCCAGCATCTTGACAAAGCCCTCGGTGTCGAGGTTGGTCTTGGCACGGGAATTAGCGCTGAAGGGGAAGGTGCCCACGCGGTAGGGGATGCCGGCCTTCTTGAGGTCCTGCTCGGACTGGCCGACCCAGGCGACCTCGGGGAAGGTGTACATGACGGCAGGGATGCAGCCGTAGTTGACGTGGCCGTAGCCCTTCTTGATGTACTCGACGACGGCGACGGCCTCTTCCTCGGCCTTGTGAGCGAGCATGGGGCCGAAGGTGGCGTCACCCACGCAGCGGATGTGTGGGATCTTGGTACGGTACTCCTGATCGATGATGACGCGGCCGCGCTCGTCGAGCTCGATGCCGATCTTCTCGAGGCCGAGACCCTTAGTGTACGGACGACGACCGATGGCAACGAGGACGACATCAGCCTCAAGCTGCGAAGTGTTAGTATTGCCAGAGTTTCGATCAGACCGCCGGGAGAGAGAAGAGGGAGGGGGGGGGGGAATGTGGTGAACGCACAGTCTCAGGCTTGCCACCCTTGGCAGCCTCGACGTTGATCTTGACGCCGTCGCCAGTCTTCTCACCGTTCAGGACCTTGGTGCCGGTCTTGAAGTTGATGCCCTGCTTCTTGAGAATCTTTTGAATGTTCTTGGAGATCTCGGTGTCCATGCCGGGGCCGCCAATCTGGTCGAGGTACTCGACGACGGTGACCTCAGAGCCAAGACGCGACCAGACGGAGGCCATCTCGAGACCGATGATACCGCCGCCAATGACAAGGAACTTCTTGGGGACATGGTCGAGCGATAGGGCGCCGGTGCTACTGATGATGGTCTTCTCGTCGATCTCAAGGCCGGGGAAGGGGGTGACCTCGGAGCCGGTGGCAATGAGGATGTTCTTGCCGGTGACCCGGGTCTCGCCGCCGTCGTTGAGCTCGACCTTGACGGTGTGAGGATCCTCGAACGAGCCGGTGCCCTTGAGGTACTCGACGCCGTTCTTCTTGAAGAGGAACTCAATACCCTTGGTCAAGCCACTGACCGACTGCTCCTTTGCCTTCATCAGCTGCCCGAGGTTGAGCTTAACGTCGCCCACCTCGATACCGCGATGTTTTGTGTCGTGGAGGATGGTGTGATAGAGATGCGAGTTGTTGAGCAGTGACTTGGACGGAATGCACCCGACGTTCAGGCAGGTACCGCCGAGGGTGCCGCGCTTCTCGATACATGTAACCTGTGATATCGCGGGTCAGCTATGCCCCTCTGGCAGCCCGGTTGTAGCCCAATCGTCCGTACCTTCATGCCCTCCTGGCCGGCCTTGATGGCGGCCACATAGCCAGCGACACCACCGCCGATAATGACGAGGTCCCTGTCTGCATTCGCCCCTCTGTCAGCCTGATTATTCCCAATGCCAGCCAGAATGTGCGTCCTGCTACTAACCAGCCTCGGTGGCATAACCACGCCTCCACCTAGAAGCATTGACGACCGTAGGGAGACTTGACACCTGGAGTTAGCAAAATCACAGGAACTGTCGGTGGGCGTAGCGGGGTTCGAGCGGTCTCATTTACCCTGACGGCCGGAAAGCGGACTTGACCGCGGTGCGGCCTATTAATCTCTGCGACAGCATGTTGGCTGTGGAAGAAGTCTCTGCCCTGGCAAACAAAGGAGAAACTGCTGAAAGGAAAAGAGGGTGGAGAAAAAAGGAGTGTATATGGTAGACGGCGCGCTTGTTTAGTTAAAGGGGGGGAGAAAAAAAAGCGCGGGTCCAAAAATGTTGCAATAGGCGGCGGCGGGAAGGGTCAAGATGGATGGAAGTTGTTGGGATGGAATTGCTGAGTCCCGAAAGCCAAAGCCCTCTCTCGCACTCGTTCTCCGTCGGCCGTCGCTGATTGCTTGTCCAGCGGTGCCCACCGAAAAAATGTCCCCAGTCATTCCCGCCGCTCCGTCCAACCGCAGCAGCCAGCCAGGGCGGCCGGGCGAGCTTTCCCAAACTCAGTTCAGCGATCCCCAAAGCCCCAAAGGGGACTTGCAGGGACGCCGGAGATTGGCTGGGACCCCTTATCGAGGCCCCATCGGACGGCGACAGGGGTGCCCAAGTGCCGGTTACAGCGATCGAAGGACCCCGCCACCTGCATGAAACGTTCCCGAACGGAGTCCCGGGGGCATTTTTAAGGGCAGGCTGTCAAAACTCGCATCGATAAGCCGCCAAATCCCGCATCGCCAATTCCAAAGAGTTGCCACATGACTCTTTGCGACGGTTGGGATCTCGTAGTCGTGAGGCCGAGAAAACGCGACGTTTTCCTTAAGAGGTGAAGTTTCAGCCAAGTATCGAGAGGATTTTGGGGATTTTTGGATTATTCAACTCATGGCCACTGACTAAGGCCAGAGCTGAAAAGTTCCGGATGCTCGGCGGGATCCAAGCAATATTTTGTCAACAATTATCCGAGGGGTTCCCCCCCCCCCTACCTTCCCTCTCTTTGCCGTTCCAGGGTAACATGACATCATCATCATCATCATCATCCAACCGTATATGTGTATTGCGAGGTGTCTCCAGATAATATTCTAATCAGCACCGTACCTGTACGCCCTACCACATTATGCCTAATACCTACTATGCCTATACCAACTCCTCAGCCCTTGCCATCGCGGTCTCAACGGCCGCCTCGGCCATCTTGCACGCCTCCTTTAACAACTTGGTCTTCTCCTTACCACCCGCGAGGTCCGATTTTCGAACAACCTTCTTTAAGAAGTACTGCAGACCCTTTGCCAAGTCGGGCGTGGCCTCGACAGCGCCGAACACCTTGACAATCGCTTCTTCGGGCTTCTCGCTTTTCTGTTGCAGCTCCAGCAACGCAGTCACCAACATCAGCTCAACAAAATCACGTGTCTTGCGCTGCGGATACACCAGGTTGAGCCGCTTTAGCATGGTGATGGGTAGGCTATTGGCTGCCAGCAGGGAGCCGTACATCTTGGCTGTGTTGACCAGTCGCCGCATGTCGAGGTCTGCATCGCCTGCTTCGTCTTCAACAGGTTCGTCCTCCTCGTCGCCAAACTCGTTCTCGCCCATGCGTCCAAACAGTCTCCACAGGCTGGCTTGGAACGACCAGCGCACCTCGCGCTGCTGGGCGCAGAGGTGCTTGGCTACGAGCGTGTAGTAGGGGTTGTAGTGCTGCTCGGCGCCAACGCAGCGGATGATTACATTGGGAACCTCGCGCTGCCGCTCCTTGTTGAGCCGTAGTTTCATGATGCGCAGGTAGGCGTCTTGGTAGTCCATGGCTGACATGATGGCCACGAAGATGGCCCGGCGGACCTCTGTGTTCATGCCTTGCTCGCGAGCAAGCTCTGCCAGGTCGGGACCATCTTCGACGTCGTCGACAATGATGCTGTCGTCGTCATCGCTTTCGTCGTCCTTGTTTGCGGTCTTGGGCTTCTTGTCGTCCTTTGACCGGCCGGCCCAGCTAGCACCGACCAACCACCACTTGCCTTGCTTGTCGGCTTCCCGGATATCCTTCAAGCCAATGCCCATTGGCTCAGTGGCTTTGAGTCTCCTCGATTTCAGCTGGCTTAGTATCTTCTTGATCCGCGTGGTGTGCTCAACGATTATCGCCGTTGCCCCCACACCGGCCTTCATTTTGTTGTTCTTCAGATCGGTAATGGTATCAATCATAAACTTGGTTCGGACAGTCAAGTTCTTCTGGCCTCCCGCCTTCTGAACGGCAGGAGGGATCAGAGCCACAATGTCTTTCAGCGCCATAGGATCGTCCTGACGCAGTGCTGGCCCGCAAATACGGACAATGCGGAGCAGCAGCTCAGCGTTCAGCTCGGACAGGCTCTCCAACAGCATCCGAATGTAGTCAAACACCAGGTTTGGCCCAATGAGCTGGAACGTGTAAATCTGCGCGACAAACGTAATAAGGTTAGATGTCTGCTTGGGGACATCGGGCCGTTCTTCCGCGATCTTCTTGGCCTCCTCGTAGTACTTGTCAAACCGCTCAACCACTTCCTGGATAAGCTGGCCACCAAAGTCTGTCCCAATCACCATGTAGGCAGCCGTGGCGAAGCCGGCCGTCAGGATGAGCAGTGAATCGGGAAGGCTGGTCTGGTCGCAGACCTGGATGAGGAGCAGGTCCACGAGGGACGAGGTAACGTGTTGCCGGGGATACTCGCGGTAGAGTTTCTCGATCTCGCCCAGTATCGCCAGCATGTTTGATTCTGTTATCCTGTTGACGAGACCTTGTGTCTGTCGGCGCACGCGGGAAGCGAGTTCGGAGTCTGAGCTCGTCTCTTTCCGGAGGGATGGAGGAACATATTTCGCGACTTGGCCCGTTGTTGGGGGTACGTAGGGGTTTTCGCGCACTCGTTTCGCTGGCGGCTCGTCTGCGTTGTCGTCCTCTGAAAAGCCCTCGAAATCATCCCCTTGACTCTCGTCTTCGTCTTCCATGTCCTCGTCCTCTTCAGCCTCTTCGTCGAAACCATCCATATCGTCTTCGTCGAAGCCCTCTATATCTTTATCCATGTCCTCATCCACATCTTCATCAAGATCATCCATATCCTCCTCGTCCAGATCTTCCTCCTCGTCAGACTCTGGCTCAGGACGTTTCTTGCTTTCCCTAGCAGCCTTCTCTTTCGTCTTTTTGCCATCCTTGTCTTCTTTTGCAGCCTTGTTCTCCTTTTCTTTCGCCTTCTTAGCAGCTGCGGCCTCGGCTTTCCTTCTCTTCTGAGCCAACCACTCTTGCTCCTCGGCTTTTTGCCTCTGCCTATCCGTCATGTCATCCAAAAAATTATCCAGATCCTCGAGGAGCTCGTCCAAGCCGTCATCCTTGAACACCTTGGGCAGCTTTTTACGGTTCTTTATCCCCAGCTTCCTCTCCAGCTCGCGGATCTGCTTGTCGTCCTGCTTGATCGCGTCCTCCAAAGCCTTGGGTATTTTTCGCTTGGGAGCCTTCGCTTCTCCCTCTACGTCGTCGTCCTCGAGGTCCTCTCCATCGCCTTCGCCGAAGTCATCGTCGTCGTCGAGCCCGAGGTCTTCCCCGATATCCTCGTCCGAACGTAGTTCGCTGCCCTCTTCTTCACTTCCTTCATCTTCCTCACCCTCCTCTGATCCCTCATCAAGCACATCATCCGAGAGCTCACCATCACCTTCCTCCTCTTCGTCAAACTCATCCTCAAAACCGCTCAAATCCTCATCCTCTTCATCAAGCACCGGCCTGCCCTTCTTCAAGATCGACTTCGGTGGCTTTCCATTTGTCTGCGCATCCTTCCCAGTTGCCAACGTCTTCTGCGGCTTGCCAGCTTTCTGTATACTCGGCGGCGCAACAGCATTCTGATTCCGAACGGCGGCGCCGGCGCGCTGGGCCTTCGCCTGCTGCCTCTCGAGCTTGCGGCGCTCCTTGCGCGACGTCACCTGGACGCTTCCGCGCTTGCGCTTTTGTCCTCTGTTGGCCGGGTCTATTATTTCTGGGTTAGCAGCAAGGCCGTCAATTACAGGGGAGGAATCTCACCACCGACGCCGAGCTCCTTAAGAAGGCTGGACGGGAGCGTTGGCTTTTTTGGCCCCCGAGCCTTGGGGGGCGCCATTGTTTCGAAGGGTATGTGTGTGCTTTGGAGAGGCTATCCGAGGGATTGCGGGGGGAAAAATGGCTGAAATCAGGGGCTGTTTTGGAAGATTGGTCCAGACAGACACAGACACGATCAAGGGCGAATTGATGAAGGCAGCATCTGAATGAATGAAGCTCCGGCTGCTGAACTTCTGAACTTTTTAACTTATCGATAAACGTGTGGGGTGGTCTTGGCATCGCTGCTATTTGGAGACGGTACCTGGAGCCTTAGTTTTCGCAGTTTATGTCGAACCACAGAAATTACGTTGAATCCTGTTATTCTACCTTTCTTGAATCACTACTGCCTCAGAGAAAGCCCGGACTATCTTCGAAAGCCAGCCGAAAGCTTTAGCCGCCGGCATCGACGCCCGGCCGCGACGTTCTCCGGCAGCCGCACCGCCCGTCAAGGTACCCGTGGGCCGCCTGCCCTTGGCAGTGGGCCCCGGCTTTCCCCACAGCGACCAGGATCCACTGTGGGCGCTGGGTCTGGGTGAGGCTCAACATCATGACATGGAGAAGCTCACTCACATCCTCATAGTGCATTTGCACTGTTCAACCCATCAACTCCCAGTCGTTCTAGCAAGCTCTCCACGTCTCACAAAAAAAAAAATAAAAATGTCTCCATTAAGCCATGACGAGGTATGCCCTACAGTCCCTCCAATTTTACTACTTTCAAAAAAAAAAAAACACTAACGACCCCGCAGTTCTTCACCAAACTCGCCGATCTCTTCACCACCACCAAGTCCAACCTAAAAGGCAGCATATTCCTCACCCAGAAGCGTCGTGCGTAACCCCATTCATTCGGTCTTGGGCATCCCGACGCGGACGGACTAACAAGGTCAAAGTTTCCTACAACCCCTCTGAATCCCAAACGCCCTCTCCGACCTCTGATGACCCCCTGACAGCGGTCTTCCCCGATCTCACCACGACTCTCGCGCCTGCGCCCATCCTCATTCGCGCCACAAACGGGAAGTCAAAGGCTGCGCGCAAAAGAGGAAAGAAGGTGAAATTGTCAACAGTAGTCCAGCCAGACGAGCTGGAAGCGTTCTATGGACGGTATGCCGAGGTCTGTCGGGCGGGAATGAGCGCCCTGAAGCCGCGGGATCGGACGAAGCGGAAGGCTAAGGCAAAGAGGAGGAAGGGGGGGGCATCGGCGTGATGGTTGTAGCGGCGTGGTGCTTTTTCTTTTTGTTTTTCTTTTTCTTTTCTTTTAGAATTTTTTCTATAGAATCCTCGTCTGGCCATATCGTGCAGGTCTTCGACCTTGGTTTCGAGGTCCCCAACATGCCCTTCTGAACCCAGCGACGCCCAGGTTTTATATATATATATCTTTGGACCTCCTTGGTCTGATTCTCGCCTGGTCGTCTAACCACTTGACCTTGGGCTGCAGGAGCCGTATCTTGGCGACACGCCCGCGAATTGCTTCGCGGGCGGCCTTGCTGGCGGTCTGGGCGATGGTCTTCTAGACCAGACCATCTGGTGCGTAAGCCCCCTCGCGTCGCGACATCCACTCCTCTAAGGCAGCTTGCCAAATCTTCAAGGTCCCGCTCCACCTCCAGGGTCTCCTGCCGTTTTATGAGGTCTTTCACCTCACTGAGCAGGATCTCCATCGTGTCCACGAGCGCGAACAGCGTCTCCACGGTTCGTGTCATTCAACTTGTTCCCGGATACCTGTGAGGCGATTGGTCGACACATAGGTACTGAGTACGTCCTATGTCTAGACAATCCAATCTTTTCTTCAGGAGAAGAAGGGAAGAAAGGCAAAAGAAATGAACAAGGACTCTGCTCTCACTCTTGCTCCCCACCAAATGTCATCATTCCCCAGACAGAGTCTGAGTCTACCGGCATGCAACGCACATGGAAGGCCTGTATGTATGTGTTTGCAATCTGGTTTGCAGCCTGCCCGGCTGATTCATTACACGGGACATGCTTCAATGTCAGTGACAGGCGTTACTGCGGCTGCCATGTTTACCATGCTCATAGATGATATTTAGATCGTACATGCAACTCATTTTTTTTTGGGGGGGGGGAAAGGGGGGCGAACAAGACTTTAGAGAAGTTCATAAACTACCAGTGCAATATGGATTCGAAGAATGGTCGAAGAAATGGAAGAAATTGAAGATACTCCTCTTCTTCCTTTCTCATCGACCCCTCCTCCCTCCTCCTCCTCCTCCTCCTCCTCCTCCTCCTCCTCCTCCTCCTCTCTACGGTCTTCCCCTCCTCTGCTGGCCCAGCCCCTTCTTCGCCTCTGCCTCATCAGGCGGCAAGCCTGCAAGCTCCCGTAGCTTCGCATCCAGCATCTGTTTCTGCTCCAGCAGCGCCCGGTACGCAGCCTCTTCTTCCCGTACCTGCTGGAGGGTAACAGGGACGTTGTTGTGTGCCAGAGAGGGGGAGAGCGACGAGGCAGATTTGTCGCGCAGTTCCGGGAGGCGCGTGGACAGGGACTTGATGTGTCTCTGCAGGGACAGATTGTGTAGGGCGAGCGAGGTTGGCGGGTGGTAGCCTGTGAAAGAGAGGGGTTTGGATGTCGGCGTGTCAGAAGATTCTTTGCTGGTTTTCTCTCCGTCTTCCTCCTCCTCGTTATGCTGTGCCCCTGGCTCCGGGGGCTTCAGCTCGGCTGCCAAGGCAGCGGTTCGCTCCGCCTCTCGCGCGATGTGCTCGGCTAGGGTTTGCACTCGGGAAATGGCTTCGTCCAAGGCGGCCGCTTGGGCGGATAAGGCAATCAAGTCCTCGGCCAGCAGGGCAGGCGTCGGATGAGCGATGCCCCGCTGCACAGCCAGCGCGGCCATCGCGTCTAGAGCGGTCTGTCCCTCCCTCGGCAGGGCGGATTCGATGCCCTGCAGGATGGCTTTCCTCGCTGGACCTAAGATGTCTGCTTCACCCTCTGCTTCTGTCTCCTTCTGCTGTTGCTGACGCTCCCACTCCTCAACTTCTTTCAAGGCTTCCTTCTCCAGGCGAGCGACCAAGGCACGCTGCTCGTCTGCGGCGTCGTTGGCTGTGGCTAGGGCGAGGAGTATGCGGAGGGTGTCGGCGTTGCGCTCGAATGCGGGGAGGGAGGGACGGTTGGGGAACTTGCGGGTTAGCCAGGCGTCAATGTAGGACCAGTCTTTTGCGGCGCTGGCTGCGGCGCGGGCGACTGATGGGGAGAATATTGCTGCTGTTGGGGGGAGGGACATGATCGTGGGTCGAGGTTGAGGTTGGTTGGATGGCGAGGACGATGAGGTGTTGTCGGCGATGATGAGAGAAGTCACTGAGGTGAAAGTTGACCAGATGCCCCGCTTCAGTCTATTGAAACGAATCAAACGGTAATCCATAAACTCATGAGCTTTATTGGATGAGATTTCAACACAAATTCAAGTGTCCATCCAGTGTAAATGCATGCAACTCAATGGATGATGCCTTGATTCTCTAACGCGCGAACTTTTCTTGAACTTGGTGAGACGAGTGTAAGTGAATCCATTATTACACATACGGTAAATTGTAAGATACGATGACCGTTGGAGTGGGTCCAACTGTGTGTGGCCCACCTCTCAAGTCGTGCCACCGGATGATTGGCTGCATGACATAAAGTAAACAAAAGTGGAAGTGACAGGGGGTCGACTTGGCACGTCCAGCGTCAACATCGACAAGAACACGGCGGAACGCGACTTCTCCACGTCCACGGTTTCTTACCCCATTAACCACGAATTTTGGTGACTGGAGGCTCCCTTCTTCTCTTCCCAGTGTTCGCCAATCCATTGTTTACTTATTTCCAATTTTAAACTAGCACATCAAACACGGCCCATGTGCCCAAACCGACATTGCTGACGCGTATACTTGCACGTGTATCGGTACATTAATCGCCCACTCTTGCTGCTCAGGACGACGACGAAGACTACAACGATAGTAAAACAGAGAAATAGAGAATAAACCCCTCCCCGCGCGCCATGTCCCCCGGCGCGCTCGACACGCCGCGCTCCAACATCGGCGACGCGACCTTTCTCAGCCGTAAACCCGACTTTGACGTCTCCCCCGAGGCATCATTCCACGCGCCGGCGAAGGAGACGAATCTTCTACACCAGCTACGCAACGGCCGCCGGACGAACCTCCGTACCCCCCGGGCCAGCAGAGCCCCCCTCACCGACCGCCAGAACCTGCCCACGGGCCTCGACGGCCGCGAGTTCACGCCCCTGCTCAAGTCGGCTACCAGGAACAGCGCGCGACGGTATGGCGTTGCCGGCAAGGAGAACGGAGCCAACGGCGGCAGGACGACGCCCAACTTTCTCGACAGGATCGACGAGGACATGACCCCGCTACCGCCCGGCGAGTCCAGCGTGTACATGGCCAGAGCCACGCCGAGTTACATCGAGTCCACGAGGGTTCCCGATGTCGAGGAGAGCAGCATCGCGTCTACCCCGCTTGCTCTCAGGCGAGGGGCTAAGGGGGGCCCTCTCGATGGGGGTCAGCTGTCGCTACGGGAACAGGAGAATGTGATCGACAAGATCGAGAAGGAGAATTTTGGGCTCAAGCTCAAGATTCACTTTCTGGAGGACGCCCTGAGGAAGGCTGCCCCCGGCTTCAACGAGACTGCCGTGAGGGAGAATACGGAACTGAAGGTCGACAAGGTCACCCTACAACGCGAGCTAAACCGCTACAAGAAACACCTCACGTCGGCGGAAAAGGAGCTCGAAAAGTACCGCCAGCAGCTGCTCGAGCTGAAAGAGCAGGCCGAGCAGCGCTACGCCGACGAGGCCCGGAAAGAAGAACTCGACCGTCTGCAGAAGGAGCTCGAGCAGAAGGATGCCGAGATCGACAAGCTACGGGAGCAGATCGAGGATCAGGACCAGCAACAGAGCGACCAGGTCGAGAAGCTCAAGGACGAGATAGGGGACCTGGAGCACGACCTGCGGCAGAAGGAGAACATCATCACCCAGCACGAGGACGAGATCGAGGAACTGCGCGAGAAGGTAGCCGACACCGAGGAGGAGCTCGAGAAGACCCGCCGTCGGGTCAAGGAGCTCGAGGAGAAAGCCCAGGATGCCAACCTGCTGGCGGAGGCCAAGGAGACCATCGAGGATCTCGAAGCCAACGTGCGTCGCCTGGAACAGCAAGTCGAGGACATGAGAGAGAAGCTGGACGACGCCATCGCCGAGAAGGAGCGCGCCGAGGCCGACCTGGAGGAGCTGCAGGAGGAGATGGCCAACAAGTCCGTCATGACCAAAGGCCTGTCGCGCCAGGTAGAAGAGAAGATTGCCCGCCTGCAGGCCGAGCTCGAAAAGGCCCGCGAGGAATGCGAGGCCCTCTCAAGAGCCCGCGACGCCCAGCAGAAGGAGATGGACGCCGTCAAGGCCAAGCTCAAAGAAGCCCGCGAGGAGCGCGATGCAGCGGAGCGCCAGAGGCTACAGCTCGAGTCGCAGCTAGACCAGGACCACGGGCAGTGGAGGAAGCAACTAGACGAGGTCAAGAGGCAGCTCAAGGAGGCGCACCAGGAGCGTGACTCGGCCGAGCACGCACGCTTGACGCTGCAAGCCAAGCTCGAGCGGGCCCAGGCCGAGCTGAACTCGCGCAACAATGATATGGCCGTGTTGCAGTCGCGTCTGGATCGGGCCCAGGCCGAGCTCAACAACTGGCATAATGAGAAGGCGCTGCTGCAGTCGAAACTGGAGAGGGCGCAGGCCGAGCTCAACTCTCGCGACGATGAGAAGAATCTGCTACAGAACCGGCATGATGCCTTGACGAGCGAGTCGGTCTCCCTACGGAGGGATATCCAGACGCTGGAGAAGACGGTGGCAGAGCTGGAGGCTGCGCTGGAGCAGGAGCGCCAGCATAGTTTGAAGATCGAGCAGGATATTCGCGCGCAGTACAAGGCTGAGGTCGAGAGGTTGAATGACGAGATCTCGGACTTGCAGGCGCAGTGTCGCGAGAAGGATAACCTCTACGACAACGATAGCGAGCGCTGGGAGTCGGAACTGCACAAGCTGCAGGCGGAGAGGGATCGCGCGGAGGAGCGGGCCGCCGGCTTGCAGAGGACGATCGACAAGCTGCGCGACGCGGAGGGCGCGCTGTCCTCCAAGGAGGCTAAGCTGCAGGAGGCGTTGACGAGCGAGTCGGAGCGGCATCGCAAGGAGGAGGCGGTCTTGAACAACCAGATCGAGCAGCTGCGCGAGGACCTCGAGGCGCGCCAGGCCATGCTCGAGGAGCTGCGCAGCGAGCTGGCGGTGGCTATGGACGATTTGCGGCAGGCGAAGCTGGAGTGCGAGGCGCAGAAGGACAAGGTACAGGCGTTGGAGGATGAGGTCGAGATCCTGCAGGCCACGCTCGACGAGGAGTCGGAGAAGGCTGCGTTGGAGATCGAGCATGCTCAAGAAGAGTGCGATCGGCTGAGGGAACGGCTGGGGGCTGTGCAGACGGAGCTGGATGCCGTTCGCAGGTCGTCGAACGTGACGCAGGAGTCGGCTAAGCAGAGCACCGAGACCCTGGCGAGGTTGAGGGTGCAGCTTGACGAGGCAAACGAGAAGGTTGTGAGGTTGACGGAGGAGAAGCAGCAGCTTCAGGATAGGTCTGTCTCCCTTAACGCCGAGCTCCAGTCCGTCCGTGAGGTGCTCGCCTCTACTAAGGCCGAGCGCAACGAGTTGCAGACCAAGCTAGACGCCGTCAAGACGGAGCGTGACGAGCTGCAAGCAGCCCTGGACCGCCTGGCCTCAACCTCTCGCCCATCCTCAGCCGGCGGCGGCTCGACCTCCGCCGAGCTAACCGAACTCCGCAACCAGCTCGCCGCCGCGAACCAGACCATGCGCGAGCTGAAACGCTCCCTCCGCGAAGCCGAGCGTAAGGCGTCGGCCTCCACCAAGGACCTCCAGGCCCGTCTCGACCAGCTCGAAGACGAGAAGCTCACCCTCGAGCAGGACCTCGAGGATGCCCGTCTCGCCGCCGAAAAGGCCGCTGCCCAGCACGAGGAGACGCTGGCTAAGTACCGCGCCAAGATGGAGCGATACAAGCGCGAGCGCGACGGGTACATGCTGGGTGCACTGCGCAGCCAGGCGATGGGAAGTCGGAACGGGAGCATTGCAGGCGCGTCGGAGGTTTCGGTGGAAGAGAGAAGGGATCTGCATAATATGTTGCGCGAGGCGCAGGTGACTGTCGAGAAGCTGGATAGGGAGGTGAAGGAGCACCGGGAGGCGTTGGACGAGGTGATGAAGAGTGAGGCGGCACTGAGGGGGAAGTTGGAGAAGGCGCGGCAGGAGAGGGAGCAGTATCGGGAGGGGGTAAAGAAGCTGAGGGGGGATGTGAGGAGGTTACGGGTCGAGAGGGATAGAGCGGTAGCTGAGGCGCAGGCGGTTGTTGCGGAGCGGGAGGGCGTCGATACCGATGCGATTATTAGGGCTGCTGCGGCGGCGGAGCAGAGGCATGAGAAGGAGATCAGGGGGTTGGTGATGCAGATGGAGTGGATGAAGGCTTGTTGGGATCGGGAGGCGAGGTTGAGGAGGGATGCGGCGTTTGCGAAGGAGTACTTGAGTCTGCAGGTGCAGATCAGGGATGCTTGGTATGTTCCTAGGTTCTTTTTTTTTTAATTTTTTCCTTTTTTCCCCTTTCCCCCTTCCCCCCCCCTCCCCCCTTCCTCCCTTCTTCTCTTTCTTACGCTCCTTATTTACATTGGTGCTAACTGTTCTGCAGCAACAAAGCCGACCTAGCCATCATCAACCGTATCCGCGCCGAACTCAAACCCCAATCCTCCTCCTTCGCCGCCTCTGCTCTCTCCTCGCTCAAACAACTCAGCTATGCCTCCGGCGCCCTGCCCCCCTTATCCGATCCCAATAATTCCCTTACCACCAACACCCAAGGCACCTCCCCCACAGTCGTTACCCGTAGCGCTAGCGCCAACTCTAACTCCCTGGCCCTAGTCAAGCGCCCATCTGTCACAGCCGGCCCAAAGGGCAAGTGGAAGCTTGTCTTGGCCGCTGTGCGGTTTGTCGTGCGCGTCAGGAGACTAGCGCTCGCGTGGCAGCGGTATGAGAGGTTGAGGCAGAAGTTGGAGGAGGTGTATGAGGGATTGGAGAGGGAAGAGAGGATTCGACGGTTGCGGGAGGAGTGGGTTAGGGGCGTGGAGGAACGGCAGAGGGAGGAGAGAGAACGGGGCAAGCGGGGGAGGGGATAGATAGAGGAGGTTATCGAATTTTTTTGTTCTGTAAGGGGGGTAGGGTTTGATTAGGAGGGTATGGTTTGGATGGGGATGGAATGGGATGGGACAGTCCTGTTTGTTTGGGTGTGTTTGGCAGTCAAGTCTTGTTCATGCTTTATGTTTTATGTTGGCGTATGTGCATTTTGGGAGTAAGGAAGGCAGGCAGGTAGGCAGGCATACTTAGGCTGGGAAAAGTGATAAGATGGACGCTCAAGATAATTCACTTGTTCAGGTCTAGAATGTCAGGCCGGGTTAGGTTCGGTTGCTTAGGTTAGGGTTAGGAAGGGTAGTGATTCATTAGCAAGATATCCTTCTCTCTCTCTCTCTCTCTCTCTCTCTCTCTCTTTTTCTTTCTCTTACTGTCTAGGGTCTAGGCTTTGACTTGTTGCTTGGTTCTGTGGAGATGGCTGTGGTTTTGGCATTTGGTAGCCACTCAACGTAGGTAGGATAAAACCGCTGCAGAGCCTCATATAGCTGAGGGATGACCGTAGTTGTTAAACAGGTTTGAGCCATCTATCAACATGTTTGTGTCAGCATGATTGCCTTGATGTTTCCCCGTTGTCTTCTCCATCCTCCCTTCGGCATTTTGATATTTCTTCTTTCCTCTTATGAATGCTGTTTTCCCAAACAGCCTTGCTTGTTTATCATTTTATTTATCATCAACGCCATGGCTGCTGTATTGTTTTCCTCCTCTTGTGAGAGCAAACCTGATTATCCACACCAGCTTCTACTGGTGACTCTGAAATCTTTCTGGGTAGGATCTGAATGACACAACTAAAAAGCTCTTAGACCGAGTGAAAGAGGGCTTGAAGTGGGAATTTAAGCAGTGTCATCACTGCCTGTGAGTTCAATAATTATTTAGAATAACAGATGATAGGTTGGGACCTGTGTTTGTGACAGTCAAAGTGGCTCATTCAACCATGAGCATGGCATTCAGACAGGTCGGAAGTCACAACAAGAAAGTTCTTTGTAGGCAAGGAAAAGATGATGATCACTGAAAGCTTGCTGTGATCTTCATCACTCCTCCGTGATGATTGTCTGAAGGTGTCAAATGCCCATCTTTGTCTTGGTATCACCATTGTCACTCTCCTGACTTCGTATCCCTGTCATCCGTTGACAGCCAATTCCTTCCCCCCCTTCCTCTTCCTAACCTTCACACTCCTTCCTCCCAACGCTGGATAACTGCGAAACCCTCTGAACACTACAATCCCCTCTCCCCTCCCAACACAGCATCCCCGCTCCCCTTTCCCCACGATGTGCGCGCCGCGCGCCCGAGCACAGACCGATCTCCTCATCTGTATAAAAACACCTATTCCCCTTCCCCAAACTTCCTCCTCTTCTCTTCTTCTTTCTCTTATTCTCCTCAAGGTAAGTTCTTTGCTTGCATGACGTAGAAGTGATGTGTATTCCGTGACCAGTGACCGACCCAAATCGCAGGCGGTGGTTCACAGTCCTGTCTTGTGGCGGCGACTGGGGCCATCATTGCGAGAATGACGTCCTCCGCTCGACCGCCTTGGTCATTCGCTTGCTGTGAGTGACTGAGGAATATGAGTTGGAGGTACATCTTTCTATTTACTCAGTGAGGGCACTGGGGGGTTTGAGGGTTTCTGGGGGTCATTGAATGGGGTGAGAGAGGAGGGAAGGAGGGGAATGGGAGAGACAACAATGGGGAGAAGACAAAGGATGGGAGAGGGGGTAGAAGGCTGACTGGGGTTTCTGCATGAGCTGATGGAATGAGTGAAAAATGGAGTGGGAAACATTAGGGTCTGTCTGGAGTTAGTGTGTGGTAATCGGTGGAAGGAGGATGTTACTCTGTCTACTTTTTTTTTTTTGACCCAATACCCTCTGTAGATAGCTAGCTCCTCGTAGATGATGAATGGAAACTTAAAATACTTAATGTTCAAGCTTCCTAATATATTATCCAACCTGTTGTGTTATCTTCTGGCAAACTTGCCTCTGCAATGAATGAGATCTCTACTATTTAATCAGAAGTTTGCCAACAATGTAAACAACATGAATGACATTTCGTTACCTGGGATGTATCATCTCCAGAAGAATTATCCTCTTGATTATCCTCTTGATCATCCGAAAAAGACAACCAAGCGTCAACCTTTGTGGCCCATCATTTTGTCGAACAACAGGCTCTTCCACCCACAGATTAAGAAAAATCTAGGCAGGAAGCTGAAGCCCAGTACGCTCTGCCATCCTGCTCATTAGCTGTCAACAACTGACGCCGAAGTTGGGTCATAAAGAGCTTTGTGGACTTACCTTTTTGTGGCTCGACAATGGCTTGGACTAGATTCGCCGACACGACAACAATTAATTACGACGAGGGTCAGCATGAGATGATCTTATTTGTTCTGTTTCGATACCTATTCCATTTTCGACCTTCCCTTTCTTCCCTCAGACTACTACATCCATCCATCCAACATCACTCCTCCCAATCGATAGGACAGTTCGTATTTCTAGAAAAACACAAAAAACAAAAAAACAAAAAAAAACAAAAAAACAAAAACAAAAACATGGGGGTCATATTTGTGTACTTGGGTAAATATCAAAAGAATGAATGAAAGGGGTTAACTGTGCAAAATAGACAACGAAACGAATGGAAGAGTTTGGGTTTTAATTGGTTTTAATCCACACTATTGCCCTCACCACCCATCCAGGGGAATCATCATCCATCATCCATCATTTGCGAGCATTACCCATGCATCCATCAATCATACCCATCCCCCTCTCATCACATCGCCCTCCCAACCTCAACCCCCCACCCACTATTCCCCAGTGCCCCCGATCCAGGCCCAACATCCGGCCCAGGCTCCCTCCACTCCGCAAACCTCCCAGCCGTCAACGTGACACTACTCACCCCACTCGAATACTTACTTGTATAACTCTCCACCTTAGCCGCCCTGGCGACACGCGCCACTTCCGGTCTCCTCACTTCTATTCCCTCATCATTGTCAAGGTTAGAGTTTTCTTCCTCCGCGAGGGGGCTCACGGGAACAGGCTCAACGATGCTGCCGATGCTGCCGTTATTTTGTGTTGTTGTAGATTGGGACTGGGCTTGCAATGCCGCAGCACGACGTAATAACTCGGGTCGTTCGAGATCGAACGGGTCGCTGCGGAATTTGGATCTCCCCCCGGCCGCTCCCGTCGTCGTAGTAGTTGCTAGCGAGGAGACCGAGTCACGCGCGTAGTAGGGGCTTCCCCCTGCCCCGACAGCGTAATACCGGCTGCTGGCGCGGTTGGTGTTGGTCGCGCTGCTGGGGTTGCGGCTCAGGCCTACACCGACACCGGCGCTGACACTAGGGCCGGAGAGGGATTGGCTTCTTCGACGGGGGTCGGCGTATTGAGGCCGGTTTACAGCGGGAAGCTGGCTATCATCACGGATGGCGTTTTCATCCCCAAACGGATTCCTCCCCATCCCGTTCGGGGCAGCAGCCGCCGGAGGAGGCGGGTTGGGTCCCTTGGACCCAAGTGCAAGGGGAGGGGGTGCGGCGGAGGGATGTGCGATGGTGATAGCGTTGTCGTCGCTGAACGGGTTCTCGGCACTTTCTTTGTTTCCGTCGTCGTCGTTGGCGGCAGCAGCACGTGAAAGACTCTCCCGCCGTCTCTGCGTCTCGCGCTCCAACTCCTGGCCCGTCATGCCCAGTAAGGCAAGGAAATCCGGTTTCGACCCCAACGCGGCTTTTTTCTGTCTCTTCTCGAGCATCGTCGGGCCGGTGTCACCATCCTTACTTCGGGAACGTAAGTGAGGGAAGCGGCCGGGCTTGCCGCGGTCCTTTATGCCGGACCACCAGCCCTGAAGTCGTCCCTTCGCAGTGGGGTTCGGCTGGGAGCTGAAGTTGGCGCTTTTACCACCGTCCAGGAACTGCGACGTTCCCCGATCAAGATCAACCGACGGAGCGGTTTTATTCCTCCAATGCCCCCTCAAGCTCTTCCACTTCAAACCAATCGCCTCACGCAACCGTTCCGTCACGGGCGTCGGGCCGATACTATCGCGCGTGATGACATAATTGCCACCACCTCCCCCTGAGCCCCCTGGCGTAGGCTTCTCCCTACTTCCCGTACCAAACGGCGCGGGCGGTGCATCCAGAGGCGTCAAAAGCGTGCTTCTCCTCTTGCGTAACACTCTCCTGCGCCACCACCAGATCAAAAAGGCCAGGATGCTGAGCGCCAAAACGCCGCCGATGACACCGGCTGCTACGGCTACTGTCGAGCGGATGGCTCTCGAGTTGGGACTCGCTGGTGTGGTAGTCTCGCTGGACTCGGCTGCTGTCGTCGCTACGGAGGCTGCAACGTCGTTGGATCGCGTTTGCGGCGAGGGGACATCGTTCCCAACAGTCGGTTGGACACCTGGGCCTGCCACCACGGGGCTGGTGGCAAGGATGGGGAGGGTAGAAGGGGAACCGTCAAAGAAAGGGGTCTCGGAGGAACTCGCTCCTTGGTCGAGAGGTGATGATAGTAAGGTGGAGAAAGATGAGGCTATGACGGCATCAGCTTGACTGCTCTGCACCAGGGACGATTGGGACGATGAAGAAAGATCGTCTGCTAAGGCAGTGATGGAGGGCACAGCAGCGGGATTGGGGTTCAAGGGAGCCAAGGACTGACTCTCTTGGGCCTGCATGACCCCTGCTTGGCTAGTAGGAAAGGCTGTTGTGATGATGGTAATGAAGGTCGGGGTCGTCGTACTCGATGACGATGATGATGATGATGATGATGATGATGATGGGAATAGAAGTGGTAGTGACGTTGATATCGGGACGGTAGCTCTGTTTTCATCGCCGCCCTGGGCTGGAGCGGCCACGATGTCAGTGGACGGGCTGTTGTTGTTATTGTTGTTACTGCTCGTCGGCTGAGACTGGGTGCTGAATGTGGTGAACGTGGCTATCTGCTGTGTTGTGGATGTGGTCGTTAACGAACTCGGCGTCACTGCTAGCCTAGGAATCGCCGTACAGCGCCGGCCGTCGATGGAGGTGAGGAAGGCTCCCACTGGGAGGTTGTTTGACGCCATTTCTCTCTGTCAGTCTCTCTTTAAACAACTTCGGCGATGCCAGTCGCGCGGGTAAGAAACAATATACAGGAGAAACGAAGAAGAAAAAAAGAAAGAAGAAAAAGTCAAATAATGATGGCCTCTACGGCCGCTAGCAAGACATGGCAGAAATCATCAAGATTTCCTGTGAAGGAGGTGAAAAGAGAGAGCGAGCGAGCGAGCGAGCGAGCGAGAGAGAGAGAGAGAGAGAGAGAGAGAGAGAGAGACTGAGCAGCAGCTGGCGGATTGCCAGACAGAGGCCAGACACTGGTGATGAAGTGATGGTGGTATGGTGGTAGGATGAAGCGAGTGGGAGAGGGGAGAAAGAGGGACTCTCATTCCTCACATACACACACACACTCTCTCTCTCTCACACACACACTCTTTGTGGCTAAGGAGTCTGAGACTGAGGTGACCCTTCTGGATACTCTTCCCCTCCCCCCGACTTACAACCTTACTGGCGTCCTGGAAAAGGGGGAGCGGCGTAGCATGTCAAGTCACGGCCATGCCTTAACAAGTCAAGTCTGAAGAGTAATGGAACACAATTTCCTCACATCATGGCGCCTCACCGAGTTGGACAGTCGGACCCTCCCGGATCTCCTAAACAGGAGGCCCTCTCGCAGCACCGACTGCACCACCAAGCGTTGAGGCTGTTTGATGGGCCGGGGACGCACAACATCGGCGTCGTGCCATTGGCCAGAGGACAACACATAAGCGTGGCAGCATGGCACGCGATGGGAGCAGCATAGCGCATGCTTAGCAGCAGTTTGGGACGAGCATCGGCCAAGGCCTGAGGCTCATGGATGCCGATGGCGTGTCATGGGGATGATCCCTGTCTTGCGACGCTTCTGATGCAAACGGCTGCGGGGAAGTTGGAGATGGGGTGGGGCACGGCAGCGGATGCCGGGCGGGGGACAAGATGGGGTACAGTGTTGAGAATGGCGATTATTTTTGTTGGTTTTTTTTTTTTGGTGTTGATGAATTGCGTCTATCTAGATTTTACCTAGATGGCATGTCGCTAACAGGTTAACATTATCTTCTCGTGTTTTGGTAGAGATGGAAGTTTAATCAACGAGAGAACCTTGATTAAGGCCCTGACTCGTCGAAGACCGAGGGGCTGCTAGCGTTCCATGAGGATGCCGCTTTTGTGTGTGTGTGTGTGGATGAAACACTCAAGCCGCGCCACACACAACACCACAGCCCATGCTTACTGTACACTTCGAAAGAAGAGTGTCGTGAAGTGCGCAAAGCCACGCAACCCGCAACCAAGCCACTCCGCTCCACTCCAGGTCGACGGTTCGTCGTGCTGCTGCTAGCCGTCCAGATGGATGACCCATCAAATGGGCAAGCACATCGACTGCTGCTTCCACTTCACAGCAGGCAGAAAGAGTCTTTCTCCACAAGGGCAAAGCCCTGTAATCAAATCCTCCCCCCCCCCCTCCCCCCCTCCCAAAAAAAAAAAGTCTCCAGTTCACACACTGATCGCATGCATCTGCTCCATAATTCTGAACGACGGATTGCTTCTGCTGGTCCAGAATGATCAAGCGAGTGTTGTGTTGGTCCGTGGCATCTGCAGGGTCACCTTTTTGGCTGCATCGCTCTGCCAAGTCTCTCTCGCGTCGAAGCAACAGCCCAGCACCCGGCAGGGGATCCACCGCAGTGGAAAGGGAAAAAGTGGGCACTCCCGCTGTGGAGGCAGGATGGTCCAACGCCGCTGTTGCAGCCAAACATTTTTTTGGGGAGAATTTTGGGTTCTCTGCGTGCCTGGGAGTAGGGAAATTCCGAGCAATAAATTTCCCATGATCCATCAAGATTCATCCCATCCATCTCACTCCACATCCCGTACTTAACCTGTTTACAAAACTCCCGACGGCCTCGTGCCAGCATCTGAACGCCCCGATCCAGCCCCAGCTAAACCTGGCCCCCCGCCCGCCCGCCCCGTGCCCGATCTCCGAGCAGACTTGGCTGGCTTGGCTGCCGGCCCGGTACCCGGGCAGGGGTGGGCGGCCCAATTCGGCACGCTATCGCATGCACGCTGCAAGGACAACAGCGTTCGGTTGCCCTCTGTGTTGCTCCCCCGTCGAGCCCATGAACTGGTTTGACACGTTATGTAGGCAGTGAGTGAGCGAGGTGTGTGGGCTGGCTGCAGAGGCGGATTGTGCGAGAGCGTGTGTGCCGCGTTGTCGACTGGCAGTTTGGACGGTGGGCGTTGAGGGCAGTGGACTGTAGAATGGGGGACTGTGATGGGACTGGATGTGGATGTGGATGTGGATGTGGATGGATGCCACAGTCCAACAAATGTAAATGCTTGGTGGTCTTCAATTGCCCCGCCGCCCCTCTTCCCTCCCTCCCCCCCCCCGCTCAAGTTCAGGTCCAGGTTAGCTTTGGCTCTGCAGTGCTTTGCTTTTTGCTTTTGGGTTTGTTTGCGATACCAGTCCATCGATCCCTTCTTCTATCCACACCACAATCTCAAATCCCAATTTCATTCAGTCACCTTTCCCCTCATCTCAGGTCCATATTCCACACTTTTTCATCACTGAGCTCCCTTTTCTTCTCCGGGAGCTGTGGTCGTACAAGACCACCTGCCGCCCACACCTAACCTAACCTAACCTAACCTAACCTAACCTCATCCACTGACGGCAGTTCATTCGGGCAATCTGCCCACCCGTCCGCCCACTGCCAGTTGGCAACACAGCAGCTCAGCACCGCTGGCCGCGAACTACATCCGTACCTGACTGTTCGCTGCCATCTCACACGGGCTCGTCCCTCTTTTTTTCTCATCCTCCCATTGATTCCTCAGCCCGCCTTCGGTATCCGATCGCCAATCCAAGACCAAGACCGCTTCCGCTCCCGCTCCCGCTGCCCTGGAAATCTGGAGTCTGGATGCAACGCGGGGTCGCGCCGGCATTGTAATTACAGCTACAAGACCAATCTTAATCATCCCAATCTCAACTTCAAACACACCAGGCATTTGCCCGTCCGTGCCCGATCTAGGTGAACGGTCAACGTGAGCGTCGCCCAAGATGTTTGGAAGTCTCACTTCTATGCGTGAGTAACCCCTCCTATTTCTACTCCGCCGGGAGATGCAGTGCCCTATGTTCACTCAGACCCCCTCTTTTTACTGTTTACTATTGGCTACACATCTACATTGTGTCAAGTAACCTAGCTGGTCGTTGGTTGGTTATATTGCCCAGTCTGTTTGCAAGCACGGATCGCGTAGGGAGCTGAGGGTCTGGTTATGCGGATATGATGATGGCCTTGAGCACGGCTCAGGGCCAAAGGGGAGGGGGGGAAAGGGGGGGGGGGACTGGCTGATTTCGGAATCGGAATCGGAATCAGAATCAGAATCAGAGCGTCTGATACACACCAAATTCAACCCGGAGCCTCATCTGTTTCGCTTGATCGTCCCCCGTACCCGTGTGGGCCCGGTTTTGCTTTTTAGTGTTTTTTGTTTTCTCTATCGTTCTGTGCATGCTTTTGCCGAATTCCGATCGCAGTCCCCCGGATCGTCATCGGGTCATTCAATTTTTTTTTTAGTTTTATTTTTTTATTATTTATTATTTTATTATTTATTATTTCTTTTTTTTTCAGAATTAGGCTGCTGATGCTGACCATGGTCCAGTCTTGTCGCACATGTCGGCGGCCAAGATCCCCCGGGATCAGGTGCCGCCGCCGACGCCGGTTGCCCTGCCGAGATTCCACCCGCAGCTCTCGGACGAGCAGGTCGCCCAGAAGCTGGAGGGCCCGCTGCCGGCCATCCTGCAGCAGATCGTGCGCCCGAACGAGGTCACCCTCAAGCACCTCGAGGCCCTCGGCGTGCACGTGCACCCGGACGCCAGCCTGACTGAGCTGATCCCGAACCCGGCCTGGATCCCGGATTTTGCTACCTGGAAGAACTGGACGCGCGAGCAGGCCATCCACCACGATGAGGAGACCCGCCGCCGCCTCAACAACGGCCGCATCTCCCCCGGCTCCCGCGCCTACTACGAACGCCGAAACGAGTTCCTGCTCAGCAACGACGACGCCTTCCGTACCATTCGTCGCTTACCCCCTCGCAAAGGCGGCAGCGTCGTGCGCTTGGGCAACGCGTACGAGTTCTACCGCAACCTGGAACTGTTCACGGCTTACTGGGACGACACCTCGAAACAAGAAGGGGATGCAGGTGCTGCTGCCACCACCACCGCGGCCAATGGCGAGGATAAGGAGGAGGAAGAGGAAAGGCCCGGCGAGGGCGGCTTCACCATGGCCTCGTTCTACCGCTCGCACCCGGGCACCAAGATGCCGCTGGACTACCGCAACAACCTGGTCACCGCCTTCCTGAAGCTGGTCACGTACGACTTCGGCTGCAACATCTCGGCCGCGCGCTACGAGCCCCGTCTGCACATCACCTCTCGCACAGCGACCTCCTCCCGCTCCTCCTACTTCCCCTCCGGCTGCATCTTCATCTTCCGCTCGCCCACCACCCGCGAAGATGCCAAAGCTGGGATCGTCGAAGGTCCCCTCGCGGCCGTCACGGCACGCAATGTCACCGAGTTCAGCCCCGACGCGGACCCCTTCGACAAGGAAGCCGTCGTCGATCTGGCGCGGGAACTCCTCGCGGCGCTGATCACGGCGCAGCACCGCGCCCGCGAGGGGCGTGAAGAGAAGAGGTTTGGCGAAGGAGCCTGGTGGTGCACCAAGCCGCGGTGGGGCGGTGGCCCCGGCGGGCCCATCGGGCGCGAGGTTGACCAGCTCGCCAGCGGGGACGAGACGATTGGCGATAAGGACGCGCCGCCGCCCGTCGAGGGTGCGCATGTACCGCCGCCGGAGCCGGCATCCGCTCCGTCTGGGCCGTCGTTTGGGAGGTTGCCGTTTGGGCAGGGGACGTCGGCGTTTTCTAGGTCGAGTTTGCGGAGTCGGGCGCTTGGGTTAGCTTCTGCCAGTGGGAACGGGAATGGGGAGTCGAGCGGGGGGAATGGTAGCGACGCGAAGGAAATCGGCGAAAAAGCCAGCAAGCGCCTCAAAAAATCCAACCCCATGTACGACAACTACCGCCAGATCCGCCCCCCGTCCTCCACTTGGGACAAGAAGGCGCGGTACCAAGCCATCGGCCGCGTGCGCGGCGCCGACTATGATGACATCTTTGTTGTGAGCATGCTGTTCCACCACGTCAGCTTGCTGCGTGTGCGCGTGCCGAATCGGCTGCTCGAGGTGCTGGAGGGCGAGGGGGATGATAGTAGGAGTTGGGGGCGGCTGGAGGTTTGGAGGAGTAAGTGGTTTGATTTGTTTAAGCCGGAGGAGAGGGTCGAAGCCATGGAAGCTGTGTGGGCTATGATGGGGTGGTTGATGAGGAAGGAGGAGGAGGAGGAGGAAGAAAAGGAGAAGGAGAAGGAGAAGGAGAAGGAGAAGGAGAAGGAGAAGGAGAAGGAGAAGGAGAAAGAGGGAGTGAGGCAAGGGAAGAAGGATGTTGAAATGTCAGGGGTTTGAACGACGAAAGGGTATTTTGGAGAAGGGGAGGAAAATGGGTTTGATGATGAGGAATGATGAGGATGATCGTGAAGATTGGTTTTATAAGTTGAGGGTGCCTAAGTAATCAGGTTGTTTTGGTTGTGGATTGTTTGAGCAGGTAGTGAGCGAGCATGGGGATATGATATGATTTGATATGAGTCAGTGAGTTTCCATCTATCGTATCGTATTGTATGGCAAGTATGTAAGTAGTATGTAGCGTAGTAACTCTCTATCCATCCGTGATGCGTATATGCGTTGTAGTTGCTCTCTATGGTTCTTTATGAGGTGTGATATGATGAATCAAGATGGATGATTTTAAAAAAAAAGGTTGAAGCTTTTTACTTGCATTTGCTCTTATGAAGTCATACATACCCCCCCTTTGCTTGGGTCCCCACTGCGTAAATTACACCCCATCTTCCCTCACCTCCCATAATTTACTTACACTCAACCCAATCAGATTCGTCACTCTCCTCTCGCGCTGCGCGTGGCGAATCCAAGTACCTCCTACTGGGCGCTAGATGGTCCAGCTCTCGCCGCCTTACCGCTTCAGCCGCCCCACTGCCGCCCTCATTCGCCCGTCTGACCAATTATACGCGTCCGCTCATGTCCGGGGCTAACCGGATAGGGGGTTTAAGCTTTTAAGTTGGACGGGCTTGGCTGGAGCGGCTGATTTTTTTTTTCTTGGTGATTGGGGACGAATTTCTGCAGTCCGGTATTTACCTAATATTACTTGAGGTTATGTATGTTACATATTTATGTACGTACACTACATAAACACTGCGTACATGTTCACCGGGGGGAAGGGGGGGGGGTAGTGTGTGTGTGTGAGGTTGATAGATGTGGTAATGGAAGGTAGTGTAAACATTTGGGGAAGAAGGGATGTTGGGCAGCGAATGAGGGGCTGTGAGATTTTATTAGTTATAATAAGTAGAGAAGAGATATGTGAGGTTGCCTTCCGCCGTCGCATCGTCGCATTGTGCGGCTCTCTGGGGTTTTGGTGAAGGTGTCATATGTACCCTGCCTACCATCATCACTTTAATCATTACCAGTTTTATTAGTAACCAATTCGACAAACATAACATCTTTATGCTAATGTAGTGTAGCAGTGTAGGTAAGGCGCTGAATTGAATTGATAGGCCATTGAGGCTTTGTATACGAAGCAGCGGCAGATTACATTAGCTTCGCAACATCGGAGTGGCAACGGGTCGACTGGGTCTGAGAGTCCGGTCGGCTTGTGTAGGTACATACCTAGGCAGCGCCATGGATGCTCAGGTGTTGGAGGTGCATGTTAATTGCAGCGGGCAAATCCGCGCGTTGCTGCGACTTGTGACTAGGACCGATGGGACGGGAATTTTCTCCGAGGGGTGACCGCTTTTACAGGAAGGGAAAGTCGATTCAGCTCACCATATGCATCCCGTATGCTTCCTAATAACACTTAACACTCAGGTGATAATTTTTAAGGATATTGAAGGTTCAGCTTTGGAGGTTTTTGCGATGGCATTGTGATCAAGACAAATTAGACAGTGATAATCATTGAATCAAATGAGCACTGCCAAAGGAGCTTCACCAAGATGAGACGAAAAAGGTAGACACAGATATGAGGTGTGCCATCTTGGCATTGGCATCATCAAAAAAAATTCAAGCCTTTTTTTCTCCTTTTGCCTTTTCTCTTCTCTGTTTCTTGGACGAACAGCCATCACCCTCCCTCGGCTGCTCTGGGCCACATGTACGCAGCTTGTCTGTCCAGTGGACTAGTGGCACTTTGGGCAGGCGGGCAAAGATCCGCAGAGTGGCACATGGCTTGGGGACCTTAATCTCATCGAGAAGTGAACCTGACAGCTCACCCCACCTGGAGTTTTGGCCAATGAAATCATGAGAAGCGTGGTTCTATACACCACCCCACCTTTTGTGCTGAACAGCTTTCCATCGGCCGGGTTCTTCCCTGAAGTGACCCACTTTGTTCCAGTGGTTCCAGCAGTTCCTAGCACAAACCACACCAGATCCTGGGAAGACCTGGGAAGAGGACTCAACTGGAAAGATTCCCGTCGCACTTTTTCTTAACAACGTCCATAACTGTTTGCTTGTGCCGTGCCAGTTAGCAGCAGACCGGACCTCATCGCTCTTTATTGGTTTGCAAGCCTGTTGTTATTGCTGTGGTTCTGTCTGCTTTATCTGAGTCTTTCCCGCTCTCCCTGGTTCTCCCGTTCTTCCCGTCCTCTCTTCCCGCTTGGTCCTGATTCTTCCCGCAGTTCCAGTTCCCAGCAACGTGGTTACCTCATCAGCTTTGACAGCCGTGAAACCTGGTCCAAGAACGAAACGCTGCCTTAACATTTCAACTGCAGACATTTTTCAAGTGCCATCATCATTATACTACCCGGATGCCGAGATCCGAACGCATAACGCCGACAAGAATCACGCACGTTCCAGACATCAGAACGTTCGCCACGCTGCACTGTCCTGGACCCTGACCGTTTCCATCGGGTCGGGTACACGTCCACGGTCCACTAGCGGAGTGCTCCCATTGGCGCCTGAAAAAAAAGGTACCGCTGTGCAGCGCTTGTGCCCGCCGGCCGCGCTGTTTCAAACCTTTAGGTTACCGTCTCGACATTTCACGGCTCGGTCTTCGGATCCCTCTTTTTTTTTTTTTTTCTTTTATCCATCGCTTCGACACTCCACATACACGACAGCGTGCGTCGTCGTGGTCGTGGTGGTGGTGTTCGTAACCCCCCAATTATTTGCACGCCACATCCTCCATACTCATACTGACTGTCCTGCTGTCTGTCTTTGCCCATTGCTGTGACGCCGCCCTCCGCCTGACAAAGACTCTTTTGCTGGAGCTTACGGTACCTTCACGATACGCTTACAGACACTGGCCATCTGATTTGCCCGCCCCAGCCTGCCTGCGCCCATTACACCGTGCCGTTCGGACCCCCTCGCGCTGCCCCAGGCTGTCCGCAATCTAAACAGCATCTACCTCTCCCCCTACAGATTTACTTGCCTGCTTTCCCGAGACAAGACACCACTCAGACGCCGCTCTAGAACCAGCCTGCTCCGAGACAAGAACCCTCTTCCCACGCTAGTGTTTGTATCCTAAGGCCATCCTTGGCCGCTTGTCGCTTGCCGATCTTCCCCATCACCTGCTCTCTCCAAACGCTTTCGCTTCATCATCCCGGCCGATTAAACTCCAAGACATGTCTGGATACCCTGGTGCCGGCTACGGCGGTGGATACATGCCGCCGCCGCAGCAACAGCAGCCGCCATACGGCTACTATCCGTAAGCTCGCCCCGATATACTTCCCAGTGTGTTGGACTCAGGCTGACCTGCTAGGCCCCAACAACCCTACGGCTATCAAGCCCCTCCCCCGCAGCCAGGCTATGGCTACCAACCGCCCATCCAGCAACCGCCATATGGCTATTACCAGGTTCGTTAGGCCGTCGTTTGATGTGCGATCACTGCTTGCCATTGGGATCGCAATACTAAGTTTTCACAGCAACCCCCGCCCCAGGGACCACCCCAGGGATACCAATACCATCACCCAGCACCTCCCCCGCAGCAGCAGCAGCAGCAGCAGCAGCAGCAGCCACAGCAGCTTCAACCGCAACCTCAACAGTTCCAGTCGCCAGCCAACAACAACAACAACAACAACAACAACAACAACAACAATAACAATAACAATAACAATAACAACAACCCCCGACCGCAGAGTATGTCTGGCCCTCTCTACAGCGCTATTTCTCTTCAGAAACAGCCGCTAATGCAGCGAGCAGACATACCCACGGTAAACCAGAACGCCTATGTGCAGGGCAACCACAACGCGCCACGCCCGCCGCCCCCTACCCCACAGAGCTTCGGCCCCGGTGCGCATGGCGCCTCGTTCCAGTATTCGCAGTGCACGGGTAAGAAGAAAGCACTGCTGATCGGTATCAATTACTTCAACCAGCGGGGACAGCTCAGGGGGTGCATCAATGACGTGCGGAACATGTCGGCTTATTTGGTGGAGAATTGTGGCTATAAGCGCGAGGATATGGTTATCTTGACCGATGACCAGCAGAATCCCATGAGCCAACCGACAAAGCAGAATATTCTTAGGGCGATGCACTGGCTGGTGAAGGATGCCCAGCCTAATGATTCGCTATTTTTTCACTATTCTGGTGAGCGTCCCTTATTCCCCTCCCCGCTCTCTGAGTTGAGCGAGTGTATCCAGACTGGTTATTGACCGTCTCTGTCCCAGGCCACGGCGGGCAAACCAAGGATCTGGACGGCGACGAAGAAGACGGCTACGACGAGGTCATCTACCCCGTCGACTTCCGCCAAAACGGTCACATCACCGACGACGAGATGCATCGCATCATGGTGCGTCCGCTGAAGGCGGGCGTGCGCCTGACTGCCATCTTCGACTCATGCCACTCCGGCACTGCCCTCGACCTGCCCTATGTGTATTCCACGCAGGGCATCCTCAAGGAGCCCAACATGGCCAAAGAAGCCGGCCAAGGTTTATTGAATGTTGTATCAGCGTATAGTCGCGGTGATCTTAGCGGGGTGGCGAGTAATATTATTGGGTTCTTCAAGAAGGCGAGTAATCAGGAACAAGCGTATGCGCGGTCCATGGCGATTAAGACGAGCCCCGCCGATGTGATTATGTTTTCAGGGAGTAAGGATGATCAGACTTCGTACGTGTCCTCCCACACCCCCCCCCCTTTCCCCCAACCACCCAAAAAAAAAAAAAAAACAAACAACACTCCTCCTCCTCCTCCTCCTCCTCCTCCTCCTCCTCCTCCTCCTCTTCTTACTTTCTTTTCTTTTTTATTTTTTCTTTTTTTTTAGTTTCTGGAGGATATTGACGGTGTGAGAAACAGAGCCGACGCAACGATCCAATCCCAAGCCACCGGCGCCATGTCCTGGGCCTTCATCACCGCCCTCAAGAAGAATCCGCAGCAGAGCTACGTCCAGCTGCTCAACAGCATTCGCGATGAGCTGCAGACCCGGTATACCCAGAAGCCTCAGCTGTCGTGTAGTCATCCGCTTGGTAAGTTCCCTTATAACGTTTACTTGTCATGAGGGAATGAAAGAGAAAGTGTGTTTTTTTTTTGGGGGGGGGGGGAGGGGGGGGGGAAGGAAGGAAGGGGGAGAGGTAAAATAAAGAGGATGAGATCGACGAGGCTAACGCTTTGCCCCTCGTGTGTTGCGGGCGTGCGAAGTAGATACGAATTTGCTGTTTGTTATGTGATTGTCTGTTGACCATCAAGCTGTTTGGTTCGAGGTTGAGGGAGAGGGGGAGGGGGCGGTGCGAAGGGGAAAAGGGGTTTGTACATATGCTCGTAGGGCTCGATGCTGCGAATCTGATGGGAAGGCAAGGCGAATTCTTCCAAGGAGGGGGGAAATGATCTTCTCCCGTGCCGATCGCTCTGTTTGGGTTGGATTTAGTATTAGGGCAAAGACAAATTTTTCGTCGTTCGAGAAAGGAGGGTTTCTCTTTTTGTTAAAGGATGAGGGATCAGAAGGGAAGGGTGGTCTTGGTCTTTGTATTGGCTTTTTCGTCAATTTTGCAAGCTGCTGCTGCTGTTGGTGGACTATATTTTGAGGATTAAGCTAAGGTAAACGAATGGTATACTACTACTACTACAACTACAACTACTACTACTCCTCCTTCTCTTCCCAGATAAGCTTGGTAGGAAGGGAGGGAGGTAGGCTGGGATTGAACTAAGTGAATTGAATTGAATTGAAATGTATTCGAGAAATATGAGCTTACCTTGAAGTACTGTTCTCTCAGTTGGTGCGTTGTGTACTTAGCTAGGTAGGTTCTGCTAAAAGGCATGGTGTGATATGGCCTTCTATTCTACCTACCTCTGTGGCTGCCTAACTCAAGCTCGTTCTTGACTTTGAGCACGTCCCAGACACTGCAAATTGGTATCAAAGCTGGAATAACTTAAACTGCTTCTAGGGATGCGTTAAAGCATGGCAGGGATGGGAGCTCAAGTCAGTAGCTGCCGTAATAAGCCCGCCTCAACACCCTCTGTAACCAAAGTGCCCAGGCAGAGTCCTCGACAGTCAAGGGGGTCAGACGACAGAGAGTGCTGGGTTTTGGCATCCTGCCTGGTCCTCTAAAATCTGCGGGTGGAAGGGTCTTCTGTTCGACCATTAGGTGGAGAGCGAAGCTCCCCCCTTGGTTTTCTTTTCTTTTTTTTCTTTTTCTTTTCTTTTTTTTTACTAATTTTGGGGCTCTTTTTGCTTTCATCTCAACTTTGACTGGGTGGGGGTGCAAGCTCCTTCGTTGATGAATGGTGCTCGCTGAGGAGGGCGGGACCAAGTGTCGGGCGGAGGAAGAAGTCCTCGGGGCGACATTCACCCTGAGGGGATATGCTAGCTAGCAACTTGTGATGATGATCGCTTTGACTTGGGGAAGATATAGTGTTGGGGTATGAGTAAAGATCTCGAATAATCCTGTCTGTCTGTTCTATTACCGGGACAAATTAGTTGGTGAATCACGCACGCGGATAGGCTGACATCTTCAGCGTCTATCGGCAATATCTCCGGTATTGACTATTTTCTTTTGCGGCGGTCTCTTACGAACACAGGCCTCGGGTTTTATTATACCGCGAGACCTGCAACACTGACACTAATCCCTCCATCGACAACTGCTAAAGAAGATCTTGTATCAGCCTTTAACAAGAGGCCGGTAGCCTATAGTTGTATGATTCCCTTTCTTCTTCTGGACTTTCCTTCTTTACTCCCTCCTTTCCTTGTTACCTTTCTCCCTTTATTCTTTCCTTCTTCCATTTGCTATCCGTCCTATTCGTTTGATGGGATTCGTTTTTGGCCTTGTACGGAAATAAATTTGCCTTCTTAAAGTGGCTGGACTTAGTCAGTACATTGTGTTGAAATGACTTTTTTTGCAGATTTTAGTAGAGATACGTAGTCTCTTCGCACCGAGACCCGAGGCCCCGAATACCGTAAAATCATGGTCAAATGACTATACCAAATGCAAAGGGCCGTTCCGATCTCTCCACGCCGAGATGCAGTCATTCCCATACGGACAGACAGAGCATGCCTATCTGACCGAGTCGGCAAGGCGTGCGCTGGCACCCTCTACCCATCATCGCCAACCGCCAGGTCATCATAATCACATGCGTCATCCCCGAACGGGTCAAGTTCTAGGGGAGGGCAACTCAGACGTGTCCCGCTAGTATACCCCCGGCAGCCGTGTCCGGACATCTCCCTGTAAGCGAATGCACGTTTCTTGTGATGATCAAAGGCCCTGGCGTATGTTTGCAATCCAGTTGCGCGGACCTGCCACTCCATAAGAATTAGACGAGAAGACGACCAGAGGCTTTCACAGCCAATCAGCGCTTGACTGTTGCTCCTGCTACGCGAGTATCGCAGAGGAGCACCGGACTGCTATAAAGCTGGCCAGCTGATAGTTGCGAGGCCTTCCTTTCCTTGTAGCGCATGGGCGATCGGCGCTCAAGGGGAGGAAGCTTGCAGTCCGGTCCCGAGAAGGTGGGCTTGGATTTACTGTATGATGCGGGCAAGACCCGGGCTGTGATGAAGGTGGGAAGTCGTATTGCAGGGGAGGGTTGACTCTACGATCTGACGGGGGAGAAAGGAGTGGTTATATCACATGTGATAATGTGCTGCAAGTCGACCCCTACTATTTCTGACCGTATCCCCTAGAGGGTCACTATCAAATATAATTTCCTGCAGTACGCTCACCTCTACAGTTTCGCACTCAAAGACATAGCCATTCGTCTCCCAAAGCAAAATGACCTCAAGTCGACCACGTTCTCGCGTTTGGGGAGCTGGCTACTCGGTCAAGTAAATTTTCTGTTTAAAGTAAGGAATAAAGAGACACTGAACCAAGGCCGAACCCTTCCCCTCCGGAGACTTTCTCATAGCAGCTTCATTCGTGACGCATCACTCTGGTTCTGAGAATCTAGGGATATGCGGTGAAAAGAGAGAGTCTCAAAATCCATCACGCAATTCATCTATCCCATTCAGAAATCAACCCATCTCTCCGTTTACAATACTGAAATGCCCTTTCCGAGCAGCAATACCCCTTCATCCTATCCAGAGGTCCAACTCCCAAACAACCCAAATTCTTCTGTACGTCCGCTCTTACACACATGTCACAGACAGAACCCCCTAACCCTAACCCTAACCCTAAACCACATATCGTAGCTCCACACACTCCTCCTCCTTTCTTACCGCCCCTCCCGCCCCCCGGTCCGATTGGTCCAACGCGAACCACACACGAACCCCTCGCGAACCACACGCGCCTCGACACGTTTCAACGCGTCTTGGCCGGGTCTTTTAAAAAAGGAACGCGCACAGACGCGTCGAACGGGGAAACTTCATCTCATCCCACTCATCAGTAGTTTGACAAAAAATTAATGGTGTGCGGGGTCGACAAGAGAAAAAAAATGCAACCAACCCAACCAATCAATCGTTCAAGTTGTGTTCGAATGATTATGATGATGATGGTCAGATTGGTTGAACGATTCAACCCCGTCACTCCCAGCTTGTAAGAAAATCTGTACAAGTAGGATGCAGACCTACTTCCAACCGACTAGATGAAACAGATACGTATGCAAGCAAGGCTCTCATCCCAATGAGTTGGATGAGATGGGATGGGACGGGGTGGGACGGGACAGGACGAGACAGTAAAGTCAAACGGTTCAGATCAAGTCAAACATAGAATCGAGAGCAAATAAGCATGTCTACAGTCTACCTGCCTGCAGAATGCATGGTACAAGCATACTCTTACGTATGTAGGTACGTACATCCATCAATTGGTGAAGCGCTGCACTGCAATCGCTTTCTCTTCTGTTTCGCTTTACCGTCGCGCCTTTCCCCCTCCCGCACTCCCAGAGTCCCAACTAAGCCTAGTTCCAATTTTCCAATCCCCTAAGTCCCCTTCCTAATACCAGACCGCAACCCACAGCCTTCTCCAACCAACCAACCAACCAACCAACCAACCAACCAACCTACGAACCAACCAGCCAACCAAACTCATTATCATCCGTACTTGTAGCACCTCTCATGTTCCCTCCCGTCCAACGCATTAAACTCCCATGTAGACAACCACACATATTGTTTCCGTGTAACTCAAACTTCAAACCCCATACTCCGTAAACAACAAGCTTTTTTAAGAAGAAAAAAGAAAAGAGGTAAGTAAGGTATACCACTCATTTCAGTGGCGGCACAAAAAAAATACACATGTAGGCAGGTAGGTAAGGTAGTGTTGTTGTAGGTATAGGGGTAGCATAGCAATATCCTCCGCTGTTTCTTTCTCAACTCAACATAGTTTAGTGTAGGTATGTGCAATGTGTAATGTGCAATGTGTAATGTGTAATGTGAAAGGGTATCATGAAAATCAGTGATGATAAGGCAAGGGGTCCAAAACAGAACCAAAACCGAATCAAACAAAAGAGTCAAACCAAGAAAAAAAAAACGAAATCAAACCCAAACGTAAACTCGACTGACATTCAACCCTCAACTCCCTCCTTCCCCTGTGTTAGTGTTATTCCCATTCCCATTCCCATTCTCACTCCCATTCCCATTCCCAGCCCCCTCCTCCCCAAAAATCCAGCCTCCTCCCCCTCCCCCCAAACCTCGGCGTCTTGTTAGCCTGAATTCCCCCTGGCGTTTTTGTCCCCGCCGGGGTCTTCCAAGCCTTCGTCGGCGCCGGACTCGGCGTCATGTGCAAGAATTCGGCAAAATCGAATCCTAGCCCGGGCGTAGCAGGGTATGGATTCCGCCCGCCGGGGGTCGTCATCATTGAGGAGGGGAGGTCCAATTTGCTGTTCGTGCTGCTTGCACCCGGGTTGTTGTTCGCCCCGTTATTCGTAGCTGTGGAGGGGTTTGCGTTCAGGTGTTTCGCCTTCGGCGGGGGGGTTGAGGGCGGGTCCATGCGGGATGCTGCTGCTGCTATGCTATTCAGGGAGTGCGTTGTACGTAAGGGAACAGCTGGAGAAGGTGATGTGGCGAGATACAATAATAAATCGGCGCCTTCTTCGCCTGTGGTGGAGAGCGTCGGGCCGGCGGTGCTTGTCGTCGGCGTCCGGACGTCGGGCATCGTCGGCAGGGTGGGCGCCTTGTCTTTCTTGTGGCGTTGCAGGGCACGCGAGCGCATGGGGGGTGTGCGCGGGGGCGAGGCGCGCAGGGAAGAGTGCAAGGAGCCGCCGGCGTGGAAGGAGTGCAGCGGGAGATCGTCTTCGTCATCATCGTCGTCGTCGGAGGCTCCGGCGGCGAAGTTGGTTGGGGGCAGGAGGTCGGTGCTATGGCGAGAGGAGGAGTAAAAGGAGAGGTCGGGGCCGGTAGACGTGGTAAAGTGTTGGTGATGGCGGCGCGGCTTGATCGGAGAGGAGTATGTGAAGGAGGAGGCGGAGGGGAAGGATCGGTGGGCGGTTGGGGACTGTCGAAAGCGTTTGCTCGGGCTGGATGATAGTAAAGCGTCCTCGAACGAGGCCATGTACGTGCGCTTGCGGTGGTGCCCTGTGCTGCCGCCGCCGGAGCTGGGGCCAATGGCGTCGGAGAAAAGAGGGCCTGCTTTAAGCGGCGAGCTCATGAGAGAGGCAGTGCGCGCGGGGTAAGGCAGGTCAGAGGCAGAAGCTGAGGAGGACGAGTCAGAGAGGATGTCGCCGGGGTCGGCGGCGGCGGCCATGATGCGGCGACGGCGACGCAGCTCCTCTTCGAAGCGTGGCTCGATGGTGTCGAGCGACTCGTGCACGAGATTATGCTTGGTCTTGAACTGGGCCAGGGCGAGGCGGTTTTGCAGGAGGCGGGCCATCTGGGTCGCTGTTAGTAAGGGTGAAGGTGCTGGTTGGTGCTGGACTGTGGAGGAGGGATAGATAATAATAAAGCATGTTCTTTTTATTTTATTTTATTTTATTTTATTTTATTTTATTTTCTTTTCTTTTTTTTCCCCTTAAAGCTTGAAGCGTACCTTACTGAGCTCGGCCCGCTTCAGCACCCGATCGGCGACGACATCGGGGTGTTTCTTGAGGGGCGACGACATCATGGCGGAGTCAACCATATGATCGGGTGATTGATGAGGTTGACGGCTTTAATTCGACTCTACTCGACTCGACTCGACTCGGGAGATTGGGGACAAACGGCGGCTAACGGATTGTCGAGGCCAAGCGTACGCTTAAGGCCGAATCGAGCCGGTCAAGGTGAGGGCCGTGATGCCGTAATTCGGTAATATCCGCGCGATCTTGCTCGGTCATGCACAAAACACACGAGTTTCGATTCACAGGTGCGTTGTGGTCGACAGTACGGAAGGGTTTGTTAAGGGATGGAGGATGAGACGGAGCCTAGGAGCCAGAGCAAATTCAACATTCCCGTGGAAACCGGTAGACGGCAGCAAGTCGCCCAGCCCAGAACTGAGCACGGGCGCTGGCCCAGCCGCGGCCAGGGTCTTTTTTTCTTGGCCAGCGGAGAATGGCCCTGTGGCCTGGCCAGGCTGAGAGGCGCCAGGCTACCACTGGGGCACGGCACAAGCCACTGAATGGGGTCATCGAGCCACTTGCAGCCACTGAACAGTCAAGGGGGGGAAGCCCGAAAAGGGGGGGGTTTTGTTGTGTTTGCATTGAGCCTTCTGTCTACAGGGCATCACCAGAACGGGGAAACTGATGTGCACATTTTTTTTTGAGGATTATTTTTACTGCCTTGAGAAAATAGACGAGTACAGTCAGGTTACGCAGGCAGAGAAAAACTGGCGGACAGCGATAATTTTGAAGACCGCGAGGATTACTTTCTCATTTCCCAATCACAGACAGGATGAGCGCATGCAAACAAGGGCTGTCCCCTAACCCCTGCAGTTGTCGGCAAAAAAAAAAAAATGGACAGCTCTAACATTCCGGGCCGTTTCCTAGGCGACGTTTGGCTCTAAATAGAGTACAATAAGTAAGGACAGGCTAGATACGTATTGTTTCCATGTCAAACAAACAAAGAATTAGTCGTCGAGTCGAATAGAGTAGAAGAATCGAAAGGTTGAGATACGTAGTCGCCGAGTCGAGTAACACGTGCACAGCAGGCAAACTGTGCAAAGATTTTGGCGAATGTCTCGGGAAACGGTTGGCTCTAAATCTTCCCGTGGGCTCTCTTTCTCTTCGGCAAAGGGGGGAGCGACATCAGTAGTGAACAACAGCGTGCTCGCAATATGAAACCCTTCCAGTCTTAAGTATATATGCGAGACGAGGCTCCTCTATCAACTCTGTGCAGCTGCAACTCTGAATCCCAAAAAGATGCGGCTGCAGATGGTCAAGCTCGTGTTCCCGACACACAGGGGCAGAAGCAGGTTTGTGGGTGTCGTTTGTGGTCTTATACGGCCAGATCGGGCAGCGGTGCAGGTAATTACTTGATTGCACGTAGGTAGAAGTACATGAACATGAAAAGAGAGAGAGAGAGAGAGAGAGAGAGAGAGAGAGAGAGAGATTCCCAGCACTTTAAAAACCTGGACCATTCAGCCATGGCAGCTGGGATATGGAAAGGCCTTGAATAATCCTCTGCCCCTCTGTGGAGGCGTCAGCAGCGTGGCCCTGATATCGCATCATATCGGTTGCGTGGGTATCGTATATTGTCGTATATTGATATCGTCCCCTGCAAGCGGTGCCCTGTTGTTTTTTTATTAAAAGCAGCCCTGCCTTTCTTGTAGGGGTCTGCAGTTCTATTCGACAATTGCTCACCGTCTCATCCTCTGATCTCGAACCTTATCACTGACGTCGATCGCTGCAGAGCCCAGACAAGCCGCAGCGAAGCCGAGAATCGACGCCAGCAAGCAAGGTACCGAAGAGGCAAAGACGGTACAGGGTCGCCAAGCTCGGTCAAGGTGAGGCCCCCCCCTGACGACGACAGCGACTGCAACGACGACAACGACGACGACGAAAGCAAGGAAAATTCCAAGATTTTCTCTCTTCGGCTTCGTGACTTCGTAATCCTGTTCTGCATAAGCTCCACACGAGTCAACCCGCAGCGGCCATTCGCTCAAACCGAAGCGTTGTTATCTCCTCGTTTCCTAGCGACGTTTCAAGGACTTTAATCCGTGCCGTATGTGCTAGTGTGTGCCGCAGCGGGAAGCACACCATCCGACACCTTGTCGTCAACTCTGACCAACAGTCAGACAGTTAGACAGACAGATAGTTAACCAACTTACCTAGGTACTTAGCCAGCCATTGTCGCGTGCGATCGACTTGTCTCATCGCCAATTTGATTTGACTCTTGTTGTTTGAGTGAGTTGTAAGTGAGTGAGCGCTGAGTCGAACTGAACTCGACTAAGACATCTGTTTGATCAGTGACCCCCACGCCGGGTCGATCACGAATCCACACATTTGAGTCTCTCCATCGGAGCTTCGTCAATTGTCCGTTGCGGGTCCCCAACTCTGCTTCAAGCCAAGGTCGTCCTGTCAGTGGTGATCGGGCCCGCTACGGGACACGTCATTTACACAGTACGCAAGCACTTGCGCTTAGGGGTTCGAAAAACAAGGCTCAATTCAATTGCCCCTTCGCTCGTTATCAACAAAACAGCCGCTTCCTTCCCGTCCAGTACCCTCGAATAAAAAAAGGCAAAAAGAAAAAAAATAAAAGAAGACCCAGTTGCGCGAATCGTGGATCGCTGGATCGCATCCGGAGCGGTAAACAATCATCTTTAGACTGAAGTTTTCGTATCTTTCAAAAGAAGAGACTAAACTATCATATCTGCTCACCGACGGACGGACAAGCAGATCAATTGTCCAACCACATCCCTGAATTTGGAACTCCCCTCCTCCCTGAGTGGAAACACGCCCGGACAAGCTCCCGCTTCCGCAGCGCATCCGCTCGTTGAGGATCATACGTCATCGCCCCTCATCGTCTCCCTTGACGCGACGAAGCTTGCTTGACAGCTAGCTGTGACCTGGCTAGCAACACTCGTTCTCACACCCTTACCAACTCACTCATTCAGCGCCCCCAGCAGGCCTGGACCGGCGTCCACGACAATCTGCTCTCTATCAATCGCCGACGACAAGCCTCTCGGATCGAATCAATCTCTTCCCCCTTCTCCCTTCCCTCCCCTTTGTTCTCCTGGCGGTTGCACATACGCGTACGCTTGCACCATCTTGCAATCAAACACCTTTGGACCTGACGTTTCGGTCTCAATCGCCTTGTGTCACCGCGTCTGCGTCTGTACCGGGACGTACGTGAGTGTCCTTATCTTTTGGCACTTTTCTCCCGGGAGGGCTGCAGGTTTACTTACGCCTCCTTGCCTTGCCTTGCCTTGCCTTGCCTTGCCTTGCCTTGTCTTGTCTTATCTAAGACCAGACCTTCTATCTGTTTGGATGGCTGGTTGGTCGGAGGACTGGGAACGCGTGTCGGTTGAATCTACGTCGAGGTTCAGTCCAGCCTCCAGCCTCCGGGTTTGATTTTGGGAGGAGTGGTCTCAGTTTGGGTCGGAAAAGAAAGCGTGGAAGAAGGTTTTATTATATACCCTCTTCCTGTCCTGGATTGAGTTATCCGTGCGTGCCGGCTACCTCGAACTCACGTCGAGCTCCAACGCATACCATCATACGTTCATGTCCTGAACAAACAGAAACACAATGTCCCCGTCCTTCCTCACAACTCTCAAAGACCTGCGCCGCAGGTCCATGGCCAGCTTCCGCAGCAACGACCGGTCCCCCTCCTCCGACTCTGCCTCATCATCATCATCATCATCATCATCTTCTTCTTCTTCTTCTTCTGCTGAAAACAATCAACACTCCCAAAATGCCACCAATACAACCATCTCAACCCCCTCCTCCCTCACTCCAGGCACCAACACTCCGGGAGATGTTACCCCCCCTTCAGGTATCCCCATTCCGAGTCAAAAATCCGATACTGCGCTGAATTTGCGTGTTAGGGAGCCGGGGACGACAGAGGTTAGGAGGCCTAAGTCGCAGTTGGTTCATTCGACTACGAGTGGTAATAGGTTGAGTGTTTCGCCGGGACAGGTTGCTGCCCCGAGTTTGTTACCTGGTCCGGGGAGGTTTCCTGCTCCCCCTCTGCCGGCGATGATGTCAGGGGCAGTGGCAGGGACACAGATGTCGCCTTATGCTCCGAGGGTGGTGAATGTACCTGATGGGAGTTGGGTATGTCCTTCCTCCTCCTCCTCCTCCTCCTCCTCCTCCTCTCTTTCCTCTTTTTTTTTTTTTTCCCTTTTTAAAATCTTGATTTTCTTGCCTTCTAAAATAAACGGAGTAAACGGAGTCAAGTAAACCACTAACCGACTGCGTACAGGTCTACCAGAAACTCCTCCTCCTCACAGGCCACATCGGCCCCTCCCCACAATCCTACTCTCTCGACGGCACAATCACCATCACCCGCCTGAACAACAACCTTAATCCCCCCGACCCGTCCTCCGACCCCGCCATCCCTCCCCTCTCCTTCCCCGTGTGTGCCTCCCACTTCAAGGCCCTGGTCTACCTCCTCCCCGGGGCGAACCGCTTCCGCATCGAATTCGTCTCGCCCAAGCTCAAGGACGTCACGGCCAACGGAGTGAATGTGAACGTTACCTACCTAACCGTGCACATGATCCCCCCGACTAGCACCCCCCCTCTGCATTTGGTCATCCTGCTGGCGAAAGACTCGCCCGGCGTGTTTGACGCGCCGCCGTCGCGGGTCGAGCGCGAGGGGAACGGGCTTGAGACGGCGGTACGCAAGTTTCGGATGGCGGCGTATCTTTGGCAGGCGTTTACTGCCGAGCAGATGTATCGCAATCGGTTGGGCAGGAGGACGGTGAGGTTTGAAGAGGAGTGGACGGTGGGGAGTGTGGGGAAGAGGGATTGGGAAGTGGGGGTGCTCAGGTCTGAGGCGAGGGTGCATGTCATCAGGAGTGAGAAGACAATTGCTGAGTTGAGGGATCCGGAACGCGCGCAGCAGAATGAGAATGCGGGGGACAAGGGGGGACTTTTTGGCATCGCAGCCGACGCGGTGAGGGATTACTTCAAACCGAGCAAAGGGCAAAAGATCTACGCCGCCACCCTGTTGCTCGACGCACACTGGGACGTCGAAAAGCAGCTTATTACGGGCCATGCGGCATTGGGAGGCTCAGTAGGTAACCTGCACCTTGCCGTCTTCGGCTCCCACTGCCTCTGGTCCTACCCCCCTTGTCTCGAAGACGTCATCCCCTCCTTCACAGACTGTACCCCCACCGACACGTCCCACGTCGCTAACGACTGTGGCGACGCCCCCTGCGCATGGGAAGCTCTGTGTCTCGGCGTCGGCGCCCATCTTCATGAGGTTGGGCATGCGCTGGGCCTGCCGCATCGCGACTCGGGGGTGATGGCTAGAGATTGGAGGAGGTTGAACAGGGTGTTCGTCGTGCGCGAGGGGTTTTCGGCTCGAACAAAATCCCGCGGGGGATTCGTCGGGGAGCTTGAGGACGGCGAGGGGTGCAGCTGGCATAGATTGGATTGTTTGCGACTCAGGAGTCATGCGTTGCTGAGGCTGCCGAATGATGCGGGTTTGGGCGAGCCGGGGGTGGAGGTTTGGGTTGTCGAGGAGGGGACCGTGGTTGTCACGGCGGGGAGTGGGCTGCAGGTCGTGGAGGTGTATGATGAGGGGGAAGAGGTTTGTAGGGTGTGGATTGAGTACCTTCCCTCGGCACCAGGTGAAGGGCCGTTGAGGATGGTAACGCTCACGGAGGGGGAGTTGAGAGCACGACTCAGGCAGGGGCATCCTAAATATGTCGGTAAGGAGGGCCCTAAGGGGACGATCAAGATAGTGGTGAGGTCTTGTGCCGGGGGTGCTGCTGAAATCGAGGACTTTGGTGCGCTCGTCTCAAGGGAAACGTCCGTCCTCCGCCTCACTCCTTCCAACAGCAACACCAACTCAACTGCCGCTGCGCTAGGCTCCATGCTCCCCGGCTCAGCCCCCCCTACCAGAACGGCCTTTAAAGGCAAAAAGGTTGGGCAGGCGAAGCTCGAGGGGAGTGAGCCCGTGGAGGTTGTGTTTGCCAGTGCCTTGCCGAGAGCTGCCGGAGAGAAGGGCGTGGTGTTGAGTAAGGTGGTGGTGTATCATGGGGCGGCGGTGGATGGCGTCGAGTTTGTGTACGATGATGGAGGTGTGCAGTTGTTTGGACGACGCGGAGGGAAAGGGGAGGGGTTTGAGATGGGTAAGTCCTCCTTATATCTTTTTCTTTTCGTGCTCGTCTTTCAGTTGGAGGTTGGGATCGGGTTGAGGATTGGTCTCGGGGTGTTGGGGTTGGCCTAAATGTTGAAATGGAGATTCGGCTTTGATGATGGATTGGAACGAGTGTTAACAGATCACAGACGTCCGCCGCGGAGAGTACCTCACCGGCTTCTTTGTCCGTGCCGGCTCCTGGATCGATGCGATTCAGATCCTGACCAGCCTCGGGAGGAGATCACCTTTGTATGGGAATGCTAACGGTGGTGATCCGTATGTCCCTCTCCCACCCTTTCTTTTTTTTTTTTTTTTTTTTTTTTTTTTTTTTTTTTCCCCTCGCAGATGTAGCATACTGACATTGATAGCAGGCACACGCTCATTCCCCCGAGGGGCTACACTGTTTGTGGTGTCACCGGCAGCTGTGGGCAATGGCTGGATTCGTTCGGTGTGATTATCTCGAGGTAATGTCTCGTCGCCTACGAACCCCTCCCGGATCGACTTCCCTTCGACAAATGACATCGTATGAAGCCGAAGGCGTATGGTTCACCGACTCGTATACACACATACACATACACACACACCACGTCTACTCACTTTTACATACCTTCCAATCTTCACACTCGGCTTACCTCGATACTCTCTTTACATCACCTCGCTTTTCATCACAGAACAGACGGATTACATATATACCCGACTGGTCGATACACTCCTTATATTTCCTTTCGTGTTTCTGTCTTTGATGGAAGTGAATACCCCTTTTCAGTGTCACTGGGAACGGACTGGAACTGGAACTGGGACCTAGAGTCGAGACTAGGACTAGCATCAGGATTAGGGATTAAGAAAAAGAGAAATAGTAGTTAGGCTAATAGTTAATATTCTTATTGCGTACTTAACCGCACTTCTCTGAACGTAATACGATGTCGAAGGTGTACCTGGAGTATGGTGGTGAGTGGTTGACTCTTGAAAGCAAGTCAAAAGACTGGGAGTCCCTTCTCCAATCCTCCTCCATGCAACAAACAGCGCTCAATAGCATGTATTTAAGCAATATTTTCCCCGATCGACTAGCATGTACGACCATACCCAGTGGAAAGCACGGCATCCCGTCCGCTCTGCCCTAGTTAAGCCACTGAGGGCCCGGTTAGTAGTTGGGTCGGTGACGACCAGCGAATCCCGGGTGTTGTACGTTTTTTTCCCCCTTATTATTTTTGTCTTCGTGCTCATCGTCATATTTTATTTTCCTGCTGATCTTATTTCTAACCTCAGTGAGATATGTCTCCTCTTTTCTGATCTGCTCTTCGACCGAATAAAGGCCAAAGAAAAATGTTTGCATTGAGGTTACGTGGTACTCTGTTGGTCCCTGAAAGGGCAAGGCCAGGGCTGCATGAAGCAGGAGAATTACCTCCTAATAACAACAACATGGCAAGTCACCAGTCTCTCACCAACTTAACAACCAGTTAAACAGCAATATAAGACCAAACCTTTTATTCCCATACCTTATACACGCAGCCAAAACCATTTCTAGTCCTTCCCTTAACTCCCGCCCAGAAACCCCTAATCATCATCCTCCTCTTCCTCTTCACTCTCCTCCGTATCCCCCCCCTCCTCCTCCTCACTTTCCTCACTCGCCTGTTCTAACCACTCCACCAAGACCCGACACTTCTCCTTGACCCTAACCATCTCCTCCCCCTCGCTAGCCCTCTTATCCCCCCACCACGCCAAAATCCCCTCCTCCTCCACTACATCCAGACTATACAACTGCTGCAACATCGCCGCCAGCAACGTCCCCGCCCTATTCGCATCCACTATTCCCCCCTCCTTCGTCTCCGCAACCAGCGCCCTCTGCAGCGCCAGCGCAAATTCCACCTGTTCCTTCTCCCCCTCCCCGGCGACACCGACCTCCTTCACAAACTTCACGGCGCCCTTCTTGGCGGTAAAGGCTCTTTCCGCAGCCTTGGTGGGCTCCAGCCCGCCGTGCTCGGGGCGCAACAATTCCGCCGCGCGCCGCACGAAGGCAACGGCAATCGCCCTCCGCATGGCCGCGTCGGACGCGTTATTTGCCAGGCGCAGACCCATGAACTCGAGTTTTGCGGAGTCAAAGGGTTCGGCGTTGTCGGCGCGGAGGGCGTCGATCAGGCCGGTGACGGCGTCGCCGTGGAAGGAGGACTCGGATCTGAAGCGGGCGGCGCCGTCTTCCGACGCAAAAGAGGACAGGCGCGAGCGGGATTGGGCGCCTGCCCCGGGGCCGGAGTCGGCGTGGAGGGAGCCGCCGGTGAAAGAGGTATCTTCATCGGAGTCGTAGAAGGCCGAGGAGGCGAGGGTGGAGATGGAGGAGGTGGAGATGTTGAGGTCGGCTAGACTGTAAACGAGGGAGGTTTGGAGGATGGCCGGGTCGCGGTCGGCATCTTCGTCGGAGGAGGACTCGTCTTCGGAGAGGGGAACTTCGTAGGTTGCGCCGTCACCCTTCTCGCCGACGAGTTTGGTGTCGGGCTTCGCGCGCTCGCCGTCGGCGGTGAGGAGGGATAGTCGAGCCGGAGGGTGCTCGGGAAGTTGGACGCCCTGATCGAGGCGCACGCCAAACGAGATGAGCGAGCCTTCGGGCACGCGGGCGCCAGCCCCAATAACGACGTTGCTGGCGAGGACAGAGTGCACTATCGTAGCGCCATCGTGAATCACGACGTGGTCCCAGATGTAGCTGTTCTCGATGCGCACGTTTTTGCCGATCTTGCAGCCGCGGCCGATGACGCTCTTGGAGATGCTCGAACCGGCATGGATATCGGTGCCGCGGCCGACCGCCGACCGCGTCACCTTGCTGCCGCGCGCGATCACGACGTGGTCCTCGACGTATGAGCCGTCTTTTATCCTCCTGTAGGACTGCCCGTGCTTCAGGTTGCTGTCCGGCACGAAGGGGAGCGTCCAGCGCTCGAGGATGTCCCGGCTGATACAGTCGTACATCTGGAGATTGCTCGCTCGAGCCGCGTAGCCGTCTTCCAGAATCTCGGTGTAGATCATCTTGCCGTTCAGCTCCCAGTCCTTCAGCACGCCGTGCAAGAAGTTCTTCCTGGGCAACTCGTAGTCGAAACTCTCCGACCACAGCGCCAGCACCTCCGGAGTGCAGATATCAATTCCGCAGTCTACCAAATCACACCTGACCTCGAACTCGCCGTGCGTAAATACGACCGGGTCCAGGTCGATCTTGTGTTCCTTCTGCAGCGGATGCGCCTCCTCATACTGCAGACATCGCCCGGTAGTCGGGTCGACCACAAACACCGGCGTAATTCCCCTAGCATTGGCAGCGCGGTGCGGCTGGTCGCCGACGCTCCTCAAGATCATGGTCATGCAATTATCGCGGTTGGCCTCCCTGCGAGCGCGGTGCTTCGCCAGGGCCGCCTCCAGATTGATATTCGACACCAGGTCGCCGTGGACGAGGATGAAGTCGCCAGCGATGTAGCCGCGCTTGTCGAGGTCGCGCAGGAAGTCGCCGATGCTGTTGGCGTCATTGACGCGGATGAACTCGAGCAGCTGGAAGGGCGAGACCGAGCTGTTGGGGCTCCAACGCGGCGAGTCGTGGATGAACTGTTCGATGCTCTCGGAGTGGGCGCCGCAGTAGATGAAGACCTCCTGCACGCCGTTGGACGCGAGGAACTCGAGCGTGTACTCGAGCACGGGGACGTTGACGAGGGGGAGGAGGCACTGGGAGCTTGGTTAGTCATACGCTCACATACACACACACACACACACATATATATATATAGATATATATGTATATATATCCGTGTCCTGTAGAGAGGAGAGGACGCACCCGCGGTGTATTCAGGGTAAACGGCTTGAAGCGGTCCTGGAAGGAGTCGGCGATGACCACGGCCTGCAGCACGTCCTCGCGCTTCTCGTCGGCCCCGGGCTTCTGTGGCTTCCGGCCCTTGGCCGCCCCGCCCTTGCCGCCTTGCTTAGACATTGGTATCAGTTGAGGGTATTCGGCGGCCACGGGAATGCTGGTCTAGCGATTGGTCGGGTGGTGAGCGTCGGGGGGGTTAAGCTCTGCTCTGCTGCTCTGCTCGCTGTGAGTCAACCAAACGTCAAGTTCCCATCCAAAAGTTAGTGGGGCAGTAAACAAGGTGGGGTGCGGGGTTCTGCAAGGCTGAAAGGGTGTGTTGGCTGGCTCTGGCGTTGCCTTGTCTTGGGCTTCTTGCCTTGTCTTGGGCTCTTGTAACGGGTTTTGCATCAAGTGTATCATACCTGTAAAATTACGATGTCACGAGAAAGCCCGAGACAGAAAAGACAGCTAATAGTACAGCCCACACAGCAGATCTTGGTCTGGAGTGCAAGTTTCAAATTCGAAACTCTGGGGGAAATCAATAGACACTGTGATTGAACTGGGCTCTTTTACCATACTACGATATGGTGTACAGCACTTGGGTAGGTGACGTATTTAAGACATCCACACTTAACCCTGGATATCCGCATCTCAAATCCAGGGTTAGCTTAACAAAAATTCTGACTTCATCTCACCCTTACCCATCAACCCCCAAAAAAATCCCTCCTTGTAAAACCCCCCTAAGCGCTCGTGTAGCCGTTTGTATCCCTATTATCCGACGCGGCCGCAGATACTTGCGGCGAGGTGCCGGCTCGGACTCAAGACGGAGTCACTGCACCGTTCGCCCTGGCCAGTTTTCTTGGAAGGGAGAGAGGGGGCCCCCAAAACCGTAGAGATTGAAAAAAGCCCAGAAAGCCCAGACCGGCCTCGTCCAGTCCAGGCCAGACACGCAGATCCGGATCCAACCGACGCCGCCAGCACCCAAGACAGCCCAGAACACACACATGGACACAACGTCATGCCGATCGATGGTTTATTTTGTGGAAAAAAAAAGGGGGGGGGCGCTGCTGAGGAAAAAAAAATATTGATGATGGGTGATCGCCTATCTTGGGTGGTCCAATGAAAGATAGTAATATATTATTGGTAGCCGGTTTTTGTTTTTGTTTTTGATAGAGAAAGGAAATATAATAACTACAGTTCGTAGAAATATTACCAACCTTCTCTGCCTTCTGCCCTCTCGCTTTCGCTTCGGACCCCAACCCTTGGACCAACCCCAACTTTGCTGCTTGAACGGTGGCGCGGGATGAACATGCACGCCTGCACCCGCCGCAGCAAACAAGAATAGAAAGCTGACAACAAACGGATTCTCGCGCCCTCCCTCCCCCCCAGAGGCCAGACCCCTCTCCATGCAGGCCAGGCCAGGAAAATTGGACCGTAACGCAGGGTAATGCTCCCATCCGCATGCACACAGGCACGCGCGCACGCACGTACACACGCGACCCTCTACCGATCTGGCCGAATGACCAGGTGGATTCTGGACTGCACTTGGCGAAGCATCAGGAACGGGAAGAACGGGAGCTATAAATACCTACCACACGCTCACCCGCTTTTTAATTTGGGTAGGTATTGGTAGGACGTCACCCGGGTTGTTTGCTGCTCCTGTCGAGCTGTACATATTATTACATCTTACTCCCCCCAAGACTCCTTGTGTCGTCAAAGTTCTGGACTCTAGCTTCAACTCACCCTCAACTCATCATGTCACACGTACAACGACATGTCACCATCCCTGCAGTATAAAATGCTTCCTACCTTCCTCCCGAGCGGCAGCGCAAAGCATGCCTGTCTCATTTGTCACCATGACTACACTCACTCACTCACTCATCTGCGGTAGCTGGTCACCAGGAATGTCTCAACACACCTGGACCCAGACCCAGACGTCGGCCAGACATCCACCAGAGCACCCACAGAGCAGAGTGCCCCCGGTCGGTCCAGAAGGGACGGGACCCGCAAGCAGAAGCGGCTAGGCCAGCCATCCAGCCAGCCAACGATGTAACCCCCCATATAGACTGCATATCATCCTAGAACATTCTTTCTCTCTTCTTCGCTAGCAGAGGGGCCTAGCCGGCTGGGGGAGGAGGAGGAGGAGGAGGAGGGGGAGGAGGAAGAGGGTAATGGAGAAAGGGACTACCCATATACTACATACATACTTACGTCCATCCATCCATACATACGTTGCGAGCCCTCAAAACCTTCTTCTCCCCCCACCCCTCTCTCTCTCTCTCTTCTTTTTTCTCCCTTCCTTTCATCCTTCTCGACATAGGACTAGTTTGCTTCTCCTCCCCTCTTTACACATGACCTGACGTCCCCACGCATGTTGCGGGTGGCCAGGTACACTTAAGTATGCATCGTTCCCTCTTTAAGCTACTTACCTATCAAGTCAGTCTGCTAGGCTTGAACATAAATAATCACCTTAGCTCAGATATAGGTAGGTCCCATTTCATGATGATCATCTTTCATGCCAGTTCAGTTCAGTTCAGTGATATACCCATCCAGCTACAATATACCGACATATATCCCTAGCAACACGAGAGAGAGAGAGAGAAGATAAGTCGAGATGATATCCGAGAACTAACCCATTCGAAGCGGCAGCAGAAGCAACAGCACAATTCCCGTGCCAAAGATAATACCAACCCTCCCAATGCCACCTAGCCAACAAGTCAAAAGCTCAACCTTACATGATATGCCTTGCCGCCTATATTGTATGCCTGTCTATCATCATCAGGCCCCGAAGAAGAGACAGCAACAAACCCGATCCAATTCCGCTTCCGATTCTTATATCCGACAGTGGTGCCAACACGGTTTCATCACATCAATATGCAGCCAGCATCACGATGCCTTTTCGCTTCGTCCGTATATATCATCCCGTCCCGTACCAGATCCCTTTCCCAATCTCAATTCCGTCCGATCCTAATGAACCGAATTAAACCGACTGAGTCGAGCCGAGCCGAACCGGACCGAGTCAACTCCACGACTCATTAGTCATGCCACTACATAACCTACCTACTGCACAAATCCCGCCACCCCAACCCCCGGATGCCCATGCCCATGCCCCGACACAGACGCATAACCCCCTTGCATCAACCTTTGCCTCTTCTCCGGCCTACTATCATCCACCACACTACCCGGCCCCACCGGACCCGGACCCGGGGGCCCCCTCGCCCCAGCAGCCGAACCTGCTCCTGAGGGAGCCGGATGCCCAACACCCGTCGGCGTTCCCGCCGGCGTCAAGACCATCGCTCCTGGCGGAGGAGGAGGAGGCGGCGCCGCAGCGAGGTACCCTCCCGGCGTCATGCTCGCAGCAGCGGCAGCGGCGGCAGCAGCAGCAGCAGCAGCAGCAGCCACCGCCGAGGCGGGATCAAGCCCCGCAGGAGGGGCAGCTGATGTGGGGGAAGGCTGGGTGGGCGTAGGCGGAGGAGGGGGCTGGAGCTGGACGCCAGCCGGGTTAGTGGACTGCCAGGTCGGAGCGGCAGCGGCTGAGGAGGGGTCGAGGCCGGGCGCGGGAGCAGCTGTGGGGGACTGCTCGAACTTGACTTGCGGCGGGGCAGGCTGCATGGTTGTAGGCGGGGCCATGGCGTAGCCCTGCTGGTGCTGGGCCGGGGGGCCGGGGCCGTGGGCACCACCAGACGGTGCTCCGGCCACGCCGACGCCGACACCTGTTGTTGCGGGGCCGGCGGTCTGGCCTGCCAGAGTCAAGTCATCTGTTGTTAGAACGATGCCCGTGGAGGCGGCGGATTGGGGATCCTTGAGCAAGTGAGCGAGGTGCCTGCGCAGGAGACGGCTCATGTTGTCGCGAGTGAAAGGCTTGGCGAGGACGTCGTTCATGCCTAGAGAGTCAGTATGGGTCTAAGTAAGGTAAGTAAGCAGGCTGAGATGACTTACCGTATTGGAAATAGGTATTGATGTCCTCTCCGCGAATGTTCGATGTCATGGCAATGATCGGCACATGCGGTGACACCATACGAATCATGGCCGTGGCTGACACGCCGTCCATGTTGGGCATGATGATATCCATGAAAATGAGATCAAACCGGGTGCTGTCCTGGTTGATCCTCTCGACGGCCTCGAGACCATCGCCCTACGAAATGTTTAGAGCTTGCCTCTTGCACGTTCAAACGAAATACTTACAGCAGTGTCGACGCCGCAGTCCAGAGTGCTCAAAAACTTGGCGCCAATCCGAGCACACGTCTTGTCGTCCTCAACTAACAACACCCGCGGCTTCTTATCGCGCCACATCGAGCTCATCTGGTCCTTGGGCGGCGGCGTGATCTGCGACGGGGTAATCTGCGACGAGCTCGTCTCTGCCACAACAGCCGGATTGCTCAAAGGCCGACTATACGGCATGTTGTGCATCTGGTCAGTATGAAACGAGGGATCGATACTCGGCGTCTGGGCCACGGGGTACATCATGTTTTGCGGATCGTTAAGCGGGTTGTGGACGAGCGGCATCCCTGGCGCAGTGGCTTGCGTGCCTGGTGCTGCTGCCTGTGTGAACATAACAGCGGATGAATTTGTCGCCGCTGGCTCGGCAGGAGCGCCGTTCTGGTTGTATGTCATGTACAACCGTTCGAGCTCCCTGTTAGCCTGGAGATCTGGCCCAACAACGCTGAGTAGCTCCCGGGCACGCCTCAGTTCGGGCGCCGGCTCCTCTGCACCGTCGGTCAAGAAACTCATCGCACCCGCATGGAAGTTGGGGGCCGCCTGGGTTGCACCGCGGTTGTTTCTCCTCCTGTCCTCCATGCTGCCGAGATGGTTGATGATTTCGTTGGAGGCCTGGTTCTGAGCCTTGACCATCTTCTGAAGGGTCATGACTTCGCTGACTAGCAACCGGTTGGTCTTCTCTAGCTCGTAGCACTGTTGTTGTAGTGCCTGCAGCTGTTGCTGCGTCGCCTGGAGCGACTCGCTCAGGGCGGCAATCTGCTGCTGTGAAGCGTTGAAAGCTTCCTCGGACTGTTGCTGCTTCCGGGGCGCTGGGGCTTTCCTCCGAATGTTGTCGAGGTTGTCTTTTCGGTCCGCCCTAAATTCGGGATGCTTGAACTCCCAAGCCTATGCCGATGTTAGGACTAACCGACTATTACTTCTCGTAGACTGAACATACATCTCTCCCGTACGGCGACTCGCCGTTCTCATCGTTATGCCTGACTTTGTGAAAGTCATACTTGTTCAATTGGCGGACGAAGCTCGCAAAGTTGCTGTGCTTGAAGTGTTTCGGAAGGATGGTCTTGGTGAACTTTTCGTTCTGCAGCGAGTCAACAGATATCCTTGCTCAGATAGCCGTGTCCTTTCATTCATACCTCCAAGACCACAAAGCTGTCGCCATCATCGCTCCATCGTACAACCGAGTGGTACGAGGGGTCCTCGAGCATCCTGCAAGGTCATAAGTGAGCATGTGGACGGCGCGAGAAACGGTCTCTGGTTTCTGGGCCCTGTATCGTACTTGTAGAGTTTGCGCACCTTTCACGGCAGTTCATGTTAGCTTAGACTAAGGGGGGGGAAGTTAGAAAATTGCAAAGGCATGCTCACAAAGTCACTGGAACCGCTGCCACCCTGCTGCTGCTGCTGCTGCTGCTGTTGTTGTTGTTGTTGCTGCTGTTGCTGCTGCTGCTGTTGTTGCGGCTGCTGGGAGCCCCCCTCGCCGTTGGTGGGCGGCATGGTGGGCGATGTTTCTCGAGGAAGAGTGGTGATACGTGATGGATCGAAAAGTCGCGAAGGGCTGAAGGGCTGTAAGGTCGGGGTGAAAAGGTGTGTGGGAGAGCTAGCTTTGATCTCTCGCTCGCTTGCTCAAACCCGGCTGGCGGGGAGGATGGAAGACCAGACGAAAGCCTGTAACCGCACCTAACGATAAGTCGATCGATCGATAACGATTTGAGCGGCCGATAAGAAGCTGTAGCCGTAGCTGTATCTCTATCTAGATAGTCGTCGTAGCGTAGCAACACCACAACCGGTATGGTGTCACTGGCACTGTCCGTCCCAACGGGAATGGCACGAATCAGACGGAAAAGAGCATGCCCAATGCCAAAAAGCTGGAGCACAAGTTTGACGGTTGTCCCCTTCTCGTCATCCCCACCAACAAGCGGATTCGACGAGCGTCCTGGGGTCCGAGCTGCACGCCGTTCCCACTTTTCGAGGGCTTCAGGGTCCACGCTCGCGGGTCACGCTGTTGTTGTTTTGGCTGTGGGCGTCGACGTCGAAAGGGGGGGGGGGAAGGCGAGCTGGCGAGCTCCAGTCAGTTCTCGGGAGGAAGAGGAGATTGAGGAGCGAGATGGGGACGCAGGGTAGGAAAGGTGGCTCGGCGGACGGGAGGATGGTAAGGCAGGGCACAGGGTAGCCGAAGTGCAAAACCGTGAAACAAGAACACAAACAACGAGCACTGGTACAGCCTTGAGGTGCGAGGTGGAGCGGTGGCGAGGATCGCGTTGCTAGTTGATACCGCCGGGCTGGTTAGGTCCACGGGACCAGACGGTTTCGAGCTGCGTCTCGGTACCTAGTAGCGTTGGGGAAGAGCAAGGGCTCAGGGCTCAGGGCACACGCGTGGGAGACTACTGGGACTTTTTTTTGTTGGACACAACAAAAATTCGAAATGTCGGGTTGGGCTGACGATCGGCGGGCTGCTAGGTAGCTACCTAGGTATGCCAGGTCGGTGTCCAGTGTCCACGATCATGGATGTCGGGGAGCGGCCTGGGAAGAGTGTCGTAACGTGATGGCCCTCCACTGTTGGTGCATTCAGCGATGGCCCTGAGGGGCGAGCAGAAGCGCAGCAAGCGCTCGCGGCGGAAAGACGGAGAGCGGATAGGGTCGGTTGTGGGGCTCTTGGCGCAGCGGCAAGTCAGCCACTGCACCATGCTCAGCTTAGAAGCCGCTAGCGCAACAAGTCGCAGCGAGTCTAGCGACCCAGCCGTGCGGGGATCTTGGCAGCCCGTGGCAACAAATCGGACGTTTCTTTCTTCTCCTCAGCCCTCCGTGCTCTTCTTACCTGGTTACGGAGATGTTATCCTGTAGTGGTATCGGCCCGGCTTCTTCTGGTCCATCTTCCTCGGGGCTGAAGCCGATTCACAGCAAATCCGATCTGGCGGGACAATGCCATGGTTCTAGAAAGTGAAAGCGGACAGGTGGTGATCTACATATATACGGTCAACACCACGGCGAGACAGCATCAAACACATCAGGCCAGGTCCCAGGTGTTATGAGGCTGCGACCAGCTGTTGCCTGCCGAGCACCAAGCTTCAATGGCATGTACGTCTTAGCGCATTGAACCCGGCATTGGAATGATCAGCAATTCTTTGATAATCGGGGCAGCATAAGTAACCGACGTCATGCAACATCAGTCGGCTTTCGGCACGTGGTGGCGATCAAGCAGAGCTGGGGATTGACTCGGCCTGGAGATTTTCTAGAACGCCATTCATGTGGACGTGACTTTTATATCTAGGGTTCAAAAAGCATGACTCTAGCTTCAGAACTCCAGGATGGCAATTCTGGGGGGTAAAAAAATAACAAAAACGTACAACACCCGGGATTCGCTGGTCGTCACCGACCCAACTACTAACCGGGCCCTCAGTGGCTTAACTAGGGCAGAGCGGACGGGATGCCGTGCTTTCCACTGGGTATGGTCGTACGTGGCAGAAGCTTGCGAAAATTCATCTTAAGTAATCCATTCGTAGCTGGTAGTTAGCTTTTTCTTCTAGATTGATGCATTGTAAAGCGAGCGAGAAAGCGCAAAGCCCTCGGTAATTTAAGTTTACGAGGCCACGTAGGTGTCCTGTGAAAATTTTACAGACACAGCTCAATGCGCTTTGCTGGAGCTCGAGTGACCAGAGAACTGCAACAACGCAGAGTGTAGGTTGACAATTTGACATTATCAAAGGACGAAGAGCTTGAAAACCACTAACAGAGGAGCTGTTTGTCATGGATGAAATAACAACCAATGAACCAATATGCCTTCCTGAAGCACACAGATAGGACGATAATCGTAGATTTCCGGCTGTTGTCTTCCCAACCTGTCTCTCGTGATTCCGATTCATGTATATTGGGGGTGCCTCGGTGTAAGTCGGTGCCGGCCCCAAGCTGCGGAAGCAATGGCACTGGCGAATGCCACCAGCCGGCAACAAGTGACAACTGATTTTTTTTACCCCACACTCTCACACGTCGAAGACCTCACACTCAACTTCATACCCATACCCAAACCTCGCTCACTGAAAGCCAAACGGAGTGAGAGTTTCATTCATCCAACCAATACTGCATACTATACCAAAATCAATTCCTTTACCCTCAACCTCGAGCACAATGGGTGTCTTCGCCAAGCGCACCATGACAAAGACGCGCAGGCGTCTCCGGTACGTTTCTTCCCTCAAAAAGCACGGGCCACATCAGACCTTGAGCTGACCTGAAGTCACACAATAGCGATCTCGACCAGATCGAGAGAGACCTCCGCTCCCCCCGGCATTTGCAGCAGTACAAGGAGACTAAGGCGGCTGAGGATTTGCCTGGTCTGGGGCTGTATTACTGCATCGAGTGTGCCAAGTGGTTTGAGAGCGAGACTAGCTTGGTTGGGCATCGCAAGGGGAAACCGCATAAGAGGAGGTGAGTTCGGTCTTTTGATTGTTTAACTGTCTGTTTTTGGAGCCTTGAATTCTGACGGACGAGCAGGCTCAAGCAGCTCAAGGAGGGCGCTTATACCCACGAGGAGGCTATGGCTGCCATCGGGTACCGGATTGACAATGGGAAGAAAACAACTGAACAGCCGAAGACTCAGGATGTGGAGATGAGCTGAAGGACTATCTGTCCCACTGTAATAGGCTCTTACGAAGGGCATAGAGGTAAATGAGTTGGCTCTTGTTGCTGATACCCTGCTTGAGTCAAGTCGATGATGATGATGGAGGGCGAGGGGCTGGCTTCTTTGACAACACATGGGCGGCGTTTGGTGTCTGGGAGGGAAAATTATATTTATGCCTGCGTATATATATGAAAATTCAGGGAAATTGCATTCTTTGCTCGAGATTCATGTCATGCTGCTCTTGCTCACTAAATGTAAAAGGGATTGCTGTTCCTAAGAGGGATTGTGTGGCAGAAGAAGGCGATAATGTGACAGTTCCCGTCTTCTAAGCATAACATCTTTCTCTACGATATGCCAATTGTCTCAAGCTAATTCCTAAAACACTCCATCTCAAACTCCTGCTGAGCTCACCATTCATCCTCTTTTCCCTTCTCCTTGCCCTTCCCCTTACCTTTCCCCCCTTGCCCCTTTCTCTGGCCGATCTTCTACACAAGGGTTAGGGTTCTTATCAAAAAAGATAAGCCTTACAAGTGGGGCCCCCTTGGCTCGGCAACCAAGAAGGTGTCGAGAACTCGAGACCGAACTTTTGGACCCTGACGTGCGGAAAGTTGTTGTCTGTCAGCTTCATTTTTTGCGCCAGTTCCGTCTTCACGATTCTGATAGCCAATAATGCTTAAATGACTTACAAAATCATGATATCGACGGCGCTCTAATTTAGTATTTTTCTTCGCCCCGTTTCGTTTCGGCAATCTGTCATCTTCCCCGTCTTCTGGCTTTAACAAACTTCAGCCTTCGGATATCGCTGTCCCGTGTCCTCCGGCCCATCACCTCCTGAATCAATCCATTGCGCCTCGGCTACAGTCATCTGAACCAATTCGACAAGAACAAACTCAATTCATTACTTAAACTCCCCCTTAATCCCCAACTGTCCAACATGCCGCCGGCCCCAACAACCCTCAGCTTCAACACGCATCGCGCGCGCTCCTATGTCGTGCGGCTGCCGCTATTCACGCGCGCCGTTCTCGCCACCATCATCCTGTTCTGGATACTGGGATTGCAGACATGGTGGGATGTCAGACAATGGGGCGCGCTGATTCCGAGTGAGATTTCATTCGCGACTCGTATGTTCCCTGTCTTTGTTTTGCTTGGTCTCATGTTTCAATGAACCCCTGGCTGTGATATATATGGGGTTTTGGCTCGTATGAATGGAGTACTGTGAGTTTAATGTGAGCTGACATACTAACACCCGGAGGCACAGTGTATCGGATGAACACGTTCCCGTTCATTCACCTGAATATTTTCCATGTCATTATGAATATGCTGGCGCTTACCCCCCTACTGGAGCGGTTTGAGGCTGAGTATGGCACGTTGACGACGCTGGCTCTTTTCTTTGGCCGTAAGTTTTATGGAATAGCCATGACTTAAATGCAATGAATGCTGACGGGCTTAGCCCTGTCAACCGTTCCTGGATTCATCTACGTTGGTCTTGTGAAGTTCGTGACACACTCAAATGTTGCAGTCATGGGAGCAAGGTGAGCCACTTTTGAGTCCCAAGACGATGGATCATTACACTGACACATCTACCCAGCATCTGGGTGTTCCTCCTCCTCGGCATGGAAGCCATCCGCACTTACAAGACCAACCCGTACTTCGTCCTAGGCACTCACAATATTCCGACCTGGACTACTCCTATTCTCGTTCTTTTCTGCGTCAGCGCGCTCGTCCCGAGCGCCAGCTTCCTGGGCCATCTTTCTGGCTTGATTGTGGGCTATGTTTGTACGTATCCCACGTTGGCCCCATCTTTTCCCAAATGTCAGTGTCACTAACAGTGGTTTAGGCGGCTTCGGATACGTCAAGTACCTCGCCCCTCCCGAGAAGATCCTGCGCTGGATTGAGGGAAAACTCAATCTCCTTGGACGGCTGCCGCACTACGTGAGTGTGGATCAGAAGACATATGGTCGGTTCGGCGTGCTGCCCTCGACAAGCTCGCCCGTTCCGCCGGCTGTTGGGCTAGGTTTGATTGGGAGCAACCAGAGGTTAGGCCCTTGAAGTGAGGGTCTGATTGAGGTATGGTAGTGCTAGGGGGATAGCATTGGGTGAATAACGACTTGTATAAACGCATGGTTGGTCTGCTCGGTATAGGATGTTTTGTTAGACGGCATGCTCCTGGTTGTATGATCATGATACCCGGACGGATGGTCATGACTTACAGATGGAGACTGAGAGCAACCCATACATAGACTTTATGCTACTACTACTAATGACATAACCGATCAATGGTTAGGAATAGACAATTTATTTTGAGAATCCGCCTGATGAACTTGCTTTCATTAATGATGTTGTGATTCGGCAGTCAGGCATCTCTACTCAGTTCTCTCATTCGTCTAGAACCCAACTGGGGGGTAGCATTTATAAGTAGATGTTATCGATCAGAGCTAGCACGTACGACCATACCCAGTGGAAAGCACGGCATCCCGTCCGCTCTGCCCTAGTTAAGCCACTGAGGGCCCGGTTAGTAGTTGGGTCGGTGACGACCAGCGAATCCCGGGTGTTGTACGTTTTGCCTTTATCGTTTCCTTTTTTTTTTCCTTCTCCACTCTCCCAGCCAGTATGGCGTGATCCTTTCACACCTAGCTCTTTATAGGTTCGAGAGCTTAAATCTGTATTTTTATTCTGACTTTCCATGGTCCCTCTGTTTCAGGGTGACTATTTCTGGTGTTGCGTGTTAGCTGTACCTTACACCAAGCTGTTGAATCCATGTAACGGTGGCCGTTGATATTGCACAAACCGAAACAGCCTAGCGCCGCCTCGTTTCATGCATCAATGCATCACAAGCTGGGACCTTGAGAGCCGCCAAGGTGACAAGTCCTCCTGGATGACGTGGGCCCGGCTGGCAATTGCTGTTATTAAAAGTGCAAGCTCCCCTGGAGTCGACTCCGCGGAGCAAGCGCGACAACGAGGAAGTGGCAGGACTTGAAGAGACGGGCGCACTCGAGCGGAGGCGGCACGATGGCGCGACTACTGGGTGAGTAAACCCTTAGGGGACATATATCCAACTGCACCATTCCGCTTGCTAAACCTCCCCCCAAGCCAGTGCTCTGCGACTGCGGCGCGACCCGCGGATTATGAAACTGCCGCCATACATGTCGCTGCTGTTCGTGATCGTCGGTGTCGTCTGGCTACTGCTGCTCCCCTTCGACCAGTACTCGCGCCGCACCTACATCTCCGAGAACGCCCTGCTGCCCGGCCAGGTCCATACCTACTTCAGCGGCAGCGATCAGAACGTGCTGCGGGCATACAAGCACGAGGTGAATGCGCTGGTGGGGAAGAGCAATGTCCAGTGCGTGCCCCTTTTGTTCGGGTAGTCCATAGAGGAGAGCTGACGGGTATATATGCCACCAGGATCAATGACAAGCTCGAGTCCATCCTCAAGGGCATCGGCCTCAAGACCGCCCGCCAAAACTTTACCTACCATGCCGCCGGCCACGCAATTTCCGGCCAGAATCTCTACGCTATTCTGCAAGCCCCCCGCGGCGACGCAACAGAGGCCATCGTGCTAGTCGCCGCCTGGGAAAACGCCAAGCACGAAGTCAACCGCAACGGCATCCCGCTGGCCCTGACTCTCCTGCGCTACTTCAAGCGCTGGTCCCTATGGTCCAAGGACATCATCTTGGTCATCACGCCCGACAGCATCGCCGGCCCGCAGGCATGGGTGGACGCCTACCACGACGCACACAACCCGTCACAAGTCGCCGGCCTGCCCCTCAAGTCGGGTGCCCTGCAGGGCGCCATCGCGATCGATTATGCCCAGGAAACCCGCTACGACAGCGTGCATATTGTATATGACGGCGTGAACGGCCAGCTGCCCAACCTCGACCTGATCAACTCCGTCGTGCACATCGCCCGTGGGCAGATGGGCATTGGCGTCGCGCTGCAGGAGATGTGGCGGCATACGGATAGCTACCAAGACCGGCTGAGCACGATGCTGCGCGGCATGCTGAAACAGGGGTTGGGACTGGCCAGCGGCCCGCATAGTAGCTTCATGCCGTACCATGTGGATGCCGTCACGCTGCAGCCGTTTGGATCGGGGTGGCATGATGAGATGGCGATGGGGCGGGTGATTGAGGGGACGTTTAGGAGCTTGAATAATTTGCTGGAGCATCTGCACCAGAGCTTCTTTTTCTATTTGCTTATGTCGCGCGATCGGTTTGTGAGTATTGGGACTTACTTGCCGAGTGCGATGCTGGTGGCGGCGAGCTTCACGATCATGGCTATTGCCCTGTGGGTTAAGAGCGGGCAGCCGGAGAAGGAAGATGGCAAGGAGTCGGATGATAAGGACGTGTCGACTGCCGTCGTCGAGAGGGACTTGTTCCTGCCCCTAGGCGTGGTCATCTTATGCCAGTCTCTCTCTATCATACCACTTTATCTGTTCAACCACGCCTCTGAAACCGTAAGCTTCCCCTCTCCCTCGGAAGACCCCTTACAGCCTTACTGACATTCATCCAGTTCTTAACCCCCTCCTTCCTCTTCTTCACGCTCCTCTCAACCCTCCTCCCCCACGCCCTCTCTTTCTACCTCACCTCCGCCCGCAACACCCCCGCCACGGCGCAGCACTACCATCTCCTGAAATCCTTCTCCCTCCTCCTCCTCGGCATGTTCCTCTCCTCGCTCGCAACGCTCAACTTCTCTCTGTCGCTCATCATCGGCCTGTTGGCGAGTCCCCTCACATTCCTCTGTTATCCGGCCAAAACGGCCCTGGGGAGGGCCTTGTCAATGGGCCTGCTGCATGTGCTGAGCCCCACGACGGCCGTGTTGCTGGTTGGGTTGGCAGCTACACAGAGTGGCGGGTTGGGGGGTGTGTTGCTGGAGGCAGCAAAGGCGTGGCATGTGTCAGGGACGTGGACGAGTCTTGTGGTGTGGTGTGTTTGGTGGCCGGCGTGGATTGTTGGGGGGGTTGTGGTGCTGGGACGGGTGGGGGAGAGGAAGGTTAAGACCTTGTAATAATGGCTTGGAGGGTTAATAAACATGGTTAGGATGAGAGATGAGTGTAATTACAAGTTTAATTGTGTACCGAGATGGTATGTTTATAGGGCTATGATACCAAGTCACGGTGGTCATCACAGATCAGTGGCAGAGTCAAGTCCTGTCCATATATTGCTGAACTACTGAGGGGCCTAGTGAAACACGTCTTATGCCCCGGTGTTTTATCATGAACAGACGTGTCTTGTCTATTATGATATGGTACAAGGCACATTTTTTTTTATGGTCATCATGCCTTCCATACCCCAACCCATCAACCTATTCCCCTTTTCCCTCAAGCCGCCCACAAGTCCTGCCCCACTCTCTCGATCCAGTTACCCAGCTGGTTAACGCTCTCATCCCACTCCTTTAGCCGATCCCGCATATTAGCAATCTGCTTCATGTCCAGCACCTTGGGCTGTACCCAGTTAATATGCGCCACCTCGTCCACCTGGTCGATCGTGCCGCGCAGCAGGCCCAGGCTGAGCGCCTTCATGATGAGGTGCTCGATCTCGTCGGGCCGTACCTTCGTCTCGGCGGCGATCGTCGCGAACGTCATAGCCCGGTCATGCGGCGGGCGCCGGAAGACGGCCTCTGTCAAAGCAGAGAGGTAGATCTTTTCGCGGAGCTGTCGTGCGTGGGCTTGCAGAATGGGAACGGAGTTCATGCGGGTCGAGAGGATGTCGTACGCCGTCAGGTCGCCCCGGTTGAAGGCAAAGAGGAGCTCGCGTAGCCACTGATCTTCTTCGCGTTCTGAGAGGGCGTCGAGGATCGGGTGCAGCAGGAGCTCGCCGAAGTTGTAGATGCTTGTGCTGACCAGCGCCGCGATGGCCAGGTCGTAGGCGCGCTTGCGCCGCTCTTGTGGCGATAGCTGCTTGATGTCGATGCAGGCCAGGTAGAGCAGGGCGTTGCGGTAGTACGAGGCAAAGTCGGCCTTCGCTTGGTAGTAGTCGGCGTTGGCGTCGTAGAAGGCGGCGTGCACGATCGTCTCGACCGAGTCGAAGCTGTCCAGGATGCGCTCGGCCCGGTCCAGGTCTTGTCTTGCGCCGTCGAGATCGGCCAGGTCCAGCTTTACGCGCGCGACGGCGATTGTTGCGAAGACGAGGGCGTCCTGCGAGTCTTCGTGGTCGACCTTCTTGGCGACCTCCTCCATGAAGGAAAGGCGCTCCTGGTTGTCTACCGCAGGCTAGTCAGCGAATGCTAAGCTGGAAGCAGGACAACGGGCTCCTTGTTACCTCTACATTGTGTCGCGGCCTTCAGGGCCAGGTCGACGAGCTTGAGCTGGTTGATCTTATCGGCAAACTTGGAGATGAAGACCTTGTAGAAGTCTAGGCGCTGCGGGGCGCTGGCAGGGTGGTTGAAGAACTCGAGCAGCTGGTTTGTGAGCTGGTGCCATAGCTTGCGCTCCCATAGTGACTCGAATTCTAGGACAAGAGGCAGCAGGTCATCGGGTGTCTTCTCCCGCTGTTCTGCGAGGAAGTCTTGGATGGTGTCGACGTTCATGGTGGCCGGCAGTTCAGATTAAGTGTAATTGGATCGGGGTTGGGCGGCGCCGGAGGGGCGATCGAGGGTCAACTTTGTTGGACTGGGCACGACTTTGCCTGGGCAAACCGGACCGGTGTTCGTCTGGGACGTCGGAATTACGGCGACCTGCAGACAGGCTTTAGATTGGGTGTTGTGACTGCTGATGTTTGGTTTGAGTGGTGGTGGGATGGAGGTTGACTTTCACTTGGACCTTCAGTTGGAGCTGCCAGCCCACCGCCGCCCTCCACAGCGCCAGCCCAGCCTGACGCGGGCAGGGCTGCCTGCTGGCTGGCTTTGGCTGGCTGCTGCAGGGACGGGTACCGCTGTACCCAACCAGAGGTGGTCCGTGCTCCAATCGATAGCAATCGATAGCAGCCCCATTTCACTTTGTCTGATTGGCCAGTTGCTGTCCCTCCTCCCACCAGCGTAGACCCACTCGAGCTCGAGCCGGGTGGGCGAGTGGCATTAGAGTTGGACCTTGGGATCCAGAGAACCGCCATTGAACGTCGTCAGCGTCAATTGATCGCGACGCAGCCCTTCCTGGGACACTCCGCACGCACACGCCAGCCAAGATGGCCTCCCTGCCGACCGCCGTGCGGTCAGCGGCCCCCAAGGTTGCCCGGCGCGCCCTGCAGCAGCGCCGCTATATTTCCGACATCCACATCACGCGCACCGGCAAGCCTCTCATCCGCATCCAGGGCGGCCGGTCCGTCTCCCCATCTTGCTCCTGATATCGTATCTGGGCGTCCCGTCTGATAGTTTTGCCCTGTCTGCAGTTCCTCCCTCGGCGAGCACACCGCGACCGTCTTCGGCGCCACTGGCCAGCTGGGCCGCTACATCGTCAACCGGCTTGGTGCGACCCCTCCATTCCACGAACTAGACTTCCCCGAGGCACTTTCGACCCTTGGCTGACACTCCTTGTTCTGCAGCGAGACAAGGATGCACCGTCATTGTGCCGTACCGCGAGGAGATGGCCAAGCGTCATCTCAAGGTTTCCGGTGATCTCGGCCGCGTGATTTTCATGGTATGGACTCGAAGGTCTGGGCAGGAGAGGATATCTGCTGAATGGAGGCTAGGAATTCGATCTGCGGAACACTCAGTCGATCGAGGAGAGCGTCAGGCACTCTGACGTCGTCTACAACCTGATCGGCCGTGACTACCCCACCAAGTGAGTGTGCAGAACCAAAAGATTGGGGGGGGGGGGAAAAGGGGGAAGAAGATCTTGCTGGGCTGGAGGAGGACTGACACTGTCAGGAACTTCTCCCTGGCCGATGTGCACATCGAGGGCACTGAGCGCATTGTCGAGGCCGTTGCCAAGTACGATGTCGACCGCTTCATCCAGGTCTCGACCTACAACGCGAACCCCGACTCGACCTGTGAGTTCTTCAGGACCAAGGTAGCTATGCCTGCCCTGATATTGGAGGGAAGGAAGGTTCTGATGCACCCTGCAGGGTATCGCTGAGAAGGTGGCCCGCCACGTCTTCCCGGAGACGACCATTGTCCGGCCTGCTCCGATGTTCGGCTTCGAGGACAGGCTCCTGCTGAAGCTGGCCAGTGTCACTAACCTCTTTACTTCCAACCATATGCGGGAGAAGTTCTGGCCCGTACACGTGCGTAACCATGGTATCAACTTATAGATTGCCAGATCCTGATCAAGTGTAGGTCAACGAAGTCGGCGAGGCCCTCGAGCGCATGCTCTACGACGACAGCACGGCCGGCCAAACCTTCGAACTGTACGGCCCCCGCCAGTACTCGATGGCCCAGATCGCCGAGCTGGTCGATCGCGAAATCTACAAGAAGCGCCGGCACATCAACCTGCCCAAGCCGATCCTGCAGCCCCTGGCTGAGCTCATCAACCGCGTCCTCTGGTGGGACACCGGCCTTTCGCGCGACCAGGTCGAACGCGAGTTCCACGATCAGGTCATTGACCCTACGGCCAAGACCTTCAAGGACCTGGGCATGGAGCCCACCGATATCAGCAAGTGGACCTACCACTATCTGGTACGTTCTCTTCCTTTCTCCGGTAGATTGTATTTTGCTGACCCCATTTCCAGCTCCCGTACCGCCCGTCAACATACTACGATCTTCCTCCGTCGACGGAAAAGGAGATGCGGGAAGAGCGGAAGTACCTTCACGTGCTGGACGACCAGTAAACGGCAGCTGGCGGGCGAAAGTGAGATGGCGGCAGGTTGGGGGAGATGGTGTTGTAGAGTGTACATACAGACGTAGACCCAAACATCATTTCCTTGCGTTGAGAAAGAAGGTCGAGCTCCATTGCAAGCTAGCTCGAGAATGTGAACTTGAATATTTTCTACCTTCAATTCGCTATGTTTGTGGCCAAGCTGTGAGATTGAGAATTTCGATTTCATAATTTTACGGGCATCTCAGCTGTGAAATGCGACTCAAAATTTCAGCCCCTCACTCACCACCCCACCACACAGCCCAGTTTCTCAATTGAACCTCTCCATGTCAACATGAGCCACCACGTTAGTGACGATGAAGAGCTGTAAGCATTTATCCAAGCTCGATTGATTAACATATGCAGTTCTGGTGCTAATTTGTCCCAGGACGCTCTCCGCCTCAACCCTCGAAGCCCTCAAAGCCTTTTATGCCGAGCGCGATGCCCGTGCCGAGCAGTTCGCGAAGTTGAAGGCTCAGGCTGAGGAGCAGCATGCGGGCCGACAACAGGAGCAAATTCTTTGCATGGAGGCGTTTGCGGAGGATTGGAATGAGAGTCAGTTTTGGGTATGCCTTTCCCTCTCATCGCTTGGGTTGAATGGTTGAATTGGGGGTTGGAAGCTCCAAGGGAAGGGTGAAGGGCTGACTGATAATGGAATGCAGTACTCCGAAGAAACGGCCAATTTTCTCGCAACGGAGTTGTTGGATGGGGCGACGGCGGATATGACGATTGGGATTGTCTCTGCGCCGAGTGTGTTTGTTGCGTTGAAGAATATGCTGGTGAGTTGCTCCCTCCCTCTTCGTTTCTGCCTTGAGCAGATATCACTAACGTCCTGAACAGAATGCTGCGCCCCCTGAGCAGCCCAAGCCCAAGCTCCTCCTCCTGGAACACGATAACCGCTTCTCTGTCTTCTCAGAGTTCGTTTTCTATGACTTTGCTCAGCCGCTCAAGCTGCCTCGTATGTGACCCTCTCCCCAAAAACACACATTTCTCCCCCCCCCCCCTCTCCCTTCTAAAAAAAAAAAAAAAATAAATCAAAACTCTTCCTTCATCCGTAGACCATTTTTTGTGCCAACTATCCTGATACTGACACGAAAGAACAGCTCACCTCAAGGGCACCGTCGACCGCATAGCCTGCGATCCTCCCTTCCTCTCCGAAGACTGCCAAACCAAAAGTAACCTACTTTCACTCTCTCCCTCCGTATCTTGTCCCCCATACTAACTTATTCCCCCAAACAGCCGCCCTTACAGTCCGTTGGCTCCTCAAGCCGACCCCTAAACCGTCCTCCCCCGAGCAACGGCCCCAACTCCCGCGTATGATCCTCTGCACAGGCGAGCGCATGCAGACGCTCGTTTTGCGGCTGTACAAGTCTCTCGGGTTGAAGACCACAGACTACGAGCCAAAGCATGCGAGGGGTTTGAGCAACGAATTTTATTGCTATGCAAACTTTGAGAGTGAGAGGTGGGGGTGGCGGGTTCAGGAGGAGTAATCTGACTGAAGAGAAAACGTTGAGACGGGAGGGAAGATTGAGAGAGGGGGTTAGTGAGACTAGAAAGGAGGTAAGATTTGGAATTGGGATAGGCATAGTGTCGCATAGGCACAAGCACAAGGAATTTCAGGGGTAGAAAAATGGGAGGATGAAGAAATAAAAAAAAAAAAGCTGAAGCCAGCAATGTACACCTGCTCGATTTTATTCACGGGAATGTACACATCCCTTAAAAAGATGACCCTAGCTACAACGTTGCATGCGCCCACCCCCATCCGAAAACGCCCAGAAAAACATCTAATGGACTCATCTCTCTGCCTGCCTTGATACCCCTCAATCGATCAATCATGACCCAGCCAGTCAGTTAGTTGAGACCATGATAAAGTACCTAGGGTAAGTAAGTTTTCTTCGATGCCGGCCATCTATCCGGTGGCACATACCATGCCCGCTGCCCGAAAGATGCCCAGACGCCAGGCAATGTTATTGTTTATGTGACGAAAAGAGAACAAAAAAGGAAGGAAAGAAGAAAACGAGGAAAAACAACCGAGGGAAAAGCATGTCTATGGTGATGGTGCCCGTATCCATAACGAACAGAGAACCCGAACCGCCAGCGCCTCGATCTTCTCCGCACAAAAAGACAATACCCGTCCGTTATTTCCCATACGCAACGCGCGTCGTCCTCATTGATTGACTGTACTTCACGACCCGAACGAAAACGAACCAGTTGGAAAGAAAACAAAGATAGAAAAAAAAAGAGAAAATTAAACGAAAAGAAAGAAAAGAACAAGCCTCAAGTGAAGCCCGTCCTCAAGACAGTGACCTTACACAATAAAAAAGCAAGTACGCCTTAGAATTGAGCACGTCACTCTTCTGCGCCAGCTCGACCTTGTGATCGTTGAACACGAACCACTGGTCGCCGACGCGGCAGTACGATACGTAATGACCCGTGTCGATCTCACCGACGTGAACGACGACGCTGAGCAGGTCGTACGTGCACGACCGCTGCAGCTCGTAGTTCTGGCTGACGTCGTGGTTGCGGGCACGGCTGGTATACGGCAGCATGTTGAGCTGCAGGGGGAACTGCACGGGGGTGTCGATCTTGGCAGCACGCTCGTTGCGGCCTTGCTTGTACTCGAAGCGCTGGGGAAGTTAGTATGGTACTCAGTGAGAATACTAGCCGGGTTGGGCTTGGGGGGCCCGGGGTGGGGGGTTCTACCTTGAGTTGGATCGAGAGGACATTTGGCAGGCGGCGGATCGAAGTCTGACGCTTCGCCTGTTGCATGGAACCGCAGTTGTTACAGCGGTACTCGCACTTGTCCTGCTTGATGTACTCCTCCTCAAGACACTCCTGGAGCGTGAGCGGGCCGGGCTTAGCGGTGCCTTTCTTCTTGCGCTGGGCGAGGTTTTCGAGTGGCAGGGAGAGATCGAGAAAGCTCTGCACTTGCGACGTCACGCCCTGGCAGTTCTGGCAGGTCGTGGTGGTCTGCAGCTTGCCATAGTAGGTCTGGTGGATGATGCAGTTGCACGTGTGCTCGCTGCCCATCTCGGGGCGCTTGCCGTCACCATTGCGCTCGTGGAGCTCCTCGGCGAGGAACTGGAAGAATTCGTGAGCATCCTGCTCCTTGGTCGTGACGAGATTCTCAAACGCCTTCTTCTCGCTGATCCAGAAGCCGGAGAGGATGTTGGCCGCCGTATAGCCGTTCGTGCTCTCGTCAGCGTAGAAGCTCTGGAAGATGTCATCCATAGCGCAGCTCAAGCAATGCGGGACGTCGCAGCTGCTGCTAGGGTGGCCGTCGCTGAGGTAGTAGTTGCGCAGGATGGGGTTGTGAAGGAAGCATTGGAGGATGACGTTCTGGTAGCATGTGGCACCAGCGTTGTAGATACCACGCAAGCCGTTGGCCTTGCACGAGGACATTGTGGTGTTCATGGTGATGTATGAGGGGTTGTCCCGAATGGGGTCTGAACTGGCAAACATCTCCTCGTGTTTGCGCTTACGGGCTGACAACCATTAGTTCCGCTCAGGAGCAGAGCGCTGTCAGGAGAACCTACAAGCTGAGAAGGTACCGGTGCCCATTTTTCTAATTCTGAGCTCTTCGAAGGTAGGATCCCAGACAATGTCATCGCACATCTGGCAGTAGAGAGCACCGCTACGGGACTCAACATCTATAAACGGTCAGCAGGGTTCACTGAAAGAACCATTGCTATTAACGGCCACCTACAGAATCTATGTGACTTTTTAGCGCCATGCTTGGTACGGTCCTCTTCTGTGAGGGTCAAGGGACACTGCAGGCAGAGGTAGGTAGGGGTAAGAGTGGTGATGGCCTGGCCATCAATGCCCTTGGCAGTCTGGGAGAGTACGGGGCTCGCGTCGAAAATGGTACGCAGGATGGACTTGTAGTGCTGAATGGAGGTATTGGTGGTAGCCTGGTCCTGATTGAACAGGCGCTGCAGGTGTTCTGCAAGCTGTTAGTCAGGAGCCAAGAAACAGCGACAGGTCAATAGGGGGAGACTGACCGCAGCCATACATAGGAGTCCCCGGTTGGGGGGCTTTCACCTTGTAATTCTTAGGTGAAGCAGGAGGAGCCGGTTTGGTAGCCATGTTGACAGGTAGGTATGTAGGGGTTGGCAGACGGGAACGAGAGTGGTAATGGTAAGGAAGTCTTTGACTAGGCGAGAAAGCGCTTTGGATTGCTGCTGGTTGTAGAGCTCGAAGGTAGCGGTAGGAATTTGTTGGGTTAGGGAGAGAAAGAACCAGCAGTTTAAGAGATGGCTTCTCTCCCAGCGCAGCGCAGCGGAACCCTTTGCCCAAGAAAGAAAAATAGGATGCCGAGTGTGCAATGTTGGACGAATGCACGTATGTGATATGCGTGCAAAACTGATGTCAATAGAATAGCAGCTCGTCCAAACTCTACTGCCTGGGATCGGGCGGTGGCGCTCGGGTGTGGCAGGGGGAATTGATCAATGGCGATGGAGGCGAAGGCAACGGGCCAGAGGCAGAGGCCACACAGGCACTGACTGGACGGTGGTGATCTGGTTCGTGGAGCAACGCGTCGCTCTATTGTCTGCCACGCCGCGCCCGTCCTTCCCCGCCTAATTAGCTGGGCTATTCTGCAACTATACAATAGCAAATTCGGTCCGATGCACTTACCAGTCTTGCAAAGTCCTCGTGTTGCTCGTCTAAGGCGATGCGTCTTTCTTGCATCGATCGCCAAAACGGTGTCAAGCTGTTAGCCGCTGCGGCAGGCTGGAACCTGGGAATCTTTCCCGCTAGCCTTATCGATAAGCCCAACCAGGAGTTTGGCCGTTAGGCCATTCGCCTCGGCACGTCTTATCAACTGATTTTCTTATCGCTGCTGGTATTGTTCTCATCCCCTTTTGAACCTTCAACAGCGATGCCATCAAATGTTTACACACACCACAGAATAAAGGGATAACTTTAAAGTCGAATCCTATCCATTGACGTGCGACTTCAACGGTTAGTCATCTGTGCATCTTTCCCAGCTCCCAATAACAATATTCCCTCAGCATCAAGTAAACTCGAGACAAAGGCCTGAACATTTTTTTCTATGAAATGGCCAAATGGCCATGAAGAAGTCTACTGTGCTGTATATTCTCTCAGTGTTGTCCCAGACGTTGCGATTCTCAGCTTGGAGTCTCGGATCATATTATATATATATATTAGCAGCCTGAATAGACAACCCGTTCTGTAGACGTTGAGCATTGACTTAGCCTGTGCTCCGAGGTCACGTTACCCTCCTCCCCCAACCCCGGAGTAGCTACCACCCCCGGAAGGATCACATTCAAAAATCCAAATACGCCATCCGAACGGTCGGGCTCGGCAACACCATTCGGCCTCGGTACCCACTGCCGCCGGACCGATCTTAAGCACCAAACCTACCCCGCACCGGTCCGGGCTGGACGTTACTTGCAACCTCCGCCCGGCATTTGGACTTGCATAGTCTGTTGATCACTGGGTATCAACGTTCAACGTAGCACCACACACCTATTTTTCTGTTGAAGGGCTGTTGTGCTTTGTTGTGTCGCCGTTTTGCAGGGCACAGTATCGATCCCAAGTGCTACCTACCTTGCTGACTCACCGTCGCAAATTTTAACGACGGTTCGTTTATCTTCAGCAGACGACGAATGCCCCCTCGGCTGCCGCCCGCCGCAGCCAGAGCCACATCCGGCTTCGTCACCCATCGTGCTGTCACTCTCACGCCTCATCCCCATCATCATCATCATCATCATCATCATCATCATCATCATCTCAGATCAACCAGCACACTCACCAAAACCATGACCTCTCTCCCCGCTCTCCCAGAAATAACCCCCCTCCGCCCAGGTCTCATCCGCATCCTGGCCGGCAACCCAGGCAAATTCACCCTGCAGGGTACAAACACCTACCTCCTCGGTACAGGCCGCCAGCGCTTGCTCATCGACACAGGCGAGGGCAAGCCAAGCTGGATCGCAGCCGTCAAGAGTGCACTCACTTCCTCCTCCAACCAACCAAACGGGGAAGAAGGAACCGCGACCCTCAAAGCCGTGATCCTAACGCACTGGCACCACGACCACATCGGCGGCGTGGCCGATCTGCGGAAAGAGTTTGGTCCGAACCTGGAGATCTACAAGTTCCCGCTCGGCTTCGGCGGGTACGAGTCGCCGAGTTTTGAGGCTGAGCGCGCCCAAGAAGCGCAATCAACACTCCTGGCGCAAGGGATCAGGCCTTTGCAGAACAACCAAACCTTCACCGTGGCCGGTGCAACTCTCACAGTGCATCATACCCCAGGCCATACCGCGGACCATGTGGTGTTAGTCTGGCACGAGGAGAACGCCATTTTCACAGGCGACAACGTCCTCGGCCACGGGACAGCCGTGTTCGAGGATCTAGCGACGTACCTGTCAAGTTTGGAGATCATGAAAGAGCTGTACAGCGACGGCGAGAGAAGCGGGCGAGCCTATCCAGGCCACGGCCCCGTCGTCGATGACGGCATGGCAAAGATAGAAGAGTACATCCGACACAGGAAGATGCGCGAGGAGCAGGTGTTGCAAACCCTCCGCAGCAGCCCCGGCGGACCCGATGGTTCGGGAGCCGGCAGCAACAACAAAGACGGACAGCATCAAGTTCAACCGCCCGCATGGACGGTAATGGAGCTGGTCCGCTCCATATACCGGGATGTTCCCGAGAGCTTACACCCAGCGGCGGCGGGTGGCGTGGTGCAGATTCTACACAAGCTGCGGCGGGAAGGACGGGTGGTGGTTGTGTCAGAGTCGGGGGACGGCGAGCGGTGGAGCCTTGCCGCCCGGTCCGCGCTGTAGTGATGTGATGCCCGGCCGGTTACTCCGTACCTACGTACAGTAGATGGTCGGCGATGTGTATAATTACGGTTCGGCAGATTGTTTTTTTTTTTTTTTTTACTATTGTTGTTGTTCATTTCACTTTTTGCATGGATTACCTTGGAGTAGGGCCCAATTGACTTGAGTCAATTACTCCCAATGCCTCTTATCGTCGTGTTCTGGTGACCGTCACGATGAGTTGCTGACCGTCTTGCAGCCAGCCTGCTGACCCTCCAGACCTGTACAGTGACGTCAGCGCCCAGTCCTCTCTCGTATCCCCCGCTCTCTCATTGGGCGATAGTTATCTGCTCGACAGGAAGAAGCTCGTTTGACTGAATTTGTCATCCGACTCTTGCTGAACCCAACCTTCCAGCGAACAAGTGCTCTGATTAATCTGACACAATTGTGCGTATCGCTGTCTAAACCACTGTCAGGATAAGAGCTTTGATCAGATCATTCCATCGGTGCCAACATTTTATCGCAATGGATCCCGACTTCCGTCGGCCGTCAGTACTGTGGAGATGCGGGAAGAGTGGAGAACTTTTTAAAATCCTGACTTTTTTTTATTCCCTCTTTTCTGATCGCTGGTCGCGTCGCTAAAGTCGCGTAATGACGTCTTTCATATGAACCCCACTGAAAAACTTCCAGAGAACGGAAATGTGGGCAAGGCAAGACCCTTCTACGTTTCCGGAGGGTGTTGCACTGCGTCTTTTCCCGGGACCTGTACTGTAGACGCTGTGGATCGTCGCACTGTGTCCAGTACGGACCCTTCTTTGACACTCACCATTCATCGCGTTCCATCGGGTGTGATGGCGAGTTGTTTGAAGCGATGGTAGTGAAATATTACTGTTGCAACTTCGAAACGCATTTAAACCTGTCCACAAACCGATGCAGATGAGGCAAGAAACAAAAACAACCCTAGCGACCCCAAACCCTTGCTCCCGCTTTGTGATCGACGTTCGTTTCTCTCGTGCGGCACGGACCTCAGCAGGGATGTGAACTGGTACGGTGATTTGCAGGATCCAGGACGATGGCGCGATCCCCCGGCGCATCAAAGTTTCAGGGCCGCCTGCATCGCCTTTGGCGCCGATGCGGGGAGAGGTGATGTGTTTGGTGGTTATTTTGTTGGAGGTTTTCACGGACCTCGGTGAGGCGGACACTACGTAGGAGAGTTCGTCGAACGATTCACACTACTAGTCAGGAAGAACTCAGAGAGGGGACCTGAAAGCGTGGACGTGCCGGCAGAATGGAGACCGTCCGTGTTGTTCTCGCCGAGACCAGCAAACCGTCTGATAAATCCCCTCTTTGACCCCTCTTATTTTACCGTGGTTTGTGGGCGAGGAGACACGTGGTGGTCCTCATTCACCGGGGCGCTCGGGGTTTCGTAGACTCCGACTCCGTTGGCTAGTTGACTGCTGCCCCAGTCCGATTTGTAAGAGAGAAAAAGATTTCGCTCTGGCAAAGAGCCCAACGAGAAGCCGGAGGACAAAAAAAGGGCCCAGCGGCCAAGTGATGACTGGTCCAGTGTGAGACGGCTTCCTGCAGCATGAGGTGCGCCGAGAATCGCTGTTGTCGCTAGTACCGTGACGCTACGGTACTGTGTGGGTAAGGTGTGGGAGGTACGTATCAAGCCCCCCGGAGGGGGGGGGGGGAGAGGCAGGCGTGGGTCGGATCCATGGCTACATGCATGCCAAAGGCCATTCATCGACGTTCTCCCTGTTTCCATTGTCAAACCCCTCCAGCCGACGACGTCTGGGCGCGTTTGCCTTGGTGGCTTGCAGATCGTCGACCCGTCACACGACGGCCATCCGGTGTCCGAACTGGCAGCTCTCCTCTCACCATCGTGACTCGTGAGATCGCTGAGATCGCCGGCGTCGACATGGCCAGCAGAAAGTCGGCAGGGACCACATTTTCGGCGTCCTGCACGCTACCACGGGTCGGCAGGAACCGACCCCACATGGTTCGCTTTTGAAAAAAAAAAAAACATTTTTCGGGCAGGCTCGCTCTCCAGCTCGTGACGACTGCCGCTGCCCGCTGTGCCGCTGGCTCGCACCTATCACCGGCCCCACCAAGCACTCCGGCAGCAGGCCCTCCAGCCACCGGCAACCTTAACGGGACGTCCGCTGTTTATTTGCTATTGCTGCATTGTTCCGATGCTGCTGGATCGCTACAATGACTTTCGATTCTGCGCTGCAACAAGCAAAGCCTGATGTTCTGGAGGGGTGGGCTGATGTCGAACTGCCGATGCTTGAGGCAACCTCCCTGCCAACTATTAATACCCGCTGGAGAATCTGTACCTACATGGGGGAAAAGAGGCATCCATCTCCAATTGATGAAGGACATGCGTACCGTAGACATCCGTAAGCAACAGGTCCGTCCGGTGGGCGCAGATCAGGGAAACCTTTCCAAACATTTTGAGGTGGCAGCGAAACAAAACTGTCTTCGACGCTCATCGCCCCACACAGTGTGGAGCTACGGAGCCGCCACAGCGAACCCCGCGACTGATGCCTGACGCCGTTGGCCCAAGACCTGGAGCGCTTTTCTCGGATGGCTCGGACCTGCGATTGCTACAGCCCGCAGTCCTCACCACAGCGAAAGGAAGGCGTGCCTTTTCAATCCCAGACAAGGACCCGCGCGGCCGCGCTGTTGGACGGCTTTTGGAGGGGAAGAGGGGCTCCCATCAGTCCCCATTCTCCCCCATGTGGCCTGATGGTGCCTGCCCATGGAACCCCGACTGCTACACGGTCACGGGCTGTTTTTGGGCGTCCTTGGTTCTGGCTTACCAATCAACGGTCGCCTCTGTTCGAAATGGGGAAAAGGCGCTCTTCGGCGTCAACATGATGCGCAGGGCGCACTGAGCAAGTGAGTGGTTCATGGATGGACCGCTGGCGCATTGAAGCATCGGCGCCCGGCCATTGGAGTTTCTTGGGTCCTGGCCCTCGAAACTTTTCTGTCCTTTTTTTTTTTATTAGGCGTCTCCGTTCCCGATACCCGACGCCTGTGGTTGCTTCCCGCTTCCGGAGAGTCATCGAGAGCGCGCGAGAGAGCGAGAGCGTCGAGCCTCGTCGTTTTAAGAAGTAAACAGCAGTTGCTGGAAAGTCGTGTGTGTGTGTGTTTTGTGTGTGTGTGTGGACGGCCCCTCTCTCTCGCCATCTTTTTGATGGTCGATCTCTGGTCTAGTCTTTGATCTGATCCTGTGTCTTGTCCTCGACCCTGGTGGACTCCTCCAATCCCACCTCAATCCACTTCCGCTTCCCTTCCCTACCTTTCCCTCGAGAAGCTGGTCCACTATCCAACACCCACACCTGGACCCGACTCACACTCACAAGAACCTTGAAAACACTGGACGACGGACACATCCTCCGAACTTCTGAACCCGACTCTCCATCCATGACACATCTGCCCGCTGGGCACTGACGTACCGCACATACATACTCTCGCTCACACTTACACACTTACACGCTTCCTGTCGTCGATATCACGCCCAACCCCGGACTGAGAACAGACACAAACTGGCTCGTCTTCCACGGCAGTCCCAGTCAAACCCCAGATCTCAGATCACAGCCAGCCAGCCGGGGGCTTGAACCCTGACAAGTTCGAGTCGGTTCGCAGTCCGATCTCGAGCTTCCAGCTCGTGCGCTCAGCCCCAGGCGCCGTAGGAACCGATTTTATATAATACCCAGAGTGTAAACACAGCCAGTCGCCCCCATGAAGTTGATCGCGACCTCTGTCTTGCGCGCCCTCGCCGCCGCGGCCGTGCTGGGTCTTGTCCCGGCCGTGCTGGCCCACGGCGGCGAAGAGAATGCTCACAGCGCTCCTGCGCCTGCTCCTGCTGCTGGTGGGCATGGAGGAGGGCATGGCCATGCCATGGACCCTCCGCGCCCTGACTCGGAGTACCCGCCTAACTACTTCAGCCATCCGGATCACAAGGCCGTCATCTATGCGCACATTGCGTTGATGGTGCTGGACTGGGTGTTTATCCTGCCTGCAGGTAAGTTGATTCGATATGTTTGTAGTTGGAAGAATAGGGGTAGCTAGGGAATAGCGGTTGACACACTCTCCCAGCCGTCATGCTCTCGTTGGCGCGCTCGCGCTATACCCTCGTGGTCCAATTCGTCTTCCTGGCTATCAATGGCGGCGCTGTCTTCCTGGGCATCCTGTACAACGCCAGCACACCCGATCTGTACCCGAACAACGCGCACCACAAGCTCGGCTGGATCGTCACCTTCGTCTTTGGCGCCCAGGTCGCCATCAGCCTGCTGGCCCGTGTCGCCGGCTACCTGACTGCTCGTAAGTCTGGCATCTCGGAGAATGCCCGTTCCGAGGAGCGCCAGGGCTTCATTCCTGTCTCGACCGAGGCCATGGTTGAGCACGAGGCCATGTACTCCTCGACCCCGTACCACCGCTTCTCGAACGATAGTGGCCATGGTACCGAGCCGCGCACCGAGTCGCTGCGCAGCCATTCGCTCTCGAGCCCCGACTGCTCGCAGCTACCTGAAGATGCCAACAAGGAGTACAATATCGGCAGTCATGATGATGATGACTCTGATGAGGATCTTGAGGCCGCGCACCTGCCAATGTTCAAGAAGTCGAGCAAGGCTCATGAGGTTGTCGCCAACATTGCCGGCAAGATCTCGAACCGCTTCTGGAAGGTCCTGTTGTTTGCTTACAACTTCATCGACCGGACTATCCTGATCCTCGGCTTTATTACCCTGTGCACGGGTATTGCTACTTATGGCCGCTTCTTTGTGAGTGCGTCCCTTTCAAGTAGAGCTCTAAATTGTCAGTACTCTAACCCCTTTACAGGAGGGCTCTAAGATCTTCAGCGGTCTGGCGCACTGGATTAAGGGCGGCGTCTTCTTCTGGCTCGGTATCTTCACTCTCGGCCGCTGGGCTGGCTGCTTCGGTGAGCTGGGCTGGGTAAGTGAAAAAAAAAAACAAAAACAAAAACAAAAAACAAAAACAAAAACAAAAACAAAAAAAATATTTCGTTATAATTATTGAAAATTATAAAAACTGACAAGTCATGTAAGGCCTGGAACATCCGTCCCAAGATCCCCGGCCAGAAGTGGCGTCCTACCGCTGAGTTCGTTGAGAGCGCTGCCATCTTCTTCTACGGATCGACCAACATCTTCCTTGAGCACCTTGGCGGCTGGGGTGGTGAATGGACCCCTACTGACCTCGAGCACCTGTCTATCACTGTCCTCTTCATCGGCGGCGGTCTTGTAAGTCTCACGCACCAACAACCTCTTATCTTGGCTCAATTCCCAGTACTAACCCTCCCAGTGCGGTATGCTCATTGAATCTTCTCGCATCCGCTCTCTCCTCAACTACACCGTGACCGACTACGCCCAAATCACCCCCCGCAACAACACCAACAACCGCCGCGACCCCGAGCGTAACGACCCTGAAGAGCTCCAGGAGCCCGAGACCTACAAGTTCTCCATGAACCCCATCCCCGCCCTGGTCATCCTGCTCTTGGGTATCATGATGTCTTCGCACACCCAGGAGACCATGATGTCGTCCATGGTGCACAAGCAGTGGGGCGACCTGCTCGCCGGCGCCAGCTTCGCGCGCGCTCTGTCGTACCTGCTGATTTATCTGAAGCCGCCCAAGTCGGTTTATCCCAGCCGGCCGCCGACTGAGCTGTTGACGTCGTTTGGGCTGATTGCCGGTGGATTGATCTTTATGGCTAGCGTAAGTCCCGTTAACTTGACTCTCATTGTCTTCACTGAGGAGTTGCAGAGACTAACTGACTTAAATGCAGGCGAGCGATACCGTCGATGGCATGATCCACAAGCAGCTTGACGTCATGTTCCTGTACACCGTCACCATGGGCTTGGTTGGCCTGATGATGGCGTACACTCTGCTCATGATCTCGCTTAAGAACTGGGCGAGGAGGAAGGAGATGCGTGCTGCTGGCCGGCGCTAAGCGTCGTCAGCTTAGCAAAAGCTATCTCGCTATCTCGGTGGCTCTTTGATGAGCTGAAGATGAGATGGCTGGACAGATCCTTCATCTGTCGGTATGTCTCGAGAGCGCTGTTCCATCACTGGAGGATGCTCTCTTACTCGCAGTATACATATATGTCTATCGGGGGCCAAGTCTCTCCCTGAAACCTCTCATAAAATTACTCAAGGTCCTCTCTCTCTTAAGAGAGAGAGAGAGAGAGAGAGAGAGAGAGAGAGAGAGTCTTCCTCAAGCCATAGCATTGGTGGCGTTGTACCGGCGGTGAGATTCCTCATCTTGTCATCGTCCTGCAGAGATACCCCCCTTTTCTCATCCTTTTCGGTGGTCTCGAATGAGAGGGCTGCATTGTGCGGGACGATGGGTGGTCATTTCATTGGATGAACTGAGTTGGATGGATGATGAAAACAACAAAGTGAAATGGGATACCCCATTCAATGGGCGTATCTCAATGGTGAGGAAGAATCAAAAAGGGGCTCGAAGGGGATAAGGATGGATGAATGGATGGGTGGGTGGGTGGGTGGGTGGATATATCGGGTTGTAGTAATGATGATGGTTATGCGTCTATATACCCTACTCTCTTTTATCTAGGAGAAAACGGACAGAGACGATTAATGGAAATCGTAATGGTTGTAACATTGCTGATGCTGCTTGTACAAATACCTACACATGCTCTACTACATACTTGGTACTACTGACAAGATTGCAAACTATAAAAGTGGCCTACTTGCTAGTTCTGCTCATGTAGTGACTATGCGGTGTTGCCGAAGGATCTTGTGTTCAGGGGATGCGATCTCGAACCATGGCTCCGTACCGGAACTTCATAGCAGCAGAGGTGTTTACACCCGATCCATGAAGGCCCCAAAACAACACTCCGCCAGCGGATGTGAAATTACAAAATATCTACCCGCGAAACGCCTCGGGAGAGAAAAAAAAAAACCGTCCATACCTACTGTACTGCATCCCAGTAAGAACTGAATTGTCCCAGTTATTCCCATTTTGATATCCCGAAACACCTTACCAGCAATAGTAAACCCACGACTTCCGTTAATTCCTTTTTAACCCCGACCTGAGAGGCCATCCATCCCTCAGTCATCGGGATAGTACTCCTTAATATTCGACACGAACATGCACCGCTCCGGATCGAACCGCTTGAAAAACTTTCCGGCAACGAAAAACAGCTCCTCGGGGATCTCCCTTGGGTCCGTAATCGGAACTACATTCTCCTGCGCGACACGCAGTCGGTCGACCGTCGATTTCCTACCAGCAGTCAAACATGTTAACATTCCCATGCATTACAACAGACTCACGCCCGGGGAGGGAAAAAAAAAATCGAAACACGCACAAGCAAGTATAGAACGTCCGCTGCGGCACGGCATTGCTCGCCCGCACAGACTCTGTCGGATCGAATACGTCCCCTTCCTCCTCTGCCTCCGCGGCGTCGAGGTAGTGCGGCATCGGTAGGCCGGCGCTGCCTGTCGCTGCCCAGCCGTTGATCACACCTACGTACTGGTATCGTCGGTGCCGGAAGACCTGGCCGATGCGGTAGCGTACGCGCGCGTTGATGTCGGCTGTGTAGCGGCGGCTGACTGTTGGTTGGCGGTTGTCCAGGTTCTCAAGCATGGCGACGATCTCGTGAAGGTTCTCCCATCCCGAGCGCCGGCGCCGATTGTTAGCTGCCGCGGCGCCGTGGTTGAGCGCGTTCTTATTCGCGATGAACTCTTCGTATAGGGGGGCTAGGTATTTGCGCACAATCCAGGTGTCTTCGCTCCAGGAGAGGGCGAAACATTTGAGGAAGGCGCCTAGGTTGGTGTCCCAGTGGAAGGAGGTCGTTTGTTTCATGAGCAGGTCGGCCCACATCGAGGCGTAGACTGCCGCGCTGAGGTTGCGCATTGGGTGCCCGCTGCGCAGGCGCTTGAGTTCCTCGGCTAGGCGGTCTTCTTCTACGCTGGTGTTGGCTAGGCTGTGGACTGTGTCGTGGGTTGCTTTGATGTTTTGCGCCGTGCGCTGCACGATGATGGGGACTGGGGAAGGAGTGAGGAAAGCGTTGGTGCCGGATTGCCAGCCGAACTCGACAAGTCGGCGGCGGAGGTCGCGAAGCGTGATCTCATTGTCAGAACCGTAAGGGTCGAGGCACATCTTTTCCGGCTCGGCCTTGGGATCCTCGACGGGTCTACCGTCCAGCGTTCTGCCGGGAGGAGCAAAGACAGCGGCGTGGACATGGCTGGGAAATGCCAGGCATGCAGCATGAAGCCCTAGACGCTCGGCCACACAGGTGAAGATGGCGCTCGAGATGATGGGGAGAGAGGGATGTTCCTCGTCTGAGAGCGCATGCCCGATGAAACAGTTCCTCAAGCTGCGGTAATAGAGGTCGGGGTGGTCCATGCCAGTCAGGTTGTTGGCTCTCAGCCATCTCACTAACGTTAGGGCCTTCTGTCTTGTTGTCAACTCCTCGAACGTAGGGTGCTCTGCTCGGAAGCGGTCGGCGATAGCATCTAGTTCGTGGACAATCTAGGCAGCCGTCATCTATCAGTTTGGGACATGTACAAAGGAACACACATATCACGAGTCAAAAAGTCACATACATAGTCCAGGTCGTAAGGCTGGTCATGGAGCACAAACATGTCGAAGGCACCGAGAGCCGTGTCGAGTCCCCTGTAACTCAATGGCTGCCCTTGGTATCGGGACCAAACCTCCACTGCCACGCCCCTATGGATGCTGTCCAGAGCGGTATGCGCATAGTATCTCCTCGCCAGTACGTCCTCTGCGTTCTCATCGCAATGGCACTGCTCCAAGAGGTAGTCCTTGGCGTCGTAGCCCATCTCGCAGATCTGTCCTAAGTTCCTCATCTGGCCAACCTTCGTCCTCAGCACCTCGTTTAGGAGCTGTGCGATCCTCTTGTTGATCTGTTTCCTGGTGATCCATAAACCCTTCCAGTCCACCGATGATGCAAGCGCGGCCAGCTTCTCATGGAACCTGTGGCGCGGGTGCCAGTACCGGAAGGACTTTTGGCAGTACCATCTCCACAGAAGTGGCTCATTTGCAATGTGGTGGTATCGTCGCGACAGCAGTTGGAAGCTCAAGAGGGTATCCTCTGGTGGCAGATACCAGAGGATATGGCGCACGATCTCATCGGGGATATCGCACAGCGATGACCGCATCGGCATCGCGTGATCACGCTGCGGGCAGTGCAGGGAGCCCGCAGCTGCCCGATGGTTTAAAAACGCGAACTGCTCAGGGGCGCGCTTCGGCTGTGACCGCTTCAATTTCGAGAGCAAGTGCGGGCCCGTCTCCGTATCGCGAAGAATTATGCCGATCGCTTGTCTCGAAGAGCGATGATGGACCCTGCAGCGGGGCAGTCGAAGGGCGGACGATGTATGTGCAAGTTGAGAGAGGAGGGGGGAGCTGGGAAGAGTCGCGTCTGTCAGAGTGACATGCAAACTGACAAAGCTCGGATGGTGTCGTCACGAGAAACCAACTTAAGTGGTTAGAATGTCGACGCCATTCGACCACTGGCATACGACGCACCGCAACTTGGAATTGTTCTTTTCTTGGGATAATTATTCCCTTCTTGGGTGGTTATCGTTCGCGATAAGCTTGGGTTGGCCCTAGCGTCCATAATAACGCGCTGCTCCATTGGACGATAGCGTCTCAAAGCCCCTGTCAGTGGCCCATCAAGTCGCTGACCCCCCTGCCAGCGGGTCTTATCGATCGCGGGGTAGCGACACCGCACAGCAAATTTCCCTGGGCTGACCCCTCGCAACGGCGGTGCATCAGAGTCCGACGGACTGCAGCAGTCTAAAGTTCAATCCGAAGTGACTCACTGTCTGCGGTTTCACAGCCGCAATATCGAATCTTTTTTAGCCAACACCACATCCGTTTCGCGTAACATCCCCATCCCGAGCGTCGTTTGATCAAATCAAGTCCTCGTCTTCGTCTCGCCCACCATGGAGCAGGTCACGGAAGCGATGCAGAAGACCGCCATCAGCGGCGCCGAGAAGAAGGGCAAGAAGGAGAAGAAGGGCGCCGCCCCTGACCCCGCGGCCTCGGGCCCCCTCGAGCTGGACCCATGGCCGCAGTTCATCCAGGACCGTATCGAGCTTTTCGACAAGCTGTACAAGGAGTACCAGGAGGAGATTGCAAAGAAGCCGCGCGAGCCGATCGAGATCACCATGCCTGATGGCACCGTCAAGCACGGCACGTCCTGGGAGACCACGCCCGCCGAGATCGCGAAGAGCATCTCCAACAGCCTGTACAAGCGCACCGTGGTTGCGCGTATCGACGGCGAGACCCTCTGGGATCTTGACCGCCCTCTCGAGAAGAGCTGCAAGTTGGAGCTGCTCGACTTCAACGACGAGCAGGGAAAATTCGTCTTCTGTATGCACCATGTGCCTACAACCTGAGGTTATTGAGGTACAGAAGTATTGACTGGCGCTTTCATAGGGCATTCTAGCGCCCACGTCTTGGGTGAGGCCTGCGAAAGGAGGTTTGGCTGCTCGGTATGATACTCACCGAATATGGGAATCATGAATGTGTCTGCTAACTTTGGTCTAGCTTTGCATCGGTCCTCGTACGTTCAACGTGCCCACTGAGACGCTGGAAGCGCCCTACTAATCAACTCAACAGCGGTCGAGAATGGTTTCTACTATGAGATGGCTCTGCCCGGCGGCGCTGCCGTCCAATCATCCGACTGGGCTCCCCTTGAGGCTATCGTCCAGAAGATCGTGAAGGAGAAGCAACAATTCCAGAGGCTGGTCCGTCCCCTTGATGTGTCTTTGGTTGTAGGAGTACGGGATATTGACACCCTCTGCAGGAGATGACCAAGGAGGATCTCCTGAAGATGTTTGCCTACAACCCCTACAAGGTGCACATTATTAAGGACAAGATTCCGGATGGCACCAAGACTACTGTCTACCGGAACGGTCCTTTGATGTAAGTTAATCCCTGACTTGGTGTCAAAGATTTTCACTAACATGCAATAGCGATCTGTGCCGTGGCCCCCGTAAGTTGCGAGACCCTATTGATGTGGTTGATTGATGCCCCCTAAAAGGATGCTAACAATGCCAAAGACGTGCCTGATACCAGCAGGATCGAGGCCTTTGCTATCATGAAGAACTCCTCTTCCTAGTATGCCTATACCCCTTGGCAATCTCCAGGTACACCAGCTGACAGACTTCAGCTTCCTTGGCGATGCCAACAACGACTCCCTCCAGCGCATCTACGGCGTGTCCTTCCCGGACAAGAAGCAGATGGCTGCCCACAAGAAGTTCCTCGAGGAGGCTGCCAAGCGCGACCACCGTGTCATTGGCAGGCAGCAGGAGCTCTTCTACTTCGAGGAGTGCTCTCCTGGTTCTGCCATGTGGCTGCCTCACGGCATGCGCATCCACAACGCCATCATGGAGTACATCCGTGAGGAGTACTGGAAGCGTGGCTACGACGAGGTCATGACTCCCAATATGTTCAACGTCGCCTTGTGGGAGCAGTCGGGTCACTTGGCCCACTACAAGGAGGACATGTTCCTTCTCGAAGTTGACAAGGAGCAGTTTGGTCTCAAGCCCATGAACTGCCCTGCCCACGCCATGATGTTCCGCCACCGTGTAAGTGACTTAAACGGCCGGTGTTCATCGTTAAGACGCTAATGGCTCGTAGGAACGGAGTTACAAGGAGCTTCCTCTCCGTTTTGCCGACTTCGGTGTCCTTCACCGTAACGAGGCTAGCGGTGCCCTCAGCGGTCTGACCCGTGTCAGGAGATTCCAGCAGGACGATGCTCACATCTGTAAGCCGGACACCCTAGCCTTGATGGTCCCCTGCTAACCTCCTTAGTCTGCCGTGAGGATCAGATCAAGCAGGAAGTCGCCGATCTCTTCGACTTCATGGCCTCCTTCTACGGCATGCTGGGCCTGACCTTCAAGCTTAAGCTGTCTACTCGCCCAGAGAAGTTCATGGGTGATATCGAGACTTGGAACCGTGCCGAGGCCCGCCTGAAGGAGGCTCTCGATGAGTTCGCAGCCTCCCAGAACGGCGTCTCTTGGGAGCTCAACCCTGGCGACGGTGCCTTCTACGGCCCCAAGATCGATATCGCCGTGCTAGACTGCCTCAACGTACGGCTACCCCCCTTACTTTCCGCGAGTCCACATGCTAACCTTCTCGACAGCGCCCCTGGCAATGTGCCACTATCCAGCTCGACTTCCAGCAGCCCATCAACTTCTCCCTGGAATACCAGACCGCTGAGGGCGCGCAGACGGCCGCGCAGAAGGACAAGGAGGAGAAGAAGGAGCAGCCCAAGGCCGAGGAGGCAAAGCCCGCCGTCGACGGCGAGAAGAAGGAGGACGCTGCCGAAAAGAAGGATGGCAAGAAGAAGCCTCTCGTCCCCAAGAAGCCTTTGTCCCCCGGCTGCGCTCGCCCTGTCATGATCCACCGCGCCATGGCTGGCTCGATCGAGCGCTTCACGGCCATTTTATGCGAGCACTTCGCCGGCAAGTGGCCCTTCTGGCTGTCGCCTCGCCAAGTTCTTGTCATCCCTGTCGGCATGGGCTTCCTCGACTATGCCAAGGAGGTTGCGGCCATCCTTAAGCAGGCCCGCTTCTATGTTGACGTTGATAGCTCGGGCAACACCCTGCAGAAGAAGATTCGTAATGGCCAGTTGGCGCAGTGTAAGTCATACCTTTCACATTGTCAAAGGTTTCTAGGAGCTGACGGTTTGTGCCAGACAACTTCATTTTCGTCGTTGGTGACGAGGAGAAACGCAACCGCACGGTCAACATCCGTTACCGCGACGACACCTCTACTCAAGCCCGTGACGTGCCCTATCCACTGGACGAGGCCGTCGAGAAGCTCAAGAAACTCAAGGCCGACCGCGGCATGTACAACCCTTTCCCGCACGTGGCCAAGAAGAAGGAAGAGGGTGAGAAGAAGGAAGAGAACTAAGACTTTCCTTGAAGCATCATTTGGTGTTAAGTACCTAGAGCTAGTGTATGGGAAGATTTTTTGTGGGGATAGATAGGATTGTAATCTTGATCAAATGAAAGATGTGTTGGAAGTCATATAGTGGTGTTGAGTAGGGTATTAATCGCTTCGCTCAGCATGTTCTTGTTCCTATTCACACGCTTTTGACTGTCGAGAAAAGCATCCTTGGTCTTGAGCCATGAAAAGCAGGGGAAAAAAACAAGGAGTGGTATTTGTCTTTGGTCTATCCATCATCCCCGGCTGTTCCTATCCGAAATGTTCAAACCATTGCCCAGACCAGCAGCAGAAAAGGAAATTCACAATCCACACAGAAGGAAAAAACACAAAAAGCAAAATGCAAATCCTTGCCCTCATCACAGCTTCTCTCACCCGTGCTCAACCCTTTCAAATGATGTAAGGAAAGTCAAAATCAAAAACAAGACATTCTCTTTGTTTTCTTTTGGTATCTCCACCACCCATTCGCTTCTTCGCTGCCCTTTTTCCGTTCCCGCTTTTTGACCCTCCCATGCCCTACCTAGATGATGACTTCCTCAAGACTTGACCAGTATTGGCATGTTCCTCCAGTTTTCTTGCTTTCTGTTTCTTTTTGTTTTCCAAATCCCAACGCACCCAAACAAAACTTGCCACTCCACGTTCTCTTTCTCAACACAGTGTAAGGTGTGTTTATGAGGTACCTAACGGACTGAAAGAAGATGGCAAGAAGAGTCTGTTTCTTCAGCCTTGATTGGGGGAAGGGGGGGGGAATACAAAACACAGAAGACAAAGAAACTTGGAATGCGTTGTGTGTTGCTGTTGTTCATGATGAATGAAACAAGTAATCGTGAAAAATGTTAAATGCTGAGGAAAAAAGAGGAGGGTGATTGAGTGGATGAGAAATAAGGATCTACGGCTTCGGGATCCGTATCGTCCGACTGGTCATCAAACACCCGTGCACCATGAACAGCAGCACCGCGGGGTGCACCTCGAGCACCGAGCCTGCCAGCCACACGCCGCCGGGCAATGAGTCGTGTATTTGCCCGCGCGAGATCCATAGTGCCATGAGCGCATCGAGAGCCAACGTCGTGGGGATGGGTGTGCCCTCAAAGTACTTGACTTTGCCAGAGGCATCCTTGGGGATGGCTGTTGCGGTCACGTTGAACCGGGCTAGGCGGGTCAAACCGCACAGGACGAAGAAGCCAAGGCAGAGATGGTCCAAAGGCGTGCGGATACCGATTGCGAAGGCGATTGTTGCCGGGGCGACGCCGAAAGAGATCTGCGAAAGGGCAGTTAGCATGATGTGAGAGTGTAAGGGGCAATATAAGAGAGACAGCATACCAAATCAGCCAGAGAGTCCAACTCCTGCCCCATCATGCTGCTCTTCTTCCTCCACCGCGCAACACGGCCATCCAGGAAGTCAAAGAAGAATGCGAAGGGCAAGAGGGAGAGGGCTGTCCAGAGGTTGCCGTGCGATGACGGGTCGCCGAGACAGTAGCGCATGGAAGAGAAGACCGAGAGAATACCGCAAAGGCCTGCAATCGGAGAACATCAAACAATGCTTTTGTTAGCCATGGTTCACAACCGGCGAATGGAACACCCTGCGTCGTAAGGTCCGGGGGTGGTTCACCCACCATTGAGTTCAGTGATATAGTCTGCCAGGTGTAGGGCACGAATGAGGGAGAAGTGGCCTGAATCGGAGGACAGTAGCAGTTTCTGCTTGTTGTCTACTGCTGGGACTGGAAGAAGAAGGGAGTCAATATTGTGGTTCGGCATTTTTCTGCTGCCGTGGATGACCGGCAGCAAAGGACAAGTGGAAATAGACATACAAGACGCCGGCGGGCTAGGACTAGCAACGGCCGTCTCCCGAGAGGAAGAGGCCGCGCCGTTAGCGGCGGCCACGCTGTTGCGTTTTGACATGCCTCCCGAATCGGGGCCTGGATGAGGGGGCCTCTGCAGGTGGGAGGTAGGTATGTGGGACTGGGGACTACTCCTATGGGGGTTGATTTTTTTTTGGAGTCGTCACTCGGGCTGGACTGGACGACGGCCGCCAGCAGGCCAGAAGCTGGAAGTCCGGAGGAGGGGAAGAACTTAAGGAGGGCTCAGTCGGAGGGATAGGAAGACTGCTCAACTTGCTGGCCTCTGCAGAGTGCAGACTAGGTGTGTCACAGGTCCGGAGTGAGTCGGAGGGCAAGTCAAGGCCAGGCTTTCTGGCAGGTGGTCCCGAAGACAGCAGTCCAGCACCACTGGCGGACTGACCGTTAGAACGCTCTGGGTAACGGTAACGGTGTTGTTTGGAGCCGGCTGTTGACCCGTCGTTGGCTCCAGCTTTTTTGACTGGTTTTTGATGGGGGCACCGGGCAGTGGAGACTGGGCCAGGGGGCCTGGCTAGTCTGATGCTTGGCAAAGGGTACTCTACCAGTCTTCTGCGGCAGTTGACCGCCTTTGCCAGAACGGGAGAGATGCCAAGATCTGGCCTTCCCCCACGTGAAACAGGAGGATTACGTCATGGAATAAGGCTTCATCCCAAAGTCCAACGTTTGCTGGACGTGTTGTTAAAGAGATAATGACTTGACTCTACGGCCAAAGAATTCTTTCAGGATGTGTTGTTGCTGTTCAAAGTCCCAAGGTGTCACGGTCGCCACAGTTTAAGTGAGGGAATGATCCTTTCAAAGTGAAAGTGAAGATCCAGAGACCAATGTAGTTATTATGTATTGTTCTTAACTTCGATGACACCCACGCGATTATTGGGATTCACACATGGACCAAAATCGCCAAGGGAGGAAAGTTTCTTGAAGGTGGCACAGCCGACGCATTCCAGTTGTTTAATGGTTCAGCGCCTCCCCCTGACATACGTACCAACAGGTCTATGCCCTAGAGACACAACGCCTCATGTAAGCGTTCTCGATATACCATATCCATCGACTTCTTCTAGAATCCACTTTGCATCTGCACCTTCTCATGCAACTCTTTCAACACCCCATGTTGTGCCAACTTCTTCACCCACTCATGAATGGCCGCCGTATGGTCTTTTGTCCTACCAAAGACTGCTGCAGCTGCCGACTCCTGACCCCCGAGACTTGTCCGTAGCTCAGCCTCATACTCATTGCGAATTCGTTTCTGCTCTTTGGCGGTTTTCTCCCAGACTTCGAGACCTGCTTGAACCGTTTGAGTCTCGGGGAAATTGGCCGACTCCGTTCGATCAGGACAAGTAAGAATATCCTCAGCATCGAGCTGGTACGCAGCTAGCCTCGTATCCTCCAGCCGGTAGATAACATCAGGGTCGGCATCGGCGAATCTTGAGGCAGTCCATTCTTGGTTGGCCGAGCTCAGTTTGGCATTGAGCTGATGTAGTATCCGGATATTTTCTGCCAGTCGGCGACGTCTGACAGAGAAGTTGTCACCGCAGAGCGCCATCAGGCTGAATGAGAGCCTCTCGGTTTCATAGCGCATCATGCGCTTTTCGAGCACTGGTTGCATGACCGAAGTCCATGGTTTGTCTGGTGGGTATTCTCCTAACTTGAGTTAGTCAAAAGAACGGAGTAGGGAGCCCGAGACGCTTACCAATGCATACGGGGCCCGTTTTGAGCCCATCAAGCTGCCACACTTTCCGGCCGACTGGTACGTAAGCGATGAAGTGGTAGGCAGAGTCGGTTACGGACTTTGATTTTGACTTAGCTTTCCGGTTTGTTGCCCTGGCACGCTTTTTCCTTTTGTCCACCTCATTCTCTAGACAGAGGGCCGCGTTTAGAAGGTCCAGGCGCCTATTTGGAGTTAGAGGGAAGAACCAGGACGACTATTGGTAACGAGACATCCTACCGAGCAAAAGAGTTGTGCGCCAGACGAATCCAAGTGCTGTTGGTAATCAGGTTTCCTCGTAGTGGCGGGGATAAGGGCAACGATTCCTCTTTGAATTGACGGAGTTTCTCCCCAAGCTCCAGGCCCTCAGCATTCATGATGATGTTTAGGAGCGCTATCGTCGCGCAGGCGTTGGCTGTGGTCTGTAGAAGGAGTTGTCAACGATGCCCTCTTTCTTGAATGAAAGATTGACAGACTGATGTACCTGATTTGCAAACCACACTCCCTCACTTCCCTGGACTTCGTCTCCGCCCTCTTCTTCGATGTACTCATAGAGAAAGACCAGTCCATAGACAGGATGACTGCGGATCTAGGTATTAGAATCAAGCTGATCGAACAGGGTAGCCCGGGATTGTAGTGACTTACGAGAGAGCGGCAAAAGAGTCCTCATCGACTGAGAGCACTTCTTCTATCTTTGCTCCCTTTACTCCGAGAAGACCCAATATAGCCGTGAAGAATGCCTACTTAAGGAGTAAGCATGGGGTTATGGGGGCTAATTAAGCTAAGTATGTATGCAGAGATTGGCTTACTGGATCAGACTCCAACTCGACCCAACTTGGCCATTCTGTCTGCTCATTCTCCTTCCAAGGCCCAAGCGACGTCTCCAAGAGGTTTTCTCGAATGTCGAAGACTTCAGGAACACTCTTTCGCTTGGGGTTCCGACGGACTGATGGGGATGCGGGGGCCTCTTGCTGTGATGCTTGTGTTTTGTCTTTGGGACTGTCCAGCTTGCTATAACCTGGCGGTTTCCTCACACGGCCTGAGCGGCGAAGGGGTAGCATGGCTCCATTTTGTTCTGGGGTTATTATGGTTTCTCCATCAACTGCTCCTCCATCGACCATTCCAGCATTTGATCTCCTTTTTGGGCCCATGTTTGGAGTGCTAATAGGCCATGGGAGGTAATTAAGTAAGGTCAATTATGACAAATCTGATGTCAAGTTTTGTTGGAGCGGAGCCCAAAACTTCGGAGCCGCTATAATGGATCAAAGCTACACAACAATGTTCTTGCTCGCTGTGATGTCACGAAGGCACAACAACTTTTACTTGTAGTTCTTGGTTCGGGCTTTTGATGTTAGGTGTAAGTGAAAGCTTTTGTGTGCTTTTATCGCTAAGATATACTGACCAAATGGAGATACGTCTATGCCTAGCCGTATCGTAGTGGCTTGCGAGGGTCCAGATTTTGTGAAGTGGTATTAGTTGGGAAAGCGGGTAGGCATTGGAACTCGGCAAGATCAAGAGGGATCATGTGTGTGACTAGTCTTTGAGTTTTGGGTAACTTGATTGCAGGGATCAGGACCAGAGACAACAATGAAAAAAAAATCAAATTCAATTGCAAGCGATGTGATTATATTTCAAGAAATAATTATCATTTTCGCTCACAGTTTGGGATGTTTATATCTCCTGAGGGTTCAGGTTCCATTCAGCTTCTATCCGACTTCAAGGTGTTTGTTGGCTTGCTGAGCATGATTTCGAGCTGTTGGTTGGTGGGCCAGAGAATTGGTGGGGAGCTGTGGGGTGCCTTGGCTGGATGAACCAATCATGTGGTGACAATGATCACCCGTTTAGGACCCTGGCCTGAGGTTTTGCTCTTGGTTTTGCAGCACAACCACAGCGCGGCATTGAAGACCAGACCGCGTCTCGACGTGCCACTCCAAGCCGACAGGCAGGAATTTTGGGAGTTCGACAGCTCCAGCAGAAATGCGTGGAGTCCAGGCTGCATCCAAACTACAGCAGCCATCGCCGACACAGAATTCTCGTTAGCTGCCAGTGGCAGCCTCTGAAGAAAATTTCCTTTGAATAGCTTCTTTTTTGACCAGACAAGCTACGAAACGATCTGTCTCGAAGCCCAAGAGGTGCCAGGCAGCTTGATCGCGACACCACCATCGGCCGCGACGTTGACGCATCGACAACCACTCTTCTTATTGTCCTCGCATCCCTTTTACTAGCAGCTCCTCCTGGGCTCGGGATGCAATGAGTGACGCACCCGCTGTCGGCGCCTTCCCGCAGACGCCCGTGGCGGCGCGACGGGGTCCTGCGAGGCCCTCTGACTCAACTACATCAACAACAATAAAGAGAACAAGTCCTTTACCGCTCGCGCCACAAGCAGGTCGCCAGGCAACCAACATTTCCCCGGTAATACCGTTACATATACTCGATGCGCCAACACAGCGCTTCTACGCGTTTGCCTTCTACCTGGCCCTCACGGCCTGGAAGCTCTACGACTGGACCCAGGTCCTCGAAGAGGATACCGAGTCCTTCTTGCTCTTCTTAAAATGGATCGCCATCGATTGCGTGTTCCTCTTCGGGCTACCGGAGCTCAGGATACCGTGGCTTGAGCTGTCACAGCCGTTCGTCATGGTGGCGTTTGCCATCCATGCCATGTTTGATTGGATTCTCATGTTCAACATTGGCGTATGTCTCTCTTGGTTTTGGGCTCAAGGCTTCCGCCTGTTTTTTAAGACTTACTGACTGGTTGTGTGTAGTTCCCTTGGCAGTCTTGGGTTATCGGGCTCCTCAAGGTCTTCTACGACCGAGAGATAGCGATCTCGGAGCACAACGTCAAGCTGTCCAGCATTCTGCAAAACTCCTCGTTGATCATGGGTCGCCAGATCATTAATATTCTTCCCGAAGGGTGAGCGAAATGAATATCTCCTTACCATGGCATGTTGCTGACTAGGTCCAGATCTGCGATTCTCAACCCTGAGCTCCAGCCCTTCTGTTTGGGCGGCGACCGGAAAACTGCAAATATCCCCATCTTTTTCAATTCCACAATCCCTGTCGAGGTTGAGCTGATCCGGACCGATTTCGAAACCGGTCAGCAAGAGTCTATCAAGCTGAGCAAGAGCCAGCTCCGCGATATCGAGCGTCGCGCGAAGAGGGAAAGTCAGGATGGCGATACTGTGCAGAGCATTGTCCAGTTCGACTTCCCGGTCAAGAAGACGGGTGCATATAGACTCGGCCGCGTTCTTGACGAGTACAAGCTGGAGGTTCAGCGGAGAAACCCATTGACTTTTGTGGTATCTTGCCCAAAGGCTTGGGTCGGCCCTGCGCTGTCGGCCCATCGCTGCGTTGGCGATCTATCGGATCTGTCCATGATGGTGGAAGGCACACCCCCGCTCAAGATTAAGTACAGCCGTATGATCAATGGCAAGGACCACAGCTTCCATTTCCAGAGTCTCCAGCCGGAAGGTTTCGTGTCTCCCCTGAGCGGATTGCGGTCAAACAACTGGGGTTATGACGAAGACGATATCTCCTGGGCCCGGGCTCAGAAGGTTCCTGTGGGGCTCAACGAGTCTATGCACTCCAGCGGCGACTGGCAGTATTCCATCGACGAGGTTCAGGACGGCTTCGGCAACATTATCAAGTACGACTCCCTAGCCGATGATCCCGACGGCAAGCCCAAGCCCAAGCATCTCACGCAGAGCTTCGTGGTCAAGAAGCGGCCTGTCATTCGCTTGGAGGGTTGCGATCTTAGGCATCCTCTCAAGGTGGCCAAGGGGAAGTCGAAGAACCTCCCCGTTTCGTACGGTCTCTCCGGTGGCTCGCGCGAGGATTCGACTTATCAGATCGCTTGGCAGTTCTCACCGATCGATACGCTTACCGAAAGTGGTGACCATGGCGATGTGGTTACGATCGGCACATACACTGCCAAGAATAATCGCGACAGACCGACCATTTCTGCCCCTGGTCTCTACACTCTCAAGTCGGTGTCTGCGAGTCAATGCGAGGGTGAGATTCAGGAGCCGTCTTCTTGCCTGTTGCTCAATCCATTGGAGCCGAGGCTTTCTCTTCGCCACGAAGAAATCCCGGACACATGCGCTGGCAACTCGATTGGTCTCAGGGTGGATCTGGATCTCATTGGTACCCCTCCGTTCATCGTTAGGTACGACGTCATTTCGAATGGCGAACGACGGTCTGAACGGGTGAGCATCCCTGGCCTGCGGTACCAATTGGATTTGGTTCCCCGCATTGCTGGTCACCACAAGTACATCTTCACGCATGTTGGCGACTCTATCTACGATGGCCAGAAACTCTCCGGTCCTGAGTATGTACTTGAACAAGACGTCAAGCCGGCGGCGGCTGCGTTGATCCAGCACAGCACGGGCAAGATGAGCTCTTGCCTCGGCGATCAGGTCACTGTTGACATCCTGCTTCTCGGCGATCCTCCGTTCACTCTCGAATGGGAGCTTATTCATGACGGCAAGAGGAAGCAGTTCAAGGTTCCGAATATCCAAGAGAACTCGTATCAAATCAAGACTGCTCCTTTGACTACCGGTGGCGAATACACTCTCGGATTGACCAGCGTCCAGGACAAGAGAGGCTGCCGGAACTTCTTGCAGGAGGAGCTCAAGATCTCCGTCCGGCGTCAGAGCCCCCGCGCCGCTTTCGGTCAGGTCGATGGCAAGCGCAAGATCTTGGCTGTGGAGGGTTCGTCTGTCAAGCTTCCGCTCCGTCTTACTGGGGAGGGGCCCTGGAAGGTTTACTACGCCAACCTCCATGATGGTTCGCCAGACAAGCCCAAGGTCCAGGAGAAGATTATCAAGAGTGACAACGGTTTCCTCGAGGTTCGGGGACGCGGTGCTTTCGCGATCACAGATGTTTGGGACAGCCAGTGTCACGGTGTCGTGGATCCGAAGGCTTCCAGATTCGATGTCGACTGGTTTCCGCGGCCCGAGCTCTCTGTTGCTCTTACCCATGGTGTGTCGAAGACCGAAACTGGCTTCCAGCTTCAGGATGTCTGCGAGGGCGACGTATCTGGTTTCGAGGTTGCTCTCAAAGGTGAGTTATACAAATTCGAGACGGTGCTAAGATGGGCTTGCTGACATGTATGAGTAGGCACTCCTCCCTTCACTGTGGAATACGAAGTTCGCCATCATCCACTCCAGGGTTCCAGCTCTTTAAGCAAGAAGAAGATCGAGGGAGTCGTTGGCAAGGAGGCTATCCAAGCCGACACGTCCAAGGCTGGCACGTACACCTACAAGTTCACGGCCCTGGAGGACGATCTTTACTCGAGCAACAGAGGCTTCCAACCTATCATCGTGAAACAAAATGTCAACCGGAAGCCGACGGCCTCGTTCGTCAAGCCCGGACAGACCTTCAAGTACTGCAAGTCCGAGCAGGACAATGAGGATGGTATCCCGATCACCCTCACTGGCGTACCTCCTTTCTTCCTCGAGGTTGAGATCAAGCACCAGAGCGCCGCCGTACCCGAAATATACCGGACTCCCGCCATCGATTCTCACTCCTACGAGCTCAAGATCCCCCGGCACCACCTTCGCCTGGGCACCCAGCACATTCGCATCCGCGATATCCGTGACGGCAGTGGATGCCATTCGACATCCGGTATTCTCAGCGGCCCGTCCGTCCAAGTCCAGCTGTTCGAAGCACCCACCATCTACCCCCTCGAGACCCGCACCGATTACTGCGTCGGCGAGCGCATCTCGTACACCCTCTCAGGCCAGGCGCCCTTCGAAGTCTGGTACACCTTCAACGGCGTGGAGCTCAAGGCCAAGTCTCCCAACACCAACTTCCGTCGTATCGCCGAATCGCCCGGCGAGTTTACCATCACCTCTGTTTCCGACAAGGCCTCGGAATGCCGCGCTCCTGTCTCCATCACTAAGACCATCCACCCGCTTCCCGCGGTTCGCATCAGCAAGGGCAAGAGTGTGCGCGTAGACATCCATGAGGGCGGCGAGGTCGATATACTGTTCGAGTTCTTCGGCACCCCGCCGTTCGAGTTCACTTACACGCGTAGCACGAACGCTCGTAAAGGGCAAAAGTCGCAGGTGCTGGAGACGAGGCATGATATTAGCCACGAGCATAGCAAGGTAATTAAGGCTAGTCAGGAGGGTACATATGAGGTGGTGGCGATCAAGGATAAGTACTGTTCGTTTTCGACACAGGCGGTGGTTGGGCTGGAAGGAGGGAAGAAAGATAAGACGAAGAAGTTGAAGGTTTATTGAGGGCGGACCTCCGATTGTGATTGGTTGGGTAAGGAGGAAGAAGGGACAACAGAAAAAAAAGATTACACTGAGGACTAGGATTTCAGGAATGAAGATTGTGTGGGCCGTTTGCCGCTTTTTTTACAATGGGATAAACAATGTTTTGTATTGTATACAGACAGGGGAGGAGAGAGGGTCATCCATCCATACATAGCATGGCGTTCTTCGGGGATAATGAGACGGTATTCTTGTTTGGAACTCGATTCTCGTTGAGGTGTGTGTCAGTAGTCTCCTGCCTTGGTCGATTATGGGAGGATTAGTGTTCTTCGATCCAACTCTGAATGCCCGATTCTTCCTTGGCCCCCAACTTTGGTCTTGGGTCATAAAATCCGACGGCCACCAGGCTACTCTCTATTTGAGTTACATTTTCGGGGGAATCTGGCACGTACGACCATACCCAGTGGAAAGCACGGCATCCCGTCCGCTCTGCCCTAGTTAAGCCACTGAGGGCCCGGTTAGTAGTTGGGTCGGTGACGACCAGCGAATCCCGGGTGTTGTACGTTTTTTGCCCTTTCTTTGTTGCTCCCTTCCCTCTTCTATTCTTCTTTCCCTTCCTCTTTCCCATCTTCCTTTTTTTTCACTTTCTATATGATTTCAAACCTAATTCGGTTAACTTCAATATAGATATGCGCTCACGTATAAAGATTCATCTGCTTAGGTCATGGCAGGCTTCAGCTCGACATTATCAACCATGCCATGATGAACCTTTTCGGGTTAGACACAACTTCTCCATAGAAAACGGGCAGCACTTTCGACTATCAAAGTGTGACGTACCATTCGGCTCCATCGCAGCTAAAAGGAAGGCTCTGGGCCGCCCCTCCCAGTCCTTCTTCCCTCCCCTGAGTTGATGCCCAAGCGGTAGATGAAACTAGTCAGATTGATTGAGGGCTCTTATTTTTAGTTCAAGTCAGCTGTTCATTTCTGGCGTCATAAATTAGCTTCTCGATGATATTAGTTAACACAGTGAAGAGTTCAAGTTAGTAGTAATCTGCCTAAGCTACCGACCTATAACCCCCTTTTCCTCCAACACCCCAAGGACTACAGCCTGCAACTTCTCATGTCAAGACAGGGCTATTTACTTGCACGTGGTGAAGCAATGAATACGGCTGCTTTTGTCGCGACTTTCCTCTTCTCCGAGGGCCTGTGAAGGAAGAGATACTTTCTAAGAGCTGCAGGCCCCTGTCCTATATCGTTTGTCTCCAAGAGTATCACGAATTTTTAACAAAATATCACACCATACGCGTGACAACGAAGCTGAAGTCAGAGCTTTAACAGAACGCTCAGGGTTAAAGGCTCCATCTTAGCCTTTAACCACAGCTAGTGGCAATAGCTTCCATGATGTTGTTCAACCCAGTGGGGCAGTAGTGTTTAGGCGCTAGTGTCAAAAGAAGCCTATCTTCCTGCAAGTCATCGGCCTTTGCTAGCCCGCCTGACCTCCAGTTACACCCAAAACAAAGACCTCATGGAGATGAAAATCAGCATGATCTGAAATGTATCGTAAATGTGGTCCGACCCTTCCCAAGGCATATCAGAAATAGTGGCCCCAAAAGGGGAAAGTTGACCACGAGGTATAAGGTCTATTTCGGTACGCCTTGGAGAGAACCTTACTATTCCAGATACCCTAAATCAGGTGGCAAGACGACTCCCAAGGTTGGAGCCACCTCAGACAATGCTTTGTCGTCGTCGGGTGCACGAAGTAGTTTGGGTGATGTACACAGAATATTTGCAATACCAGGTAGTCGCAGCTTTTCAGCTTCGAGACTTACCGAAACATCTCTTCTTCCTACACCTTCATCCAACGTTACAGGCCACCGAACAAGTTAGTCTCAAGCTCATAACATTGGTTGTATTCTCAATAAGGACATTGTAAATAACGAGCCTATATCCTCCCAATGCTCACTAAGACGAGGATACCAACCCCAGATGTAATCAGGATAAGTCCGACTGCTCCTACAAGGAGCCGAGACTAAGGCGGAGGAGCTCCAGCTCGATCAGAAGACAGCAAAGGAAGCCCACACCTTCACCACTGTATCCGTCGGATTCTCGATTACTAGAATACCATAAGTGGGCGAACATGCATGAGATCGAGAAAAAATGACTTTCAGTATTCGAATGGAGATCATCATCACTCCATAGAAAGCACACGATATGTGGAGTCACAGCCAAGAGGCGGTAACAGAAAGGAGTTCTCCAGGTCATTTAATAAGATCTCCGTGACCTAAGTGCATACATTCAGTTTATGGCGCTGCTTGAAGGAAACAAGAATCTCTTCGATGAAAGAGGCAGCATCTTCTGTTTTAACATAAGGTACTGCACCCCTTGAAGGTACAATGCCTAAGAAACCCACAAAAAAGGAGCTGAACCACATTGAAGAAGGCATTAGCCTCAGCACAGGGCCTGCAATACCACGTGGTCAAAAATGTCGCCCAAATGCGGATTACTGGAATGATTGCTATGGGGGACCTAATCGATACGTGGATAGTACCATGCTGTTCACTAAGGTTAGAGAGAGTTTTCTGATCTCGTTCTGAGGAGAACAGGCAGTTCATTGTAAGAATTCCGCCACAAACCTCGGATTGGTCAATATATGTTGATATGACGTCTGACAGTAAAATGAACTCTACTATATCGATATAAAGGACACAAGGGTTATGAAAGGCATGGACGCACTTCACCAGCCAGGAGAGCAGCCAGACAAGAGAAGCTGTTTTATCTTCCCATGAAGTTAATTTTTCATGGACGCTTACTTGCCTATCCAACTGGGTTTGAGAAGTCCTTGACAGCTTCAATAACTGCATGCCAAATCCTCAGTACACTCAAAGCTGCAGGTTTCAAATTGGTGGTGCCTCGTAAAGCTTGCATCCATCAATGGTTTGAAGAAGCTATACGACCTTTCAAGCGGGTAAGCTGCCTGGATACAACTACGACTGAAATTACTATCTCAAGACGCTAATGTGTTGGCTAGGAGAGTCGTCCCAAGGTCTGTTGGTTGAATAAAGTTTTCCCAGGATGCGAGCGCCTAGAGAAAAGGTACGACATCGTCATCTGTACCCAGGATTTCATTCGCTGGACATTCGAGGACCGTCGTCCATACGAAGATGAGGTTACATACGCCAATTCCCGAGGTAAAGATATAAGAAAAGGAGGATATTTCGGCCACTGCCACTCCGTCTCTCACTGAATAGAGACGCATCGCCGATATCAGTCCTGACTCTCGACGAGTTTCATGACGCTCGAAACCCTTCGTCAAAGCTCCATCAAGTCCTCCGTGCCCTCCATTATCAGAAGGCAATTCCGTTGTCAAGGAAGCTTCATCTTGCAAATTTGTGTTCCGAGCTTTGGTATTCTGTGGTAGCGCTAGTGTTGTCTAGCTATTCCTTTATCTCTTCTTTCTTCTTCCATTCGTTCTTCTCTTTTCTTCTTTTTTTTCCCTTTTTTCTCTATTGCTTTCCTCTAGTCTTTCTTCAATTTTCCCCTTTATTTAGGCTTTCTTAACCCTTTCTAGTTATCTTTCTATCTAGTCCTTGTTCCCCCCTCAAGTTCATATTACTTATTAATTATTATACTGAATCACTATCAATAGTCGAGAATGAGACAATATCCAAGTTCATACTAGCTATGTATGCAACTGTCTTTAGATACTTTATGGCGAAAGCCATATCATCCCCTGATTTGACTGACTTGGGTATATAACAGTCTGTATATATTATGCAAGCACTGTGGATAACAGTAAGATTCCAAGTCATGGATGATTTACAAACGGCATGCTCCATTATCGGGAGCCGTCGCTGAAAAGACGGAAGGCCGAGCCGGATACGGAGGAAACGTCAGACGAGTACCGAAGGGCGGGGGACGCGATGGCGGTCGCTTATTTATAGCTCCGGAGCTACGGGCTATCGCCCTCGGATCTCCATCTTCCGCCGAGCGCCTAGACGCCGAGCCGGCCCCTTCCCGACGGCCCCACCCAGCAAGGAGTCTCCAGATCAGCAGAAATTTCCTTGCGCCCGGCGCTAAGGGAACGAGCCCCCCAAGGCCCCACCCGAGCTTAGCGTGTCATGTACCTGTCGGTAGTGTTGTTCGATCGAAATGTCGGTTTGAGCGAGGCATCGTGATGGTATCAGTGTCTGTGCTGCCATTGGACCTTCGTCGAGTCATCAACTTTGGGGCATGCGACAAAATGACCGCCAACTTGGGCGTCAACACGGTCGTAAGCCGGTCACCGATGACTCCGTGATTTCCCACTCAACGTTGTCAAGCCCAGCGACATGTTGCGTCACTTTGTGAAATTCCGCAGCCCCATAGTTGTACGGGTTAGCCGTTTCCCGAGCCAAACAGCATGGCTTCTTTAGCTTCAGCGAAATCAATGCGAACAAATCAACCAATTTTGTGTCTTGAGGGAAGCTTTATGAGAAGATCGAACTGCAACTCAAGACAAGACTTTTCGTGGTCATCTCCCTTGTTGCCCCACTATTCACATGCGGGACGGTTAGCTCGACGCCGGTTTATCCTATGCGGGGTACGAAGAACATTGGCATCTAAAAGCTGGCTGGTTTGGGTCAACATTTCGTGCAGCAATTGAGGTGGCAGAGTCCAGATTTGTTTGAAAAAACTGGACTCGTATGTTATTAATGAAGTGACAATATTCAGGATATTGGAGTTGATGGGGAAGTTTTCTGTTTTGGTGACGGCCGGTTGTAAAAACCATGCAGCGAATGTCGTCGCAACCCAATCCATCCGAACGCTCACGCTAACTGTTGCCCAACCATTGCCTAGACCTGAAACTTAGACCATATTTAATGATTAAGTACATGCTTACATGTGTTGAACAGAAAGCTAACTATCAGGAGTGTGCGGACGGCGTGGTGGAAGCCATAGGGGCATCAACTGCAGCCTCGGTTATTCGTGCTCGCGTTACGCTGACCTTTTCGCCGAATATCCCTGCCAACTTATTGGAGCAACGGCGGCATCGCGATGCAGTCCTTTGAGGCCGGAACAAGGAGCCGACCCGGAATTTACAGAGACAGAGACAGCTGTCAGCCCGCCGCCTCGCCGCTCCCAACGGATAGGAGAACGGAGTCTAACGGGGCTGCGGAACACGCTGTGCTACATACGATCTGATAGAAGGGAGCGCTGGGACTGGGGCAAGGAATTGCTGTGCGTTCGCGGCTTTGGTCGGGAGTGTCGTCCAAAAGGAAATGATCAAACAGGCTAGCCAAAACCCGAAGCCGGGCTGCGATGTCATGTCGCATCCTCCACTGGCCCCCACTGGCCTTGCGCGGTTCCCCCACAACGCGGGTAGTGGTAATTCATTCCTCGTGATTGGCCAGTGCCCCTCTTCCCTCCATTCGGGCGAGGTACTTTCTCGGCTATGACGGTGGCAGGAAACCTCTCAACCACCAAGTTCCCCGTCGCCACGGACATCAAAACCCCTCCACTCCCAGCTCAATTTGTTCTCTCCACCTCTTCTTTTTTCCTTTTTTCTCTCAGACGTCGCCAGACCGAGAACCGCCACTCTCCCTCCCTCGTTGTCGTTGCGAGGCCCTCTGGTGTTTCGGTTCTGCACATCTCCACTCCCAATTCATTTCTTGTTTGCTCTCTGGCGCCGTTGCGCTGAACGTCGTTTCACAATGTTGGCTTCTCGTCAGCTCCTGGGCGTTGCCCGGAGCCGCGCTCTGGGTAGCGTTGGCATGAGCGTCCGGCGCATGGCGTCCGTTGCGGATGCTGCTCTGGACAAGAAGGTGGGTTGGAACCATGGGAAGAGGTGCGGCAATTGAGAGCTGGTGACGCTGACATGCACTCTCAGGTTCGTCAAAACAACTGGGAGGAGGGCAACTTCATCAACTACAAGAAAATGTCCGAGAACCTCAACATCGTCCGGTCTCGTCTCAACCGTCCCCTCACCTACGGCGAGAAGATTCTCTACTCTCACCTGGACGACCCCGAGGGCCAGGATATCGAGCGCGGCGTCTCTTACCTTAAGCTCCGTCCCGACCGTGTTGCTTGCCAGGATGCCACTGCCCAGATGGCCATTCTCCAGTTCATGAGCGCTGGTCTCGACCAGGTTCAGAACCCCGTTACCGTCCAGTATGTCTCGATCAACCCCATCTTATCTTAAAAGCAGCACGCTAATGCTTAAGACAGCGCCGATCATCTGATCGCTGGTCGCGACGGCAGCGAAAAGGATCTTGCGCGCGCGAACGAGGTCAACAAGGAGGTCTACGATTTCCTTGCCTCTGCTTGCGCCAAGTACAACATCGGTTTCTGGGGCCCTGGCTCTGGCATTATTCACCAGATCATTCTCGAGAACTACGCCTTCCCTGGTGGTCTTCTGATCGGCACTGATTCGCACACTCCCAACGCTGGTGGTCTCGGCATGTGCGCCATCGGTGTTGGTGGTGCCGACGCTGTCGATGTCATGGCCAACCTTCCTTGGGAGCTTAAGGCCCCTAAGTACATTGGTGTCAAGCTCACCGGCAAGGCAAGTTGGACCTGAAATTGAAGAGTTGTCCAAAGTGTTTTCCCCGTCAAAGGGGAAGGCTTGGGAGACAAGCCGTGATGGATTAATACTAACGCCTGATTTAGCTCAACGGTTGGACTGCGCCCAAGGACATCATCCTGAAGCTCGCTGGCATTCTCACCGTCAAGGGTGGTACCGGCTCCATCGTCGAGTACTTCGGCCCTGGTGTCGATACTCTCTCTGCTACCGGCATGGCTACCATCTGCAACATGGGTGTAAGGACCTCCCGTTACATGCATTTCCGGTATTATGTTACTGTATCATATGCTAATTTGACACTAGGCTGAAATCGGTGCCACTACCTCCCTCTTCCCCTTCAATGACAGCATGTACAAGTACCTGGCGATCACCAAGCGCCAGGAGATCGCCGACTTTGCCCGTGTCTACGCCCACGGCCTCCGCGCCGATGAGGGTGCCGAGTACGACCAGGTTATTGAGATCAATTTGGACGAGCTTGAGCCCCACATCAACGGCCCGTTCACTCCTGATCTTGCTACGCCTATCTCGAAGTTCGCTGAGGCGGTCAAGGCTAATGGCTGGCCTGAGGAGCTCAAGGTCGGCCTCATCGGCTCCTGCACCAACTCCTCGTACGAGGACATGAACCGCGGTGCTGCTATTGCCCGCGATGCCCTCAATCACGGTCTGAAGGCCAAGGCCATCTTCACCGTTACCCCTGGTTCTGAGCAGATCCGTGCCACCATTGAGCGCGACGGCCAGCTCAAGACCTTCGAGGAGTTCGGTGGTATCGTTCTGGCCAACGCTTGCGGTCCTTGCATCGGCCAGTGGGATCGTCAGGACATCAAGAAGGGCGAGGTCAACTCCATTATCTCGTCCTACAACCGCAACTTCACCGGTCGTAACGATGGCAACCCTGCTACCCACGCTTTTGTTGCCTCTCCTGATATCGTCGTTGCCATGACCGTTGCCGGCAAGCTCACCTTCAACCCTCTCAAGGACAAGCTCGTTGGTGCCGATGGCAAGGAGTTCATGCTCTCTCCTCCTCAGGGCGATGCTCTTCCTGCTGGCAGCTACGACCCCGGCCGTGACACCTACCAGGCTCCTCCCAAGGACCGCTCGTCCGTTACCGTCCAGGTCTCCCCTACTTCCGACCGTCTCCAGATCCTCAAGCCTTTCGCTCCTTGGGATGGCAAGGATGCTATTGACTGCCCCATCCTGATCAAGGCTCAGGGCAAGACCACCACCGACCACATCTCCATGGCCGGCCCGTGGCTCAAGTACCGTGGCCACCTGGACAACATCTCGAACAACATGCTCATCGGTGCCATCAACGCTGCCAACGGCGAGGCCAACAAGGTCAAGAACCAGCTCACTGGTGCCTGGGACGCCGTCCCGGCTGTTGCCCGTGACTACAAGGCCAAGGGCATCAAGTGGGTTGTCATCGGTGACTGGAACTACGGTGAGGGCTCGTCCCGTGAGCACGCCGCTCTGGAGCCCCGCCACCTGGGCGGTCTCGCCATCATTACCCGCTCCTTCGCTCGTATCCACGAGACCAACCTGAAGAAGCAGGGTATGCTTCCTCTCACTTTCATCGACCCCGCCGACTATGACCGCATCCAGCCTGATGACAAGGTCGACATCCTCTGCACTGAGCTGGCTCCTGGCAAGCCTATCACCATGCGCGTCAAGCCCCAGAACGGTGCTCCCTACGAGATCAAGCTGGCCCACACCTTCAACGAGGGCCAGATCGAGTGGTTCAAGAACGGCAGCGCTCTGAACACTATGGCCAAGAAGGCCCAGAAATAAGCAAAAAAAAAGGAGATTGGGAAATTAAAAAAGATACCTAGACTGTGATCATAGCTGGGAGGGGATTGATAGGTGTTGTGGGTTGGCGGTTTCAGGGTTCTCCGGGATTGGCGTAATCCGCAGCACTGTTTCTGTTCTGTATGTGTACTCAGGGCCTTTGCATTTGATTTGTTTTGGCGCAGAAAGGAGTCCCTATGGTGTTTCTGTGTGACCTGAGTGAGTGTCCGTCTCCAGTGACGGCGTGGCCTGATGCTATTGTGTGTAGAGAGACGTCCAGCATTCCTATGGGTATGCATCAAAGTAGGGTTATTCTGACTCTGGGTTTTGAATATCGGACTTTAGCCTCGATAGCTGCATAATTGCTGAGACACCCCACTAAGAACCCTCTGCCCGTGGTCCGTACGTCTCCACTAGGCCCTTGCTGTCATAACCTTGACGGCGAAATTGTTAGCGGTCCTCGGGCATCTCAACCGTCGACTTTCGGCGCGCCATGAATCGTACATGAGCTTCCAGGGCTGGTTTTCTCGCATCCTCCGCCTCGTACGCAAAATTAAAGTCATGGGTTCAACAGCATATGCGGTATACAAAAACGGCTCGGCGAACGCGACCGCCGGCGCAAATGGCGTCTACACCGTGACGGCGATGAGCCGCTGGTCGATTCTCAACAAGCAGCTTCCAGGTCCGTTTGCCCGATCGTGGTCTTTCGCTGCGCGATATCATGTCGGAGAAGGAATCTTTACTGATCGCGTCTTCTTTCCCGCCGAACAGCTGTTGAAACAATCAGGGCCATTCACGTCTATGACTTTGACAATACTCGTAAGATCGCGCGGTCCCTCGACGACGGCTCGGTTTCCTGTTGACGCCATTTGCTTGCAGTATTCAAGACCCCGCTGCCGAATCCCAAGATTTGGAATAGCCCTACGATAGGCACGCTGTCAAACCCCGACGCCTTTGTGAATGGCGGCTGGTGGCACGACTCGCGCATTCTTGCTGCCACAGGCGAGGGACTGGATAAAGAAGAGCCCCGCGCCTGGGACGGCTGGTGGAACGAAAATATTGTCGAACTCATACGGCTAAGCATGAAACAGACAGACGCGCTCTGCGTGCTCCTGACAGGTCGCTCCGAATCGGGCTTCAGTGACTTGATCAAGCGCATGGTGACGAGAAAAGGGCTCGAGTTCGACCTGATCTCGCTGAAACCGGCTGTCGGACCCAATAATGAGCGCTTTGCCAACACCATGGCCTTCAAACAGACGTTTCTCCAGGCTTTGATGGAAACATACAGGTATTCTGAAGAGATCCGCATCTACGAAGATCGGGCAAAGCATGTCAGGGGCTTTCGTGACTTTCTTGACGAGTATAACCTCAAGAAAATCCAGGGCAAAGACAGCCCAAACAGCCGCGGGCCCATCAAGCATGAAGTGATCCAGGTGGCCGACGTCGCCACGTATCTCGACCCTGTTGTTGAGGTGGCTGAGGTACAGCAGATAATCAAAGACCACAATGCGGCCGTGGACAAGGGCGAACATAACGGGCGAGGAGAGCGCCTTGCCATCAGGAAGACGGTGTTTTACACATCTTATATGATCAGCAGCGAAGATAGCAAGAGGTTGCTCACCTTAGCACAGATTCCTAATCACATCCCCGAGACAGAGCTCAAGTTTCACGCAAACAGCATCATGATATGCCCTCGTCCCTGCCCGCCCAATATCCTCGAAAAAATTGGCGGCTTGGGGGCGAAGCAGATTTGGGAAGTGACGGGTACGGCTTGCTTCGAGAACACCGTGTGGGCTGCGTGCGTGAAGCCCGTTCCGGCCACCTCGCAGATCCATACGAGTGACAATGTTCCCCTGGTCGTGCTCGCCCTGCGCAAGGGTGCCCGCCATATCGACGCAGGTAAGATTCAACACTGGCAGCCCGTGTCACCCGACAAGGCCATTCGCTTCGAGACCACCATCGGCGAGAAGGTCTTGTTGCGCATCGAGGCTGAGGATGCTGCGACTGCCGAGACTGCTAGCAATAACGGCGGCAGCGCGCCCTTCTACACTCGCCCCTCTAACAAGCGCAAGTATACTGGCGCTTCTGACGACTTCCGGTCTCGCCACAACTCCGGCCCTGGCCCCGCTGCGCAGCATCATCAGCATCAACACAAATTACTTCCTCCCCCTACCTCTGCTCCAGCCTTACCAGGTCCTATCAACGCACCGACTGGCCCTCGCGCTCAAGTTGCAAATTCTCCCAACTCTTCAGGCGGCGGTAGGTCAGGTGGTTTCCGTGGCGGTGGCAATTTCCGCAACCAGCGCAATGAAGGCGGCGGCGGTGGTGGTAAGAGAGGTCGTGGTCACGGTGGTGGTGGTCGTGGTGGTGGCGGTCATCATGGCCATCATCACCACCATCATCATCACTACAAGTCGCTGGATGACATCGGGACGAAGGAGAACAACCAAGGGGGGTTTGCACACTTATATGAGGACTTGCAGCAGACGCCGCCGTCGGGGCCGTCAGGGCATGGCCAGAATATCCCCAAGGGGCCGGCAGGTTGGCGGTCGGGCTATCACCAGGGGGGGAACGGCGGAGGTGGGGGAGGTGATATGAACAACTATTATTGAGGGGATGGGGAAGGGCATGGTACTGGTTGAAGAACGGGTGTTGGCTCGCTGTATAGTGGCACACCTAGATGTCCTTTGCTTGGAGATGGTTGGGTGAGTGTGTGCCAGTTGTGTCACCGCGGACACACACTTCTTGGGTTTGACCATAAGACTATCGTGTGGGGTTCTTTTTGCGCATCTCGTGAGATTACATTGTGGTACATACCTGGCATCTTCTCTTGCACTTGGTGGGCCTTTAGTCCATGGATGTTGGAACTTGGCCGGCCTGAACTGGCTATGTGTTACCATAAGAGTTTTCCAAACGGATAGGGTGGCTTAACTTGGGCATATCGGGATACCCTGAAGAGGGGATTCATTAAAGGCACTTGCTTTCCGCATGTATGGGTAATTCTTTGGCTTTCTTTTCCTGGCTGCAGGAATCTCAGGAGCAGAGGCAAGCATCTTTGGGGTGTGGTGTTAATCTGATACCGGGGCTACTGTTTGGCATCCGGCAGACAGAGCAGGGAAAAACTGGGATGCATCGCATAGTCGCTCTGCGGGATAATAATAATTCACTCTGTTCGTGTCCATAAGAGCTACAATCTGATATGAACTGTGTTGGCTAATCTAGTCTCGCCATGTTCATCTTGTGTCTCCTTGTGCAAGGCACAACCTCGGGCTTTATGAGAGGTGAGGTCGGGATGAAGCCATACTAACGGCCTGATCAGGAGCGACGTTGTTAATCTCAACACAGGACACGCCATCCCCTTGGAGACAATAAAGAATTACTTCACCCAGGATATAACCTCTCTCTGAGCAGGACGTAAGCGACAGAAACCAAAAAAGTGGGACGCAAAAATCACCGACAGCTACAAGATTCGAACTTGTGAGGGCGAACCCAACAGATGTCAGAATTGCCTGGAATTCAAGTCTGTCGCCTTAACCACTCGGCCAAGCTGTCTGTGGGGTCGGTTTGGCCAAGCTGAAGGGCAACCTCCAGTGAACAACGGGACCCCACTCGCTTCTTGCTGTTGCAGTGTGAACACAAGTCATTTACGGAGTTGGAGACCATCCTGATGCGCAGCCTTCGGCGTTAAGAAAAAGTGCTGACTGACGAAAGGATGGCGAGCGACGATATTTGAGGCTCTCTGAGAGGCGGTGTTGTGGCTGTGGGTTGAGTAAGATAGAGTGAGAGATGCGACCTTCAGGAACTATTTTGAAGGAAAACGCCGCTTCAATGTCCGGAGGTTCACTAAGGCCCCTCTCGGCTTTGTTGGGGATGCTGAGGAATATTGCAGACTTGCTGTTATTTTGAGAATTCACCATCAGACGAACACATGGCGCTTTCCCAGCTCTCATCCGAACGTCCCCTCCCTGCAACACGTCCCCGGCTGTGAAACCTTTCACTCATCCTCTCCCTGTTTCGATGAAGCCGACGACGCCGCCGCTGTGGCGGTCACGATCCGTCGCTGTTCCTCAGGCGAGAACATGCGCGTGCCCTGCTGCAGCGCGTTGATCAGAATAGGCAGCGCTTCGTTCTTGAAGTCGTCGGCGTTACGCACGCGGTCGAGGTCCTCGGCGAACTCCTTGGTTGCCCGCTGCAGGTAGTAGGATGTGAACTGCGCCGCGACCTGCTCGTCTGTTTTTGTTGCAGATTTTTGGGATGGTGGAGCCATGTTTTCCTAGTATGCTTGAGACCCTGTAGCCACAGCACGATTTCCCTTGAGCGGGTTGTGTTCTGTTTTGGTTTCATTCTCGGGATCAGTTCCTGGGAAAGAAAAAAGTTGATGGCTTGTGGATAGTGGGGCTGTTGGCACAGTTAATTTAACTAATGGTAAAACTATACAAACAAGCATAAGAAATTATTCCACAAATAAGAGGGGGCTAGAACCAAAGAACAGTCCGAAGACAACAGGACTGCAATATAAGGCAATTCAAGTGACCATATAATGGTTGAAGCATTAAATAAGTAGTTTTTGGAACTACGTGTATGCTGCGATGCACTGGATACCATGGGAATCGGTCGATGTAGAAAGAGCAGAATAATTTTTAAAATAACAGTGTGGGGCTGTTGCTCAACAAATTGTCCAATCAGCATTCTTTGGGGCCAAAATGTGGAGGCAAATCCGGCTGGGCGGAACATCTGTGGATCCAGGTCGCCGAGAAGCTCAACGCCCCAAAAGACAGCAGGGGTACATCAACTCCTGGATGGACATCTGGACATCTTGGTTTGTGTCCTTTCTCTTTAGGAGGGGACATAGTTGCCGCCGTTTGGCCATATATTCGTCATTTTCACAGCATCCGCCATTTTCTGGATAACAAGCTACTGATGCTTCTTCGCCCAGTCGCCCTAACCAACCCTCATTCTTTTCCCAACCCATTCTTGAAAATGCCTTCGATGAATTCCAAGCAGCGCGAGATCTGGTTGCCCGGTACCTGATTGCTTACTGCTTGGCTTCTGACACGTGCTATAGGTAGTCGATAGTGCCTCACTTAGTGGAAGCACAGCCTCCTGGACTGCAGGTCTCCGGCGCCGCTCGCCCCAAGGTCGAATCAGGTGTTGCAGATAGCGCTGCAACATCGAGCCCATTACTTCCATGTGTACCAACAACACTGATGTGAAAGAATTCAGAAAAGATCAGATCGATTATTTCAATGCGAAGGGCTCAGGGGCAGGTCATTGCCATGCAATAGACAAGCTTTCGCTTCCCTATCCGTTGTCTTGCAGCGATGTCGCACAAACTCCCGCCAGGTTTAGTGCTACATAGGACTAAGCATTCCGGGTTCCCTTAGGCTGCTACATTTTTCCTGCAGCACCTAAATTCTCCCAAGGATCTAAGGATTAAACCCCCGCCCGCGGCAGCGCTTCTCTGTTATATTTGGACTTGGTCCCCCTGCCTCATATTTATCCCATCGGTGAGATTTCAAAACCGGGGCTCATATGAGGTTGATGCTTTCCCCTCTTTGCACGATCACATACATTCAGTTGAGGCAGCAGCATTCTCCTTCAGAGTTTGTATCTTTGTCAGCTGAGCTGATCGCTGAGGCTCCCTGTGATTAAGTCTTTTCCACCGATGCTGCTGAGAACTTGTGATACATCGTTAAATTTTTAATCTGACACCCTTTCAGTTACTAATCACATAGACATCCCGTACCGACCTCGCATTCAACAGATCTTTCCTGTCCATAGTCGACTAAATGGATCGACGACATACCTCACCTGACTTGTGCCATCGAAAAGACCGTGAACGATGGGGTCCCGAACTCTACATGCACTTCGAGTTCAGATTGTCCTGGAACAGGAGGAGTCAGTCAACGAGGAGCCCACGCGACAGGAGACCAGCCTTTACACGCCAAAACTTTGATCCCTACAACCACAACAACTTAGCTGCCATACATCAATTTGACCAACAACAAACACGATACCGCGAGTTTCGTCAACGGCTTGACGCTCACCCTCATATGCATGAGTATTACCAAGAAGGTCATCTTTGGAACGTCCATCAACAGCCCCCCTCCCAACATCCCGAAGTCGGACGCCAACCCCGAGCTGAAGCCTGGCCTACTTCCCACGCACGTGGACAATCTGCCCCTCCGCCAACAGACCTTAGTTCCAGGGCTATAGGTCAAAACTTTTCTGCAGGCCCCATGACCTTCCATCAAACGACTGAACTGCCGCCGATCCCTCCTGCTGGAGAGCCATCCGAGTTTCGTTTAGGTGAAGGGCAAGAACCATGGCCATCATGGTCTTTTCCAGCAGACTACGACCGCGATACTTACCGACGGGAGGAACACCAATCTTCAGCACCACCTCCTCCAGTAGCACCCGGTCGAAACTCCGTCATGTTTGCGACGAATCCAGCCATGGTCTCGGTGTTCTCACCTGACACTCCAGCAGCAGCAATCGCGGCAATACACTCCGATCCTGTTGATGACATACAAAGAAACAAAGCTCGCGAGCTTGAAGCCCTCTCTGTCGCCATGGTGACAGTAGATTCCGGGTTTGAGAACCAACCCTGGCCTGGGGACACTCAGGAAGCAGCTGACGCTCCGACGAGAGCCCGACGAGTCTCTGATCCAAGCTCGAGTTATCATGATCACGATCAGCGGGACCATCAAGAACAAGGCTGGCCCCTAACAAAGCCAGAAGCAAATACTGCGACACGACCCGGTTCCTTCCGTGCTTCATCACTCCTGTCTCCAGCTTCAGAAGGCCCCGGGACACACGAGATGTTGCCGGATAGGGCTGTGACTCCTCTGAGTGATGCAGCGCGGAGCCCTGTTGTTGGGCGAGCAAGTATAGTACAGAGAAGCTTGTCGACCAGGTCTGATGAGCTTTGGATCTGGACAGGGCGTGAGGGGTAATCGAATGAATTGAAGGGCGTTCGTCTGGTGTGGCACTGGCGTTACGGGGCTCAGTGTTTTGTAAAAGAGTCGTTCTGTTTCCATGAACGGAGCAGTGATGGCTATGTTCTCATAGAGGGATGTACCTGGTAGTTTGGGGACAGGCTGCTACTGCTGCAGCAGGCATCTCTCTTTTTTCTTTGGCATGAGTTGGGCAAATACTTGGATGATCTGCCCAACGGTATTGGAGGATGCGGTCACCTAGATGATCAAACTGGCATTTCGACTACTATGCTCTATCGTATTAATGATACCACTAGCCTTTTCTTCATTTTGCATTACCTTGATGAAATACTTTGTATATAAAAGCAGTGAGCGAAGGAGCATGAAACAACCGCAATGTGACGTTGGATTTACTTTAGCCCTGACGATCTCAACCTAACCAGAGGAAACCAAAGACCTAGAGACATCCACGCTTTGAAGGAAGACTTTCTTTAGTCAGGTGCCTATATCTTAAGTTCTCCTCTGTTAAGCTTTCAATATTTGGACCCTTGATACTCCCAGACTCGGTGTCAGTGAAGAAGTGACTTCTTTGCAGCCAGCGCCTGCCGCTATCGTTCGAGATCCTGGTGGCAAAGCATAGTTGTGGCGCCAGGCAAGTTGGGTCAGCGCAATTCAATGATCCACGGCATTGACTGGGTCAGTAGCTGTATGCAGGTTATCTGTCAAGTCTCGGTACTAGTTCCTGGAATTTTTTCCAGGCCCTCAAATTGCAAGGATCGATAATGGCTTAAGAGGATGCGCTAAATGGATGTACGCTGATCCCTCCCAGCTTTACTTTCACCAAATTTAGGTAATAATGTCTCAACCTGCAGCGCACGAACAGACGGAATATTCATTGATAGATTCATTCATTTATTTAAAGAAGCGAGGCAATATCGATATCTACTACCTATATTCCTTAGCAGCTTAGACAGAAAACTGCCCGCACCGACAGTCTCTTCTCGAGGGGATTACCCAACTAAGGGGCACCAAGGTAGATGATCGATCAGTAAAGTGTTCCCAGTTTACTGGCACATTCAGCTCCTCTCCAGCTGCTCCCAACCTGGAAATGGCGTTCAGCGAAGGGGCTCTCCGCCAGTCCTCCTCCGGTGCTCTACTTGTCAACCGATCAGACACCATCACTGGCACCCACACGGTTTCTCTTCCATTGGACGAACATTTCCCCACCAAAACAGCATGAGATCCCTTCTGGGATGCACAGAAGTGGTGCCGGAGAGACTGCGGCTAGGGTAGCAGGGTACCAGGATCGCCAATCATTCTTGAGGAAATCTTGCTGCCTAGTGCTCCATGGTGAAGGTTCTGCGGCTGAGAGTCACGTTTCAAGCTTTCTCTTCTAGAAGCAGCAGACACGTTTCCGAGGAGGAGAACTGATGGTACGGACATCTGCGAAGTCATCATCGACAGGAAGCCCAAGCAGTCCACAGCAGTCCAGTTCGGCGGATTATTCAGGGGCAAATTCATAGAGCCCCACAGAGGAAAGTTCCTGGGAACTTTTACGCTTCGTTCCGTGTCATGTCGCATGGAACTTTCTATGGGACCTGAACTCTCCAGTGAACTGTCAAGACTGGAATTATTGGTTAGGTGAGACGGTAAAGAGCCAGCTGCAAAAAGCGCATTATCAGCTAGCATGATCGTGACAAACTAGATCAATAAGTTGTAGTTGGGTCCACTTGTCAAAAGTGGTCGGCAAAAAACGTACAACACCCGGGATTCGCTGGTCGTCACCGACCCAACTACTAACCGGGCCCTCAGTGGCTTAACTAGGGCAGAGCGGACGGGATGCCGTGCTTTCCACTGGGTATGGTCGTACGTGCCTGAGATGCTCGGAAACACTTCTCATAACCCTGGGCTCCAAGTACTGCAGAGAGACTATGGTCAAACAACTCGGTCACATCTCCGTAAACCTATACGAAATATGCTTAAAGAAGAAAAGAAGGAGATAAGAATGAATAAAAAACAGAAGGGAAGGGGTGAGAAAGAAGGAAAGAAGAAAAAAACTCGAAGAATCTATGAATAGAAAGTAAGAGAAAGCAAACAGGCACTCGTTAAAAAGTTAGTACAGTAGTCCCTCTAGCAAGCATCGAAGTACGAATAAGAGTGATCATTGCAAATCCTACAATATAATGGTCCGGGGCCTACGGTACGAAGAGATCATCTCTTCCTTAGACGGTTCTAGGCTAGATTTTCGGATTGATAAACGGGCACTCAACAACCGGCACAGCTTCCCACCACAATATTGGTTGTTTAGATGCCTCCCATTTTTATTGTCGACAGTCGTTAAGAAGATACACTATGGCCATATCTAAATTAGAGTTACACGAGGGGGGCCCACAATCCCTTACTGCTTGTACGTCAAACCACCACCGAAGCTGAACTCGCTGTTCTTTCCAGCTTCCCTGTCGACAACACCCTCGGTCTTGCCACTCTCAAACGCACAGCGACCCATATCCAGACCCGTGCCCTTCTCACCAAGTGCTGCGGCCGCCGCGGGTGAGATATCGAAATCAAAGATGTCCATCGGTAGACCCAGGGTCGTGCAAGCGTTAGGAATATCGACGATACCCGCCACATGGCCCTGAACTGGCGCGCAAGATAGAAGCAAGTAGGACTGGTAATCGTCATAGCCGAAGCGCCGCAGGTACTCAATGCAGCGGAGGGTAGTCTGGCGGTAGGCTGTCGTGACATCCATGTAGTCTTCACCAAGGTCGTCAGTTTACATCTTCAATACGTGATCAAGAAAGACACATACGCTGTTTGCCGTGTTCATCGACAGAGAAGCCCTCAAAGTAGATGTACCGGCCAGGGCCGAACTGGGGCTCAACAGGGCCTGGGATGTAGATGGGACTCTTCAGGCCCATCTTGGCCATACCGTCTTTGATGACCTTAAAGTTGATCGTGATGATACCTGCCATCTCGATGGCACCGCAGAACGAGATCTCGCCATCACCCTGAGAGAAGTGCAGGTCACCGACGGAGAACTTGGCACCCGGCACATGGACGGGTAGATACACCTTCGAACCCTGTAAAGGTCAGTCAGCTTTGTTCAGGGGATACTAACAGAGAGATATAATGGAATGTTTTACCCTAGAGAGGTTCTTGATATCGCAGTTGCCTGACCACGTTGTTGTTAACCTCAATGCTCAATAGCAAAGCAACTTAGGTGTTTCTTACCTCCATGCTCGGGGCGACCAGGAATGGTTCTGGCACCTTCCCGACCAATCTTCGCCTTCAGCTCACCATCTGCACTACCAGCGTGGACGTTGATGGGCTGAGGCCTAGAGTCCCGCGTAAGAATTGGATCTAGAAACTGGCTAACGCATGCTAGTTGGACTTACGGAAGGGCAACATCGCGATCCAATCTGTTTGCTGCAATCAGCTCGCCTTCACGCTTGTTCCAGGTGGCCAGAAGCTCGGCAGACGGAGCACAACCAAGGATACCAGGATGGATGAGACCAGCAAACTTGACGTGGGGGATATGTCTGCTGGTGGCATATATGCCCTCAAAGTCCCAGATAGCCTTAGCACTGACCAAACTGTTAGCTTCTTTGATGGTATGGGAGTCGAGCAGTAGAGCGTCTTACGCAGATGGATAGATCTCATCCAGAAAACCACCCTGTAATTCCAGGTTAACATCCCGTCCAGTCAATATCAATGAGGACTGTGGGCCAACATACGCCATTGCGCCGGTCAAAGATGCCAGTGAAGCCCCATGGCCGATCTGGGAACGGCTGAACATCCATGATCTCTACCAAAAGAATATCACCAGGCTGGGCACCCTCAATCTCGAAAGGGCCAGAGAGGTAATGGGGCTTGGTGAGATCGATATTCTTGATGTCATCCGCGCAGTCATCGTTCTTGATCTGGCCACCAGTCCTTTGCATGAGCAGTAAGTTATGTGCTCACAAGACAACGTGTGAAGGTTCTCACGTACCAGTCAATGCACTCAATTTTCACTGTCTCACCATCCTTGATGGTGCCAGCAAACGGGACTGTCCAGAATGGTCAACAGCGTTGCAGGGGTCAGGTTAAGGGGAGTTCAATGGCCCATACTGTCAGGGTGCCACCTGTTCTGCAAACGAGTTAACATCCGAATGTATTCCAATACCCGTCCCCGAGGAACTTACGTGAAGGCAAGTCTGCTGGTCGGCAGGCTTGTCGAAGTCGATCTTGCAGACTGTACGAATTTCGCCCTTAGGCATGGTTGTTGATGTAGGAGGGAGGTGATTTTGAAGAGTTTGGAGCACAGACACTGCCGGCACAGATGATGAATTAAGAACTGTGGTTGCTAGATAGGATACGAGTCTTCGCTTTCAGTCCGGGAATCGACCCTCGTTATATACTGACATGCTTTCTAATCCAAGCCTTCCTCAAGTCACTATCAACTCCATTTGGGCACATCATCCCACATCTCTAACAGCCACTCTGCGTCTCCTCGGCAGGCGAGCATTGCGGACTCGTCATGCTCCAAGCCGTCAAGACGTAATTGGCCTATCAGAACCATCACAAGCATTATCAATGGTGCGGAAGCAGACTGGCAGAGAGGGTGGGAGTTGTGCGAAGGGCGACTTGCATGAAGCTTATCACCATCACGCTTTCGATAAGGCCTCGGTCACTGTGGCTTACAATGCCGAGAAGACCCCGCCTCCAGTTCAATACCAACCCCACACCCCGAGGCCTGGGCGGAGGAGAGCAAGCTCGGTGATAAGAAGCCGCCGTCGAAAGCGTCTCAAGATTCTGCACGAAAATTTAGTAATGAGTATAAACATCTATCCCCTGATTAGCAGCCAAGACAAAAAAACGTTCCACTTCCCCTCCCCGGAAAGCCGACGTCTATCAAATCTATTCTGATGGCATGTGCAAAGTGGAAGTCCTCATCTCCACTCTTCACCCGAGTTCCTGAAGCCGAATCGCGACAAGAAACCGAAAGCATTCAAGAGCCAAGCAACAATTCACTGGGCAGAAGCAGTGGGATATGGATCAACTTCCGAGTACGGAGGAGGCTTATCATGGAGGGAGTCGAGGTTGCTGAGCGAAAGGTTAAGGAACTTCTGTTTGTTCCTCCACTCGGTTTGTGTCTCCGCAAATTTTTTGTACTCGGAAGGAGGCGGGGGAGGATCGGACACCTTAGTGATGAGATACGCAGTACTCTATGAGCAGATAAAATCAGTCAGCGACGATCATTTTCGGCTAAAGATAGCAAGAACTCGAGCCAAACTTACCGCCTCCGCAATGCCATAAACCAATACCCCCAGCAGAGGCAGTCTCAGCAGCAGATAGAATCCGATGCCAAAACCAAACAACAGCCCCTCCCGACTGCGGAACCACTTCTTCTTCTCTTCCTTTGTGAACGGAATCCTCGAGAAATACGGCTCCAGCAGTTCGCGTACCAAACCTCTCGAAGCGAAGTAGCTCTGCAAGAACACCACGAGGAACCGCTGAGGGAGGAAAACACCAATCCCGAAAATCAGACTTGCAGGCCCCAGCCCAACAGCACTCTTAAACGTCCAGAAGCTGGCCGCCGGCAGGACGAAGCGGCCGATCTTCGGGATGAACGAGGCTGCATAGACGGCAAGAGAGATGGAACCCTTCTTCGCGAACCGAGAAAAGAAAGCTACCGCAGACTCGATCTTCTGTCTCGTGGTCTGTGGACTGCGCTTCTCTGCACTTCCCTTGCTATACTGACTCAAACTGGGATAGTAGGCCGGGCGGAAGGAGGGGTCAGAGTGGTCCTGATGCTGGTGTTTAACTGCATAAGTGTGGTCAACCCAGCGCAGGGACATCATGAAGAGGTCGTCGAGGGCAGACGGGGCGGCATAGCGCATTAAGCTCAAAAGGAAGAGCGGCAGTTGCAAGACATGGTTTTCTATGAAGGCGAGGGTGTTCAAAACGGTGTCGTCCCATGTCGTAAGGTGAAGTGGGAGAACGAAGGAAAGAAGGTAAAGGATGAACTTGATACATAGACTCTAGAAGACCATGTCAGCGGTAAGCCTTTGAGAAAGACCCCGAGGCAGCATATTATGTACCGGCAAAGCTATCAGTAGGCGGATGATAATGCCTATGATGACGGCAAGGGCCGCTTGCTTGTAGTGAACGGACGTGAAGAGGTCAGGGTTCTGCAATGCGCGGTGGGCTATCATCAGTCTGTTAGCCTCTACGGATTCTCGTTCATGCCATGTTCGTCCGGTGTTTGTTCCTACCGCCGACAAGGGTCAGCTGCATGCCACGGAGGATGGCATTGAGGCCGAAGTGCGAGATGTCAAACTTTTTCATCAACCTCCCCAGGTCCAGGGGAGCGACCTGCTCTTCCGGCATTGCTGACCGTACTGATGGGCCAAAGTTTCGAACAAGCAGTTGGAGCTCAACCTTGAACTGCTCGGGCCTGGTGGCGAGGCTCTTCAATGACAGGGTCCCAAATCACCTGGCGTCCAGGAGTCGAGCAACTGTGCTCCCACCTCTGAGGGACGCAATGATGTCAACGCATGCAGGTTATGGGGGTAGCGGGCTTGGCACATCCCACCAGATGCCAAGACTCCACCGGTGCACTCGCCATTTTCTTATGAAAAGCGGGGATCCCGCGGGCCATGGTGCCGGGCTCATGCAAAGCTGCATTTCTGTCAGAAGACGATGGATTTCTTTGCCATGATCTCGGAAATGGCATTTCGAAATTGCTCAAATAAGCTGTTCCCACTGTCAGCGGAATACCAGGCTGTGGATGGGTAATGGCATGAGTGAAGTCCGAGACCCGTGTTAGTGACCGCGATAGCGCACCGAAAGACCAATTCGCAGGGAAGGCAGAGCGCCAATCAGAGGGCTGGGTCGTTGATAGCGCAGCGTTGGCAAACGGAGTCCGCAGTTCAGGTGGGGCACATCGCCAGGCGCGACGGCTCAAAGTAGTATCTCTGGGGAACGCAAGGATCCAGAGTTTGGCCGAAGCCTTCAACCTTCCTCTCTGTCCCGTACTTCTTTTTTAGTCGTGTCTCGGTCCTGGCCGCTCCCTGTCTTCACTGAAACGACATCTGGAAAGCAACGTTGCTCACGACACCACAGATCGAATTCCAGATACGCGCGCTGTTTCGATTCGACGGGAGCTGTCAGCCAATCTGTCGATTGCCCGGTTCATCGCGCCACTCTGAGACGGTTCCGTACATGGACGACGCCCCGGTGCCGCCGGCCTAAGGGACCATCGGCTCGCTGCAGCGTCTGTCAAATTGAACTGTGCTTCCGTTGTTTGCGAATTTGCGCTCTCTCACTACAAACTTTGGCCCTTACTTTCTCGTCACTCCTTCAGCTTCCTTTCCGCGATGCTTCTTTGGCCATAGAACTCCATCTGGATAAACACTTGCACCATGGATATCCCGAGACCGCGAAGCTCTGGCTTTCCAGCCCCGCGCCGCGTCGTAACCGCTCCTGTCCCACAGTCAACCCCGCAGTCACCTTCATCTCCGCAAGTCAGTAGCGGGCTGGTCGACACGCTTTACGTTCATCCGAATGTTAAGATTGTTTCCTTTACTGCAACCGGCCGGTCCCTCTCTGTCGGCCCGCGCACTGCATCCGTTCATGAAGTCGAGCCCGGCTCACTTCCGTGGACTAGCCAACTTGAGCGAACTATCGCAGTCGGTAAGTTATTAGCCTGCAGAATGCCGTGTACGGTTGCACCAGAAGTGTGTAGGTTCCATAAGCTAACACAATGTGACGTTAGGTTCGTTCAAAATCTACCGCGCTCCCGGATCTGTGGCATTCCTTAGCTGCGGTTCTGCCCTCCAGCCAATCCTTCCCAAGAGTCAGGCCTGGTGTGTCGATGTCGAATCAAGCAAGTTCGTTCTGCAGATCCGCCGTCCTCAGTACTGGAGAATTGAAGTCCCGGTAAAGGAGGAGGAAGAAGTCCGCCTGGCTTTACAACTACGAGAAGTGTTCGATGCCATCTTGCTCTTCGAGAAGACCCCATGTCCTTTTCAGAGACCATTCACCGTCGAACTTCCAGAGCTCCCGAAGACACCTGTTAAGAAGCGGCCATGGACCCCTGCTCGTAGATCGAGCGCGTCTCTGCCGCTGACACCGGTCACTTCAGTTGAAATTGCCCGTTTGCATCATGGAACACCCAGAGGGTCGTTCTGCGTGAGCGATTTACGGTCAAAGAAAGAGGCAGCAAAGGCTCTGAGTGAGCACGGAAGGCGCCTTGCGGTTCCTGAAGAGGAGGAAACATCTGGAGGGGATAAGCCCACTTCCTCACAGCCTATTGTTATAACACAGCCCGAAGCCAGGATTACCAAGCCTATCGAGACCTCGAACGTACCCAGAGAACCTCAACGAAACCAAGCATGGTTATCAGTTCCACTTCCTCCTTCTCCCCCTCTCTCAAGTCCCGGCTCGCCCCTTTTATCCCGTCTACCAACCACACCCGAGATTCCCGAGGCGCCGACATCCCAAGAGGAGACGCGTCCCGAAGCCGAGACTTCACAGGCATCTAAGAGATGGAGTGTCGCATCTTCCGATTCCAATGCTTCATCCGAGTACAGCGTGACTACGGCGCCATCGTCACTTCCCGACATAGAAGTTGAAGTGTCCTCTCCGGAGCTAGAGAACACTTCAACCACCAACATTACAGCACCTACCCAGAATGATGAGATATTGAATTCGATTCAGCAATTGACCGGAACATCCACGACATCTACCAGAGAGCAGTCATCATCTGCTCCATCCACAGCTCTACCCCCTACCCGCCGCCCCGTCTACCGTCGGGCAACAACAAGCAGCAGCATCTCTCCATCCCGTCGTGCCCTTACTCCTCTTCCCTCAGCCGCCGACCTGTTCGTTCCCCGTGCGACACTGCTCAACGCAACCTCTACTAATGAGAGCTTGGCCACGAGCACCGCACTGGTGGTCGCTAACCGTCCGCTCTACACAACAGTCCTACACAAGCTCATCTCTTCTCCACCAGCTCATCTCATCAGCCTCATGCTACGTGTTGCTTCTCGGATTGCTGCAGGCGAGTGGCGTGGTCTGGTCCTTGGTAGGGGCGAGGGCGGCCAGGAGGTGAGCGTGCATTGGGATTGGTCGGATGATGATGATATCGGTGACGACATCCTTCGCCGGGGTAGGAGACGGAGAAGGGTCGTCTGGGATCAGCCGGAGACTCCTACTACTCCTTCTGGATGGCAGGCCAATGATGGGACGAATGTCAAGGACACACCGTCTAAGGGTGGCAGGACGTTTTGGGGTGATGAGATTGATGATTGGTGGGCTCAGAGGAGAAAAGAAGGCAAGGGGAAAATGGCTGGAACTTTCCCGGAGAGCGACGAAGAAGATGATGAAATCGGTCCGATGGGCGAGCGGAGGAGCAGCAAGAGCAGGAGCAGGAGTAGTAGGCGAGGACGTAGTGGCAGCGATGGGAGCAGGGGGCGGACTCGGTCAAGGACGAACTCCCTGCTCCTTGGTCTCGGCCTGAGCCCGGAGAGCGATGAACTTGAGAAGAGGGCTGAAGAGGCGGCTGCTGCTGCGAACGATCATGGCTATGCCATGCCTGGTGATTTTGAATGGGAAGTTGATTAGAGGATGACATCTCATTATCCTGGAACTAGGTCCGCAGGCGGTGATTGGATTGTGCCATCATCTTCCTCTGCTCGCTCTTCGATCTCGTCTTGCTCCTCGTGGTACACCTGCACGGAGGTGCCGATTGCGGAGCCTACCCCTTCTTATCCAAGCATCTTGCTTTGGTTCTTATGGAGTGGTGTTGGTAATGAGGGTCCCGGCGTCTGATATCTGGTTACTAAGTACTGTATATGATAATGTTATGTTTAAGATACCCTATCGACTTTAGCATCATTCAACTAAATACACCTGGATGTTTATGGACAATGCATACGTCTTCTGTACTTGCCCTCACCGAACCGTCAAGCTGTCTAATTTATCCCCCTAATGAGCACGAAATTGTCTCCAACAGGAAACAGCAACCGCCCATCTCTTAGCAGTCGGCACATCGATAAACTAACTTCTCTAACCCAATAGCTGGGAAGGAAAAAGTGCCGTTCAACTTTGGCATCATCAGCCGGTAAATGTGGACAGTACGAAGGCAAGGGTAGCAGAGCTACCGTGCATACCCAAAGTTGTTTGTCCAAGAACACCAGACGTCCGTCTGGTAGGAGTCCGAGGGGATGACGAAATACTCGGTTCATGAACTTTCTCGAAAAAGGGATCGGGCGAATGCTGTTTACGAAGGGAATGCCACTGGTGGCCGCAGAACCAGAATACAGGGGTTGGAGGGGCAAGAAGATATCGCGGTCATACAGTTCCAGTCGAGTGTATGTGCGACGACGCATGTCGCTGTTCTTGGGTGGTTCGAGCATGGAGGCTTCAAGTGATAGGAGAATGAGTTCGGGGCAATGGTTGTAGAATTGTTTCCGACTCAACATGAACTTGACCTTGGTGGCTGGTCGTTCCTGCTTCTTCCGTCCTTTTGACTTCTCAGTTTTCTCGGGAGGTAAGATGCTACCAAGATTGAGAGGAATAGACAGAACGTCGCTCAGGTTTTCCCAGGATACAACCGTTGCTGAAGTTGGCGTCAACCGGAGCAAATATGTTTCCTCAGATGGGTGTTGAAACCAGAGAGTTAAGTAGATTGTCGACCTTCCCACTGTGAGCTGATCCTCTTGAGCTGAATACTGAGCCAAAACTTCACCACTTGGGAGCGACAGCAACCGAGAAAAAGATTGTTCTTGGTGAAACAACAATCTATCACTCATAGCATTGACAAAGACTTGTCTGATGAGGCCTCTTCGATCACTTCCGGTGTGGAAGGTAAGTTCTTGAACTGCTGGAAACACTGTTTCTGCGAATTTTGCTGTTGTCAAGGCTTCGTGAATAGTAAACACTCGAATATTGACGACCCGTGGGTTGTCTTCAGAAGGCTCACCCCAAATCAACGTAACCAGCCGACTGCAGTTTTGTCCCCAAGTGATAGCCTGGAATTTTCGACTCGGAAGGCCCGTTTGAATAGTGTATTCGAGACTGCTATCTGGGTACCATATAGCCAGGGATTTGGCAGTGACCGAGGCAATCACCAGCTTGGAGTCGGAGGTCCATCCTGGTTCAATAAAGTATGGGGCTGTTTCTGCAGCTGAGGGAAAGAGTCTCGTGTTTTTGGGCTGGGCTGTGTCTGAGGATTGGGTAGTGTTGAGACTGACAATACTGATTCCCTGGCCGTTCTCTGTTTCATTGTTGAGAGAGTTGCTTTTTTCCTGGTCGGAGTGACTACCTCCAGAGAGCCCATCGAGATATGGAGACTCCCATATGCTGCATGAAGTGTTTAGGCCCTCATAGACTCTACTCCCATCAGGAGCAAAGCAAACAAGACTTGTAGAGTCGTAACTCAGGCTTAGTTTTAGCCTATGAACAGGATACAGAGAGCTTGCATCATAGATGTAGGTGTACCTCGCAGGCATTCCTGTGAGGATAGTTCGACCATTTGGGTTACACCGTATGGCCGACGCTGGATGCAGGTCTTGCTCAAGTTTCCACGAGACCTCTTGGCATTTTTGTGTTTCAAAATCCCATCTGTACAGTTGGGTTCCGCTCATTGGTTTGAAATCGTAGCCGAAGATTGCCGATCCAGAAGGGTGCCAGGTGAAATCCATGACAAATCTTAACGGTTTTCGGTGTTCTAAAACGGGGGGTTCCAATGCATAAACGGATATAAAATTCGACCGTTGGCTCTTAGTCGTGGTTTGGTTCTCATTTTTCAAATAAGCTATGGCCACGCGAGTACAGTCATCGCTGAGATGCATAAATATACGATCCGGGCCACACTCTGGAAGAGCCAAAGCGAGTTGCTCCCAGCGAGGAGATGGATGGTTCACCCGCATCCGATAAACAAGGGGTTTATATTTCCATGTTCTCATCTCCACCACATCTGAACCAGACCGTTCCTCATGTACGATGTTGATCGATGTCAACAGCAGATCATCTTCGTTGTTGAATCTGAGTTCCTGGACAAAACGTCCCCATTCCGGATCATTGTGATGATGGGGGTTCTCTGCCGTGATTTTCAACGACCAGTCTGTAACTTTCCATACCCATACTTTTGACTTGGTGAGACATGCCAACATAGATCCAGAGTCGTTGAATGACATGTATTTGATTGAGTCCTCCGTATCCAGACCAAGAGATTTCTGCTCTCTGAAAACAGCGGTGTCGCGTATCACAATTCTCGATTTGGAAAGCTCACCAAGCGCGATTGCCAAATGAGATGCAGATGAAGCCACAGCTTGAATCCGTGAAGAGCTATGGTTTTCGTTTTCCTCAATGTTTGCTAGACAATCAGCCCAGAATTTGTTTGCATCCCCATGTGCCAGTACTGACAAGCTGGCTTCGGCACTTCCAGCGAACAGAGTGTGTATGGCGGAGGAAGTCGGACAGACCGAAGGGATGCAGGTGTATATCAGCTCTGGACATTGTGATAACTGCTGATCAAACCTGGCTGGTAAGTTCATCAAATCCTCCGCCCAGAGGTGCAAGATGAAGTTATCTGGCTGCTTTTTTATTTGTGACCTTCGTCGTCCAAGGAAAACACGGAGAGCAGTGGATGCAGTGTAAAGCTCTGAAAGAACGCCACTCATCGCCAAGTATTGAATCCATGTTAGGGGATATGGCCCAGTGAAGAAGTTAACAAGTGCGTCAAACACTTGATGAGAGTCAACCGCGCAATGTTGGAGGTGAGCCATCCAATATCTTGAGGAGTATGAGAGAAAGCGCGGTATGGCAAGTTGCTGAAGCTTATTTTCAGGCTCCCGTCTATCAAGGTCGTCAAGCACTTCAAAAAGAGTTGTTCGTGTGCAAGCTCAATTGTGATCTTGAAGGGCTGTTGTTCAAGTCTCTTCTCGAGGTATTCGCGCGCTGAGTGATGAACCAAAGTTATGCGACCCTGAGTATCAATGATGACAAACTGACCACAAACATTCATAACTGCATGTCGAATATCCATGATGGACTTGAACGAATCAGGGTATGCTTCGGAAAGTTCTTCGAAAGTTATTGGTGTCTTTGCATACGTGGCCCACGTCAGCAAGAGTTGAGCGAAAGCCCTGTCTTCTTCGATATGAAGCCTCGTCACATTGTCCATCATGCGATCGTAAAGTTGCTCCATCCCAGTTGGCATCGTTTCAATGATTTTATTGATTTGCTCCTGGCGGTGACACTTGAGCACCTGCTGAGTAACGAGAGTCGCCCAAAGAAAGTTTCCTTGGCTTTTTTCAATGATTGCTTCGATTGTGTGTTCTTTGAACTCATCCTCAGAATCCACGTCTCCACAAGGGAGATAGTCAATTTCCCCGGCAACCATTATCCGAATATCTTCGCGATTGTCAGGAAAAGATCTTGTAACGACATTTAGGTTTTTAACTTTTCGAAATGTGAGCTCTATCTGCTTGAGAGGTCGGCTGAGGACTAAAATTTTGATACGAGTCTTGAAACGAGACGTTTGTGAAAGAAGCTGCACGACTTCTCTGCTAGACTCGGACTCATCTATGCCGTCAATGATCCAAAAGATGCTGTCAGTCAGCTCAATTTGGGCCAGGAGTCGAGAAAACATCATTCGCCATATGTGCCCAGCATCCCAAACAGCAACTTTGGAAACTGATCTTGCAAGCTTGATAAGAGAACGTCGAAACTCGGGGACTTGCTGGGCAGTCTGATAAGCAAGGGACAAGAGCATGTCCTTGGGCGATTGCTTATGACTTTGCCCATATCTGAAAAAGAAGTATGAACAAATGTAACCAGATGCAAAGAGACGTTCAATGATGAAGGAACAAGCAGTTGACTTTCCGCTTCCTGGAGGGGCATGGAACCACAGGAGCTGGGTTGTATCGGAATCCAACCAATTACTGAACTCCTGGCATTCGAAAACTCCCTCACACGTTCCATCAACCCTTAAGGATGAAAAGAATGCAAGGTCCTCTTCTGGTGGTTCAGGGACACCGAGAAACGAAGCTATCTCTTGGAGTTCATTACCAGAAGAAGTGCAGTCATCCGACAAGATGGTATCAAGTGCGCCACGTAATGCTCCAATAACCGAAATATAGTTCGAATCCTGCGGACTGGCAAATTTGCATACGGTGTGATGATCGGCTATAAGAGGAGCTGCCTTCTCGTTGGGATATCCTGTAAGAGCACTCCATTTCTCGACGATTACAGGCGCAACCAGGCCAATGGTTGTAGCAATGGTTTCGTAAAAAGAAAATATTTGGAGCTTCAACGCATAATAGCGAAAGGCATTGTTCAACTCGTTGAGAGTCAGGCTGCTGGGTGAAAGCTCCGTAATATAGTTTTTCGGTGTGTGACCCAGGGGGGAAGCAATTGAGAGTAGTTTGTTTAGCATATTGGCTAGGTCGCTACCTCGATGAGGAGTAGCCAGAAATAAGACAGCTTTGATCATTGAGACGATTTCGCTGAATTCCTTGTTTGAATGACCTTGTACAAACGCCTTTTTGAAGACCAGGCCCCCCATGGAATGCGCCACGACGATGATTGGAACTTGACCAAGTCGCTCTGTGGTTGATCCTGTGTATTTCATGCGGAAGAGAAGATCATTTGCGAAGTCTCCGATGGTGGTCAACACCTGCTTCTTCCGTGAGAAGTTGGCGTCATAGCCAAAGGTTAGAATTCGAGCCATGGGAAGCTCTCTGGGCAGCCATAATTTGGGCCACAGGTAAGCCAAATCCCTTTCCCAACACCAAGTCCGTAGACTCGTGCCGCCTAAACCATGTATAAATAGTATGTCAACCGTTCGTGCTGAAGGGGCATACAAGACTGTCAGCCCAAGCGGGTCATTGTCGCCGTGGAAGCTATCTGGATTTGATTTCTGACCATGGCTTGCTGTTCTGAAGGAGGAAGACACGATAGTTGAGCCAGGAGATGATGTTTTTGTAGTGACTTCAGTGATGGCCACCGTCGTGGCCATTGAGGCTACCGAAGACTTCCCATCAATAGCACCAGAGGAAGAGATGGGTATATTTCTTGCCGATATCAAGGTTGGAGCTTGTTCATCCGTTCCAGAAGTGACGGAAGACGAAGATAATGTTCTTTTGTGATCATCTTTGTCTGCTTTGATTGCTTTGCGGCGGAGATGCATCCATGGCTTAAGAAGCGAAGACGGCATTGGTTCCGATATGTGACTTTGAGAGACGGAGGTAGAGCAAGTTGAAGTAGTAAAAGCAAGCGTAGGCAAGACAGGACAAGCTTTCTTTTCAACCCCTCTTCATGGTTGACATACACACCTAGAAAGTTTACTTGCGATAAAAAATTGGCTGTCGCAAAAATGTGTTATCTGGGTACCCACCATAAAAGCTCTGTTCTCCTGACCAAGGGCATGAAGTCCCACGCAATGGCTGCCTTTATGGTTGGAGATCGCGATTGGTCTCGTTGTCAATCAAGTTGCAGACCTTGGGCCCTCCGCACGATTCACGCTGTCGAATTCAGCCGGCTGTGGGACATCACAGCCAATGAGGCTTCATACAATCCTTGCACCGGGGGCCTTGCGGCTGCAGGTTGGCGTGGGCCTGCATGACAGCTGGAGGATTGGTTGCCTCTAATTGTGGAAAGAAGTGATACCTCGGCAGCAGAAGCAACATGGCTTTAGTTCAGGAGATGTAGTGATGATTAGGTGCTAAAAGACTCGATGAGCAGGACCAAAAGCCAACTTTGCTGTATAACATTCAACACAGCCGAACATCACTAAAGTGGCTAATGTCGGCTGAATACTCTGTCACTTTAAGTACAAAAGCAATAACCTTTAGGTTAGTGCAATGAATTTCACACCAATGAGTTATACTGGTTGCATGGCTGCTACCTGGGCTGAATGTGCCTGTTTGTACGCAGGCAAGCTTGAAAGAGAGCTCCCAGCTATGAGTTATACTGGTTGCATGGCTGCTACCTGGGCTGAATGTGCCTGTCCGTACGCAGGCAACTTGAAAGAAAGCTCCCGGCTATCAGCAGCCAGTGTTGTAGAATGACACCAGGCAACACCAAGCATGTACAACACCCCTCAACCGACACAACAATAAACCCATAGCTCGTAGTTCTGCAGCCAATTATAACGCTTTTATCCCATAGTACTCTTAATCGGACCAATACTTCTTTTGATATGAATCCAGAGATCGTCCATACCCCAACCATTCCCGTCATTTTCGAAGATCATCTCCTCAGATCCAAGCTTGGCCTTACTGAAGCGCTGGAGCTCCTCCGCCTCCGGGAGCGCTGCTCAGCTGGGTCGGCAGGGCGCAATCCACTTGATTTTGCAAAGAGATTCAACACATCCGTCAGTGATACAACCCCTGTCAAACGACCTGACATACTGCGAGAGCCGGAAACGACAGCGGGATTAAACGTGGTCTGGGTAGGGAGCGGTGATGAGGACAGAGGGGCTGACAGAGGCGCAGAAGGCGGGCTTGACAGAGGCGGAGGAGTAGGCGGAGGAATGACGACAGTACCGGCAGGACTGGATGATAAAACAGAGGAGGACACAGAGTGAGTTGGCCCAAGCAGCGGGGTGGTCGGCATACTGGGAGAAGGTGAGGCTGACTCAATAACCCACATACGGTGAGAGCGGGTAGCGACAAGCTTCGCAACTGTGTGGCCAAGGGTTGAGTAGGGCGTGACGTGGAAAACGGGCACGGAATCACGACCATGCTCAACTCCACGCTCTGTGAGGATCTTGCTGATGAAGGTCATGCACGAGTTTTTGAGTAGCCAGGCGTTGTTGGCGCTCGCGAGGTGCTTGACGTCTGCAGTGGAAATGTTGCCAACCACAGTCCGGGTATGATCAACAACAGGGACAGAAGTCAGGCATTCGGTGTGCATCAGGAGGAGGGCATCAGTCAAGGGCGCGTCGAAGCTGACTGTAATTAGCAGATGAAAGCGGATAACAGACTACGATTGACATACTTGACGGCAATGACCTGCTGAGCACCGATTCCCAGGTCTCGGAGCATGCTGCCAAACAGGCGATCAATAACAGGGAAGTTGACAGCCTCGTGCCAGAAGAACTCGGCAAGGCGTAGTTGGCTGAGAAGACCAACGACTTCACCGGTGTCATTGGCAATCAGGATCCGGTGAATGCCGCTGCCGAATGCTTCGATGGCTTTGTCAAGAGTATCCTTAGCACGAAGTACCACCAATTCCTCCTTCTGGCAAATCGGCTGGATCTCACGCAATGTGACCTTTTCCTGGGCTCGGGCTCTCTTGGAAATTGTGTCATAGAGAGCAACCTGATTTGGTCCAGGCTTTGCTAGGCCAATAACAACAAGCAGGTAGGCGTTCAGATCACTGTAATCAAATGTGGTAGAGACAGCGACTTTCAACATGGATTTGCCAGCCTCGGACTCCTCAGTTGGAGGGTTCTCGGACGACAGCTCCTCTGTTACGGAGACAACAGATGGGGCCTTTTCAGGCGCAGGCCCGTCGCGTACAAGGACAACATTATTGGGGCTTTTAAGGAGAATCTAGTACGTCCAGAACTTTGTCAGCATTGTGACCAAAATAAGAAGACACAGGTTGATCGCTAATATCATACCTTAGTGGCATTCTCAACGCTGTCATCCAGCCTTGCCCACCTTACTTCTTCTGGAACAGCGAGCTCTTCAAGGGCAATATCACGCCAATCGCGGCCAGCATAGCGGGGATTGGGATTTCGGTTGGCATGCGGATGGCTGATAAGCTCTTGGAGCATTTGCTGTGTAAACGACGGGTGGCGGGAAGCTCGGGGAGAGGGAGGAGGGTGCCTCTGATTCTCCACGAAGTTATGGCGGTTGACATGGCCGTAGATGGAGCTCGGGCGATGCGTGCTCGACTGAGAATTGGTTCTTGACATAGGCGTCGCGCCAGCGGTCGGCATTGAGCTGCTGGTACCGCTGCTCACGTTGCCTGATGCAGGCCGTACTGAGTCTGTGTTGTCCATAGTAGCTACGCGATGCTGTGAATGCTTGAAGCGGGGCTGTTGGGATAATAGAGAAGATGAGGCTGATCACTTAAGACTCGCAGGCAGCATTCGATTGTCTTCGATTTTATCGCAATGCGATCCAGTTCTTCGCAATCGCCAGCATTGGATGCTTAAATGCGTCGGTGTAAATCGGGGTGAGGAAGCGACAGCTGGCGCAGGTCGATTGGAAAGGTGTCGAGTGGACAAGGATTGCTGATGACGAAGCTCAATTGCTGGAGATGGGGGGCTGTCGAAGCTGAAGAGGAGCTCAAATCTGCGGCCGTGCTCTACACCCTAGCTGGTGGCCTCGGGCAGATACGCCCACTGAGACGACCGGCAGCTGGAGGGTACCTAATTGAAGCGACGAGGATGCCACGGTCACCACATGACTTACAACATCACCTTCTCCCGCGTCAGTCGTGTTTCCCTCAGTATTTGCTTCTGCTGTTTCTGGAGAGACTTCAAGGTTAGCGCCCATTCTCTCAATTGTGTCCCAGCCAGCCAACCTTAACGCTGGGTCGAGCGGCAGAAGGCGAGAGTCAACCCATCATCCCCACTCAGATCGCGGCGCTTCTCGACGTGGAGGCATGCCAGCCGCTATCCCAATGAACAGGCGGACCCCCCGCCTTGTTACCCACTCGATGATGCACCTCAACGCGTATTCAATTATCAGAGTGTCAATAGTAAGGAAGTTCATGCATAAACTGGATTGACCTGAGATACCATCGTACAGAACGCGAAGTCAGCTGGCGCGCGTGTCGATAGCATTGTTTCAGAGCTCTAAGAACTGGCTTGTGTGAATATGACAATCACAGTTTACAAGTGTTGATCACAGCTTCCACATGAATCTACTGCGCTGGCTGGATAATCAGCTCATTGGTAACTATTGAGTCGAATGGGCGACCCCTGGAGCCTGACAGCTCAACGAAGCAAGTAAGGAGCTAAACTGTCAAGAAGTAACCAAACCGCCATCAAGTCTTTGTTCCCGGCTGTCATGTGTCGAAACTCGGCAGCCATGATCGAAAGGTGTTCTCGATGTTGCCTTGGTTAGTAGACCGATGCCCGAAAGCCGTCCCATCGACCTTGGGCTTCAACTTTTCGCATCAAATTACAGCTACCGGCCAAAACTGTGTGATGAAGTGCGATTACTGTGCATCTTGATGATGGCTCCGACACCCCACATAAGACCATTCGAGCACTGAAGGCAGATATAGCACAAGCTATCTGAGCAATTCCAGGTTTATCAAATTAAGAGACTCTTAATCGACAGCATTTGAACTTGTATAATTTACCATGAAGAGCTAAACTAGAGGGCAGCCAAATGGTTGCTGCCTTCAAACCGGCTGTGGTGGTTGTATAAGCGAAATCATTAGTTGACACTGTGTGGGCAGGAAACCTGCCCCTCCCCCACCTCTAAGATCGAACCAATCAAAAAATTATGAGGCATGTTCGCTGCCTTTTTTCGAACCCCCCCCCCTCTGTCCGACGCCAAAAAGTTCCCCTCCCACGACTCCTTGGTGTCCTCAATTACGCTTCTCTGCCGGGACATATTTTTTCTTGGTATTGCGACCCTCGGCCCACGACGCGTTCGTCAGTCGCGGCCATTCCTTGCGACTTTGTGGTTTTCCTCGATCCCAAACGACGATTTGCCGGGCGCGTCGCTAACCCGCGTGACCCCTCCTTCGTCCACAGCGACCCGAAAGCCTGTCTAAGGCGTTGGTGTGGTTCTCAGGGAGCAAGGCCTGAAACACCCCTCACAGCATCTATCTGGAACCATATCTTCTGTGTTGGCAGTAGTTTGGCTTTATTGTCGCGCCTTATGCGGCAAGCCTAATCGGTTGAAATTATCCCTGCAACTCTTGTCTTGCTTCCTGACCAAGCAAAGTCCTCCCTGCCCTCACTAGTCTGGAGAAGCACCGGTCATCAAGATGTCGATGCTGCCGCCTGATGTCAGCGCCCAACTGGTCCAGCTCCTTCAGCAGCTGCAGTCGGCCGACAATACTGTTCGCTCCCAAGCTGAAGATGTGCTCCAGAACCAGTGGACAAGCCAGCGGCCTGAGTGGCTGCTGATGGGACTGGCAGAGCAAATCGGTACCTCCAGCGACCCCTCGGTACGTCTTGCACTCGAGTGGCCTTTACGGCCTGCTATGCGTAAAGCCGTCTCTTACTCATGTTGGTCCTTTACACTCCTAGCTGCGCTCTTTTGCCGCCGTCATCTTTCGCCGAATAGCCTCCAAGACCCGCAAGAACATCAGTGGGGAGAACGTCGACTTGTTCATATCCCTTGAAAGGCAACACAGCACCGCAATCCGTGCAAAACTGTTAGAGACACTCCTTACCGAGTCCGATAAGAATGTGCGGAACAAAATCAGCGATGCCGTTGCCGAGGTTGCCAGACAATATGCTGAAACTGGTTTGTCGCGAAACCCCCTACCGCGATGTAATCAGAAATCCTGACCATACTTCTAGGCGAGTCATGGCCCGACCTCCTCCAGGCTCTATTCACGTTAAGCCAGGCGACTGATTCTGGCAAGCGGGAAACCGCCTTCCGTGTATTCACAACTACACCTGGTATTATTGAGAGGCAGCATGAGGACGCTGTGGCTGGAGCATTTTCCCAGGCCTTCAAGGATGAGTCAGTCGCGGTACGCATCTAGTCTGCCTTTGGATGCCGGTTCATACCAAAGCAAATGAGGGTGTGATGAGCTAACTATCTCTGAAGGTTCGCCTTGCCGCGATGGAAGCTTTTGCTGCTTTCTACCGCAATCTGCGCAAAAAGGATCAGGCCAAATTCCACGCCCTCCTGCCCGAACTTCTCAATATCCTACCCCCCATCAAGGACTCACAAGACTCTGAGGATCTTAGCAAAGCTCTGGTGGCGCTCATTGACCTTGCTGAGACTTCACCTAAGATGTTCAAGCCGGTCTTCAATGTCCTGGTTCAGTTCTCTATTTCAGTCATCCAGGACAAGGAGCTCAGCGACCTGTGTCGCCAGAACGCCCTCGAGCTCATGGCCACCTTCGCTGACTACGCACCATCGATGTGCAAAAAAGATCCCAACTACACCAATGACATGATTACGCAATGTCTCAGCTTGATGACTGATCTTGGAGAGGATGACGACGATGCTGCGGACTGGTTGGCTGCCGATGATCTTGACGATCCTGAGAGTGACCAAAACCACGTAGCCGGCGAGCATTGCATGGATCGTCTTGCCAACAAGCTTGGCGGTCTGGTCATCCTCCAGCCTACCTTCAACTGGCTGCCCCGTATGCTTTCTTCCCCCGCCTGGAGAGACCGCCATGCGGCATTGATGGCTATCTCAGCGATCTCGGAGGGCTGCCGTGACCAAATGCTTCCGGAGTTGAAGCAGGTTCTTGATCTGGTTGTCCCTGCTCTCAAGGATCCCCACCCCCGTGTCCGCTGGGCTGGCTGCAATGCCTTGGGTCAGATGAGCACCGACTTCGCCCCTGAAATGCAGAAGAAGTTTTACGATATCGTTCTTTCTGCCTTGGTGCCTGCGCTTGACTCTCCAGAGGCTCGAGTCAAGTCCCACGCGGCTGCTGCTCTGGTTAACTTCTGCGAAGAGGCTGACAAAGCTGTTCTCGAACCTTATCTGGACAGTTTGCTGACAGCTCTGTACCGTCTGCTTCAGAATGAGAAGAGATACGTTCAGGAGCAGGCTCTGTCCACCATCGCTACGATCGCTGATGCGGCAGAGCAAGCCTTCGCGAAGTATTACGACAGCCTAATGCCTCTGCTCGTCAGCGTTTTGTCGCGCGAGAGCGACAAGGAATATCGGCTCCTTAGAGCAAAGGCGATGGAATGTGCGACTCTCATTGCCCTTGCTGTTGGCCCAGAGCGCCTGGGAGGGGATGCCATGATGCTTGTTCAGCTGTTGGCCAATATTCAAGACAGTATCCAGGATCCGGATGACCCGCAGGCACAATACCTGATGCACTGTTGGGGTCGGATGTGCCGTGTCATGGGCAAAGCTTTTCTCCCATACATGCCAAAGGTCCTTCCCCCGTTGCTTGAGCTTGCAAGCGCCAAGGCGGATGTGCAACTCCTGGATGACGAGGAGCAGATTGCGAAGTTTGCCCAGGAGGACGGGTGGGAACTGGTCCCGCTGCGCGGCAAAACAATCGGTATCAAGACTAGTGCCATGGACGACAAGCACATGGCTATCGAGTTGCTTGTGGTGTATGCCCAAGTGCTCGAGGAGGCCTTCGCTCAACATGCTGATGATATCATGGAGAAGATTGCTCTTCCCGGTCTTGCCTTTTTCTTCCACGATCAGGTTCGATTTGTCTCAGCCAGGCTTATACCGCAGCTACTCCGCTGTGTCAAGAAGGCATATGGTTCCCAGTCACAACAGCTGGTGAACTTGTGGAATAAGACGGTCGACAAGCTTCTTGAAGTGCTCTCTGCTGAGCCTGCTATCGACACTCTGGCCGAGATGTATCAATGTTTCTACGAATCCGTCGAAGTTATTGGCATGCCATGTCTCACAGATGAGCGCATGTCCAAGTTCATCGACAATGTCATGTCTGCTCTCCAGGACTTCGATGAACGCGCGAAGCAACGCAAGGAGGAACTGCAGGGCCTGGCTCCGGAAGAACTCGAGGATGATCAAGAAGAGCTTCAAGAAGCCATTGATGACGATCAGACTCTTCTTGCCGATATGAACAAGGCGTTCAACTGCATCTTCAAATACCACGGGGTCAGCTTCCTGCCTTACTGGGAGCGTCTGCAACCAATCTACGCAGAATTCCTCAAGTCAGACGATCCTATGCAGATCCAGTGGGTGCTTTGCCTCTTCGACGATGTGCTTGAATATTGCGGTCCTCAAAGCGGGGGCTATGTGAGCTTCTTCAAGACTCCTTTCCTTGAGGGATGCAAGCATCCATCTCCGGCAATCCGCCAGGCCGCTGCATACGGTATCGGTGTTGCAGCTCGCAATAACGGCAAAGACTGGTCGGAAATGCTTGAGCAAGCAATTGAGCGGCTGTTCGAGGCAGTGCAGGTTCCAAGTCAAGTCAATATGGGTGACAAGACGCCTACCGAAGAAGAGATCTACAAGAAGGCTCGAGATGAGGACAACGTCTATGCCACCGAGAACGCGTGTGCAGCCATTGCCAAAATTCTGCACTTCTACCCGGCTGCTGTCAAAGTTAACCCCTATCAGGTCATTGCTCAATGGTTCAGGCTTCTCCCCATTACGAATGACGAAGAAGCAGCTCCGTATGCCTACTTGTACTTGGTCGAGTTGATTGGCAAGTAAGTGTTTGGCCCCTCATTGCAATCCCGTAAATGAACGTAGCTAACTTTGTAAAAGGCAACATCCTGTGGTCATGTCTCAGCCGGCTCTTGTCTTTCAGCGTGTGGTGGAGGCTCTCGAGGCCGAGACCTTGACAGACCAGACGGCCATGCGTGTGGTGGCGGCCACCAAGGCTCTGCTGCAGGCTACCAATACCGATCCATCACCAGTGCTGCTCAACTTCTCCCCTGAGACCCAGAATCTGGTTCGGAGGCTCTTTGTGTAAAGGTGTTGGTGGCATACGTGGTTTGCTAGCAAGGGTAGGTGCGAACTTGGGCGTTCTCCATTACTAGCACCCAAGTATGCAAAGCTACGAAGAGATTTTTTTTCCTAGCCTGCCGATGTCAAATATTGTGTGGTGTTCTCTTTGTCTAACGCCACAACTGTATTGTTCTCTTGCAGGATCGGCGGGCAAGCCTTATTATGACATGACCTGGATTCGAAGAGCTTCGTTAATCCAGCTAGGTTATGAACGGGATGCTCTTGAGCTTGCTATACTGCGTGGTGTGGTTTGCCCTTGTGTGGTCGAGCAGAGGACAAGCTGCCGGCGGATACGGTACTTAATGGGCGATGAAGAGAACCCGGGATTGTGGGTAAATGGACAGTGATACCAATAACGAGTGGGTTCAGTTGCTGGTGTGGGGAAGACTACAGCTGCATCCTGCTATGGAGGGATTGCACCTCCCTTGGAAGTATGCTTTCTTTGAGTTAGGGCTAGAGATTCGTAGGGGTCTGCAAAATGGGTTTTGTTTAACCACATCATGCATTTTGGTCCCCCTTACCTGTCAGTGTTTGTCCAATATTCAGCCTGGTTCCCGAGATTGCCACCATGGACTTGTTGGTTTTCGGTAATAATAAGTCATGTTTGGCTGTCTTATGGTCTACTGATATTACTTGGAAATAACGATATTTGTGCCGTTCCTGGAGCAGAGCACTCTATAAATCCCTTCCAATTGTATTCACTCAACTTATTGAATGCTCATTTCCTTGAACGAGGCATGCTTTGTCTCGTTCATGTGCTTCTGAGCATCCTTCGCACCCTGACCTATCCAGTTGCACTCCTCGCAGCAGATAACGAAGTCTGTCGTATCCGTGTAGTAGTGCATGGACTGCAGGCGCTGGCACAACCCTCGTGCCTTTTCGATGACCTCGTTGTCCTCAGAGCTCCATTGAGTTACATCCCACTCAACTGGCAGACTTAAGTCTATGCAGAAGGCAATGCGGTCATAATGAATTCCGGAGTAAACAAGAATCACCCGGTTGGGGTTGCCCTCTCCGAAGCGGTCCACACGGAGAGTCTAAATCATATAAGTTGTTAAGACCAAGTCTTGTAATATGTAAAGCTGGGGGGTGAGCGTACCTTTACGTCTATCGAGGCGATCTCAACCCCGTAAATTTTGGACAGGACGGAGAGCTCAATAGCCCCTCCCCATGTATCCATCTGTCGCATCCGGTTGGTGTAGACCAGGGGTGGATCACCAAGAATGGCCTTGTTGTACTCAACTGGATGATCCAGAATATAATTTGCAACCTCATCGCGCAGCCGTCTAGATGGGTTGTCGATTTTCATTGCACCACCAAATGCGGTGACTAACTAAAAGTCAGTGCTTGTGCTGGTTCATAGATCAAATACCTGTCCTGCTACAAAGAGTGCTTACACAAACAGCTGTTATCATCCGGCATAACCCGGAGAACTGACCATTTGAATTAGCATGTCACTACTGATGAAAAAATACCATGACTCTTTCACTCACTGAGGTGTCCACCTCGTTCTGGCCACTCAACCGAGGTCTCATCAGGCTCTACACTCTTGGGAGCGAAAGTCTCGGGCTGGCGACTAGGCGACTTCGGCGCCGGCTGGCTAACAGGAGACGAGGGCCTCGTCTCCAAGGGGACAACCACAATTGTCTCGCCTCGGAGCTTCATATTTTGGATGCTCTCCTCCAGAGCTGACGGGGTGATATCCAAATCCTTTGGCGGATACCCATATTTGAGCGAGAAGCCCTTAAGCCCCGTCTTTTTGGTGATGATTTCGATCAGATCTTTCAAAGTAGACTGATCATCAATTTGAATCCTTGACTGCCCATTTGGGGCACGAAGACTGATTTGAATCAGCATCGTTGAGATGAGAGATTGGTGTGAAATGTATTAAACCGTCTCAGATGACCGGTGTAGGGCTCAAATGGTGGTAACTTGGCAAAAAAATGGAAGGGATCTGCCCCCAATGCGAGGAAAACAACAATCAGCGGATAGAGAAGACCGGACTGTTTAAAGCAAAATCAGTATACGTTCGAGTTGTCCTAGTGCGGCGCTTCAGTTGGAACACAACGACCTTGTTTAGAGGGGCAAACAATCAGTCGGGTGTCTTTACCGCACTAAATAAAGACGAACAGTGCACAAAAAGCAAACTTGCTAGAATACCAATATGGCAATCGAAATCAAGATAGTTCTTTGCATACGCAAGAACCCAACCTGGAGCTTTCCAGGTTAGGCTGTCGGATCGGGCCGTAAGCGACGTCACCGGATTGTGGGCTATAATGACAGCACAGAGGTTGGGGTCGGATTTGCTAGGCGCCTATCTTAGCTGCTCAGCGGTGACCAATCCTACTCAAGGTAGGACGGCCAGGATTGCACTAACGGATGATGCAATTAATTCAAGTCTTTTTTCAAAATTGGTATAAATGTGATTTGTGTAAATAAAAGGAGAAACTCTGCAGGAGATGACAAGGAAAAGTGGCACGGAAGATGATTAGATGAACAGCTATCCCGATTGTTCGCTAACATCTTGATGGTCACTTCACGGCCCCTCATTTGTCTGGTGGCACAGACCAGTGATGTTTCACTGGTAGCTGAATAATCTCTCGGTATCACGATCTGAACCACTGCGCTAGTTTGCTATCGGGGCGTTAGTGCACTGTTGTAAGCAAGCACTGTCACAACGCCAATCCTCCAATCGCGCTAAACACTTCGCAGTTGCGACGTGAACCTCTCTGACCTTGCGTCTGCAGCTTGTGGAGATCCCAAAAGATCCCAAAGTCCTGCCAAACCTGTCACAGCAGGTGGTCACTGACTCGGTGGCCGTCAGCTAGGTACTCCCGTCCAGCTTTCTGAGTTCTGGAGACCCTGTATCCCGGGTTGTTTGTGTGCGCGTGTCTGAGATGCCCACCCTGCGCGAGCGACCCAGCAGGGGCGAAGCATCGCCCGCCAAGTCTGCCTCGACTGCCGCGACGAGATCAACCCCAAGAACCCGCCGAACAAGCATGCCTGGCGACGCGATTGAGGTGCGCGAATCCATTGAGGCCAAGGGCGATGTCGATGAGGACATTGAGATGGAGGACGCCGACGGCAGTGCCACGCCGCGCAAAAACAAAGACAAAAACAAGGACAAAGATGCCGATGGCGACATCAAGATGGGGGGCGCCAGCGGCACTGGTGATGTAGATGCGGACGGAGAGCCTGATGATGAGGTCGCGCAGACACAGCAAGATGATTCTCAGCGCGATCTTTTGCAATTGATTAGGGAGACGTCTGAGTATCTCTGTCGCTACACCATCAAGATCGACGGAGAGTGAGTCCTTCCTTCGTCTCCCGTCCCTCTTACATTGCGCCCTAGGACCTATTGCTTCCCATTGGGACGAGCTCTCATGCTAATTGTTGCTTTCAGGGAGCATGAAATTGCATCTGGCTTCCAGCGTCTGGTGAGCAAACGCAGTCTTCCCGACTACTTTGAGGTCATCAAGGAGCCAATGGCCTTCAGTACCATTCGGGTGCGTATTTTGGATTACTGGACCATTTTAAGGAGTGCTGTAGTCTGATAACGAGTGTCACAGGCCAAAATCGGGAAGAAAACGTACCAAAAGTTCAGCGAGTTTGTTCACGATGTAACGCGCATCTGTCACAATGCCCAGGTGTACAACAGGCCATCTGCACCTATCTTTGCCGATGCCGCCAAGCTCCTAGAAGTCTTTAAGGAAAAGCTCGATGAGCTGGTGAAAGAGGGCGCCATCACAGCCGAGGAGGCTCAGATCCCTGACCTTGGGCCTTTACCTGAATTCGAAGAGTCTCCTCCCCCCGAAGAAGAGGAAGAGGAAGAGGAAGAGGAGGAGGAGGAGGAGGAAGAAGAAGAGGACGACGATTCCGATGACGATGGCCGGCGCCGTTCTCGGAGACGAAACCGTAAGGGTGCAAGTAGGAGAGATGGCGACGACGATGACAATGATGATTACAAGAAGCAGCGTCCGGGCAGGCCTCCCAAGGTCCTTACACCCATGGAGGCTCGTATCGAATCCCTCCTGAAAGGGCTCCGTAAGTTCAAGAATGAGAACGGGCAGCCACGTGTCGTCTACTTCGACCGCCTACCGGAGAAAGGAGAGCCCATCTCGCTTGACATTATCAAAAAGAATTACAAGCGCAAAAAGTATCAGAATGTCGACGAGGTTTTGCAAGATCTTCTGCGCATGTTCAACAACGCCAAGCAGCATCATGACGAGAATAGCCAGGTGTACAAGGATGCTGTTGAGCTCGAGAAGCAGGCCCGTCTCCTTGCTGAGATCGAAAAGGCAAGGCCTGATGAGGACTTCCGTGGCGAGGATGGGAAGCTTCCTCTGGCGAGCATCGAGCACAAAGGAGAGATCTGGAAAGTTGGTAAGTCTGAAATCGTAGCGCTATTTCTTTTGGCTAGAGGATGTCTAACACTTGAGCAGGCGACTGGGTCCATATTCGTAATCCCAACGACTTGTCGAAACCCATCGTCGCCCAGATCTTCCGGACATGGTCTGATAAGTCGGGGCAGAAGTGGGTGAATGCTTGCTGGTACTATCGCCCTGAGCAGACTGTCCACCGCTTCGACAAGCATTTCTATGAGAACGAAGTAGTCAAGACAGGCCAGTACCGGGACCATCGCATTGATGACATTGAGGACCGTTGCTTCGTCATGTTCATCACCCGCTATCCGAGGGGCCGGCCGCGTGGTCTTCCTCCGGACAAGGCCGTCTACGTGTGTGAGTCACGGTACAACGAGGAGACCTTCAAGTTCAACAAAATCAAGACATGGTCGGGCTGCCTTCCGGACGAGGTGCGCGAAAAGGACTACGAGATGGATCTGTTCGATGTCCCTCGGGTCATGCGCAAGTTCCCTAGTCCCATCAAGCACCTCCTGCAGGCCGACGCCAAGGAGACAGACCCCCTACCTAAGCCGACCTGGAGAAGTCCCAATGCTCCTCCCTTAATCGGCGCTGTCCATCGCCGCCCTCGTGAACCGAATGTAAGTGTGCTCCTTCTGCCTTGTTGTTGCTTTACTGTTATTTATTTTTCACCTTGTCAGTTTTGTCAATTTCAACCGTTTTCCCAATTGCCCGTGTTTTATGATGAGTCAATCCTTCCTGCTGCCATACTCCCCCTTATAACGCGTTTGCCTTCCCAGCTGAGGGGGCAGTCTGTTGTTGGCTAGCTCCAAAGTGCTTATCGCTTCTATCTGGCCTTTATCTGCCCTTCTTCCCCGTCATTCCTCGCATGTTTTGACGCAAACCAACCGCGCCTTCTCCGCGCCCCATCTTAACTGGACGCTTTAACGCGTCGCGGAACATCAGCTTACAGACATCTAGGAGTCGCCTCCTCCGGAACCACACCCAGTTCCTGTGCCAGTTGCGCCTGGCGCTGTGCCGCTCCCAATGGCACCCCAGGTCCCTATTAAAGCCAACGTTCCAGGCGTCACTGGGCCGCCACCGCCTAGTTACCATCATCCTGCTGTGCTCACGCCGGCACCCGCGCCTTCACCAGCGCACTATCAGGTCCAACATTTCGCACCACGACAGGCTCCCCCTCCTGTTCCCCAGCAGGTGCCCGGACCACCGATGCCCCATTTCCAACCGCAACCACAACCGATGCCAATGCACGTGCCTCCGCAGCCTGGGATGATGCCACATCCGATGCAACAGATGCCACCGGCTCCGCACTTCCCACCTGCACCCCACGCGTATCCACCTCAGTACGGAGCCCAGCCGCCCCAGGCTCCGCCGCCGCCGAATTACTATCAGCCAGCTCCCAACCATATTGCTTCTGTGCCCTACGAGCAGCATCATCGCCCGGTGCACGCTGCACCTCCACCAGTGACACCGTCTCGTCCACCACCGCCAATGGCTCCTGCACCTCCCAACATCACGACCATGCCACCACACGCGTCTCCCCACGTCAGCGCTCCTCCCCCTGCTCCTGCGCCCCATGTCTACAACGCTCCTCGTGCTCCCGAGGTCTACACTTTGGCCGATAACATCGACGCAGCCATTCCAAAGGAGGTGCGCGAGCAGTTCCAGTGCGACGAGAACGGCCGCATCCTCTTCTTCACCGGGGCACCGCTCGACCGGCCCGCCAATCGCGTCGCAGAGGCCTATTCTCAACTGGGTCACAGCGTGCGCCACCTCGCGAGCATTAAACAACTGCGCGAGGAGCGGGCGCGCAAGCGCAAGGAGCGCGACGAGGCTCTCGCACGCGAGAGGGCTGCACAGGAGGAAGAGGCCAAGAGGCAGCGGCTTGCGCAAGAGCAGGACAGCAATGATGCTGCCACGCTGGAGCAGAAGAAGGCAGAGGCTAGGGAGCTGCTGGAAAAAGTTCTGCGCGACTGGGCGGCTGAGATCGACCGTGGGACGCAGCTGCTCAGGGAGGATCTCTGAGCCTCTGGCCCTGAAAGTTGGGTGTTGATGAATTTTTTTTTTCATTTTTTTTCTCGTTGCAATCGGTCGGTACGACATCGGCGCGGTCTCTATGATACAGTGCCCTTGTTGCCATCGTTGATGGCTAAGCTCAAGGGCTGCTTTCTTCCCAACCAGTTGGGACAAGCACGTTTCCCGGTAATTTTTATTTTTGTTCTTGATTCCGCTTTATTGTCTACTGTTACATTCTATCCAGTGACTCCTGTTACAGGTGGTCTACGGGTGAAGGAATCATTTCCGGCTTTCTGGGAGTTGGTATCGGTGTTGGAGAATGGAAAGGGTTTCTCGCGTGGGACAGCGCGCAAAAGAAATTCTGGAACAGGTCAGGAGCAGGGATATACCCTTTCAGCGAAGAGCGAACAGAAAGATGTCGGTTAGCTTGAGGCTTGTCGTATCTGTAAGACTATATACAACTGAGAAACGGTGTAGGGTGTGCTCTTCAATGGCTGCGCTGGCTTTGCTACAACACATCTGCGACTTGGTAATGGGATTTGTAGATCACAATAGCAACCTTAAATAATAGATGGCAAGTTGAGTCGCATGACTGTCTGCATTAGTTTTGCTATCGACTACAGTACCACAAAAGACGCTAGCCGGCCTGTACCGTAATGCATGATGTTTGTCTGCCTATAAGAGTGGCAACGCGATGATCAAAATTCTGGAAGTTGAGACTATGCAGGCTGACCTGTCTGAAGGTGATGGGAAATTGAGGTCATATGGGAACTTTGTGACGACTCTTACTCAGGTTCCGGGATGTTCTAGATGCAAAACCGCCCCTAAGTTGCTCTTGGCTCTGTTTTCCATTGTCTGAGGGAATCGGCCGAGGTTGGCGAGCTGATCTCACATCCCGTCGTCGGGCTTTCCAGATTAGATGGGGAAAAAGCATCAGGCGAGTGGCAAATGTGGTGACCTCGTGGCTTTCTGAACACTTGCCCGCACACAATGAGCCTGGGAATCCAAAAGATGTACATCCTGCAGATCGTACTGATTTCTACGCATGTTGAACACCTATTGGGTTTCGCATCCATGACCCAGACGCCGTTGTTTTCCTCTGGTTGTCGATCCCGAACGAGCCGTTTTTGGTGGACCTGTGACGCGCGTCAAGCGTGTTAGTGAGGTCGTGGTGCAAGCTGCAACGTTGGCCCACCTCTCTTGGTGGTCCCTTGCCAGTGCCATTGGTGATGCCCACAAAATCGGAGTTGCTCCACCGGAGGAGCAACAAATCGGAGCAGATTATAGCGCGCCAGTGGTTTAGTGGTAAAATTCATCGTTGCCATCCAGGCAACATTCGATGAGCCCCGCGTTCGATTCGCGGCTGGCGCATACCTTTTGCTTCCGTATCATTCCGGACCAGCTTTGATGCTGTGCGAGGTGGAGATGGGGGAAGCTGGGATTCCGAGGGGGCTCTATCAACTTCTGGTACTCAGTAATCGCTTTAGCTGTCTTGTCCGCTCTTTTTTCGTGTCAGCACGCTTCGGTCTGTTTTGCGTTTGGTGCCTGACCAGCAGCGATTCCATGCATTGCTGACTTCCACGGGTCAAGGGCTGCGAATTGTTTGGGTCATTGAGCAGTCGGAAAATGGCGAAGCCATGGTGGAGAAAATCTATTGGGTGCGACAGGTCAAGAGACGAAATCCGAGCCCCAGGTCATTGGCGGAATGGAAGCGAGCAGCAATGACGTGTCAATACGCCGTTGATGCCAGCATTGTTGTGGAAGAAGATAGACATTCGGGCATAAAGAGAAAGGGTAAACGTGCTGCCACCGTGCATTGTGCAAGGGGTCGGTGTTGCTATTGATTCTCTTAACTAGCTATTCTGCTTGGTGTTGACTGTGTGAATTAAAACTGTGTACGGATTACTTGGCATCAGACACAGTTCGCATCTTCAGCGAGTCTCGTCCCCCAACAACCAAACTGCTCCCGCCAAACACTCATCCAAGTCCTTGACAACCTCCACCGTTGACCCGTGGAAAACAAGAAGTTTTGGCCCAGCTCAAGAGTCCCTGAGCATCCCAGCCAAACGGGAAAGCACTGTGGAACCTTCACCCAGTGCGGCTCTCTGCGACGGCTACCCTCTTCCCCGCGAAACCCACCGCGAGGAGCCACTCAGCTGACGCCAAACGAGCGGGAGACGGCCCCACTTCGGTACCTCGAATCGACAGTGCTCGCCTTAAGGTTAGGCTCAACTTCCTAGCAGACAGGGTCATCTTAACCAAAACACCAACCAACTACGATACCAATCATCACCTTGCCATACGCCATCAACATCCTTTCCACAACCTGCATAAGGCTTCGTAACCCCTGCAGAAGAGCCTCTGTGCACTTCTTCCCGTATTCTCCACCTTTCAAATGATGGTTTGCCATCTTGCGCCAAAGTTCATACACTCCTCCCAACCCTGAGATCCGACGACCGACTTGCATCTCTCCCCTCTTCACGGGCCGAAGACCCCGTGTCCGACTCCCCCCTCACGATCAGGCGCACGAAAAGATACTGGTATTCTCTCTCCCACTCCCATCTCTTTATTTCCGTCTCTTTCGTCGCTAGGAAGAACGAATTCGCCATACATCGACTTTTGTTCCGCCTGTCGAATCCCCCAGCCAAGCGGACCAAACGATCCGTCAAGCATATCGCACACTTTCTGACAGTCCAAGATTGATGTGAGCTCCAGCGATGACATCCACAACTTATTTTGGTCGCCCAGAGCCGGGCGGTCGCCGACTTGGCGCAGATTTCGACCTTCTTGCGAAATGGTCGCGCACCTTTGCGGCTCGCAAACCGATTCACTCTTATTGTTTGTCGCAGTTGTCCCCGAGTGATCGGGCAATCCTGTTTGCTGGTCCCGCCCAGCATTTCCGGTTGCAAGAGCTTCCTGATCACACTGTCCGCCTCGAGACCATCCTAGATGATGGTGAGGTCGAGGTCCGACACATCGATGCTGACGTGGTCAGCATGATGCGTTCGCCCAACTACAGCAAATCCGAGGCTCGACACTACGAAATGTGTTGTGAGATCGAGGATGCGCAGCCGGACTCTGATACAGTCGCAGAGATGGAAAAGTGCAAAGCGTTACTACAGGGTGCAGATCCCGAGGCCGCTGAGAAGCGCGCCAGAAAGGCGAAGCAAGATGTCCTGTTACGCGCTGGTTCCACGGTAAAGAAACGCTGGAAGGCGGAGCGCATGGCACGTCTCACTAGCAGGACGCCTTCTCGGTCTGCCAGCACATCAGAGGATGACAGGGAAACCATCAAGCCATTTTCGCAGGCTGGCACATCTCCAAAGGTTGCCGCTACCTTATCTTCTATGATTGTAACCAAGCTAACCAAGTCTCATCCAAAGGCCTCACACAAGCATCCGTCTCCGAGGGATTCCATTCCAGATTTGTGCAGTGAAACTACGGCAGAAACTTCAGACTGGGACACCCCGAATCAATTGACGGATGTATCCACACCCGATCCTGAGACCGCTGCGGTCGGGGACGATATTAATGGAGGTGTCACCCTGTTGCCCTTCCGTCTGCCGCGAACAGTGGAATCGGATAACGAATGCACAGTTGAGACGCCCAAATTGGGCTCTCGCCTCTCTCAACCCAACGGCCAGACCACTAGCCGCCAACTGGGTGTTGGTTTAAACCAAGCTGTGTTTTCTCTTGCTGGAGGCTTCAGCGGTCTTCAGGTTACTTCCTCAGCGGCCATTCGCATTAACGACCCTTTCCAGCCACTTAACAACCCCTTCATCTCGTTTCATGCGATTCCAACAGTTATTCCTTTGCCCGACGCAACTCCCAGGGCCACTTCCAGCCCTGTCAATATCCCCGCTGGACAGGCCTCTACTCCGAAGACATTTACCCAGCCGTTCTCTCCGCAGTCGAAGAAGACGCCAAAATACCCTCTCGCAAAGGAACAGATTTGGAATGGATTCACCTGCTATGATGTTCCTAACCCCTTCAGCAACGATCATCTGGTTCCCAAATACTGGACCGACAAACTCGGAAAGGAGCGTTATGTACGACACAAGCTTCAGGATTTAAAGCAAGAGGACGCTCGCCTGCAATCTGATCGTGTTTTCGGCGTTGTTGCCCGCAACCCGATCCACATCTTCGTGGATCTCTCTAATATCATCATTGGTTTTTACGACAGTATGAAGCAGAGCCGCGGCATTCCTATCCATAAGCGGGTCATGGCCCCTCCCTTCTCTTTCAAGAATTTCGACACCATTCTCACGCGCGACCGAAATGTCGCTAAGAGAGTTGTTGCTGGTTCCCGCCCGCACACCGAAAACAAGTGGTTGCCCGCCTACATGGTTCAGGCTGAGGAGCTGGGTTATGAGATGAACATCCTGACCCGTGTCCCTAAGCCTTCTTCTCCAATCCGCAAGCAGAGAAAGTCCAAGGGCACCAACCGTGATCGTGATTCTGCAACCTCTGGAACCGAGGTTTCGGGTGACGACAGCATGTCGAAGTTCACGAAACATGGGGAGCAGGGTGTTGATGAGGTGCTGCACCTGAAAATGCTCCAGAGCATTCTCGACACCAAGAGTCCCGGGACCATTGTTCTCGCCACAGGCGATGCTGCGCATGCTGAGTACTCCGACGGCTTCAAGAAGAACATCGAACGAGCCCTACAATCCAACTGGAACATCGAACTTTACGGCTGGAGCCGTAACATTTCTGCCGCCTGGCGCGAGCCTGCATTTGCTGCCCGCTGGAGTCACAAGTTCAAGATCATCGAACTCGATCCGTTTTGTGAGGAACTTTTTGACGTCACGATCGAGTCTCTGGATTCTTGAGCTGTGTTGGATACGCCAGCAGTTTTGTTCCGTGAGAAATCATTGAACACGCTACTGGCATCCATGACATCTTGTTGTGCATTTGTATGATGCGCGTCATCATCTAGGTAGGGCACAGCTCCTTCTTCCTCTTTCTTTCCCTAGGCGACACATCTTTCTCTTCTTGATCGAATGCGACAGTTGGCTCCGGAGGGATCCTCTCTCGTCAGCTGCTGTAACTCGGGTCGCACGCTCGATCAGAACTCGTTTACAGAACGTTCCGAACATCCATTCCCTAAGGTAACCTAACAAATTTTCCGCCATCTGATTCACGGCATTTCTTATTCTTCCAGCAATTACACCACGGCATCCGTCCATTCGCGGACAACTCGCCAATATTCACACTCGCTTGTTTCTCGGGGCTTGCGATCTTACTGTCATCGCTCCCCTTCGGTCATTCTTCCCTGACCTTCGTCAGCTACCTACACCACAACGTTAACGCGGCTTCGACTCGGCATAGCACGGGTTTAATATCCCACCGATCAAGTACACCGCTCTTTGTTTTGTCGAACAGCCGCTTCTTCGTCCGCTGCGCTTCCAGGACGTCATATATGGTTTAGATGCACACCAATATCCTGCAAGCGAGTTCCTCGATCAACGTTTTCAATCCTCCTAATCTGGGAAGGTGGTCGGCAGTACCTAGTAATGATGATACCGCAACAACTCTGCACGGCACGATGACCTTGATGATTGATGAGGGCAACGATAACGATTGAGCGGCTTTCTCATTTCCTCCTTCACCCCCCTTCCTCCCCAAACCTCCAAAACCTTCATGGAGGAAAGTCTTTTGGACTGAAGGAACATAAGCTGGCAAGGAGGAGGTCAGACCTGACCTTGTTTTGAAATGGCTAGCTGAACGGGAACAGCGATGATATCCGGTGGTGGAGATACGTCACACTGACATCCTCAACTCAACACTTGCAAGCGGCTACTGTTCTGCGGTCTCTTAACCCTCGATGTGTCCCGCACTACCTTATCATCATCCCTCTTTTCCTTCATTCTTCTTCCATATGGGTGGGAACCTAACGGCAGCTTTTAACGATTTCATGCATGGGCCATTATATCTCACGGAGTTCGGGTTGCATTTTACTGGTTCGGGGAACGGTATACCTAATACAGGGGATCGGAAGATACCATTTTTTTTTCTTTTCTTCTGGGGTCAATTTCAGATTAATATTTCCGAAGAGAACTACGGGTTGCGGGGTCGGTTCATGTTTGCAGCATCACTACGGCACGGCATGGCATGGCATGGTTCGGCATGGCATTGCATTGCAGGTGGGCATGCAAGCATCAAACAAACACAAAGCGGGGCGTTCTGATTCTTTTCTCTCTTTTACCGGAGTGGTGTCTTGACTGACTCGGGGAAAAGGGGAGAAGGTCATTAGATACCCAGGAAGTCAGCGGTTTGTGAGGAACTGACGGCACTGGGACGGAGATACCCCTACATCTGCACAAAGTATTTCAGGAGATCTTTGTTGTCTTTGTATTCTGTGAATTTTATTTACTTACTATCACAGGAGGATATGAGGATTAAGACCTGTGAGCTCCATGGGGATGGGGAATGTTGATGTTGCGGAGTCTCGGCTTGGAGTATGTTGGGAAAGGTGGGCATGGATAATCTCTTTGGGAATTTTCCTCGTTCAGAGCCACCATTTTGGCTGGTCAGTTGCTTGGATGTTCCCCATAGACTCACTTTTACTCGACTGTCTGTCGTCTTGATGGATATGTGGAGGAAGGGTGAGGCATTTGGAGATTACCTCTCTCCATCCGTGCTCTGGCATACATCTCGGGGTAGGGATAAACACACAACACACACGCGCCGCATTGGGGACATGGACAGTTTAGTCTCTCGGTACCTGATGTAATAGCGTAGTTGATAGCATAGGCGCAAGTGAATTAAGATTATTAACGAAGCTTCGTGCCCTTTTTTCCCCGTGGGCTTCTGAGGCAGAGAATTTCCATGCATTCCATCAGCTCAGGATCGTGTGAGTCTGGATACAGCTTCAACGTGGCAGGATACGAACGCCGACGGATTTTGGACGTAGGATGAATATGGACCACACGCACTGGAGAGGCGCCATCAAGAGCTTAGTGTGCTGGACACACGGGTTAAAGAACATTGAAACATAGGGAACTAGGATCGTGTAATGCCTTCAAGAGTCAAACCTTCGTCCATTCCTAGCACGTAGGTAGCTTATGTGCTCTAATATGACTGGTATCCAGAAGATCTATGCAACAACAGCAGCCACTTCAACAACTTCTTGCCTCTTCTTTCCCTGACCAAGCTCCATCATGATCCACTCATACACCGCCCATTGGACGGCATTGACGATGAACGCTCTGATACTGCATACCGTCAAACCGCTGAAGAAGGGCCTGATTCCACCCTGTTTGTAAGTCTCTTTGGCTACTTCCCAGGCGCCCATCCGCCGCCTGCTTGTACCCCTCTCCAGTAACGGTCTCCTCTCACCCTCTGCCTCGATCATTGCCTGTGTCTGCACCTTTGTCTTGATCACATCTAAAGGGAAGATACTCGCCCAGGTAATAATTCCTGCTATCCCACCACAGACAAGCACACGCGCTGCTTCTGAGTTCAGCCAGGAGCTTCCAGCACTCGCGGAAGCTCCGCCTTGACTTCCTGTTTGACTGCTGGAGGAAGAAGACTTCGCTAATTGCATCCACCACCTCGTGCAAAGCTCATACCCCCAGAAGTAGAATCCATAGCCTACACTATCCCTGATGGCAGTCACTCCGCCACCAAAGTACAGCCCACGTATCCCTTCAGTTCGGAAGATCTGCTTCGTAATGGCCCATGATGAGACCCCGTTTGCACCTCTCGCCCTTGCTGCAGTAGATAGAGGGGCTGTAGACGAGGGGCTGCCCCATACCTGCGCCCGGCACTTTACTAGCTCAGTGGGCGTCGAAACAACCCAGGTTGCTAAGCCGCCTGCGGCGCCGGCAATCCAGGCCGTGGTATAAGGGTAGGGGTTGGTCGCGGTGTTGCCGTTGGCGAGCAGGGCTTCGACGCGGTTGTAGGTTACGAAGAGGAGAGCATTGAGCGCGCCGTAGCCGAGGACCGGGGCCGCGGTACCGAGGAGGAAGGCTGATTTTGCGCGTTTGGGGAGGAGGGTTGAAGTTGGGGACGGGATTGACGTTGTTGGAGTTAAAGCTGGATGGGGGAGGGTTCCCTGAGATGGGGATGATGATCCGGCGGCTGCTTGCAGACGGACTTTGAGGATATCCAATGGATTGCCGATGATGATGCCTACTGCCCCGGAGATGTAGCCGGCCCAGAAGTCGGCGGACATTGTGTTACAGAGATGGTCAGGGATTCGGTGCTGATAAGGAGTGAATTTGTGAGATCGCGGCTAGGTCATGCGAGGAAGGAGCAGGCGTGTGGGGTGGCCGGACTCTGGGTTGCGCTAGGGCCGAAGCACCCGTTTGGCCCAGTCCCCTGTTTTCTGAGCTTTAATAACTTGTGTTTATTGAATTATCTGATCATTGGGAAGGAATTGAAGCTTCAACTGAGAGAGATCGACCAAAAGATGCTAGGATGAGATGCAGTGAACCGCGCGGCCCGGCCCAGCGGGACGAGGCCCGGGGATGGATGGGCCAGTGGGGTCCAACCGAGGGATCACAGCGGGGTAGCGTGGGCACTCTTGGCGGCCTCTGCTGAATCTGGAAGGTGGGGTTGCACAGGGGTAATATCACGTGATTGAAAGTCAGCTGATATCGCGATGCTGGCGGACGCGTTGCTGCCTGCCCAGCGACGCGTCTTGGCCTTGTCCCACGTCAACAAATCGAGTTCCACAAGCATTTCACACTTTGAACAGTGCATGTTCATGCTCCTGCGAAGTGTCAGCTCTTGTCTTGCTCAGAGAACTTGTTGTGTACTTGAACTTGAAGTCATGTTTTCAAGATGTCAGTAACAGGACATGACCCCTGACCAGCAATATGGTGTCCACTGTTTTGTCGCTAACGCGAGGTAAACAGGACCGGGCCTGTGTCAACCACCGATGCAGCACCGGCTGCCACTACACACCCGAACAAGGAGAATCTTGTGCCTAAGAGCCGGTTTCCAACACAACAGGCAATTGAGCGCTTGCACAAACCCTTCAAATGCCCTGGAGCAGCAAGACCAACATTAGCTTCAGATCGCCCAGCGCGAAAGCGAAGAAAAGTCGACTACTCCGGAGCCGACGGTGATGCTGACGGTAATGGAGATAAACCATACACAAACGCTGACCGTCTCGCCCTACCCACCCGTGAAGCAAACAAATTCCCAGTCTTCCAGGTCAAAGACAAGGAACAAGTCTTTCGGAAGGCTTTCTCAGTACCTCTTATCAACAAGAGCTCTTACAACCCCAATCGACCACCACCCTCCTTAGGCCTCAGACGCGGAACTGTGTTTGTGGCAAAACCTCTCCACGACCCATGTGGGGAATTCGCAATCGTACTGTATGACCCAACCATTGACGACAAGCCGAAGGACGCGCCCCCTCCCGAGGAGAAGGAGCCTGAAAAGAAACCAGAGGGGCCATCTATGCACAAAAGTCTTGCCGAAATTCTGGGCATTAAGAAACAACCAGTCAATGAGCGGCCCCGTGTGCCCGTTGTCATCGATCCCAAGTTGGCCAAGGTTCTTCGACCTCACCAAATCGAGGGTGTCAAGTTCATGTACCGTTGCGTTACGGGCATGATCGACCCTAAGGCGAACGGGTGCATTATGGCTGACGAAATGGGTCTGGGCAAGACCCTACAATGCATCACACTTCTCTGGACACTTCTCAAACAATCCCCCGAAGCTGGGAAGCCGACCATTGAGAAAGCCATTGTTGCGTGCCCGTCGAGTTTAGTGCGTAACTGGGCAAATGAGCTGGTGAAATGGCTCGGTAAAGATGCCATCAATCCGTTTACTATTGACGGGAAAGCCTCAAAGGAGGAATTGACCCGTCAGCTCCATCAATGGGCGATTGCGAGCGGCCGGTCCGTCACCAGACCCGTTATCATTGTCTCCTACGAGACTCTGCGTCTCAACGTTGAGGCGCTCAAGGGGACACCAATTGGCCTGATGCTTTGCGATGAGGGCCATCGTCTCAAGAACGGAGACAGCCAAACCTTCAATGCCCTTAACAGTCTCAACGTATCGCGACGCGTCATTCTTTCCGGTACCCCCATCCAGAATGACCTGTCCGAGTACTTCTCTCTCATTAGCTTCGCCAATCCCGATCTGCTTGGGAGCCGAGCCGAGTTCCGCAAACGGTTCGAGCTTCCCATTCTGCGTGGCCGTGATGCCGATGCCTCGGAAGCTGAGAGAAAGCGCGGCGATGAGTGCTTGGCTGAACTGCTTAGTATTGTCAACAAGTTCATCATCAGACGCACGAACGATCTCCTGTCTAAGTACCTTCCCGTCAAGTATGAGCATGTCGTATTCTGCAACCTGGCGCCGTTCCAGGCCGATCTTTATAATTACTTCATCACGTCTCCAGACATCCAGGCGTTGCTCAGGGGCAAGGGGTCCCAGCCACTCAAAGCCATCGGGATCCTCAAGAAGCTGTGCAATCATCCTGATCTTCTCGATCTTCCGGGAGACCTTCCCGGCTGTGAGCAGTACTTCCCAGAGGACTTCGTCCCCAAGGATGCTCGCGGTCGCGACCGCGATGTTAAGTCGTGGTATTCGGGCAAGATGATCGTCCTGGACCGCATGCTTGCTCGCATTCGTGCCGAGACGAACGACAAGATCGTGCTCATCAGCAACTACACACAAACGTTGGACCTATTCGAGAGGTTGTGTCGCTCACGTGGCTACGGCTGCTTACGTCTGGACGGCACGATGAACGTCAACAAGCGGCAGAGGCTTGTAGACAAGTTCAATGACCCTAACGGCGACGAATTTGTCTTCTTGCTATCTAGCAAAGCCGGTGGCTGCGGCCTCAATCTCATCGGTGCCAACCGACTGGTGCTGTTTGATCCGGACTGGAACCCCGCTGCCGACCAGCAGGCCCTTGCTCGTGTCTGGCGTGATGGCCAGAAGAAAGATTGCTTCGTGTACCGCTTCATCGCGACCGGCACAATCGAGGAGAAGATTTTCCAGAGACAGAGCCACAAGCAGTCTCTCAGCTATTGTGTCGTTGACTCGGCCGAGGACGTTGAGCGTCACTTCAGTTTGGACGCACTCCGTGAGCTGTTCCAGTACCGGCCCGACACGCGCAGTGATACGCACGACACGTTCAAGTGCAAGCGCTGCAAGCCTGATGGAAAGCAGTTCATCAAGGCACCGGCCATGTTGTACGGTGATACCAGCACGTGGAATCATTTTGTCAATGAGGGCCTAAAGAATATCGAGGATCATTTGTTGAAGCAGGAGTGTGGAGAGCCTATTGTTAGCGCTGTCTTCCAGTACATCTCACATTGATCAAGTTGGGAGCGTGCATGGGCATCTTGCTTTGGCATTGCAGTTGTGGGAATATAGGTCTGTGGGAAGGTGTAAAGGGTTGAAGCCTTTGCTTGGATCGGTTGCTTAATGATTGCACGCGATGAAGCATGATATACGTACCTGTGTCATGGCATTGCACTTCTAGCCAGTGGCATACAAGCATCTGTTCATCCAACTACTCTAGGTATACATACAATAGACAATTTCGGACTTTGTGCATGTACGTTCTTCACAGCTCATCCTTCTCCCGAACCGTCTTGACCTCCTCTTCATCGCCATCCAGCCTTCTACTCTTTGGGTTCTTCTGGACTTTTTCTTCTTCCTTCTTCTTTGGCTTCTCTTCCCTCACTCTCCTCGCCAACTCAGCGATCTCCTCGTCATACTTCGTCCACTCGGGCACCTGTCTGCGTGCCCGATCCAACTTGGGCTCCTTCGTCATCGGGTTGTTGCACAGGTCGATGGTCCTGGCATCCTTGAGCGTCTCATCACTGCACCATGTCTCACACCACAACCACTCCTGCGGCAGCGTGGCGATGGGAATGGTGAATTGCATGTGGTTGGGCAGGTCCTGGTCAAGGTTGGCCAGCGAGTTGGGGTCGGCTGACAGCGCATGATACTGCTGGCGCAGACGATCACCAGCCGCCAGCTCGCGAAAGCGCTGCAAATCAACGACATACAGAGCACTGATATGGTACGGCTTGCCCTTGAGGTAGTTCGCCCAGTAGCCCGTCTTCCAGAAGCGGTATCCCTCCATCTCGACGCGCGAGTCGCACATGGGCGCGAAACCGTAGGGCGCGCCATCCAGCGGGTGTTCGACCAGGTCGTACATGTCGGTGCGCACGATCTGGTCGGCGTCGACGAAGATGACCTTGTCGAGGGACAACGGGAAGAGCACGTCCAAGAAGAGGATCTTGTAGCCCCAGATCTCGCGTTGCTTTTCCTTTTGTTGGCGCAGCCAGTGTGGCCACTTGTAGGTCACCATCTCATACTTGAAGCCGTACTCGGCTGCCATGTGCGGGATGAAGTCCTTGAAGGAGGGGGACAGGAATTGCTCGATGAACCAGAACTTGACCGTGTGGTTGGTGTGGTGCATGACTGAGGCCATCATGATGTTGAGCATGCGTTCGTAGAGGTGGCCGCTGGCGACGGAGAAGATGTTGATCTCGGCGTGCTCGGTTTTCGACACGGACTTGGTTGCCTCAGCGGCCTTGTTGCCACGACCCAGGAGACCCTCTGCAAACTTTATACCTCGAGAGACCAAGTTCCTTGCGCCACTGCCAGACTCTTCACCGGACTTGGTGCTCGGCTCGAGCACATCCTCCTCCTCCATACCGGGCTTTCGCCTCAAGCGAGGGTAGAGGGTCGTGCCCTGGAAGTCCATGAGGACGACTTCAGTGTTGTCATCGCCAGGAATAGGGCCCCAACCCTTGGCTCCAACGCTCTCCAGGGTGAAAATCTCCGAACTCCGACCTTCTTTGAGTCGGATGTTGTAGACACCTGGGTTGGCCTTGAACTGGAAGTAGCCGAGGTTGGCCATGATGATCGTGTCAGCAAAGTGTGGGTTGTTCTCGGTTTCCAGCACAAGCTGAACACCACGTGGGGCATGAGCCCCGGGAATCTCGCGCGAATGGCCCTCAATAAGAATATGCTCAAGTTCGTAGATCGCCTCAACATGTTCCGTGCCACGCTTGGCTTTGATATCCTTGATACGAAGGTTATCCAGATCATCAACCGCAACTTTGGACGTGACAAGCCAAGCAGGGGGGACATCCATGCCAACAACGAGCAAGGTTTCCCGAGGAACACCAGTGAAGCGGGCCGAAAGAGCCTTGACCTTGCCACTCTCATCGAAGCTGGGAGAAGAGGACAGGACGTAGCGATAGAAACGCTTGACGGGAAGCTCCTCAATCATGACCGTGGGGTTGAGGAAGACCCGTAGGTGTACACCTTCGAGCTCAGAAAGCACCTTCAGGACAGCAACCCACCTCTGGCCGATTTCACTGGCGGGGTTGATGACAGCCACGAAGAAAATGGTGGCTGTTGACGCATCACCCACCTCGAAAGAGGTGTAGGTAGAGTTCCATTGCTTGAATAAAGTGGTTCTTACCGTGGGTGCGTTGTCAAAAATGCCCTGTGGGAGATCCGAAATAGTCGACAAAGCAGTCACGGAAGTTAGCTTAGCTGCACTCAACGGCCCAGACACCTTGTCATCAAGGCCGAGATCCTCAAGAGCTTTATAGACTGGCAGGATGCGAGTCCTGCGCTCAGCCTGGAGGAACACCTCGAAATCTTCCTTCTTGAAGTCATCTGCCGAGGTAATGGGGCCGAGAACACGGCCGTTGAGAATAACAAAGTTATCGCCAGCTTTCATGTTTGAGCTGGCAAGGAAGTTGGCTAGAGAAGCGTCGTAAGCGACATCTGGTTCGAACTCGCCAGTTTCGAGAGCAGTCTCTAGATCGAGAAAGCGAGTAAAATCTAAAAGCTTGTCCTCACGAGACTTGAGGCGTTGAGCAAGAACCGAAGGGGAACGTGAGGTATCCTTGGGATTGTGGACAATGTCCAACCGAACGCCATCGTTGCTTTTCCGGAAGCGGAGTGCATAGTACACCAGCTCCTGGCCCTCGATATCGTCAAGATCCGCGACAACGGTTAAGGCTGCCCAGTCATCCCTAGTTGACTCCTTGCTGGCCTCGATAACAGGAACCTTGCTCATAAGATCGTGATTCTCAATATAAATCTTGTTTACGTTGAGCACAGTGAGCTCGTTCTTGTCTTCGGGGAAAATGAGAGTGTTCCGTCTTGATAGGGCTTTCTCGAGGAAGAAGCCAGGAAGCCACATGGACTCATTCAGCATGCCGAAGTAACCGGCTTGCTGGAGAGCCTGCAGGTCTTGCATCAATCTGTGGTTCATCACCCGCAGCCAATTGTCCTCCCGTGGAATTGGGAAACCATCAAAGAAGACAGTAGGAACATCACCTCCAGCACGCAGGCGTTCCACCCAATGCTTTGAGAGGTGTATTTGCTTTTCGTGCTTCTCGGAGATAAAGATATCCTTGAAAGAAAGCTCAACACCGTCTGGACGCAAAGACTTGTCTTTGATCACTTCGTTGAAGATACGTTCGTTTGGCTGGCCGGTGCTTTGCTCCTCATACGACTTCTCCAGGTATGCAGTTGCTGCAGCTAAACCATAATTTTCTAGGAGATAGTACACAACCTTGGCTTGGTCAATAGCCTGGCCGGTAGGCGTCAGAGGAACGAAGCCAAATCGAACAGGAATTAACCGCTTCACAAAGGATAAGAGACCCTCGACCACAATCTTGACATCGTCGGCTTTGGTGAGGTCTACGGGAACGACCAAGTTGAAAACATCCCTGCGGATCTGGGGGAGCCCGTGACCGAAGTGATGAATTAGAACCCAAATGCTGGGAGAGAAGGACTTGTACCGCTTGTCCTTTTCAAGGTTATTTAACCAGATGATAACTTGTCCTTCTTCGATATCATCCCTCCAATCAAATCTCCGGGGCTCGTCATCTCCAGATTTCGCATGCGCAACCTCTGCATGCCCCAACAGATCAACAGCCTGCTGACCAGTGAGACCGAGGTCCAGGACGCTCTTGATTAGCTTCCGTTCTCTGGTCAGAAGATCCACTAAGCCGAATGGCTGAATCTGGCGGTCGATCAAGTGGAGACCGTTCAGCCATAAGACGTTGGACCCTTCAGGAAGAAAAACCTCGCGGTTCCCTCGGTGCTCTGCCTCAAACTCGGCTGAGACATTCTGAGATCCAAGAGAGTTGGAATACTTCGGAAAGTCCTGGGTGAGTTTCAGCAGGGCCTCGAACGGCTTTTCACTCTGCATTACGAATGAGGCGGCCTTCATGCCCAAGGCGGCAAGTTCGGATTTCTCCAGCGGTTTGATATCCGCAATTTCTTCTCCATCGTCAAGTACGGTCTCATGTCCAACGAGAGGCTTTTGGTCGTTTTCCTCTGCTGGCTTTGCTGCAGCACCCGTGTCTCGGTCATCAATGACGATGTAATCGGTTCGCTTCAGCACAAGCTCAACTCCATAGCCATTGACGGACAGAGACTCGCGTGAATGGGACGGGCTTCTTCGATATCTCACGCGATACGAGGCCTTGCCTTTCTTGGCGAGATCCATCGCAACCTCGTGGAACGGAGCAAAGCTCTTGGACGTGATGTCGGCATACAGAATCACATCACGGGAACCAACGCCAAACTTCCGATCAAATGGCAGTGTCCGCAACTGATCCTCGCCTTTCACCTTTCCGTGTGAAGTGTCTAGAGTAGGAGAACAGTACTGCTCCCCATCGATCAAGAACCACTGGTCACAACCTTCCTGGGTACCGGAGAGTGAGGGTTCCACGGTAGCTGTGTAGTACTGATAGTGCGCCTCTACGCGTGGAGTCGCGGTTCTCAAAGAGAGCGCAAGCTTAAAGGCCGAGAGGGCCTCCGGATCCATGTGGCCATCATCACGTAGAACTTCGAGGAATTTCTCGTACAAGGCTTTATCGGTGGTTGCCTCAGCAAAGTGGCCCTTCGCGATGCGATCAAGCAAGGAATAGTATATCGTAGTATTGTCGGACGCTGCTGTTTCACTGATTGTGTTTCGTAAGCCAGTGTTGCCAGTGCTCGGCTTGAGGCAGAGAAGAGACGACCTACAGCAGCTCGACCAAGTATGGGGGAGAGGGGAAAGCGGCTTTTAAGGCAACATTAATTGATGGAGAGGCTGCGACTTGTAGCGAGGGCAGACACGCAGCTGCGAGGAGGGCAGCTAGCCCCCATGGCAGCTGGGACAATCGCATCATGGTAATCACAGCAGCCCAAAGGCGCTGACGCAATGTCAACCAACGTCCCCAATCTCCCGTACACTCTGTTCTTGACGAGGGGTGTATTCGGTTCTCAGGCTGTCAACCAGACCAGCGAATTGACAGCACAAGTTCTTAGGCGCAGAAGTTGATCTTGAACAACATGCGCCGACCAAGCTGACAGTTTGATGCCACGGTGGCAGTTTGTACCAACGCTTCCAGAGACGTCGGTGATGGCTGGTAAAAAAACAGTGGGAATTCGGACCAAGGTTGGTTACTTGTCCATTAGGCAGATCTTGAGCATCGTTTGAGGGTTACCTTTTTCTGCGCTTAATATTCTTCCCAGAAGGCTGCCGGCGGCGGACTGAAGTCGCTGCTCGGGTTCTAAGTTGGAGCACCGAGCTCCCCTCCAAACAGTTGTCGTCGTCAGAGCTCCCCTTGCGTTGGAGAGGTGGACACCTTGTCCAACAAATATGACCAATCAGAGAAGCAGATTGGAGAAGAAGCTCACAGCATCAACCGGCATCAACAAGGGCGGCGGGTCTGCTTTAACACCCCAACCCTGGACCCTCAAAACTGTGGAACGGTGGGGACTTTGCCAGTTGGCCCCCTGAACGAGCAAGCGGGTCCGGAAAATTGAAGGTGCGTTTTGGAGCCTGAGGCTTCCTCGTCAGCGCAGCGACCCGCCGAACCCACACACCTCGATTGAGATGCCACGGTTCCAGGTTCCCCAGGTCCCTATGATTTGATTGACGGCCCGTCAACAACACCAGCAGCCGGCCCCCCAACTTGTTGAGCCACAGAACATCTGCTTCGTCCATCCGGCTGCTGCATCGATCTTACTTGCGGGTCTCGCTGGCGATCCCAAAAGTCTGAACCTAACATTCGCCATTGACCACGCTTGCTGTGTGAACCTGCTCTGTTCCGCCCCCTCGTTGATGCCGGGAGCCTGTTAGGTTCTCGGTCCCCCTAAGCCGTCAAAGATGCAGTCCTCTACGGGAATGCTCACCAAAGTCTGTTTCCATGCGACATAATCTCTCCTGTCCTCTGCCCGTTAGGCCCAGGGCTGACCCCTTTTCCAGTTCGAGTCCAAGTCGTCCCGCGCGAAAGGCATCGCATTCCACCCAAAGAGGTTCGCAGCTCCATTCGCCGACTGTTCCCCCGCACTTCTGCCCGACACTGACTCTTATCACCCCTTCAGACCATGGATCCTCGTCTCACTTCATTCTTCGACCATTCAGCTGTGGGATTACCGCATGGGTACCCTCATTGACCGCTTCGAAGAGCACGATGGTCCAGTCCGCGGTGTCGACTTCCACAAGACGCAGGTGAGGAGGAAGAAATGCGCTCTCTAGGGGTTTAGTCCGGCTTGCTGACCGTGCGGCAGCCCCTCTTTGTCTCAGGCGGTGATGACTACAAGATCAAGGTCTGGTCTCTCCAGACTCGCCGTTGCCTGTTCACCCTGAATGGACACTTGGATTACGTTCGCACCGTCTTCTTCCACCACGAGCTGCCCTGGATTGTCAGTGCCAGCGACGACCAGACGATCCGGATATGGAACTGGCAGAACCGCTCTTTGCGTAAGGTCATCGAAGCCATTCGACGTGGCTGAATGCTGACACAGTACCAGTCTGCACAATGACAGGCCACAACCACTACGTCATGTGTGCCCAGTTCCACCCCAAGGAGGATCTCGTTGTTTCGGCCTCCCTTGACCAGACCGTTCGTGTGTGGGATAGTATGTCTACCCTCGAGCCCCCAATCGTCTTTCATGCCACTATATCCCAACCGATCACTGACATCTGGTAGTTTCTGGCCTCCGCAAGAAGCACTCTGCCCCCACCTCGATGTCCTTCGAAGACCAGATGGCTCGCGCGAACGCAAATCAAACCGACATGTTTGGTAACACTGATGCTGTGGTCAAGTTCGTCCTCGAAGGTCACGACAGGGGTGTGAACTGGGTTTCTTTCCACCCCACTATGCCCCTAATTGTTTCTGCCGGCGACGACCGCCTCATCAAGCTGTGGCGTATGAGCGAGACCAAGGCTGTATGTGCACACTTATTAAGCACAATCAAGTCATACTTGCATGCTAATGTGTTCACAGTGGGAGGTCGATACTTGCCGTGGCCATTTCCAGAACGTCAGTGGGTGCCTCTTCCACCCCCACCAAGACCTCATTCTCTCTGTTGGCGAAGACAAGACCATCCGGGTCTGGGACTTGAATAAGCGGACAGCAGTCAATACGTTCAAGCGTGAGAGCGACAGGTTCTGGGTTATTGCTGCTCACCCTGAGATCAACCTTTTCGCTGCTGGCCATGATAAGTGAGTGTCCGGACACCCCTCTTTTGCAGCCCTTCTAACATCGAGAAATAGTGGTGTCATGGTGTTTAAGCTTGAGCGCGAGAGACCAGCGTCGGCCGTTTATCAAAACACTCTATTCTACATCACTAAGGATAAATGTGTGAAGTCTTACGATTTCCAGAAGAATATTGAAAGCCCGACTCTCCTCTCGCTCAAGAAGCTTGGCAGCCCTTGGGTCCCCCCTCGCACACTCTCCTACAATCCAGCCGAGCGGTCCGTGTTGGTTACGTCCTCTGCAGATGGCGGAGTTTACGAGCTCATCAACCTTCCTCGTGACGGGTCTGGTGCCATCGAGCCAACAGAATCTAAGCGTGGACAGGGCAACTCGGCCGTCTTCGTTGCTCGCAATCGCTTCGCTGTCTTGAACACCTCTACCCAGACTATCGACATTAAGGATTTAAGCAACAACACAACAAGGTCATTCAAGCCGCCCATTGGTACTACCGACATTTATTTTGGTGGCACCGGCAACCTTCTCATCCTTACCCCGACGGTTGTTTATCTGTACGACATCCAGCAAAAGAAGACGACGGCAGAACTTGCAGTGAACGGCGTCAAGTATGTGGTGTGGTCCAATGATGGCCTGTATGCTGCTCTTCTCAGCAAGCACAACGTGACCATTGTCACCAAGAACCTCGAGCAAGTTAGCAGTTTGCATGAGACCATCCGGATCAAGAGCGCCACCTGGGATGATGCGGGTGTTCTTCTCTACTCGACCTTGAATCACGTCAAATATACCTTGCTCAATGGCGACACCGGCATTGTCCGCACCCTTGACCAGACAGTTTATCTCGTCCGTGTCAAGGGTCGTAATGTCTACTGCCTTGACCGCGCTGCTAAGCCCCGAATTCTTCAGATTGATCCGACGGAATACCGTTTCAAGCTAGCTCTTGTCAAGCGGAATTACGAAGAAATGCTTCACATTATCCAAAATTCAAGTTTGGTTGGCCAATCTATTATTGCTTACCTGCAGAAGAAGGGTTATCCGGAGATTGCTCTCCAGTTCGTGCAAGACCCGGCTACGCGCTTCGAGCTCGCCATTGAGTGCGGCAACCTCGAAGTTGCGCTGGAAGTTGCCAAGGAACTGGACCGTCCTAAGCTCTGGACCAGGTTAAGCACTGAGGCTCTTGCTCACGGCAACCATAGCATTGTGGAGATGTGCTACCAGAAACTCAAGCACTTTGATAAGCTGTCGTTCCTCTACCTTACCACCGGTGACAACTCCAAGCTGGCTAGGATGGCCAGAATCGCAGAGCACCGCGGGGATGTTACGTCAAGGTTCCAGAACTCCATTTACCTCGGGGACGTTCAGGATCGGATCCAGATGTTCAAGGAGATCGACCTCTGTAAGTGTTCCAAACCTCACCTGAAATAAGCCTCCGCTAACCTGTTGCAGATCCTCTCGCGTATATGACAGCTAAATCCAACGGACTGGAGGAAGAATGCCAAGCCATCCTCGAGGCCACTGGTCTCACCGAGGAGCAACTCAACCTCCCTACTTTTGGCGAGCCCCTTACACCCCCTAAGCCTGTGGTGCCGACGTACAAGGCGAACTGGCCAACTAAGGCAACATCCCAATCCGTCTTTGAGCAGGCCCTTCTTGGCCAGGTTGAGGCCTTGACGTTAGAGGATGAGCGCGCCGCTGCTAATGTTGAGGAAGGTGAGGAAGAAGCTGTTGGCAAGCGGGATCTCATTGCCAATGTCGATGAGGACGGGGATACTGCCGGTTGGGATATAGGTGATGACATCGTCGCCGAGGTGGAGGAGGCTATCGTTACTGTTGACGGAGCTGAGACCGGCGGTGCTGCCAGCAGCGAAGCTGACCTGTGGGCCCGCAATTCGCCGCTTGCAGTCGATCACGTCGCCGCAGGCTCATTTGAGACTGCCATGCAACTCCTCAACCGCCAGGTTGGTGCAGTCAACTTTGCACCCCTCAAGCCTCGGTTTTTGGAGGTTTACCAAGCCTCCAAGACATATCTGCCTGCGTCCGCAGGTCTCCCTCCGCTTATCAATTATGTGAGGCGGACTGTTGAGGAGACAGATCCTCGGAACGTCTTTCCGATTATCCCGAGAGATCTGGAATACCTTGCCGCTAATGACTTACAACGCGGCTATGAGGCCATGAAGGCCAATAAGCTGGAGGATGGTCTCAAGATTTTCAAGGGTATCCTTCACGCCGTGCTCATCAATGCTGTGGGCAGCGAGAACGAAGTGGCTGAGGCCAGGAAACTCATTACCTCTGCTCGCGAATACGTCGTGGCCATGTCCATCGAGCTCGGGAGAAGGGCTCTCGGTCCTCAGGACGTCGTCAGCAAAGATCCTCAGCTCCTCAAGAGGAGCCTGGAGCTCTCGGCTTACTTCACAATCCCCAAGATTGAGGTGCTGCATCGCCAGCTAACGCTGCTCAGTGCCATGAACTGGGCTATGCGCAACAAGAACTACAACTCGGCGTTGAGCTTCGCCAACAGGATATTGGCGAACGGTGTGGTAGCTAAATTTTTGGAGAGTGTGAGTTGCATCCTCCCGTCGTCATGTCCAAACACAAGAGACTAACAATCCTTCAGGCCCGCAAAACCAAAGCACAATGCGAGCGTAACCCTCATGATGCGGTCGAGATTGAGTTCGACCAGTTTGCCGAGTTCGAAATCTGCGCGGCCAGCCACACTCCCATCTATAGCGGCACGGCCTACGAAGAATGCGCGTTCGACGGTGCCAAGTACCACACCAAGTACAAGGGTACCGTGTGCGTCGTCTGCGAGGTGTGCGAGGTGGGCAAGCACGGTAGCGGGTTGAAGCTGTTTGCTTAATTTCCCTCACGAGTAAATGCTATAGGGGAAAAGGGGGGCCAGAATGATGGCAAGATCATATAGGGTAATGAATTACAAGATGTCATTTTTGATGCTTTGCATCTCTCTCTGCAGTCTCTACATCGTCCTTTCGGACAAATGTGTGCTCGTATGCCCGCTATATGAATGCGAAATGTTTTGAGGGTCTTGAATGTCACCAAGTGCCAACAGCCCAAATCCAGTTGTAGAGCAAATTTTGTCCAGTCGATTAAGGTTATACCTCTGCGGGATCATAAACCCTTTGACGCCATAGCATGATGGTATAGCACCGCGCCTTTTTTTGTCCCCTTGTTGTATGGGATACGTCTTACTCCTCAATATCACTCTCTTTAGCCTCACACGATCTGCTCAGACAATTGTCTCTAGTTGCTTGGCATCCTCAATCATGTTGGCGAGGAGCTCACGCCAATAGAACCGCGACTGGCTGCGATCACCGTCCTCGCCCTCAGCAGACGTGGACCGCGCCGGGTAAATGTAGCCGTCCTTGATCGGCCAACCGCGGCTACGAGCAAACTCCACGACAGCACCCTCTGAGTCTAGGCGGAGAAGCGCCTTAGCTGATGCCAGGGAGATACCGTCCTCGTAAGCCACTTCGGCGTTGGCAGCAGAACCGTCACGGATGCGCTCGATGAAGTACTGTTAAAAAAAAGACTGTGTTAGCACGCTTCCCGTCAGGGAATAGATGGACAGAATTTGGTATGTTGACTCATACCGGAGCGAAAACTAAGAACTCCTTGGATGGAACCTGTCCACCAGTGATCGCCTTCCATGCCAGATCATAGAAGCCGGCTTGGATGAATGAATGCAATTGATCAGCATAGGCCAGGTACCGATCCGTCTTGCGGTCCACCCCAAATGTATCCAGCCTCCAGATCTCCTCTGCAAACTTCTGATTCCTCTTCTCATCTGTCGACAAGTGTAGGAGATACAGCGCTAGGACCTTATTCCTATCGCCGATATCTCCCTGCAGATCTTGGGGAAGCTCAAAGTAGTACGCGTAGAGCTTGTCCACACAAGATTCGAACTTCTCGGTATCTTTGGCATTGAGATACGCAAGCGCAGCTTGCTCGTAGAGAGACCGGCTCAGAGCGAGATGGTGCGGCGGGGTAGATGCTGTCGGAAGCAGTGCGCCTAGGTCCATGAGATGCATTTGCGCTGTATTGAGAAGGCTGGTGATCTCATTGGAGGAGGGAGAAGGACTCCGAAGTTTGAGTTTGGTGATGATTTTCGCTATGTGGTGTTCCGCTTGGGCTGCCATGTTGGTTGTGCTGAAAGTTGGCGATGGGAAAGGAACGTAAGACAATAGTTGGGTTGTTGGTCAGCGAAATGGTTGAATCGGTGCTATCGCCAATTCTTCCAAAGTTGGTTGTGATTCGGCGAGTAAATAGACGGTGGGAATTATTTAGTGGAAGTGAGACAAGGAAGTGAGGGTTGGGAGCTTCAGATAGATAGATCTAGCTGGAAAGGATGTGAATTGATGGCAGAGATGCGGATGTAATCTGAGGCTGTTTGCGCCCTGTCGTCTCAGTAAGCGCCAGGCTGGAGGACTGACGTCCACAGGCCCACCTTCTTGGCTTCCAATCTCTCAACTGGCAAGGGTGGAGACGAGATTGCTCAGGTTCCGGGACACCGAGCTCGCTGCACTGCTACCAGCTGCTAACAGCTGGAAAACCCGTAAATAATTCTTCACATATGTTTTGTCTCCTTCAGCATCTTTGGAGCACTGCCACTCCCATAAGCTTGCAACGCTTCCCAGCCAGCGCAGCCTTCGGAGACTTGCTCATTATGGTCTTGATGCAGCAAGACATCTAGGATGACAGCCAATAGAGTTTACTGAGCTGTTAAGTTGCCACATCAGAAACTGGTTTCCTCCTGTTACTTTTGGCACATCCCTATTTAACGAACCAATCCGAGTAAGATGCTGGAACATGTGAAGTCCTACACTATATGTCTATTCCTTCGCCCTGTTCATCCGGTTGCTCTGCCAGATAATCTTCTCCAAATGAAAGAAAAAACAATAAGTACTACTTGCGAACCTAATTCAGTTTGGCATGTGCTATGGTCGGCAAAAGTTTCGTGTTCGCTGTTGTTCATGGGTTCTTCCCTTTCTGGTAATTTTTAACCGAGGAGATATGTTCACAACTCGCTCGCTCAAGCAGGAAGGCTGTGCAAAAGGAATCTGGCAGCCATTAGGCCATGTCTGATCCTTTACGGGTATCGCTCGCGAGCTTTGTTCATGATTCCCTCTGCGTACTTTTTCCTCATTTGAGAAAGCCTTTCTCTCGATCAGTTGCCTCATGAAACCTCTTGATTGTGGGTTAGTAAGCATAAAACCAGAGAATGCGGCCTGTGTTACCCAGATCGTGAAACCATCATCTTTCTTGTTTATGAACATCCCTTCCAACATTCAATGGGTTGGGCTCAAGAATGAGCCATCCCAACTCTTCACAAAACCCAATTAAGCCTGATATATCTGTGGGTAATCTCTGCCAAAGAGCTCCTTGCTTCTCAACAACCTATTGCCTGCTCTTTTGATCTTAAGTGGCTACAGCCTCAACCGTGCTCGGATCCGTCGCTACCTCGCCGGTGGAATTTCCAATAGGTCTCCAGGTCCTTGACGACCTTTGGCGTTAAACCCTGTTTCCTCTGTGTCAGTTGAAATCCTTTTTTGCATATCAAAAGTCGCACGTTGATGCTTCTCTATGTTAAAGCGGCTACAACAATTCATTTTTACCACGCACCTCGCCCAGGACTTGCTGTGAGCGAAATCAGCCCCTATCTGCTCTCCGTCTTCCACAGACCAACACATCACTTCACATTCCCGAGGAACGGCCCCACTACCTGCCGGTTCTCAGAATGACACATTCAGGTTACCGATTAAATACGGGCCAGTTCTGTGTCCAAACCTCAGAAAATGCCTTTAAGTTCGCATCTTCACAGGGAAATTTTATCAAGCCAAACTCATCATTTGGACACCTAGGGAAAGGTACGTCAGTGTTAAGTTTCCTTGCTCATAAAAAAAAGGTAGCGGCATGGCGGGGTCCCTGTTCTATTTTCAGGGGATGCTGGCTATGGGCATCCACCCCGATCTTCATGGATGCTGCCAGCAGAGGTACTTTGACAGGGCACTAGCGGGGCTTACCATCGAACGAAACTCGTCCCTGGATCAGGCGGTCACCAACCCGCAACATTCCACGCCATAACACAGCCTCTGAGCTATATAGGCTGTTAAAGATAATCACATCTTTCCCAAGGGTTAGATCACCTTCTTAGACCAACAGTGCAGTCGTGTCTGGCCTTAAATCTCACTCAGAGAGCCAACGCCTCAGCCAAGCTGTTAATAATTCCCCGCCGGAGATCATCACGTCCTGGATCTGCCAACAACACTCGGTGTCTCAACGGCAATCCGTAATTCATCTTATCCGCTATCGCCATTACCTTGTTTGCAGGTTGCCGACGCAAGCTACTGGTCATTGCTTGAGCCGCCTTAATGCCGTGCAGCCTCTATTCGAACTCGCATAAAACACAGTGAAAGCAGGTTTTACCTCATCGCTCATTTCACTAACACTCGGGCTGAACAGCAAGAAATTTCCGCAGCAACCTCACTGTGGAAGAAGCGCAACCAACGCACGACAGCCCGACAGGTTAGCACCCAAAGCCACTTCTGCCTGGCTTGGCGCCCCTCCTACGTTGCCCTATCCGTCAGGTGTCCCCGCCATCGCCAGTAATCTCGGTGCCAGTAACTTTATTGGCCGTCATTGTCTTAGAGAGGGGACCAAACCAATCATAACTTCTTTTTGCGGGGTTATGAAGGTTCTTGATCAAACCCATCCGACTAACTGCATCTTCCCATCTGTGACTTTCTGCAGGTTCGAGTCAAGCAACACGCACCGATTCCTCTGACGACATGCCGCAGCTTGGCGCAACTTTCGTTCCCGGAGGATACGATGACTATTATATGCCCGAAGTCATTGCCCCCTCCCCTCAAAGGTATGATGCCAACCATAGACCTGCAGTTCCAGAATGCCCCGCAAAAGAACCCAGGTACATATGTGTGCGGGCACCAGCAAATGAGAGCGGTTGGATAAGGGGTGACAGCTGGAGCAACGAGGCTGAAAAGCGGCTGGAGTGGGAAACGCTAACGTCGGTTGGATTGGTTCTAGGGTGATGCCTGAGGTGCCCCACGACTTGCAGGAAGGCATTCAGCGACTGGAACTCGGGGCTCGCGAAACTGAATACAATCGAGACGGGACTGCGCAGAGCTACAGGGACGAAGAACAGACGTCGTAAGTGCCGTCAGGCGTTAGCGGCGCCACTGAACCCTTGGACATGATTGGATCCCCCCTGAAGTGGATCATCTTCAACTGACCGCGCAAATGCCTTTACAACAGCTTCAAAGCCTTTCAAACCAACACCGCCAACTCCACTGCCATGGACGCGCCGTCGTTCTCTCCATTCCCCAAGGTCAAGGGAGAAAACATCCCGCCCAGCGACGAAGAGAAGGAGCAAATCTTATGGCAGGCCCGAGACTTGGTGCTCCATTCCAACAATGTGTCGATGCAAGTAACTTGGGCTCGCGATGTCCTCCTTTGGGTTGATATCGCCCAGGATGCCCAGGCGAGGGAGCTGAAGCGGGAAGGAAAGGACCCGAAAGATCGCCCGCCGACGCCCAAGACCGAGCACGAGCTGCGAATCGACGCCATCAACATTCTCGAGTACCTGGCCCAGCAAGACCATCCTGAGGCGACTTTCTTGAAAGGAAAATGGCTCGAATTTGGCAAGTTTGGCTATCGCGAGAACAAGCGTGAGGCCTATTCCTTGTATAAGAGAGCAGCTGAGAACGGAAATGGAAGGGCAGAGTACAGAATGGGCATGCTCTACGAAAATTCCAACGACATCCCAAACGCGATCAAGCACTATATGCTAGGCGTACAGATGGGCGATTCAGCTTCCCATTACCGGATGGGCATGATGCACCTCATGGGTCAACACGGCTACCAGCGGGATTTCCTGCAAGGCCTCGACCTGATCCAGAAGGCTGCCGATACAGCCGATGAAGATGCGCCCCAGGGCGCCTACGTCTACGGCATGCTGATTGCTCGGGAGCTGCCCGATATCAATATTCCGGAGCACCTCTTGCCGTACGATCTTAGCGTCGCCCGTCAGTATATTGAGAAGGCGGCATATCTCTCCTTTTCCAAGGCTCAGCTCAAGATGGGGCAGGCATACGAGCTCAGCCAGCTCGGATGCGATTTTAACCCGGCATACTCACTGCATTACTATGGCCTGGCTGCTCGTCAGGGCCAGCCTGAGGCTGCCCTAGGTGTGAGCCGATGGTTTCTCTTCGGATACGAAGACCTATTCCCCAAGAACGAGCAACTGGCTTTTAAGTACGCACATGAGGCTGCTCTGGCGGGGTTGGCGACTGGCGAGTTTGCGATGGGGTACTACTACGAAATCGGCATTCATGTTGCCAAAGACCTTCGGGAAGCACGGAGGTGGTATGAGCTCGCTGCGGAACACGGCAACAAGGATGCAAAAGAGCGACTCGAGTCCTTGAACCAGTCTAAGACACTGACTAAGAAAGACCACGAGACGACAACGCTCACTCGCATCAAATCGCAGCACGGCTCACAGCGTGGAAAGCGTCCTGAGCGGTTTGCAAGACAAGCTGATGTCATGCCAACAGTGAACGAGGACCCGATTCCCCCTGGAGGTATGGCCCATGATTGGCAGCAACCCCATGAGCAACAGCAGCTCACACCTTTGGCAGGTATTGACTTCCCAGATCCAACACCGAGACCTCCTGCTTTTACCCTCAACATCGACGGAAACCTTGCGGTTCGCCCTCAGTCGGCAGCTCCTTATCCTGTCGATGACCAACCACAACCTCCTCCGCTGAATGTCAGGCCGAAGTCTGCCGCACCTTACCCGGACGACATGCATGGCCCACCTATGAATTCGGGTCCTCATCTTGCCCCCGGCCCTGGGCCCCATGCCGACCGGCCCGGCAGTGCGTTTGGTATCCGTCCGCTGTCTAATCATGGCTTACAACTGGGCCCTGGAGCCGGCCCTGGCGCTGGTCGTGGTCGTCCCATGTCAGGCCAACCACCGTATCCTCCTAACGAGCGTCCGCCGGCCGATGGCCGTGCAAGGCTCCAGAAGCCAAACCCAAATCAACAACAGCCCCCTCACAGCCCCCCTGCTACTGGACCCTATTATCATCCAGGACCTGGAGGCTCTCCAGGCCGTGAGCCGCGCCCCAACAATCAGCGGCCAGTCAGCGACATGTATGGCCCCGTCGGCGGCCAGGATCGCTTCGGTGCCGGGCCCCATCCGGGAGGTCGGGTTCCTACCAACAATCTCCGTCCCCCTACTTCTGGCGGGCCGCCCGGTCGTGCACCCAGCGCTCCGCCTGCTGCTGGGCCTGCTCCCTCTAGTCCCGGCCTGCGTCCCAGTCCTATTCCCGGCTCACCGATCCCAGGTGCCCAAGCATCGCCTGGTGCCAACCCAGCTGCTCAGAAACAGCCGCAGCCGCGTCCTGCTGCTGCTGCTGCTGCTGCTGGCGGCAAGAGGCCTGCCCCAGATTTGACCCATCCTGATGGAAAGACGTTTGGTCAGGGACCAGCGACTTTCGAGGAGATGGGTATTCCTCAAGGCAAGTCGGAGAATGATTGCGTAAGTCTTTCCCTGGGGCTTCTTCTGGAATATGTTAAGTGTTGCTAACAACACATAGGTTGTTATGTGAGTATGTTTCAGCTGGAGTTCTCAACAAATTGGAGGAAAAGAGAATGCCCTTCTTGCGAAGGTTTGGCCACATAACGTTCTCGAGAGCCTGTTAGTCCGTCTTGTTCTCTTCGGCTCTGGTGAGCGTTCAGAGCCCGATATCCCCGAACACCGGGAACTGTGAGCGCAGACAGAAGATTGCGGTGCCTGCATTAGGAAAATTGGAGGATAGCATCGGAGTTTGAGTTATTTTAGTGAGTTTGGTTCCCAAGCTACCCTTGGAGATATCAAGCTGGTCGATTGGTTCACCGGATGAATTTGTGGGATCTGGTGTACATAGTCTTTTAGTCCTCTTTATGGTCTTACCCATACCCTTCGATGCTTCCCTTATAGAATCCTAGACATGATATCAGTTGTGATAATTTCACTTCGATAAAACATTACACTTGTATAACATGACATGCCATACTTAACATTACATCTTAGCTGACTTATCAACAAGCTTCTCAGCCGGTTGCACCACTTCTTCTTCTACCACCTTTTTGCCATGCCTGGCCAATTGCAAACGTGTACCAAAATCAGACGGTCACGTATCATGTAGCCTGTCTGTCCCAAAGCCTCTTGGTGGCATTGGCCCGGGATATTTCTAAGCGAGCCGCATTTTCTTCATCAACGGCTGGGCATCCAGTGTTTCTGCCGTTTCTCTGCATGTTCTAGTAGTTCTGGATATGGAAGTTCATTTGCAGCTGCATCCAGCAACCAGATTTAAGCCCCCAATCGATAGCTGAAGTGCACCGAAGGATCGGAAGAATGCGACATGGTCGCCAACCTTGTTGACTCTTGTTTGACAAATAGGAGTATAGCAATAGCGAGAATGTTTCAAGACCGAGGTCTCTATGGGCGACCTGCTCATGTCGATCATCCCCTGCTTCTCTGCGTTCTAACACCCTTATCATCATAAACTTGTTACTACATGCATGTCCAACTTCGCGCTAACCCCGGATTTTCCCCAGACTCGACCCCCAAACCGGATACCACGGTCCATGTTTCTCCATTAGTCCTATCTCTACCGCTTGTCCCGTCTTCAGTCCCGACCACCTGGGGCGCGGGGTTAAATCCGTGTCCGTCATGGGTAGCATTCTGCCCTTTTTGCCATATTACTCCGGGACCCTGCCATCTCGGTGCATCCCCCACTGCTACACTATGATGCTGTTCAACCTGTTCAACCTGCAGCTTCTCCTCTCTCTTATGTCTTCAGCTCTTCTCTCCTTTTTCTCTTCCATCTTACTTTGGTACAAGGTCTGTCTGTCAACCAGAGTTAGAATTCCTCGGTTGCTTTTTGGTCCCTAACGACATCATCGCCTGGCCATCTGGTTCTCGAAGAGTCAAGACAAATCTACCATCAATATGGCCATTACGGCCAAGATCTTGAAGGCGATCATTCGCAATGACGCCATGAAACAGGAGTCAGTAGTTCAACAGAAAGATATTGGGAACCGACTGTTGACTGGCATTGTTCAGCCCCGTTGAGATCTACGGATGGAGGGTCTTTGCTCTAGTCTGGGCTGGTAAGCTTCTATGAACGTTCTCTCTGACACCAATCCGTTAGAAGGGAATAACTAACTTGCACAGCATGGTGAGATTGATGGGGTTCACCACGACACTTAAACATTCGTGCGTGACTAACAGTTTTCCTAGCTTCGGTGGCATGCTTTTCGGCTGGGAGTATGTATCTCATCGTTGACTAGCCCTTTGCGACTACTTATGCTAACGCCATCTTCTCAAAAGCGTTGGAACGATTGGTGGCGTTCTTGCCATGCCAGCAATGCAAGAAAAATATGGGTTCAAAGACTACGATGACAAGGGAAAGGCCAATATGTCACAAAACAGTAAGTTGATCCGGTATCAAAGAGTTTCTTCGATCGCAACAGGACTGAAAAAAAGCTCCAGTTGCCTCAACTCTTCAAGCCGGATGCTTCCTTGCCTGCTTCATCACTCCCTGGTTGACAGACAAATGGGGTCGGCGTTGGGCCCTCATCGGCACTGGTGCTGTCACCACCGTGGGCGTCATCCTACAAGCCGGTTCCGCTGGCAAGGGCAGTCTTGCAGCCATGTATGTCGGCCGTTTTGTAGCCGGCCTTGGAGTCGGCGCTGCATCCATGTTAACTCCTCTCTATGTGTCTGAGTGTGCTCCTCGCGCCATTCGTGGCGGCTTGACTGGTAAGAAGCTTTGTTTTTCTAAGATAGTTACGCTTATTGCTAAACTCTCAAAGCCTTCTATCAGCTCTTCATTGTCACCGGTGTCATGATTTCGTTCTGGATTAATTATGGTGCTCTGCAACATTTCAAGGGGGCTGCTACTTACGTAGTTCCTCTTGCTCTGCAAGCTCTTCCGGCTGTGTAAGTCTCCCAGCCCCACACTAGTCTCGCGCACATACCATTAACATTGAGAGCAGTCTCCTGATTTTGTTCATGTTCATGGTACCCGAGAGCCCCCGCTGGACTGCGAAGCAGGACAACTGGGAGGAGACTACAAGGATTATCTCGAAGCTTCGCGCGTAAGTGAATTCTCTGCTAAGACTAGAAACTTGAATCATTAACATCCTTCACATAGTCTTCCGACTGATCATAGCTATGTCCAAAATGAGATCCAGGAGATGGCTCAACAGCTCGAAAATGAACGGCGGCTCATTGGTGAAGCTAGCACTAAGACTCTGCTCAAGGAGATGTGGCTAGTACCGGGTAATCGCAAGCGTGCCATCATCAGCGTTTTCCTCATGATTTGGCAGCAGATGACTGGTGTCAATGCCATTGTAAGCTCCATATTGCCACTTTATAGCCTGTGTCGATCTATGCTAAAAATCTGCAGAACTACTACGCTCCCCAAATCTTCAGAGGCCTTGGAATGACCGGTACTTCAGTACAACTCTTCGCCACTGGTGTCTATGGCATCGTTAAAGTGGTTGGATGTTTTGTGTTCCTCGTATTTGCCGCCGATTCCCTTGGGCGTCGCTGGAGTTTGTTGTGGACAAGCGCTGCTCAGGCTATCTCTATGTACATTGTTGGCGCATACGGCAAGACAGAACCCCCACAAGAGGGGAAGCCGGTATGTTTCCCGCGAGCAAACTTCTATTTCCCTCCCCAAGTATCTAACAATGTTGTCAACAGATCTCAGCTTTTGGATACGTTGCAATCGTGCTCATTTACCTATGGGCAGTCTTTTTCCAGTTTGGCTGGGGTCCTGTCTGCTGGATTCTCGTCTCGTGTGTCTAACTTTCTCCCCTCTGAGACATTCGATGGACTATTTCCTAACATACTTTGTATAGCGAGATTCCAACTGCCCGTCTCCGTGCCTTGAACGTTGCCATAGGTGCTGCTACTCAATGGCTCTTTAACTTCATCATCGCTCGGACTGTCCTGACCATGCAGGTCACCATGGGCACAGCTGGCTATGTATGGCATTTTCCTTTGCTTATTAGAATCAACGACTAACTGTTGTTCTAGGGAATGTTCTTCTTATTCGGCACTTTTGGCTGGATTATGGGTATCTTCGTATGGTTCTTTATCCCCGAGACGAAAGGTGTTAGTCTGGAACAAATGGATAAGCTCTTCGGCGTCACTGAAGCGCCCAAGGCTCTGGAAGATGATGCAGAGGCAGCAGTCGAAGTAAAGAAAGAGAAGTGTGAGAAGAACTAAGCACAAGATCTTATTCTCATGTCTCGTCGAGATGGAGGGTGTTGATCATGACCCCTTAGGATTGAATAAGAATTTCAGAGAAAAGGGGGTTTTGTTTGAGATAAGCTGCTGTCCTAACTATCTTCGAATGCGACAATGTCAGCTGCTGTGTCTGAGCTCTTTGTTTTTGATCACAACGTTGCATACAATGCATTGCCCAAACCCTTCTATGTCCGTGCGAGCAAACGATAACCCACTCAGAGGCTTGCCTTTAGGTACTGCCTTCCAATACGACGCTTCCTCAGTATTTTACAATTTCCACGTTTAATATTGCTCTATATCTGAACATACCACTTTGAATATATACGTATTTATTATAAACACTTCAAGTGAGAAAGATATGGTCGATATTTGCTGTTGAGAACATATAACCAAAGGGTGCCGAAAAAGGTGCATTTGTATCTGTGCACTGAAGCTGTTCAACATGTACGTTGGATAACTCCAACTGTTCACCTATGGCAGTCTCGAAGGTGAATTCATTTCGAACGGACCCTACCCTGCCTTTCTAGTGGGAGCGTGGTGGTTGTGCCTGCCACTACTTTTACCAATTGATGAAGTTGAAATGCTACCTTTCTCATGCCACTATTACTTGATGGGAGCTCGAATCTTCTTGTAACCAACGGTAATCCAAGAAACTGGAGCCCGACTCTTAGCCCTAAAAAACAACCCTACTAGATAAGTTTGGCTCAACAAAGTCTTAACCCCTGGAAATTTCAAGAGGATATTTATGAGAAAGGCTTGCAGGGAGAAAAGCGATGCGCCTGCCATCAGCATGAGCGTTCTTATGAAACGCGGGCTAATCAGGTTTAAGGCAGACGACGTCGCTGACATTCATCAAGGTATGAAATTTCAGAACTAGCAATCATTGAAGAATGACTATGTACGTAGACATGATACTTCTCGCTCAACCTCTAGCCCAAGTGCGGTCTCTATGGATGTCGATTCCATAAAGGCTATTGAGACACTCTCTTTTTTTAAAAAAAACACAGGTAGAAGAACGTTGAGAGCTGTGTATTTTGCAGATTCTGCATCAAATCAACCTAGTGAAATAGGAGAACGAACATCAGAAGTTCAAGCCACATACTTTGCTCCCAAAATCCTAAACAGCTTGTGCAAGCTCCTTGAAGAACAATCTGTTAATCTTGACCTTCTTGATGAACCAAATGATACAACAATGGAGCATGCAAATTGGATGACCATACACTATGACAGGGCAGGGCCGCCAAACTGGGCGCCTGGAGATGCTGGGGCATCGGTAGCATGCTTAGTTTGGGAATGGTTTATATGGATGACAGAAATGGCGAAACTACCAATGATTGCCAGGATCGGTGGTACTGATGCCGCTAAACTAGAGAAATGGGTCAAGCTGAGTCCATGGTATGGGTGGAACAGGATCGAGAGAGTCAGCGTTCAAGGAGCTAGTAGTTTCGTGCAGAAGCAATACGGGAAGGGGAGAGAGGGGTAATCTTGGTGGATTTTGGCAATGGCTTGGATGAGGATCAGGCTGATTGTTGAACGTGGAGTAAGAAACCGAGCTAGCAAGTGATGATGTGTTCATGGTTTTGTAAGTCTCCAAGTAGAGTAGCCCGTCCCCTGGGCAGAGGTAACAATGTGTATCGATGATGATTGATCATATGGAGTTGATAACATATAAATGTGGTTAACCAAATCTGATATTTAGTGACTCACTTCATCGAAAATGATTAACAAGAGATCAGTGCTTAGGCTCTGTCTTTCTATCATCTCCTCATTTGTCATGATCAGAGAACATCAGCGCCTAAGCAACAGTGTACATAGCCACTTTTGTACATGCCTCAAGATCAGCACAAAAAGGCTTCCTTGAGAAAGGCAGCACCGCTTGAGACAAATAGATGAGCAGGCGTGTTGTAGTAACGCATGGATCTTTGTCGTTGATGGGTTGCTGGGAGGGAAAGGAGAACTGGTCCTCGTTCTTATCTCTTCATCAGTGTCTTGTGTTATTGAGATTGTCCTATCTATAGTCTTAACTTCTTGACGAGCCCCGTTCTCGTTGCATCTCAAATCAACACGCGACGAAATTCTGTAAGCGAAGCAGAAATTTGCTACATGACCCAGAGATAAAAAGGATTATTCCACGATATATCGACTATCTGATTCCATCCAAAATAACAGCATAGTCGGCCTTTCCCCCATGAGGCAGCACATAATAGGACCGATGCGTACCCCCAATAGGGATCAACAACCTTCCATCGCGGAGCAACCTCATCCATCGAATGCTGCGCTTGTCCAGCCAATTGCCCGGGATGAAGAAATGGCGTTTTACCTGGCAATCTCTCAATTCCAATTCCGGACAGAATTGCAATGGCATTAGAGTTACTGTGCAGACCCAAAAATTCCGGTCCATGAACACAAGACGCCTGTCTGGCAGGATTCCAAGGGGACCGTCGTACACACATGTTTGGAATTCTCTTGAAACTAGGATTGGCCGAATTATGTTTAGGTCGGGTTGAAGGGGGATGATGACTTCATAGGACGTCCGAGCGGGCAGATATCTCGGACGATATCTTCCATCTTTGATCAGTTGCAAGTCTGCCACTTGTACTCTAGATATCCAAGGTTTGATTTTTGCGAGCACAAAGTCGGAGCAGTAATTGCCGGTTGATAGATCGATGTGATACTTGATATTTGGGGGTTGAGGGTCCGTGGTGTAACTGACCAGGATTCTAGCAGTGATATAGGAAAGATCAAGAGGGATAGATGTAATCGTCTCAAAATTGTCCCATAGAATAACTGAGATCGATGCTGGTGAAAAACGAAGCAGACATTCTGGCCGCGATGGATGCTGCTTCCAGCAGTCCCATCGATAGTAAGGGCGGCTGTTGAGAACCCCAAGGGGGGTCAGCATGCTCTCGTGGGCTTCGTCGTCTTCGACCTTCCGCTCGGCCACAACCATTCCTTTTGGGAGCGACAGCAACATGGTTGTGCAGTCTCGGTGGACTAATAGTCGCTTTCCATCTGGACTGACTAGGAACTGTCTTGTATCTCTCCATGTGATGGGTGTCTCCAATAGAGTTTCGCTCGTGGTGAGCGACTGACATTCCATGGGTTCCGGCAGATCGGTTCCAGGTTTTGGGAGCGATACTATCTGCAACGCAGCTTCGTGACGAGTTCGGTCCACGTAGAGCGCATAAAGGTGGTTGCCATCTTTGTCTTGGATTGATTGTGAGTGGGCTATGACGTAGAATGGGATTGGCCACGCCACCTTGTTCTCTTCGACATAATTGAAGGATAGTCCAGGAACAGGATGTTCCAACCCTTGGTTCGATTGATCATTGTCAGGGTCCCAGAGAGTGATGGAGCGCATGTCCCGAGTGCGAGTGACTAGAAAGCCAGCAGGGCTCCATTGAGGTTCTAGCGGAGGAGCTTTTGGTGGGAGAGTGGCGGGCATGTGCTCGAGGAGCCGGCCAGCATCCACAAAGCGTTTGCCATATCTCCATGTTTCCTCGGGCAACCTGAAGACAATGCAGGTCTGCTGCATGCTCTGCTCAGACCGATCAGACATCTCATTCTGCCAGTGAAGCCGCTTGAAACATTGCGGTTCCCAGATGGTGCAAGATTCCTGACCACAATCATATATTCTGATCCCTTGACTCCATGTATTGGCCAAGCATACTTCAAAACCGCCGTCTGTCTTCGGTTCCAACTTTTGTAGATGGCTCAAAGATGAAAAATCAAAGATGTTGATTGCAGTGGTTGTTGTAACCCTGCTGCTCTTATCCCCCGCGGTACATACGACAATAAAACTGTTTCCATCTGGACTAATTCGGACTTTGATCCGGTCCGTCATCAAAGTCTTTACGATATCCCTATCTTGCAACTGAACACTCATCGAGGTTCCGGATTTGAGACAATATTTCTCGATACGACCGCCTTCTCGTATTCCCACAATATCTGTGCCGGATGGGTGCCAGGCAAAAGCTAGTATCTTGGGTAAGCACACAGCAACCAAACTTGACTCATCTCGGTGCTCCCAACACTGTATGTCTGGCACATCCTGATACTCCTCCATGCGTCGCGGCTCGAACTGGTAGCATGCTAACAGGTTATCGTCAAGGATAAATGCCACTTGCGTGCCATCGCGACTGAACTGAGCGTTGCGTATATCTGGCTGTGTTTCTTTGAAACGCGGTGGAGGGAGTGAGGCCAAGTGTTCCCATGCTGGTGTTTTTCCATGAACCTTGCCCTTTAGGTCAAGTTGAAAGATGAAACCTTCACGAGAGAAAGGAGAGGCTTCAGTCATGGCGATCAATAGGTTATCGTTGAGATCAAAGGTAAAATCATGAATCTGGTAAATGTACCAATCATCTGGTGCAGGTGCTGTCATCATCAGCGACCAGTCTGCCACTTGCCAGACATACAATCTGGACCTGGAAAGGCAGGCAAGGAGAGACCCTGCTTGGTTGAAGGCAATGTGCCAACCCTCATTATCTGGTTCCAAATCTAAGGTAAATTCCAGGGCTTTTTGTTGTTCAAAGATACCAGTATCCCTGATGATGACTGCAGCCGAGAGAGATGGGCGCATGCTGGGAGAGATATACTCCCCATCCGGATCTCTTGAATCTCGTAAGTATGCAATGGCCAAGTATGACTCAGAACAGGTAAAGCCTTTGATGGTATCGTGTTTTCCGTGCCAAAGTCGTGTAACACAGTTATCCCAATGACGATTAAACGGCCCGCAGATTTTGACGGTTAGAGCTGTGGCTGCAGCTTTAGAGAACTTCATGTTTATAATGGAAGACGATGGGCATAGAGAAGGTATGCATGTATAAATTAAATCTGGGTGCTCTGACAGTTGATGGTGAAACCGAGTTGGAAGCTCCGACAAATCCATTGCCCAAGATGCTAAGACAGAATGAACTACAGCTCTGAGTTCATTGTCAGAATCCTGCAGTTTATCCCATTCAATATAACTTTTAAGTGCTTTAGAGGCGTCAAAGAGATCAGATAAGTGACCAATTTTGGCCAGGCACCGAATCCAGTTAAGAGGAAATTGGGGAGAACGATCGGCATCGCCAAAGAATTGGACCAAGTGGGCCAAAGTCTGGTTCAATGACACTGCGCCAGACAAGGAGCCGCATAGATACTTGGGCCATGATCGAGCAGCATGAAGAAAGAATTTCCCTGTAGTCTTCTTCCCCTTGGGGCTCAAATCGCAAAGAGATTCGAGACACTTCGAGAGCAGTTGTTCGTATGCACAACTGGGCGTAAGGTTGAAAGGACCAAGATTGATAGTTTCTAAATATTCTCGAGCAGAATGATGAACCAAAGAGATTCGTCTTTGGTGATCAACGATGACAAATTGACCACAAAATTTGGCGATGATATGTCGCAGGTTGAGGATGCCTGTTGTATTGCACCTAGGGTCTGCAAACACATCTGGATATGCTTCAACGAGTTCCTCAAACGAAAGTGGTGACGTCGAGTACATCGCCCATACTAGGATTACTTGAGCCATCGTCTTGTCCTTGTTATTATTGAGCTTCTGGATAGCTCCCATCATGCGATCGTAAAACTCACTCATGCCGCTTGGAGTTGTATCAAGGACATGCTCAATGTCGGCATAGTCGGCACATTCCTGCACGATTTTCTCACTGATAAGCCTCGCCCAGAGGAAGTTGCCGTCCGCTCGGTCAACGATTCGCTCGACAATATCGCGCTTCAAGGTAGGATGTTCTTCTTCGTCGCAAGGGAGGTAGTCCAGTTCATTATCCACTGTACGTCGAATGTCATCTCGATTGTCGGGGAAAGGCATTTCATCAATGATAATGCCATCCTTCTTCTTGTCTTCTCGAGCCTTCGCCACACGTATTACTTGTCTGATGTCTTCCAATGGCCTACTGGAGACCAAAATGTGAACTTTGACAGGGCCTTTGAAGTCGGCCGCGACTTCAGTGAGAGCTCTCATAATTTGGTCTCGGGACAGCCCCTCGTCAACGCCGTCAACAACCCAGTAGAGATCAGCAGCTGTCTTGAGTGGAGCAAGAAATCCCGTGAACAGCTGTCTCCGAATAGCCATCCAGTCTAGGCTTGCTAGTGTACGAGCCCTAGAGGACCCTGACTTTGCTAAATTGAGCAGGGCACGACGATACTCAGGAAGTTGACGAGCAGTCTGATAAGCCAGGGAGAGAAGCATATCCTGGGGTGACTGTCGAGCCCTCTGCCCGTATTTAAAGAAAAAGAAGGAACAGTGCTGATAATTTTGAAAAAGGTAATCAGTGAAAAAAGCACATGTCATCGACTTGCCGCTTCCAGCAGGGGCGTAAGCCCAGAGTATCTCTGTTTTGCCGGTGTTTAGCCAGTTCTCGACTCTGGTATCGTGGAGGAAGTTGATACAAGTGCCATCTGTCCTTTCTGAGATACGGCAAAGCAGATCGGGATCAGCTTTTGGGGTTCCAATGTGATGCTCAACGCCAAGCATATATGCTATTTCTTCGAGTTCCGCATCTAGATTTTGTTGGAGATCACCGTGAGGAACGTTTGCAGTATCGGCTTGAGCTGGTACAGATGATAACTGCATAACGACGCTGCGAATTTTCTCGATGACTATCCGGTAATTGTTATCGTTGGTGCTCTTGAACTTGCAAACTTGATGATGATCTGCCGCAAGCATCATCGACTCCTCCCCTGGGTAGTCTAGGATGGCGTTGTCTTTCTCAACAATCATGGTGGAAATCCCTAAAGCGATTGGTGTAGGTTTCGTTTCATAGAAGGAAATGATTCGTAGCTTTGGGGCGAGATGGCGAAAACTCTCCCGCAATTGGTCGGTCGTAGTACTTTTTCGGATAAGCTCTTCAACATATGTTCTCCCAGATGAAAGGAACAAACTCAGGACCTTGGCCAGATCGCTTCCTCGATGAGGAGTCGCGAGGAATAGGACAGCTCGGAACATAGGAATAATGTCGTGAAAAGCCGGGTCCATGTGGCCAAGCACAAAGGCTTGCTTGAAGACCAAACCACCCATAGAATGCGCCACAACAATAATGGGTACTTGGCCAAACCTTTGTGTTGTCCCTTCCTGGTAGTGTTTAACGCGCTGGAGAAAGGTTTTTGCGAAGTCAAGGATGGACACATCATCGCCCTTTCGTAAGACGTTGACGTTGGCATCATATCCAAAGGTAAATATACGAGCCTCTGGAACTTCCCGGGGAAGCCAAAGTTTAGGCCAAAATTTATCCGGTTTTGTTTTGTAGGACCAGGTCCGGTAGCTTCCTCCACCAAGCCCATGGATGAAGATAATGTCAACTTTGTGAGTTTGAGGGTCCTCGGGCATATGCAGAAGGGTAATGCCCTCCGGATTAATTGGGTCGAATTCCTCAGCATGCTCGAGATCTGAATCATTGGATTGAGCCTCAACTGCCGTGTCGCTAGCCGTCAAAGCACGAATTTTTTCAAGCTCTTCCGGGTCGAAAGATTGCCTACGCGAGACGTGATTGACGGATAGCCGGCCTTTTGACTTTTCCTTCTTCCGAAGGAAACTGAGACTGCTTGGCTTATCCATGATGGAGACGGTAGAAATTGGCTGAAATCATGAAAAAAAAAGAAAGAAAAGAAAACAAAAGGAATCAGGAATCGACATACGATGGTGGAGCAAGGGCTGATATGAGAAGGATGTTACAACACCTTCATATGCAGAGGGATAATCGAGCATTGGAGAACGTATCCAAGCGAGACGCATGTTTTTGTATGATGGGAGGCTGAAGCAGCCGCCAGAAGAGTGGAGGATATCTTGTGATGTCCGCTTGGATTGGTCTCGCTTGAGTGACCACGGTGCAGGCCTGCAGTTCCAAGCGCCTGCTTATAATCCTCCATCAGGCAACCTATATTGTGCCGTTGACATTGTAGAAAGGGAGTGTTGCCTTGCAACATCTTGCAAATGCTGTGTGCTGGAGCAACATTGTTATCTTCTCGGCGCCCGTTCTGCTTGAGAGAGGAGAAAAAGATTACATATCCGGCTCAAGCTGTTCGGCATCCTAGAACCGACCCCTCGCGGTGAGCTGGCCGACAAGCAGCAAGTCTCTGATTGCGGGGCACTAGCCTAGGGAGTTGGCGCTTAACGGAATACCTTGCATACTGCGCAGCATTGCCTGTACGTACAGTTGGCGTTGCCAATCAATGTGCTCCATCCCCGCTTGCTTCGAAAACCGTCCTTGATGATGCTCGTAATTCAAGATCTTACCCTCAGCAGCATCGAGAGAACATAAATGAACGAAACAAACACGCTGTTCATTACAGAGTGGTATGTTTTATACTCAAACAGAAATGAATCCGGAAACACAACATCTCCTGAACCCTGAGCTTCCTATGATATGTCGGCAGTGAGGTGGGGCAAGGCGCGTACGCCTGCAAGACCGCGTCGCATGGGTCCTTTACGCACCAACAGAGAGCCGTCGACGTCGAAGCGCTGCCAACTATTTGGTTTGAACATCTTTGCTTCTTGGCAGTTAAGGTTGGAAGTCAGCCCACATTGTTTGCACTTGGCCCAGATTTCTTATTAAACGTAAGAAGCAAATGTTAAAGAGTGATAAAGGTCAAGATAAGATCCTTCCACGGTTTTTCAAGTGCTAGAGCTAGCGATGATGTTCAGGAGAGCGATAGAGACACAACTGAAGAACCACAGGCTACAGGGCTTCCCAAAGCACAGCCTCACCGCATTGTTCCAGTGTGGGTTAGGTGTCGAGAGAGTTGGGTGGCTCACGTGATCGTCCACAAATCACCACTAACCAGGAGTCTGTTTACTTCTTTCCTAATTCAAAAATGAAACACAAGGTGGTTGACAACGAAAAATCCGATTTTTTTGAGGATTAGACATACCATATAACCAAGTTAAAGCTCCAATTGTGTTACTAGAGTGGATGAAAATAAGGATTGGCACACGGGTCTTGTCTCTATGAACGTTCAGGACCGGATGAAGGACCGAGGATTTTTGAAACAATAAAGGCAGAGAGACACCCTTGTTGGCTGCCTTAGTTTCTCCTCTTTCCAACTTTTATTGCCTGTAACTACAGTTTTGTTTCCAGGTCCACGTACAACTTTTCAACCGATTCCAAAAGCATCTTATAATTGCTGAAACCTGCACAAGGCGCCAATTGGTACTATAGCAGTCTCCTAACACCCACCTTTTTCAACCCCTTGTTCATGAAATCTCATGAACCATCATATCCCGCAATGGAATGACTAACACGAGAACTACGCAATTTGCGCCATCTGTAGTGAGCCCCCGATGAGCTCGTGGCTGGCAGACAGCGAGTTCGAGCAACTCGAAGCCAATGTGTGAGGGCCATCAGACGTCGGAAAGCTCCCTTTCAGACGAGACGACTGAAGACTATGGCACTACGAATGAATATATTGACACGACCGGTGCAAGAGCACCTAATCATGAGGGGATAGAAGCGATATAGACGACTCATCGGATTATATCACCGTTCTGCCCGGGTATGGAACTCTTGACTTAAATGAAAATGAATTGGAAAGCCCAGCTCATGCTCTGGGTTACAATCCACGAGCTCCAGAGCCAGACAAGTGAGCATGCCTGATACCGGATTCTGTTTAATCAAGCGGTTACTAACAAAGTGTCTGTATCCAGAGTTTTTTGTGCCCGCGCTCGTTACTGGGGGCTCGAAGGGGACATCGTCAGGCTTCGTCCTAGACCTCCTGCGGCTCGTGATCCTATATATCCTGGCACTTCTTGAATCGAGTCGAAAGATTGCAAGCTTTACAATAGACATCGCGTCTTTTAATGCATTATGAGTGCTCGCAAGTACTCGGCCTTTGCTTGGCTGGCCGGTTCCTCAGCGCGCCGAACCTTCCCACGTTCGACAAGTCCGCACTTTATCTGACATTCTGCGCACTCTTCCGCCCAACCACAGATACCGAGTCTGCATCAAGAATTGGAATCGACTCTGCCTATCTCAAACTCAAGGAGAAACGCTGGCGGGCAAGTTTGTCCCAGTGGAGGATCCTACGGAAGGCCTGTTTCCGGCAATACTTCTTCGAAGGATTCCTCCCTGAGGAGACACTCGAAAAGATGGTTTCTCTTGCCCAACGGCTATGCCTCGCCTTTGATCGATCAGGAAGCAACCGAATTGTCTGCAGAGGTCAAGAAGGACTCACTTCGCCATGTATCTCGACGTTGACAGCCTCGTGGCACTGTGTTGTGCCTCTTGGCCTCGTTTATGCGTTGGTACGAAACGACAAGTATATTTCTGGAAGAAACAGATTAAGACAGTGAGCTTCACGCAACTCTCGACGATGACGACTGGTTAGATCTTCATGTCGCTAAACTCAAGGCTTTGCTGATTGAACTGGATGCATGTACTCGTGTTCATCTGGATGAGAACTAAAGCTTCCGAAGTGGCGCATCCCCATCTTTGCAGATGGACGACGCCTTTGGGAAAGCTGCTCTGCCATTGCAGACCGTGTATGACAGGATGGCAGCCGTAAAGAGTAAGATGAGGACTGAGGCGATCATGGAGACTTTAATGAAGCTTGAGCAGCCGTTGTCAAGTGAAAAGGATGACGAGGGATCAGGAGTAAGGGAGTTTGTTGTTCGACTGATGTTATGAGACTGAAGTCAATAATATATGGGGGTCAGGCATTGTAGAGAGTTATGTATCGCCTATGGCACCCTATTATGCCAACCCTGTTATATTACAAGTTCATTGACTCGTTGACTCTTGACGAAATTTTGTTCTGTTTATGTATAAAAGACAATAACACTAGCCACATGAGCCAAAAAAAAAAAAGCACATCTTGACCGGGGAGCTCGACCTTTGGTGGTGCCCATTAGTCCTAAGTAGAGATGCATAAACCGAATGTTAAGGAGAGCCTTGCGAGTGGCCATGGCTGGGTTTATAGGGGAGAGAGATCAGTCAGCGTCCGCTGAAATTGAAACAAGTGAGCAACACGTGCACGCTCTAATGTTGCATTGATATCATGGCAATACGTCATGATCAGTACAGCTAGTAGATATATTGCTATAAGGTTGCAACCACGAGTCGTGATCAATATATAATCCCCTCACGCCAGCACACCATTACAATTTGACCCAACCATCACATTGTGTCCATCATCCTCACCACTCCAAAACGATTTCTTCAGCAGTAACATCTTCACTTGGCACAGCTCCAGTCTCTGTGCTTGCCCTCCGGGCGCACGCGCTCGCCACGCCTCCACGCGCGACCGCGTGACCGTGATCTGTTAGCCCAAATAGGCTTCAACAGAGGTGGTAATTCATTAGGTTTTGAAAAGTTAACACATAGGCCAGGATTGAGAACGCTGCTTGACTAAGAATATCTAGGTAAGCTTGAACGTACCGATGGATAGAATGCTCGAAGCTCCAGAAGGGAATGAGGTCAATAGCAGGAGCTGAATGGGAATCAGGACTTGATCAACGAATCAGAAAAATATAGAGAATGGAACACATAACGAAAATCGCACTGCTGACCCCTTTGGGTTAAAGCCGAAGGGCGGTTGCTACGGAGAGTGAACACAGCAAGTAAGCAAAAAGATACAACGGATGCCCATCCCATACAGAGTATGCATCCTGATGTGCTTAGTAAAGACTTCACTCCAAAATATGTAACGATAGTTGTTGGCTCATGTATCAAGTTATTATACCATGCCTGAAATACCGACCGAGAACTAGCGTATACCCTCTCAGTAGTATATATGCTACTTGATGGCACAGGCACATGCGCTTGGGGGCACCTTTGTGAGAGCTAAACACCCCAGTCCTTCAAGGCACGCTTGTCACTCCCCGATCTTCAACATCATTGCAACTTCTGACTCTTTAACCTCTAGTGACCACAGTATCATGAAATTCGCATGCCATTAAATTATATAGAGAATAAGAGAAAACAAGGGCGACGGTGAAGTATATGAATATGCAACAAGTGCTTTGCAGAGAAGAAATGTCTATCGTCTGTGTTATCTTGGTTCGTCCCAGATCGTGGCACCGATGGAGGTTGATGAATGCAATGAAGGCGTCCCACACCAAACCACTTGTCCCACCCCATCTTGATATCTCCAGCCGTCATTTTCAGCCAACCATTTCTTAAGAATCTCTTCCCCGGGAGCCCAGGAGTAGAGAAAACGGAAAGGATCAAAAAGAGTGTAAACCAATTATACCCTTCCACACCTCATGCACCAAGTATATATATGTCACAACAAAAAAAAAAAACAAAAAGTACAAATGCCATCACAGCAAGTCCCTCCCCCTCAAGGCACTGACCCAACAGTAACCTGCACCCCACCGCCCTCAGCCACGACCCCGTCTTTCTTCTCATCCTCCTCCTTTTGCACCCTCTTAAGGTACTCCCCGACCTCCCTAAGTGCCTCAACATCCACCACAACATCCTCCTTCTCCTCCCCCTCCTTCTTCTGTTGCTCCTTCTCCGCCTCATCTAAGTCATCCACATCCTCTCCCCTCGCGGCCCTCCTTGCCCGTTCCCGCTCCTCATACACCTCCCGCTTCCGTTGCTCCGCGAATCGCAAACTCTCGACATACGTCCGGAACTTGACACTCTCGCGCAGGAGGTACTCGCTCTTGCGCTCCCAGTTGGCCATGGCCTTAGCGGCGTTGGCGCTGCGCGGGGAGAAGGCCTGGAGCATCGGCCCGCGGAGGGCGTTGTGGGTTTGGAGCTCGGTTTCGATGCTGCGCACGTAGGCTTCGAGAGATGCGAGTTGTTCGGCTTCGGAAAGGGGGCTGGCGCGCATGGATTGCGGCGGAGGGGTCCAATCCACGATGTGGATGCGGTCGCCGGGGAGCTTACCTTCGTTCTTGCCGGAGCTGGAGGAGGAAATACCAGGGTTGGAGGAGTTAGTGAAGTGGCGGGGGAGAGTGCCGCCTAGAACACCAGAGCTGCCGGAGCCAGGACGGACGGGAAAGTCGAAAGAGGCCGAGCGCATGCTGCGGCCGGATTGCATGGACGAGCGACCGGCTGTGATGGCTGCAGTGGCAGAGCTGCCAGGGCGAGAGTGGCCCTTGGTGCTGCTCGCGGGCCGGTTCGCTACGCCATCGTTGGTGCTGGTGCGCTGCACACTGTTGATGACAGCATCGCTCCAGCCATACTCAATGTTGGAGACACCGCCAGTGAGGGGATGTGTGCTGAGACGCGCACTCCAGTAGTTGACTGTATTGACAAACTCCTTGCAGATCTCAGGAGTGCCAACCTGGAACAGGTGAACTGCACCGGTAGGCAGTGAGAGTGCCCAGACATATGGACGGGTGCGTGAGTAGCCCGGCGGGGGCAGAGCCGAGGCCAGCGTCTGGCGAAGCGAGAAGGTACCAAGATTAGTAGCATTATCCTGCCAGTTACCGCCGCCAACAACAGCGCCCTTGGGTAAACTGTTATTGTGGCCCGGGCCGCGACGACCCTTGTTGCGCAGCGACTTGTTGGGAGAGAAGGAGAACAGGCTGAGTTGGCCCTTCTGAATGACGGCAAAGACCTCGGTCCAGTTGCGATCCTTGGCTTTCTTGTCAATACCGTCGAGGTGATGCTTGTGAACGACGATGCCTTCCTTGACCCATGGCGGGCCTGCCAGTTCAAGCGACTCATCCTCGAGCAGCTGATCATGTCTGATGTCATCCTTGTGGTCATCCGGATTATCCTCGCGGATGATAGCCTGGCTGAGCGCATTGGCAAAGCCAATTGACTGCTGATACTCACCGCGCGGGTACGCAGACCCAAAGGAGTCCATAGACATGGAAGTGTGGGTGCGGCCCAGCGACAGCTTGCTCCACGTGGCCGAGGACTCAGTCGGACTCCAGACTGAGTTAGAATCCTCGAAGCTTGTCCTGCTGGACGAGAAGCCCGTGCCAAAGCCACGCGGGCGCGACCGGCTCTTCGAGTTCCACCGCGACGAGCTCGACGGCGGGCCAGCCACCGGCATCCTACCGCGGTGGGTAGAGGCAACACCCTCCGAGGGCGCCTTGCTAAGAACGCTCGGAGACCGCCTCAGCATGCCCATGACGGACAGGGTATTGGGCGTGTGCATCGGGCTGGGCTCGGCACCGCCCAGGAGCGGCAGACGATCGTCGCGGATGGACGAGTAGATGTTCTTGAGCACAATCTCGACTTGCTCTTCCCAATCGCGAAGGGACCCATCGAAGGGAGCCTTAACCAGCGGGCCGCAGCTCTCCGTGGCAGCGTGGTCCCCCATGTTGCCCAGGGCAGAAGTTGGTCTCGGCGGCGGCTTGAAGGAATAGCGGAAGCTATTGTGCTTGTGATCTTCCGAAGTCCGGGGCTCAGCTTCGCCGAGTGCGCTCTTGCCTGGTAGAATGCTCGGTTTTTCGAAAGCTTCGGGGGCTGAGTCTTCCAGAGCTTGCCGGATGGTCGTCATGGTATTCTTGACGAACTGACTGCGCGTCATCTTCTTCTCGATGTCGGCCATGTGCAGGTCGGTGTTGAGGAGCATGATCGAGTAGCAGATCGTGTGGATGACATCGACTGATTTGAACCCGTGGTTCGGGTTACACTCGCACCAGCGCTTCGAAAAGGCGACCAAAATCCGATCGAGCTGTTGCGTCTCAGCCCTCAAGAGGAGCCTCTCGCAGACTTGGCGCAAGCTAGCAACAATGCTCTGACCCTCGAAGTCAAAGAGCTCCATGAAGGCACGCAGGGTCCGCTGGCGGACAGTTCCTTCTTCACCCATCCAGGCCGCAGCGCGGTCCTTGGAGATGAAGTCCTCATTGCCGTCGAAAATCTTCCGAGCCTTCTGGCGGTCATCTTCGGTTGGGTCACCGACGATAACTTCGGGCTCGTCGATGGACTTGGCCGACTGGTTTACCGACTCGCCCGCGCCCATGCCATTGGGGCTTGGCTCGGCGCTCTCGATCCTCAGGCTCGGCAGGCTGGGCTTGTACATCGTCTCGCCGCCCGCATCGAGCAGGTTCGAGTCCCTACGGTCATTCCTAGTGACCGAAGGCGGCCGCTTGCTCTGACCAGGGCGCGGGCGAGCTTCCTCTCTCGCCCGGTTGAGGTTGGGCACGCTCTTGGACTTAGACATGACTGGAGAGGGCGTCCGGGTCCGCAAGATATCCGGGTCTGGACCTGGCCGGAGGCCCTGTTCACGGCTCTCGGACCAAGGCGTCTTCCGTTGCCGGACTGGGCTGTCTTCGCTGTCGCTATTGTCCCGAAGGAACGACTGCGGCGGCGAACCGACATCAGGTTCCAGGCCTGACCGATGGGGGGTGGTCGCGACGGGGCGGGAGCCCTGACCACTGACGGGTTCCGAGTCGACCTTGCGAATGACAGCCTTCGGACTTGGGTCGTAGTCGGGCGAGAAGCCTCTTGTGGGTTTGCGAGCTTCGTCGTCGGTCGGGCGGCGTGGGGTTGTCTGCTCGTGCTGATGTTGCACTGTGTCAAGCGGGTTCTCAGCAGAGGGCAATGGCGTGTCGGCAGGCGTCTGAGCGGCCGAGGTTCCAGAGCTGCCCTGCAGGAACGGGTCCATAGCCCGGCGGAGACTCGGCATCGGGCTGGGCTCTGGCTTATCGAGCGGAAGCTTCACAGGTGGTACAGGGGGCACAGGAGGAGGGTGGTCTGTCTCTGTGACAGAGTGTTTCCTTCTCCGGAAGAACGAAGAGGTTTTCTTTTGCAGTGTGTGCGCGGCCGAGACCACGCCCTCGCGGGACGGAGGTGTGGAACTCTTGGCCTGCAATGATGGGAAGGCTAGTTGGGGGGTTGAGACACTGCTCGGGACAACTGACTTCGCCGATCCAAACATCCTCCGGAAGAAACCGGGCTTGCTCTCCTTCGTCGTGTTGTTTGCGGTAGACAGCTGAGCATCCTTGGACTTTTCATAGCCAATATGCGGAGCCGGGGCGGAGTCAAAGTCGTATGTCGGAATGGGAGGGGGTTCACGAGGAGAGGTGAACTTTTCGGTTTTGCGGGCGATGGTAGAGCTCCGGGAAGACCTCCCACTGCGGGGGAGGGCCGAGCTTCCGCCCTTGGAAGAAGGCTTCAACTCGGACTTTGGTTCCGGGGGGGGAGGAGGAGGAGGAGGAGGAGGAGGAGCAGGCATGATGGGCAATGAGGGCACGTTATTTAGCTTACGAGGCCCGCCGGGGACGGTAGGGGTCGGAGCGGCGTCGAAGCCGTCGTTGAAGAAAGAATTGGAGAGCTCAAGCTGCCACGCAGCAGGAGATGGCTGCGGTTCACCGTCAAAGCTCGATGGTCTTCCACCGAAACCCCTGGTCCAACGCTGGCTACCCAATACCTGTGCGTAACCAGCGTCAATGCTTGTGCTACTGCTGCTCTTGCTGCCCTTGCGGCCACGCGAGTGCAAGACACGACCGGGGCTGCGCTGGGAGGTCTCACGCATGCTATTGATGCGCCCAATGCCGGTTTGGAAGCCGGAGCCGCTGTTGCTGCGGCGGCCACGGGACGACAGCCTGCTAGAGTCGTCTGCGGCGTCGAAGTCGGAGCTGTACGAGTACTGATGGCCCGGGCGACCGGAACGCGAGGCAAAGGTCATGGACCGCGGGTCGCGGTCGTCGCTGTGGAAAGGAGAGTAAATGGGAGGCTCGTCAAACACAGAGCGCGAGGGGCCATACGATGAATCGAGCTGGCCCAGAGTAAGCTTGTCCAGGGACAGCAGCATGTTCGCCACGAGCGAATCGCGCGTGACGTTACGGGGCGAGAGTGACAGATCGTGCGAGTCTGTCGAGTCTCGGTCGTTGGTGGGACAGTTGTCGGGATCGGATGACGGGGAATCGTGCTCAATGGGAATCGGGTTGGTCATGTCGATCGGAGGAACATCGACGGGGGTCAGGCCCTCGAGGAACGTCTCGATGTCGGCCTTGCTCCTGCCGGAAGGCCCGCCGCCAGCGGGAATGATAGGAGCAGCCGGAGCGAGGCCGTCCTTATGGGATGAAATAGGCGTATGGGGGATTCCAATGCGGTCTCTGGAGCGTGACGGCCGAAGGGGCGGCGACGTGTCGATGCTGAGGTCGGGTTTGCGTCTGCCGCTGCGGCGGGCAGAATCTGTGGGGAGCATTGGCTGGTGCTGCAGCAGCCGTGGATGGCAACGGGAAATCGGAGATCAGCCCGAGACAGAAGGCCAGGAACGGCAGGGAAAGCGGCAGATATGACAAAAAAGAAAGAAAGAACAGGCGACACTGCAGGCACTGCGGCAGACTGCACCACTGGACCGCCCAGCGAGTATGTGTGGGCTGTGTAGACTTGCTTGCAGATGGCAAGGGAGCGAATTGGGTGAATTGGTCGCACACCAGGCTTCAGGCTACGCAGACGCAGACGGCGCCATCCACCATCCACGGCCTCGTGCTCACGCAACAGTTTCGGGCAGGCAATGCGTCCAGTGGCCTCACTCAGCTGCAGGAGGGCGATGTGATGTGCGTAGGGCGTTAAGAGGCGTGCGTTGGAGCGGATTTAGCGGTCTAGGCGGGATGAGGGACGACAGATCGGGACGGATGGCGTGGTTTGCGTGCAAAGACGGACGTGAGGAGAGTGAGAATGGCAGGTCGTGCCACAGACACGCGGAGTGTCGTGCCTTGGACAAACTTTTTGGATCCCGACCCAGGTTCAGATGAATGAGCTGCAGAGACTGACAACAAAAAACAAGTGAGCGAACAAGCTGCGCTCCAAGCTTGATGGAGCACCGCCGATCAGCTCTGCACCTGTGCTGGAAAAGCTGGGGACTGTGCCCTGGACGCGTCAGATGCGAAAGCAAACAGGGTTAATTTAGCGAGATCTGGATCCCACCAATATTCTGTGGAGATCGCTGCTGGATTCGCTGGAGCCCGATTCCCATGACGCCGGCAATGCCCGTGCCGCAAAATAAATTCCCAGGTCCCGAATGAAAAAAAAAATTACAACACAAGTGCCGCTCGATCGTCGAGAATGCGGAGAATCATGTTGTTTAAGTGTAAGTACAAAATGGCATCAAGGACGTCTGGAGATCCATGTGTAGTTTTTGCTCCCTCCTGTGTTTCTTTGCTGAGGGCGTCCTGTCGCCAGGGGCATGAACAACAATGCTAGAGCATCTCCGGTCTCCAGAAACGGCAACATGGACAACGGCAGCAACCAATCGAGCTGCTGAATTAACATGCAGAGACGTTGGTGGTGGAGTGTGTCCTGCAGCATCCTGCAACCCACACGCAAAGAAAACCCAGCAGGCAGCGTGCCCCTATTCTCCTGCATCACCATAGGTTAAACCCAGCCAAAAGCAGCTTAAAAGGCCCCCCAATTGCATCCGATTGCCCCAAATCCCCTGATTCCAGCGCCGCCCAGAGCTGCACAGAGCTGAGCCATTGCTCCACGGTCCACTCTTGTCCGAACTTGGCTCACCTTGGTCAGCGTTGTGGGACGAACCGTGCGCGCCGTGCCTGATACGTCCGCTGCATGATGCTGGGCAGGTGAGTGAAGGCCAGGAGGGGCGCGTAAGGGGGGACCGTCGTTTCAGCGTTTCTACAGCGTCGCAGTACCAGATGAATCGAAATGCGGGACGATAAGAGTATGATGGATGTCCGCATACCACAGATTGCCCATCGCACCATCGTCGCGTTCCCACATTCGCAGGCCTTCGAAGAATATTCTCTGCCAAGAACACAACCAATCCTCCTCCCCCCCCCCCCTCCCCCCAAACCCTGGAACCCCAGGCCTGCGTCTTCTGGGCTATCAGCGCTAGCGTCGACCCGGGCTCGTCCTTGGCGTCGTCTTTTGCTAAAGTCGGCGACACGTGGACGTGGCCTACCAGCTTCAGCCGAGCGGCCCATGTCGGCTGTAACGGAGATCACGAATCTTGATCTGGTGCCTGATCAGGGGATAAACGTTGGATAACCGGGGAAAATGTTCATGATGATGATCGTCCGTACCAAGGACAAAGATGCTTCTTGTCTCATGCGTCTCTGAAATTCTCCGTCTACTTAACAAACATGCTCACAGGAAAGAAGACCAGAAACAGAAATCAGATCCATGAGATTGAATGTCAATAAGAGCAGCTTCAGAAGACGGCATGTCTAATCAGCTCCGTCCTCCTTCCCAAGTGCGTTATCAACTCATCTGGAAACTATTCAGATGTGGGTTGAAGAGACAGTATCACCTGTGGGTATTCAATGTTACTTCAAGCCTCCCAAGGTCTCATGGAGACGATGTGGTCTTTGATCTAACTACCGGTTCGACTTGCGCCCTGAAAAGCCTTGCCCAAGATGATAGCCAGGACGCCATAGCCCTAATCATACAAATGCCCTAGAAGTCTTGTACCACATCAAGAAAAAAAAGCAAGAAAAAAAAACTATAACCCATGCTGCCCCTAGTCAAAGTTTCAGTGACGAAAGTTCCCTCTTCTCCGACACCGAGGCCTCCCGCCAAAGCCGGAGCCAAAGCCAGAACTTCTCCCCGAATCGTTGCCGTTCCCGTCCCCACTTCTCAATCCCGACCCGATCCCGATCCAAGATCTTCCCCTTACCTCAGTACCAAACTTACACCCATTCCCATCCGCCTAATCACTCGTCGCCGTCTCAAACACACCACTCTTATCCTGAAACCCGTTGCAGTACTGCGTACATCCATTCAGCTCACCCAGACGCCGGAGCCGCCGGCGGAGAGTTCCCTGCAATTCTCAAGAACGGCCAAGTCGAGGCAGGAGGAGAGGTTTTCAGCGAGGTCCGGGGCGTTACTTTGCCCAATGAGGAGGGCATACCCACAGGCGGTGGTCAAGGAGTCTAAGATCGGAATATCAGCAGGGATGGCAAGGTGAAATCATCAAGGGACACAATACTTACGGGCATGATCAGTCACATCCTTTACGAAGACGATTTCATCTTTGTGATGTCCCAGCCAGTCTGTTAACATGGTTGTCAGTGCCAAGTCCCAACCAGGGACATAGCTGTCAAACAAGCCGATTTTCCATCCGCCCAACTCTCCTCATGAAGACCATAGCATCGACGTTGTCGGGATCAACACCATCACATCCAAGCTTTAGCGGCTAGGGAGATTTTCTTCTTCACAAGGTCACGACCGGTCTGGTTTTTGATGTTAATTCAGAACTCTTCCGGCCAATCTTTCTGCTTCTTGCCCAGAAGCCCCCTGTAGGCAGGTTATCGCCAACCGTGTCGAAATTGCAGTTGCTCTTTTGGGCTAGACCGGCATTGAAGTAACAGAGGAAGATCCGATTGGGATTGTCTTTCTGATCTCTCTGTTAAAGAACTGGATGTGTCAAAGCATAGAGCTCAAGGATACATACCCTTTATGCAGTCGACAATATCTGGGTAGCGGGCAATGCTGTAAAAGATCGATATCCTAGACAAGGGCGTCGACAGACTGGAGAGGTTTGTTGACATCAAGCGACTTCTGGATCTCAGTCTGCCATTTTACTCCAAGTCTCCATCCTGGAGGAACCTTGACCTGAGCCACCACCGAGCTGGCCAGCGCTAACGGCCCGAGAATGGAACGCCCAAACTTCGTCAGAGCTGATTCCTCTGAGTAAATGATACAGTTGTTCCAATCCAACCCGAACCGTTGTCCAGATCACATGGCCATTTTTTGTAGATTTTCGCAAGTGCTGCCGGCTCTTCCAACTATTTATTGTCCATTATCTCAACAGTCGTGAAGCTGTCGACATCCTTCAACTCCACTCTGTGGTATCGAGGTGTGGGCTATTACCAGGGGCACGCGGCGCGATTCCGGGCCCAAATGACACCCGACCCTCCAGCAATCCTACTTCCATCCGCCCGCTGGAGAGCTGTCATGCCAAGACCTTGGAGTGCTCCTCCATCGATCCTACACAATGCCTGTAGGATGTAGACATAACCATCCTCAATCTTTCCCATGGAAAAGATGTAGGACCTTCTGGGTGTTGGAGTCTTAAATTCTAGCCTGCGAGAAACGCTCTGCCCGGATTAACCTGACAAGACCCCATCAGACTCAGGCAAACTATTAATTATTCAATCGGTTGACACTTCGCTTCAAAGGCCCTGCAAGAACATCAGAGATCAGTACGGGCAACGAAACCACCTAGTGTATGTAAGACATCTGAGATAAAAGGAAGCGAACTGGTCCCGGCAATCCAGAGCTCTTAACTTTCTCGTGATTTCCTACAGATCGTTTAAGGTCTGTTTTGCCCGAACTCCTTCGTTCACTCTCATCATGAAATGCGGAGAACGCGATCGTCAATAGGCTGGGATCCCTTGACTTCGAAACTTTTTGTGGGGGAACCACAAATGCCGTCCACTCCAGACTTTTTCACTAGCAATCCAGACCCTCTTAACAGTTTGAAACGACAAATCCTCGAGCCTTCGCCAAGCCATCAAACGAGGACAACCCAGACATGAAATCACAAGCCGATGGAGTCTTATGCAAGGCTCATCCTGTGATGTGCCTGCCAAGACCAGGGGCATGGTGTGGATCATGGACGTCTGCGATGCAACGACGCGTTGATGATCACATGTTGATTTGGGAAGATTGAGACTGTGGAAGATCTGAAACATCAGCGATGGCTCGTCTGCATGTTTGAAGCCAATATTTCTGTGGAGAAGGGAAAGCATTCATATGTGAGTCCAGTGCCCGGTTGATTTGCCGAGTCCGTGGACAGAGGTCATCACGAGAAGTGTCAACTCTACACGAGAACAAAAATGTCCGTAAAAATGTAACGGATATGTCTGGCACTTGACTTTTGGTGTGGGAAAATGACGACGAAGGCGGGCTTTCCAGTGAAGTTTCTTCTTCAATTCCCATCCAATTGAATTGCCAAGTCCCTTTGCTCGGGCAGCTTGTGCTTTGTTTCTCAGTCAAGGAGAGCTTCGTCAAAATGTGAGCATCAGTTACATAGCCAATCTTTGAAGATTCCAACTTGATTCGAATATGTGCAATGGACTGGACTTTGTGAGATCTACTGACGATGAGGACATTGGTTCGTGTCCTGGTTTACTGACTGGGATATGGGATCGATCTAGATAGCTCACGTCGGATGTCGTGGTGTCAGCACACCTATCCTTCTCTGTCGGTAGGTGGAAAACTTGAGGAGATTAGGCCAAGGGGAAACGAAACGAAGATATAGCAAACCTAGAACGCAAGGCATTATTACCTATTGGATATAAAAGAATGGTGTCCATGTTGCTGTGAGTAGAAATTAGGTTAGCAGGTAATCCCATATAAATCCACACAAGACGGGAATCTTCCACCAACATAATGGGGGTCGTAGTTGGATAAGGAGGTGCTAGAACCCTCGCGCCACCTCCCGTGCTCAAAGAGGTTCTTAGGGGGCATAGTCCACTAACTCTTAAGTTGTAGTTTGATGCATATATATCACGTGTGGTTGCATACCAAGCGTAAATATGTTGAAAAGCGCCTAGAAGATATCCGCCTTTGCGAGTGTTTATGGGAGTGCAGACTCTTTGTCGACAACAAGGCTGGTGATAGATACAGTCAACTCAACGCTGTTGGGAGAGAGACTATTTCAACGTGGATGTGATAGTGAGAGAAGACGCGAGCACAGCAGTCAGTGGGAATAGAAGGTCGGCAAGAACACAGGACAGAGGGACACGGGTACATATCACAGAGGACAAGCACGGTGGACGGCAGGATGATTTGAAGACCTTTCTATTCAACCCCATACCCAAACATGACATATACAAGAAACCCCGGGGTATTTGACCAGAAACCGAACCCAATCCAATGCAATGTATGCATTTCTCCCTGCACTTTATGCAGTTCCAAAAACGCCGAACATCCCAAAAAAGCAACCCAAAGACAATCCCACGACGAAGCAAACCCGAGACCCAAACACCGTATCATAATCATAATCCTTTTATCATCCCATCTCCAAACCCAAAACACCCCACAAAAAAGCAACCCACGATGAAAAAAAAAAATCCCCCAAACACCACGCTCATCACAATTTCAACCCAACAAAAAACAACCGCAAGCAAAGAAGCTCCTAGCGCCCTGCCCTCCGGCTCTTCTCCCTCTCTTTCTCCAAATCCCCCCGTAAATTGGCCATCTCCCGCTCGCTAGCGTCAAGACGCCGGCGAGCCTCGCCACGGTCGAGGAGGCGACCCTCCCTCTCCATCCTCAGCTTGGCCTCCAGGTCCCGGAGGCGCAACAGCCACTTACTGTCTGTTGTGGAGCTCGGGACCAGGGAACCAGAGCCGGAGGCGGTGGGGGCCGGGTCGCCGTCCTCGGTCACGGCGGGCAGAGCCTCCGTGCCAGAGGAGGCCCGCGTCGGAGTTGCGGGAGCTGGCAGAACCAGACTCCCCTTGGTGCTGGACTTAGGGACCTTATTCGCCGCGCCCGTCACCTTGTCTTTGCCCTTTGGTCCCGTTGGGACCGCAGGAGCAGGGCTCTCGGCTCCAGCCGGGTCTGGAACCGACGAAGAGGAGGCAGCCTGCGCCGCGCGCCGAGCCTCAGCAGCAGCACGCAAGGTGTGGTTCTCGACCTTGAGCTGCCGACACATGTCGTCGACGCGGGTCATGCGGCTGTCGACCTCCAAAGTGCGTGATTGGCCGATCGGCAGGAGACCGGCGGCAGTCGCGGCACGAACGATGCTCTCGAGCCTTTCGATCCTCTTGGTGCGATTCTCGAGAAGAGTCTGGAGGGTTTGATAATCTTTCGAGATGCTTGCTTGAACCACCTTGGTCTTGGTGAAGAAGCTGGCGACCATCCCTTCAATGGTGCCCACCGCAGCAAGGAGGTTCTTGGCAAAACCTGGGAACATGGATGAAAGAGACTCGAGGCTCGGCAAGGCGCGTCCGTTGATCAGGCTGTTGTTGTGGATCCAATCACTGCCACAGAGGGCGGACAACCGGCGCCACAAGGTCAGTAAGAGGGTGTTGCGTTCAGTAAGCTGCTCCTTAAGAGAGGCTTCCAGCTGTGCGATCTTCCTCTTGTCTTGAGCCCTACCAGCCTCAAGCTCCATGATGCGTTTGTCCTGGTCGGAGTTGGTGCGCATCACGTGCTGATGCGCCTGCTGTGAAGCCTCGAGCTGGGACTTGGTGGCGCGGTGAGCCTGCCGTTCCTTATCCAGCATGTCTCCGAGTTTGCGAGTCTCGAGTGCCTGCGACTCGAGAAGGGCGTCGCGTTGCTTAATGAGACGGTCCTTTTCGGCCAGGGTGGATTTGGCGTTGTTGAGGTCGCGGACAGCCTCCTCAAGACCACGTTGGATGTCGGCGATCTTCTCGAAGACAGCAGACTTGGTGCCGTGCAGACAGCCGAGCGCGGAGCGAATCCGATTGTCAAAGTCGAAGAACTTTTCCTTCCAGTTGTCGGCTTCAACCTCTTTGTTGGACAAGTTCCGGCGAAGTCTCCTAGCTTCGTCCTTGGCCGCGGCCGCTTCGCGGTTAAGCTCGTCGATGATCTTCTGGACCTCTTCCTTCTCCCGATTGGAATCGGCCTCACGCTGACGACGCTCAGAAGCAAGTGTTTCGTTCAGCTCACGAACGCGTTCCCTTTCATCGCGGAGAACCTGCTCAACATTTGCGAGAGAGGCTTCAAGTTCACCGATACGCATCTTATCAGCTTCTTGCTCCTCCCGAAGAAAAGAGATCTCGCCCTGAGAGGACTCAAGCTGAACAGTGAGACGGTTGTTCTTCTCGTTAGCCTCGAGCAGCCGGGCCTCAAGCATCTCGAGCTCCCTCTCCAACGCAGCGTTATCCTGCCTAAGACGCTCGGCCTCGCGAATCCCTGATGCTTGTGTATCTTCCAAGCGCACAACCATTTCGCTGAGCTCCCTAACCTTAGCTTGGTACGCGTCATACTGTTCGCGAAGGGTGGCATATTCAAGGTCGAGTTTCTCGTGCTCGGCCGCAAGGTTTTCCTTATCAATAGCGAGCTGTTCGTTCTCGAGGCGGAAGCGGTCAAGGTCGGCCTGAAGTGCTTCGACCTGGCTTTCGAGGGATGTAACAAGCTCGGCGTAAACCTTATTTTCCTCCGCAACAGCCTTGTATCCCTCCTCCAGGTGCTCGTACTCCTGGATGACATCATCACGCTCTGCGTTGAGGGCCATGAGGTCGCGTGCGGCGGCCTGTGCTTCTTCCTCGAGAGTGGCGATTCGCTCCTCAGCCTTGTTCTTGGCATCAGTGAGGATCTCGATGTCGTTCATGTAGGCCTCCAACTGCTGATGCAGGTCACGATTCTTGAGACGGAGAGAGTTGATCTTGTCGCGAAGTTCATCGAGCTTCTCCTCATAGCTCTCGCGCTCTTCGTCATCAAGCGGAAGGGCACTGACGCGGGTCACGCCGCTGGCGCGAGACTGCGGACGTTCGTGAATACCAGCGCGAGACGCCGAGCGCTCAAGAAGGCTGTCGACGGTGGATGGAGCCGGGGCACCCCGGCGCTGAGCAAGCTTGAGATCCTCAATCTCCTGGTGTAGGCGTTCGATTTCGCGGTTCCTCGAGGTCAGCATAGAGCTCTGTGCTCCAACTTCGCGGCGAAGTTCAGCATTTTCGTGACGAAGATGGTCCGACTCGCGACGGAGATCCTCAATGAGAGTGCTGCTCTCTACAGAAGGAGCGGTGCTATACTCCTGCTTGAGCCGGAAAATCTCCTCGCGAAGGCGACGAATTTCTTCGTCAGCCTGTTCCCGTCTGGCTGTTTCTTGCTCATGCAAGTCCTTCCATACATCGGCTTCCTCCTGGCGATCATATTCCTGGCTGAGACGCTCAGTGGCTTTGTCGCGCAAAGTGCGAATGACCTCGGCCATGCGTTGCTTCTCAGCAGCAAGCTCAAGCTTCTCCTTCTCAAGCCGCTGGATCTCTGTAGTGTGCAGCTCGACTTGCTCACGAAGATATATTAGCTCCTTGTCGCGTTCTTGGGCCTCCTGGTCAGAAGCGTTGCCTTGCTCGTTGTCGGACTCGGCTCCCTTGACGGTATCCGAAGATGCAGCTGCCTCTCTGAGCTGTCTTTCCTTCTCGTGCTTCTTGATGCAACGCTTTGCAAGCTTGAGCTCACGCTGGAGGATCTGGTTAGTTGTTTTCAATTCGACATTCTCGGCAATGCATTTCTTGACGTTCTCATCGGAGAGCTTCTCGAGACGCTCATTCAGAAAGTAAATCTTAAGCTTCAGACCGAAGTTCTCCTTGACAAGACGATCAATGGTGACTCCCTGCTCCTTCAAAGTGAGCGTGCGGCTGTGAGCAGGGTCCTTGTAAGTGTCACCCCAGAGAGTGGTCCGCAGGGGAGTGTCGTGCTCGCGCTTGGATAGGTACTCCGCGGCGACTGAATCTGGCACCTTGACGGCACTAACGTGACGAGCGAGAACAGTATCAGTGGGAGCAGCAAGCACTGAAGCGCCAGCTGTCTTGGGAGTGGTTGGCGTGCTAGGTCTCTCCACCTGCTTCTCGACTTGCTTCTCGACCTGCTTCGCGGCCTGCCTCTCGGCGTCCTTCTCGGCATCCTCCGTCTTACGGAGCCAATCTGGAAGGCGGTAAGACACGGCCTGCTCGCCATCACTGTTTACGGAAGCGAGACTGGAGGGACGAGCGGTGGGTGTATTGGTGTCACGAGAAACGGGGCGACTGGGCTTTTTCCCACCAGCTCCAACAGTCGCGCTACTTCCGGAATCGGAGCCCTGCGACGAGACAGATGACCTGTTGCTTCCAGAGCGCTTCTGACGATGGGAAGTGGTGGAGGAACGGCTGGGGGCGCGACCGGCATCAACCGGGCCAGCCTGTATCTGTTCATCATCACCGTTCGTATTAACCAGTTGCACAAAAAAAAAAAGGCAGAACAGGTAAACGTACCTCAGTGTTGGTTACATCATTATCGGAATCATCATTAGTCGGGACAACAATAGAGGCCCTCTTGGTGGGCTTCTTGGTTGGAGAATCATAGATAAAGGTGTCATGGTTGGTGTTCTGCGAGGAATTCAAAGGCGAAAAGGGAGATGCGAGACTGGCCTCCATCTCGGCAAGATGCTCGAGGACAGCGCGCTCGGCCTGGGCATCTGCGTGGCGGTTATCTATGCTGGGAGACTCCAGGTAGCTGCTCTCGTACGTCATGGTCGACGGCTCGGGACGGAGGTCTGGCATGTTGCCAGAAAGAAGTGACGAACCACGATCTGAAGGGCTCGAAACACGGTTGGAGCCACCGCCTTTTTCATCCATTTTGTCCATGATTGCAAGAAATGTGACAATATGGTTGTGGTTGCAGTAACAGCTGAACTGGTGAATGAAGCAAGAACGTGAGACGCGTTCTAAGGATGCGAGTTTTTTGCTGAATCAGATGGTGCGATGCAAGATGCATGCGTGTGCAGAAAAATAGCTGGTAAGCTGTGTGCTGAGCAAGAGCGAGATGCTATGATGGAATTGTGCGCGCAGATTTGTAGCAGTAGCTGTCACGAGATGGATTCGTCCCAGACACAATGTTGATGGAAGAAGAAAACGAGGAAGGACGGACAAGGTCGGGGGAAGTTGTAGCGCCAGTCTCGCGGTGGAGGCCGGCGCGCTGCCCCACTGCCCCACTCACTCCCCGCGAGACGCGTCGGTCGCAGTCGGTTGCTCCATATTACAGGCAGGAGCCAGCCAGTCGGGCTCCTTCCTTCGGCGTTTTAGGTCCCCAATACCCCCTAAATGGTTAGGCTCAGGGCCAAACGGTGTCCCGTGCCTGGCCCCGCTGCAACAGTCACCGCACGGACCATATCATTAAGGGACTTTCTGCACAGTTTCCGATGGAATGATCCATCAATAACCTTGAAATCCCAATGAATCAATTCATCAATTTCAATCTCGAGCATTTATAGTAATGAAGTTGATCTACAATTTAATGGGGGTACTGCAGAGGAGTATAGTCAGATACAAAGGACAATCACACTCAATGCGATTGTCCAGATGGCCCCACTGTGCCTGTGGTCCCTGACCCTTTCTGGTGATCCTTATGGCTTGTCGACTTCATGATTTTCCCTAGAAGTTAAGTGGAACCATAAATCCCCAGTGTTTTGATAGCTTCATCAATTTTACATTTGTTTGTCCGTTTAATCGTTACTTTTGAACAACTTCCCACAGTATCATGAATTTACTGTCCTTGGCTGGCATCGCACTTTCCGCTCGCATGTGACAAACACACAATAACTCCAGTGACGTCACATTTTTTCACTGATCCACAATGCGCGACAAGCATCCTCGACATAAACCCTCAACGCAGATCTTCTGTTGTGAAAGGGTACCAGTATGCTTGTGTTTTGACATGAAGGCACTTGCCATCCCACTTTCACAGGGTGCAATATTGCTGCCATCAATACAATACAATATGTGCAGATAACTTTAATACAATAATAATTACAATAATCCGTGGGTAAAGGACCTGCACAATCATTTGAAACAGGTAATACTCGACTGAGTCCATGTTGCGCCTGCAGGGCAGAGTATTTGGAACGTAGGCAATGTGGTAAAAAATTAGTTTGCTGCTTAATCCGGTAATTGTATCAAGGTATCAACCCTGGAAGTTGTTTCTTACAAATACCCTCGCATTGAGGACAAGATTCATCTCTTACCCAAAATACACGTAATCATAAACCTATCTTAGAAGCAACCGAGGGGTAACATTTTGGCAACCGGCTTTCTCCTGCCGAACCATATATGTTAGCAATATGTGTCCAAGGTGCTGTTTGGAAGGTGTGTTGCTGGCAAGGACACTAGTTCAAGATACTGGATAGCATTATATATGCAGGTATTCCGATTACGCATACATTGGAGTCAGAGGAGTTTCCAAAATCCATCATAGCATGATACAGCTTATCAGCCTTGCTGTTGGCAGCCATACGGGAGCTAAAGCTAAAAAAAATCCCTTCAATTCTCAAGTTTTATTGCACGACCACCTGATCAAGTTTGTCTTCAAAGTCCTGAAGACGTATCGATATGGTTATTGAAAAGCTGATGGGTATCAGGGAGTTTCAGTCGGACAGACTCTCCCAGCATTGCCTCAAGAAGTTGTGGTAGGTAATAGCCCTTCTTCTGGGCCAGAGGCCTGGTGTGGAAATCTCTTACCGACAGAGAAGTAACGAAGAGAGTCTTGTTCCTATTGTAGTAGGAACGCCACGCGTTTTCTCCGTTGCCACCTCTTTGCATGACAGCGTCTATGCCGTATGTTCTCCATAGGTAGTCCGATTCCATAGCCAAATTGGTGTTGTTGACGACTTGATCTATCTCTGGGGACTCAGGCTTACAGCCTCTCTTTCCAGGGCACAGACTCACATTCCAAGGAATCAACTTCGCCATACACCCCGCTCCTCTTACAGCACTAGTTGTGGTATTCTGCCCACAGGTAAGTAATCTCATGATGGAGTTTGGTGCTTTGTCGTATGTTAGCGGTCGGGAATAGATCGCAAAAAATAAAAAAAGTCTAACGATGGCAAGATGCGAAAAGGATATATAGTCAGCGCCAATACCAACTCCCGCTGCACCCAGGCAATGCGTGGTTCACGACTGTGCCGTCTCACTGACCGGAAATACCGGCGACTTCGGAGCAATCGTTGGAGTTGTGAAGAGGCTAGGGTAAGTGACCCGAGCGTCTTTCCAAATGCTACAAGAGTTCTGCCTAAAGGATGTAAGTTAACACGAGGTTCCCTAGAGAAAACGTTCCCGGCATCCGGAGAGTACAATGATCTGTCGGGAAAAGGATCTTAAAGACAGCTCGAGTGACACCCGACGACCAGTGGAGGGCTGCTGTCAGCATCAGCAAAAAAAAGATCAGGACTGTCTAGATTATGTGAGTCCTTCAATAGAGAGTGAACTAGATCCATCACAGCAAGATTGACAAGGGGGGATGGCATCGGAACAGCTGTCAAAGACCTGCATCGATAAACAATGCCGATGCATCAAGGAATCTCAGACACTCAGATGTGATGGCAAATGCAACGGAAAGGTTGAGACATTGGGTCAAACTCATTGTGCTACCTGCAAGGTAAGCTGAAGGGATGGAAATGTCCAGGAGTTGCCTTGATCTCGGCACCGGCCCACTGACTCAACTCCACCATACAGATATTTGGGTGTGACGATCCGGCATCGGCTACAACCATCTTGGAAAGCCTGATTTCAACAGAAACAACCGAGAAGGACGAAGAGCTATGCTCTATACCTGAGAGACCACAGCCGTCTAAGTTCAGGTTTTCCCATCCTCACATCAATGTCCAACCAGTACCCTTGGACCTCCCAATCCCAGGAGCCCCAAACAAGAGACGCCATATACATACCGATGAATTTAACTCTGATTCTGATTCTGAGCCGGAATGTCCCTGGTTCAAGCGCCCTCAATGCGTCTCTCCCGTCACTCAACGCGTTGCTCGGATAGCTTTGAAGAGAAGACGTTTTCTACATCCCCCGGTTCCCTTCAACATCACAGCTCGCCGCGCAAGCAGTGCGTCAAATAATCAGTTCGTTGTCGAGGTAGCGAGTCGGTGCATATGTGCGGCATCTAAAAACGAAAAGTCCAATTGGGCTTGTAGGGCTGAAAAATGTGGTACCATGACGGCTGAGTCTAGATACTGCCGAAGATGCTTGGTAAGTGGACACCGTACTTCTCGAGAAGCTGTCTGTATCCAGCATGACTAACATTGACTGACGGTATTAGATTTCAGGCTGTTGGTAGGGGCGATATCTTGAAGGCAAAAACATTTTCGGCTCAAAACCCATCTTTGTGTTCGACAATGATCACTCGGGATCCGCGCAAGATGTCAAAGCAAACAAGAGACCCGCACCAGTCAAGGGGGATGAACCGTTTTGGAAGAGGGCGAGGTTATTGGTTGATGAAAAGGGGGATGCCTTTGTTGAACGGAAAGATACCTGGGAGAAGAGGATAGTGAGGCCGCTAGGCAAGGACATTGAGAAAGACACAGAGGCTAGTTGAGGGCTTTAGGTACTAGTGTATATTGCTTACTTGCATTCTTATAACTACAGCAGCGTACGTAGTCCATCTGGAAGAATACAACTGGTTAGCGAACTATTTGGGTGCTCCTTCGATGTTATGCAATGCATCTTTTGGATCCTAAATGACAGGATATGGATATGATGCCAGGTATTGTTGGGGTCCCTGAGAGAAGTAATCGGACTCTGGCCGTCCGGCGGGATGACTTAATGATGTAAGCTTATCTTACCGTTGGCTCAGGGGCTTGATGACTGGATGTCAAGTCCTGGAGTGGTTTTGTGCCGCAGGATGATACAAAGCACAGACAAAGGAAAACTGTGCTCAAAACTTAGTCGAACTCTAGTTAGGGAAAGGAAGAGAGATATGTCCTAATCTCGACAATGAGATAAAGGCTAGCGAGATGGCCACTTGTTTGGGGATTTTCGCAGGGGCCAACCTGTGTCAGGCCTTATTAAGGCCTGAGTCCTCAGGAGAAAGGTATAAATGGAGACAATAGTGAGGAGTCAGTGATCGTAGCTGCAGCCCCAGCTGTGTGATCCAAAATTTGAAAGGATAATCATCAATATACGCCCCTGCGAACATTTTCGATCCTAAAGATGGGTTGCTTCAACAGTAAACAAGTCAAGATCTCAACCGAGAACATTCCTCGACCAGCACGGCCTAATCGCCGAATGGAGAGCGTTCACACGGGTAAGGTTGATGGGAGACCAATGATATTCTGGACAGTTGACGCTGACTTGCAGTTTCCGCCGCACTTGTAGTGACCACTGTGGTTAGAGAAGGAAGACAAAGGCTTCCCGACTTCCCTACCCCAGGAGCGCCAAAGCGGAGGAAGCCTGGTTCTCTGAGAGCATTTATCAGATAGGCTGGTGGGAAGATGGTTAACATGTTATGATGCGGATGTCTTTTGCGAGAAGACATGTGGAGACGGCGGTCCAAGAGGAGCTGGGATAACCGACATGCTTAAGATGCGGCTGCTCATGAGTGTTAAGAGTTGAACGGAATAGTGATTCGTTAGGTTCGAAATATCGTTGTCGAGATGAACTACCGTTGCCCAATCATTACAGATGGTACAAATATTTCCACATCTCCACTCCGTGCTGTTGACTGGATCATGCCGTCCTTTCAAATCCTCCTATCCCAACGGACGCCAAAACTCACCGAACCCTATCCCAAAATTCCCAGAAATTCCATATCATGTTTCAGAACATTACAACATCGACTGAAAGCCATCCTGGTATCCCAAAAAAGCAAAACATGCTAGATAAAATGACTGGCGTATTCGAGCAAAGCATCATGCGTCATCCACAAAAACTGAATAAGCCATCACCATGATCCAAAACAAAAATATCTGTCCAATAAGTCCAAAGGCAAACACCGCTTGCCAGCTCTGGCACACCGACTTCTGCTGTAGCCATGAGCGGGTGACGTCTGACTCTCCTTTGGGCTTGGGATCGCGGCCGAAAACGTAGATGTTGCAGCGGGAGCTGATCGAGTTCCTGGGTCCCCAGAGCTGGATGGAAATGACAACTAGGCCGACCAGCCACATGACAAATATGATAAACGCGCCCACCATGACGATGCTGGGAAGCAAGCGCCGCTGGAAAATCAACCACAGAAGGAGAAAGATGAAAGCTATCGTCAGACATGCGACCGTGATATAGTAAGGGTAGTACCTGTGAGAGCTTGTTAATGGCGGTGTGCATGACGATTGAACAGGAAAAAGGGGTGGAGCATACCATGGTATTGGCTGCTCGAGAACATGCAGGGTCTCTACGAATGTTGCGAAGACGCCAATAATCAGGCATGAGGCGGCGAGCATGATAAGCATCCAGAAGTTGAGTTGGATGGCCGGCCAGTGATATCTGTGAACGCGCTCGACTACCCGGCGCTCGTAGACGAGCGAGCTACTGCCGGAAGTGACTGTCGACGCCATAATACCGGCGGGGACAGCAGCGTCGGCGACAGCGGGGTCGGTGAGAGGATCGTGGTGTTCTGGTTGGACCTGTCAATCTGAATGTCTCCAACTGTTTGGTTTTCCCTTCGTTGGTAAGTTTGCGGGGTACGATCGCAGTTTCAGTTAAAGTTAAGCACCGTTGGAGAACGTGCGACCGCAGTCGTGACTTTGCTCCCTAGCTCACACAAATCAACTGCGATGTCCCACGGGCGCTCAACAACAATGTCTTTGTTGTCGCAAGCGAACCTTCAATCTGCCCCCCCAAAAGCTAAAAAAAAAAAAAAAAAAAAACCCTCAATAAAACTTTCGTGGGTAAAGTGAAGATTCCAAACGTCAAGGGCGCAAATGCAGCCACGTTGTGGCAGCCTGCGGAGTTCACCTGGGACTGACCGGCAGCGCTATCTGTTGGGTTCCAAAGCGATCGTGGTTGCTTGTTTGCTCAGTGATCGAAGCATCCCCACACCATGGTGGAGCGAGGCTGGGATAGCAACCGTTCGGTGGCTGGGGTCACAATAGAGTTGATGCACCTGGCTGGCCTGGAAGAGTACCCAGATAAAGGGAGATAAAAGCCCATAGAGGATTTTATTGAGTGTCTAGAAGACTACTAGGACATATATTGACGGCTTTTGTCCGGTAAGACAGAGAGTTCTGTTGGATCTGTGCCTTACCACGCCTGTTTCGAATCTTGCACGTTGACGTTGTGCTTGGGATCTCCGTCGGGGGGCACGGCGGGCGGCAGCTAAAACGTGGCTTGGCGCTCGCTTTTATCGCTTGGCCGGGCCCAGTATCAGCATCCACAGGTGCGTGTCAGCAAAGAAGGCAGACGAGTTCGATTCGCTAATGCCTTGATCAAGCCTTAGAGCAGACAGGCATTTTTGATAGGATGGATTGGGAATGGAATTGGGGTATAGAATGCCGTGACACTGCGCATCCTGTCGACCGATACAGATTCGTAAATCATGGGAAACTTGGGTATCAAGTCAAAGCCGTTTGGATCGAGTGACACATCAGCATTGGACAACTCAGACATTCATCAACGTTGCCCCGCTGTTCCAAGGTCTTGGGAGTCAGCAGCAACCTGTGCGTTCCTGCGTCTTGTTCATTGCAGGCTTGAGGATTTGGCAGGCGGGGTAAGGGGAGTTTGTAGTCTTGGCAATTGGTGGCTGGACTTCGGCACCAAAGGATATGGACGGCCGGAACCTTGAGTGAACACCAGCCAAGATCGCTACAGATGTTACTTTGCTAACGTTAATGCCTTATCTCCATGCAGACTCAAGCCCTATCCTGCCGATAGGCCCATGGATAGAACCCTGAAAAATCTTTCTGTCTCATAACGATATGCCATTTTGTATAATGTTACTCTATGGGAATGAAGCATAACACTAACCCGATGTGATGTACTCCGTACTCTAACTTGATTGCAGACTTCGTCGAAAACCCATCCGTTAATGCGAAGTGAACCTGCTCTAAACTGCTTCCTTGAAAATGTCGATCCAACTGAATCCTTCCTCGCCAGAAACGTGCCGTTGAGCTTACCGTAGATTTCCAAGAATATAACAAATGAGACCAACGCACGAGGGACGCGACACTGCGCCGCGTACCTCGCCACCCCCAAATTTCACACCGCCAAGCCTCAACTGGAGGCCCTCAGAGGAGGCTCTCGCCAAGGGCGCAACGTACCAGAGAGCAACCGGTACGGATGGTCTCGTGGGCGCCAAGGTCAGTTTCAGGAGCCAACTTGGGGTTGACTTCAACCAGGTCGACAGCGACCAGCTGACCGGTAAGATGGACGGACTCGCAGATGTAGTCACCCTCGCGTAGGGTCAGGCCGCCGCGGACAGGAGTGCCCGTGGATGGCGCCCACATAGGGTCAAGGGCATCGACATCGAAGGATAGGTGGATGGGTGTGTCGGCACCAATGTGGGCCAGAGCCATCTCCATCACGCGGCCAATACCATAGCTGATGGGAGAAAACAATCAGTTAATGGATCCGAGATGTAAGGGATGAGGAGTGGAAACCTGCTTACCGATCAACGTCAAACATGCTAAAGGCCTTGACACCATTCTCGCGCAGGATCCGCTTCTCCACGGGGTCGACATCACGCAGACCGATGTACACCAGCTTCTTAATGTTCAGACGCTGCTCCTCCTTGATCCAGCCGAAGAACTCCTCCTTGTCCTCCTTAGCAAGGCCGGTGAGGAATGCTAGCGGCATGCCATGAATATTGCCGCTGGGGCTGCTCTCGGGGGTGTTGATATCGGCATGCGCATCAACCCAGATAACCGCAATCTCCTTGCCGAGCCTCTCCTTCACTGCCTGAGCGCTCCCAGCAATTGTGCCAATCGCGATACTGTGGTCGCCACCGAGAGTGAGGACCATACGACCCTCACGCGCGTGGGAGTAAACCTGCTCCGCAATACGGCGCGTCACGGCAGATACGGCACGAGGGTTCTTCATACCGCGATAAGGAGGATCCAGCTCAGGAGAGGCCGGGATGAGGTCAGAGTAGTTGTGGACTGCGTCATGACCGTGCAGGTTGTAGCCCAGATCGTCATGGAGCGAAGCGAGGAGACCGGCCTCAATCAGCGCACTGGGCGCGGCATCAACCCCAGCCTTGCCCTGACCGCCAGCAAAGCCGACTGCGACAATCCCCAGGTCGTGGGGATGTGAAAGGAATTTGGAGGGAGTCATAGAGGTGTTAAGGGGAGTGTTAGAGTCCACGGTGTAAGTCGCTGGTGCGGGGGCAGAAGTGCCATTCCCGTTGGCAGTCTTGGTGGTAGCAGGAGCAGCACCCGCAGGTGCACGGTCGTCCAACACAGAGGGGGACATCGAAATAGGTGAGTGTGTAGAAGAGTTTGATGAGAAAGTGCTATGTATCCAACTTCTTCTTGAAGACTAGATCTTATAGGCTGGTTGTTAGTAGCTGTTTTTATCATAGGAATGACATGGGAACACTGTCCAGTCTCTTTTCCCAGAACGGCATAAGTTCAGATGAATCATAGACTAGCAGGAGTATGGAACATAACTGAGCTGGAGATACTCACCGTTTTAAGACTCCTCACGTCTTTGTCACAGATGGGCCACTGGTTTACTAAGTTCAATCAGGTGCAGAATAATGCCGCCCTTTATACAAACGAAGGGCTGGCCAGGGATCGAATAAGGACGTAGATTAAAGTTATCAGCGATAGCAACGGCTGGCCGGTGCGAAGATAAGCTTTGCTTGTCTTGACGCAACAGACCAGGAGATGACGTTAAGAGATGAATCTGGTTAAAATGACAGTAAAATGGAGATGCAACGCAAGATGGCCTCCTTTATGTCTTTAACAAGCACACCCTCTCCTTCTTAACACAGCCTCCCAGATAAGGGCATCGCCGATCTTATATCTCTATCTCTATCCTCCACAAGAGCGGAAAGAAAGCAACCCTGCTGTCCGAGAAGACAAGGAATCACGTAATTCGTCTGTTTGCTACCTGCTGTCGCTGCCAGGAGCATCCTGGCAATCAGCGCACTCGGTCTTTTTTTCCACATATTTTTGCTCCGTGCCCCTTAACACGTTTCTCACTTCGAACCCTCAGATTTCTGCAGCCGGAAATTCTCGCACCGGACTATCGAGCTCCTGGTGCTCCTGGGCAGGTGCAAAAAGGTGTGTGAGTGGGCTCTCCTCGGAGTCGACTGCCGTTAAGTTATAAGTGCGATTGCAGTTAACGGCAGGAGCCTTACAAGTGTTGCGTTGCGGCGCTGCTGCACTGCTGCACAGCCCTGGCCTGCCAAGCGGATACCGCCGGCAAGAACCGGCCCACTGAGCTTTACGCGCTATATCAGGTGCCAAGCTCCCTGACGGTTGGTTGCAGTGGACAAGTGCCGGCGCCACTCCAGCTGGAACTCAGATTGTTTGGGAGCCCCCTTTTAGGCACTTTGGCGTTGTGGTGATGGAGGTGTCCCGCGGGTTCCACTCATTCTCTCTCTGCTTCTTTTCTTCCATGCACCAATCCCTGCATCACCCAGACACCGTGCCGGATGACCGATGTTATGCTGGGCACGAGACCACAGTGTTAGGTAAGAGATTTTGCCAGCACGCCCTCCAGCTTTGTGCAGAGATATAAGTGCTTGTTCACGGGGCACAAGTATCTCGGGATGAGGTGTGTGTCACGAGGCTGTGCTGGAACTCTCGTCTGGCTGGATAGGCTGAGTAAGAGTCGGTCTGAGGAGTCATGTTCGGAGTCACTGGGATCAATGGACCAAGAATGTTGACAGTTAAGAGTAATGGTGAAAGGGTTGATGAAAAGATCAGATAACTGTGTAGTCAGTCATCCCGACCCCTTGTTCTGATAATCGAGTCTTGCCATTAGACCAGATGCAATGCAACCATCCTCAACCCATAATCAACCACCTTTATGGCCTTGATAGTCGGTTAAATCCGTGTTATATTATTTTAGCTCAAGAGAAACCAAAAAAAGTTCCCGAGAGAATCCTGATCCTATCATCGAGCCAACTATCCATTCATCCACCTATGTCCCACCACAACTTAAGCCTCAAGCAGATCTCCAACCCACCCCATCACCTCTCTCCGCTCGTCACATACTCTCGCATACTCCAGCATCAACCTGAGTACGTAGATCAGCATATCTTCCTTCCGAAGCACCTTCGAGGCCCATTCCCGTCCAGCCAGCGCGATCTTCTCGGCGTTCTTATCCCTCTTCTCTCTCAGCTCCTCGTCTTTCTGCTTGTTTCCTGTGATGCTCTTGCCCCCGAGGAAGTACTCCACAATGCCGAACCAGTCTCCAAATCGGTTGTCCATCGGCACGAAATGCTTCCACGCCACGAGCCGGCTGTCATGCCACTCGCGCCACAGAGTTGCCTTAACTGGCAGGCTGGTGCTTCTCAAGAAACCCAGGTACCTCCCGCTGAAACTGTTACCATCCACGTCCGGCAGAATCTTGTAATGATATTGCTTGGCCAGATCAAGCCCCTCAACAGGCTTGAAATAGGAGCCGGTGTAGTTGCACGAATGTTTGAAGCCTTCGTATGCGCAGAAAAGATCTGTGAGACCGATGTCCGACCAGGAAGCCACCCAGTCCGGGAGTTCGTTGGGACGAGGGACTGTAGGGTATTGCTGATAATCAGGGAGGTCAAAGTTGTTGGGAAAGAAAGCGACTTGCTCGTCAGCCGGATAAGTGTAGGAGGTTTTGGAAAAAGCCGCGTCGGTGGCAAGCTTGAGGGCAGTAGCATTGTTCATAGCTACAAACCGATGACGCTGGAAGGCGCGCCAGTTGGTCTCGTTGTTGCGTCCGCCGGTGCCGACGCCGCGCCAAACGACCTTGGGGATCTTCTCGGACCAGGGCGTCGCGGCATCCTCTTCAGGGCCCATGAAACGAGAATTAGCGTCCCAGTACATTGGGGCGGGGAGGAGAATCTCGTTGTTGACAGCCAGCTTGGAGCCGCCGAACATAGGGAAGAGCGTCTTGGTAGCCGAGACGGATAGGGGCCGGACGAAGATGCCCTCGAGGGCTTGTAGGTCGGGTTGGTGGCAGAAGAGAGTGCTGAGTGTGTAATTGGCGACATAACCATCTCGCATGTGTGCCAAGGATGATGCCGGTGCCATCTGAGGCTTCGAGTAATCGGTGATCAGCTCGGCTTGCTGCGCAGGACTGTCTGGCGGGCAACCACGACGTGCAATCTTCCAATAGTGCTCTGGCAAGAAGGTAAGTCAGTTTAGCATAAGTAAGCAAGGAACACAGCAACCAGGCCTGGAACATACTATCCGTGGTTTCCCAAGCCTTGTCGGCCAGCACTTCATCTTTTTCTGGCCCTTCTCCTGGCGGAGGCCTCTTTTCAAATTCGGTGATGACGCTCCCCACGTCAACGATCTTCCTTGTTTCTGCTGCTTTGATCATGTACTCAGTCATATTCTCCCACGGAACAACTATCCGGGGCTCATCCATTGCATTCAGGGCTATATCGATATCCGGTAACAGGTGCTCAATCTGCTTGAGCATGTCCAACCAGATCTGTGTCCAAAACCAGTTGCTTTCCGTGCTAGCCTTTCCGTTTCGGACATGGATACGCATCTCGAATTCCCAGGCCGCTTTGCGAATCTGGGCTGGGTTCAGCGCCCAGAAGGGTTCCAGGTCATGGTAGATCTGGTCCCAAAACTCCTCAACGATGATCGCATTATGTTGTGTCGCAAACTTCCACCACTTGTCGAAATCGGGAGGTGGGTGCCGACCACGGCGCTGGCGATAAGCTGCAGCAGCCTCTGCAAGCGTTTTTGTTTCCTTGGCGAGCTTGCGCTCGAATTCCTCGTCGGCTTGCTGGATCAGTCGGTCGATGGGGTGTTCCCCCCGGGCATAGTTGTAGGACCATAACGACCTTGATGGAAAACGATCTGGACCGCTAAGGGCAAAGAAAAAGAGGACGAAGAAAAATGCCGGTATCAAGTACCGCAAAACGGCGGAAGGACGTCGAGGGAATGCCATGGCTAAAGAAGCATTTCGCAGATGGGGGGGGAGGGGGGAAGTTGGGGGCCGCAGGAGTCGATCGCTTCTTAGGCTAAACTTGGTCGTTTTCAGGTTTCAGGGAAGGATGGCGAACCGGATTCTCGGGCGCGTTACACGGTAAACCAGCTAGGCATGCCGCTTCCCGTTTGTGCCCGGGCTAGGCGTGGATTGAATTGGTCGTCGATGCTGTTGGCGAGAAGTCGGTCAGCAGATGTTGGAGCGCTGCCATCAACACAACCCTTGGTTTGTTGGTCAGCCATATGCAAGACTTCCACCAGGAAAACTTACCAAAGGACAAAAAAGAGCGTTTGAAGGAAAGGGAGCGAAACACAAGGCAGACGAATGAGGTGAATGAAAAAGGATGGGTTTGATGCATCTGTACAGCGCTGAAGCCCATCACACAGGAACATGGAGACGGGTGTTACGGGGGCGAAACATGGGCGCCAAGCATAACCCCTGCCCCTGGATGGACCCTGAATGTAATTTACACAACATTACGGATCAGCCTGCTAATCAACTGTGCGATAAAGCGTAAATTACATAGGGTGGACGAGTGAACTCCGAAACGAGACCGCAGGGTGATGCGGCTAAGCAGGACTGGGCGATGTGAAAAATGAAGAGATCCAAATTGCCTTAGACTGGCGAGAATTCGAGTTGCTGGCATGTCGGGTCAATGGACATCGCGGGACGCATTCAGCATAGGATCTCGTATACCGAGCTAGTTTCTCCTCAGCGCGTCCACAACGAGATATCGTTCAAGCTCACAAAAATCCAGGTCGTGTCCATGCGACTTCTGTGACAAACCGGACTCGTCAGCAGAACCAGGGGCTTGCTGGTGCAACCTTGCACCATTCACTCCGCAATTTTCTGGGTTGCAGTCAGCTTGTCTGTTTGCTTGGCTATTCAGTATCTACGCAAGTATACGCACTACTACTTGAACAATCCGATTCCATGATATCTCGATCTGCTTGGGAACAGATGAGCTCTAGTATTTGCGTCTACACAAAACCTTTTCCATACGCCGGCCTATTATCCGTTTCAGTCCAAGAGTATACATCTCTATGATATAGTAATGTACAACCGACGTCCTGTAATGTTGTCAGACTACCATCTTACATCCATTGCTAGTTTTCTCAAACGGCTCCGGCCATGAGAGCATCATCTGCTAACTCTCGTCAATGAGTAACGATAAGTGGGGCATGGGCGAACATAGAGATATGATCATCTTCTTCTGAAATCTCAGTGCTTGATTCGCCTTCGACTGTCCTCGCGACCATTTGCGCATATGTTGGCTTGAATGGCCACTCCATCCACCGCTCCAGGATATCAATCAGCTGTCGTTCGCTCAGAGTACGTGATGTTAGCTCACCACAGCCGGGCAGAGGCGATCCGCCCAGTTTGGGGTCTTTCAGAGTGTCACAGTGCGGAAAAATACCCTCAGACGCGCCTGGCCACAGAAACTCGAGCACTTTGGAGATAGGAGAGACGGAATTATGCATCAGCGCATGCAACATCATGTCAAACATGTCTCCAGACCGCGTCGAGCCAGGACCTATCTCACGAAGGATGGGAGCAGTGGCCTTCGGTTGGATATCGAGCAGCGCGCAGGGAACGTTGGGGAAGAACTCATTGGGGCGCACAACCAGCGGGTCAACATAACGGCGGTCCCAACTCAACACAGGAGGGTCTTGTTGCAAGACGTGGATGTTGTCACGGTGCAGGATGCACTCGGCGCGAAGAGACTTTTCGAGGGCGGAGACGCGTTTGTCCCAGTCCCCAGCCCATTTGAGGGCTTGTTGAACGAGTTCCTGATTGGAGCCCGCGTTGATAATTGCGTCGAGAATCTTACGGCGCTCCTGTAAGAACTCGTGGATCTTGATGCTCCGCTTTTCGGCCCATCTGGTTTGGTAAATTAGAGACTTCAGCCGTCTGAATTCCGCCGAGTCTTTATCGAAGAGACCAGCTTCATAATCCTTCTCAAGCCTTTGCATCTCGCTTTTGAACGGCCGCTCGATTTTGGCAATCGAGTCGCCGGCGACAAACTCCAATTTATCATCCCCCAACGCAAGGTAGTCGCGGAGGAACGTGGATTCGCGCCCTGGGGGAGTGGTAATTCCCTGGCTGTGCATGCGTTGTAAAGTCCGGCGCATGCTCTCCAGGTCGATGGAATAATCGCGCCGAAACCAGTTACCGCCACGAGCCTGAGTCACCTCCATTGTCTCATCTCCTCCGGCCACCTCGCATATCCAATCAGTCGAGAGCTCAGCTTCGACGGCCAGCTTCTTTCGCCGCTGAGCCGTACGTGGGAGAATGGATGCCTTTTCCATGTCGACAATCCATACGAGCATGCGGACTAGTCCGTACTTCTGGAACAATGCACCCGGTCGAATGGATGAAATAAGCTGGTGAAGCACTAGGGTCGTTAAGCTATCGAACATGCGGAATCGTTTCCTGGGCCAAAAGGACAAGTTGAGAGACACAACCAGAGTGTCGTTCCGTTGAGGTGTTTCACTCGGTGCGTAGCGGCGTTCGACCTGATGAGGGAGGTACTCGGGAGTTAGGACCTTGTTCAAATGGTCCCATACAATGCCAGAGATGGGCATTAACTTGGTACCTGGCCGCTGGAGCAGTGGGTCTAAGAGCGGTTTATACAATTCGGTATCGGGCTCGAGGAGTAGATGTGACCGCGGCCGAAGAACATCATGGAGCTTGCGGCTCCAGACACCAGCTCCAGGATAGATATCGATCAAGTCACAGCCCTCATGGCGGGAAAGAGTCGGTTTAATGTAGTTGATGATGTCATCGCAGAGTTTCTCGCTGACCACGTTGACGCGCTTATTATCGCCCTCTACAATTGCTTTCTTTTTCTTCTTGGTCCTTGGTCCAGAGGTAATGGCCCACAAATTGCTATCAAGCAAATGACGAGCTACTGAATTGTCAGCTTCGAGCATAGTGGGTGTCAATTTGGTGGTTCGGCTGGCCGTGGCCATCATTCGTCTTGCGCGCCCTGCCGCCATCGTGCAGTGAAGCGCACGAGACAAAGCTATTTTGCGCGCATGATTGCAGGCTGTGTACATTTGGAATAAAGGTAGGATATGAATAGGCAAGAGGTACGATGTGGTTGTATTAGTATCGGACAGTTTGAATGTGCACCTTGACGGCGAAAAAGTTCCTGGGGATCAGTTTCTGCCGCTCCTGACCGCTTAATCCATATCAGTTACCGTTTATCGATAAGATAAAATACAAGCCATTGAAATCGCAGTCCGAACTGTCTCCATGGCTTGTGGCCTACGAGATTATGCACATGTCCATTGATGAGATGGCTAAAGGGACCCTATCCAAATGGCTACATCGCTCAAGAACATAATGTTTATCTTTCTTCAATCCTGCGATTAACTCTTTCAAGGCTGCTACCTGTACAATCCCGTGCCAACCCTGGGGTGAACTTATATCGCTAAGCCGACTAGCAGTTTTGAGTCGATTCCCTCTTGAGATACTTCTTCCAGGGCTACTTTTTCGACCTCTTTTAATTCCAATGAAGTCAACAATCCTCCCTCTAAGTCAGGCATGGGTAAACTGAGCTCCGCAGGCAGTTGATACCTCAAAGTGCTCTGTTTCCATCCGTCCCTTTCAGAACCCGAAGACGAAGATGGAGTGGCGCTTTTGTGACTCTTTGCGCTGGGACTGGCGATTCCTCCAGGTGATGTTGATCCAAATACGGTAGGTGTTAGAAGATCCGATGCTGGTCCACGAGGCCTCGTACTCAAGTTCAATTTTATCCCTCGGAGTCTAGGCACTTCACCGTCCTCCTCTGCAGCCAGCTGCGCTAACTTCCTCCACACCCTCTCAAGTCGAAACCGCGCCCCAAATACAGGGCTCAACAGGCTCATGACACCACTTCTTCCGTCACCATCACTATGGCTTGCCATAATCACAGCCGGGTCGCACGACCCGAGTAAGGAAGTCCAGCGCTTCCAAAGTCGAAATCTGTTAGCGGCAAAGACCGCTAAGACAGCTGATTGGGGGAAGTGATATCTAAAGGTAGACGGCGCCAATAAGTGATAAACGAGGTGAGTTACAGCGTATGTGAGAAAGGCGTAGGAAGCTAAAATAAGGTGACGTTGTTGGTGGGAGGATAGCGTAGATGGGAGATGAGGGGGGCTTTGAAGAGTTAATGTTGTAGGACTGAGAGTTGAGGCTGGTGATGAAGCCATGGGAGAATGAGGCATGGGCTTGCGCTGCCGTGAACCATGACCAATAGGCTCAAAATCGCGCATGTTGAGGTAAATTAAACAGGCACGAAGAAGACCGTAGTATGAGATGTCAATGAACTCAGAGAGAGGAAGGTTTGGTGGGATCGAAGGGTTATTCTGAGCCAAACAAGCGAAACCGCGGCCCGAGAGGAAGAATGACCGAACTGAAGGATGGATGGGATACACGCGTTGTAGTCCCAATGGTTCAGCTGTGACAAGCTGATGCTGCCCGGAAGGAGCTTCCGATTTCAGCTCTAGCAGACCAATGGAGCGCGCGCGCAGCCATCGGTATAACTGGTAAGGCGTATCAGTAATGATCTCAGAATTGCGTATTTGGCGAATATCACGCATGCAGATGGGATTGCCGATGTTAAAGGCACCTAGAGGTCCGTATTTTGCGAAGGAAGCAAAGGGATCTGGTTCTGTCAGCCGGATTGCCACGAACAGGTCATTGAGCCTCATCGGCTCAGCTGCAAGCATGGCCCATTGGAACAGAACCAAGGCTTCGGCTTTTTCTCTATCGCTCATTGTGGACAGCATCCATTCGTACAAGCCGTAGAGGTCACCAGGAATCTCCTTTACCGTGTACTCGATCATCTCCTGCGTAGCGCCTTCGAGTATGGCCGCATTAAGGATGTTGACAACGATCTCGGCCCAGAGAAACAGACCACCACACTTCTGACCGATCCTCACCACCGTGTGGTTCCGCTCTTCCCATTCCGCAATGAGGTTCAGGTTGACATAGCGTAGAACATCGTCCGTATTGCGCAACTGTATAGGAATGCTAATGACGTTGTCTTCCTCGAGAATATCTGAATAGTAACTGCTGGCGACACATATGCTGAAGTCAGAGTTGTGAGAGAGCTGGGATAGGCGATTGATCATTTCGTGCACGACATTTGAGTCGACCTCGTCTTCGATGTCGATAAAAATGAACATCCGCCTAACAGGCGTCTCAATCTTGCGGCTGACATAATGATCAGCGAAGAAGGAAACAATTTGTGAATCTTCAAAGCCCCGTGGACCTTCCTTAGACTCGCTGTATCGAGCAAGTAGGTCTTTTCGAAGCTGAGAATCATGCGGAAAAAGCGCTGACAATAAGCTTCGGTATAAACTAGCAGGACCCAAGTCTCGTGCTTGGCCAGGCATACCCGCAAAGAGTACGCTACCGAAACCATCAGGCTCAACTGTTGCCCCGATGAAGCAAGCTCCTGTCTTGCCCCATTGTTTTTCGATGCGAGAACGGAGGGATTGGAGCAAAACGGTTTTTCCGCATCCTGATTCACCTTTAATCCAAAGAACCTTGTTCTTTTGCGGACCTGTCCGATAAAGCCATGCCTGGAAATCTTGATCGTCGTACAGCCAGTGGCAGGTCCCTGGGTAAGAGGGTGGTGGATGAGAACTAGAAGGCGAGCGTTGCAAGCGTAGGGCATCGAGACATTCTACGGTCTGTGAGTTTCAACGATCTGACAGTTCAGGTGTTAGGAACCTGGGTACCTTTCTCCTTGGTAGTTAAGACGTGGCGCTAAACCGAACGATATCAGCTTTTTGACTTGAAATATCGAGGTTAAAGAGTTGCTTACTGCTTCTTCTTCGATCGTAATGAAACCAGCCAGAGCCCTGACCACGGCGCGATAACCGGGATCTGTGGGTACACCAAACTTGCAAATATCGTTGTGCAGAGCCTGTATCGTCTCTGCATTTTCACAAGGGTCTCCGATGAAGCTGGATAATCTGCGAATGATCTGCTTCATGTCAGCATCGGTGCAGCACTTGATGGTCTGTGCAAAGTATCCTTACGCTCTGCGCCCGGAGCTCCGGATCCTGAGAGCTAGGGATAACAGATTCTTGAAAGGTCTTGACTCGGAAATTGTAGCTCTTCCACAATCGGTTAAACATTTGTCGACCTAACTCAGTAGTAACACTATTGATGCCACATAGGTCCTCAAGGATGGGATCGTTCGGGTCAACAGTAGGCAGCGTTACACTGACCATGCTTCTGATTGCATCTCCTAGACTGCAATATTCTGTAGCTCGGTGAGGACATCCCAAGAATACGACTGCGGACGTCGACAGCACAATTTCCTTCAGAGGGCCATCTCGTTCTGCTTCAGAAAGCCTCAGAAGCTGAACATGTCAGTCACAAGGGTGGAGGGTCCGAAGACTTAGACTAAACTGACGCACCTCTTTTACTAAAATCCCACCTGTGGAATGTGCAACAAAAATGATTGGCCTCACACGAGATCCTATGGCAGAGCGAATACTGGCAAGCTCGACGAGGAGCTGCGCCGCATGGGCAAAGATGTCACCCTGATGACGAACCGGTCGCTTGTGTGCTATCAGCATGTGATAGCCCCAAGTAAAAACTCTTGCATTGGGGCACGAAGCAGGGAGCAGAGTCAGCGGCCAGTACACATCTTTTTGGTTCCCAAAGTTGTGCCTGGTTGGCTCATGGCCTAAAGGCTTTCTCCTGGAGGATGATCTAAATGACAGCTTCCGCAGCATGGTCCTTGATCCTTTGTGGGAATCACGACGATCTGGACTGGTCGTATCGCTGTTGTCGTTGAAGTGAAGTTTGGATGTTGATTTGGTTGAACGGTGTTTCAGAAGAGTTCCGGCCCTAGATAACAAACCATCTTTCGGGTTCAAAAAAGGTTCAGAATTAGACCGATGAAGCTGTGACGTCTCCGGAGGCATCTTTGTTAACCTCCTTTTGATGCCGCGTCGGACTCCGGGATAAGAGCTAGCTGCCGTTTGGGATCCCAATTGAAATTTCCATGATCGAACCGGGTGTCCCCCAATGCCGTGGACAAGGACAATGCTAGGTTCCCTGTTGTCAATATTGGTCTTCGTGTTGGAGACATAGAAAATTTCCTTACTCAACCGCGGGATCGGCAGGGCAATCTGGCTCATAAAGGAGGGTCAAGCCAACCGGCTTGATACCATCCTCGCGGACCTTCATCGTTCTTTGAACCAAATTTCAATATGTTTGGTGGTATTTAATAGCATCGCTCAGTGTCTCAATAACATTCACGCCACGCCAGCGATAGAGACATCTGCCATCAAAAGTTCAGATTGGATTTAGGGAGATATGACCGTGGTCATGTTGGAATGATCTCATGGAAGGCGGTGCAGCTGGAAACATTTGAATTGGACTTTTTTTGGTTCTCAAGAATCATAATACAGGTACTAAGACAACCCAAAAGCTCTCTGGGCAAGAAGATGCTGCCGGCCAACAGGGCGGTTCACCCAATGCAGCAGGCCCCGGACGGTTGGTGAAACATCGTTTGTTCCGTCGTGTACTCCTTTGGCGCTTCACATTTTCGTCTGTTGTCAAAGGGGGGGACTTCGAACTTGGAAACGGGCCGGCCAAAGAAAAATAAGTTCAACCGTGCCGTCTGCTGCCTTTTTGACCACCTGAAGCCGGAAACATAACCGAATCGGCTGTTCAGCCAGGTTTACTGGAAACCTCTTGAATCCGCTTAGTGGTATGCGAGGCCCAGAGATGTCAGCGAGAGCGGGGACCACCACGCTGCCAAGCAATGTGATGCCACCTGCAAGCTATCCACGGCGTGCAGTTGAGGCCAAGCGGCTGCTGGCCTTATCCTTTGCGTTGCATCCTCGATCCAACAGACTGGCGCAGCCGCGCAAGAGCTTCCTCGCCGACGTTAAGAGGTGACAAGCAAAGGAATTGCAGAGTGTGTCTTCCACCAGAAAATTGGGAGGCCAAGCTTCCACTTACGCGGGCCGAGAGGCAGGCAAATATCGGATTGCCGGAAGGCTGAGGGTGTGCAGACTTGTCGGATCATAAAGCCGCCAAGTTCTTCATGTTAGGTGCTCGTGAGGTTGGGCGGAGGGAACTAGACTGTCCGAAAAGTAAAATCAACCGAGTAATTGCCCGACACTTTCCATTTGTCATTTTAGAGTTTAAAGATCGGAATTTATTATTCTAAAATTGTTATCCGTAGTATTCGAGGGAGATGGTAGACGCTGGTAAATTTAGAGACGGAGCAGCAACCCAGGAGTTTTTTGCTTGACCGTTGGCCCATGACTTCGGGTTGCTGACTAAGCTACCTAAGGTGGATCCAGCCCATGAAACATCTCTGGTCAGCGGGTGATTCGTCGATTTCAACAACTCGGTCCAAGTTCAAGTTGCCCACACCTTGCAAGAGCGTCCGGATGTGAACCATCGCGATGGCGCCATGGGGTCGCCTCTTTTGGGCTGTCTACCTCAGATTTGAGGTATGCTTCTATTAGCGCCAGGACAGCATGAAACCGGGATTGCTTGCTGACCTGATCGTCGAAGGACTTCCTCGTTGCCACGGTACGAGCCCCTCGATCGTTCCGTTCCAGATATATCCTGACAGGTTGTTTTCCCGTAGCTCCTCCGGAGCCCAACTTTCCACAACGGCGTGCGGCGTATTCATCGAGTGGTTCAAGACATTAGATATGGCCGTGATCCGAACGAACCGTTACGTCCAGGAGAAGCAACGGGTACGCAGTGGCGATGCATGCGACAGCTGAAAGTGAATGGCATCCAGCTAACAATCTTGACCTAGCTGATCCAACTCAGACGTCATCGTTCTTCAAGCATTTTATTGAGGAACTAAAGAATCAGGCCCGTGGAACCCCAACAGATGTTCCTCCCCCACCAAAGCCTCCTAAGAAATGAGGTTCAGGGGCAATCTCGAATACAGGTATTCGATTTTGAATCGAGCGAGGCGTTCGGGTCTATCCTTTCCGTCTTTGCATGTATGCACGCAATTTTGAGGAGTTGGCCGACTTCCATCGTCTTCCAGGCTTTTTGACTGGTTGAAACTCCCTGACTGGTTTTGTGAAATGGATTGTTGGTGACGGAACTTGCATGTATACCGGCCCGCACACACCGGCAGCACCAGTATGATGGGTGCTGCAACCAGATACCAAAGCATGCTCAACCCTCACATTTGATAGACTTAAATTACGGCCAACCAATGACCCGACTTGCATCCTATCTGATGTTTTTTGGGGAACAATCATCTGAGTCCAGGGGCTAGGGGCACGCGAGTCCAGTCTGTCACTATTCCTCAGCTTTCATTCACTCCTCAGAGTTTTGTTCAAGGCTTCTGTTTTTTTCTGTGTTCCCTAGTCACTATATCTGAGTAGATCAGCTCCAGTTCTTCACTCCAATTTGTGTCCCAAAATCATCATGCTGAAAGCAAGAAGCTAAACTCGCCCTTCCGAAGACTCCTAACATAAGTCCGATACAAAATGAGGGACTAGTAGGCATACGCCATGCGACTCACGCGCCGAATCATAAGAATCTGTCCGCTACTGGCTTTCTGTCGATCTGCCACTACCTAATTTGGCCCAGCCAACTGCGCGGGGATCATTCGAGTTTTGTGGAAGGTCCATAGTTCCATGTTTCATTAGCTGTAAAGCTGATATAAAACACGGCATCATGAAAATCGCCCATCTTGAGTCCCCCCTTCCCAGAGCATGAGTTATTGAAAACAATATATCTCGGCTAACAATTTCCGCACGTCGTCTTACATCGAGTGAACGTGGTTTTGAAACAAACATTTGTCTCCAGCTGGCGCCACGGCGAGCAATGGTGATCATAGATTAAGCAGCTACAAACTCGGCTGACCCTTTGTTCTCCATTCTCTTCCTTTCTTGTTTTTAGTCGTTTTCTTTGTGTTCGAGGAACTAGTATTTGGCTAACCACTGGCAGTAGGAGGAAAGGGGTCGGCCATTGTGGGAGGAAGAGGAAGAAGATAGGCTTGAATAAAGCCGGTGTGCACGGGGAGAATGTCCATCTAACTTGCCATGGGCGAACTTCCGAAGAGGGTGAGCAACCTATCCGCTTTCGGATTCGCTGCCTGTGTGTGTTGGGTCTTGGTCAGGAAACATATAGGGGAAAAACGCGGGCGAGTAGCGGGTTTATCTCAGGAGACCACCCCCTGTCATTGTATTCGTGGGAGTTTGGAATCTGGTGTTGCCGCAACCGATTTAGTCGGCCAAAAAACCAGATGGCGTTCAAGATATTCAAAGGCAGAGACCGTTCGGTGCCGCATCTTGTTCCCCCGCTGAGCAAGAATGGTTTGAATGTCCACATTGAGAAGAATGACCTCGAGGGGTTTAGTAGTTGGGAACACGGTATCAATTGATTAAATGGCCCTTAAGTGACCCGCGATTCATTTACTTCGGGAGAAGCAGCGGGTGCCGATGGTGAAGGACCTCCAGAGCCTTCGGACTGAGAAGACTTGCGGCGATATCCTTTTCTTTAGTCATTCTGCTGGTCTTGTTTCTTCCGTTTTACAAACACCCTGTTCTTGAAGTTGACACGGAAAATATCGTTTCTAGAAATACTCTAGATCAAATTGCAGACTGTTTCGGGAAAACGTAATGATGTTGCATAGAAGCAGCGTCAGCCAGACTGTGCTTTGCAGATTATTCAACTTGAATATCTTGCGCAAAGCTTCTGTCAGATAATGAATTTCATTCAACCTCTTCATACTCGAGTAGGACAGTATCTTTGCAGGTGTATAGTCTCATTTAGCCAGAGGTAAAACAGTCGACTTGAAGCTCGCGAAATTTGAGAGATCCAGTCGATGACGTCATAGACTCTAAGCCCACCACGAAGCCAAAACGTACGTAATGGTCACTACATACGATGCTGGGACAGGGCTAGCCATTGTTCTAGCAATGCTCAGGAGGAATCCATTATTTTGTAAAGTTTTCTGCGCAGGCGTACAATTAAGAGTAGTTGGACTTAGAGGTAACGAGAAGTATTTGGTATAAAAAAGCAAATAAGACGTACAACACCCGGGATTCGCTGGTCGTCACCGACCCAACTACTAACCGGACCCTCAGTGGCTTAACTAGGGCAGAGCGGACGGGATGCCGTGCTTTCCACTGGGTATGGTCGTACGTACCTGTCGTGCTTGACAAAGCAACTTATCAAGCTTTCGGCGTTATAAGCACGAAAGCCAACATTGACTACGTTTTGCACTCCATTACGTATCGGGTATTGCTGACACATCCTAGCTCCGTTGATGAGGCGGGGCCTGCAGAATGACGCCCGGTGGGCCTATCTGATGGAACAGTGACCATTCTCAAGGGGTTAGGTAATGTGAAGATTCTCAGAGAAGTTGAGAGATGAGGAAACAGACGGAAAAGGCCTTCGCCAACCAGGGTATATACCAAAAACGCAAGTGTATACACCAAAAGATCAACTTCTTATGCACATGCATGCATCAATGCCTCTCTCCTTCATACAGCAAAAAACTATCTCAATCCCTCCCCGCCTCAGCACTTAACCGGTGCCGGACCAGGGTTGATGTAGCTCGTCGGCGGTGGCCAATATAGCTGGAACAGGATGCCAGGGTCCGTGGCCTTGTAGGCGCCTGGGAAAGAGACAAGCTGGCCAGTGTTGAGGGTGCCGGTGCCGCCGGTAACGGTCAGCTGGGCGCAGGCGATGTACAGCTGGGCACCGCCAATGCTGGACGCACTGTGAAGCGCAATATGCTCGACACGCAACAGGTAATCGCCATCCTGGATGCAGTGGGGGATCTGGACCGAGACTTCGGTCTTGCCTGGGGGTAAGTTAGTGCCTGGCCTGTCCTTATCGTGTCTTAGGTGTGCGGAAATAAAGTCACCATACCATAGCTAGGCCACGTCAGGCTACTGGTTCCCAGACCGCCAGGGCCATCCTGATAGATCTTGAACCACACGGGTCCCTTGCCGTTGAAGGTGGCAGCTGTCTGGCCTGCGGGAACCTTGGCCATGTAGAAATGGAGAGGCCCTGGGTGGCCGATATTGCTGTCGACTGTGAAGGTGACGTTATTGCCGGCCTGGACGGTGATTGTCTTGGGCGCAGGGGTGCCGGGGTTCTTCTCAAAGCAGGTCATCTCCTGCGAGGTGACGTCCGTGACGGGGCCATGAGACCAGTGGTTGGCAGTGAGACGGACTGTTTCATACTCTCCCGAGAGGACGCCATTGACCTTGGTTCGTGGGAAGGTGTCTTGGGTGTGTTAGCTCCAGTCTTAGAAGCTTGGGGCAGGTAAACATACAATGAGCTTGAACACCCACCACAGCCAGCAGGGCGAGAGGAGTAGTGAACTTCATAGTTCAAGGCCTTAACTCGGGTTTGCTGAAGGTTTTACACCACTCGAAGCCACCTCTTCCAAGGCTCAAAGCACTGTATCATCTCTTTGTTCCTACACTACAGGGGTTGAGTTCTGCTTTATACTTGCGCCAAAGCCCCTGCAACCCATGAGCAGCTATTGCATCCCCGGATTTCCCCCTGCGAACATCCCATGGTCCCGGGTTGCGCTTGCAGCTGTGTTGGTTCCATCCACCGGCAAAATTGAAGCGTTGGATTAGAAAGCAAGCGGAGATGCTCATGATAATGTTACTAGATTTATTAGGAGTGGATGGCTATTAACAACGCCCAGAGCTCCGATGTGTTGTAACTGAGGTGGGACCATGGAATGTGTAGTGGATATATGTTAAGCAATTTGTTCACACCCAACCTGAGCCTGGGGAGATGATACGGCGGTATTGTTGACTCTCAAATCCCGGGAATTGGCGAAGTAACAGGCAGACGCAATGCCGATGTACCGGTATGCCCCCCGTTGATGAGAGGACTAGCCTCGGCATCATGAAGTTGTGCCACATAGCTTTGAAACAACGATATGTTACTAGTTATGGACAGGTTGGCGAGTCTGTGTGATTTGTGCGGCAAATAGGAAAGAGAAAGGCAGTATCACTCAGGTTGCAATCGCGTTGTGGTCTCGGTACCAGATCTTCCATGATCCCCATTCTGGGGTATGTCCCGATGTGACGGTCGCTGTGGAAGCGGTCAATCGAAGACCCAACTCTTCATTGCGTGATGTGACGAGAGGAAGGGTCCATTTACCTTGGTATGACACACGAAACACAACATCAAAGAGGTGATGCGAGGTGTCTCATGTGAGGGAAATGCCCATGGTGCTACATTTATGCTACTAGTATGGTGATCTGGGACTAGTACCCCGTGATCTAGCTACAATGATAAAGATAATCGCCAATATCCAAACCTTCACCAGCATACGAACCTCCCAAGCACCCGCCGACCATGCCAAGTCTATCTGTTACCCAACCATCTATCTTCTAATTTAGGAGAATGTCATATCCATCCCTATTAATCCGCACCTGATCTGTTAACCCGTATTTTCGCCGGAACAGTTCGAAGATGATCAACCCCGCGCTTGTGCTGGGCACCTGGCGGATAGTATTCCACCAGAAACCCCGATACAACCATCGTCGCATGCCCAGGCCAGTGGCCTTGGCTTCGGCAACGCAGCGGTCCCATGTGACTTTGTAAGCGTCACGATTTGCTTTTAACGTTTTTCTCCAGTTCCATGGGGCCCACGGCGATGACTTCGACGACGAGGAGGTGCCTCCGGAGTAACTGGGTCGTCGTTTGCGGAAGCGTCGAACCTGCTGGTCTAGGGTCTCTAACCGCTCCCAGTGTTCAGCCTGAACATGGGACAGGGGATGCAGCACGATCTGTTGGGCAACCGAAGCGCTCATGCCGGCAAGAAGCAGGAAAGCTGGCTCGATGGCGTAGTGTGGACGAATAACTCTCGGCATACGAGGGAGGTCGTCGTCCTCAGCCCCGCTGCTGCTGCTGCTGCTGCCATCTTCCAGTGGGCCAATAATCCCAGGAGGGGTAGGCCTCTTCTTCACCAGCATGATGATCGCATCCTCATTGAGTGATCCGTAGTACCACCGTACAAAGTTGTAATATCCCTGCGCTTTGACGTACTCAAACACGCTGAAAAAGACGGCGCTCCCTAAGCTATCTTTAACGAATGAGAGTGCCCAACCAGCAAAGATGCCCCGCAGACCAATTTCCTTCAACTTGGCCGCACTAAACTCCCACATGCTCTTCGGCTTCTGGCCATCGCGTCCCACAAGCCCGGGAGCCTTTCTTCCGATCGTGGGGTTTCCACTGCCCGTCATGCCCGCCGCAGACCGGCCCACGTCCCATCTCGCCTGCACAGCGTCCAGCGGCGCAGCCACCACGCTTTGTATCGCACCTGCTACTAAGCCTGCAGCAAAGGTGTCCCCTGGTCCTGGCGGGGGATATACACGGCGGCTGGGAATAGCGCTCTCGGGATGCAAATACCCGAGCACATGCAGGTAGGTGGTGTAAAGGAGGGCGCCGACACCAACGTTGGCGATCAGAGGGGGTAGGACCTGGTCAGGCACAACACGCCAGCCGTAGTGCCGGACCGCAGAAGCTAGCACACCGGGAGTTGTAGCGCGCAGACGGGCCCGAATCCAACGGAGCCAGCTGGTTTGGGATGAAGACACAGAGGAAACCGTTGAGGATGGGGAAGAGGAGGGTACAGTTTTACCGCCTATGGAACCCCGCCTACGGCGCCGGCGCTCGGCGAGCTCCTGCTCTTGGAGGGCACGGGCATAGGCGAGATAGTCGACGCGTGTCCGGAAGAAGGCCTTGACGGGAGCTCGAAAATAAAAGGCGATGGCCTGCGAGGTGAGAGCGCGGACGGAGGCCGCTGAGGCAGCTGTTGCTGCATTTGTGGTTGGAGGGGTCTTATCGAAGGTGGGAGGGTCTGCCCCAGGGGGAACAACTGGAAGGATTCCAGGGAAGTTCGGTTCAGAGAAGAGTGATGAAGGGTTAGAATGGGATGAAATTGAGGGTGAGGGTGAAGGCGGAGTTGAAGATGCAAGGGTGTCTGATGGTTGAAGAGGAAGTGGTGGTGGTGGGGGGGATGCCCATAATGAGGGAAATGCGGGTAAAGAGGACCCCGTATCACCTGCGTCGGGCGTGTTTTTGCCTGACATGGTGGTCGCGCATGTTTGGTTGACGATGTGTGCTGCGCGAAGTTTTAAAGAATCACTGCTGATGAAGCCCAAGATCAGAAAGATTGATGTACAGTCGCGGATCTTGTCTTTGGGCTGAACTTCGAACCGACCCGACGGTGCGGTTTCGCGCCGGCTCAGCCGCGCGGATGGAGATCCGGGGACAGTGGGGCGGCTAGTGGGGCAGGCGTTGAACAGCTGGCACCAGCTGGAGACCTCTTCAGTTTCTAACGGAAACTGAGGGAACCCACTAGCAAAAAGAGGTCGGATTGACCGAGCTTTGGATCTTGAAGCTTAAACTGATGTCAGGCAAGTTTGGGCTCTCTCAGCTTTCCACGTTTTGAGGATCATGCCCCAGAACCCCCACCTGAGAGCGGTCTTAGCTGCGGATGTCTTTGCTCGGAGCCCTTGTCACGCTAGTCCAGGGTTAGGGTTCGGGAGCGGCAACCCCAGTGCCCAAGACAACTGGTTGACATCCACCCGAAAACGACTTATCCTCAAGAGCGCGTGGCTTGAGCCGCCTTCGCCAGGTTTTCAATCATGACTTCATACAAGTTATGCCAGGTGATGAGAACCTTCGAAATGGATAGGGGATGTTCCAAGCTTGGCTTGGTGCTCTGCGCTAAGATCGAGGAATGGGTGTTCACATCCCAGCTTGAGCTTCCCCCAGGTTTCACGAACGCCGACCCCGGAAAACCCAGATCTCAGTCTGTAAACGCTCTCATGAAATGCGGGGACATCTTCCACTCACCTGCCCAAAATATTTTTCAAAATGAAATATTCAGATGTTTGTCCAAGGTTCCTCGTACAGGGGTCTAGGGGCAGGTTAGAGCCGAACAGGCCAAAAGAGGATCATATGCCGACAAGGTCTTATCCTCAACCGCCATTGGCTCGCCATCCCCAGCTGGATGCAACTCCAGACCGCTCCCGCTCGATCCAATGATCCAACCAGAGAGTTCATGCGCATGTTGCGCGGAGATTGTGCATGAACGTGCATGCACCTTCCAATTTCCTCCATGAGGCACCCAAAGGTGCTTGCCAACGCGATTGGCCTGCCGTGTTCAGCCTTGCGACGGTGGTTACCTTCATCGACAGGACCACAACAACCTATCGGGAATCGATACGTAACGGGCGCACTGTCGTCAAGTGAATAGGGGTGTCGCCGATGACCGGATGGTCCCGTTATCGAGACTGACAGCAACCCTGTGGAGGAGGGAAAGATGATATAAGTTAGATGAGAAGCACTTCTCTCCTTCTCGGAGAATATCATCAACTTAATCATCCCGTCGTTCGTTACCAATCAGCCACCCGCACGCCGTCGGATATTAATGCCCATATTATTCGCTCTCTTTTCTCTACATAACCGTGTTAAAGATGAGAGCTGTCTCTCCCTCCTCCACGCTGTTCGTTGCAGCTCTCACCACCCTTTTGTCTCCAGTTCACTCCAGTCCTTTGAAACTCCTTCCTCGGGCCCCCAGCCCGCCAACGGCGCTCCCTCAAAACGCCACACTTGCTGACCTACAATGGCAACCCTCGCTTGACTTTGATACCGACGGCTGCTACAACGTGCCGGCCATCGGCCCGGACGGTACGATCGCCCAGGGTCTACCCCACCACTTTACCGGATATGCAACAGACTGCCGGGACGCCTCCGACCTCGACAACAACAACGTCTATGTGCGCAACCGCTGCAACAGCGGCTGGTGCATCCACCTGTACGGGTACTACTTCGAGAAAGACGTGGCGATCAAGAACTTTTTGGACACTGGCCACACCCACGACTGGGAACATATCGCTGTCTGGGTCAGACAGGAGACGGGCCAGGCAGAGTATGTGGGTGCATCGCAGCACGGCAACTACGAGATTCGGCACGCCAGCAGTGTGAGGTGGGACGGAACCCATCCGAAGATGGTGTACCACAAAGATGGTGCGGGGACGCACTGCTTCCGGTTCGCCAATGCTGCAGATGACAATATCGAGAACCACAAGGGTGTGTGGTTCAGGGGCGCGCTCGTGTCGTACAACGGGTTTCCCTCGGAAACGCTGCGGGAAAAGCTTTTTGCGCACGACTTTGGGGCTGCTACGATCAGTATCAAGAACTCGACGTTCCCGAATGCCATCACGAAGGCGAAGCCAACTGCTATCGCTTTTGATGTCAATCTTGATGTTGGTTCCCCCGGTTGGCCTGGGCAGTAGAGACGGCGGCCGAGTTTGGAGAAAAGAGAAGGATAAGTGGGCTGGGACCACGGCGTTTTTGGAGATAGCGGTAATGAGTTTTGGACATTCTTTTGTGTATATTCAGCATCGTACATACAGAGATACCTGGCGTATATGCTTGCCGGCATGCCTTATAGAGCGTCATCAAGAGCTGTCTTTGGGAACAGACCCAGCGAACGCGGAACAAAGCAGTTTAATCAGAATGAAACCATGTATGTTTCTATTTCCAAACAAAGTAAGCCTGCTGTTCCGAGCTATGATGCTTATCTATGCTTTCCCTCCATCCGATTTCTATTCTTCTTTCATTTTCCAGTCTTTCCAACTCTTCGACTTCTCCTTGATAAACCTTGCCAACCTCAAGTGCCCCATCCGTTCGTCATAATCTACTTCCATATCCTCTTCGTAGAACTTCCGCGCCCCTCTTATACAGATGGCAACGTACTTATCCCTCTCTTCCTGGGTGAGCCCAATTTCGCACACAGCACCGGCGTGTTTGAGCAACAGTACAGTCACCAAAATACGAGACATTCTTCCGTTTCCATTGCCAAATGGGTAAATGTTGATGAACTGGTGATGACAGCAAGCTGCACGCTCGAAAGGATCCATTTCTGTCTTTGTATCTTTCTTGAGATGAGCTATGAACTCCTTCATGTAGCCTCGTACAGCGCTGGCACGCAAGCAAGGCTTGACTTTTGGCTGATTTTCTGTCTTACCATACCGAATTGCGATTTCGAATGTCCGATACTTGCCTGCCTCCACTTCCTTGTCGAGTCCCTTGTATAGAATCTGATGAGTTTCGGAGAGGAGCTTTTCCGTCCAAGCACGATCGTTTATCACAATGTGGATAAGAACATGAACAAGAGCTTGAATGTGCTGGACGACTTCGCGGATGGATTTTTCGACTTCGGCAAGGTTGGTTGGGCGGTTATTGGCTTTCAGATGTTCCACAAGCTGTGAAAACGAGAACCGATTAGGATTATAGTCGTGGATGCCAGCAGGGTCTGCGGATTTGCTGAGGAAGACATCTTGGCACATGCTAATTGTAATGTCAAGGCTGGACCCAGCGAACTCAATCATGTTGGAGCCATATATCATCCGGGCGATAGATTGTGTCAACGAATGTGACAGTTTCTCCTGAGACTGTAAATCCAACTTGGGCCAGTCTTTGACGATCTTCTCCAATATGGAATTGCTTAGTGACTTGTCGGATGAAGCCATATTGGGTCTTTATGTATGCTGGGCACGAAGATGCAGATAGAGTCTGAAACCCAATGTCCAAAAAGCAATACTTCCAAGCGGTCCTTTGTTCAACTGCACTAGCATTTTGGGACTACGCATTGATGGAAAGCACAAACGACTTTCAAGAGATGTGGCCACTTGCCATGTATAATCAGGCTTGGTAAAGGATGTGATATTATCCAGAGGCACAACTCAAGGCAACATCTACCTTGATAAGTGATGAATCTCCACTTACCTCGCTCTTCCCTCGTTCCCAGCATTCATAACGTCATTTTATAAGGAAAATATCTGCAAAACACCCCCATCTATATTATTATCCTTGTCGAAATTGGTAACTCCTCCATGACAACCTCGGAAAAGGAGTTGGAAGAGTTAGGAAGATCAACCCTTTGCTTTCGAAGGAAAAAAAGGGGTAGATGACCGAGTAAATAATATCAACTTGCTCAACAGCATCCATTGGCTGCGCTGAAGCTTGCTCATCAAGCTGCTCCAGCTTCTCTACGATTGGTTCAGGCAGTGGAACTGAGATTGAGATAATGCTAAATATAGGGTTACATTAGAGAGGTATCGAGAGCAGAGCGTTAAGATGACGAGCTGTTGGTTTTGTAACTGGGCTTGTTGGACCAAAACATCACCCGTTGCAAGCACACATCAGTCTCAAACCAGAGTGAGGATTGGGGGTCGAGTATGACTGGCAGCAGAGTCATGGAAGTCATCGACAAAGACGAAGCCGAGGGTGAGATAAGGGTGAGCTAGAAGAGATTGAACTCTAGTAGGTCAGTGAGTGCAATACTGGTGTCAAGCGAGAGAGTTGGGGGTGATTATTCCGAATAGTGTAGTGCTCCAACACCCCTGATACATTTGGCTACCTTTGTGATTTAAGGGTGAGTAAACAGTGCACTAGCCACAAGTGAACCAAATCTCACCTGGATTGGCTTGATATAAGAGACGTCATGTGAAGGGTGATGAGCAAAAGCATGAAACCATGCTTGGAGTCTCTTTGACTCTCTTTGACCAATAGAGGCTATTGTGCAGGCTTTTAACAGGCGTGACCTGGGTTTCCAGGTCTGGATAATACGGAATGTGAGTCTGCCTTCTTGGAACTATTTGATATCCTCCATCTTCATAAGAGTTCAGAATGGAAATATCTAGATCAGAGAATAATAGCATGCCACAGCACTTCGGATGCTGCTATTCATCAGAGTACGCGGAAGTGTGCTTCCGTGGGGCAAAGCGAACAGAGCTGGCAGAATTGTGGACCTCTTATGGCCTTGTGTATTAGGCTGGCGAAGATCTGCGAAATATGATCTTGGTTCTGTTGATAGGAACCGATGTTTCCCCTTTTTTTTTCTGTCAGCTGCCGGCTTTGTCTTGTTGAGGGTTCATCGAGAAAATCGAACAAACCAACATTCTTCGACCTTACTCTCCAATCATCGAACATCAAGCATCTCCCTCCTGGAAACCATGGAGCAAGGAGATATCTCGACTCCATCCGGTTTGGAGCAGCATAACAACGAAGCTAGGGATCTCGTCAGCGTCAGCGCCCGTGGTCGAGGGATCTACAGGCCTCAGAACCTGAGTACTCCGAATCATATTAGTGACCGAGCGGGTAGAGTCATGGAGTATCCTTCGAAAAGCCGCGACTGCTTTGCAGGTTTGGGCACGACCAGTCAGTCGCCCATCCGTCTGGAAACTCTAAGGGCGAAATTAGCAGTTACCGGGTTGACTGGTGACAATAAAATGTATGTCGGTCGCAGCACCGCCGGTCGTGCTCAAGCCAGCATTTCCGACCCAGAGAACACCAGCTGTCCGATCTCAACCACGAAGACGCTGGTTATTCGCCCCCAGGCACGCGGGGCTCCAGCGATGTGCGGCAACGGGGACCACGTGTAAGTTGCAGCCCAACATGATTTCATCCCAACTTTCTGTCGAAGCGTAGCTGACGCGATCTCCCATAGCAACGACCGCATTTGTTACATACAGGGGCAGCCGGATCGAGGCGTAACTGGACTACTGCCTTCCTCACCAGATCAGCGCGTGGGTGAGGGGGATTTAGAACCTGAGGAGGACCGTTTGGACCCATATAAAAACCCAAACCTCTCCTGGGTGACCACGCTTTTTGTTCCGCCAGACAATTCTTCCGATTTTGCGACTGAAGACAAGCCTCCCACTTTTCCGTCGCTCACAACATCTGCCACCATGAGCAGCTCAACCACAAGCAGTGAGTTCCCGACCAATTTTTGGAGAAATTTCCGCGTCTTTCTATCACGAAGTCGAGCAAAAGTCACAAGTAACGCTTGACTGACGGCTTTCTGTCCTAAAGCGTACACTATTCCTTCTGGGATACTCGCAGTTGCCTCAACCACAGTCACGGAGCATTTCCTGGCCAATGTTGGCTGCATCGCCCGCGCTCATTGGTACGTTCGAAGAATTCCGTCGTGTTACTCTTCGATTTCAGAGCCATATTTCTCCGACTTCTATTTAGTTGTCGCATTTCCTTCTCCAAATCTCGGGCCACGGTACTGACATGCTCGGTTCCAGTCTTTCCGAAAAATCTACCACTGTCGTCACGTCTTTCCTCACCACGCACGAGACGGCGCACTCCTCGCTCAGGAGCCTCACAACCCGTCTCGTGCCCGCGCGCTACTCCGTTGCAGACTACTCCGGCATTCAGTCCTGGCTGCGCCGCGGCCGTGGATTCCCGGCCGAGCACCATTTCTTCGGCCCCCAGACTCGCATCCCCGTCATCGCCCAGGCGGTATGCGAGATCGCTGGGGCCCTCATCAGCTTTGAGGGCGGCGCTGGTTTGGCCGGTCTCGATGGCCATAAGAAGGCCGGCGAGAAGCACGTTCGGCTCTTCGTGGCCAACATCGTCGAGGCCTGGCTCGAGGCCTGGTATAATCGAGCCGATATCGGGCAACGCAGGGAGGGCTGGCGCAATTGGGAGGTCCTCGCTACGCAAGGTGATCGCAAAGTCGCTGCTAAGGCCAAGAGCGAAGAGGAGGTTCAGGAGTAGCTGGCTCGGCCAGAGTCACCGTTTTTGTTGTCGGCGGTTGCTCGGGTGGTGAATGGGGAATGGTGTTCGTTACAGGAGCTGGGACAGAACGGTATTGGGAGTTATGACATGGGATGATACCCCTTTTCATTTACGATAAGGAGCGGATAGTCACGGTTCGCAATGGCGTTCGGTATTACTTACATATTGCATGCTTTTTCAGTAGCGAAAGGAACATGTTGCCTTCGGGACTCAGGGAGAATCTGCTTTGAAACTTTGTGATGTATGGTGTCAGCTCCGTGCTTGTGTCAACGTGTCTACCCCCATGAAGCTACTTTATCCATTGAGGCAGTCCTCAATGTAAGTACGGTGCATCATGTGTAAAGTTCAAGCCAAGCTTGATAGAGTTCAATTGAACTTATCCTTGCCTTTCGACATGTTGGTGGATGTTAGACCAGGCCAAGGGATTGGAACAACAGAGGGAACTGCTGCAGTGATCTTGGACTTTTTAATCAGCCATTTTCCAACCTGCTGGTACGTACGACCATACCCAGTGGAAAGCACGGCATCCCGTCCGCTCTGCCCTAGTTAAGCCACTGAGGGCCCGGTTAGTTGGGTCGGTGACGACCAGCGAATCCCGGGTGTTGTACGTTTTTTTTGCCTCTTCTCTTTACACTCTCTTTTTTGTAACGTCTTTCCTTTGCAACAACTCTGTTATGTATGAACATCTCGAAACATTGGACGGCAAGTCGTCTAACGCTTGAGAACATTAATACCATAACAGGCTCCTCTACGGAGAACCTCTCCTAGCGACTCCGGATGACTGATAGATCGCGCTTGTTGAGGACGGATGTTCCTAAAATTACACCAAGCATTGTAGGTTGCACTCGCCAAGCATGCTGCACAAATGTATGGCAGAATGGAATTAACTGGCAGCCTTTTGCTACCCAAAAGATGCCAGACGGATGAGGTTGCATAAACCACATGCCCGGGGGGCCAAATATGCATATTGGTCGCTTTAACAAGGCATCCCAGAGGGTGCTCTCGGCCAGAGGACTGCCAGAGAGATTTTCTGGTGGCAAGTTACTATGAAATTGAAGGATCCAGACTACTGTTTATGGCACGCCGGTGGTGTTAAGACCATAGAATTAGAATCAGTGTACTGAGTGCGAGATGCTTGTTGCGGCTCGGCTACCGTGGGAATCCTGACCGCCAGGCAAGGCATCCACAGCTTGCAGCCTGAAAAGGTTCCACGGTTTTTCCGAAGCGCGTGGAGATCCCCGCAAAAATGTTTCCAGGAGGGTTAAAGGGTTAAGGTTAAGGTTTGTTCGAGACGACAAGGGACAAGCCCCTGATCAAGTTCGGCGTTGAACTGTCGTTGCAAGCTGGAAAAGCGGCGCAGAATTCCGCCGCCTTACGAGGCTGCGATCCCATAACTACCCCACTTATTATCTTTGATCTTGTTGCTGATTGGATGCTGCAACTAACACCTGCATGCGACCTCTTGGCAACGGCCTGCTTGATCATTGTCTCGAGCCCTACAAGGACTTGCACGTAACCGCCAAGCGGACCAGAATTATGAAAACGAGATACTAATGCAACAATAGAATCCTCCTCGATCCAGTCATCCAGGCAGACGGGTAGGCATCCCTAGATTATCTGGGTTGACGAGGCTTTTCGCCGGCTAGGTGGATGGCTCCCTGACCCCTGAGCACTACAGCAAAGCGACGAAAATGCGGACTTACAAAATGGCACCGAGACAGGTCCTTCTTGAACCTGCTCTCTTCTTTTGCTTTGCGCCTCGAGCCGATCACTTCGCCGACCTTGGATCAAACGCAGAGTTCGACTGCTCAAGCCAGGGCTGAAGCTCTCTGGCTCAGTCGACAGGGGAATGATACCGCCAGACGACATAGAAAGATTGGCGCTCCCTTACTTGGCTATGCTGCGGTCACAACGATCGTGGATGGCATCCTTTGCCATCCTGGGCGCTCTGATAGCCCAGCTGCCGGCGGTTTTCTGCCAGACAACATCAACAAGCGAGGAACCATACTGGACCATTACAAGCTACCGGATCGAGTCTGTTAGCACGTCGTACTTCACCTACGACGGAACTGTGTTCACTGCCACGTACGGCCGCATGTATGAAATTGCTCCCACTGCGACCCCGACAGCGTCACCAACGTCGACGACGACTTGGAGCTACAGCGACTATCTCATTAAAACATTATACCTCCCTCCTGGTGCCGTCCCGGAATCCGACATTGTCAAGTCGAGCACTTACACAGCTGGCGACAACAGAGTCACAGACTTCGTTGTCGAAGTCACCTACACTGCTCCATCATCCTGTCCCACCCAGTTTGCCATCACAACTCTTACCGAGGTTTACATCCCAATAGCCGTCAGGCCTCATTTGACTCCTACGAAGACAGTCACCGAGTCTGGATATATCACAGTCGTTAGCGCGTACCTTAACCCCACTGACGTGCCACCTAAAGAACTCAATCCCACCAACGACTGGAAATACACGAAGTACATCGAGCAATGTAGCCTTCCACCGGCATTCCAGACAGGTACGAGCAGCTCTGACGGCGGTAGTAGTGGCAGCAGCAGCAGTGGTGGTGGCTGGCGCAGTGGCACCACAACTCAGGTTTGCTCGGTTCTCACTGGTTGCACAACTCTGCGCACTTGGATCATAGTGGTGGCCACTCTCATCCCAGCTCTGTTCCTTCTGGGATTTGTCGAGTCGTTCCTCTGGTTCCGCCGCTTGATGCTCGGAAAGTCTGCACTTCGTCTGGGCACGGTCTGCTGGTGTTTGATCTCTCTGTGGTTCATCCTGCTCACTCGCAAGCAGAGTGCTCGGAGCGCCCAGGACCAGGCAGTTCTCAAGGAGAAGTGGGCTGCCCTCACTTTCGGGCAGAAGATCAAGTATTGGTTCAAGTGGGGCTTCCGGCATCGCTACCCAGTTGACCTCCTTGGTGATCCGGACGCCCCGGCGGCTCCCCCAGCCGATGCTACGGGTGCCGTTCCTCATCCTTCCGGTCCTGGCGCGCCGCCAACCCCCAGCATGAATGGTGAGAAGTTCGACAACCAGACTCCTCCTCCGCAATCTCAGAACATGTATATGCCGCCGCCTTACAGCCAACACCCTCACATGCAACCCGGCCAGTCATACCCCCCTCCGCAGCCGGGCCAGCTGTATCCAACTCCCTACCAAGGTGCTCCTCCTCAGGACTATGCAGCTGTCACGGTTCAGGGATACTGGGCGCCGGCGACGCAGCCAGGACAGCCGATGATTCCTCCGGTCGCCGAGATGCCGGGCTCTTCGACCCAGCCGTCTGAGCTTGATGGGCAACAGCAACAATGGTCCCAGCCACCATGCGCTTTGGGCCCGTCTTCTGCGCCAACAGGTGTTGGCACCATGGCTGTGTCACCTATTAGCCAGCCGACCCCGTCGCCCCCGGTAGGCCAGCCTGGCTACTTTGCTCCTCCGCCGCCTCCTGGACAACAGGGCCAGCAGGGTCAAGGTTCCCAGTGAAAGGGGGAGAGACCTGAGTTATAGTTCTTTGTTCACACTTGTGCCCGCCTGGTGACAACGCCTTTCTTTGGAATTTTCCGTTTTGCTTGATTGAATGCCATATACCCCCATTCTACCACTGGCGTTCTCTTTGTCTATAGTCAGACAGGTCTCTTTGTATAATGTACCGGATTTGGGTGTAATGTTTTGCAATAAGGGAAAGGGTTAACGCAGCGAGGGTTAGAATTCAGGAGCTGTACATTCATCTGGCCGCCGCCAACAGACGTCGATGTTTCTCTGTCCTCAACTTTTAGCTGAGTTTATGCAATTCGGATCAAGCTGTCCCCCTTCAGTCATCTTGGGGTTTGCGGAGGACATCAGAGAGCGCCAAGTGAAGGATGCAAATATAAGTAGTTATCCTGAAATCTAGCTGTGCTATAGAGTCTGTAACAGCATAGCCTCAAGGATGCACAGTATGTAGCATACTGGCAATGGAATGTGCCAGTCATATAAATTAAATATAACTTCATCAACTGATCCTTGGATTTGCAGATCCCCCATGCAGCTAGTAGAGCCGAGGTCGCACAGGCACACTTCAGAACTTTAACTACCTATAAGCATTTTGCATCCCGCAGTCAGACTATCTATTTATTGCTCTAGGACTTGTTCCCATATCTTAACCTAAAACGCATCGGTATAGCTTTGCAAAGAGAAATCGAAACAATAGCATTATCATACTTCTTTTTTGACCCTCATTAGCTGCATGGAAAAACACTTCATCCAAGTTTGCCTGTCAACCCAGGCGAGTGACCACATAGTCGGGATCTCCCCTCCTTCTTGGGCAATGAAGATCTCCCTATCGTTTATGTGCTGTAACCTGGGATCGGATCAGAGAGTAGCATCGAATAGCTGGGTAAGAAGATCCGGGAAAAATGCATACCAGAACATATCCTCTCGGCAAAATTATCACACTGTTTGTTTACATCATAGTAACTCTTCTTGAAAGGTTAGTTCCCCTAAACGGGTCAACATTCAACCGTTCGCGTAAGACAGTAAAGAGCATGCATGTTAAATAAAAAGAAGTCTCCTGAGTTAATAACCTGATAATCTTGGCTCAATAACCATTGACGCCGTGACAAAAACTCCTGTATTAGGCTGCATAATTCAGTCGCACCTGAGGCTTCGTTTAAGACTTCAGCCATGGTTCAATCCACCCAATATCCTTGCATCTGGTTATCTTTGGTGTTGGGTATAACACTGACCCCTCTTCAAACCTCGCCACAGTGCCATATTTGGTGATATCAGAGTGTCAGAACTGTCGGAAGGACCGTCGTGAACGCCTAAATCGTCACCGAGATCAGCGAGGGGATGAGGATGTGATGGGAAAAGATCGAGAGCAAAACAAGCCTTAGAGCAAAGATGATGAGGGCGTGACGAGGATATAAACCCCAGGAGAGTCCTCGCCATCGGACCGAATCTCGTCACCAACAAGCCATCGAGTTAATCGGCAGTCTTCCTAACAGCAAGTTCTTCCACAAGTCGCTCTCTCGAAACAGTCACTTATTCTTATCCTTTCCATCATTATCAAAATGCAGCTCAAGACCCTCCTGACCATCTTCGCCGCCGCTGCCATCGCTTCTGCAGCTGCCCTCCCGGAGCCCGAGCCTGTTGCGGAGCCGGCTGCCGCTGCTCTCAGGAAGTGGACTGCCGAAGGCGGGTGCAAGATTGACTGGAGCAGGCGCTGCAATGCTCGTATGTTTTACCCCAGTTAGATGAACCACAAAGTTTCTCCTCCACCTCATTGGCTTTGTAAGCATTAGGACTTCGAAACTGACAATGCTACATCACAGAGTGCAAGGGCGAGGCCATCAACAAGGGCTACAAGTGCAAGGACGTCGACTCCGACATCATTGGCGGCCCGACCAACTGCGTGCCCGGCTGGAGTATCTGCCGTTGCACTTGCTTCTATTAAACTCAACTGTTTGGCCAAATGGGCATGGGTACTAAGGTGAAAAGTTGTGTTGGCAAGTGTGGAGAGATGTCGATGTTTACTTTGTAGTTTTCTTTTCTCTGTTGACAAAGCAGGAAAGCTGGACGAGGAAGTATCGAGGGATGATGAAAATGAGCAGCGTAGTTTTGCAGAATAATGTACGCAATAACTGTGCAAGTCCATTATTTCTTCTTTGTTAACCCATGTATCGCTTGTCATTGGTTGTAGTCTTTATCATTTTGTGCTTGTTCAGCAGTGATACCTTTCCGAAGAGTGGCCTCGGCAACGCCGCAGCAAATATGAAGTTACAATCAGCGAATGTTGCAGTTTACTGATAGACTACCTATTTTGTAGTATTCTGGTTGAATGGTAGGTTTGAAGTTTAATGTCATGCTGAAAAAGCTCAAAGCGACAATCTGGTTTCTAGTCAATAGGTCAGGGACACTTTCAAGAGACATTCCGAACAAAATACCATAAGTAAAGCCTAATTAAAAATGACATCTTATGGTACAGTATTTTGAAGTCTTGACACTTTTATGCTGGTAAGTCATGCACAGCCCTTCACAAACTTCAATCCATGCCCACTCTTCAAGTCTTAATGTCCGGATACATCAACGCTATTGTGGGTTGAACAAAGATATCCCTTACCACTCTTGAAGAACTTCCGCATATGGTAACTAGCGACGGCCTTTGTCTATCCTGAAGCTTGACTAACGTAATGGGGAAATCTGTCACCTACATAGTTGTGAGTGTCCTCTATCCCGTGTGAGAACAGACTAATTCTCATCGCATCACTCTTCCCTTCAATTCTCCACAAGTATTCATTTGTAATTGCTACTACCATGGCACTAGAGGCCTCAAAGGCAAAAATTTTCTTTAACAATCCAGGAAATGACAACCTTGAGGAGCTTTCCATGCTTCTCTGGGTGCGTGAATTGGACACGATCAAACGGACACGCCCGCTTCTCGATCCAAAAGCCTTCCCTGTCAAAACTGTTGGAATATACCATGTCAATTGGCAAGAGGCATTAGGGGAAAAGGCAATTAAGCCAAAGAAGGCATCAAAAACCACCGCAGCAGAGGTTATCGACCTGACAGATCTTGATGATGATGATGACGACAACAACAACACCTGCAATAGCAGCAACAAGGTCACATCTCCAACTTCTCTTATGCAACGAAACTGGCACGGTACAAGCTCTGCTGAAGAAGTGTTTCCACGAGAATGGATAACCGCTCTAGCCAACGTGCCTATAGATTTAGAAACGGCCCTTACGGGAAGCTACTGGGCTGGATTCTACACACAGTGGAGGAATGATCAACAGAAGAACAAGCAGTCACATGGGGGCAGGCCAGTCCCGCAACTTTTGTTCAAGGGATTTCCCATGATGGAAGATGTGGTGTTCTTCAAGCACAGTAACTTCTGGACGGACCCTGACGGAATTTACCACGCAGACAGCGGCTGCTGCTACTGGCTATCCCTGGCCCTAATTTTGTATGGCAACCCACGTGCCTGGCTCCGGGTAAAAGCCGAGCATTTGAACTTTCTGGAGCAAGTCTTTTCTGATTCGTCTCATCCTCGGTATACGTACTACACCCGGATGAACCAGCACAAGATGCAAACGGTGGCACCCACAGGCACAGTGGACGCCTCACTGTTTGAGATGTTACATACCCCCGGGTGCTGGGTGTCTGATGAGATGTGCAATATGACGGCAGATATATATAACGTCTTCATTGTCTTGTACAAGTACGATTCGCCAAACAAGGATAACGAAAAGTGGAAGAACAAGGTGTATGACATGAAGGCGTTTGGGTCGTATAACAACCGGCACATTTTCCTCTGTTTCACCGTAAGTACACCTGTCCCTCGATCTGATCAGTTCGTGACTGTACTGATGACAGCGTTTAGAACGAGAACCACTTCCAGCCCATGGTCCCTAATGACTACTTAGCTCACGAGTTCAAGCTGCCACGCATCACTCTTGAGTCAACAAAGAAGTATAAAATGGAGACGAATGCCAAGGCACGTAAAAACGTCGAAGATGGACCGAAGCACTATATGCGCAATTGGCAGTTTACGCCTTTGTTTCACATGCCGTCGTTCACCATCGAGCATCTCTCACGAGCTGCGGGAGTCCCCATGGCACCCAAGTCACATACTGCATTTTCCAAGGTTCCCCAGCCAACACCACCAGCATCTGAGCGAGCCCGTCGCTTCGCCGCCTCTTCTGTCTCGTCGAGCAGAAGCAGTAAACCTCTACCTCTATCTCTTCATGGCAAGCACCCGTCTCCTGATTTGGAATCGCCGCCCGCTAAGCGTTTGAAGACAGTGATGGGATCGAGATTGGTCACAGCGCCTGGTTATATTCCAGGATTTACCGAACAGGTCAGACCTCAAACTTCAACCCCTCGGTCCCGCCCGCAAGAGAGCGACCGCTCTCAGACGAGTCCGTCCAAGCATCATGATTCAGTATTGAGCCCAACTACGCGGCCTGTACATCCTGGAAGCGGCTCTCAGTTGCAAGAAGTAGAAAGCCCTACACCGACCGGTAAACTGGTCCAGGTTGAGGCTCAAGAAACAAACCAAGCTAATAAGCGTAAGGAGACGGCGACGAGTAGCAAGACAGCAACAAGTAGCAACCAAACCATGACCGGCAAAGCCACAGCCACTGGTAAAGTTATAACCGCTACGGCCACTGACAAAATAATTACCAGTGGCAATGCCATAACAACTACCGCTGGCAAAGCTACTCCAACTCCTAAAGCAACGAACAGTGGTCAAGCAACGACTGGTAGTAAAGCAAGCCCCAGCGGAAAAACCACAGCCCCAGGCAACAAAAAGACCGTTCAACGATCAAAGACAAACGACCCGCCAGGCGCGGAGTGGAAATCCGCCACCAAGAGCCTCCTGCGAAGGATCAGGCTCGACTCGTTGCAAGTATTGTGCTTCAACCACGGACTGGGCAAAATGGGCGGCGAGATCGAGGGTTGGACAAAGGAGCAGTGCGTCCAGGCACTGCTAAATCTTCAGGAGAGCGGCACAAAGGTGCAGATTAGAATGGTAAAGGACGGTCGGCGACTCGTGCCTGATCTGAGGTGGAAGTGGCTGGACCCTCAGCTGGCCTGGGGCGAGGGAGATGAGTATGAGAAAGAGGTCGAGGACGATGAGTTGGAGTCTGGTGGCGAGGATGATCATGAGCCACCCTCTGAGGAGGAGTAAGAGGAGTTCGAAGTGTGTTTAAATGATGAGGGTAGCGAGTATGAGCTCAATGAAGATGAAAAGGAGTAGTCTTCCGGGGAGGGGGCTGAAGAGGAGCATGGTTATTATGTCATCTGAACAGTAGAAAACAGTAGTAGAGTGGTTCAGAGCTTCGAGTAGGGTTCGTGGCAGGTAAGTAGATTCGTGAGTTAGGAAGCGTTTAGAAGTAGGGTGATGAGGGCTGGGCTCAGGTGTAACATTGTGCATCCAATCATTTTAACAGTTCCTTTGATTCAGTTATTTTCATCAATGCTCATGAGGGCATCTGTATAGAAGGTCAATACAGACTTTGAATGTGTGGTAAAGCTGTCTTGTCTTTTCTCTTTCTGCTTTACTCCGTAGGTGTCAGCGGACACTTCCAAGCATTATCTCAAAATTGGTCTCCATTCACCAATATGCATCAATTTTTCAAGATCAAATAACCACCGTTACCTCGTATTGAGGACTAGAGTTAGCCACATGGGCTGTCGAGGGCCCGTGTCTAGTCGCTGTCCTCGTTACTCTACTGACCACTCAACTTCTGATACTCTTCCCTTGCGACTCCTTGCCAATTATTTCAAGCTCTTCTTTCAGTCTCAAAGCTTATCCCACTCCTCTCAAACCCCATCATCGCTTCCTTAAATCTAACCCCTACCTTATCGTCTGGAATAACCAACCTGCCCTCTAATGCCACGGATCGGAGGTTGGGGAATTTTAAGGAACCACAGCTGCCAGCTCTTTCAGATGATTTATGAGAATTTCTAGCGTGGATTGCGGTGGCTGCTCTATCACAATACGGAGGAAACAAACTGATGGCGGAAGGAGCCTGACCAGCAGCATGGGGTTTGGTTTTGCCACAGGCCCGTCATTCCAGCTGTTTCCGTTGGGGCTCAATTCCAAAGTCGTGGGATCAGAGGACGAAGTGTTAGTGAAACTTGCCGAAGTTTAGAAAATCTGGAAAAGGAGATGAAAGCGCGGTCTTCAAGTCTGATATTCCAAGAGTCCCTGGGAAGTTGTAACTCATTGATACGGAATATGAGCTCCTTCAAATCCGGGGTGTACTTTATCAACGTCTCTTGTGAGGTCTTATGGAAATAACGCTCAGGAGTAGTGAATCCCTCGGTGCCATATAAACCAGGCGCTGTAGTTGGGGGGCAGAAACGAAGAAACTCGATTAGTGACAATACTCCGGGCGAAAGATCCTAGACGATCAGTAACTTGAGACATGAAAGGGACGGTGGAGGACAAGGCATGACGGTTGATAATATTTCACCCTCCACTGGCCCGGTTGGTAACAAGGACGGGAGCAGGTCAGACTGCAGGGTAGCAATGGGATCGATGCGGAATATCTGAAGTGTGGTGAAGTTCGCGGCAGCAGATGTCAACCGAGCAAGGGGTTTGACTAGGACAGTCTTCTGTAGGCTAGAGAGGTTGTGCATATAGCATCCTATGGTGACCTTCGTAAGTCATTGTAGCGAATTCTGGCTACAGAAGCGTAGCGCTGCTTCTAGGTTAGTAAGGATAGATGTTGAATGATCGGAGCCTTGGGCAGAGAAATGATATGAATGACGTGGATTTCACATCGTATCAACCTTGGGGCTCCGGTCAAATGATGTCAGTAATAACGACTGCTGAGACGATGGTTGTCCATTTGTAGCGTGGTAAATATGGAGATTGGTCGAGGATCAATGGGCGCTAATATCAAAACAAAGCGAAGCTTCCCAAGAAATCTACATGTAACATCGAGGACTGAGTGAAAGAACCTGGAAGAAGCACAGATATCCAAGACTGGAGTAGAGCCTGGGAACCCAGTATAAGTGAAAGATCCACTCCCACGTGGATATGGAGACACTAATTGTGACCACCCGATCCACTCAATAAGGTACGGAAACAGGGCCTACCGCTGCGGGCCGGCCGCCCGATGTGATGATGGCCTGTAGTCTTGGGGTCTCGGCGCGGGAGAGGGGGGGGGGGCACGCATTGAGATCACACACAGGACTGCCGGGGACAGGCAACCTGTCTTTTTGGTTCTCATGGATTTCAGCTTCTCACAGACTTCGGCCCTTCTCGACTCAACTTCCCCTGCAGGTAACTTGCTGGTGTTGATATTGCATCGTGAATAATCATTTAATCCAGATTTTCTTTTCCTTCTCGGCCAGTCGGGTATCCTCCCCCTTTTGTATTCCAGAATTAATGATTGCCCGCTTGGCTGTCGGCGACTGTAAAACTTCAAAGCCCCTTAACCATGGCGAGTGACATCAGGGAACCGCGAACTTCCCGCTCCTCAGGCAAATGTTGAGAGGCTAAGCGAGACCTCGCAGTTCAACAAGGCCATGTTGGCAGCGCGGTCACGCCGACCGCACACTTCAATTTTAGCAAGATAGGTCACCTGCTACCCCTGAGCCAGTCAACTTGCAGACGTCTAGGTCTCAGTTCTCGAGTGTCATTCCGCCCTTCAAAACGTTACGTTAGGAAACAGAGTCATCTCTGGCAACGTCCGCTCAATGCTGCCCCCTTTAACCCTCCTCTTCATGTTGCCCTTTTCGTTGCTCCAGTCCCACAACCTCCTGCTCTTCTAAGCTCTCGGGAGGTTTGATGTATTTTTGTACTACATAATACCCTAAACTCTCAGAGTCGTTATCCTCCTGAATGAAGAACGTCGATTTTACAAGTCCTGGTGCACCTGTCCTGATCTTGATTTCTGGCGTTTCACGCTGAAGGTACCTCTTGAAGTCTCTGAAATTCATACCATATCCGAAATTCCTAGATACATGCAGGCCAATAATAGTCAAGTAGGGGAACTGTTTTGGATCCGAGAGATATTAAAGTCTTCCAAGGGGCGCGAACATGTGAGGACTCAATGGGTGATCGTGGGGACCATTGCGGCCACTGCAAGTGGAGCTTCCGAAGTGAGTCGGAGAGCAAATTGATGAACGACATCGAGTCAATGGGCTGGGAAATAGGGTGGTACACCGGACCTTGAACTTTGCACTCCTGCCTGCGTGTAGAGCTTCCTAGGACCAAAGTTTCGGTAGATCGCCCACGTATAGCTAAGGGGGGGGTTTCGGAAGCAACCAGTTCAGGCCAAGGCATGTGGTATGAAGCTTGGTGATAAAAAGCAAAAGCGGAAACTCCAATGAAGGCTTTTTTCTCTTGTACCTAAAGCTGGATCAACTGACTCAATGCGATTTATGGATTGACCAAAATCACCACCTGAGCGCAAGCTAAGTTCGTAAGGTAAGAGGCGTACGATCAACAAAAATACAGTACGAGCTGCTCTGCTGCTTTGAGATTCGGTTATCGCCCAGTCTTTATGCAGCACACTGGCTCCTTGGTAGCGCGGTTCGTAGTAACAAGGGTCAACGTCACAATTTAAAACCTTCCAAGCAAAGCCGGCCCGAGGAGAAAGCCTCAATTTCAAGAAATTAGCAGATGGAACTTCGCTGTGTCTAACTGTTTGACTTGTCTCATTCGGGTAAGAGCCGTGCATGTTGAAGAAGGTCTGCTTATAGTAGCTAGTTTGATAATGGCGAAACTTGCTAGCAAATAAGTGTTGTCATTTCCTGTACAAACAGAATATGGTAAGAGATTGGATGAGCAAACAGTGAATTCACTGTCTACAAGCAAACCTTGCGAGTACTTAGATATGTATAGTTCAGCGTTCGTGGTCAGCTTCATCTCATCACAATATACTGTGCTGATACGCTACTGTGTAGCTTACACCACCAATCCGTAAGACAGGGTAAACTGCATGTTGGTTCAGGAAAGGAACAGGAACAGCGCTAGGTGGAACGTGCCAAGCCTGCGTAACTTGTCAAGCTTGTTACGGTAATAATGAAATCTGACATCTCTAAATCTGACTCAGCGTTTTTCGAACGCGGGCTGCTTCACCACATCCATAACGCCCATGACGTCGTGACGACCCCGGAATGTGATGATATATCTCAAGCAACATCTATATCAAATGTCACAATCTCCAGCCGATCTGTGCATCATAACGAAGCCAAGCCCCAGAGGCACTCGGGTTGCTACGCCGACAACTACACAGTATGCTGCCTATGTCAGCTGCACCCCTTAGGCCATCCAGGCCCCAAGGGTCTTGAGGCTTAGTGGTCTTGGCTGGACGCAAAACCAGAGTTCACCTGGAGCCTCAAGCACGCGAAGATCTTCATCGTTACCGCTGAAGGGAATCTCACTTGACTTTCGCCTGCCGATTGCTTCTGCTCCTTCTCTCAGGTTCAAGAGAAACCTACCTGTGCCTCTCGACGCCATGATCCGAAAAAATCTCCGCAAGTTTTTCTCACTGAAAACAACATCGACAGCGCTCAGCGACACAGCAAGTCTGCTAGGGAACGATGTTTCCACCATCAACCTCTCATTGGACTCACCTCCTCCTGAACTGGTCATCAATGCATCCCCACTAGAAGATCCCATGTCTGCCTGCTCCAAAGTGTTCAGCATTCTTGAGCTCTTCGAAGCTATTCTCCTGAACGTTGACATGCGCACCATATTGGTGTCCTGTCAGCGTGTTTGCAGGACTTGGTACACCAACATCAAATCCTCACACGTCCTACAACGTGAGCTGTACTTTCTCCCGGATCATACCTCACCTGGGCCACCGTTCACTTTCAACCCCCTCCTTCGAGAAGCTTTCAACGTAATTTACCCTAAGGGTGATATTACCGAGCTGTGGACACGGTATCAAGCACAGGTAGAATATGATATGCGCATCAGAGCAGCGCACGAGTTTGCGGCACGTCTGCGGGATAATGGTGACGCGATCCATCCACCGAGTGTATTATGGGCGCCTGAATTTATTGTACCATTTACTGTGCACACAGCCAAGATGATAGACTATGGCTTACAGTACAACACCGCAGCTAAAGAATCTTCAATATTTAGACGGCATGAGGAGTTCAAACCTGAAAGTGAACTCTATCGTCTGAAAGTTCGACAGCAGGCCTTCATTAGGCCAGGAGCCAGCTGGAGGAGAATGTATCTTTCCCGGCCGGCTGCAAGAACGATAGCGTACGAGCTCGTGACTCCCGCCACAATTTGCCGTGGAGGTGACGTGCGAACCAGAATAGTGCTGGAGGATGGCCTGAAGATGGGAGAGCTCTGGGACGAGATAATTGACAACCTGATGAGAGGTCCCGGTAGGGATAGATGGTGTCGCTGGACATATGGAAGCAGCTCTTGGAACCGCCCCATACGCGAGGTCGTACGAATAGGATGGACCTGGCAGAAATGGGAGTCTGATGGGCTTGAACATTTAGACATTCCGTGGATCGCAGAGCGAAGGAGAGAACTTGCTGACGTGGATATGGTCATCGGCTTCTATTGCTGCGACAACTGCCTCTTCAGGAACCTGAGAGGGACCTGCTTTGCATGTGAAAGGCAGCGACCTTTTGCTGCGCAGGGCAAAACGGCACCACTCGAGTTCTGGTCGTGGCGCAGAAGAGTCAGCCTCGTACACGATCTTTGGATGGTGATGTGCGCGGAATTCACTTCAAAGACTAGGCTGGCTAGCGGAGCTTGTGGCCTTTTAAGAGATCCGACAAGCAATTCTGCTTAGGGGCTCAGTTTCTCTGGGGACGTAACAGATGGTTTACGTTTCCACCACCGCCATTCAGGACCTCCACCTCAAGTAAACTTTTAGTGCATCTTGGTTGTTAAGGTATTGTAATGAACTCGCGGATATCCTAGCGACAGAAATCAGAGATACATAAGTTCATGCTCTCTCACACTATCATCTGTCAACCGACACAACCCGCTCTCGCCAATGCCGAACGACAAAACCCAGTAATGCGATTCGAAATTAATCTAGCCGGTTGTCAAGACCTCTCTGGCTTCCGCCCATACACAACATAGCTACAGCAATGATGTCAGTGACAGTTATGAAAACCCTGGGGACCAGTCCCCGCTCAGGGCACTTACACAGGCCAATAGGCATGTATCCTCGTATCTCTCAGGTCCTTCTTAACGTCGGTCAAGAAGGCATCCACTTCTGCGACAGTCCAGTTGAACTGCTTAGTCAAAAGCATGAGGCTGAGTGCCTCCAGACCATCGAGCATATTTTGCAGGACCAGGGCACCTGTTCCATTGCTAGTTAGCAACCTCCCCAACTTAACCAATCCGTCAACACTTACCAATGCTCTTATATTTTGGGTCCTTCGGCCAGTGATTAATCGGCCACTTGTACTCAACCTGCACAACATCCACAAACCCTTGCTCAATCAACCAGTTCTTGTAATTCGCGGCCGCCATCATCGACGTCCCGTTGCGCTCGCTGGCTTCGATCAAAATCCTATTCCACTTCCCAAACGGGCTATCCTCGGGGAGCGTGTTGTCGTCGGAAGTGATGAGGTAGGGATCAGCTATCTCAATCCAGCCGCCCGGTGCCAGGCTGTCGTAGGCTTGCTTGAAGAGACGCGGCCAGTTACGGATCGAGCCAACCATTGCGCGAAGGTAGACGAAGTCGAATGGTTGGGAATAGGTCCATTCGTCTTCGAGATTGTCGATGTAGAACTGGACGTTCGGAGGGACGCTTGGAGAGGTTAGTGTTGTGGTAAGGTGCAAGGGTTAAGCTGCGGGACGTACTAGCTGGGCTGCGAAGGACTTAGGTCCACGCCCACAACCTACTATCATCAATCACTGCTACATTCTGTTCTTGGTGGTTGAGTCCGACTTACCGAGGCCTCAGGATGCTGATCGCCGAACTCAACAGCCCAGATACCTGTGCCTGTGCCAGCATCAAGAACCCGCCTGAGCTTGTTGGTTTTGCCAGCAGGAGACAGGTAGAGCTTATTGTCCTGACATTGCAGGAAGAGGTAGTGCTGAAGGTCTGTCACCGGCATCAGCCACTAATCGCCTACCAATTCCAAGAGTTGTGCTTACTCAAGCGGTCAAGCTCACGCTGAAGTTATGAAGTTAGCGACTTCCAGGTAAATATGCAATCCAAGACACTATACTTCGTCATTTGGCATGAAGTAATCCACCTCTGCATAGCGGGTCAGCCTGTTGGACCAGGAGAGGGGCTACAATCCGTACCATGGCACTTACCATCTGCCTTAAAAGAATGATATGTGCGGCCATTTTGTTCGCGATACTTGTAAACACTAGAATCGAGCGATGTGGTGTCACTCCAGCCGCTTTTCTGTTCACAACGAGGGTCAATCTCTCCAGATTCATCATCCACCTCTAAAGCAGGCCCTCGACTCAAGTCAAGGGACGTAAACTGAGACATACTACGCTAACAGCAGAGTCACGATCATTATCATCAAAACCCTGACCAACAGACACAACCATCAGTCTTGCTCTAAGCACTAAACATTTAGGCAATCGAAAGGAAGTAAAGGGGTCTCACATCCTGCTCCAAAAACTCCACATTCACAGGTTGGCTGTCGATCGGAGCAGGTGTCGTAGCCTGGGTATATTCTCCGGGTGTTCCTGTGGTGGCTATCGACCTGTCCGCCGGAGTAGATGCTCCGGTTAATTGCGAAGACATGGCAATACTTCTCACAGACTGCTGTATCTAATAACTCTAATGATGCAGTAGTGGCTGTTCGAGTTGTATGTATTACAACGGGGCTGTATTGGCAGTCCGGAAAGTGAATTACAAAGAGGAACGTTGACTGCTGAAATAACTTTCCGATGCCTCGAGTCGCCGCCTTGAGAAGAGGTAACATGCCACAAGGCAAAGTGCCAAGTGTCAAAGAACTTGCTCGTTGCAGTGGACGAGGGATAGATCTCCCCCGTCTTAATACGGACCCCCATCTGCCCCCAGCCGCAAAGCTGGGGAAATGTTACACGGATTATCCTGCAAGATACTACCATGACTCAACGGCAAGACACCTTCTCCAACTTAGGGAATAGCCAGGGAATGAAACATACATCTGAGACTGACCGAGCGAGGCAGGTAGTGCTGTTGAAGACCGAAGATCTACGCAGTTCTATCACTACTTTTTTTTTAAAAAAAACATGACAGGACGCGGATCTCCAACTTGCGTCGGACTGCTACTGGAGATCAAAATCTACTACGAATTACCGCTACAGTCCTTCGGTTTACTCTTCGCCAACACTAGGAACCTCCCGGCAGCTTCCATTTTCCGCACCACAGCCGCTGTCCATCCTCCCACGCCGCGGCCGCCTGCAGCGGCTGAGTTACATAGGGCAAAGAGGTGCTTAGGTTGCAGGGCTTGTAGACTTGTAATTCGCGACGCTCCTGCAGCTCGCCCTCGCCAGTCAACGGTTCGGTTGACGAAGCACCGTGTTCTGATAAGAATCAAGGCAGGCTGTCAAGCCAGCCGCTGGATATCACATGGTATGGTCGCTGTGGCTGCAGCGTAGTGCCCGATATACAAGTTGATGACAATCACCTTAATTCTCATTATGTATATGCGCTCTTAGTTCTGAGCGGGCTGAACGTGGCAGAGAACTTGGTCCTTCTTACACAGTATCTCCCCGTTCTGCCCAGCCGTCCGTCAGCAACCACCCCTCTCCCCTTCGCCCTGAGCACCGTCGTCATCAGTAAAAACATGTTTCTACGAAGTATCTCGGCATGCAGTCCGCTGCATTGTTAACAACCTGGGCTCAGTTGGAGAACCTCCATGTCCAACCTTTCGCAAAATTCTCAAAGTTCTACCGTGCTTGGGTGACATTCTGTTCTTGTGGCTTGCATCGAACCCCCATGTTACTAGTACACCGCCCGATTCCCCGATGCAATGGCAGGGCGGTTCGGCCTATTTCAGTCTCAACGTCGTCAAAAACGACCAATGATAGTCTTGGGCGACAATTTTGACTTCAGAATCCGAAAACTCTGCAGCCAACGGCATATAGGAAGCGCGGGATGCAGAAGGACGAGCGAGAGGAGGATGGACTTGAAGATATCTCATCCAATTGATCATGACGTGATGCTGTTGAGCAACCTGGAGGAGGATCACTATCTTTGTCAGCCTTGCAGATACTGCATTCCCATGGCGATGCTGAGTAGTCAATCAGTCCTGCGCACCTCTCGGAAACTTGCCGACTCAAAGGTCTGTGCTCAATGGCCAAAGGATACAATCTGCACGTTAAGAAGCTCGACGTTCGTCCACAACATGCATGTAACTTCCTCACAGGCAAATACCCTTCCGCTCAGAGTAGACGTAGGCGATGGTGACCCCCACGGAAGACCTTGCCAATTCTCCCTGCAAGCATGGCACTGGGTCACAACCGGGCTATGGACGTCAAAACGGTGAAGACACCTCAACCTGTATGCCGACTTCACATGCCTTAGTTTCTTCACCAACAGCAACAGGGTGCCAACGGCCGACCTTCGTCCACCAGAGATAAGTCAAGTTTTTCGTTCCCAATCCCTCTTGCTAATCAGTAACCGGGTTTCAACAAAAACTACCTAAACGCGCCCTCCAAAAAGACAAGATGGTACTACCTAAAGCAACGTCCATGCAAGCCTGCCGTCCGCTTAGAACCCGTCCTAATTTCCAACCAGATCGCCCCAAGATATAATATTTCCAACACCACTAGATGAGATGGGGAAAAAGGTGAACAGCAATACAAGAACAAAGAGACAAAAAGCCCAAGTCCTCGAAACACCAAAACCAAGTCCATGCAATTTTGCTAACACCATCCAGCCAGATAAGAAAACACAGCCAACATCATATCAACCGATAGGAGGCGACTGCCCGGGGGAGTCTCCCTTCCCGTCAATTGTCCCCGTCATGACCACATCCTTTGTGACAACCCCGTTTCCACTCCCATTCTGATTCCCAGAGACAGCCTGATTCCCATTCGCCCCTCCGTTCAACCCCGCAGCAGCGCCAGCCACTCCTCCACCATTCAACCCATTCCCCTGCACCCCCCATTAACGCCAGCCCTCGTCGCAGCTGCAGCCCCGGCTCCAGGGACAGCCCCCAACTTCCATCCCACACCCCCAACCCCGACAGGAGGCACCCCGCCATTCTTAATCATCAATGCCAGCCTCGCCTCGTTCCTCTCCCTCCTCAGCCGATCCTCCACCGCCTTAACCTTCGCCCGCTCCTGCAACAAAAACTCTGCCTGGGCACGAACCTCGCTGTGTTCTGCGCGCAAGCGCTTCAGCTCCTGCCGGGCAGCATACAGCTCGTTGCGGGTGGTCGACAGTTGCAGACGCACTGTGGTCAGGTCGTTGGTTGCGGAGCGCAGCTCGGATTGCAGGGCTTTGATGAGGGCGTGGGCCGAAGCCAGGTCATCGGGGAGAGGGTTGTTGGCGAGGGAGTTAGCTGTTGCGGTTGTGCCGGTTGTTGTGAGGGTTGTTGCTGTTGCTGCCGCTGCTGGAGGGGCGGTTGTAGTTGCGGGAGGGGGAGGCTGAGGCTGTGGTTGGTGCTGAGGTTTGGGTTGGGGTTGAGGTTGAGGGGGGGGAGGCCAGGAGAAGGCGATGTTCGCTGTGGGGGAGTTGAGAGTGTGGCCGGTGTTGAGAGACAGGCTATGCTGATGCTGATGTTGTTGAGGGAATGAAGAAGGGGCAGACGTTGGAGCTGGGCCTAGCGGGGCTGAGACCGGGACAGAACGCGGGAAGTGAGTAGTGGGAGGGAAGGAGGGGTCTATCGGCGACGGGCAGATTGGCTCGGTGGGTGAGTGGAGGAATTGATGAGGATCTTTTAGAGCGTGAATGGCTGGTGGGAAATGCGGCTCTGTAGCTGAGGTGACGGTAAAGTCCTGGAACTCTTCAGGCGAGGAGCCGGCGTGATAAGGGTCGGCGCCCAGAAAGGTGGTGAGGTCTGACCCGTCGCCAAAGACGAACGGGTCGTCGTAGAGACCGACCATTGGAGCTGCGGAGAGGCAGGGCGAGATGCTGCTGGGCAGCTGGGTTGTTGCGGCTGCTAGCACTGATTACTACGGTTGTCGCGATAGTGGAGCGGTTGAATTTAGGCTGATGATCCCAAGCCCGCGGATCTGGGGCGTATTCGTCGGTTCGCTGGGGATTTTGATGGACCAGAACGCAGCGCTGCTCCACTCTGTCAACGTCGGTTAATAACACGCGATGTTGACAGGAAGTTTTTATAAGTCTTTAGGAACGTCTCCTGTTGGCGCGGGTAGCAGAGTGTGCAGAGGTGAGCGTGAGCACGTCGGCACTTCGCATGTGCTGCGTGGGGTGGCGACAGACGATAGCAGTATGGTCTTCGGCTAAGGTATTGCTTTCAGGGACCTGTCCTGTAGCAGGTTGCTTTCGGCCTCAGGAGCTGGATACGCTGTCACTCAGTTGCTGCTGGACAGGAGGTGTTCGTTTCAAAATCGAGTATTGGCAGGGTCAGCGGGTCTCCACGATCACCCAGGGAGGAACGCAGGGCACGATTCGTCTCTGATGGGCCACGATGCGATTGATTCCACGCAGCCTCAGCGACGTGCGCGTGTATGTAAGGTCACGACGGTATATGCAGGAGGAGAGATTCGACGACGCTGGCTTCAATCGAAGAGGGGTCTCGTGCTCCCAGGAGACACTCAAATTTGCTCATGTGATCTCGGAGGACGACTCCGCAGAGCTAGACTCGAGAGGTCGAGCCAAGAGCCATTCCACAAGTTCCGCGTTAGGGCTGCGACCTCTTGGCAGCGGAGATGTGGAGAGAAACCTGCCGGACTCCGGGGAGGACGACGGGGGGGACTCGGCGCGTGGAGCTGTCAAGAGCCTGTTGGTGATGTGATTTTTGTTTCTGCATGTCTGTCTGTTCTCTGTGGGCGTGATCTGGGCCTCTTTGGCCCTTGGTTCAGTCGACCATGGCACTGAGAATGCGACTTTTCTCAGTGAAGATGGGTATAGGTAAATCACAACATCACGGCACCAGCGCATGAGACTGGGGAAGGATTGGATGGATGGATGGATGGATGGATGGATGGAGAGGGTGTGCGGAGAAGGAAGAAGCCCAAACCAAGGCCAGCGCTCGCTCCATGGCAACGCTGCAACCTCTGCAGCCTGTGCGACTGCAACGCGGCCAACCGCTTTTGCTGCGTTAATGGAGGCGAGGCAGCAATGCAGCCAACCCCTGGCCTTCTGAAGTTCTTAATCGCGAACTTTTTCTGGATCAGCGTCAAGCAAGGTCGCACTTTGAAACTTCGAGAAAAAATCTAGCACGGCCGCGATCGCCCCCGTCGCTAACAGGTGCCCCACATGGCTTGCGAAGCCTTACTGGAAGCGAGAAAGCGTTCTCGGCGACAGCCACTGACAGGAGACGATATCTCGCTCTTCTGACGCAAGTCCATCGCCAGCTCCCCTCTTTGTCGTTGCGCCTTGTCACCTTCGACAAGCCTTCGATGCTTTTGGTCTGTCATGCAGCCGCTGCAGCTCGCCCACTCGGGGAATCGCCCCGCGAACTCCTCCGCAACGTCCAATCGCGTACGTCTGGGGCGTGTTGCACGAACCACGCTCTCGAGCCCAGAGGCTCATCCTTTTTGTTTCCTTTGTGGCTGACCGGAGGCATATGGCCGTTGGATTTAAAACTTAATCTGTGTTTTCAGAAGATTTGGCGACTGTGATGTTGTGCTACGAAAACACTGGGCACCTCGGAAGTTCCAGGGGCCGTGGCCTCCGTCTAGGACTTATCTGGGCAGTAACATCACGAGCGTACGCGGTGCAATTTAGTATTTAAAGCGACCCGTATGGGTGAGCCGGACAATTCATCGAATGAACGGCCTGAGCCGATAACCTGCATGGTGTATGCATGGCTGCATGCTAAGCTTCTTCTTGGCCTGGGGGAGCAACAGGCCTTATGCTCTCCACCACCATCAGACCGGTGATCCCCTTTGGGAAACCCGTGCCTTTAGTCGCGTCGAGTGTCACACTGAGGAAGCACGAACATTTCCGACCGTTCGGCGGTGCTACTCAAGGTCAACCGACATGCTGCTGAGAAAAGGTTGGCCCGTGGATCAACAAAAGCAGCATGCAGTTCGGCTGCCGTTTGATGGGTTTCCTGCTAGGGAGTCTGTGATTAGACCTGCTTCCAGCCATTATTATTATCATCCGCGGAACATATTACCTAGTTATCTATTGGTCTACACTAACTCGACTACTACTCCAAAACCCCCTATCCTGACCTCCCCCGAAAGAAGCTCCCTAACCCTGACATCAACCCCGCCAATCCCTTGTTCTCAGATCCCTCAACCATCCCTTGCCGTATCCAACCAGGCAGCTTGCCCCTGATTCTGTCTGTGCCAAAGCGCCGGTCGATAAGCACAACAGCTGCATAGTCACCGCGATGGCGAATCGCACGGCCGATACTCTGGTTGACCGCACGCATACAAGCATTCTCGTAGAAGTCCCGAGCTACCTGTCGAGCAAGTGGCAGGGCTTCTTCCCTAGTTAGAGCCCGGGACTGGGTTTTGTCACCTTCTCCTTCGAACCGTGATGTTTTTGAGCTGGTTAACCGTGCGATTGCAGCTGTCTCGACATACTCGATCCGAGCTTTCCACTCGGGCGAGTTAATGTTCGGGTACGGCAAGCCGACGACGACGACGCAGCGGCCGAGCCGATCCGAGAAGTTGATGCCCTCAGAAAGCTTGCCGCCGACCACGCTGAGCAGAAGAGCGCCGCCGCGCCCTGTGGGGTCCAGCTGCTGCCTGCTCGCCGTGCCAGCCGAGAAGATCGCGTCGCTGTATTGCTGCAGGATCTCGTCGCTCGAGCCCCCCTTGGACTCTCGGAACAGAGTTTTTTTGGCCGCAAGCCGATCCCATAGGGTTTGTTTTCGCTGGAACGATACCGAAGGGCCGTTTTGAGTCTCAGGCGCTTGCCAAGCTGCTACCACCTCGTCCAGGTAACTGTAGCTGGGGAAGAAGACAACCACACCGTCAGGAACAACAGAACATATATTAAGCAGGACTAGGCCAAGTTGTCGGATCATGGCCGGGTCGCTACGCTTCTGGAAGCTGAACTCGAATGCATCGGACGCTGCGGCACTTCCTTGTTGTCCCGGTCTGGTTGAAGCGAGTGTCCAGACAAACAAGTTGGACGAGGGGATGACGTGCCCGCAACTGAGCGTTGTGATCTTGTCTTCAGAGAGCATGGGGAAAAGATGTGCCTTGTAATCATCGAACGGCGACATAGTGCCACCCGCGAGGATAACGGCTCGTGCCGCTGAGACAATGGATGAAAACGCATGGGTAGGGGATAAGAGAAGGTAGGAGAGTTTGATGTCTGATGGTGTCGTCAAGAGCTTCTCGTAAAAGATTCGACCCTCCGTACTGAGGTTGGTAAGCGCTGAGAGAAATGAGACCAGTGTATGGAGGACGGGTGTTGTTGTGCTAGTTTTGCCTTGCCCTTGTGCTTCCTCTTCCTCCTTGTGACTGACATAGCTTTCTACCTTGTATGCCAGCTTTGAGTCTTGGATGTACTTGATTAGTTGATAGAGATTAATCTGGTCCGCGCCGCGAGCCTTAAGTAGGGAATTGGAGTCAACAATACCGTGGTCGCCCTGAGTAATCGGATCAGTACCTTTCCCTTGTACTAGGGCTTTTCTCAACTTACCTTTCCATTCAACGCCGTGTTTAACCACTCACTAAGCGACTCAACAACCCTCCCAACCTGAGCAACCATCATCCTATTCTCTCCCTTCAACTTCTTTCCAAACCTTTTGACATAAACCCCCAACATCTCCCTAGCCCTTCTGAGCTCACTCAACCGGATCTCTGCAGCATGGACATTCGCAATGGCATCCATGATATTATGAGCCTCATCGATAATCACGATATTACCCTCTAACTTGATCCCTAGAGCCTCTCTGGCACTCTTCTGCAAGAGCAAGGGATACGGCAACGTGACGACCTCAGCACCGGGGATGGCCTCGCGCGAGGCGTAGTACGGACACACTTGGAGGTCCTTGCCCACGCGATACAAATCCTCAATGTCAGGTAAAGAGGCGAGGACTGTGTCACGGAATTCGTGCACTTGCTTTAGGTTGTCGGCGTTGGGGATAAAGGGGCATTTGTGTCCGGATTTGCCTTGCTGAAGTTCTGTACACCGGTCGTTGATCGCGGAGAGGGAGTTGAGCCGTGCTACAGATGGGTTGATGCAGAGCTTCTGCCGTGAAGATAAGGGGACTTGCTTGACTGGTTCTGTTGGCGGGCCTTTTCCGAGATTGTCTGTGGACAACATGTCCTCGGGAATGGAGGTAGGAAAGGCTGGTCTTCGAAGTTCGCCGATAAACTGTGCGATTTGCGAGTGTGTGCGGGAGGTATAGTAGATCTATGCCGTGGGTTAGCCTGTGTCTTAGATGTTTTGCCTCAACTCGATCACGAACCTTGACTTCCTCTTCTATCAAAGAGCAATCTTCTTCCCCTTCCTTCCCCTGAGCTCCTCCCAGGCCAACCTTGGCCATCAACTCCCTCGTCTCCTTACTGAGCCCAGCCAAACCATCACCAGTTACAGTACCATCTGCCCAATCGCCCACCAAGAACTCCCTCTCCTCATCAATCTCCCCCTTCTTCCGTTTCCCATACTCTCCATCGTCGACACGGGCCCTTTTTACACTCCTCCCATGCAGCCCCATGGCAGCTTTTTCTTCCTCCTGTCGTTCCTTTTCCCTGGCTTTCCTCAAGGCAGCCTCCCTTTCTTCCCACAGACGCGCCAGCTCTTGCCTTTTCCTCCTTAATGCAGCCTCAATCATCCAGTCTGGCTCGCCGGCCATCGCTGCGGAGGTCTCGTCAAAAGAGGCAGAAAAGCGAGACCTCTTGTGATGGCGCAACCATGTGAGAGCTGAGCAGATCAGAGAAAGGGATTTGCCCTATCAGAAGAGTAATGTGTGAGAAAAGGTACCAACTTGCTACTGCATAGAATGTCAAGGAGGGAACGAAAGATAGACTGAGCCTACAGTGCCAGTGGGACTCTCCAAAATGCCGACTTGACCGCCGCCCTTCTCGAGAATATTGTAGACAGTGCGCATGAACTGGAGTTGCACATCATATGGGGTGTATGGGTGATGGAAGTTAATATGTTCATTGTTATTAGGCGCCTCGAGGCCCTCATCCGATTTGATGTCTGTCATTTTGGTGATAACTCAGGTGAAGTTAAATGTTTGAAAGTGAGAGATCACCAATGGAAGAGTCGGAATACCATGAGGGGATATTTCTTTAGAGGGAATTGGCAACGATCCAAGAAATTTATTATTGAGATCAACGTATTCCAATATCAAAAATCTCCAGATCGAGCCGTATGAAATGCTCTTGAGATAGTTGGAAAGCGTTGGCCGAAGTGCAAAGGCTCATCATGTCAATAGCCCGCTGAAATGAAACAACCAATAAGATCTCCTTACGAGTAGTATCAATACGGTCACGTGATGATATTTACATCCGAAGAACATCATGTTTGCTATTTCAGGGGTCTGATGCTCAATGTCCAGGGATATCATCTACATCCATGCACCTGCCTTCTAGGTCCCACCGGTTCCAAGCCAACGCCCATGACAGACATTACATACACAGACAAAGGATAATACAGTCCAATTAACACCGTAACGCCACAGCAAATGCCATCTGTGTTCCAGACTCACACCTTGAGGATGTCTAGCTCGTCGTCGCCTGTCTCTCCCTTGCCCTCCGCCTCCTGCTCAAGCCCCAGTTGAAGAAACTCGTGTCGTAACGCTTCCTCAGCGCTAATGCGCTTGCTAGGATCCAGCTCCATGCACCGCTTAAGGAACTCGACAGCCAGCTGCTCGTCCTCGGGCAGTTCCTTACCGCTGCGATTAGTGCTCCAGAGGATGATAGCCTCGAAGCTAAATCCAGATTTGCCAATTGTGGGAATAGTTGTTTCGAACATGCAGCCATGCAGCGCCGCTGTTTGCTGCATCCGGTGCCAGCCGAAAATGGTGGCAATCTCGATCATAGCTTCGACGTCGTCGGCTGAGTTGAAGAATGGGAACCGCTTTGACAGGATAGTCAGCAGAATAACGCCGGCACTCCAAATGTCAATCTTGGTGGTCTGCTCGGTGCATTTGAACAGAACTTCGGGCGCACGAAAACCGCGGGTACCAGCACGATTGGCCCGGCGAGAAGGGCGTGTATCATCGCGTGGATAGCCACCCTTCCGCGGCATAGCCGCAAGCTTCTTCACCGCGGCCCTCTTCATTCGACGAGCCATTGGCTCGTGGCAGACACACGGCTTGCAGTCATAGCCTTCGCGCTCAGCAAGACCAAAGTCGACGAGGACACCACGTCTCGTGGCCGGATTATAGAGGAAGTTGGTAGGCTTGATATCGCGGTGGATGATATTGTGAGAATGGACACTGGCCAGGGCAGTGAAGAGAGAACGGAGATAGATTGCCATGTCCGTCACGGTCATGTCGCGGAAATAATCGCGAAAATCAGCGTGACGGAAGTAGGGTAGGATGGCGATGACCTGGTCTGCAGACCGGAAAGCCGTAATAAGGGGGCAAACAGCCTTACATCCCCGAAGGTCGTGCAAAAGATCGAGCTCGTTGAAGATGCGACTCGGTGAGGATGTAACATAGATCTTCTTGACGGCCACATATTTGGGCTTCCTTCTCCTTGATGGCTGTGCCTCTGCACCGTCGCCTGAGCGCAGGGGCGGCGGTGCGTATCTGTCGTTATCCCTGTCCAGATCCCAGGAGTTATCATAGTCATCGTAGAGTAGGTCTTCTGCTTTGTAAACAGTAGAGAAGGTTCCTAGACGTGTCCCCATGTTAGAACTCATTCTGCCACGCAAGATACATGGTAAAATGATGCCTCATACCTTCGCCAATGCGCTTGATCAACCGGTACTTTTCTCGAAAACCAGGAAAGCTGTTTTGGAGCTTTTCCATGTCTTGCAGCACATAGGGGTCCTCCACCACTTCGTCATCTGAACTCGCGGAATAATCTGATTCCTGGTCCTCATCATCGGCACCTTCCATATCATCCGCCATGTCATCCATCTGCTCAACATTGTCGTCATCTTCAGGTGACGCGCTTTCGAGCATTTCGGTGTCGGCGGTGGAGGGAGCATCTTCATGGATAGTGAAAGGCTGGTCGCGATGGCCACGTCCTGGTACTACAGACTCCATTGTCGGCAGCAATAAACCCGAGAGGCGTGCAAGTCTAGACCCTAATACTATAGTAAAAACGAAAAATAAATGATTAGGGATGTGCTGCAGTTCTGCAACAGTCCCGTCTCGGGCTGATGAACGTAGTTTACCGGTAGTGCATAAGCTGTGAGATCAGGAGGGAGGGTGGTGGGAACTTCCCACCGGAGGACAGATGCAATTGGGATTGGAAACCTGCGAATTGTCCAATTGGCAGCCAGAAGAGCCACACAAACGAATAAAACAAAAATTAAGATTGGGAGAGCGCTCAACTGGAAGAAGGTCAAAAAGAACATGAACTTGGCAAGCAGGAACAGGAACGCTGGAGGGGCTGCGCACGGGCCACGTGGAAAGGACGCGATTCGCTACAGCGAGACGCGACTGGATCGTCCACAAAAGGAAATCAACAAACAAGTTGCCCGTTGCCAGGGTTCCCCACCGCAAAAACCAACCAACTGGGCCGCCCGAGGAGGGGTCTGCAACCGCGAATTGCGACGTGGGACATGCGACTGCGACTTTCATCCCAATTTGATTTTGCTACAACAACAATCCCCGTTGCCTGCAGCCTGCCAACGCCGTGAATGCGATTACAGCGACGACGATAGCGGCAGCGGCTCCATTATCTTCTTCTTTTATTTCGGACTAAATCCAATTATTTTCTTTATTTTAAGACTTACAGTGACCGAGATCACCGTCCGCCGCCTCGATTTCCGCGACCTCTATTTCCTTCATCCTCCCCTCTGAGATTCCCCTATCCGTTGCCCACTATGGACACCGTCAACTGGGATATCAACGAGGCGCTCAAAAATTATATGAGCGATCCCTCGACAATCCAAACGCCCGAGGCCGATAGCGCGCTTGTCGATTGCGAGAATGACCCCGAGTCATTGCTGGACAACGGGCTGATTAACTCGGTGCTGAATCCTATTGTCGATGCGGTCGCCGAGAGCCCGGACGCCATTACGCGCAGTCATATCTTTGATTCATTACAATTTTTGTTAAAGTGTGCACCCATTTTTCCTCACCCCTCATTGTCCTTCCCTTATGGCGCAGAAGACGGTCCGCTGTTGGCAGCGGACTGTCCAACGCATTCTTCGGCCACTAAGGACAAGGACATACACAGTCGTTTACGGGACTCTGATTCTGAACTCGTCAAAAAATCCAGGTACACGTCGTATTTGTCAACCCATGCCCTCAGCAAGTTGTTCGATCTGATCACTTCCGGCCTGGGCGCCGAGGCCGACGTTGTTCACCATGACCTCGAATCGGACGAGCAGGAATTGATCCCCGCCCACAAACAACTTCTCGAAATGTATGGATTCCTACTTCAGTGGACACTTACCGCCGCAGAAGCAAAAGCCGCCGAGAAGTCATCTACCACAGTGCCCGCCCGCGGTCGGGGCAAACCGAAATCCAAGACCGGCCCTGGCCAAGATGGGACCTGGGACTCTGTCCGCCAGCTGGAGACTGCCCTCTCGACCATGTGCAAGGTTTTGCGCCTGAAGTTAGGGAAGATCTTTATCACGACTTCAGAGCGCGACACGTTCATTGGTCTGCTCACTCGCCCGGTCTACATGATCCTCGAAAGCGAGCAGCGGGTCAAGAACACCAGCATCCGCATGCATGCCTTCAAAGTGCTCTGCATGGCTGTCAAGCATCATGGCCATGGATACGGTGAGTTGGGCGCTTTGGGGAGATGGAAAGAAAAGCTGACACACATATGCCCTAGCCGCCCAAGTATCTATCGTGCAGAATTTGACCTACTTCGAGCACCTATCCGAACCTATGGCTGAATTCCTCCATATCCTTGCAGAACAATATGACTATCCGCAACTGGCCGATGAGGTCTTGCGTGAGCTCAGTAACAAGGAGTTCAACAGCAATGATACCAAAGGGCCCAAGTCCGTGTCGGCATTCATGATTCGGTTGTCGGAACTGGCTCCCAGGCTAGTCATCAAGCAGGTTACCTTGTTGGCCAAGCAGCTAGACAGCGAATCCTATACGCTTCGCTGCGCGCTTATTGAAGTTTTCGGCAACATGCTTGCTTATTTGAGCAAGTCTGAGGAACGCGGAGAGAACCATAAGAGCCAAATGAACGCCTTCTTCGATGTCCTCGAGGAACGTTTCCTCGATATCAACCCCTACTGCCGCTGCCGAACGATCCAGGTCTACATTAAACTATGCGAACTCGACCAGAAGTTCCCGAAACGGCGTCAGCGCGCTGCCGAATTAGCCTGCCGCAGCCTCATGGACAAGAGCAGCCATGTGAGGAGAAATGCTATCAAGTTACTTGCGACACTCATCCGGACACACCCTTTCACGGCTTTGCACGGCGCGCAGCTGGCTAGGAAAGACTGGCAGGAGCGGCTGGAGAGAGTCGAAGCTGAGCTGAACGTGCTCAAGCCTCCTCCTGAGGCCGCGGGTCTTGAAGGCGACAAGGCTAACACCTCGGCTGACCAGGGATTGTTAGATGATGCCACTCAGGTCGATTCTCCCAAGAAGCGGCTCGAGGATATGACCGAGGAAGAGAAGATAGAGGCGGTCCGCAAGGCTCAGGAGCAGGCCGCCACATCCGAGGCGATCGAGAAGCTTACCCTGACAAAGCGCTACTACACCGAGGCGCTGAAGTTCATCGATGTTCTACACGAGGCTACCCCTGTCATCTGCCAGCTTCTCGGATCAAAGAACAAGAGCGAAGTCATTGAGGCCATGGACTACTTCGAGATCGGCGATGCCTACAATATCGAGCAGAACAAGATCGGTATCCGGAAGATGCTCAGGCTGATCTGGACCAAGGGCAGCAGCGACGAAGGCAAGGGGGTGCAAACACATCTGATTGAGTGCTACAAGCGGCTATTCTTCGAAGCTCCTGACAGCTTCAGCCCGAACGACGCCGCCAACTACATTGCCCGCAACATGATTAGCTTGACCTTCGGTGCTACTCCCGCCGAATTGACCTCTCTCGAGCAGCTTCTGCACCTGATGATGAAGCAGGGCATGATTCCTGACCTCGTCATCGCTAAGCTGTGGCAGGTCTACGGCGTGCAGAGGCGGGAGATCTCCAAGAAGCAACGTCGTGGTGCCATCATTGTCCTCGGAATGCTTGCCACAGCTAGTCCCGAGATCGTGGTTGGCGAAATGGAGACCATGCTACGAATTGGCTTGGGCGCCCATGGTCGTGCGGATCTTCAGCTCGCCAAGTACACATGCATCGCGCTACGCCGGATCAACCCTACTAGCCGCCAGACCGAGAAGGGCTCGACGACTACATTCTCCCGGTTGCCCAATGATCATGCGGTTTTGGTCAAGCTTGCTGCCATCACTGAAGTTCCAACGGACAACAAGGAATGGTATGGTGTGGCTGAGCAGGCAATCAATGCAATCTACGCACTATCCAAGCATCCCGATGTTCTCTGCTCAGAGATAATCCGCCGCAAGACTAGGGCGGTGTTCGCTCGATCGACCCAACAGGAGCCCTCTCGTCCTAGTTCTCGCGATGAGATGCAGATCGAACCTAGCCAAGCTCCTACCTTGGATGGCGCAGACTCTACCGTTCCAGCATCTCAAGCAAGCCCTACCAAGCGCCAAAACAGCAAAGAAAGTGTCATTGGCTTGTCCCAACTGCTCTTCATTGTTGGCCACGTTGCCATAAAGCAGATCGTTCACCTCGAGCTCTGCGAGCTCGACTTCAAGCGCCGTAAGCAAGAGAAGGATAAGGAGAAGGCCAAGGATCGGCATTCCCTTGGTGCCAGCACCTCCTCTCGCCGGGGAGGCGGTCAGAACAAGTCTAAGCAACAACAGCAACAAGAACAAGAGGACAACGAGCTTGACATGATTGGTGGTACGACAGAGGACGACTTCACTGAAGCCATGGCCCATATCCGCGAACGCGAGCTGCTCTTCGGCCCCCAGTCGCTGCTGGCCCAGTTCGGCCCAATGGTCAGCGAGATCTGCGCCAACAACACGGTCTACAAGGACCGCAACCTCCAGCAGGCCGCCACTCTCTGCCTGGCAAAGCTGATGTGTGTCTCATCCGAGTACTGTGAAGCCAATCTGCCGCTACTCATCACTATCATGGAGCGCTCTCCCGATCCGACAGTCCGCTCCAACGCTGTCATCGCCCTTGGCGACATGGCCGTATGCTTCAACCACCTCATCGATGAGAACACCGACTTCCTGTACCGCCGCCTGGCTGACCCTCAGCCCATGGTCAAGCGCACGTGCTTGATGACGTTGACCTTCTTGATCTTGGCCGGCCAGGTCAAGGTGAAGGGCCAGCTAGGCGAGATGGCCAAGTGCCTCGAAGACGAGGACAAGCGCATTGCCGACCTCGCGCGCATGTTCTTTACCGAGCTCAGCACCAAAGACAATGCAGTGTACAACCACTTCGTCGACATGTTCAGCTTGCTGTCGGCTGACGAGCGAATCGATGAAGAGGCGTTCCGTCGTATCGTGCGGTTCTTGCTTGGTTTTGTTGAGAAGGATAAGCACGCTAAGCAGTTGGCAGAGAAGCTTGCTGCTAGGCTGGCCAGGTGCGAGACGGAGCGCCAGTGGAACGATGTCGCCTTTGCGCTGGGCTTATTGCAGCATAAGAACGAGGAAATTAACAAGCTGGTTGCAGAGGGATTTAAGATGGTTCAGGCACCGGCGTAAGCGGATGTCTTGTCAGTTCATGACCCCGAATTGTATGGTTTTTGGATTTGTCTGGTTTTCTTTGGGCGTTTTCGGGGTTGGCTCGGGGTTTAACACCGATGCTCTGGTTCTGTGGGTTCGGTTTGGATGGAGCTTGAGAAACGGGATTGTGTATACGGATGGGTTGTAGGTATTGTGAACACGGAACCTTTGTTATGAAATTTCAATGTGCCTTGTAGTTGTTCTATCTGCTTCACATATTGAGTAACCACTTCAATCATGTGCTCCCTCGCGTTCCAACATAAGATATGGTCAGATTATTAATGCATTAATAATAAAGGGATGCTGAAAGGTAAGTTGGATTCTCGTCCCGTCCCCCCAATCGAATACCTATGTACTTCTTATTCAACAGACACGTCAGTCACGGCTGTTCAAACTTGATACCCTCTTCGACCCAGAACGTTCCATCCTTCTCGTCTCCGCAACGCAGCAGACGGGGATGGCAATGCAGAACCGGCACGTGCTTCTCGTAGAGGGCATTATTGATCTTCCCTTGCCAGGGGCCTTTGATCAACCAGGTATGGAAGAGACCCCATTGTACCGCGAGGTTAAACTCGTAGTGATAGATGTCGCTTCCGACCGAATGGTTGCGGTATGCAGCAAGAAACGCATGGAGGTTAGCAAGATGTTCTCTATCATGAATGATTATTGATAATACCAAGTTAGAGCATTGGGGGAAATGGTCAGAACACACACTTGTCTACAAGTCAACAACCAGCCCATTACATCAATGAAGCACTTGTCGGTAGACACTGGGCGCTCGCCAATGAATCGAACTTAACATCGGCGCATATAGTATGGCGACTCGTTGTCACGAAGGCACATGTCCATGCAGGGCTCCAGATGCGCGCGTTGTGGCCCCTCCCGTCTTCTCTTTGCCCTACATCCACTCACCTACTTCAACAGTGGGACGGTGACACATAGCTAAAGCATTGTCACTGTTTTGGTTGGCTGGTGTCACGAACGAGATTAGATCCGAACCCGCAATGGCGATGTCGGACTGGTTCAGGTCCACTCCTTTGAGTTGATAAACAGTGCGCATTTTCCACAAGGACTTGTTTACTAGATGTTTGCGATCCGGAGGATCGTCATATCTAATGTCAACGCGCAAAGTCCGGTCACCAAATACATAGGTGAGGACATGTCGGCAAGCCTGTCGGGGAAAACGTTGAAATTGTCTACAAATCTCCAGCGCACTTTCTGTTGCTGATAGACATGAGGCTAATCTCATATTTAAAGATTACGTTGAGACCCCGTTTTGTCAACGAAGTAGGATCTAATGCACCGTTCCCGAAGCGGCTACAAATCGAGCTGAACACTATAAGAAACTAACGAGGCTAACGTACCAACGGCCAGGGTTTCAGCGAAGGTAGAAAGGGAACTTACAAACGGAGACCTCGAAGACATCTTTAACCGTGCATCTTGCCGGGGCAATAACCCCATCTATCACCCGTATATACAACATACCTACTTCCCATAGCCCCTTGAGAAACCGGTCTCGATGATTCCGTCTAACAACTTTCTTTGCTTCACCCCCCCCTCATTATTCCTGCGCAGGCTTCGACGGGGTAACCGCGAAAGTAGGCCGGACGTAGCTGTAACAAGCCTTGGGTTAGCTCACATCTGATCCGGCCAGCACCAAAGCCTTTGGGAGATACTCACCGATCCGAGTTATAAACCTTGATATTCTCACCCAGCAACCCCTTTTCTCTTGCTTGATCGGCAAGGTAGCGACGGACGTGGTCGCGATCCTCCTCAGCCTGGAGCAGGGGGATGAGGTGAATGCGGGCCCACATCTTCTCACGGGCGAGCTCACTAGTGTTGGGACATCGTCGTCAGCCTCAGCTGCAGGAAGAGTTCGATTGAGGTTAGGGGCGGACGGGTCATACTTCTGCTCGCGAATGCCCTTGACGAGCTTGTACCAGCCATAGAGCATCAGGACAGCGGCACCGGCGAGAAGGGGACGGGGGCGGAAAAGGCCGCGCGAAGGGAGGTTGCGCTATGCATCGAAAATGTCGGTTAGCACTTGATCTAGGAATTGAAGGTGATAGACAACGTGCGCAAGTTAGGAACAACAGCGTGAGAACGACCACTTGGTCGTGGTGTTGTCTCCATACTACTATGTCCCTGTCCAACGTCGCCGAATTCATAGATCTCGCTCCCACAACCATAAACTCGCTCTACCCAAAAGCACAACAGCACAACCAAAGCGCTGTTTTGACAGCTCAGACCTACAGCTGACTCCAACTCCCAAAGCTCTCTTTGAACGCATCCAAACAACAAACCACTACTTCCAGCCAAGCTATCGTCCATTCATCTCATGTTCCAATATACCTAGCTCTTCGACTCTCTCACTTCCCTCAAAATGAGAATCCCCAACTAGAAACAATTAAACACAACCCACCTTGTACTGGACGGCTTCATAGCCGCCTGGCGGCGGCATATCCTGCGGCATGGTGGGCTATATATTCGTTATCGGACCCGCAAAAACGTTCAATCACTTTGACCTTCACACAATGTCTCAGCAAACGAACGCGATCGCTTTCTTCATCTTCCACTGCCCCGCAGGCAAGCTGGCTTGGAGGGGATATCGATCGTTCGTACCGTCGGGGAAGTTCGGGATCAATTGGGCAGTAATCGAGTACCGCTCAAAAGTGAATCGCGATGTCGACCCGGTGAGAATTTTAAGCTTTGAAAGGGGAAGGAGGAGGGGAGGGGCTGGCTGGCTGGCTCCCTTGGGTCGGTAGGTTGTCGTCGGCGCGGTTTTGGTTTTGGCCTCAGATCAGGGAGCTAGATCATTGATCGGCTGCGGTGCCACCAACCTGCCGACTGCCAAGATTTGGCCGGTGGGGTCGAGGGTCGCTGGATGGATTACATAAGCAAATCACCACAACCAGAGAGCAAACGTAGAAGAGATTGATGATTGGTTCTTTGGTCCATGAAATATGAACGCTAAACCTCTATGAATGGCCACTACGACTAGCGCAGGAATCAATGATTATCTTAAACACCGGCCGTAAAACACCTAAACACCTTCCTAACCACCCCAGGTAGCACTCCGTAGTCAACCCTTCTCTAGCTCCTGCCCTTCTAAATGATTCTCTGCGGCCGCTTCTTCGGCCATGATACCATGCAGCTCGGCCTCAAACTCGGCCTCGAGCTCCGCCTCCAGAGCGGCTTCATCAAAATCATCATCATCAACTTCCTCTGACTGCTTCTGCTCGCTGCCGGCAGCGCCAGACTGTTGTTCATCGACTTCATCGCCCGTGCCGCTGGGCGTGGGCAGCACACTCTCCTCCGTGGTGCCCTTCTCGCCAGCAGCATATTCAGCCCGAAGGGTTGATGGCAACGGGGACTTTGTCCTCCGGAGGCGTTTAGCTTGCTGCTCAGCCTCCTGTGTTATACTTGATGCGGTCGAATTGTTTTCGTCATCTTCCTCGATCTCTTCAGATAGCTTGCGTTTTCTGCTCGGGCTCCCGCTGGGGGTGGCGCTCCGGCTTCCGCTATTGTGGGACCCAGAGTCCTCTGATGACGACTCATCTTCTTCATCCTCCTTGGGCACGTAGTCCTCGTCATCCTCCTCGTCTTCATCTTCATCCGACGAGCCGCTTGCGAGAAACTCATTGAGTTCCTCGTCAGCATCACCCCAGTTGAAAGTCTTGAGCCCATCGATAGGTGATGGCTGACCCTCCTCAATGTCATCAGGAATCAACCCATCCTCATCTTCGAGGCCATCTTCATCTTCGATGGCCTGCTCAACATCAGTCGCCTGCCCAGTTGGATCTATCAGCTTGAGCTTGAGCGGCCTGCGCCGCCCGACTTTGCCGTTGGGGGTCTTATTTTCCGTGTCCTCGTCGTCTGCATCGCTAATTTCGTCCTTCAAGTGGTCCACAACCTCGTCAGCAAGCCGGGCAGTAAACAAATAAGGTGTCTCGTCCACCGCCTCCCATCGACTGAAGCAGTCAGCCAGCCATTGCTGACTGACGATCTTGATATGAGGACGGCGCCTGGCCGCCATCAGCTTCTCTATTCCTGGTTGCTGGACATTCACGACGAGATGGGTTACGTCAGACGTGATGCTCGGGCGGAGCTCGGCTCCAAAACTCATGATTTGCAGGCCGATCTCCGATTCGTAAATGTCGACATTCCTCGGCAACACACCAGAAAGCACAATTTTGAAGCCACGCAGCACTCTACTCTTGAGTTCATCGAGAATGGCACCAACGTCCGGAACCGCTGCAAAGTCAATATGTGCGTCCACATGGTGCTTCTCCCGCAGGGCATCATATTCAGCATAGAAAGCAGCATGCAGTGTCCGGAGGTGTCTCTCAAGGTGCTCGAGCTCGTTGTCATCATCTTGGAGAACCCGATGTCGATGTGGCGGAGGAGACGATGAGCGCAACTCGGATCCGTCTTCTGATTGAACCGAGGCTTTCTCGGCTTCTTCATCTTCACGGTCCAGTTGCTCCTGCAAGTGTTGAAGTGGCCTGTCCTTAAGCTGTTTCTCCAATTGACGCTCCTGGTCTTCAAGCTGTCTCTGGGTGAGTGCCACATCCTCCTGACCATTGACGATGGCTTGACGTGCCGCTGCGTCATTCTTATCGTTATTCGCGAATACGACCTTCTTATCCTCCCTCTTTCCCACACCATTAATCTTGGGCTCGGCCGTCAGCAGGTCCTGCCGTTTCGGTAAGAAGCTAGAGTTGATATCTCCGATGCCTTTGAAGAACTCGTATGGCGAGACCTTGATCAGGTTCGGTCGGTTTCGAGGCCACACATCCGAACGGTCGTCGATGATAACAACCATGTTTGTGCTCACAGGGAACAAACGCTGCAAGCTTTTTGTGTAGATATTGCCGTTCTCGTCGCGACTGATGACACGGTTTCCGAACAGCTTCCGATCGGGATCGACAACACGTGCCACGTTCTGTGCGTAGGCACGTGTGCCCATGGTGTAGACGTGCAGCTCATACATTTCGGAGATGCGCTTTAGGAAACCCTCAAGGCCGGGGCGCATCTTGATGTAGTACCAGCACTTCCTAGCAAGAGCTGACGGACCGTCATCAAGCTGGAATGACTTAACGTCCTTGACCGCGTCGTGGTTGGGATTCGTGGGATCACGCTGCCACTCGCCGACGGTAGGATCGATGCAAGCTTGGATGATGGTTTGGTCTAAGTCGACTACCAGGCTGAGTTTCCGACTCTGGAGAAGTCGACGCTGAAGTTCCTGCTCAACTCTTTGCGCGTGTTCAGCACCGACCCGTAGGTTGGTCTGATCGTGGACCATGCTAATCGGGGCGCGTTCTGTGTCTTGCGTTTCGGCAGCCCAGTTGACCTCGGTCATGTCCTTGCCGCAGATGCCGCACAAACCCTGAAATTGGATATCGTGTGGGCAGGACTCCTTGACTACCAGACAGGGTGTATCCGCTGTGATGTACTGGCCCTCCTTGATCAGCCACTTTGTAAGGTCGCCCTCGGCGGGCGATTCCCAGGTGACCACGGTTGTCTGCTCTACTTGCCATGTCTCGCCGCGGATCGAATCGCCAACCTCCCTCATCCACTTGAAGGAGTACGTGAGAACGGGCTCCTGCTTCTTGATCGGATCGCCGGGCGATTTGAGCAGTTTGACGATGGTGATGGGGTACCGCAAGCGGGACCCCAACTTAACGGTTTTGGACATGGTATCGGCAATTCTTGTCTTGTCTGACGTCGACTAAGTTTCTGGATTGTGGAGAATAGTTCTGTGTTGTAGGAAGGCAGCAGTCAGCTAGAATGCTGGACTTCCCGTTATATTGGACCTCCTTACACCACAACTTGCTCGGCCTTCCAGGGCAAATCGAAACCTGTGTTTGGGCGAATTGAACCACCCATCGCGCAGGACGCGCTTGTGAAGTTGTGGTAAGCTGCGGATAATCGTGAAAACGGCAAGGCGGGGTGTTGAGGAAACCCCAATTGCACGTTTTCTCTCGCGGAGATTTGCAAGTGCAAGTGGGAGATAAGGGACCGAACTGTTGGAGCTTTTTGGACCCGGTGTCGCGATCGCGAATCGCGATCTGGTTGCAGTTGTGGCCGCAAAGCAGTGCGGCACCAAAGAGCGGAAGAGGCCCGAGCTCCCAGAACCAGAAGTGGGACAGCTTCCGAAGAAGGTTTAGCGTCAGTCTGAAACCAGTCTAGCGTATAGCAATGGAGACAGAATGTGGGGCACAGCGCTGGAGAGTTGGCCCAAGCTTCCACAGCTGCCGAAGGAAGTGGGTCGACTTGGCAAGGCGAGCTCGAGCCACCAGTCCAGGCGGCGTCTGTTGGAAATGCGGGACTCGGAGAGGCGCAGAGATGGCGCCGCAGACACGATGGGGTTGCTTGCGACAAGAAGTCGGAACCGGAAGGTGTCAGATGGTGGGGGTCAGAAAAAGCACCGATGGGTTGGGGTCAGGTGTAAAACCCAAGGACAGAAAAAATGGAGGGATGATGCAATGCTCAAGTTGGTTTGAGGCGCACTGCAAGGAAACAACAAGCAACTTCATCATCGACCGCAAACGACCAGGCCCAAGATTTGGGCGGGATGGGCTGGTCCTTTTGTACCTGCCGCACACGCCCCCAGTTCTGGACCCCGCGTCTGGCCAATCTGATCGAAGAGGCTCAGCCCACCCCTGTCCCCCTTGACACACAAGCCACCGATGTGGGCTGTTGCTGTGGAGCGCAGATCTCACGCTGTGGCTGGTAACGTGGCGTTCAAGTGAGCATGGATCTTAAACTCGCTCATTTACCCCAAGAACTAAGATAACAAGCAAACGCTGCAGAGAAGAGATAACAGATTCAAGTTGCAGAGATGATAGCCGCTGAGTGATTTCTTGAACATCACCCTAATATCCATGGCATAGTTAGAAGAGCTGTCTGTATACAAGCAGCTGTGCTCCTCAGCAGGACCCTGATGCTTGTACAACACCAGGCCTCATCCACCCCTCATACCTCCACCGTTCACGTCTCCTGATTGCACAAGCTTTCGGCAGTCACAGTAAGCAGTCGTTTAGCCAACCATTAGATGGTCCAGAATTTTTTACCGCTTCTGCAGCAGCTCAAGACTGGAGAGTTGTCAGATGTGCAGGTGTGGAATGCAGTTGCTGGTAGTGACATGATCGTTATACCTGAACATATCAAAAGCTGTCATTCTATTGTGAACTGCAGATCACAACAAACAACGAGCAATGAGTCTCAAAGAACTTTATATACCTTGCGTTGGCTCAAGCAAGCATGACTGAGTATTTCTTTGAAGATCCTGGGATAAAATGTTCCAAGCAAAAGCCAAATTGTGTCATATGACACGAATTGCTCATACACTTTAAGTAGGGAGAATCTTGATCATGACTGTTACATCGGGTGACTCTGGGTCATGCCGACATTGAGCATTCTGTTTACCTAATGATCCCCAAAAGGGCAGCATCGACCCTACGTCCAATTTGACTCGGAATACTTTTACACACTATCATTACTATCTAGCACTGTACCAAAAAACAATACAAAAGGTTCAAGAATAGGTAGCAGGCATAATTGCCAGAGAAAGGCAGTAGACATGGCCAGAAACTGCCTGAGGATTGTTTGGTTGCTTGCAATGTTCCTGGTACCATCTCCGCCAAGTGACCCTATCCAGGCAGTTAACTTCAGTGCCCAGAAGGTGATGATGATGATCATTAAATGTATGTAGGTATGAACTTAGCAGTGAAGTAAAGTAAGTACGCAACACTAGGAGCAAATCGTCGTGACAGGTCCAGAAGAAAGCTAGCTCCAATCCCAACGCCACGATCCAAGAAAAAAAAGACACTGGGAAGGAAATCCAAGCCCTTAACCCCCAGTCACCAGACGTGACTCAACTAACCCAGACCATCCTGAACCGATGCCAAGAATTGGCCATGTATCATCATCATCTCGCATCTACGTAGGTAGGTTATGGTTGTCATTAGTATCGTCGTCATCGTAGCGCATCGTAGTCGTTGCCGGAGGCAATGCAATGGTTTCGTAGGCACCTATTCGTACGGTACCTTCATCGGTATCTACCTGCCCATCCAATCCGAGAATGAAATCCAGCGAAACTGATCTGGGCCAGACCCAACTCCATATCCTTGCCTGCTCTAAGCGGAAGAGGTGAGGAGAACAAAAGTCATAGAGTAAAAGAACAAAAAAACAAAAAACAAGATTCATGGCATCACAAGATGGGAAATCAAGGTAGGAAAAGAATGTAGGGACCTCAGGAAATCACTTTCGGAAAGGAAAGCGCTACTTCCCCCCGCCGACCGCGCCCCCAAGAACCTTGCTACCCAGCGACTTTGCAGCCGAGGCCGGGGCAGTCAACGCTGGATTCCGGAGGAAGCCATGCTGATGATGTTGGGGTTGATAATCCCAGTGGTCGTCGAACCGATCCACGAACGTCCAGCTCTCTTCTTCGTCATCGAAGTCGATGCTGGGGCCATCTCCACCGGTGCCAAGCTCAAGACCCAGACCCACGCCCGCTTCTGCGCCGTTGCTGGCCGTAGCATTGGCGGGAGCGGGAAGTGGTTCGCCAGTGCCAGAAGAGATCGTGTTCCTACGTGACGGGTTCTTCCGGGCTTTGGCTTTGATGAGGTTTGTCGCGTATTCCAGGTCGCGGTAGATGCACTGAACTGCGGTTTCGACACCGTTTTCCTGTTTGAAAGGGTTAGTAATCAACTGGTAAGGCACGGCAAACAAAACGGATAGAACTCACTTTTCGAATCTGCTCCCCCAGCACCCTCGCCTTAACGATCATCCTCTCGCTGTGCGTGGCCTCCCACAGGGCGCGCGCAAACGAGTTGGCACCCCACTTCTTGAGGCAAATGCCGACACCTAAATCCTCAACGCGACTACCAAAGAAAAACTGGTCTCCAAAGAAAGGCCGAATAATGGTCGGGATGCCCGCGCGCAAGCTGGCACCGGTAGTTCCGCTCCCTCCATGGTGCGCAGCGGCATCAATCTGGCGGAACAGCCAGTCGTGCGGGGCGCTCTGGATCTGGAAGATTTCCGGTGGCAGCTCGGGCTCCTGTTCCTGCTGATCGGGGTTCTTTGAGCGGTCGCTCCAGCCCTTGGAAAGGATGCAGCGGACATCAGCCTTGAGGACGGCGTCGATGACGTCCTGCGTCATCTTGATGCGGTCGGGCACAATGATGCTGCCGAAGCCAACGTAGACCAGTTTCTTTCCATCGCTGCGGGCCTTCTCGATGAACGCCCTGAGCTCGGGTGGCGGGGTCCATTTGCTATTGTTGTCACCTTCATCGAGAAACCAGTAGCCCGTGACGCGGATCCAGTCGGAGTAGTCGAGCGGCGGGGGCACAACGTAGGCAGAAAAGTTGTACAGGAAGGGGACTTTGTTGACCTGCAACTTCTCGAGGTTCGTGCTGGGGAGACCGAGCATGTTGTTACGCCATTTGTTGATTTGATGAGCGGTCGTCTTCCAGAACACCGTGTCGAACATCACGTATGTCAAATAGTTGTAGGCACCACCCATCTTCTGGCCAGGCATAACAAACGCATGAGGATAGGCGCGAGTCCGAGTCCAGGGCATAGTGAAGGCCCGGAAATATGGAATTTCGAGAGCCTCTGCAATGTGAATACCTGCCATGGCGCTAGGAGACTCGATGATGAGATCACTGCCTTGGCAAGCTTCCCACGAAGTAGCCAAGAGATCATCAAGGAACCCACGGAACTTGGCATTAGCCTCCTTCAAGAATTGCCAAGTGAAGGTGCCATTCTGAATGCAGAGACGCATCAACTCGCCGGGGTCGCCGCCGACGTAAGCGAACTCGATACCGTGGCTCTCAATCCAGTCCTTGAACTCGAGGTGAGTCGCAATCCTCGGCCGATGACCCTCCTCAAGCAGCTTCTTGCAGAGAGCGATGTATGGCTGGACATCACCTCGTGAGCCGATGGTCAGACAGGTGATAGTCATGGACTGAGCTGGCTTGAAGCTGAGGAAGGAGGTAGCTGAGTCGTCAAATAGTATTGTTGGCGCTTCAGTGACGCTAGACGCCTGGCGAGGCAACTGGAGCTCATGGTCGCCGAATTCCTCGTTCCGCGCCTCTTGGAGTGCATCGCGTTCGGCCACAGCGGCCTGGGCATCCTCAGAATCGGCACCATCCAGCAACGAAGAATCAGGCAGGAACCTTGTGGCCTCAATGCTTTGGAGGACGGTGACAGCACAGTCATCGCGGACTTCTGCCTTGCTAAACTCAAAGAATAGCTCCTCATGACCGCGGATGACCACCACCAAGCCTGAATAGCCAAAACGAAATCCCTTTTCCTTATCTACGTTTTCAATGTCGCGCAATGGCAAAACTAGCTTGGTTCGGGTCCCAGGAAGAAGGCTGCGGAAGCAGAAATGGCGATCGCCAATGTAAATCTTGCCATATAACGGGAGAACACGCATCATGTACCCGAAGTAGGCAGCCTGCAGCCGTTCAGTCTCAGGGAGGGCAAAGTGTTCCCTGAAACGGGCCTCTGAATTGGCACGTTCATTAGGATCTTCCTGTCCATCTTCTTCATCTGTCCTCAAGCCGGCGGGATCATCATAGTGTTTCCCGCCGCCTTTCCACATCCCAGAAACTTTCTCAACATAACCCATAGATTCAGTCGCTAGGAGGTTGCTCATGCGACGTGACTGACGATCCAGATACCCCATCAGGGCATTCGCCTTTCGGAACGGATAACCGCCCATATTAGCGATGCTCTGCAGAGTCGGTGTTGTCGCGGTAGCTCCAACCGCATTCTCCTGCCGAGCCGTGCCCTGCTGTGTTGATGGCTTAACCGTCGCATCAGTATCGTGCCTGACAATGCCAGCCGAGACCGGCTCCTCGGTATCTTCGGCTTTGTTCGAGGACCGATGGAAGATTGGGCTGTGGAACACCTCGCTACCGCGCAGTATCTGGCTTGCAGATGGATCTTCGCTGCTCGCGGAATGAACAAGCGCCGACAGGCTTGCCTGGCTTGGATCACCAACGCTTTGGACGAATGAGTCACTGCTCCCTTGCTGCTCATGAAGAGCTTCCCGCCGGTGTTTACTGAACGACCGCCGGGTCTTACTATAACTCCGGGACGGAGACGTCGGGTGTAGCTCTGAGCTTTGAGCGACGTCTATACTACGTCGAAAGGGCCGGAAAGCATCGAAGCTACTTCGGGGGCGGTCTTGGCTCGCACGAGAGACAGGCGAGGCGCAGCGGGGCGGTGTCATGGGCGATAGTGTGGCCTTGACCCCTTCCGTGAGTCGACCTGGACGGCCCTGAGCTTGGTCTCGGCTAGCGCTCATGCTCGTTCTTGTGGAGGCAGCTAAGCTCTTGTCGGGGCCATCACTGGCATCCCGCGCTTGCGATGAGGAGTCATCGATGAGGATCTTGAGAAGGTTGATCGCGTCTTTTCCATAGCTGAAGAAGGAAAAGTAATATTCGTCAATAGCATACGTCTCGTCATTGTCGATCACGCGGATTTTGCAAGTCTCAGCGAAGTCGAGCATGTGAGTCTCCTCAATGTCAATAATGTTTTCGATGGGCAAGGAGATCTTGACACTGTCGCCGTCGTTATGTGATCGGAAGATGACCCTCTGGATGCACTTGACCCACTCCTTTGCGCTCTGGGCGCTGTCAGCGCGAAAGTAGTAGGTACGGTTATGGGTCTCAATGGTGAAATTGATGCCCTCCTTATCCTTATCCGTAATGCTGGCCGATATGCCGTATCGCAGGTCAATATGACCGCTCGGGAAGTAGAGATCTTGGGGGTCGCGGTAGTAGGAGAGCACAACACCCTTAAGGCGGAACCAGTAGCGGTTGTACTTGGGATTCCGCTTCCCACACTTAGACAGATAACCAGACTTGACCACCTCGTTCTTTAATGGTCAGCACACACCAGTAGACACGTGATTTGCGGAAGGGAAGACATACCGCTTTCTTAGGCAAATAGGCATAAAAGGCAATATGTCGGGTAGTGATAAACATGTACCCCTGAAGCAAGACATGTTGCAGCAACCAGCAAGGATATTCTTGAATGACCTCCTCAGGGCGCTCAAATTCGAAGATATGTTTGAGCGTCTTTGCGAGCTCGCTGGGACCTATAGTGCCGTCGTCGCCTTCAGCGCGTCCCTCCTCTTCGGTTAAGCGGTCCAGTTCAAAGCTCGGCCTCGAGGCCACCTGGGCACGAGCCTCCAATAGCTTGCTCATAATAGGCTCTCCCATGCCTTCAGTTCGAGTAATCTCGATTGCGGGTGCGAGACCGGTAGGAGGGGCAGAGGAGGACTTCGAAGAAGATATACTACGATCAGCTGCGCTATCGTCATGAGGGGCCTTGGCCGACTTTTCTTTGGAAGATTTGGATGGCCTGAGCTTCTCGGCGAAGCGTGAAAGACCAGGCACGGAGCGCAGCAGATTTTCCGAGATTTTTCTCCGGTGTCGTGTGGGAGTGTCAGTGCTGCTGGAGTGCTGATCTGAAGAGCTCCGGGCAGTGAGGGGCAGAAGAGTGGTCTGAGCCATCGCGGTGGTGCTAGAAGAACTGTGGTCGGGCCTCCAGGGGGAAGGTTGACGAGGGGCGGCGATCGTTTTGGCCAGCGGGCTTTCATCATCTTCGTCATCTGAACTAAGGCTTTCGAAGCGATCGGAAAAGTTGGCCTGCCGGCCAACGGCAGCGACGAGGCCGAATATGCTCTGATGCATGTTCATGAACATGCCGCCGGGGTAGGCCTGAGGGCGCAGCACCTCCTCATCGCTGTCAGCCTCGTCGTTCGTCTCACGCAGCCGCTCGGGCAGTTCAAAAGAGGGCGTGTGAACGCCATCGCGACGTCTCTTTTGCAACTTTCGCGACACGCGTCTGGCTGTGCGCTCGTCCTGGGCGGCTGCTGAAGCCGCAGATGTCGCTGTCGGTTCTGAAGGCGACAACGGAGCGTGTGCTTGTTTACTCTCATCTTTTGACTCCGAGGGCCGCGGACTCGCAGTTGCACGGCAAAGAGGTTGCGCCGAGGAGTCCATTGGGAACTTGTGGGGATGAAGTGTGGAAAATAAAGCCTAGTATACAATCATCAGCATGTGAGCGGTGACTCAAATACCCTGGAGTTTGCGCCGCGCGGGGGGAATGAAAGAGGGGACCAACCGTCCTCTTGTGTCCAGGCCCTGCAGAAGTAGGTTTGGCGGGCGCAGGATGGATGCCTGAACTGGACAGCCTGGGAAGATGATAGAAGAGTGAGCGAGGTGAAAAAAGTTGAGGATAGCAGATGCAAGTCCCGTCCTATCAGATATGTATATCTCGGCGGGCTGATACGAACGGAAAAAAGTGCGGTTTAAGTGAGCCCGTGAAGCGGATGATTGGCGCGTCGGCGTTACACTCGAGCGAACGCCCCAGGGTAGATTCCGAGGACAATAAGCAAATCTAGGTAGGTAGTGTAGGGTGTCGTATCTGTGGGTAGGACGTGGCTCGGATCACAGGCATCCAAAATCCATTTAATGCCGTCAACACGGGAATATCGACTAGATAAGGCTGGCGATTGGATTGGCGATGGATCTCGGTGGGGAGACGCAGGTTAGGTGCTGGGACAAGGACGGTGATATTGTTGCTCTTCAGGGGTCACCAAAGGAATCAAAACGTCAGAAATCAAACACCTTGATGGCATTCGGGAAGAGAAGAGAATGGCTGGCGCTGGCGCTACAAATTGTTGGCCAGGAACCATGGCCGGGACCAGGCCAGATGCAGAACAGAGAAGAGGCCGGGGGGCTTGCTGAGCGATGAGGCTTGAGCGCTGACAATCCCGGTGCAGCGACAGCGACACCAGCGCCCATCAGCTGCAACCAGTCCGCCCCAGATGGCAGACTGTTGCCAAGAGGGGTCCACTGCCGGCGTGTGTCTAAGATCTAGCCAATCAAGAGCTCTTTCTTCTCACACGAGACCTTCCAGCAAGGGTCCCCTGGTCATCGCCCTGCCAGGCGGCCCTGCTCAGATGCGACCCCGAAATCTCACCAGATGCTGGCGCCAGCTCATCACCCGACATACAGCCGGAAGATCTTGCGAGAGAGTCAACGAGCCGATCAAAACGGACCTACATGTGTATTAAAGTGCAAACTGCAGAGAAGCCATCGCGGTACCATTATAATGGCAAACAACAGCAGGTTTTTTTTCCCGATTCGGTTTAGACATCTCTACTTCTACCTTTCTTGACGAAAATCCTTTTCGGCAGGAGTAGCAACCGCCAACACCTCCATGTCTTATCGATAAACAGCCTTATGATGCGCTGACGAGGAAGCGATCCCGGCAGTAGCATGGCCACTCGGCTCTGTCACATACGAACATTCTGCTGTCTCCAGTTCCATGCTTCTATCAAGACGGAAAAAAAAATATGGAGTTCGGAAAATGCTCCATATGATCTGCGCCACAGGTACTGACATGTAAGTATGAATCGTGGTTTCAGCTAACCTCATCTAACCTCTCAACATTTTACAAGTTGTCTAGGTAGTCTAGGTATCATCCCCAACATCGCCAATTACAGTCTTATGTAACCCGTGTGAGGTACCACAACACTCACATCCACAGGGAAAGCTTTCCGCTTGCACTGCCTCCAGCAACCCAGTCCTTCGTCGGGTGGAAGACAGCAACCGCTGGCACGGCCGTGATGCCTTCCCCATCTAGCTGGGCGAGCTGCTCACCAGATGCCGCGAACACATCCACGAAACGGTTCATGTTGCCAATCACAAACTTGTGTATCCCGTCTTGTGGGTTACGCTGCCATTGGGGCTTGAGGATGGTCACCCACCGGCCCGTCTGATTGTTGTGCGGGATCTTACGAACGGGTGTCATCGCCTTCTCATCGAGCTCCTCTCCTGGTGTCCACTTCCCTGCGTCCGGGAAGGAATAGATCTTGATTGTGTCGTCGTAGCTGGCGGTTGCGACATGACCAGCCGCAGACCAACTCGCGTGTGACACCGACAGACGTGACTCATGAGTGCCCAGCAACGCTGGAGTGTGACCACTCTCACCCTTAGTGATCTTGCGCAGGTCCCAAATCTTAAATGTGCGGTCCAAAGAGGCCGTAGCCACAAGGTGAGGATGGCGGGGATGCAGTGTGAATCCGCCAATCTTGTGGTCAGTCAGGTGCCAAATATCTGCCGCGGACGGCTTGGTGCGCAAATCGTGCCGTCCGAGAGAGCCAAAAAGAGTAGAAAAGAGAATCATGTTGGGATCATTGGTGGGCATGTCGATCGCGCTAATGGCAAGATCCTCGTTGGGATCAGCCGGAGCATAAACTTGGATTGAAATGCCCTTGTCAAGGTCAAGCTTGCGGATTGAGGAATCGTAAGAGCCAGAGAAGACTGCATTGGCATCGACCGGGGAGAAGTGGAAAGCTGAGATGGTGCGGGAGTGGGTTTTGAAAGCTGATATGATGGGATCCGGGCGCTCAATCTCTTCCTCCTCGTCGTCTTCGACCTTGGGCGGCTCCTGAGAAGCGTCGAACACACCCATGGCACCCTCCTTGTCTCCGGCAAATATGATCGGCTTTTCCTCTGTGGGATGGAAGCCCATTGAGTATACACGCTGTGGCACAATCTTGATGTCTGTAACCTGTCAGTTTATGAACTCAAAAAAAAAAAAAAAGAAGGACTGTCGCATGCAACGCACCCTGGACCGACCACTTCTCGTACAGCTTTAAGCTGCTCATGCGCAGCCGCAATTCCTTGAGGACCTTATCTGTGGTCTCCTTGACGTCTTCGTCCGTAAATGTTCTGAGCCCAGGCTGAGCGCCTCGACTCAAGCCCTTCAAACCTGCCAACCCATCCAGGCCAGCCTCCCACTTGCGACCCTCAACTTGGATGTCGCCCAGCTTAAGATCCTCATCTACACGCATCTTCTTGGCCTTCACCTGTTGTGCCTCAGCCTCAGCATCGACCTCAGCCTTGCGCTTGAGAAGTTCCGGGTCGGCATCGGGTTTGAGGCCGGCAAGTCGACTGCTCTGGCGCGTAGGACGGGGTGGCTCGCGCTGGATGGGTTCGCGCTTGGTTCGAGGGGTACTGGAACGTTTGGGTTTCGGAGGCTTTGGTTGAGGAATAATTTTCTCTGCTGTGGTGCTGATCTCGCCCAAGATCGCATTATTTTGTGCGATGTTTTCGAGCCTCTTGCGCTCGAACGCGCTCATGACAGGTTCTTTGGACGGCATGACGATGGATTAAGGACAATAGCAGGAGAAATAAGTTGTTTAGACAGACGCCAAATATAACAATTTAATTGAGAAAAGAACACAGTGAAATAAAAATATAACCCTAAGCAGAACTCCTGCACAGGAAGATGGTGGCGCAAGTCCTTCGAGGAGTTGAAACGCGACGATGCGCGAGACGCAGGATCCAATAAACCACAGCGCGACTCTCAGAGCCCTGGCTCGCGAAATCACGGGAAATGCAGGGGTCCTTCTTTAACCCCACACTTTTAAGATCTGCCAAGTTTGATTGGTCAGCCAGCAGATATCAAGCTTTTTGGGGGTTTGTGGAACAAGGATCTACCGGCAGGCAAGGCGCGCGACAGGTGAGTGGGGCAACGACCAGCTCTCGGGAAATTTTCGAGATCTCGTCGGATCGAGACACTATCAACACATCGACAACCTTTGGGCACATTGCCTGCCCACAGGTTCCCTGTCCACGCAGCCAACATGTCGACCACAGTCATGCCGTTCCTCTACCAAACGAGGACATTGCAGCGATTATCTCGACCGGGAAGTGCGCCACGAACACTGCGCATGCTCTTGCACTCAAGTGCCACTCTTAGGTACCCCCGAGCCCACTCGAGACGTCCAAAACGGACCGATAACACAATCCCCTTTGAACTTCCCGAGGGCTATCAGCCACCCGACTCCGAGACACCGGCTTTTGTCGAAGTAGATCCCGAAACTGGTTTGCGGTCAACCATCACCCCCTCTGAGAGGGCGGCATTCAGTCGCATTTTCGAGGAAATTGCAGCGAAGAGGGCTGCTCAAGCCGCTGCTGCTGGCATCCCACCTGCCGGGACCACGTCTGCCCCTCAGACTGCTGCTAATGCTGTCCCTTCTCGCCCCGATCAATCCTTCACCGATGTCGATGACTTCAGCATCCGCACAAAGGAGCCGGATCATAATGCCTTCCGCGATACCATCAATATCATCGTTCAAGATGCTGCTGAGGTGCACACGAATGCTAAGCGCCAACTTGGCAAGACTTTCGAACCCCTGCATCCTCTGGGCCAATTGACAGCTGCGACTGAATGGGAAAAGGCTTTACTTCGCTTCCCGCCCAGCCTTCGTCAGGCTGCACGCATCGCCCTTGGCACCATGGAAGAGGACGCCGCAGCCGAGAAGGCACCTCCTCCTAGCACGACTCATCCGATTCACGACGAGATTGTCAACGAGGAGACTAAGCTAGGCGCACAGATAGATGTGGCCCTTGACCCGCTGTCCACACCAGTCAAGAATGAAGCCCTGCGGCGCGCTGAGCGCAGGCGTGTCGAGGCCAAGATGCTGCAATGCAAGACTGACTTTGAGCTGTGGGATGTGCTTGAGGAGGAAGTCTTCCCCATGGTTGAGAAACTTGGCCTGGACGAGGAGAGTACCAAGGCGGCCACCAAGAATGGCAAACGTGGTCGTGGCAAGCGAAAGGATAAACTCCCTGTGCACATCTACGGCCCTCTATACCCAGCATACCTGATGGCGGCGCTGCGTTTGCTCGACACACGTTTTGCGCGCTCATCACCACTTGCTCTTCAGGTTCTTCCTCGAGTCAAGGAACTCGGTCTCGCCAGTTATGTACTCGGTGTCAGTACGCCGTTCTACAACGAGCTTCTCCGCATCCATTGGAAACGCCACGGAGACCCTCGTGCTGTCTTTGATTTGCTCGAGGAGATGCGTGCTGTCGGTCTGTACTGCGATGAAGTCACCAAAGATATCGTCTTGAACATCCAACAATACCTTGATGCCAGCGCTAAGGGTAAGGAGGGCCCATTTTTGGGAGAGTTAGCGACTCTGCCTGAATACGAATTCGCGCTTATGCCGCGTGCAAGGCACTGGCTCAAGGCAATTGAGACCCAAATGTGGGAGAGGAAACAAGATTTGCGGGTGTGAGTGGGGCTGGTGTACGATACGCTGCGTGTATTATGGGCTTGGGACATGTATGCTAAAGGTTATGGCGTTTCGTCGCTTGGATAAGACACCTAGGCCTGGAGCCGGATGTTATGTTGACTGGCGGGGTATGAAATCGCAATCATATCTTCCTATTTTTCATGAAACACTTGACGCCCTCAACACATCTGGTCTTAACGGTGATCACACACTATTGATGAAAAGCCACGTTGAATGGCTATCGTTACCAAAGGCGGCCATCAAGTTGGTCTCGGATCTGAGACCTCATGCCCCGCTCCTCGTGTACACATCACCCTCTGACATCATCATCCACTCTTGGTATTTCTCAATTTCAGCTCAGACACTTCGAATTAGTAAGCTTCTGTCTTCATTTCAGCTTACCCATTTCCCCGAAAAAAAGACACGAGAAGTTTTACTGTATCATTATGGCTGAAGCAGCGCTTCTTTCGATCAAGTGGTCCTGACTCAGAGATGTCTCACGTCGACCATGTCCCGCCGACCCGACCAGGCAATCCTTGACCGTTTGGAGAACCGCGACCGCATGATAGACAAAACACTTTAAGAGAATATGGTTCCATATCATCCCATCCAACCAAAATTCGGTCCAAAAAGTGGTCTCCCGAATTGATATTTCCCGAGTGAACTACTGAAGATCACACTCCTGCCACCAGACTAAGATGAAAGCGAAGGCCACTTTAGATGTCAGCATGACTTTGGACAAACGCAGCCGAGCCACCACGAACACCTATGAATGCGTCCTAACCAAGAGGTCTGCTTCTTCCCGTTCGGTGTCACTTCCTTTGGCTATCCATCAAATAGGGCTTTGGACTCGGCTGCTACCTTCCGGCAGGGAATCGACATCTCGACGTCAATCTACCCCCTGGTGGTGTTTTAGCTCAGTAGTACGCAGGAAGAGTTCGTCCAAAGAAAGTCCTCAGATCGACTTCACAGAGAACGAGATCCCATCACCCACTGGTATCAGACCTTCATACACAATACCACAACAGCAAACAGCTCAATCAGCGACAAGCCCAATAGAACAAACCCAGCAGCCAATGCTGAAACGAGCGCCATCCCTCCGTCGAAGGTGTACATCTTGCTTTGTCGTCGACGGCAACACAGTCAGCTCAAGCAGTGACCTTTCATTCTCCTCCACACCATCAGTCCCATATAAGACGATCCCCATTCTCACTATTGACACGAGCGGCAGAGCAATTTCCCCAACAAAGGCCAAACGGTCCCTTCCATACTCGAAGCACCACCAGGCTCAGCGACAAAAGCAACAGCCTGCAACTCAGAAGGGATCACCGCTGGGAACCCCAACTCTGCCACAGTCTCCTCGTTCGGAGGGCAAGACTGTAAGGCCCAGTTAAAACTTGGAGAGGCTGTGGAACTTGCTTCGGTGTCATGGCAAGTCTCCTTACTCTGTACGAAAAGATAGGCCGCAGTTTCAAGGGAGGGATCGTCCTTTGACGTACCTTCCTGAGCTCCCGATGATGTCACTATCCCACTAGACGTTTTTCTAGCGTCTAGCACGTGCCATGCTGGGGACCATTTGCGTATGGATTTTTTTTTTCTACGATACATAACCAATAATACAGTCCTGGATCGCCATTAACAGTCTCAACCCACCTAAACCACTCGATATCACCGTGGTGACGGCAATCTACCTATATTTCAGATAATGTATCATAACAGCTCAAACAGCCAAGGGTTTTGCCGAATGGGGGCCCTATGGTTGGGGTCCAGGAAGGAAGAAGGGATGGCTGTTAGGGAGAAGCCTGAGCAGGCGAAATGGTATTAGCTTATGTTAGGCTTTGCAAATACCCAAGCAGGAGGAGAGAACTGCGTACACGTCTGCCTTTAAAAAGGATTGTACCGAGTAACCCTGGTGTACTGAGAGCTTTTTGACCAAGAATTTTGGCATCGAATTTTTGAGGGAGAGTTGTAGATCTAGAAGTTGCTGAGGGCGATTGACATGTTATTCAACTGACACAAGTTCCAGAAGGCCGTCCTGTATCAAAAACCGACAGAACCCTAAGCGATATAGATACCTGCTGATGTACAATATAGTTTCCCCATGACTTTATACTGGAATAACCGTGTGCTTATCATGAGAAACATGTAGCTATGAAGTGTGACAATTGGGGGAAGGGGGGGTCGTCTGGTGCTTCTGGCTTGATCTTCAATATTTCCACCCCAGCCCCTCTGCGTCGAGCAATTGAAAGCCTGTTGTTCGGGTCGTAACCTTCACTCATGCGGAAAGATATGCCTTGTTCCAGATCGTATAGCTGGTTCTTCGCCCAGTTCGTTTGAGAAGGCTTTCCCAACATGATCCTTTGCCGTTCTCTCGTGCAGCACCAGCAAGGCTACATTCGGTTGGACCATCTATGCGATGGTATAAGCACGCCTTGCAACATACAGTCAAAAAGTAAATGTCTGCATCGGATAGTTCTCTCCTCCTTGCTCCTATCCATGGTTCATCTCCTCCGGGTGCTAGCACAGACAATGGTGAGCACGGGGCAGCCCTCCACCCCATCGCCCCATAGCAAGGCTAGTCGTCGAGACCAGTGAAGCGCTCCATCGACGCCATTGAAAACCGGTATGGGCCATTGTTTCAGCCAAGAGATCATCCATAGGCTCCCTGCTTTCAAACCATCATATAGGAGGATCTTGGTTGAACAATGTCATTTGTTCGTGGATCCGGGGCTTCATATTCCAAGCATCTAGCAGGCGGTTGGCACACGTATATACTTTATGTACATACTTCTCCAGCTTGCGCCTTTGCGCCTCAAAGGTTTCGTGCGCTCACACCAGGTCTTTCTTATGCATGGTTCATTGAACACTCGAAAAAAAAATTTGCATTGGAAGTGTGGATGGTCATCGAGAAGAGAGTGCGTGTTGCTTTCTGTGGGACGCAGATGATTATTTACAGATTTGGCAAGAGAAATGAAATTGGAGGATAAGATAGAGTAATAACTTGAAATGCTAGGTTAAGATCAAGGAATATTGTGCTTCCGGGGTCCAGTCTCTTATAGTTTTTATAACTTGATATTGACGACTTCGAGGATCGAGACTCCAGGAACAAGGAAGATGTGTCTTGCGTAGAATTTCGTAAAGATCCGACCGATTCCAATTATTGCATCTATGCCGCGGTATTTGCACGAATGGGACGTAACGCACTTGCACACAGACGCAGAGCCACTTCGTCCTACGACATGTACGCCAACAGTATCGGCTAACCTTGTACAGAATCTCTCACTATATCGGAGGTGAAGTATATACTATGCCAGCTGTCACGATCAACAGGGGGTATGGGGGGAAGAAAAGTTGAGATTAGGCACAAAGGGCCAATAAAGGCGCGGCTCACGCAGGTCCGGAACGGAGAATAGGAAAGAGAACCAAGAGTCACTGATGACAGGTCGTCAGAGTCAAGAGTCACTTCCTTTTGACGCACACTATCATTGTACCATTCTGTTAAAACAGCCCCTCTTTTTTAAAGCTTGTTTTCTCCTGCAAATAGTACAGGATCCATCAAGACAGTTCAAAATGCCCATCAACTAGGGCTCTGCTGGTTTCTAATATTACATAATAGCTGGTGTGGAGAGACTATTATTCTCTCGTCTGGATGATAGTCTTCGGATAACACCAGCGGAATCTCGCTCTCCATTTTCCGTACCTGACGCCCTGACCAGTATGACGTTGGTGGCTTCCCCGTGATCAAACCCTCTCGCTGCTCCTCACAGGTTTTGCAAGGACCAGCTGATGAACGTTGCCCTCCAAAGAAGCAGTCCTCGCAACATTGGACCTTGATGATCAAATCTGCCTGAGCAAGCACCCGTCTCCTCTCTGCAACCCAAGGTACATCATCTCCTGGCGTTATGTCATCCGGCCGCAGTTCCATGAACCTCCACCCGATCCTCACGAACTCTCGCTTCCATGGATACGTCCATTCACACCATCTTTCCGTCCTTCCAGTCATTAAGATGGTGCATATCTCATCCCATAGCACTCCCATCTTTAAACCATCATCCAAATCGGTTTGATGCCGCCTTAACGGCTGTCGTGGACTGACCGTCTCATACACGACTTTCCTGACTGCCGGCCGGGAGATATACATCCGCCGCCAGCTGGCCCCTTTCCGTTTATGTGCCTCGTGAAGCCTCTTCCATTCCTGCCTCGGGCATTGACGCTCCAACCCCGTCAGCTTTGCCAGAATATGGTTGCGATACCGGCGCATCCTGCTCCTCTCCCACTGTCCTGATGCAAACATGGCAGTATCGTACATGCGTGCCATATTCAACGTGAATGGTGCTACAATTCCAAGGGTCCAGAGGATGTTGGGCGGTGACTCGTACTTGGTGAGGTTGTTGATGCGTTCGCTAGGAGCATACCATTTGCGTGTGTTCTCATCTCGCTCCATCTGCCCCTTGAACGCGGTATTTTGCAAGGAAAGGATGCCATCGAGGGGATATATGCATTTAAAAGCCCATTGAAGAAGGGGGTTTGGTCGGAAAGGGGGTCCAGGAGTTTGATTATCGGGAAGAAAGAACAGGTGGCGCTGTAATGGAGCGGATGAAGAGATGATGGAGTTCCACATCTTACAAACGCGCTGACAAGAGACAAGAACAGTGTACATATCCACCTCGAGGAGAATTGCTTCCAGCAACTCGGGGGTGTTCAGTACCCGAGAGCTGGAAGCGGCTATTCCTGGCTCCATAAATGAGTTGCAGCTCGGGGGTCGCTGCTTTGGGTTGACACGTCGATATACAAATATAAGGCGTGACTTCAGAACTTTTGGATCGAAGCTTAACGATGGTGCTCGTTAAACTACGTTGCACCAAGCATTGCAGACTCGGTGGCAGGGTACAAGGAGTGTCCGTAGACCGCACTGCAGGAGGATGCTTTCGAGAATTCAGAAACCTCGGGAACTCTCGCTTGGGTGGATGTTACTTCTTGTACGACGTCGAGGAAGGGCTCCTTGAAGAGCGGTGAGGGAGCTATTGAAATGCCCAGGGCAGGGGGGCTGCCATCTTCCTTCCGATGTTGTGTATACTGAAGAATATTTCCGAGGCTGATCGGAAAGCTACCATATCGAAGCACCATTGAAGTCTTGGCTGGGATACTGACATTTAGGAAGTCAATGATGGGCCAAGCAGAACTCAGGGGAGAGAAAGAGACATATCAGACGGATATTAACCAAATTCGAGACAACGAGCAAAAGAAGACGAGCAGCTCGTACTTAACGAGTCATGATGGTTAGCGAGAGCATTCCGCGACCTTAAGTACAGGCCTTGGAATCGCGTTGGTCGCTTATTCTAATTTGTTTTGTGGTTTGTATTCAGGGATTCAGGGCTTTGGTTAAGCTGCAATCGATTACCCATAATTACAAGCAGTTTGGCATGTTGATGGAGCTGGTGATGTGCGTCAGCCAAGGCGATGGGTGTTTTTTACCAAGTCAAGAAGGATATGCGAGACTTGAAATAACCATGAGCGAGTCGGTGTGTGTGATGCGCTGTATTGGATGCGACAGCCCCGCGGTATTTTACAGGAATCTGAGGGGTAATTTTCAGGTACTTCAGGGACTCTTGGTAGTTAGAGCAGAGGTATATACTGTTTTTCATCCATGAAAGTGTGTTGGATGACGGAACTGCATGGAGACCTGTTCGACTTCTCATACAATAAGCCCCTACTCTAAGGCTGGACTGTAATGCTGGTGTTGATGATCTTGTACAGTAAATTCACCGTCATTCACCGTCCATGCCCACGCATCGTTACAATGTGTCATACTTTACAGTAACTCTGTGGATTTGTTCATCCACTACCCACACTTTGCAACAGACTTGCCGGGGATGAGCTCTGAACAACAGAGGCCCCAAAGTTCTCTCTAAACACCTGCATCAACTCACGGCAAAAGATTTCAAGTGTGCTTACGGTAGAGGCGCATAGGAAGAGTATTGGAGTCTCCGTTACTGGCCTTTCTATGTTTTACGATGCGTAAAGGATGTTGGATTTTTTTTTTTCGCTAACTCTCTGCCTACGCAGTCCATGGGCAACCCTCGGATACAATTTCTGTGATGTTGCTCTTCCCCAAGCTCTCCGTTTCATCCAACACCAGAACCATCCGCTTCCTGGCCTCGATATGACTCTCCTCGTCCATCTTTGCTAAACCCATATGCTCCATTACGACACACATCACCGACTCCATCAGCCTCTTCGCCATCGGCCCTGCCACACCCTGTTCATAGAAGGCCGGCGTCTCGTTAGCTTCCAACAACCACACATTCCCCGTCACATCCACCAGGAAGTCCAAAGCAAACAGCTCATAGCACTTCTCCATAGTCGTGAACTTATCGGCCATCGTGTGTGCCGCGGCTCGGAAAACCTCGCCCGAGATCTTACACACCTGCTCCCACACCTTTTGCTTCCATTCCTTCGGGTCCCCGAGGACTCCATCATCCACCGCCGTCGTATCCTTCCAGAATTCTCGCATCGATTCCCGCCCCAACACCTCCTCATCACTCAGGTGCAGAGCCGTGTTGGTCAAAAAAGCCCGCAGCGATGCCCCCTCCTCCCATGGGTACTTATATTCCTCTGCGGCTAGCAGGGTGAGCATCTCACGGTAGACGTGCACACGCAGCCGGCCGATTGGCAGCACATAGGCGCGGACGTGCCACTTGCGACCGTCCATACGCGGCACATGGAGGATGTACTGCTGGGCGACGAAGGCACGCATCTGGGCTGAGGGGATGCGACCATTGGCTTTGAAGACATACTTTGGCCTTTTCGGGCGGGAGACTCTCGTGCTGCTGAGGGAGAGCTTGCCGGTAGTTGTTACGAGGACGTCAAGAGCATCGAGGCCGGGAGTTGTGAGAGTAGGTGTGAAAGGCGGTTGATTGGCGTCTTCTTTCTCTTCCTCCTCTCTTTCTGCTTCAACATCTTCCACTTCCTCCTCCTCATCGCTGTCAATCTCGTACTCGGCGAGTTCGAGGTGGCCGGCTAGCTCCTCAATGGTGCTGAAGAGACGGATGCCAGCACCACAATCGACCAGGGCAGGCTTGAGGATCCACCACTGACGCTCAGACGGAGGCTTATTGGCGTTGTCCTCAAGTGAGCGCAGCAATGTCAAGTCGTCGGTAGCGGCAAGCGCTTCGTCGACGTACTCAGCGTAGTCCAGGGACAGTCGAACTGTGGCAGGGACATGCTGCCGCAGCTTGCTGCCAGGCCTCTTGGCAGCCCAAAAGTCGACCGCCTGGGACAAGTAGTCTTTGCGGGCCAGGGCATCGCTGTTCGGATAGGCATTAATTACGCCGTTTTTGGCACGGTTGATCACGGCGAAGTGCTCTTGGAGCTCCCAGCCGTCACAAATCTGGAGCTGCGTGTCCGCGTCTGGAGGGAAGTCGGCCATGTCATCGATGAAGACAGCATCAGGCACATGCCTCCTGATGAAGGTCTTCAGATGCTCATCCAGCCAGGGGCAAGCACCCCTTACATATACGTACATTTTTGCTTTCACAGGTGATCGGAACTACCACCTAGAGACAGGATTGTTCAACGAGAGTTCTCCCCTTTCTCTTCTGGAGGGAGAGTGGCTCGACGAGGAGTAGAAACGTGGGCAGAGCCCTGCATAGGGTTGGCAATCGAGATAAGTGTGGTTTCTCCCGGGGCAGACGAAGGCATTGGGCGACACGGATCAGAGATATGGTTTTCGGCGGCCTTGGGAGTGCCTGAAAGGCAAGAAAACGAACCTGAATTGGTCACCTTAAATAATCTTTCTACTCAGCTAAATTGGGTCCTAGGATCTAACTTGGCAGACTCGACTTAACACAACGGAGCTCTTCAAGGAGATGGAGACATCCTCATGTCCTACTCCTAGATTAACCCCTTTCGAACTTACACGCCCTTCCAACGATCGCTTTAATGAATAGTGGGTCTCTGGGTCGGTTGTTACAAATAAGCTTCCCAGATTCGAACATAAGTGGTCCTTTTTTTGTAACGAAGATCTGACTTGTCAGAAACGAGGCTGTGGAATCGACTCCCGATTTGTTGACTGACGTGCCAAGATCCTGTTAACGTCGTAGTTTCCTTTCTATACTGACACCGGTGTATTTCTAATAAAACATCTCTGGCCAAGAGAGATGTGACCATGCCAAGCCAACCCATGGACATCGATTACCTAAGAAGCGGCATCTTAGTGAGAATCTTCACTTTTTCTCTTCTCTATTGGCACATGTAGAGTTAAAAAACGTAATGCATGCCGAAGACCGCATCATTTTCTGCACGTCGGCCCGGTGTTTGTCTTCCCTTTGCCTTGGCATCATGGCTCTCGATACTCCCATGAAGGTCGTCGATGGCACAGCATTCTGTTGATGCCTAAATATCGAAGGTCAGGAAAATACACCCATTCCTCCTGGGTGGATCCTTGAGCAGCTCTTGGATGAACTGTTGAGTCTGTCACAACAACTCTTTGGAGTGGGGACTGGTATTCTCACTCCTAATCCTTTGTTTGTCGATGGATGCTGATATAGTTTGACAGTTCAGCTGGAAGCATCAACTGCCTGTGAATATCCGTGTTGAACGATCCAAGGGAATCATCCTTGCTTTCATAGATTCCCCTCGAGAGTGACCGGGGGACCTGAAGCACTTCAAAAAAATAAAAATAAAACACAAATACCCACAGTAGTAAGCCTCCCAATACGTAACCATACTCATACTTGTTTCTCTCTGATGCAGCTCTCAACGGCCCGAGTAGAGCCTACGTGACTACAACAATCACCTTTGCTTCAATTGGCTGCCGCATGTCCTTGTTAGTGTGGGACCTTGAACTAGCCAAGAATGTTCGACTGTTCGATGAGTACTATACACTATGTGCTTTTTCACTTCTGTTTGGAAATTCCCTTTCTTATAGGGCTAGATTTCATTCTATCATCTTCTACATTAATCAGGTTTTGATGTTTCTATTGGTGTTTTTCTTAGCCAATTGTGAGTACCACACTAATAGACGGAGCGCAATGTGCATATTGCACTGCAAGTTGAAACGAGCGGCTTCTAGGATGACTGAGATCTTGATCTGTTAGTTGATCATTAGGCACCGAGCTTCATGACTTTCCTCTCTTTTCGTTCCACTCTTTAGTAAGCAGAGGAGCATACTGGTAAAACACCTTTCGTTCAACTGGTCACGTGGTTGATCAATTTTTAGCATTGGGGCTCCACGATGTTGGCGATCCGAGGTCGAAACCCGACTGAATCCCGTCGCATACCTGGGATTGGAAGGAGTCACATAATCCCGAGATGAGAGACAAAGACCTCGATTTACCCAAGAACGGATTTGAGAAATCCGAGGCATTTGCCATCATGTTCTTGAGGATGGCCGTCAGTATGCTTGGGTCAATACCTACTGCGTTGACAAGTCTAGCAGCGCAGAGTTGTTCGAGTCCATTAACTCTATGTCTAATTGATATTAGAAACCCAAAGTTTGTCTGGCGTACCTAGAAGATGCTGAACCAGAAGAAGGGCTGCCGACCCTCGCTCGACTTCGACACCGTCGTTGGTATTTTCCTCCAGAAAGTAAGGGACGGTTATGCAAGGAATGCTCCATACAGGCTTTTCGAAATGTTTGTCATATCAATCCAAGACTCAAGCATGCTGTATACCACTTCTGAGAGAATAAGGGATCATTATTCAAGGTACACTTCGAACGAGGTTTCCCCCACGTCTGTCACACCCATCCAGAACTTAAAAAGTTGGGGTATATGGATTTGCTCCCTATTCGCATTGTAACCGATCGATGGGGTGTTCATCTTGTCGGATTAAGAGCATTCGCTTTCAACGTTTGCCAGCAAAAAGTTCAAAATGAGGCATCGGTCTAATTGAGCTTATTTTGCAAAACAAAACAACAACGGAGAGTCCTGAGACGAAGTCAAAAACTCTCTGCTTCCTCTCTGTGGGAGCATGAGTGATAGAGAAGATCCTCGGTTAGTCCTTGGGAGCAATTTGCGCATGGACGGCGTCATACCGGACGCTAAACCGTGGGTCACTGATGTATTACATGGCGTTTCGCCTGAATTTGACCTTCTCAACAATCCATTTGTACTGGCAGCGATTTCGAAGAGCATATTGTAACAAAGTCATGTGAAGAGTCTATCTTCTGATTCCAAATACTATTGTGTTAAACTGGCTAACGGCATCCATGTGAAAGTGGGAATTGGGTCCTCTAAATCACAAAACACATCAGCTATTCTTGGCACCATCGGATTCGAAGTTAGAGACTGTGGCACCATATCAGAATCAGGACCGCCTTTTCATGGGAGAATCCGCTATAAGCGATATCGCCAACTCTTCTGCCCAGGGCTGGTGCAAGATGAATTGCTAACTTGAAAACCAGAGATAGGGAGAGATTGAAGGGAAATCTTGGACGATCAATCATTGGTGGAGTTTTGACGAGACCAAAGACCAACTAACCGTCTACTGGAGCGTTCCAGCGGCAGTGAAGTAACCGTCAAGCTCGACCAAGAGACCAAGCGGGGTTCCTTATCAGTATCAACGTAGATCGGCTGCCCCCGCGGTGAAGTCTCACAGCACATGCTTCGATAGCATTGCAGTTGGTGTCGGTAAAGCGATTTCCCGCAAGAGCAATTATACGTTGGGGTTGTCAGAAACGCGCGACGTCCCCATCTTGCATTACGCGCGACATACAATGGACTCTCGCACCTCTCATGCAGCAGCCAGCAAGGCCCTCCTTGCAGCAGAAGCGCGCTATATCACCAACAACCCCCTCTCCAAACAGATTTACGATCAGGCCACGTCCTCTCTTCCAGGAGGCAACACGCGCACAGTCCTGCACACCTTCCCATTCCCGCTGGCCATCACTCACGGCAAAGGCGCCCACGTCTGGGACGCCGACGGCCACGAATACCTCGACCTGGTCGGCGAGCTGTCCGCCGGCCTATACGGGCACTCGAACCCCACCATCCACAATGCCATCCAGCGGGTCCTCTCCTCGACGGGCTTATCCCTGGGGGGACAGACCCCTTACGAGCAGCGCTTTGCGTCACTGCTGTGTGCACGATTTCATCTCGACAGCGTGCGCATGACTAATTCAGGGACAGAGGCTAATTTGCATGCTTTGGCGGGTGCGAGGCGGTTTACGGGGAGGAGGAAGGTTGTGGTCTTCTCGGGAGGGTATCATGGTGCGGTGCTGAGCTTTCCGGATGGAAAGCCTGCGGAGAATGTGGTCGATAAGGGGGATTTTGTCGTTGTACCGCGGTACAATGATGTTGAGCTTGCGCAGGAGGTAATTAGGAAGGTGGGAAATGAGTTAGCCGCTGTGTTGATCGAGCCGATGCAAGGGGCTGGGGGATGCATAGTTGGGAAGAGGGCATTTTTGCATGCTGTGCAGGAGGTCGCAAGGGAGGTTGGGGCATTGTTTATCCTGGACGAGGTGATGACGTCGCGTCTGGCACCTGGCGGCTTAGGCGCCGAGTTGGGCCTGAAGCCAGATCTGATGACTATGGGAAAGTATTTGGGTGGCGGCTTTGCATTTGGAGCATTCGGTGGACGGGAGGAGGTCATGAGGGTGTTTGACCCGCGAGAGCCTGGGGCACTGGCACACTCTGGGACTTTTAACAACAATACGATGTCCATGTGTGTTGGGGCTACGGGTTTGGAGGAAGTTTTTACGCCTGAAGTGTGCGTGAAGTTTAATGCCAAAGGAGACAGCTTGAAGAAACGGCTGCAGGATATTGCTAGGGGGACAAGGCTGACATTCACAGGCAGGGGCTCGTTGATTGGGCTACACTTTACGGAGGATGGAATGCAAGATATCATTTGTGGCGAGGACCTTAAAGGGAGAGACAGGAAGGATTTGAGAGATCTTTTCTGGTTTGAGATGCTGGAAGCCGGGTATTGGATCACACGTAGAGGATTCATCGCCTTGATATTGGAAACTTCGGATGACGAGCTTGATGCATTTGTTCAAGCAGTAAAAGAGTTCCTGCAAAAGCATAAGAACCTCATGACAGTTGGTGCATAATAACTAACTGCTTATAGAGAGGCGAGAAGAACGCTTGCTGAATCTCGGTGTATAGCATGCATTAGGAACAACATGGAATCTCTAGCAGATATCAACTGACGGTCCTCACATGTACATCAATTAGGAAGTTACAATTCCGCCCCAATAGAGTGACAAAGGCCATGCAATCCTTCCACCATACCAGGTGTACACAAAGCATTGTTCCCTCTGGATCCCCATAACCATCTTCAACGACTTTGTCTGTAACAGATTTGTCTCTTTGTTCTTGAAACCTACGCTAAGACAATGATGTAACAACTTGAACGTTAATACTCCACTTGTAATAGGGACAACTAACTAACCTGACATCGCCGAGAGACATACAAGAAGATCCCATTATGCCGGTTGATTAACAGTCGCGCAGCTGCTCAGGGAACGTAACAGCTAGTTCCCTTGCACCGGTTGTCGTGGAAGTCAGAGTCTGAAGTTTGACATTGACAACAGCACCAGAGCTACTACGACCGTCATACCACTTATCCAAAGCAGCTCACAACCTAACCCCCAACAAGCTACTCAGGGCACTTCCCTACCATACATAAACACTATGAGCCAAACAGCCAATAACCAGACGGACATTGACCGTGCACCTAATCCCTCGAACCAGACGAACAGTCAATCGAATCCGGTAACGTCACAGCAGACGACTCACTTCAACACTAACTCCCAGTCGCAACCGCCGCAAGAGCTGAAAGACCTACGTGACCTACATTTTGCGCTCCATGAAAAGGTACAGGAAGTGAGCAAGAAGTTGGATGATTCCATTCGGGACATCTTCCATTTTCTGGTTGAGATCCTTGGCAGAGCAAACGACACGAACACCATGGTTAAAAACCTTGAATATGCGCTTGATGGATCAAATTCTCTGAATAATTCTGAAACAATTAAGGTACTAAAGGAAACCCATGAATCGGCACGCGCGCTGGTGGTACGTATTCAAGCTGCGCACAACTTCTCTCAGAGTCTTCAGTTCCAGTACGCACAACATTATTATCGCCCAGGCTGGCGCATAGGCATTCGGTGGCTCGACGAGTTCTTCATACCTGCTCTAGACGCCACGAAGGCGGTACGGGCGTGGCTCCAGGAGGGAGTGAAGTCGGCCGAGGAGATGGAGAGTCAGGGCGGCACCCCTACCCTTACTTCCGAGCAAAAAAGGTTTTGCGAGGACTTTGAAAGGCTCTGTATAGAGTACTGGCGGCCTTTCTTCGACCAGGAGGAGAGTCTGCGACAGGCATTATCCAGCTTGAAGACGCACCCTTGCCACCGGCGCCTGTCCGGCATGGAATGCGACTGCCAGCAAATGATTGAATTCAGAGACGCAAAATTCGCCTGGGAGGCCCGCGTCAGGATTCTACAACGCGAGCTCGACGCGATGTGGTGGAAGTTGCAGAGTCTCTGTTTGCCGGCACCTGCTATACCACAAACCCCTGGCCAACCCATGGAGATGAGCCCGCAGCAGCCACAGCCGCAACCGCAACGACAGCCTTCGCCGGCTGACGGAAAGGGTCAGTTCTGGCGGGATCTCAACCCTAGCACGTGAGCGTCTTCTCGCCGTTCTCTTGTTTGGGTCATTTGGGGCTGATATTCCATGATGCTCCCGGCATCACGGTGGTCAATTCGGCCGAAGGATGACTCATCGTAGCAAGAAGCAAGCTTAGCTGCAAAAATGGTCGAAAAAGGAGAGGACGAGACGCGATTTGAACGCGTGACCTACCGGACTGCAGCCGGTTGCTCTACCCCTGAGCTACTCGTCCCAATTCTTGAACGGATGTTGACAGTCCGTGTGGAGACAGTACTTGTCTATCGTCAGGGTTTTTCGGGTGGAGAGAGACAGAGATGATACACGAGTGGTCGCTTATATCTCAGGTGAGCGAGAGTGTGCCGGGTTGTTTTTTTGACTTTCTTTTCTTCTCACAGGATACTTTCTGTTGTCAAGCTATTAATGATGGAATGACAAAATGATTACTGGTAAGTTCAAGTACCTTTATCCGTGACGTGATATAACAGAAAACAATGTAAAGACATTTCTTATGGCTATGCAGATAGCATAAACCAAAAGCTATTGCCGAGGAACACTCGTCTGTGATCTCCAAGTTGTGCCTGCATGCAGATGTCCTGCCCCTGTTGGTTGAATGGCAAAGGCACTTCCAGACAAGTGTCCTCAGAGTGGTAAAATGAGTACAAATTGGGAGCTTTTCGAGTTGATATTCCCAATCTGAACGTTGAATGAGGTCTTGTATAGGTGAGCCGGGTTGCACGAGCATGTCCCATAGTTAGCTGTGTCCGTAAACCATTGGTAGCCAACGGTACAAGGCAAGAGAAAAGTTGTCAGACACCCGAAGCGGAGTAATCAGTCGAGGGGCGTTCGTATGTTTTGTTGTCTCTTTGTATATAATAAGCACTCAGCCCGTATAGCTCAGTGGTAGAGCGCATCACTCGTATTGCCATGTTGCGACATGATGAGGTCCGCGGTTCAATCCCGCGTGGGGGCAGCCGTTCTCTTTGACCTTTTTGACCGTTGTAGTATTTTTTTTCCCCGCAAGTTAGTAGTTTGGCAATAGAGCTCTGTTTTGGTGTAGCTATGGTCAGAGAGTCTCGTGGGAAAATTGGAGGCCTATGTGGTTCACTGCGGACGAAGTGCTCTTAATAACCCCGTGGAGTTTTCGTGTCAGTTCTCGAGCCGAGCCCTCTGTAACCCCACTCGTAAAACTCAGATAATACCAAACTGCGAACGGGAGTTGCCTGCATATTTCCTCTTAGACCAAAATCGAAATCGTCCCCGGCGATGTTAATGGCGTCGTTTGATCTTCCATTCTGAATAGCGAATAGCGGACAGAGGGGCTGGAGTATAGTAAACAGAAAGCGCTGACTTGGCCAACCCCGCAACCCGTCTTCGCCCACCTACACGCTCGCTGCCCCACCTGTCCAGAACTTACGCAGACAAGTTCGATCTGAGATTAAGGACGCCGTATCCTAAGAGGTTAGTACACACCTTAACAAATTGTTGCTCGTAGAATTACATATGTGCGGATATGATGATTACAATGATTGAACCATGGTGACTCTGGAGAGTCCCATCTCAAACGTCCGTACGAGGAACGCAAGAGTATCTATCGCCCTTAGAGAGGATATCCATCCCCCCTTTGTCCCCGCATTCTCAAGACTGGATGAGGGAGGGAGCACGGTACCAGCAGAAGGCTTTTGTGAACCCAACGGAGCGGAACTAGACCGAGCCCGTTAGCGTACCGGGCTTTCGGCTTTCTGGTCCGTAGGCCTTGGTGCGGAGCTGCGTGCCCCGTATAAAGGGTTGCTCCATCCGGATCCGATCTTGTATCACCTTCCCAGGTTATCCACCTTGAACTTTGGCAGCTTCCATATTTATCATCTCGATGTCAAGTATTTGAACCATCATGGATCCCAACAGCATCGACATCGCTGAGAACAGGCGCCGCATGCTTGCAGGCGAGCTCTATTATGCCTGGACCCCCGATCTGACGGCCGATCGTCAGCGCTGCAAGGCCGCTACCAAAGCGTTCAACGAGCGCTGCACCAGTGGGAACGCCTCTAGAAGAGAGCTGGTTGAGCTTTGGAAGGCGTATGGTCACTGTCTTCTTCCTTGACCTCACATTGGTTTTTGAAGTTAACCAGAGCTCTTAACAGCATCCTAAACGACACCACACCCCTTCCTCCGCCAGGAGCAACCCCTGAGGAGGACCAAAAACTGCTTCGCGATTATCCATGGTGTGACGGGGCCATCAAGTTCGACTACGGGTACAACTGCAAGTCTGTGGCCCTCTCAAGTTTGAACTCGACGTACTCGCACATGCTCACCAGTCTTTAGGTTCGGCAGCCAAGTCTACATTAATAGTAATTGCACCTTTCTCGACACATGCACGATCACGATCGGCTCACGCGTGCTGATCGGGCCAAACGTGTCCTTCTTCGCCGCGACGCACCCGACGGATCCGTTCGTGCGCAACGGGTTGCTGGGTCCAGAACTCGGCAAGCCCATCACCATCGGGGATGACTGCTGGATTGGTGGCGGCGCAATTATATGCCCTGGCGTCACGATCGGTCGCGGGGTTACCGTTGGCGCGGGGAGCGTGGTCACCAAGGATGTAGAGGACTTCGTGGTTGTGGCAGGGAACCCCGCACGTGTGATCAAACGTCTGGATGTGGAAGCTCAGTTAAAGAAGGAGAGGGAGGAGAGGGAGAGCAATAGGTGACGCTAATATGTTAGTCAATGCGTCTTCATCCATCCCCGGGTCCAAGAATTAGGGAAAGATGTTGGAAAGCAAGATAGCAGGTTGGTAGAGGGCTGATCAACGGTCCAGAGTTACCTGGGTGTGTTTTACCAGCCGGACCCACATCCCAAAATGGCCGTTGTAACGGAAAATACCGTGTAATGGTCGAAAACTAAGGACAGTACGTACATTACACTCTCGCAGGGCTGGACGTGCAAAACAAGGCCCAAGTTTCGTCAACTCTACAACGCATTAGAGTGAGTGGTATGCGAAGACTGAAAAAATCCTCCAACTTAGACCCACTACATCGAGTGGGAGCCACGCAGAAGTCGCGGGAACCAAAAACAGTGCGTCGACTCTCCGAGACAGAGAGAGACATCAAAAAACGATCCACCCAGGGGTCGAACCTGGAACCTCCTGATTGCACGGTTTAGTCTTGAGGACATCAGTGATTCTCAAGATCAGGCCGTAGTCAGACGCTCTGCCATTGAGCCAGCGGACCATCCTTGACGGAGCTGCTTTACTTGGCTGGTACATGTGACGAGGCTGCCATTCTCAAACCGAGCTGTCAAAAGCGTCTCGATACAAGATGACATGGGAGCACAAATACCTTTGGCTTGACTCCTTCGCTTCGCTAATATCGTCTACCGGAGATATGAAGTTTGGACTCCCTGGTCAGCTAAAGTCATGACATTTCCGACCGATTCTGGCATTTGTGAAAAGTTGTGGCTGAGTGACCCGGTACGTGCCCTGAGCTGCCGTTCTCATATGTTTTTCTTACTCAGCCTTCGGGGTTTTGCTTGAGTCTGAGGCTTTGATGCTTTTCTTTCAGCCCCTCAGCCCTCGAGACACCTTCCTCCTGGGCAACAAATCAATAGGTATTTAAACATCAGTTCCACGATTTTCATCTGCTTTCCTTTTTGTCATATGTAACAATTAACGGACAAAGGATATGGGTCATATGCGTATTGTTGCTCGCAAAATCTTTGGGCGTTGGCGGCGCCGCAGTGACGAGAACCGCCAACAAGCAGACCCAAACACAACAGCAACGGCCCAAAGCATCAACAATTCTGCCCCACAACAATCCCCGATTAGTCGCCTTAATGACGACATCCTGGATGCCATCGTATCTCAGTTCTGTTGTCGTCGCTGTGATCTGCATAGCCGCCGACCCTTGGTGCGGGAATACTGCAAATGTCATGCGGACCCTTACAGTACGCTTCGCGACCTGTGTCTGCTTAACAAACGTATTTATCTGATTACTGTCCCTCATCTCTATGAAGCACCAACACTCGACAAATGGTGGCTCCTAGCTCGCACACTGCTTGCGCGTCCTGATCTTGCGGAACATGTTCGCTGCTTCCGGAAGTGCTACCAACTCAAATCTGCTGCGCTCGGTATCGAGGCTTCCATCGAGTCGGGCACGTTCCCCCGTGAAGTTGGCGAGTACTATCTTAAGAATCGCTTTGGAGATGCAAGCAGTGAAAAGGCGCTGCCTGATTTCACTGACCCTGTTTCCCGATCGGAATGGTTCTACAGTGTTGGATCCGATATCCTGCTCTCCTTATGTCCCAAGGTGAAAGCAGTTGCGGCATTCGTGGCAAACTACGGCGCCATTTTTAGTTGCTGCCGTCCAGGGTCGCTCCCTAATCTCAGCTTTTTAGAAGTCATTTGCTTCAGCAAACTACGTCGAGGACAACCGGCTCTCGATCCCATTTTTATCCGCCTAAGTTCTGTCGCCCCGAGTCTCAATCAACTCCGTATCTCCACATGCGTCTCCGACTTCGACCAACCAGATTGGACAAGGCCAGAACCTCATCTGTTTCCATCGTTACCTTTCACTCAACTTTATACTTTGTCACTCCAATGTGTTACTCCTCTCCAAATTCCCCTGCTTGTTCTCCTCCGTTCGTGCCCCCAACTGAAGGTCTTCTCCTTCTCGTCTCCAGAGGAGTGTGGGATGTTGCCATCTGGTTATGTAGATTTCTCACATCGAACTCTCGGGCAAATGCTTGTCCAATATACACCGTGGCTGGAGGAATTATCACTGCAGCTTGGCAGTGTGACCTATGCAGACAGCAACCCAGAAGAACAATGGATAACTTCGCTTGCTGCCTTGACAAATCTTCAGAAACTAGAGATTGATATTCATTCACTGGTCACAACATCCTCTGGGTTGTCGGATTCCTTACTCCTGGTAAAGCTTTTGCCGAGATCGATCCGAGTTTTGACCATCGATGCGTGCTTCCCGACTCATGTACGAATCAGCCAGATAGAAGATGCTCTACAGGTCTTGGCCTCATCTGCTCCTCATACATTTCAGCAGTTGGAAGAAGTGCATCTTGAAGGCCTGAGAACTGAGGAACTTGGTTATCTGGAGACTGCTTTCAAGAAGTCAGGCATTCGGCTGCATACAATAGGGACATCTCGACAGTAAATTTACATGGCACCATGTGCGATAATATACGGTACATTTGTTGATATACCATGTACAGGATAATTGTTAGCATCTTCCATCAAGAAGTTAGCTATTGACAATGAATGTATGGATGGAAATAAACGTCTTCCAACGGTCGGCCATGTTCGTGAGTTTCTGGAAGAACACGTTCTCGATGCACCAAAAGAGCTCTTAAGCTTGGAGAAAGCTAATCTGAAAAGGTGATCTCCTCGGGTCGCTTAGTAGAGAGACTTAGGGACGGTGACCGGGTGAGGACCAGAAGACTTTCAAAAAACCGAAGTCCGCTTAACGGGGATACGACTATGTTCACAACTGGTCAGTGGATGTGGGTGGGAAATTACCATGCGCTTGAAGAATGATAGAGGGCAGTGACGAGGAGGAGTGTGAGCCGATGTACGATGCAGATGGTAATAAGGCAAGTGATGAAGCTGGAGAAGTTTGATGTGCATGAGTGTCAAAATTTTCGAAGGCTGTCGGGTTATGAAATGTGTTGGGTAGTATGCCACGTACGCCTAATTATGTTTAGTCTACATTCAGGGATTAGGCAGTTAGGGGGCTTATTATGTCACCATAGGCAGCCAAGAATAGTCAACAACGCAAAACGCAGTGACAGAAAACATCTTGATTCAAACCATTAACCTGGAATGGGCCGGAGTGTCAGAGCATGCTTCAGGAGGCCATGAAAGCCTGGCTCCCATGACCTCCTTACCCGACTGCCGTCTACTTTTTGACATTACGTTAACAGCTGTTGATTGAAAGCATCATTGCGGCTTCAGTCTCGAAGCCAGCCACCCTCTACATCTTTCAAATGCAGCATGCTATTTAGATTCTGTCATAGAGTGTGCATATATTCTGTCGGATATCGGGGTTAACCAGACCCAGAAGACAAACGGCGGGCAACCACAAGCTCAGTTGACCATCTGGTTAACCGCACGAACCTGATCCATGGATAGGGTATTTGACGCATTAGGAACTCAAACCGCTACATGTCTGCAAAATTGGGACCAAGCGCTGAGCAGAAAACGTAATACATATCATTGGGGGAGAGCAATAGTCAAGCTCGGTGGTGAGAGCTCCATCCATGACCTCTGCATAAGACTGGGGGAGATGCATAGCTCGAGCGAGAACAGCCCCAGCCCTGCCGTATTGATCTCGGCCAAATAACTGCCTTCTTTCCAGGTTAGGGTTCGTAGATGTCTTGGCCAATCTTACGAAGGACGGCAGAAAAGGAAAAGATATTGGCTGATTGGTCGACCAAACTTTACCAGGCTCTCCTGCAAACATATGTGTTTGTCCAGGATACTCTTTGCAAAAGAACCAAGGCTGCAGTTCCCATGTAGCTGATGTTGCCCACCGAAGGTAATGGAGGGTAAAAGGAGACCAAAGCAAAAGAATAGCGTCAGTAGTTCTCTCAAACGCTCTATCACTGTGGCGGTGCCGGATTGACGGACCTTAAGAGCGCAATTCCATTGCCTACTTACAAAGCAGAGTTGTTAGCCGGGTGCCTGCCTAAGCTAATGGAAGGTGATGACTGAGCTGATAGAGTATTGGCTTAATCCCGACAGTATCAGAAAGTGCCAGTATGTTTCCATGATGTTCGAGAGGGCTGTCGGAGAGGAGCCAGAACTTCCATTTAAGCAGGCTAAAATAACTGAACAAATGCCTATTCTTCAAGACAACTTGAAGCATCGTGGTAAGCAAGCTTTGGCTGGCATAAGTATCATGCTATCAACTTAAATTACACCAAGGTGTCTCTTCGGCAAGAGCCATGGGAATTCTTTTCTCTCATCTTGCAGTAACGAGATCAGGAGCAAGTGCACTGGCAGTGCAATGGTCTGCAGAACAATCGTGCTCGTTGTTGTTATGACTACAACGGGCATGTCATAGGACGGATTTCCCGTTCTCCTGTTTGCCCAACTACTTCGATAGACAAAGCCACGACAGACCTACGGCTTCTAGTCATCCGGCTAACTTTTTCTGCGACCGTTCTCAATGCAGTCTATCTTGAGGTTGTCGTCCTTTTCTACAGGAGTATATCAGCTTACCAGGATCTCAGCTAACGGCACCGTTGAAACGATCCACTCGTTCGGCACACCGATCGTTGTCAGTGGTAAACAAACATGTGCGAGCATTTCTTTTTTTCACCCTGTATCTTATCATTGAACGCGAAAATGTTTGAATGCTAGCGGAGTTAGCTGGGATAATAATAGCGCGCTGCCTCTCTCAGAGGGGCGGACCTCTCCCCAGCAACTCCACCAAAGAACTCCCAGTTAGCAAGGTACGGGAAGTAGTGGATTCCGATAACGACATTCAGAGTTTCCTTTGGGATCTCGAGAAGGCATTCTCGACTCTAGTTTAGCTGCAACATAGTGTCATTCCTTGCAATGCCCCTGGATAACGGGAAGGGTGCACCACCGCAACGCTCACCTCGGTCTAATTAAGAATTCAGAGTTTTTGACCCAACTAAAGGATAATTTACGCTATATAAGTTCGAAATTTGAGGAGACAGTCATTGATTAGATCCCACCGATAATCCTGAAGTCGTGGTGATCGGAGGAGAGTGGCCTGGCCAAACCCAAGGTCCTCTCTACGAGTTCCGCATGTATGAGTGCAAACATACATTGAACAACGGCCGATTCTGCTCCTTCCAAGTCAGAATCCGGAGAATGTCCGCCACGATCGGTGGTTAGAATCTTGATTTTATTCGTGCCGATGACCCGTTGGGTGCTTACTAGAATTTGCACGTGCTCTTTCCTCACTGTGGCCCTCCGCTGTAGTGTATTCCTGACTCACTGCAGATACGATTGGATGAAAATATATCGAGAGGATATTACTGGTAATATGAGAATTACCTTCGACAACGGACTTACTGTGCAGCTAAGCTCAGAGGATTTGCTCAGGCCACTGAAGGAACTTAATGAAGCAGGAGGATATGTTGAATGCAACACACTTTCCGAGGTACAATTGTCCCATCTTCCTGTACCCGAAAGTTCGCCAATTTTGGGCTAATGGCTTATTCTTCAAGATAAGTATATGTCAATTTTTCCCTATTCACATAAGGCAAGCTAACCAGATTCTTTCTTTAACGTAATGCCGGACATGTGATCATGTACATCGATTTTGAGAACGTCTTTTATTTGGCCCTCCGAAACCCCAATGTCACTGAGCAACTGCCAAGGCCCAAAGAGCCATGTAAGGAGCCCGATGAGTAAAATCGTATTTGGACCGACAAGAAATCATACTCATTGTCCTGAGTGTCGCTATCTTTCTTTTGGTCATCGGCGTTAGATATTTCGCGGTAAGGTTCTGGAAGCGCCATCATAAGAAGGCGATCGTACCGCCACCTGGATTAGACCGGATTGTACCAATGGGTTTCGCTCGTGTGATGTCAGTCGTCCACATCCCGACTGCGCGTCCCGCGAGAGACTGAAAAGGTAGAGTCAGGTGTGTGCTGAGGATTTATTTACCGCTTAAAAACTCGGTTAAGACTTATTGTTTGGGGAGTCTAAGGTTCGGAATGGATAATTGTATTGCTTCTAAGAGCGGGGGAGGAGGAGGGCCTGATATATGGTTGCAGACTCCTGTTTCGGACAGAGTAGTGACAACAAGATATTGAGTCTGAGATGTGAATGTCACCCTCGCTTTCTGGTTTTGGGCGGCCATGGTAATGGCCATCTTAACCACGGGTTTGAAGTCGGTGCCTTCAACGCCTCAGCTTTTGCTGACTTGTCCATTTTCGCTGCAACATCAGCTTGGAGCAACATCCAACGTTGCTCCATTTCATCATCACTAATTGGATACTTTCCTCCATATATTTCCGTGTCTGGGTCGTGAACTCCTGCGTAGCTGCCGTCTAACAAGCCGAGTGCGCGGCAGAGAGCTTCAACTTTGCCTGATAGCCAATCTCCATGCTTCAGACCGTGCTTCCAGTGACCTGGCAACGCCGAGTATCCAAGATATGCTCCTAACAGGGCTCCAGCAAAGCAAGCATTTGTGTCGGCGTCTCCTCCATGCATTACCAGGTCTGTTATCAGCTCCTCAAAGACCTTGCCCTTCTGAGGGAACCCCTCATTTCCATTCCCTAGCCGCTCCATCGCCATCCTCAGCAGCACAACCCCCGAACCAAGTGTCTTATATACGTACCCAATGGCACCGTGCTCATCAAGTTTCAGCTCATCCAGTCCAACCTTCCTCCCAACATAACTTTGCAAATGCTCCCAATCATCTTCTTTCCAGTCTTGATCGCCGCCCTGTTTTCCCTCCTTGACGTACCACTCAACCCCCCTCTCCACAACCCCTTCAACCCCATGCCAATCCCTCACCTCCCCGTTAACCAAGCCCCTTACCAACCCCGTCCCAATCACACATGCAACCACACACCTCGGGTCAACATGTGTCACACGCGAGATCTCCGCTGCTAGCGCAAACGCCTCCCTTTCCTCCCGAAACAGACATATCACCCCTAAAGGATGTGTCCGCATCAGACTCCCATTTGGTGCGACCACCCGCCCCGTCCGCTCCCAATACTCGCGCGCAACAGCCTCAGGGGAGGTGTCGAACCCCGCTGAGGCAACAATACTCCCTACTGTGCGGCCCAGACCAAGCGGGAGGGTATCCAGCGGCGGTAGGCCCTGACGGACCCAGACCCTTAACCTTTTCGCGAGGTCTGCTTGCGTCGGAAGCGGCTGCTTATCTGGGGGGAGGTCTGTGCTCGCGGTAAGAAGGAAAGACAGCAGCAACAGCAGGGCGTGATCCGTGTCGTCGGTCCAGTGACCTGGCTCTTTGGGCGCGCGATGCATGTCCAGTTTGAAAAGGGTCGGCCCCTCATTCTTGGGCCCACACAGGGTGAAGCGCCGGGTGGGGTAGGCTGTTGCGGCGTCGGCAGCGGAGAGGAACTCGGTGTAGAGGCCGATCGTATCACCGAGGGCGGAGCCGATGAGGACGCCGGCGACGCGGTCCGCAAGTGCTTGGCGGAGGAGGTAGCTCGTTGCTTCGGTCGGGAGGGAGGAGAGATCAGCTGGGGGCATGATGCAGTGTGACGGTAGGGCGCTTTGAAAATAGATCTTTATGAGAGTTAGGCGATATCTTGAACGGGTAAAAGTACCATGTTATTGTTGGAGACGACTGAGGTTGTGGCTGAAGGGCGTCGCCAACTTGGCTGGAGGTTTCAAGCGCGTGTGTTCCAGCTGCTCGCCCCAGGGCTGATTCTTACCAGAAGGACTTCGGTCCCTTACAATCTAGTGTTATGACATGGAAAGTTTCCCTGCCACAATGGACATCCAAATCAGGGTGGTAATGTACTTTGGAATGTTTTATCGTAACGCGCTGTGTAAATTACAACTCACCAATCCAATTTGTCAGGGACACGCCGCCTGGGAGCCAGCTTTCCCCGAAATATTCGATATTGTCCCGCGGAAATCCTCAGTTTTTCCAGTCGAAGACGTCGTCAACACGATGGAAGGGTAAGATTGCATCTATTATACATTATTACAACATGATATGCTTGATATAGTACAAGAGTGCAAAACAGCAAAAACTGTCTATCCTAACTGTTACAGCTTTTTCCTACCAGCGACACAAATCTTGAACGGAAACATAATTATCATCGTAATTCTCATCATCTTTACCAGAGCTGGATTGAGATGCTTCGTTGACTTCTGACTGGACTGGAGTCTTCTCTGTCAGGGATATCTGAAACTGCTCCAAACTTTGCGAAACATTAAGCTTAAATAAAAACATAATTGCGCATTGTGGCTGGAGGTTTTTGGTTCGTTCCGGCCCGTAGCTCTTGAGTGATCAGAACTTCGGCACATCACTGGATGGTTGACGCTGCATCTGAAGATTGAACTTCTGCCCGAGATACCAGCTGGTGATGGCTCGAGCAGCTACCGCTGCCGGTGCCGCGGCAACTAGTGTCATTGATTGACAGGATGGTGACTATCCGCGTCGTCACATACTCAGGAGATATGTAGCACAGGGAGCGACCCTATGTTGACAGTTTCAAGAGGGAGATAATCTACAAAGCCGAGAATAATCTTATGCTGACACACGATCCAGTCGCAGTTTTGTGCTGAAGTAGGGACAAATTTCCGCTAAGGTGCCAGTTTACCAGGAAAAATGTACGACTTGTAACCTAAACATCGAGTAACTGGCCACCTGCTTTTCGGGTAGACCTACCAGTCAGGGAGCTTTTCTCATAGCAGCTGTTCTCTCAACGAGTCAGGGGTTTTGAAGCTAGACAGAACATATCTGGCTCAATCAGATAAGTATCGCACTTTGTTTCTGGTTGTGGATGTGTTATTGTGGGAAGGCGCTATCAATCTGGGTGTGGTGCTGGACACATAGTCTACACGTAGGGTGAGTTCTGACCAGATATCGAGGTTGTTGCGCACCACAGACTCATCGGGGTGTGTCCAGATCTCCTGTAAATCTTGTGAAAGGTCCTCATGCAATCAGCAAAACAACGAGACATCCCATAGGTGCTTGATGATGTTTACGAGGTGATTAACATACGACGGGGCCTGTACTGCTGTTATGCAGCTTCTCGGTGATGAGATTGAACATCTTTGACGCTCAAATATCTAAACCGTGTATATATCACGATAATTCGAGAAGTATTTGTAAAAACAACTGGTACAGGCAGGCGAAATGGCTTTGTGTTAGCACGAATGGAGAAGGCTTGTGATGGAATCCTCGGAAACCATGGCGGATTGGGTAAGAACGAGACTGCATGACCCTAGGATGGAGCCCATATTTGGACAAATATGGCTCATAATTATGCACAATTGATACACTTGCTTGGAGAAGATGAGCGTTTGACCGCGTCAGGGTACCGCCGGCAGCTTGCTTAGTCAGCAGCAACTCTAGTTCGAACCACAGAGGATGTGTTGACAAAGAGCATGAAGTTGTGCACATATTATTTCCTTTTAAACCACAAAGTCATATTTTTCACACTGCCTAGCCGCAGGATTGACTCTGCTACACGGCTACTCACGTTGTTTACTTGACATTTAAGCCCCTGATTGGTTGACCGGGTGATGACAGGCGGGTGAACTTGGAACACTCAACAATTTATCGACTGAAGAATCTCAATGACAGGAGGAAAGGATACAAATATAGAAAGTATTCATACAGTATACCTATCAATCATTCTTACAGTTCCATTACGATCCATCTGGCTGAGGTTTGCTGAACGCATATCCGTATCCTCAACATCGCTTGTCATAATTCGTCCAAGAAGGAATCTCAAGGAACTGTTTCATCCTTTTCCACCAATCTATATCTATGAGGGAAGTTTACTCAATCTTGATGCCAATCTTGCCAAAGTGCTTTTGGGCCCACTGTCGCAAAACAAGTAAGCCAATGAACCACCTGCTAACGATAGTAATGCTGCCAACTTACCATGTACTCATACGCCTCCTTGGCCTTCTCCAAGGTAAACACCGTCTTGTCAATAACGGGATGGATATCATGCTTCTCGATCTCCTTGCACATCTCCTCAAGCTGCACCCGCGAGCCAACGTAGACACCGCGGATGACGCAGACGTGTGACAACGCCTCGAGGATGCTGTCCTTAGGATGGGCGCCGCCCAGGAAGCCGATGATGGAGATGACGCCCTCCATTTTGATCGCCTTCAAGCTCTGAGTCATGGTCCCCTCGCCGCCGACCTCAATAATGTGATCGACGCCCTCCTCGCCGGGGGTCAGCTTGCGAGCGGTCTCGCCCCAGTTCGGGTCCTCGCGGTAGTTGATGACGTGGTCGGCACCGAGGTTCTTGAGGACTTCAGCCTTCTCGGCCGTAGAGGTGGTTGCGATGACAGTGGCGCCCGCAGCTTTTGCGAACTGGGGGCATGTTAGCATCTTCTAGGGTATTGTTGTGTGAGTCTCGGGGGCCCATTACCTGCAAAGCGAACAAGCTCACACCACCAGTGCCCTGAACAAGAACCGTCTGCCCCTTCTCCAACCTCTTTAATCCATACAACGCATTCCAACTCGTAAGCGCCGCGCAGGCCAACGACGCAGCCTCGACAAAGTCAAGGTTCTTCGGCATAGCAACTACGCCGTTCTCATTAAACACGCCATACTGGCGCAGGGTACCATCAATGCATCCACCCAGACCCGTATGAGCAGCCTTAACATCAACGGCACCAGACTGATGGCCCTGGTTGAACAGCGTCAAGACCTTGTCGCCCGGCTTCCACTTCGTCACGTTGCGGCCGACCGCGACAACCGTGCCGGCACCGTCGGAGCCTGCAACAATGGGCAAGTTTAGCGGGAAGGGATACTTCCCCTGGGGAATGATCAGGTCGCGGTAGTTGATCGACGCGCCCTGGAGCTTGACGAGGACATCATTGTCGCCGGGTTGGGGGACTGGGGCATCCTGGTAGACGAGGGTCTCGAAGCCCTTGCCAGTGCCCTGGATGAGCCATTGCTTCTGGGTCGTGGGGAGAGCCATTGTGAGAGGGAAGTTGCTAGAGACGTGTAAGTTTTCTGGAATGCTTTGACGAAGACTAAGCTCAGCTGGAAAATCGAGGGCAGAGTGAATGGATGCGGTCTGGATAGCTGTCCTCTCAAATCACACCAGCCTCCGTAGCCTTTTGGGAGTGGGGCGTCATGCCCTGGCGTTCGATACGGTTCTCTCCCGCCCAAGAGCCGCCATGGGGACGGGTCGACCAATTCCAATTCGTGTGTCATTGTAACAAGGCTAACCAACGTCATCACCGCGATGGAGCTTTCCTCCCTGTGGGGCTCTGGGTAACATTAGGTCCACATCTCGACGAAGGGGCTCTCGTATGCAAAAAAAAGTTCACCATACAGTCGAAGTGATCCATAAAGGACTGTAAACGTTTATCTCAAGGGCTCGTAATTCCCTTTTTATATAGTTGTCGAGACTTCATATTGAAGAAGAAAATCAACAAGGACCAAATGTTCAGAAGCTTGAGCTCTCAACATAGAACCGGGGGCGGGGAACAGGTGGTGGTTCGAACTAAGCAGCGGAACAAACAACCGAGACAGGGCCCACACAGCTCAATTGATGCGGTCTTCGGAAGCCCGGAATCAAGACCCCTGTTCATGTGCAGAAGCATGTGTTTCGATGAAAGCTCAACAAGTTGATGCCCCCCAGTTTCGACAGATCAATGAAACAATTCTCTTCCAGCCGTGTTCTTATAAGTGGCAGATTACATTGACTGACTCTAACCAAAGCTTTTGGTGTTCAACCATCAAAAATCCCATCAAGAAGCATGGCTGCCCCTGGCGATGCCAAGATTGTTTACATGCATATGGGCCGAAAACAGGAAGGTGGGGGTCTGGCAGTGATGGTGGTGGGGTCACCACATATCCGGGAATAACGAAAAGTTTTTCTTTTTGGACGAAGTCCTAGATAGTGGTCGCCGAAGAGATGATCATGAAACAGCGCATTCCGTAACACATAATTGGTTCTCAATTGGAAGGGGAAGGTAATTAATCAAAAGATCTCGTCGAGTGGCGGGGGAAAACAATGTGTAAAATAACATGACACTCACAACCAGCAACGTGGGAAAAAGATTAGTGCTAGGATCAAAAATTGCAAAAAGAGGCTATCGTTGATCGGGAATTGAGCCCGATGCGGGGGTCGAACCCGCAACCTTGAGATTTACGGAGAATCCTTAAGAGTCTCACGCTCTACCGATTGAGCTAACCGGGCATAGCCGCTTGTTGTGACAGGTGTTCCCTTGTCCTGCTTGTGGACTCCTGGTCTCTCGCAAAGAGGACCTTCGGTGGTTTTCTTCTGATCTTACATAGCTCATATCTTTTTCACTTTCTCTTCAGCCTAATTGTCTTCTCAGTGTTTTTTCCCACCGCCTTCAGCTGAACTGGCTCCCATTTCCTTCCTTGGACGACCCCCGCCCGAAGCGTCAGTTTCTCCTTCGGCCAAAGAGTGACGTAATTCTCATCCCATGTCAGAGGAAGAACATCACGGCCGTGCTCGTCCACCAAGTCGAATTTGATAAAGAAAGCCGGGACCATGGCATGATTCTCGACAGTCACGAAAACGCCGTCTCCATCGACCACAGCATCAATCGTGATGTCAGCTGGTTCAAGCTTGTTCAACGCCGTGAAGTCCGCGTACTTTGTCACCGGCGTGAAGTACCAGTCTGACTGCTCCCAGTCCAGGACATCAATTTCAGGAGCCAGCCAGTAAATATTCCGACTAAGCGTCTTTCCTTTCTCATCCGTCAAGATGAGTCGCAGGAACACTGTGTCGTTCACCTTGCCCAAAACCTCCCTCAAGGATTCAACCCTCCCACTCCAATTCGGCTTCGTCGTGAAGACGCTTGTCCCCTTAAACATCTCCTTCCCGTCAACGCCCAGCACGCTGACCTCGATTCTTCTCTTCTCCTGCCCAATCGGGACCTCTAACGCGCGGTTCATCGCCCAGACATCCTTCGTCGCATAGCTAAAAGCGACATGTTCTTCCCGACCCGCGACCTTCGCCCCAAAATACGAACCGCCCGGCCGCATATAATAATCCCACAAGCTCCAGTGCAGCCCTGGCCATGCATTATTCAGCATCCAGTAGATCATTCCCGTTGCCGGGCCCTTTGACCCCTGGGCTAGAACCCTGCCATCACCCCAATGGGCACGAAACGCCTCGAACTGTGCCCTCGTCGCCTCATAGTCCATCAGCTGCGCCTTCATCAAGTAGTCATCCAACGAAGTCGGTGCTCCCCAGCGGGCCCACAGCGCAGCATTGTAGATCTCCCTCGTATCGAATGGCGATCCCGCGCGGGACATGTGGAATAGGGACTTGTTTGGCTGTCTCCAGAGGTCGTCCATATCGTCTGCGGTCAAGAACTGTTCTAGGGAGGAGAGTGATCCAGGTGTCCCAACACCAGCGGAAAGCTCCGACGCAAACCCAGCCGCTGTCCCTAGAGTGTCCGGCGTGGTCCAATAATTTGGCGGCACCCAGTCATACGGTCCATCCATCCTCATCCCACTCGGACCAGTTTGCATCGAGAACCCGCGCTTCGAGGCCGCACCTATGACGGGCAGCTGGAAATCTGCCTTGCGCGCAGCTTCTAGGTAGAGCGAAGTCGCCCTCTCATCAGGCCAATAATCACTCCCAATCAGAAAGCCCAACACCGACGGATGCGCCTGCATCATCAACGTCTCATGAAACATGCTCTCATGCGCAATCGCGTAATCCTCATCCGTCCATACTGGCGTCGGCGACACGGCCAAGTCGGGGTTATAGTCCCACGCCTCCCACTTGTCACAGCACTCCCATCCCGCGAGGAGCATCATGCCCAAACGGTCTGCAATGTTATACAACTCGGGGTGCTCATTCTTACCCTCGAGGCGGATGGTGTTCAGGCCGAGATCGAGAGCGTACCGGAGCTCGGTTTCCCATTTGGCTGGGTCGAAGCGCAGGAACATATTTGGGGTGTAGCCGGCGCCGATGACTTGGAAAGGCCGGTTGTTGACAAAGAAGATGGTGTCGTTGTGGGCGTTGAGTTGCCGGGTAACGCTGCGGAGACCGAAAGTGGCTGATGCGTGATCTGAGATATTGCCATCAATGGTTTGGATAGTCAGGTTGGCTATGTACAGTGGTTGATCGCCCCATTGCCGCGGCCACCATATTTGAGGATTCTCGATAAACTCTTCAAAAAAGATGTCCAGACTAGACTTTGGCGGGATGGTGATGAGCTGGCGCCGAGTGTACTTCGTCCCCCCTGATTCGAGTGCGACCTGCGCAACTGCTTCGATGGTAATCGCACGATCTTCAAGGTTGTGCAGTCGTGCTCTCAGAGACACCTTCACGGGAAGGGTAAGGGGTGCTCCGAGATAGGGAACCACTCTTAGGGGGTCCAGCACCACCGGCCCGGTTTGCTTGATCTCAACATCCCTCCAAACACCAGTTCCATTGTCCGTAGGCCACGGATTCCAGTCGACCCAGCCAAGAGCCAGGTCGCGATAGTAGTCCGTCGGGTAGACCTTGATTGCCAACACATTCTCGGTGCGAACGATGTCGGTGATGTCGTATCTCCGTCCCACATATGACCCTGCTTGTTCAGAGGAGTTTGCCACCTTTTTTCCGTTGAGGTATATGTCGGCGCGAGAGGATATTCCGTTCGTTTGAAGAAAGAAGTGCTGGCCTGGTGTCGGCTGTAGGGTGAACTCGCTGCGGTAAATCCATGGCACAAGGAACTTGTTCTCATCAAGCTTTCGGAGGTTATCGGAGAAGAAAAGCTCGGTCTCATTGTAAACTTTTGCTTCTATGAGACACCCGATCAGAGTGCACTTTGAGACTGGAGCATGGTACCATGATTCCGTGTCAAGTCTGTCCCTCGACAGTTTGCCAAGGTCATTCCCAACCACGGCTGTTGATTGAAGATCCCATGTTGGAATGACCGCCACTTGACCAGCCTTAGAGACCAATGTAGCGTCTACATGGAGGAAGAGTTGGCTGAGAAGGAGAAGCAGTGCCGTCGAGCGCGCCGTCTTCATTGGGCTGTACAAGTGTGCCACGACCGTCGCGGCTCCCGGTTGTCGGGTATTTGGTGACATAGATACTTAAAAGCGCAGATATATCTCCCCAGTAGAATTAAGCAGTAACGAATGAGATTCCTTCTTCATTCCGTATGCATGTTGCCGTCCTTTGAGGAGCAACCCGTGATGGTGGACGTTCAGTATGATGGAATTTGCACGGCATTTATTTACGCCATGCGGTGTACCACCTGCGGGCCGTTGCAATAAGATAGATCTTGCTTCTTGGAAAGGCGGGCTAACAACCGTGACTCATTCCATGACGTGCTTTATTCCAATTTTGACCTTAAGGGCACTTCCCAGTTGGGCAAGTATCGACAATAGCCGCGCCTACTCGCAGTAAGCCCGAAAGGCGGTGGTTACACCGCCCGGTTAAACAAACCAATTGTACACACGAACCTGAAAATTTAATTGTCAGTTCGTTGACGTGCAGCACTTCGGCCAAGATGTTAGAAAACCGATTGGTTAGAAATGCGAATCGTTGCCATTGGCCATACCGAAAGTCCATTGAAGTGATGCTGCCTGCAATCCCAACGGCTCTTTGCCTTGACCACGATTGTCTCACGACAGTCTTTTTTTTGCATCGTTGCGATCTCCGTTTGGCTTTTCTACTCAGATAGTCCTGCCATACCTGAAAAAAAACAAAAATGACAAAGTCATGGAATGACTCCATGAAACGTGATCAATGTCTTAAACAGGAGGTAGGACCACTTAGGATCTATATATCCTTGGAATTTTGGCCTGTAATGTGAACTTAAGAAATATCAGGTGCTCTTGATTTTCAGAGCTGAAAATGAGGTTAGACGGAGTAGAAACAGCTAGATGAGCTCTCGGGTAATCCAGATGCGTGTCACACGTTGCTCTCGAGTTGCAGAGAACCCTACCCAGTTTTGTTGGCGTGATGAAAGTCACGATGCTGAACTTTGCTCTTCAAACAGCCGCATTGGGGTTTGCATGCAAAACCCTAGCTGATACCCTACGTAACAGATCAGGAAAGGAAACCATAAGCACCAGAGGGGGGATCCTGATCATCAAATAGCCTCATCCCAAACGCTTTGTTGCCGCAAGTGTCCTGCACTCCAACTGAGTCATCGTTGAGTGTCAAGAGGTGCAATCGATGTTCAGTTGGGTCTCAAGGGACAAGCTTGCATCTGCTCTTTTGGGGTAAAATACAAGAGCAGTCAAGCATAAGAAATACCCTGGAATACAATGCTTGATGGAAGTCTATCTACCCACCCCTTGTGTCAGCATCAGTTAGGCACCTTATAGATGCACAGATAGTCGCTAGAACTCTATACATGTGACCCAATTTCACATTAAGCCTTAATAGGTATTCTCCCGAAAGGGTAGTTATACGAATACATGCCTACCTATTCGACTATTGAAAACTCACTCTCCTAAACAGAGGTCGGCATCAGGCCTTGTACGTACGTAATCCATTACACATTGCAGAAACATCTTCCGTGGGCATTGCTGTTGAGCGTGACCAAGAGCACACATCCAGTGCTGCCCAGCTCCTGCCGCTTGTTAACATAGCCAATGTTTTCACTTCAGAAAAGTCCTTTATGTACAAAATGAGCATAGAAAAGGATCTGTCAATGATTGCGCGGTCTCTGAAAGACGAATAAGAGTCACCCGGTGCTAGAGCGCTCGGGTGTTTGGTGGGTTGTAGACGGTGGAGACAAGACGCAGGCTGGTCTGACACACCAAATTTGTTCTTTCTGAAACGAAATTTTCTCCCGACTCTGATCTAAACTGACAAAATTCGCAGTTTAAAATAGGTAAAGAAACATCATTGAACGAAATGATGTGCTGAATCTGAGGGGAAAAAAAATAATCCTCATCTGAGGGATGACAGCATGACAAGGGTGAGATTCGAACTCACGCCCCTTTCGAGACCACGGAATCCTGAGAAGGATGGAGATTAAGGGATAAACCTTAACGTGGCGCCTTGGACCGCTCGGCCACCTTGCCCTATGCTGCAAAGCAACTAAGTGAGAGAGCTATTGTAGACAGCTCAGTCATTGACACCTTGAGGCATTGCCCTCAACACCACGCCATGTCCTGGTGACTAAAGTGACGAAATCGCAAGGTCATGTGAACAAGAGTTGCACAAATACCATCTTGTTCACAACAGACCAGATTGGAAGAATTCCTCACTTGCCTAGTTAATATTTGGTAAGCTGTTTTGGAAGAGGGCTAAGCATTACTAGTGCTGGCTGTCCCGCTAGATGCAACTCCATCGGATGGTAAGAAAATAACTCGGGTTGGGCACGTTGGGCACAAAAGCTCAGGTGGTCCTTTTGGTACCATGTCATCCTTAAACGTTGTGCTCAGCATGTGATTATAACGATTCACTATCTCTTTATCGGCACAACGTTCGCGTAGACTCAGATTGCGATCAAAAATGATGACGTCAGGTTAAGAATGATTGGAGTGTATGGTGCACTTCACTGTCATCAGCCAAAGCTTTGGCGGTGGACAGGCCCAAAAGAAGGTCATTTTACAGCCTCTTGCATCATTGCGATAAGGAAGACTCAAGCAACAGTGATCTGAGCACAGATTTGTCTTTCAAAGCCTCGGACCATATGGCGCAAAGACTGGTGACGTCGTATCATATGCCAGGCGGAATCTGGCGATTATAAATCGAGGGGTTTCGCAGGACAAATGGCGACTTGGTCTTCTTCCAACCCACTCGGAACAATTGGCAGGCTTTTCCAACAAAGCAACAATGGGCAAGTCAAGGAAGGCCAAGCGGCGCGCGGCTGCTCGCGAGGCGAGAAACCTCTCTCCAGAGTCTCGGGAGTTCAGCCCGTCGATGGATGATCCTTCGAGCCCCCATGAGACTATGTCAGCCGTCTCGACGACCAGCGAGACAGCTCGTCGGGACAGCTGGGGTGACGGCCAAGATGTCCCAATTGTCGACAGCCAGATCTCTGGCAAGTCGGCCAAGGACGGCTTTTCTCCGGAGAAGTCTGAGAATAACGTGAGTCTTATTTAATCCAGCTTTTTGTCACATCTCGGACCTTCTACAACCGGCTTGGCAGAAGAAATTGGCTAACAATGGGAGCATTCTGGCGCGACAATAGACTGTCCTCCAAAAACATATCCAGTTCTGGGACCGGGATCGCGACGGTGTGATCCGACCCTGGGACACCTTCTTCGGGTTCCGAGACTTGGGCTTCGGTTTCCTTTTCTGTCTAGTTGCCGTGGTGGTCATCCACTTCGTCCTCTCCTACCCGACCCGTTTGACGAGGTCGTGGTTCCCCGACCCTCTCTGGCGGGTCTACTTGACCGGAGTCCGCAAGGTCAAGGTGAGTCTCTGGCCCAGCCGATCAAGGCTGGCTGCCCGTGTAGTCGGCAGGCTTTGGACCCGAGTGTGCTAACACACTTCTCACAGCCTGACTCGGGTTCCGGCGCTCAATGGCAGGGAGGTGGCCGCTTCGATGAAGAGGCCTTCAACGCAAGGTTCTCCCAGTTCGACAAGACGGGCTGGGGCTTCCTCACTGGCCGGGAGCTGTGGAGGATGGTCCGCTCCAACCGCGGGGCGTGGGACTTGATCGGATGGTTGGCCGCCACCCTCGAGTTCGTCACGGCCTGGGTCCTTCTTCAGAAGGAAGGTCGTGTGAGCAAGGAAGACCTGAGAGGAGTTTATGATGTGTGTATTCCATTGTTGTCGATGGTGTCGATTAATTGGTAGCTAACTTATCTCAGGGCTCAGTCTTTTGGCGGGTCAAGGAGGCCCGCGAAAGCGGGGACGGCTGGAGGAAGGGCTTTAGTTGGCCCAATTTAGTGAACTTAAGCAAGGGGGAGCTGGCGCCCAAACAAGAGATGGATCCAGGCAAGTAGTGAAGGCTCCTTTGGTCTAGGAACTTTGGGCTTACTCGTGTGGAAGGGCTGAGTTCCAGGTAATCAGCGTCCCTCATATTCGGTCGGTGAGAGCCCGACTAAGCCATTTAACCACATCGATCTCAATGGCTGCTGTGCAACATGTAGTTGGAACTTTTCCCCATCATGACCTTGGATTATTCCAACAATAACTCTATTGTGGTTGAGTTGCGTTACTGGGCGGGCTTTTCCATGCTCACAAGCATCTCCGCCAGTTTGACCGTTAAGGCAAAACGATTATGGTGTCGTCTGTTAGCTTCGAGCCTAGTGATGAATGTGCCCACAAGGCTCGTCGGAAGGTGAGTTCCCGGACCTGGTGAGGAACTAGAAATGATGAGTAGGTATGGGGGCATAGGAAATGGTAGTGAATGGCCTTTGTTAATTGATATACATACGTCTGAAAAAGCTTGAAACTAAGGGATACCGCCGGACAGTATGAAAAAAAAATTACTGGCGAGTATGCATAAGATGGATTGACAGGTCAGTAACATGGAAACAGAATCGAAGACAGTTCTATTTTATTCGGTTGCTTCTTGTCTTGTCTGCTGAATCTTCTTCAACTCTCCCGCAATTGTTGAGTGAGATCTACCATAGACAGGCCACGCCCAGGGAATAGGATAGTTGAAGCCTGAAGGGAAGGCCTGAATCATAGGCATCTGTAGACTGGTGTGAACAAGAAGCCATGGACGCATGGTGTGGTTATAATCCTCCAAAGGGAAGGAAGCCGATTGAGGTCATATCCGAAGGCTTCCATATCAGCCTTAGTTGCCAGAACTTCCTCATGCAGACGCGTCAGTTCCTCATAGTAAGCCCATGAAGCGGTTGGGGTCATCAGTGCCGCAAGCTGCTGGTCACGGGTAATATGACTGGGTTTATCAAGGATTGCTTCAATCTTTCAGGTGCGAAGAGTTTTAAGGTTTTGCTCATAATCATATCGAAACCACTTAGGACAGGCGTCATACTACGAGAGCTCATCTTCTGAGTCGTTATCGTAGTAGTCAGACTCGTACATGAGAAATGGGTACTCAAACTGGGTTTGCGTCTAGCTCCATTTTCTTCAGACATGTATCGTCCCAAACAATTTCGAGTATCTGCTTGAGAAATGTGTCATGGTCGCAAATCGCCCGGAACACTGAGATCGTGATAGGATTTCGCGCATAGGAAGACACGATTGAGCCGGAGCTTGCAGAGGGAATGAAGTTGGCGATATGTCAGCCTCAAACATTAATATCCCGATTCGGCAGATATGAAGTTATCCCTCCCTAAATTTCCACAGAAGCCTAGTCAAAGAAGACGGTCGCATTATGGCAAAAGTGCGGGGTGCTAGTATCGAAATCAACTGCAGCTGGCCAACAACAGAGTTTAGAACTGGCGCTTCTTGAGTTGATGGAGCTGGGCAGAAGAGGGGTTCTACTTTTGCTGACGTCAAGTAAATTCCTGTCATACAAGAAACACTTCAACCTTACGGTTGCTCGCTGCACAAATCTGTTGTTTCCGATGGTATGGAAAGATGCGATTGTTCCTATCATTAGTTCCTTCATATCCCGTCACCAGCTCTCATAATAACAACCGTCAAGGTAAGTGCCAACGCAAACAGAACCCTACAAAAGAAATCAGCCCCCTAACGCCTAATACTCGTCGCCACGCTACGCACCACATCACTAACCTTCTCCCCAATCCCAACCTTTCCCTCTTTTCTTCCTCGGATTCTCGGAATCGACCATTCAGAGGAAGAGCCAATGGGAGAGAATCAATCAGGAGTGATTATCCCGAGCAGTCGCTTTCGCAGCACCGGCCGTTCAAGTTCTCGTCCCGACCATGGAGCCCGCTAGCGCCGGCATCCTCTCGGCCCTCCGGAAGGCCAGTGACGTCAAGGTCAAAGAAACTCAACGCCCTTGTTTCCGTCTCCGTGAAACTTTACGCCGCGATCGAAAAAATTGAGAGGAGTCTGTCCAAACAGCTCGAGAGATTGGTCGCCAAACCGCTTATCTTGAAGCTTCACTCTTTCCTTATTCAGGAGGCCTGCCTAGTGGGCGCTCAACAACCTCCTTCCCCTGAACAACACTGTTCCTCAGGCTCCGGAGGGCTCTTCCAGATCGTTCGGACACTTCCCACACCTCCATTCCCGATCAGTCAAGTTGAGCCACGTTCATATCATATGCACAAGCGCTCAAGGAAAGAGTAATCACCAACCTCAACTCCTTAACCAAGCGAATTGACCCTCCGGGCTTCTCGAAACAGCTCGCCCCCACCACGCACAAACGACAGGCTGAAGCCTCCAGTTGCCGTGATTTCCTCAGTGTGGACCGTGACCACCAGACTGGCGGTTAGCGACTCCCACTGGTGTCATGACCCTTCTCGTTGAGAAGATCGGTTTCCCGCGTGTGGACGTCTCTAGAATCTACCCCATCAATCCGGCTTTTGCATCAAACTATCAAAGATCCTCCTCAGGGAGCAGCTCGCTCAGAAAGCTGCGACCCACGGCCTCCTCATTGAGCTGGAAACGGTTACCCACGCCTACCTTCTCTCAAATGTCCCGGAATCCATTAGGGCCTATGAGGGCAGCGACCGCTCAACCGATCACCTCATAGCGGAAGAAGTTGAGGTGACCACCAAGCAGAAAGCTCATATGCATCCTCTCAATACACCAGGGTCCTACCTGATCATTCTCAAGCATAAGGTTCTCCGTTTCTCAGTCTTCGGTTCTGACCCGGCTAAGCTCCTGCCGCGTAGACCGCGTATCTACACCTGCTCAAAATGTTTCGGCTTTCATCACGACGACAAGTGCCGCTATAACTCAGTCTGCACGGCCTGCGGCATTCCTAGAGGCCATGGACAACACAAACCCATCCCGCAGTGCCCGAACTGTTTGGGCCTCCCCAAGAACTCGATTAAATGGCTTGGGGTGGTCTTGGACACGAGATTGTCCCATTGACCCAAGCCGCCGCCAGAGTTGCAACCACGGCAGCTACAGTGAGCCTGATCAAAAGACTGTCAGACACTAAAATTAGGGGTTTCCCTCCCAAGTCTGGCTCCGTCATCTTTGACATGGCCGTGGTGCCCTCACTCTTATATGGCCTGGTACAGATGGACATCGGCCCTTTCAGAGCTGGAACCAGGGGACGACTAATCCCATCAAATCCAGGAGCAATCTGGGCAGCCCTGGCTAGGGTCGCACACGCTGCTCTGTGTGCTATATCCCCGGTGTGGCGTACTATTTAAACCCCATGGCTGTGGTGGCTAGACGGGATCTACTCCCAGTACTTGTTGGAGCGAGAAAGAGATGGCGAGCCCGAGTTCGGACCTTACCGCCCGATTACCCCCTTTGGAGGAGACTCCAGTTCTCCCAATACAAAGGCTGGTCTCACTTACACCAATTAGCCGCCGACGCCCAACCAGGCCCTGTCTGGGAGCCCCTGCGACCCGGGCCTCGGGCCTGGCTAGGGCTATCCCAAGTCCCCTCAGACCATAGAAGACCGCGCTCATGACATAGTATCATGGTGGCTGTCAAACAAGCCTCAGTCCAGCCTGTGGGATGGCCCCTCAGCTAAAGCCTTCCTCGCTCTCTTCGACAGAAAGTGTCTGGTTAGATGGGTTGCGGAGCAGGCATCTGGACATGGGGACTTTCTGGATTACCATCTCAGGTTCAGCCACCCTCCGAGTGCGATCAAAACTTGCCCTTGTGGATCGATAGCCTCCAGGGGCCATTTCCTGAGATGTCCCCTCTCGTCCTTCAATAACTCTATAGCAGGGCGTCTGGATCTCAGAGCCTTTTGGCACTCTCACCAACTTTTTGAGAACAGGAGAGTACAACTTGAGCTTAACGGCTCCGCGCGAAATGAACAGACAGGGCTAACTATTTCCACCTACGCCGCCCTGTCTCCTCTCCTCGCTTGGTACAACACCCCCCAAAACCTTCACCTACCCAGCGACTCACAATCAGATTCAGAACTGTCTAGTTTGGATGTTCAAATTCCCGGCATTCTCCCCACTTAACCCCATTCCCCAATTTCCTTATGATATCCCTTTACAGCAACACACCGGCTTTATCCCCTTTTGGATTTTTCCCGCTTGTATATAGTGTAGTTAGGCAGCCAAAAATCACCTCTTGCCCGCGTCAATTTCAATCTCTCCCCAATCCCCGAAAACCCCCCCCAACGCTCACCTGGCCGGATCTTCCCGCTCTTAGTCTTCCAGGGCGGCGAGTGCAGCGACATCCTCATCTTGCCAAAAATAATGTTGACAATCTCGATGATAGCGAAGTCCGTGCTCCCCTGCGCACGGAACCCCGCCAGATCGGCCACCGACCACAGGATAAAGCGCAGAAAAAAGAAAGGGATCCCCAATGGTACTTGCACCGTAGGCCTCGCTCACCGCCATGGAGAACCTCGCGTTCGCAACGAGCCAAACTAGCACCATGTAGGTACGGACGCTCTTGTAGTAATCTTGCTGCAGCTGTTCCTCGGAGATAGTTGCTTGGGCACCTCGACGCGATCGCGCAGGTTGCGGAGGGCTTCGTCGTACCCAGAGTCAATGTCTAACTGTTTAGAGGGCGTTTCTAGCACGACCTTCGAACCATCACCCTTGGCAATGCCCAGGTCGGTTTTGTTCAAGTTATCGCTCATGGTACCCCAGGTCACGTCATGCGTGTTGCAGATGGCGTAGATCTGCAGCGTGCAGATGTACGACGGCAGGAGGATCAGGTACTGCAGGAAGGAGGTGAACATGCGCCAGGGGTCGAGATACATAAAGGACATGACGAAGCAGGGGCCAATGGTCGATATTGTGGACATGACGACGTAAATAAAGACGTTATTGCCCAGCACCAGGTTTGGATCGTCCTTAAGACGGAACTGGCGGATGACAATGTGGATGCAAGCGAAAACGGTCCACGCCATGATGATGGAGTAGATGATCATGGACGCGACGTACATCTTTTTAGCGCCCTGGGGTCGATTGCCCAGGGAGGACGAATTGCGTGCAGATGAGCAGGACGCAGACGAAACGCATGATGGTGAAGATGTAGAGGCAGGTCTTGTTACCGAAGGGGTCGACGGCCGGGTCGGCGATACCGTCTGCGATGAAGTAGAAGGTTAGGTAGCAGTTGGACAGGGAGAAGTAGGTGAAGAAGAGCTGGATGGCTTGGTAGATGAATTCGATATTCGGCAGGATCTTGCGAACTATGGCGTGGTCGGTTTGCCAGATCTGGCGGAAGTGAACCAGCGAGTAGACGGCTTTGAAGAAGGCACCGTTGAGCCAGCGGCAGCATTACGAGACGAACTGGGGGGCAGTATCTGTGGTTGATTAGCTTGAGAGCAAAAAAAATAAAGGAGCCAGGAAAGAGACCTACCAGGCACGTCAGTCTCGCCCTTACAGCTCTTGACATCAACACCAATCTCTCTCTTCCTCTTCGCCACCAACTCCCAACACAAATGCGATCCTCAGCCAGATGCATAATCGCCGTAAACACGTCCACATGCTGCCATGCAATGTCTCAGCCTTAAAGTCGTCACTCAACGGCCCATGTCCGGTCTCATCATTCTGCAGTGCATGGTACCGATACGCACTCAATACACCCGGCAACACAGCAATATACCCGAACACCGACTCAAGCGGCCTATCCAGGATGTTTAACAGTTTGTACTCTCAAAGTTTTTGGACGCGACCAGCGGGTTGAGCAGGTTCTTTCCCCACTTGCCCTTCATGACAGTGATCTCTCGCAGGAGCCGGCGAAGTTAGAGTCCTGGTCGAAGGCCTCCCAGAGATCGTAAAGAGCTGTATTAGCCGGCTTAGTACCGCATGCCCCCACAGCTACTCAAAGCCAACCCTCTCCGGTGCCAAGCCCAGCTGGACATCCTGAAGACAACACTTCCTCATCACCCCAGGTATGGGAGAGGATCGCATACGGAGGGACATCACTACTAATGAACTCCACAAGCTCGAGCTTGTTTGTTCGAAGCAGGCGCATCGCGAGCTGTCACGACGGCAGCGCGTCGCGATGTCAGAAATGAAGAACGCGCAAACTCTGAGCTTACCCCATGGTGACTAGCAGGATCAGGAGAACGCGTCACTCGCCGAAACCGGGGCTGAAACGCGCCGCATGACAGCTTACACTCCCGGTAAATATCATCTTTGCAGCAATACGTTACTGGACCACATCCGTCGAGAAAGTCAAAAGTGTCTACCAGTGGCTTGATCCATACAAGATACAGTAACATTGAAAGCGCAACTCCTGCTATTATTGGCATAGGCTCGTTGGGGCATCGTCGATTCCCCACACTCTCGATAAGCTTAACACTTGACTGAAGACCTTACGTTTCTTCTAAACCCACATGGTACGCCATAGCCACAGATCGTGCATTGCTGCCGCAGCCACCTGTTCATCGCCGTGCTTGAGTCCGCCTGAATTGAGGACAGGAGCATCGATGGAGGCATGTGTGCTGCAGGAGCGCCATCACTGATTGGGCAGCCAGCCACGATGCGGGCAGATCTCAGCCGCACTGCCACCGCTAGCGGGGCGTTGGGGTGCTCGGCGGCAATAGTTGGGCGGCGAGCGTGTTGAAACGCCAAGCTTGGGTTGAGTTGTGCCGGAATAAGAAATATTGGTGTAGAAGGCGTTTATAAAAGTTGTCTTTAAACCCATTAATGAGCGATTGGTTGTGTTCAACGTCCCGGAACCAATCTACATCAACACCTGTCTTTTGTCACCACTCTTCCCCACTTTCACCACAACCGGTCAGCGTAAGCACCGCATATGCCCTTAGAGCTCTCGATAGTTATATCAGCTCAAATATTCAAGTAATCATCAGCTTTCTGTCGTGCGCTGACTTTCAGAGTAACACTGTCCACTTGGACTCGAACTTGACAAACCTCTCCCTTTTAATCACCAACATGACGCTCCCGTGGCTAGCCTGGCCGTGGATTCCCGCGCTCCTGACGCTCCCAGGCACCCTCGCTCTCTTTTTCTCCTCTTCTCTGAGATCAACGCCATGGGGCGACGATGCCTGGTTCGTGCTCAAAACCATACACTTGGACTTTATCTACCATTTCAGCTGCACAGTCATGGGGATCCTCCCCCTCGGTTTCCTGCTCTAAGACAGCATTATCAACGTAAAGACTGTGTCACAAGAACATAAACAAAAGGCCGTTCTTTGGATGGCGTTAAGCGCCCTCCTTGTGCTTGGATTCGTCTTCGTCTGGATTCCTTCTGGCTGTGGCTGACGATCATGGTGATGCTCCCTGTGCGGCTCACGAGCTCCGGGATCAAGTGGTATCTCTATCTCTTGGGCTGGTACCGAGACGGCGGGTATCGGCAGCTACAGCGAGTGGAGCACACGGGCATCGGGGATGCGTTCCTGACGGGTCTTGGCCTGGGTATGATGACAGCTCTGGGGAGGCCTGGACAGAAAGAGAATTATAAGCGGCTTCTCCGGTGGGGCTATGAACAAGGGACGATGTCTCAGGAGACGCTCGATGTGTTGAAGGCCGCGGGTGGGATTCATCGGGAGGTTGTTCTTGAGCTGGAAGCTGAGATGCGGTACGCGGCGTTGCTGCGAGCACAAACACCTGAAAGCCTTATGTTTGTGGCCCAGCAAATGCTCGCTAACCCCCAACTCGTCGTCGACGGCAGGCTAGGACAGCCGATGGCCAATGCAGCACAAGAATCAAATGATACAAACCGTTGACCGAACCTCTCATCCCCCGAGTTGTCCAGAATGTTGCTGCTCTATGAGGATGCAGGGGGATTTTTGGGGGACAAAGACCTGCTGTTAAGAACATTCATCTTGGGATTTTTTTGTTCGTACTGTTCTCGTATCAACTTCAAGACTGTCATATAATAGTCAAAGTATTACTGGAAATCATGAATTCGATCCAACTCCAGTCTTCGACAACCGCGATCCAAATATGTGAACAAAAACCTAAACGTGATTATCTCTACCAAATCTTCGACTTCCAAACCTTGGCATTGAAGCGAAGCTTCAACTGACGAGCTCGTGCGTGCTGCAATATTTAGTCTACTTCCTAGTCCATAATATCTACCAACGAGAGATAACCCCCCTCCCCCCTCAAGCTACAGGCTCGTGCCCAGCCCCGCGCTGGTACGCAGACCGGGTTGAGAAGAAGTAGTAAATGATCAATCCAATAATAGGGAAGAAAAACACAACCAAACACCATATCAGCTTGAGGACGGGAGGTCGACTGGATTTTGAAGACCTTAACTATGCAGTGCTATAGGGGAGATCACAACCAGGAGCCGAAGACACACCAAAAACGATGATGTCGAGCTTGAGGACAACAAGTCTCACAATGCCGCCACCTATTCCATACTAACAGCTGTTGTCAATGGACTCGACAGAGATTGGACGGTCCGGGCGGCAAAGGAGAATTTGGCCAGCCAAAGTTGGAAGGATAGAGAGCGAGAAGAGGGTAGGGAAGAGCATGGCTGGTGGTGGCTTCAGGCAAATATATTTTCATCGAGCAAATGACCGAGGCCTCTGCCAGCCAGCGGGAGATGCACCGCCGGGAAAACTTCTCGAGGAAGGGTTTGGCCGAGTGCCCGCTCCATTGAGCCCAGGGGAGTCTGTTGACCTGCCACCATCTGTGCATGTCCGGGGGAAGGACGCGACGTTTCTTGGGAAAAGAGGAAGGGAGGCCAAACCCCGCCCTGATGCCCGCGCCTTGGGCTTCCCCGAGGCCTAGCCCTCAGGCCAAAGGCCGCTTGGTGCAAGCGGGACCAGCCGCGGAAGGGGGGTCGGGCGAGCCTAATCCACAGAGGGTGGCTGGCCGGTAACATCACAATGCGGTTCCTCCACCGTACCAGCTCTCTGTCCAGCAAGTACTCAGGATAGAGGCCAGCAAGCCACCAGAGCCACGGGGTCGGTATTGTCCTCCACACCGGGAATATCACCCCGAGTGCTGCGTTCGCAACCTTGGTGAGAGATGACCACACCGCTGCGAGCCTGGATGGGACCAAGCGGCCGTTGACCCCCCGCCCTATGTGGGTCGGTATCAAGTTTGACCATGGCATACAGAAGGGAGGGAGTGACGATTACGTTGAAGATGTTGGGGCCAGCCGCGATGAGGAACCCCGGACCTTCGTGTTAGTCAGTAGACAGTCGCTTGACAAGCCCTACCACCGCAGTCGTTGCTGACGCCCTCGCGGCCGCCTGCGTCGCAGGGCTAATCTTGGGGTCCAGCGAGACGCCCAGCCACTTGATGGGTTTGCCAGGGGAAAAGGACACCCCTTCCACCTGTGTCGAAATATTTGCGGGATCAAGCCTTCTTTGCTTTGTTCCAGCCGTCCAAGCTTTCTATATACCGGTTAGGTTCTTTCAGAACCCTCTTGCCAAGTCAACGAGGTTCTGGAGATGAGATGTGGAATTTCGTCTGTAGTGAGCTAGTCGTACAGGCAGTTGTAGATTTACATACAGGAATGGAGGGAATTTCTCTATCAAATTGACTCACCTCACCTCATCATGTCTAGACTTGGAAGTGTTGCACTGAGCCGACAAACCCAGAACTCAAAGTAAGATGTCTCGCACTTAAGTAGCTTCACCAGGCCTTTGGTATCAACCTTCCGCGTTTGCGGTAATAGCGGGATCTGTGCAGTATCGTGATTATCATCTTATTAATACGACCAACTGACTGGCTAACTGCTACCTCAACTGAGTAGTTATACCCAGTTACTCCTGGTTATCAAAACCATCAATCAGCCCAGCCACTTATATCAGTCCAAACCAGCCGCCCCCTGTCTTTTGTGTCTTCAACTTTGGCTACACGCCGAGTAAGCCTTTGCGTATAGTACATAGAGATCAGAGTTACGGCCACCGTGAATATAAGTGTTAACACGAGCCACCATCCCGTCGCAGGGCCAGACCATGTGCTACCCAAGAAGCTCTTCCCCGTTGTGGACCTATCTGATGATGGGTCTGGATCGGACGAAAACTGTACGATATCGGTGCTGAAGATTGTCTGCATATTTATCAACGAAACACCGTTAGACACTCCGTGTTCACAATTCACGATCATGTTGAATTGAGATTGAGAGGTAACGCAACTTGAATACATTGTTGCCCATAGATCGGAAAGTCAATGTATCTTTCCATGACCATGTTGTATAAATAAAAGAACAGTTTGGTACACTTACAGCCACGATACTCATGGGAAGTAGAACTAATGTTATGCTAGCGAAGGCCCGCATGGTGGCGGAATCCTTGCCCATCGCAATAGTCAAATCGTGCATGTCACTTTCGTTTCGGTGGCTGATCACGATGCGCTCGATCTAGGATAAACGACCATGAGCTTTTGTCACAGAATGTCCGAGCTGTTTTGGGAGAAAAAAAAACATACTGCGTCCTCTCGCTACCCACCCATTTTTCTTATCAAAGATGCACGCCTGAACAAGTTTTCATTGCACTTCCGAATATCCTCTAATTTGGCAATAGCACACTTGATTATGTTCTCGAAGCCCGCAATGTCACGGTTAATCCAATTCCAGTTGTGGTAACGAAGCTCCGGGGCTTTGGAGAGTTGATCATAAAAGTTTATCAACTCATTGCACACTCGTATATTCACCTCGAGGCCGGCGATGCACTTGTCAAGGGTCTCCAGGTGTAGGTTCAGTGCTTTCAGAGTGATCTGCCCAACTCGGGGACCGCGGTCCGGTGAACGAGTGTATTGCCCGGTCTAGGTCATGATTGCATAAAATGCATTAGTCGAAAACTCAACTTATCCAGCGAGGGATGAAAAAGGTACTGATAGCAAGATGACGTACCATGATCTCCATGAAATCATCTAAGGCTGAGAAGTAGAAACTGTATTCGCTCAAGGACCATTCGGCAAACAAACCAAACCAAGACTTCAAGACTACACTTGAATCTTTCTTTTGCCCCACTCTTTGATGATAGCTCGACATTTGACAAAACCCTCTTGATATCACGGGCTGCATCTTTTCCCGTTCGATCACAGCTGGTGATAATCCAGAAGGATTTACCATTGCAGACATCGAAATGATGATGGACCACAGTTTGCTGCACGGCTGCGGGTGCAAGCGCCGCTTCGATATCACTAAGATACTGAATATGAAATTAGGCCGTGAACATTGGCGAAGTGAAGTAAAGGTGAAACTGACTTCGTATCTATTTCCCTCATCATTCGACGGCTGAAGACGAGGATTGAACAAGCTCGTCAGTTCAAATGTTAATTGGTAATAGTAACCGCTGCGATCAAGTTCCATTACAGGCAGCAGTGGCTGTAAGAAGTTTTTGAAACTGCGAAACCCTCCGAATAACATATCACGCTCACCAGTCATAGGGCGGTGACCAAGGTGTGAGATAAAGTTAAGAAAGCATGGTGAAACACGGAGATAGGTGAGAAGCTGCAGTAGCATATCTTCAGTAATCCTCAACCTTTGCCGGACATTCAATCCAAAGAAGCAATAAATCTGCAGGACCATGCGTCAGTAAAGGCCGTTTAGATATCAAGATCAAAAATCTCATCAACAACAAGGGAACATTGGTGGTGTAAGTAGGTATGAACATACATGAACTGGCACACTGGATCTGGGCTAGATTGAAGGCTGGAGGGTAAAACTGAACTCTGTAAATTCGGGGATGTGCTTAATGGTGAGATTGACTGGACAGAAGAGCAAGCTGATGTCCTGGACGGATACTGTTCAACCGCGTTGACAGAGCCATGACCAGCATTTTGTCTTTTCCGCAGTGGCATCCCAAGGTACAATGCAAGTTGCTCGGGTGTTTGAATAAATATCGTCTCGGTTTCTGAACCGGTGTATACTGTTATTGAGGTTTCGTTACTAGCATTATGAACATCAGTATGAGAATGATCTGCGTTATTGCTGTTCACCGTCTTGCGTGTTGCACCGAAGTTGGAGATGTGCACATTTATACCAAGCCAGTCAGGGTCCTTGAGGAAAGGATATTTGTCCCTAAGGTCGGATAGAAGAACTGTCGACTTGGCCCCAGCAAAGTGGCGCTTGAAGTCCCGCCTAAACTTTACGCTTTCAATCTCAAGTGGAAGGTTGTCTGGATATGACTCCCAGTTTTGCAAGATATCTGCAAACGATTGCGATTCCGTACCATGGCTTGTTGGCATGATCATTCCCAGGGAAATAAGTGTTGGTTATGACAAAAATCAAACTCCAGCGTCCGACTGTGGTTCCGTTATAGATAGAGGGTCAGGGGATGAGGGATTAGATGAATCGATGACGGATCCTAAGAGACTAGAATGCCGAAGTTTGCTCTGGTCGAAAAGTTGCAATCCAGATAACCGACTGAGTAGACCATCTCTGGCGGTTATGTAGCCGCGCAGCGGGCGCAAGTTACAGTGTCATTGACCGGCAGCACACTGCCTCCTTTTTGACAACGGGACCAACACCATGCTAGTCAGGGTGTAGGGTTGTAAGGTGAAAGTGGAGCAGACGATGCCTGTGAATCTAGCGAGCTACCAACGATCTATGAAGCCCTTAGTGGGTACTTCTGTGCCTACGTTCTACCCTGGTTTGTTTGTTAGCACGATACTTGCTGCAAGCCATTGATAGGGTGTCAGCTGGGCATGAAGCCAACCATTGAATCCATGAGAGTGCCAGCCTCAAAGGTGCTCAAAGGCAATGGTGAAGATGTCCAGAAGATTCGAGGTGTGCGGGAGTAGCTGCCCTGCCTCTTCAATGGCCAGACAATCTGCCGTGCAATCAACCTCGAGAGTGAGGGATCCAGCGATCTCCCTAGGCGGGATGTGGTTTCCAATAAAGTATAACGCTACCAAACAAACCAGGGTAGAACTGTACAGCATAGCACCGCGGCAGTAGCACGATGGGAGGATGGGCCACAGCCACACACACATCTCCAATCACTGATTAGCGCCGGGCCGCTGTAGTTCCCGAATATTTTGCTGTCTTCTGTCCGGTACAGAAGCGAGATGCCAAGCCTCTAGGGCTCTCTCTATGGGGAAAACAGCCTTGGGCACCTATGCTGATCGTGGTAAGTATCTCTTTGGCTGTGACAAAATCCTTTTTCCGAACTGGCTGGAAGTTACCGCAGCGTTACCTCCCACCAGCCCACTTACAAGTCCACTACACAACACTATTACCACAACATCAACATCAAAGAAATGGGGGAAACATCAAAGGAATACTTATATTGAATTTTATCTATTGATGGATCTTTTCGTCTTTTCAGACTGCATCTACATTGTGAAATAAGCTGTTAAAATAAAACAGCCTCAGCTGGGATGAGGCTATCTCAGCTTAGATGCTAAGTTGCTTTCCAATGACCCTTTTTTCCAACGAGAGCTTGCAATTATGGTGAACCCTGTCACCGAAGACTACACTAACAAACAACACAAAAGGTAGTTTTGCAGAAACAGAAAGGACTCTAGGTAGCTCTTAAGGATTGCCGATAGAACAAGAAGACGAGACTCAGTCCTTGGGCATAGGCAATTACCGTGGCCAAAAAAATTCCAAACGAAAATGTAACCGTTGATCGGGGATTGAGCCCGATGCGGGGGTCGAACCCGCAACCTTGAGATTTACGGAGATTCCTTAAGAGTCTCACGCTCTACCGATTGAGCTAACCGGGCAATGGCCATTGGCTGTTGTCGCTGGAAGCCCAATCGACCCTGTGGAGTTGTGAGAGCCCAGCTCTTGGACGTCAACAGTGTCAAAGTAGCAACTCTTGAAACTATCCCAGTCAAGGAGCCTTGCAATAAGCCCCCTTACAGACCAGCCCAAACTCTAACTTTAATTGTAAGAAAAAAAAAATAATTGATAACAATTCCATGGGTTGGGGGGGGTTACAGGAAACGGCAAAGATTGAACCAGCTGCGAGTCCTCAGCAGGGCACTTCTTCGCATCGTGATCCGTACATACTGTATCGTACATCAAATACGCGGCGACTTCCAGCATCGTGTAAGAATGGAAACCTAAAAGTATTGTAGAATGCCAGGTAGTCCGACATCTTTTGCCCCATAAGATGACGCCAACAAACCCATACCTATGTACCCTAGAATCGTTTGACACATTATATTCCTACATATTATTTTCTACAGGCGATGAAAGGGAGAGTTAGGTAATTGGAGCACCTGTTGCGGGTGATGACTCTTCGACCAAGCCAGCAGTAATAACGGCGGCTTCGGTATGATGTGGTACGCGTTACGTATCAACAGACACAAGATCGCCCTGGCCACCACTGTGTAAGGTGTGCCATGTATCATCCGCCGACATCGTACATGCTAACGCACGATATTTTCCGCCAAAACTGCAGGCAGAAGCCCTGCTACGTCTGCCAGATTGAGGATCTAGATCACCTGTGAAGCTGCGCCAACCATCAAGCTGCCAGGTGGCCCTTGGTGCGACCCAAGGGGTACGGATCTAGATTGATCCCACTGGATGTCTTTCAACGAGAACAGGGTTAGGGTTGGCACTGTTCCAAAGCCAACGCAACAGGCCAACAGGCCAACAACCTCCTACCAGCCACAGCCTCCGGTCCGTAAGCGAGGCCATTTAAACCAGACTTATTGCCACAAAGGAGGATAAATAAGTTTCTCAGCCGTTTCGACCATGGAGGACACCGACCTGGCAGGCCTTGTGAGCCCATCCGGGCGACCTCCTTGAGGTTGAGATCAGATGGCCGAGATAACTTGAGGTAGGTTACAAGGAAGTGCGTTGGTCGTTGGGTACTGTCACCCTCGTATTCCCATTCTACCGAGGATCTCTACCTTCTTCGAATCTTGAACAGATAGTCAAATCACTTGAGAATACATTGAAAACAAGTTGCTGTTGTCGTCGTCGCAGCCTCATTACAGGTTTCCACGCGGATTTGCCCATCCATAGCGACATGACCAATCCTACCAGATATCCCAGCCATCTATTCGAGTATGTATGGCCCTGTGGACACCACGAAAATGTTTCGATCGAAGAAGCGCCCGGCATGACGTTGGTACGTGGGCAACTGACACTGCCGGTGGCCAAACAACCGGAAGACTTCACGGAGGAGGAGCGGATAGGGATCCCGGGACGCCGCAAGTGCTGCCAGTGCTGGGCGACATGCAGCCTGTTCAAGCGGCTTGATGCATGCGAGGAGTGCGAGCATCTTTTCAATGGGTGCTCTACATGCATGATTGTGGATTCTTCGGGATGTCGGGAGATTGCCACAGTCGAGGGTCGTGTCGTCGGCGAATTTGATCAGACTCCTGAGTTTTGGCGGTGCAATGAGTGCGAGAATCTCAACAGCTTTGGGAACGAAGGACCTTTTAATGGGTTCATTGCTCCAAAGTTTGCTGATTATTTGGACGAGACCCGATGCCAGAACTGTCAGGCCCGGTTCAGTGAGGATCACTGGGTTATCAGTCCGTTTTGGATATACCTAGGGACTTGGAACGGGAGGGTGGTGGCAAAGGGAGGCCCGTGGTATTGGAGCCTCGAGTGGCATCGCAACTTTGCGCCCGCGGACCACTCTAAGGAGAACTGTTACTCGACAAGGAAGAACGGGAGGAAGAGGAGAGAGAACCCATGCATTGCGAAAGAAGAGTTATCCAAACCACATGTGGAAAAGAAGAGTTTCGTTATTCCGACACTGGTCGTTCAGACAGACGACAATGTCTCTCTTCCCCCACTGTCTTCTGGCCTGACGCCGTATGCTGTAGACGACCACGACAGGCCTGGACCCAAGGAACGGCTGGGTCCTCCCTCTTTTGAAGGCCACATGCTAACTATTGATAATCAGACTTCTAACTCTGCAGTTTTTACCATCGCGGATTACCAAGATGAAGACCCCGAAGGACAAAGCATTTACGGCCAGGAAAAAGATCGGCTTCAAATTCCAGAAGATGACCATCAGACCGTTGATATTGGCTCGTATTATGATGCACCTAGCGTGTATGACCAGCAATCCGAAGAAAGAGACTGCAAAGAGGGAGACGGCTCTGGAGAGGAGTGGTTTGTTGACCACACTCAATATACAGTGGTGCATAACACCTACGCTGTCCTCGCCACAGACGCAGCAGCTCCTTTCAATCCCCCTGGTATGACCCATGACATGTTGTGGGATGAGAGAGATGAGGATGACGATGTCCCATTCTCAAGGAAAACCAATTGCGAGGAAAGTGCTGAGAAAAGTGAAGCCGAGATTGAGGCTACCTTACCAGAGGGCCAAGGCCAAGAATTAAACCCTGCTGCAATCCTGGAAGAAGAGTTTTTCGATGCTCAGCTAGGTGAGAAAGATGCGGATGAGTGCCTAGAAGAAATCAATCCTGATGGCTGCGGCACCGAACGGAACATTCACGAAGAACAATTTAATGAAGAAGTCGAGAGGGACATGGAACAAGATGAAGGACTGACTGGAGATCCCGGTGATATGTTCGATGATGGGGAAGGCGAAGAGGAAATTGTCCTTGAAAATGAAGGGTTCATCAATAATGACCAAATCGCGGATTACAATCCCGGGGAGAACGCCTGTAATGGCAACCCTGCCGAAGAGGGTGTCATCGAACTGGAACCGCTTTATGAAATGCAATCTGACGATCCGATTGGGGAGACCCTGCCAGAAGGGGAGAAGAACCTACTCGAGGGGGAGGAAAGTCCTGATGTGGAAGTTGAACCATTGATGAACGAGCTCGCGGAACAAATTGAGGAACTTCTTCAGCCAGAACTTGCTGAGGATGAGTTACTCGAACATGAAGACGTGGACCGTGGCGTTGACTCTGCACAGGTGGAGGAACAAGACTTGTCGGAGAACGGAGAACTGATGGAAGATGGCCTGCTTCTGGAGGAAGAGGTTTTTGATGAAGGCTCTCCTGGAGAAAGGGGGATCCTTGACGAAGAGTTGCCTCGGGAAGAAGAAATCTTCGGCGAAGTTCCTACAGGACAAGGCGAGTTCGTTGGTCAGGAGGTGATTGAAGAGGAGGGCGAGGTCATAGATGACGCTCCTCTCGAAGAAAATGAAGGTGTTGGGGAAGAGTTACCCCAGGATGAACAGGTCCTCGACGCTGCCTCCCCTGAAGAGGGAGAGATCGTGGATGAGGAAGCTCCCCGGGAGGAGCAGGTCCCTGGTGATGATAACTTTGACGGAGAGGAAATTATTGGTGAGGAGGTCTCTCAAGAGAGAGGGCTGACTGGAGAGGAGTTCCCTCAGGAAGACTTCTTGGAGGAGGGTGTTCCAGAAGAAGGTAGCCCCAGGGAAGTTGAGTATCTTGACGAAAATGACGTTCCAGCAGACATTTTCCCGGACGATGGGTTTGCCGAAGAAAGGAAAATGAGAGAAGAGCCTCTCCTAGAAGAGGAACAGATTGTCGACCGCGATCTTCCAGAGGAGGGGAATGTTACTAATATGGATGAAATATGGGATAGAAACATGGGCCATCTGGCTGCCAGACCGGAAGAAGGCATCATCCAGGCAGAACCAGCCTTAGTAGAGCAAGATGGACTAGAGCCTTACAAACCTCTCGAAGACGATGCTGTGGTCGATAATACCTCTTCCCCGCAAAACGAAACGTGGTTGGAATGCAAACCTCTTCCTGATACCCGGGTCCTTGAGGAGGACGTTTTCACGCTCTGTGAACCAAACATGGAAGGTGAAGGATCAAACGGCTGCGACCCTCCGGTGGACAATGAGACGCATCGAGAAGGCGAATTGATGGGAAGATTGGATGATGAGTTTATAGCAGAGGACGAAATTGCGTCGGACGAGGAACGTGCTCACCATGACGAAGCTCCCCTAGAGGGTGGTACTTCACATGTGGATGAAGCCATATCTGAGGGAGAAAGTAGTTTTCCTGTCGATGCACGAGCTGGACCACAGGGCGACGTTCCACCTAAGCTGGAAGAATCCACCCAAGAGGTCGCTTCTCCTGCAAATGAAGCTAGCCCAAACGCTCTAACTGCGCCAGGTTTCGAGGAGGATGTTGAATTAGAAGGAGAGTCTGCTGCCAAAGACAGCCCAGAAGAAGTTTGCCCCACTAATCGAGCCGAACAAAGCGCTGAGGATGAGGGCAAGCCAAAGCCGGAAGCTTCTCTTCCCGGTGACAATGATATCAATGAGGCTGGCCCCTCTTATGAAGATGAGGCTCCGAACGAGAACGAAGGCATCCAGGGAAGAGAATCTCCGGTAGTTACTGACCCCGAATTCGACAATTTCTACACAGAATTTTCTGAGGGTCGGGGTTCCGAAGGAGAGTTTCCACACAGCCAGCGTAGAGGTGCTGAGCCTAATGAGGAATACAAAACGGATGATCTCATCGATGGTCACACTGAGGAGGAGACGGGTGGGGTAGTTGACTTCGAGCAGGCCAGAGCAGACTCTTTGCAAACTGCAGACGAGCAGTTCGAAAAGGCCGAGAATTGTGATGACCAATCGTTGCCTTCCGACGACGCAGTTCGCATCGATGACTTAGCGCAACAGGACTTGCCTTCGTGTGACGAAGACACATCTATTGACTCGATGCCCGGAGATTTCGAGCTTTTCGTTGAAGAGCCCGGATCTCTTGATAGATGGCCAGAGCAGCGGAAAAGAATGGTCAAGGAACAGTTCAAGTGTATCCAGCCCATTGAGAAGGAGGAACCACCAACTGACGATCCACCTGCGGAGGAAGTGGCCGATGTCGAACAAAAGCCTCATCCATCAATGGACGCTGATTTCGACGATCCCGTTGCGGAGAATCCTCCTTTCAATCAAAGCCTCATTCTGAGTGAAGGGCCAAATCTATGTTGGCCAGATCAGGGATCTCCTATTCCAGAGGAGCGCCCAAACCAACTGGAAGGTTCTGATGGCCTAGCCTTGGCAGATCATGGATCGGAAGGTTTCTTTTATAAACATGCCGAAGGTGAGGAAGCCTTTGATGACGAACCTGAACTCATGTGCCCTTCGGATGATGGTGCTTCTGGCAGAGTAGGGCGGCGGGAGGAAGCTTCGTTGGACGAGTCGTACGAAGAAGAAGCAAACGCCAGAATGGAATCTCCAAGTCAAGGGCTCCGAGAAGATCCTCCTGACGAACACTCCTCCAGCTGCGATGGATACGTTCCACCTTCACCAACTGGGGTTGCCGAAACGGCTTTGGAGGCTCCAGACGTTGGTGAAGTGGGTATCTGCGAAGAGATTGCTCCAGATAACGTGCCATTGGAGGAGAACTTCGACAGAGAATCTCACCTAAACAACCCTCTTAATGAGAGTGGCAACGAATATCTTCCATATGATGAGATAGCAGGTTCTGGCGATAAACTTCCCCCACTGCTAAAAGATCGGCCGAGGGAATGGTGTCTAAGGAGGCAAAGTGAACAACAGTCTAAGGAACCTCTTTTAATGGAGCGATTTGAAGAAGGTTCAACAACTTCAGAGGAATACCACGACGGCGATAGTGATCATGGACCTTTGGAACTGGGTCTTCTAGCCGACGAACGTTCCAATTGGGAGCCTGAGAGCAGCCTTGACAATGACAGAGGGTCGGAAGAGCGCCCTGTTACACCGCAATCTCTGACCCCTCAGGTACCTGCTAACGAGGATGAATCTCGGCTTGAAGATGAGCCTTTCGAAGATAACCACCTAGATGACCGTCAGCCAACAGATTTCGAGAAGAACTTCTTTAATGGCAGACGACACTCGACCTTCGGCGAGAACGATGAGCAATCAGGCTCTGAAAACTCCCTTAGTAAACTCTCTGTCAATGAGCTCGACTCTGCCCAATATAGCTATCCCGAGGACTCTCAGCTACATCAGGATCAACAGAACTGGATTGGACAAAAAAGGGGACGGTTCAACACCAAGACTGCGGACAGCCCAACTGATCCCCATACCTACCAGGGCCTCTTCCATCCTCATCCTGGTGTAAGAGTGTCTGAGATGCAGTTCGACACGCAATCACCGTCTGGACGATCATTTGATCACGACGACCAGTCCGACGTGGATCACGAAGGAGAGAACCGACAGGATGTGCAAGCAGAGGATGATGCTTCCGATGCGGGCGGGGATACATTGCCAGAATTCCCCACTCCACAACACTGCAGATTGTCCCGAGATAATCAAATCCCCTCACCTGCGCCACTGAGTACAAAAGAGCCCAGGTTATATCACCCACGTTACGAGAGGGCTCATGATAAGTATTATGATCCAGACGACATACGTTCCGATCTTCCAGAGACCCCGTGCCACCATGATGTCTGGCCAGATGCAGCGGTGCCGTACCCACGTCATCAACCTCACGTTGAAGAGCAGCCAAAACCAAGGCACAATAACGAGGTCAAAGACAACAGGTACTCGTGGTTGCTCCCACTTATGGCAATAGCCACATTGGGATGGGGCATGGGGAATTTGGAGCAGCAGTACCGCGTAGGAGTTCGAAAAGAGCCGAGGTGCAGCATCAGAGCACTTGTCTCTGAACTCTTGGGAGGAAAGAAAAGGAAAGGTAACGTCAATACGGTGCTCTCTTGCGTGCAAATGGACGAAACTATCGCCAGAGAGACCAAGGCGCAGACACAAAAAGTAAGAACATGCTTATCAGGGTCGCGACAAGGGTTGAGCAATGGCCTATTGCTCCGTAATGATGACAAAAGAAGACGAGGCTTCTGGTCAATCCTCCCTGGCAGGAAGAAGGTCAAACAATCTGATCTCGAAGCGCAAACTCATCCGCTGATAGGCGAGCAGCTCGCTCCAAATAATGAGACGCCTCAATACTTGTCTCCGGTCAACCATACTCCCACTTGGGACCAATCTCATGGTTTCCCTAATGAGCCGTTGGGTAATGGGCGAACAAAACGCGATCCCGTGGGTGTAGTAAGCTCACAAGAAGAGGCCACAGATGGTACTTGCTTTGACAGGTCCAGACGGAGGAAGAAAGCCGAACAGGGAGGATTTTTAGCACGCCTGTTTGGGTGTCCGAGAAAGTCTCGCGATCCGATTGATGATCTCGGGTCGGCTGAGGATAAGTCGATCGTGGAGCAATTCCCCGATGTTGAGATCGACAACAAGACAAGTGGTGCTGATAGACGGGGATTCTTCGCCAGATTATTCGGTTGGAAGTCCAGAGTGCAAAATTCCGACGAGCCTCTGATGAAAAATGATGGTTGCAACGAAAGAACAACCGGTAACAGTGATTTACTCAACCGTGAGTGTGAATCACATCCAAAGAAGGGCTTCTTCGCGCGGCTGTTCTACCTTCGTCGAACATCCAGACGAACCCCAGTCAGCGAAGACATTGAGCTGGGGAATATAGCTAGCAGTCATTCAGATTTGCCCCGTCCAGGGCGCGTCAAGACTGGCAGTCCGCAACTGGTGCAACGGAAAGACTCTCGCCAGTCTACCATCGCGACACTCGTAGACGAGTATAACGCTGAGCAGCGCCGGAGACAGTTGCTGCAGGAAGAGAGCCTCGGGAAGCACAAAGACAAGAACACGAGTGCCAAGAGCAGTAGGGGTAAGCGTACGGTTAAGGGGAAAGCACAAGAGGACAAGAGGAGGAGTAAAATCAAGGGTGCGCAAGTCTTGGAGAATAACTTGCCAAAGCCTAAGCCAGCCAGAAGGGAAACGGGAAAGAGAGTAAGGTATGCAGTAGTCGACCATTGTGTGCTAGAGAAGCATATTCCTGCACCAAAACCGAAGAAGAGGGGTCCTGCGAGGATGGCTGTGGCAGCAGTAAATCCGGGGAATTGGTTTTGGATGGATGTATATTGGGGCTAAGTTTTGCAGAAGGAGAGTGGGCTGTGTTCAAGACGCGCTCTATTGGTTAACCGCCTTCTTGGAATGGGTAATGAGAGCTTTTTTTATTTTCTTCTGCCGTGGTGGAATGAACAACCAAGCACACTTAGACTCGCATACGTACACGAATAGACCCATAGGACTGATGAAGGACAAAACCAGAAAATGAGAGAATTGCCGCTGTCGATCGCACCCTGGATGCGATTAGGAAGAAAGGCTCTGGCTACCTGTGCTCCAGCGCCCAAGGGGGGCTCAATCTTTCTTGGGACCCACTTTGTCACCTATCGAAGCAGAGGGGTAGGGGGAGAGAGATCGGCTTCAGGGCGGCTAACTGTTACTAAACAATGCTATAGCTCGCCAGGAACTGAGGCGGAGAGTGGTGACAACGCTGCCAATAAGGTGGAGGTCATACATAATGGAGAAGGTTGAAGCCGAAGAACGGTGGGAAGCTCTGGGACCGAACGATGGAGAATTGAGCAAAACCTGGGGGTTTTTCAGGGTTGGATATGGGTTGAGCAGGTTGTAGCTAACATGTTCCATTGTCCCCTGATATGATTCCCTACCATCCCAGAATGCGGGGTATTAGCATCCATGGAAGGTATATGCCCCAGCTGGTAGATACCGGGAAGGACTTATGTGTTTTCATTATATGGATTATCTATGACCGACTTCTGCCCGCTTGAGGATAAGGCGTTATCTGTGGTTCATGAGACTTACACATTGGGGTTACGCCAGGACGGGGGGCTAGTGGGGTCCCCAGGATGCCAAGATAGAGAATCTGTGATGCCAAGACTTGGTGCTTTGGCTTCTCCACCTGCTCCCGCCATGGGAACCCAGAGCTGGTTTCGATGTGGATCATGACGTCGTTCAAAGCTCCAAGATCTCCCTAGCGCATGGAGATGATGTGCCGTGCCAAGCAGCGGAAGGCAGGTCATACACACCGACACACACACACACACACACACTCTATATATATATATTTATATGTATATATAAGATTCGGTCCAGGCAGGGGTTAATGGCGGCATCTAGAAGCCCAAATGTAACGGTTCGATGGGCGCAGAACACGGATTTGATCCCTTGGCACATGCTCAGCCACTTGACCATGCCAGAGAAACAACTGGCCTAGATCTGCACCAACAGTACACTGGGGAATCTTGTCAACATGTCGTTGTTATTCGATCTTTTTTTATTAGTCATCAATTCGAATTGACATCGTTTTCTGACTGATTTTATCCAGTATCGAGAGGCTTTCCATGGATCCATCATTGTACGGACTCCAAATGCGGGGGGCAAGGACACCTGTTCGACGGTCCCGAGAGATGCCAAGGCCAAGACCCAAGACCAAACACAGCCTTACGATCCGCCTGAGAGAGACACAGCCACAGTCAGCAACCAATACCAAGCTTTTAAAGCCATGTTACATATTGTTGCTGCGACATCAAGCACATTCAGACGTGTCCTGCCCGGCCTGGTACCCAGTTACCGCGCCTCGAACCGACATGTCGCTTCGTCGTCGCTGAGACCAGGGTGTGAGATCCTTTAAAAAGGTCAATCTCGTACACTGACTCCCTCTGAGCACTTGCTCAACCTCTTTTCAGCGCCATAACGACTTAGGCCCACCAGGCGGACCTCATCAAGAAACAGTCCTTTAACATCCCTCCAAAAACCGTCAGTGGAGGGTCCTCCCATACCAATTCGATGGCCGACCTCCCACCACGCTTCCTCACCGACCTTGAGGACTCTCTCCTCACCCCCTCCCAAGTCTCCTTCATCTCCCGCTCCTCCAGCCGACAAGATGTCGAAGTAGCTTCCACCAATGGCAGCACACGAAGATGGGACGACCCGCCCGAGCAAGAACCCGTCTCCCCCACGGACTTCGTTCAGTCCATCGTGATCCGTTTCATCATGCGCATCTCGCGTGCCCCCCTCGCTACCGTTTTTGCTGCTGAAATCACTCACGTCACCTTCACCCCGCTCGACACCCACATCACCACGGTCGTGCAAAAGTCCTCTCTCCAAAAGCTGATCACTCCCGCGGGACCCATGACCCTCGCCACGTTCCATGCGGATTCCGGCGCCCGTCTTCCGAATCCGGTGATTGCTTATCGCAACTGGGGCGACGACCAGGTTAGCGTGAATGGCGCCCCGGCTTTCATGCCGCTGTCGGCTGCGGGCGCCAGCCTGATTGTTGCGTGCGCGTTTTATATGATTGAGCCGCATATGGAGAGAACCGGGCTCGGCAGGCTACCGCCGTTGTGTCCGTGGGTCGAGGTGTTTGACCTGACAGAGGGGAAGAGGGAGAGGTTGGTGAAGTGGGCTGAGGCACCGATTCGTGCGCCGCTGGCGTGGTGTGGCGATGGGAGGTACCTTGCGGGCGTGTCGGTGCGGGACCCAAGACGAGTAGTGGTCACTAGCATTTCGTTTCGTGCTGGGGCTTCGGGAAAGAGGAAGGATTTGGGGACTGGGAAGATTGAGTTTATGTTCAGTCGACATGATGATGAGGTACTGCATTTAGCGTGGTTGCCAATCGGGGCCAAGGGGGACGGGAGATGGATGGCGGCGGGGACGAAGGCGCTGGTTACGGTTGGGAAAGATGGGTTTGTCAGGATCACGGATGCTCTAACGGGAAAGACGCTCAAGAAGCTCGAAGTTGGTGCCAGGTCGCCGCCAAGCATGCTGCAAGTTTCACCTGCGGGCGATATGGTTGTTACAGTGTGGGGAAGGGACGTGATTCTGTGGTATCTGGATGAGAACAGGGTACATCGGCACAGCTTGAACGACACCCGGTTAACCGAGGGCTGGCCGCTGTGTATCTCGCCCGACTGCAGATACCTTGCATGCCAGACAGAGGACGGCTTCGATATCTGCGATCTGGAGACGGGCAAGTTCAGGGGTGAGTACGCGCGCAGGGATTTGCCCCAGGTGACAGCTGCCGCTTTTGATAACTCAGGAACTCGGATTGTCGTGGCCACGTTGTCAGGATCGGTGGAGTTCTTCCGGTTGGTCTCATGAGCTCAGGGAAATAGGGGCCAACGCTCTCTACCACTGCTGCGGTGTTCTCTCCGCGGGACCATACAACCATACACGCTGAACACACTGAGCTACAAATTCCCCTCTTCCCCCCCCCCCCCTCTCTCTCCCCTCCCCCCCATCACCCCCTTGTTCACCATGGAACTCGGATAGATGCAGGACAGAGCCGCTCAATGCCCAACAATGGTGTTCCCAACATCTACAATTGAAGAACACTGGCAGGCGAATTATCTTTCAGCCTTCAACAGACGAAGGGATCGCAAAAGATAATGGGACTTAGGATGATCGGACTCGGGAATGAGCAGGAAGATTGCCCGCTGGAACTGGGCCAGCTTTTTGGATATGAGATACCCAACGGTCTTGGATGAACGACATTTAACCTTTTCAGACCAGGATCGACCGCGTGATCTAAACCTTTTCTGATTCCATAATTTACATAGCGTACTTTTGTTAGGATTTTGGCCTAATAGAACAGACATAGTCATCAACGTGGTTCAGAATGCGCTGTGGTGTGCTTATTTAGTCCAGTGTTCCATGCTTTTCCAACATGTCTCGTGAAATACTTCTTTCTCTTCCATCCGTCCCACCTCAACATCTTTACCATCACGCATGCAGGCCTTTGTAGCAGTATGACTGAAGAATCGTGGTTTGAGGTCAAGACCTGAGTAACAGACTTGAGTTGACTTGCTGAGTGACACTGGCAGAGTGCGGTGCGTGTGTGTGTGTGCCAACTGTGTCTGGACACAGATGTCGTTAAAAATACCACAGGTCGACAGGTTGACATTGGTGAGGCTGAGACAGGCAGTTTGTGTCACGAATAGATAGGTATAGATCGAGACAGCTGAATGGAAGTGGCCTAGGTAGGTGAAAAGAAGCATTCTTGAAGGAGATAAGCTTAGAAATCGTTTCGGTCTTCGTACTTCAACCCCTTAGTATCCCATGACCTCAATCTTAGAAAGAGTGGCTGATTGGAGAGCAGGAGAAACGACCGTGGAGGATCGAAAGACTTCAAAACTTGAAAGAACTGTCTCTGTGATTGCCAGTATGCCGTTTACTTTGGTCTGTAGATGAACTCCTTTCCCTCTCTCTACGGTAGCACCCCGTTTTCCAGCAGTTACCCAATCTCAAAGCAATCCAGATAGATGCTCTATTGCCAGTACTTCCCATCCATTCTCACTGTTAAAGGCTCTCCTCTCAAGTCTGGCGTAATCCAAGCACCTTGGCGACACATGTCTCAGATCGGAAGAACTTACTGGGACTTCTTACACTTGACACTCATTTTTCTGCTCAACCAATAGCGCTTATGTTTTCACATCATCCATCACCGATAGCTCCAAAAAAAGTAGGCCCAAGAGCTGAGAGATGCCACGAAGATGCATCGGCTTCATGCTTGACAGGCTGCAAGTCCCGGCGAGACGAAGTCGGAAGCAGGAGATGTGTCGACGCCCAATCGGCTACGAGTCACTGCGGATGATACAGTAGTTCTCACTGGGTTATTGGGTGAGAAAGCGAGTAGAGCAAAAATAAAATAAAACAAAATAAAATAAGAATAAAATAAGAATAAAAAATTGAGCATATAGGAGGAGACAAGAATATTCATTGGCAGCTTCATGGAGGATGTCTTTTGTGAGATATCGGTTAGTAAAAAAACGCTATCCCAATTATTTATGCTCAATGCTGCCCTCCTAGATATCAAGGATTATTGAAGATTTTTATTATGTCTGTTGTTGTCCACTACTCTTCCGGCCAGCCGCAATGTCTGAAGCCTTCCTCATCAAAAGAATCGCCTGCGACCGTTGTCGCAGACTCAAACTGAGATGCCGGCGTGCAGATTCTAATCCTAGCGGCTCTTGCTTCCGATGTATCCGCTCCCAAAAGGAATGCATCACATCCTCAAACAAACGGCCTGGAAGACCTCGAGGCCTCAGAAAGAAAGGTAGTGAAGCTCCAAAGGAGCCGGGCAATCTCGAAACAAGGGGGTCGAAGACCTTGATTACGACTACTCACACCCCATCGACTGCTTTTGATAGCCAGAATAAAGCTGATTTTGGGTCTTACTGGAGAAATACCGACTTTTGTCAGGTTTATCTTGACATAAACCCACAGAGTTGCACTTTCTCTACTTATTACAGCGCCGACGGTGCTACCTTACCAAGAGAGCCAAGTGAACCGACGCTTGAGAGAGACCTGCTTGGATACTTGCCATACACGAATCCAGCGGTGCATAGCCTCGAGCAACCGGTACTTCATGGCCTACAGCATCAGAATTTTGGGTCAAGCAAAGGATTTCACGGCACTGATGCCCCAGCGGTAAACGGATATCCGAGCGCCTCACCTCACATGCACCCACCACCAACACAGTCGAGGAGCAGTTACAGCCGCTGGATTAACAGCCTATACCAGGATCTCGCTCACCAGTTATCCATTTTGCGCTCCCAAAACTGGCACTTCAGCGACTTAGTCCGCATAACATGCTGCCATGACGTTACCCCTGTTTATCAGCGCATTTCTAACTCCGAATGTCCCCAACACCCTCCAGAACTGCCGATCACATCCTCGCACAGCCCCCTAGCAAACGTCGCCAACAGCATCTCATCCTTCACGCAACTCCTCTGGACCATCAAGTACCATGCAGCCAACAGCCCATCATCGTCCTTCACCGCAACTAACGCTTCCCCACCGTCCTACCCCAACTTGATTCCAGGCTCCAACTTAACCTTCTCCGATCTTCATAAAATCCTCTCCATCCATACAACCATCCTTTCAATCTACTCCCTCATCCTTTCCCGAATCCCTTCGAACAACTTTTCCATCACTGACAACAACGACAACAACGACAACAACAACAACCAGACCAATCAGGACACCCTACTATCCGAATGCGTACCACAGCTTTTCCTTGCTAACATCCCCCTACCCATCAAGATACCATCAATGTGTAGAGTATTACTAGGGTACCTCCTCTCGAACCTGACTGAGAGCCAACTGAAGCCGGTAGAGGAATTGCTGGGGCTGCCTGAGGAATTGAGGATATTCTGGCAAAGCCTCTCGGACAGGGAACACACCTCCAATGCGGACAGTTCCAGAGGGAATGTCACTCCTGGAAGTGAGATTGGATTGTTTGGAGGAGAAATGGGAAGGGAAGTTCTCAAGATCATTTGGGAAGGAGTGGATGAAGAGAGAACAGGGAAGAGTAGTGTTGCGGATACCAATGAAGCTGGTCAAGTGGGGGAGGGGGATGGGAATGGAGTACTGAGAGTGGTTGAGGAGCTTAGAGAGAAGATGAGGAAGATTAGGGAGGAGTTCCGAGTATGGTAAAAACAAAAAAAAAAGTCCTCAAAGGAAGAGACACACCCAGGGGCTCAGTGTGCAGATGTATATGGTGTATAGAATCATGAAGAGATGCCCAATAACACAAATTGATGGATCCAAGATACATAAGACATATATATACTGTTCCAACCAACCATCGGGGAATCTATGTACACGAAAGGAAACCACCCAAGAAAACAATAAATGCACACTTACCCAACCCAAGATACACCCAACCGTCCCTGATGTCATGTCATCATACCTAAGTAATGCAAGACCATCTCGGAAAGGAAGGAAACTGGTATCCAAACTCACGAACCAACCCACACTCCAAACTCCTCTAGTAGGTATCCCTTTCTACCTCCTTACAAAACACTCGCCGCCTCCCCCTGCACCTGTACCGGCACCGCGAACGTCCTCATGCCCGCAGCATTCACTTTCGGCAGATGCCCACCGCGAATATTAACCTGCAAGCTCTCATGCAACAGTCTCGGCGCCGCGAGCTGCCTATCTCTCTCCTTGCGCATCTGCACGAACTCCTTTTCAGTGATCCCATCCCTCAGGTGGCGGTTATACAGCCGGTGCTCGGCGACAGTGGCCCATGGCTCGGGCTGGCGGCCGTCCTCGGCGTAATCGTGGCCGACCCAGATGCGGACGTGGTCGGGCAGGGAGAGGAGCATGCGACCAGAGTAGTAGAGCTGTTCGGCGGAACCGCCGGGGAAGTCGCAGCGGGCGGTGCCCAGGGTTTGTGGGTGGAAGAGGGAATCGCCGCAAAAGATGTTGTCTGCCAGTCCGGAGGAATCTGCGGTTAGGGGGGTTCAGCTGGGTCAAAAAATGGGGAGAGTTCGGGGGAACATGTCCCCGGGCGGGGGGGGGCTCAATTGTTTTTTTTTTTTTTTTTTCGTGTTCCCCGGGTAAGCAAGCATGTCAAAGAGAGTAGGGAGAGGACTTACCGCCAACCCGGTAGCCCATGTGGTCAGGGGTGTGGCCGGGCAGGTGAATAGCGCTGGCCCTGAGCGACCCAATCTCAAAGACCTCATCATCATCAAAAAGCGTATCAAAGACACCATCGTACTCATCCGTGGAGACGCCGTAACGCTCACCAAAGACGCGCTGGACCTGGCCAATGCGCTTGCCAATGCCGACGCCGGGCTTGTAGCCCTGCATCTTCTCGAGCTTCTTCTGCAGGTAGAAGGCCGAGGTCAGATGGTCGGCATGGGCGTGGGTCTCAAGGATCTTGACGATCTCATAACCGTTCTTCTTGATCAGCTCGAGAATGTTGTCGGCCGAATGAGTCTTGATGGTGCGGGCGACATTGTCGTAGTCCAGCACAGGGTCGATGATGACGGCCTTGTTAGTAGCCGGGTCGGCAACGACATACTGGAAGGTCGAGGTGACGGGCTCAAAGAGCGAATGGATGAGGGGCTGCTCGGGGGCCGGAGGAGGGGTGTGGATCATGGCACGGCTGGAGTGAGCGCGCTTCTGGATAAGAGTCCGGCCCGGGAGGACGACAGGCTGCTTCGGGAGTTGTCGGGCAGCAGCAGCCGACATGGGACGGGCATGCTGATGGATGGTACGGCGCTGGGAGCCGACAGCCAGGTCTTGGGACGGAAGTCGGGCGGCAGAGGTAACCGTAACCGTTGAGGAAGAGGTACCGGCCAGGGGGGTGAGCAGGGCACGGCACGCGGGCTCCACCGCGCGAACGGTAAGCGGGAGGCGGCAGGGGTTCATTTTGGGAGTGTGAATGGAAAGGGGAATCGGCGATTGCAGATATCGATGGTGTTAAGGATGGCGAAGTTGAGGGGACGGCGTGTGTGTAAGGTATAGTATATGTAAGTGATCGCCAGGGGTCCGCGTCCGCTTATGTGCTAGTGTAGGAATTGAGGCTCAACCGGCAAGACAACTCCCGTCCAGGTCAAGACAAGACGCAGGGCCAGCTCTGCACTAATTTGGGATGGATGAGTCTAGGTGCGCAGTCTGCTTGTCTGAGAATGGACGAGCCGACGACGATGAAGAAGGCGTGTTTAAAATGTCGACGGCCTGCCGCTGGGACTCCACACCTTCCACGCAGGGTGCGATCCCGGTCGTCCGGACGCCGGGAACTTAGGGGTGTTAGTGGCACTGCCGAGTCCCGAAACCGACACCCGTCCGACATCCGGGCCAAATTTGGGTGCCATTCAGCCTGACTGAAGCGTGCCATTTTGCAGGCGACCGCGCAGAGAGCGACAGGAATGCCAGCACAACGGCTCCCAGCGAATGGAGTCGACGCGGTTCCTGCCGAAGAGCCGCACTGCTCGCGACGCCGACATGCGTCATGGGTTGGAGGAATCAAGGTCGGCGATCGTCATCGGCGTCGTCGTGCATGTTGTCGTGGGTGATGGTGGCGTGGTGTTGCGGCGACTTTTGCCTTGCGTTTCCGTTGCAATTTCTAGCCCGTCCAAGGTTTCCAAGGATCAGCGATGATAGAGTCTCGCGCTTCGTGATGCGAGCGCGTCCATGGTTGCGTGTGAACTGCGAACGGCTCGTTGTTTTCCCGGCGACGTCTTGTTGGCCAGATGTTCCGCTTCCCGTCGTCCGTGACCGTTTGTCAGATACTACGATAAGACACGGATAAGGTGCGGATGGGAGGGTGCATGTGATACCAGCCAGTGAAATCGCAGCATCAATGAACGACCAATTGCAGTGGCCCTCATTTTCTACCACTGTTTATGCCTGCCGAAGAGCTCGCGTCGTAAAGCCCAGTGCTGTTAGCCACTTCCCGCCTGTCGTCTCATGGTGGCGCCACAACTATCAAAGAATCGGGAAGGGCGGTTCCCCGCCAAGATCTCCGCCCCGCATCCACATTTGGCCCTGGCTCGCCCACACGACACCCCACATTGGCAGTCCTGAACCCTCCGATCTTGGGCTGACACAAAGTCCTGCCAAGCCACGACGCAACCCCACGCGGCGTGGGGCTAGGGCAGGCCAGGGCACCAGCCAATGGACGGCCGGCAAAATTGCGCATCTTTGGAGGGGTGCCCCGCCGAATGGGTTTTCGATCGCCCACAAGGATGCCCACAAGATGGTAATGGATGTCGCTGGATGTCGCTGTCTACGTCGCATCCCACGCGCAACCACAGCCCTGGAGCCTGGACCTGGGCCTAGAGAAGAGTCCGGTTTCAGCCCGGGGAGGAGGCGGGCATGCAATTTGCGTCAGGGCCACAATAACAGCGAAGGTCGGCGACGGGGAGCGGACGAACTCGAAGATTTTTTTTTTTTTTTGCTCACGACTGCCGCAGCCGATGGGCCGCTCTCTCTTTTTCAACCCCAAATCGCCGCCGTTGTCAGCGTGTTCGAATTGAGAATTCGAGTGTCGTTTCTCGCTACCGCCCTACCCGCCAACCTAAATCGCCCAACGGCCCCAACGGCCAATTGGATCACCGCCGCTCATCTGTTGTCTCACCACTCGTCCCTCCTTTTTCCTTCTCTGGCGTAGGCCTGCCGATCTTCACCCGCCCAACCAACACTACACCTAAGATACTGACCACAAGGCCGGAACCATGAGCTCCCGTCTCTTGAGCTTGAGCTTATCTGCCTCTAGGGCCGCCGCTGTGGCCAGACAATCCACGCCGGCAACTGCCCGAACGCTCGCTACCGTGTCGTCGGTGCAGGATGTGGCTCCCCGCAACCACAAGGTCGTCATCGTGGGCGCCGGCTCTGCGGGTCTCAGCATCTCCCACCAGCTGCTGCGGACGGGCAAGTTCCGCCAGGACGACATTGCCATTGTCGACCCGGCCCAGTGGCACCACTACCAGCCCGGCTGGACGCTGGTCGGAGGCGGCCTGAAGCACAAGGACGAGCTCAAGCGTCCGCTGCCCGAGCTGACCGACCCCAAGCTGAAGCTGTACAATAACGCGGTGGAGACTTTTGCGCCCCACGACAACACCGTCACTCTGGCCGACGGGGCCCGGCTGACCTATGACCAGCTGGTCGTCGTGCCTGGCATCAAGGTCGATCTGGCCGCCATCAAGGGCCTTCAGGAGGCCGCGACCAATCCCGACAGCAATGTCTCGTGCATCTACACCTACGAGACCGTCGACAAGGTCTTCCCGACCATCAAGCGCTTCAAGCAGGGCCGCGCCATCTTCACCCAGCCCACCGGCGTTGTCAAGTGCGCCGGCGCCCCTCAAAAGATCATGTGGCTGGCCCTGGACCACTGGAAGCGCGAGGGTCGCTACAAGCCGAGTGCCTCCGACTCACCCATTACCATCACCTTCGCGACCGGTCTCCCGCAAATGTTTGGCGTGGCCAAGTACAGCAAGGCGCTGGAGGAGCTGCGCAAGGAGCGCGGCGTCGAGGGTCTCTTTGCCCACGACCTGACCGAGATTGACGGTAACACGGCCGTGTTCAAGAGCGCCTCGGGCGACGTCGTTCGCCGTACCTTCGACCTGATGCACGTCGTGCCCAAGATGGGCGCCCACGCCTTCGTCAAGAACTCGCCTCTGGCCAACGAGGCCGGCTTTGTCGACGTTGATGACCACACCTTGCGCCACAAGAAGTACGCCAACGTCTGGTCCGCCGGTGACGCCTCCTCGCTTCCTACTAGCAAGACTGCTGCGGCTATCACCTCCCAGGCCCCGATCCTCGTCAAGAACCTTGTGGCTGCCCTCGACGGCCGCGAGCCGCCGGCGCGCTATGATGGTTACACTTCCTGCCCGCTGCTGACGGAGTACGGCAAGGTCATGCTGGCCGAGTTCAAGTACGGCGGCGAGCCCAAGGAGACCTTTGGTCAGTACGGTTTCGACCAGGCGACGCCGCGTCGGGCCTTCTACCACCTCAAGAAGGACTTCTTCCCCTGGGTGTACTACAAGGCCATGGTCAAGGGCATGTGGGGTGGTCCGAAGGGGTTCCTTATCAATACCAACTAAAAAAAAAAAAGCTAGGACTGGAGTTTGTTTTTTTTGTCCTTGAAGGAGTATATACATATATATATGATATGTGGGTTGGGCGTCGGTTGGGTATGCTTTCGGCGGCTTGTTGATTTGATTTGGCAGTGTTTGCTTGTATATAGACGGGCAACGGCATGAACTTATTGCCCCTAGCTGAGGCATTGATGCATTCTTGACAAATGTAAGGTTGTCATTCCTTCTAACTGTACTATAGTAGTTTGACAAAAAAGCATCAATAGTTCCTCAACACGACTTGAGTCCTGTCACTGCTTCACTCGTCAGGAGCTTACTCCCAACATCTTCAGTCTCTCAATTCACTACGTCCCCTTATAAATTTCAATACTTCACCTCCCTCGCCAACCCCCCCAAAAGCACCATCGGATCTCCCTCCAACTCCAACACCCCCCAAATCCACCTCAACACAACCCTAAAGCTCTCCGGCTCCCCCATATGCTTCCTCCCCTTAACCACCCTCGCCTCCTTCGCCCGTCCGTGCTGCAGCGCCATCCACAGGTCCTCAATCGGGAAGATCTCGTCCAGCTCCCCGTTCACGAGCAGCACCCTCTCGCAGCATGGCTTGTCGAGTGTGCCGTCTACCACAAGGGAGTACTTGGAGTATGCCTCATCAACGAAGCGTTGCCTGCCAGCGGGATCGGTCCCGGAAGGGTCGTACCCGAATTTTGCGGCGAGAGCACCGCACAGGTCGAAGGGGTATTCCCTCTTGTCGGCGTTCGCGAGCCAGTCTGCAGCGAACATGCGATCGCATCCTCCACCGAGAGATACGACGGCCTTGAATAAGGCAGGGTGGGTGTGCGCCGCGCGCAGGGCATAGAAACCCCCCGTGCTGAATCCCCAGAGCACGACGCGACTCTTGTCGATTGTCCCACGAGAGTGTTGCTCCCCGATCCAGTCGGCTACGGAATCCCAGAACCTGTCGACCGCATCGGGCGCTGATTGCGCGGTACATGGGGAATCACCCGTGCCGGGGATTTCTAGCACTAAAGTGGCGATGCCCTGGGCAGAGAAACCAGGCTGCCAGATGCCCAGTTCGGTGCGGTAGCCGTCTAGACCTGTCAAAAGGATAACCAGCGGAGGTGGGGTAGCAGCAGAGGAGGAGGGAAGACAAAGGTTTGCTTGAATCACCGAGAGTTCGGTTGTGGGGTTCGAGGGGGAGCGGTGGGTGTGGGGGATCTGGAGGGGGAGGATGGGGGTTGGAAGCAGGCTGGAGCACGCAGGAGAGGGTTAGTTGAGGGATCTAAATGGGGGAAAGGGGGGCTTACGCTGCGCCGCGGTAGAAGGCTTCTTTGTTCTTTTGCCAGGCGAGACGTTGTTTGGGAGAGCGCGGGATGGGGAAGCGGGATATGCGGTAGAGGGCTGAGGAACGTCTGTGTTGCCAAGGGTTAGCTAGCAATCAATCATGATTCACCATCTACCGCCTCGGTCTCGTACAGAGAGAGAGAGCCTTCGGGCATACTCACAAAAACAACTCTGCCGCCTTCTCCCGTTCTTCCTTCCCTTCAGCCTCCTCGGCCCTCTTGAACAGCTCCTCAGCCTTTGGGAAGAACATGCTAGCATATTCATCCCAATCATACGGTGGCTTCAACCCCTTGGCAATAATCGCCTGGGCGACGGGCTCAAAATCTTGTGGGGTGCCAAACATGAAGGGATAGACGCGCATCTCGCACTGCCATCATCAGTACTATGTTAGCAACCTGGAAAGCTGGATGTTGGTGAGGAGAAACATACCAATGGCTTCCATTTCTTTGTCCACAGCTTCTCAAAGGACTCGTGGTGCTCAGCTGTTTGATGGAGAGCATTGCCAATGATGTAGGTGATATCCTCGGACGAACCCATGATCACGTTCTTCACGCACGGTTAGAGATCGACAGGGAGAGAGAGAGTGAGAGAGAGAGAAAGAGAGAGTTATGCTCAATTCACGCCTTACAAAACACAGCTCAATGTTGGTATGTCTTTCTAGGTTCATTTCATTATAATAACAGTCTTCGGCCTTCGTCTTATATCCGATCTAGGGCCGGAACACCGTGGGGGAAGGCCGGTATTGAGGGGAGCTTTATGTTTGGCGTAAGCGGCAGGTCCAAAGTACGGGGTTGGATACCATCAGCTGGAACCGGGAAGTAAGTGCAGTTCTGAATATCTGTTGGAATTGTTGGCAGTCAGCTGGTGAGAGTTACCAGGTCGGGTGTCGATCACCATTGGGGAATGGTTTCATAGGTTTCAGTTATATGTATGCAGCAACACTAACTGTTCAGGAAAGATCAGCGAGTCCCAACAACCTGGCAACAAGTTTTATCTGCTGAACTTATTCTTGTAACTTGTTAGGTAAATTTTGACGGTTTATTTTTTTTAAAAAAAATCATGTTATCGTGCAGCCACTAACAGCTTCAAAGACTCCTGAAGCTTTCCCCTAAGTCGTGATGATGGCTGCAAAATGCACAAACCTTAATCCGGACAAAATAACCCAAGAATCAAGGGAGAACATTTCAATGGTGAAAGGGTGGAATCGAAAGGACAAAAGTCCCATCATATTTCCACTGTCAAGATAGCTTGGGCAGTTCCCTGTTCCTACGCTCTTACGCAACCACGATAATCAAGGGCAACCCACACTAGCCGCACACGGCAGATGAACCGGCATTGCACGCAACAATAACAAAGTCAATACTTCAAATGACCAGGCAAGAGCACACAATGCTGAAAAGACACAAATGAAGGCTAATAACCTGGGAGCATCTAGTCAACACGTACCTGCTCTTTAACACAATTGCTTTCCTGCTCCTTAGTTTAGTTTCATCTCGTGGTCTTCTTAGACTCAAATTCACTCACTTTCAACCAGATTCCCTTGAGTTTCACTTCACGGCACATGCGTCATGCCTTCTCAGAGCCCACAGAACTGGCGCTGCCACTAAGGTTGCAGAGGAGGAGATGCCATCTTTAGACTCCATCATCTCTGACTTCCAAGCCCACAGCTAAGAAGATGAGGACGATCGAGGATGATGACAGTGACCACGGCAACAACGGCGACAGCAACCACAACCACAACCAATGAAAGTAGCAGGGCCTCCCACGAGTACCCGGCTAGCCAACCTTCGAAAACTTCATCGACGACGACAATTACATGTCGGAATGGGAGGACCCTCCCTCAGATCAGTCCTGGCTGCCGGCAGACCACTTCTCAGACCCTAACCGCGCCCGCCCCGACCCTCAAGGAAGAGACAAAGGAGAAGGCAAAGGCCAAGGCCAGCCCCATGATGAACAATCAACAGGCTGGGCACCCATTGTAGGCTAAGACTTGCACCTCGAAGTGGTCCAGCGCGCCAAATCCGAGCCATATACTGTTGCTACAGGCGAGTTCCGCGCTATTCATGTCAAGATACCTTCTAAACAGCACCGGGAGCTGCTGGATGAGGAGAAGCCTGGTCCCACGGTTCAAGCGTTTCTAGATATGCATCCAAATGGGCTCATGCTCATGCATTCGCTGGGACTGTCTGAGTTGCCGATGGGGGCAAAGAGTATGGTGATGAGGAGCATGACTACGGGGGGGTATTATGTGCAACAAAGAGTGAAGGGATGGAGGTAGTGCCAGAGGAGGAGGAGGAGTAGGAGGAGCCTGAACAAGAGGTTGAGAGTGACGGTGAGAGTGAGAAACAAGCGCCGGGAATTCTTAGGCTAGGGAAGAGGACGAGGTACTCGATGGAATATGGTGATGAAGAGGGTTCTCCCGGTCCGGCGACCAAGAGGCTGAGAAAAGCGGCCACGAAATCACCAAGATCGCGGGCCAGCACGGCTAACAAACAACCCTAAATCCCGCGCCAGGGGCAGGCAGTCCGACACGCCGGCCCCTCGAAGCCACAAGAGGAAGCAGTCTGAAGCTCCTAAGTCGTCCGCGGCTCAATAGCCGGCCAAGCGTGCAAGGAATCAGCCCGGCGGCCACTTCAGAAAGGAGAGCAGGCAAGCAGACCGCTTCAGCTACAGCTGCCGAGCCGCCGGCCCCGCGTCATCGAAGCGACCGAGGGAGAGAGTTGGAGCCAGTGGAGGAAGAGCCTGAGAAAGATATCAAGCGGGAGCTGCAGGAGGGCGACGACTTACTCATTAAGATCCAGAGTAGCAGAGATGAGGGCCCGCCGGGGAACGACGAAGACGGTCAGTGAGGGCGATTACAACAATTGGAGGGGCGATGAAGGCGGCGAGGATGACGACGACGATGATGGAGGGCCCTCAGGGTGGCAGGCGCCCTTGGGAGAGCTTCTTGGCTGGCCGAGTCGTCGGGATTGGTTGAAGCCAGGGGAGGTGTAAAGAATAATACCCTGGAAGGAAATTGGGGATGGTTTAGTCAAGGGAACATTTAAAACGTTAAGTGGATAGGGTTTGATTAAAGATGTCAGTTTTCAGAGCGGATACTGGCGTTAGGTAATATCGCCCTAACGACAGATGCTCTTGTTCTTTTGTTCATGATTTGTGCTGAAAAAGGAATATGACAGAGACAGTGGCGGTTTGCCTTATCTGAGAGTGGCTGGTCAAGTACCCTAAACAAAATAAGCTAGCGGATAAAGAGAGGGGTTGACAACAAGGCTGACCTGGTTGCTCGAGAAGACTGCAGAGTTATTCCCAGGAAACAAAACAAGGTCTAAAGGAGCAAGACTTTGACTAGCCTCTATTCATAACTCCACAACAGCTCCACGATCATGGAGGGAGGCCCGGGGATGGACTCAAGCGTCGATGGACCATGTGATGCGCAAATTAGACTTGAGCTCGAGAAGTGTGCTGTACAAAGATATCCACAACTTGACCGCAATCCCAACCCTATGTACACCACGTTCATCATTATACATCCCCTAATCCCCCCGACCTCAACACCACGCCCAGATCGAGATCACCACTTAGCCTTTTCGAGCGGTCTCCCCGACCGCCCGGCCACGAGTCAATCCTCATTCTTGATCTTGAGCACGGCCTTGCCAAAGTTCTTGCCCTGCAGCATGCCAATGAGGCCCTCGGCGGCATTATCGATGCCCTCGGTGATGCTTAGCCTGGCCTTAACGCTGCCCTCGGCAAGCCACTGGCCCAGCTTGGTCTGGTGGTCCTGCGCATACTTGTCGCCAAAGCCGGGATCGCTGACGATAAAGCCGCGCATGGTCAGGCGCTTGGTCACCATGAGGAAGATGTTCTTCGGGCCGGAGCGCTCCGATTCGGGGAGGTTGTACTGAGAGATCTGTTGACTGTTAGCACAAATGCCCCTGAACAATTGTGCACAGGGGAAAACTCACCATGCCGCATGCCACAATACGTCCAAAAGGCTTCATCGCATTCAATGCCGCCTCCAGCTGCTCGCCACCAACATTATCATAATAGATATCCAGCCCCTCGGGCGCAAGCCTCTTGAGCGCATCCTTGGTCCTCTCCGTCTTATAATTAAAGACGCCATCAAATCCCAGCTCCTCCATCACAAACTTCGCCTTCTCATCACTCCCAACACTCCCAATCACCCGCAGCCCCTCCTTCTTCGCCACCTGCCCAACCACCTGCCCGACCGCGCCCGCCGCGCTGCTAATAAAGATCGTCTCACCCTTCTTCGGCTGGCCAATCTCATACAGCGAGCTCCACGCCGTCAGACCTGGCATGCCCAGAGGCCCGAGGAAGAGCCCCAAATTGCTCAGCAGCTCCTTCGGCGTCTTCTCAACATCAATCTTCCTCACCTGGCTCTTCACCTGCTCGGCCGTCAAAACCGCCCACTCAGCAGTCGGTAGATGCGCAACGATCAAGTCCCCCTCCTTGAACCCCTCCGCATCGCTCTTGATCACTCGCGCGACAGAATCATTCGTGATCGGCCCGCCGAGCTCGAAGGCAGGGGAGTATGACTTGACGTGGGCCGGACGCATGCGGCCGCGCTGGTAGGGGTCGAAGGAGGTGTAGAGCACGGACAGAGTCAAACCGCCGGGGGGAGGGGGCGTGGCAGGGTCAAAGGGGCCGCGATCTTCGATGACAAGGTGCTCGCCTGCGACGGGGAGGGCGTCGGGGATGGCGGCGAAGACGAGGGTTTTGTTAGTGTAGGTGGGCATGTTGATAGTTGTGTGCGATTTGTTAGGTATTGGGAATAAATGGGGGGGGGGGGGCGGCGAGATTTGGGTTTAGGTTGGATAGAGGGGAATACAGATGAGGTGAGATTGGTCGAGATCGAGTTGATGTAGGATTAAATGGAGGAGGATGCACGGAGGCTGTTCTTAACTCCGGGACTCGTCTCCCGTTTTATCCCCAGCCAAGTTAGGGCCCAGCCTGGGGCGGAGTTTTAGATGGTGAGGGGGGAGTTGGAGAAGAGGGTCCTCCAAGTCCAAGCGCGGGGAAGCGTGAGAGCTTCGCTTGGCTTCTTCCCCAAGCAACCTGACAAATACCTTACGCGACGACCACCACGATGGAAACGTCAAGAAGCTTTACGACTCTTCATCTCCCAGTCATGGCCACCTACATCCCTGCCAGCCTCACACTATCATCCGGCAAAGCCGAGACAGCCATCAGCCATCACGGCCTGGTAGCATCACTTGTCAATGGCTGAGAGATGCCCTCTGCCACAGTGCCAAACCTTGGAAGCTGTTTTAATGCTGGCTTCAGTCCCTCAACCCCACTGTACATCCTGCTTGCAAGCTTGAGAGAACGTCATTGTGCCTCGGTCCCCGCAAGTGCTTGTTTTGTTGATTTCTAAGCGCTTCGCACCGGCTTTGAATCGCCAAACCTCAATCACGGTGCTTGTTCCCTCCCCTAAAAATGCAAAATACGAGCAATTGCAAATGACGTTAAATGCTTCTTGAATTTAAAAAGTTGCAAGATGCTTCGTGGTCATTCTGGCATTGCAACCGCAATTGATGGCCTCATTCTGTCTTCTTCGTCTCTGCCAACCCCTCACCAATTCCTCTTCGATGAGGGGCTCGGCCAAAATGACGTCGACTTCGCAAGACTGCCCTTATCGATAAGCTTCTGCGACAGAGCCGAATGCCGAATGCCTCGGCACGGTCCGAAAGTGCTTACTCTCTGCTTCAAAGTTCCTTGCAACAGTACCGCAGCAACAAAGAGGTACAAGGTTGTTTACATTGCAGAAATCGAGGCGGCTGCTTTGAGCGCCAATGGCTTCAACACAAATATCTCGCTACCATGATCTAAACACAGTACACATACTGTACTTGTTTACGGAGTTCACTCCACCCTCCGGGGGGACCGAACTTTTCGCAAACGAGTGTGTGAGGCGAAGTGGATGGATGGAGATGAGACAAACACTTTTCTCTTCCCAACGAACCAAGTCGATGCTGCCCAGACTGGCCCATATTGGAACCACCTGCATAATTGTTCTTGTCTTATCAAACAGGAGGAAAAGAGCAAATCCGTTCTATAGAGACTATAAACCCCCGGCTCCTCCTCCCCTTTCTCCAGACCAAGATCGCGAATTTTTGGGTAAATGCTCAATTAATTGGCCGTATAGAGGCGCTTTTGAGAGAATGCAGCTCAGGCTATGTACAGTGTCGTTAAAAGAAAGAAAAAAAAGTAAAAATCTCATTACTGAGGGATGGGATTGCTCTAGAGGTACGTAGCTTACAAATAAACTGTTTGCGTCGCCCGGGGGGCGGCTTGGCCCCAGAGTCTGAGAGTCTGAGCTGCTGTGATGACCATGTTCTTTGTTTTTCTCCTTCATCAGACTGCGTAGGGTAAGTTACCTATGTTATTCACCTTTTTTCATTAGATCTTATTGGAGTCTTATTTTTTTTTCTTTTTTTTGTTGTGTGTGTGTGTGTGTGTGTAGGCTTTCTCAACTGCGTCTTGGCGCAACTAACCTGACCCGCCTTTTCTGCAGCCGGAATTTCGGTAAGAACCTTTTTTTATTTTTTTTTGGTGTGCCTACGCAAGAATCCTCAGGGTTAGGGTAGAAGGGTTTTCACCGTCTTAAGAAAAGGTTAGGATTTCAGCGACAGGCTCCGTGACCATGAATCATGGCCTCCCAAAAAAAGAGCATATCATTGAATCCCCCTCCAACAATGAAATTTCGCAATCTTGCATGACAGTGCCATATCCGGAGCATCACCATTTCCTTCCGTGTATCCAGCGCACACATCTCCAACTTATGCTGTAATTTGTCCCCGGTGATCCGGCCGCCTGACCAGACCGTACTCTCATAGCAAGGCATGGCAGACTTTGCACAGCCCAAAACCGACACAAGCGCAATCGACCGGGAATTAGACACGTCCGGGACAAACCTTGCACCGCCATGGGAACCAACTTAGGTGCCCATCGGGAGCGGCGGCCTACGCTGAACGAAAAGGACGGCCCAACGGTCGTGGGAGCCAACCTTTTCACAATCCCTCCAGCCCTCCAGCATAGGATATTTGCCATGTCGACACCTTCGAGTGGACTGGAAGCCTCAACGCCGTGAAGATGCATCCCAGGAGCGCCACACCCGAGTCCCATTCTCACATGGCAATAATAAGCTCAAGTGATTTTGACAGCCCACAGATCGTGGCCGACTCCCGGAGCGATCGCCATCACTGCTCACCTCTACCCTTGACCCGAGAGACTGGAACAGCTGTGGTCGGCCGACGGAAAAAGCCTCGTTCTTGACAAACGCACTTGCTGCTTCCTGTGCTCCCCTGACTCGGCAATCGCCGGCTGCCAGTCCAGATCTGGAGCCGTGAAGAGACCATCACCCTGATCATAGATTTCCCATTTGCGAGACAGTGCGGGCAGACCCCTGGTGGAGGACTGTAAATCGGAATCACCGCTTGATCGGGATGCCGCTGGATCCGGAGCCAAGAACGGAGTGCAATCGAGGGAACGGAGAGCCTTTCGATCGGATGAAGAGTTTGCTGCAGGGTTGATGGCTGATGGCTCAGGGGGGCGAAGTCGTTGGCAACAGCTGAGATGAGAGAGGCCAGAGAGAAGAGTTAGCATCAATGACGCAACTTAGCTTTCAGCTTACGTTGGGCCCGGGCATCTGATTGTCACGACATTCCAATCCTTTGACATGAAGAGGCTGAAAAGCTGGCCAGGCCTTCACGATCGGCTCAAGTCCGGCTCCATTACGTACGGATGACCAGTGGCAAAGCGGATGTGGACACCCGTCCACCGCAGACTCCGGACGCCGTGTCCACCGATCGGCGGGCCGGGAGCCAGGATGGGATGAACGACCGGGTTATCGTTTCTGCCGCCCCTGACGTCCCCGGCTGTGCTCTTGGACTGCCTGTCGATCAGTGGAGGATTCAAGTCAATAAACATGAAAATTCGCGGGGCCCAGGCCAGCCGATCTATTGAGATTTTCCCAGGAGAAAGAGGAGTCGAGGAAAAGGGAAAGGGGGGGGGGGGGAAGAGAAAGGAAATGGGAAAAGGGGAGATTAGTAGCCATGTCTTGATGCCGTCGAGTCGTATATAATAACCCCGCGGTCAGCCCGGTCGACGAGAGAGAGAGGGAGAGTCTTTTACCACCACCACCATCACCCTTTGTCATTCGTTTGACTATCCCCTCCCCTTTCGTCACTCGTTTGTTTGGCGACAACGACGATGTTGACGAGCAACAAGTCCCTGAGGGGGCTTCTCCTGGCCACTGCCTTCGCTGCCCGCGGAGTGCTTGCCCAGGAAGAAGCATGCAAGCCCTACAGCGAGATTTGCTCAGCGCAGGTCTCCATGATCCCCTCGTGCGCCACGTCCTGTCTTGATCAGGCCGCCTCGGACCTAGGCTGTGATCCCACCGACTGAGGCTGCCGCTGCCAAAACACCGTTGGCATCAACACTCAGGCCTTGAGCTGCTACTTCACTTCTTGCTCCGTCACGGACCAGGACAGAGTTTTGTCCCGCATGAACGACGTCTGCGACTGTGTTGAGGAAAACCCCTGCACGGTCAGCACCACTGCCACGGCTACCTCTACCGCGACTGTTCCCCAGGCCACCGGCTGGTGTGCTGCTCAGATCAACAACGTCCCCGCTTGTGCTTACAACTGCTTGGCTCGTGGTTCCGAGGAAGCCGGCTGCGACCCCAACGACTGGTTCTGCCGCTGTGACAAGAAGGACCAGATCAACGCTCTGGCCATCAGCTGCTGGTACAACGCTTGTGGCATCTCTGACGAGACCGCTGTTGTCCCTCGCATCAACGATGTTTGCGACTGCATGCAGTATGCCACGCCGACCTCTGCGACAACCACACCGACGCCGACGCCGGACGCGTGCCCGCATCCATGCCAGGATACTATCGACACCATCCCTAGCTGCGCCTCGACCTGCGTGCGGAACACGGCCGTTGAGTTGGGCTGCTTAGCCGGTGACTGGACATGCTTGTGCCAGAAGAAGACTCAGGTCAAGGCACAGGCCCTCACCTGTTGGAATATTGCCTGCCCCATCAGCGAGCAGGTCTATGTTGGCTCGAGGATCGACGACGCTTGCGATTGCGTTGCCGTCACACCGGCCACGAGCTGCCCGGTGCCGACGACTGAGCCTTCCTCCACGCCGGAGGCTTCCAGCACCGAGGAGACGACCACCTCTGATCCGGCTACCACAGCTCCTGCTACCACAACTCCTGCTGAGGAGTCGTCGAGCACCGAGGAGGCTACCACGACTTCGGCCGCTGAGGAGTCCAGCAGCACTGAGGAGGCCACAACCACTTCGGTTGCCGAGGAGTCTAGCACGACCGAAGAGTCCTCCAGCACCGAGGCTGCCACCACTGCCGCCGAGGAGTCGACCTCGACTGAGGAGGCTTCCTCGACTGCCACTGAGGAGTCGACCTCGACTGAGGAGACTTCCTCGACTGCCACCGAGGAGTCGACCTCGACTGAGGAGGCTTCCTCGACTGCCACCGAGGAGTCGACCTCGACTGAGGAGGCTTCCTCGACTGCCACCGAGGAGTCGACCTCGACTGAGGAGGCTTCCTCGACTGCCACCGAGGAGTCCTCGAGCACTGAGGAGGCCACCAGCGCTTCTACCGAGGAGACCTCAACCACCGAGGAGGCTTCCAGCACCGCCACCGAGGAGTCTTCGACCACTGAGGCCACCGCCACCGACGTGTCGACCACCGCCGCCAGCGAGACGGAGAGCAGCACCGAGGAGGCCACCGCTTCTGCCACCGAGACCGAGTCGGCCAGCGCCACTGGCACTGAGGCTGAGACCTCGGCCACCGGCACAACCACCGAGAGCGAGTCCTCGACTGCTACTGACGCGGAGTCGACTGCTACCGAGATCAGCACCACAGGCACCGAGAGCGCGACAGAGAGCGCGACCGAGACTGCCACCGACGCGACTGCCTCTGCCACTAACGCTACCGCCACCGATGCCCAGTCGACGGCTGCTGGCACCGGTGTTGAGGGCGAATCCACTGCTACCTCGACTGGCACCGATACTCAGGCTACCGGCACTGAGGCTCCTACTGGCACCGCTACCGACGGCTCCGAATCGACCGCCACAACTGGCACTGGTTCCGAGACCACTGGCGCCGCTGGCACTAGCGCGGAAGGAGAGTCGACTGCTACCGCTACCGGCACTGAGGCTGTCACTGGCACCGCCACTGACGGCTCCGAGTCGACCGCCACAACTGGCACCGGCGCTGCTGGCACTGGCGCTGAGGGAGAGTCGACTGCTACTGCTACCGGCACTGAGGCTGCTACTGGCACCGCCACTGACGGCTCCGAGTCGACCGCCACAACTGGCACCGGCGCCGCTGGCACTGGCGCTGGCTCCGAGACCACTGACACCGAGTGTGAAACCACTGCGACCGCGACTGGCACTGCCGTTGAGGGTGAGTGGCACAGCTCTCTAACATGGATGATCAAATGACTGACCTTTGTTAGAAACAGGCGAGTCGACTGCTACCGGCACTGAGGGCAGCGCCAGCACTGCTTGCCCGACCTGCACCGGCACGGAGACCGTGAGCGGCACTGCTACCGGCACTGGCGCTGCCACTGGCGACAACACTGCCACGGGCACAGCTACTGGCACCGACGCGACTGAGACTGCTGCCACGACTGGCACTGGCTCCGGCTCTAACACCGAAACGGACTCCAACACTGACATCGACGCCACTGGCACCGCTACCGGCACTGATGCCACTTCGACCGCTAGCTCGACTGGTTCTGGTTCTGGCTCTGGCAGCGGTTCCGGCTCGGGCTCCAACACCGAGTCGGGCGCTAACACCGACACTGGCGCTGCTACCGGCACTGCTGTCCCCACTGGTAGCCACACCAACTACCCCTCGTACAGCTACAGCACCTTCCTCACCGTCACCAAGTCTGATGGCACCACTGCCACCAATGGTGAGGACACCACCGGCACTGCTACCTCTGTTCAGTCTACGTCTACTTCTCCTTCTGGCTCTGGCAGTGGCTCTGGCTCGGGCTCCGGCTCTGGCTCCGGCTCTGGCTCCGAAGGCTCTGGCTCCGGCTCCGGCTCCGGCTCCGGCTCTGGTTCCGGCTCCGGCAGCGGCTCCGGCTCTGGCTCTGGCTCCGGCTCGGACTCTGGCTCTGGCTCTGGCAGTGGCTCTGAGGGCTCTGGCTCCGGCTCCGGCTCCGGCTCTGGTTCCGGCTCCGGCAGCGGCTCCGGCTCTGGCTCTGGCTCCGGCTCTGGTTCCGGCTCTGGTAGCGGCTCCGGCTCTGGCTCTGGCAGTGGCTCTGAGGGCTCTGGTTCCGGCTCTGGCTCGGGCTCCGGCTCCGGCTCTGGCTCTGGCAGTGGCTCTGAGGACTCTGGTTCCGGTTCCGGCTCTGTCAGTGGTTCTGGAAGTGGTTCCGGCAGCAGTTCGGGCTCGGGCTCTGGTTCTGAGGGCTCTGGTTCCGTTTCTGGCTCCGGCTCCGGCAGTGGTTCTGGTTCTGGTTCCAGCTCTGGCTCTGGCTCCAGCAGTGGCTCTGAGGGCTCTGGTTCCGGCTCCGGCAGCGGTTCTGGTTCTGGTTCTGGCTCTGGCTCTGGCTCTGGCTCCGGCAGTGGCTCTGAGGGCTCTGGCTCCGGCTCCGGCAGCGGTTCTGGTTCTGGTTCCGGCTCTGGCGCCGGCCAGGGAAGTGAGGGAAGTGTTGAGGAGGACTACAACCATGGCGGTAACTGGACCACAGGTGGCAACTGGACCTCTACTGGCACTGGCCAGCTGCCCATCCCCACCACAGCCGGTGCGGCGAACCTTCGTGTCGCCGGCGCGACCGTCATCGCGGGCGTTGTTGCCGCTTTCATTGCCCTGCTCTAAGGGCCCATTTCCTTTTTGTCTTGGATCATCTTCTCTTCTGTATTAGTAACTAATTGTTAATGGATGGGACTCGGAAACCACGGGATATGAATCATGGGAATGAAGTCATGTATTCCAACCATTGCATGTCCATTGTCTGCCGCGCCGTGACCTCTTTGCCTTGATGCCAGTGACTGGGTATGACTGCGGATGCGAGGCTGTTCCGACTTTTCCGCGTGTTGCCGAAGTCATTGGTGACCCCTTTTATCTCCTTGCATTCTCCCGGCGGAAAAGACTGGATAGAAACCTTACAAATAGATTACTGTTGGGAAGTGTTTGACGCGTGGTACACAGCGAAGATTGGCGACGTGTTGGATGCTCACGTTTGGGGTCGTACTAGGGATCCACCACAAGCGATGGTGGAATGTATTTAATTTTAGGACGATGGTCGGCGCTGCTAAGGGTCTTGCTATCGGCAGGCTGAGAGTCCCAAACGATTAATCTGTTTGTATGTTTCTGAATCATCATACACAACCCTGGCCGACATGGCTTTAACCCTAAGCCTTTCTCAACCTCTCCAGCGCCTCTCTTGAGATCGCATGCCTGAATGCGAAGTAGCACCTCGCTCGCTGCATGTACAAAGCGCCACGGTATGTTTTCTCAGTGTCTTGGCGGGCTCTCTCTCTGGCGCTCCAGGCACTTCTTAGGAGGGAAGTTTTGCTAAGACGTTAACAAACCAAACCGTGGAGCTTATAGAATGGGGCAAGCAATAGAAGGTTTCATTCGTACTGCGTATTGGATTAATCCAACCTTTTTTTTTTTTCACTTTGCTCAAATCTGTTTTTTCAGAAACATTTTTGAGGAAGACGTATGAGCGCTTAAGTATGCCAGTCAGCTCACGTAATTGCAGTATTCTACTTTGATTACTCACTAGAGGTTCGGATCTTAAGTTACGCATCATCTTAATAGATCGTTCGACGTAGATATAGACCGGTACCTACAGAGAGTGTGGGGCTGGCGGTCTGCAAGCTCCCCCTTTTTCCGGTCCCTCCTCATCCTCTGAATGACGTCATAGTATTGCAGTGGTTTTTGGGATACCTGCTGGTCAGTACATTTCGTAAGTTTGGTCAAACGAGATTTCATCTAGGGACTCTGTATAGGGTTCTATTTGGGTGTAGGACACACATAAAAAACATTTCGGGTGAACAGATCTATGTAGGAGGCAAGACTGGCGAAGGAATGAGAGCGCTGCATTGTACGGTTGACAGCACATGTGCGAGAATCCAATAACAAGCACTAAATGAGAAAAGAAGGTGAGAGTAAAGATTATAGAATCATTATCTATCCACATAATAAAAAACCAAAAATGACGTCTTATCTCAAATCAACAAACCATAACATGAAATTGGCTCATAATAGTTATCAATACAACAATAATAACTGGAAAATAAAGTGAGTAGTTAACTGCCCTCCATTGTCCATCTAAAATCCGTCCACTTGTATCCAGCAGGGTGGAGACGGCAGACTTGACACACACAAGTCGGCGATAGGAGGGTATGGTGAGAAAAACAAAGTTATTGTTGGATGGAAAAGAAATTGGTGGATGTGGATGGGAGTATTTACTTGTGAGTTGTCCTGCAGAACACGCGGCCCTGAGGGAATCTGTCAAGCACAATGGGTGCCGCAGAATAACAACGCTCTACCTTCTAAACTACACACGCGTGAAGGTGGATGAGCATGGCTCTTATACAAGGTCAAGTGTGTCCCTGACCTCAGTGGAGCCCGGGCTGACCGAGGTAGGTCAACAGTGGCCACACCGTGGTCACTTGCGGCTAACAGTTATGCACTAATGCACTAGGCTTAGAGAATGAATATAATGGGAAGCTCTGATTCCTTATGTATGCTCTATAGGCAAAAAAAAAAAAGGTTGGTAGGAAAGATGATCTGCATAGACAGAAAGAGAAAAGTTGTAAGTCGCTGGCCCACTTTCCCCATGTGCAATGCTCTTTTTTGGGGGAGGGGTGGGGGGCTCAAATTCAAGGAGTCCCACCTCTGGGTCCCACCTCTGGATTACGGAACTCCTCAAGTTTTAAGTTTTGGGTGTAGCAACCTGGGTACACAGGTAACTGTGGTTGTTGTGGTACCCCCGATGACGGCTAAAGTGATGAACCAAGAAGTGGTGAGACATGAGTGGGCCGTAGCCTAGTTGTCGGCGGGAAGTATGCTGGCTGTTAGAACGTTGGTTATATCGTTAATGATGTGTGTGGGACGATTGAGGAATTGGTTCTGGTGCCTTATCGTCATTGTGCGTGACGGGACTATTCCGTTGGCCTTGGTAATTAATGTCGTAGTGGTGCTGAGGGTAAGGATGGGTGGCAAGGGGAATTCTCTCATCGCGTTGCGTGGCAGATGTCGTGGGCAGTTGGATAGACTGCATCATGGAGTTAATGGGCTCATTTTGTCCATGACCTCAAAGAGAGAAAGCCCAATCAGTTCAAGCTCATAAAGAATAACACCGATAACAGAGATAGCTCCTTCACTTACATTTGTTGTATTTGCAATGACACGAAGATAAGCATCAGATCCGCCCGGACTGACTGCAGTTCGCGGTCTGGCTTCTCTAAAGCAGCCTATTCAGATTTTCAATTCATTGTCGTCCATTGTTTGGCCTTCATCTTCTCCGGCCTCTTTCGTTGCTCTCTCGCGCGCTGTTTCACAAGTCTCGAGTGCGATTTGAAGGAGTCGAAAATGGAGCTGTTTAGAACGACCTGAGATGCATATGAGCCGGGGTACTGATCGGAAAAGTGCTTCAGCTGCCCAACTGCAGCCTGAATACTGTTGCTAAACAGGAGGGGGGACTCAGCAGCTTGTTCCATCTCTCCCCTATCGGGGAAGCGTGCCTTCGCAGCATTATTGAGGGCCCGGACAAGTTTTATCACTGCCGAAACTAGTTCTCCGCTGACGGCAATTGCGCTAAGGATGGTGAGTACCTCTGCCATTGAACTAGATGGTTTCGATGAATTGTAGTACGAGGGCTTTAGAAAGGCTGCCGTGACTGGAGGACTAACCTCTGCCAAGAACATGGTGCTATGGTACTGTTGTACCGATTGATGAGATGTCGATCGGGTCAAACGGCACTTCAAGAATGTATCTTTGAGGCAATGCGTCTCAGACATTGCGACCTCATTCTGGGCGATGTGTTGGGTATTGGGTGGCTGGCAGAGAAAACATACAGACATACAGACAATACAATACATACCCCCCCCCCCCTTCTGCCAGTCTCCAGGCTGACCGACATCAATGCGCCGCAGCAAACCGACCCCACACCACCCGGATTTCGGTCAGCGAATGGATTTCTGCCCTTGGTTCTGGATGAGTGGCTATGCGAATTAGTTGACCTCCACGCGCAGTATCACTATCCAACATCAGCACTCGCAACCATCATGGGAAGTCATTAAGAATGTTTGCAAAACTTTCAGGTGGTAAAATATGAAAAGTAAATCATGAAAACCTCAGTTTCTTAGCGTTTTCGCCTTAATTTTTTTTTTTTTTCGCTGCAGTTTGCGACCTATCGCATAGACTTGCATAGACTGTACGAGTGTCGCAACTATTTGTGTGATGATCCAGACAGACTTCCTGAGATGGGTTCGAGAGATGCCAGGTTGTTTGACTGAGAGGAGTTCTCACATCAACCAAAGTGGCCGTTGTGGTCGCCAGTTGGTAAGCAACTGTTTGTATTGCTGACTGGAGAGCTTCTTGGGCCAGATGGCCCTGCCTGGAATCTATGTACGCCGCATTTCCCCTTGTAGCTTCCCTTGCTCCTTCCTCCTCAATGGCGCAGACCGTTGACGTCAACATCTTTGGGTGTTGAGGATCAGTGCCTCTTGGCTCTGAGGTGCGGCTTCCGACGCTTGGTTGTTGAGGGCAGATATCTGTGTTTGATAGGCCGCAGCTCCCTCTTGCCCCTGATCAGTTGTGATCAGTTGGCTGCACGGGACCCACTCTTCTAGATTGAGACTTCTTGGTCGTGAAACTTTTGACTCGAAAAGGGAGATGTTACCGTTTAGGAACAAATGTAACCGTTTAGAAACGGACTGCTAATGCAGAACGTATGCTTAAGACGTTTAATACCTTATAAGTTTGCGGCTGAATCTTGTAGCGCTTTGTGACAGACGCAATCCCAAGAGATTCACCACGCCTATCCTCGCGATAAAAGATCGATGGAATAACGGTGGAATAACGGTAATGTAGAGACCCCCACAACCTACTGCAAGCCGTTCTGTGAAGGACAGCATCCGGGCCACCTCTGGCGTGCAGGTGTCTAGGAAGCTGGACGGCCTAGGCCTGTTACGCTTTCTCGAATGGCCGCGCCTAGACTTTTGCCGTGGGGTGGGAGTGACCCCTACCGGAAGATCCCATAACGACCCAGGTAGCGCAAGTTATGGCTCGGCGAATTGGCGCTTTAACATACAACGGCACTTACGTCACGCCTACCTTCCCGCACACCACGGCTTCCGGCGCCCGGGACAGGACTTTCAAGACGCAAGATTCACATAGCTTCAACATCTCATCTATCACAAATAGACAAAACTGCATATAAGTTCTCTGAGCACCTTCTTGAGGTCAGCGATCAAATCTATCACGTATTTGACCCGGAAACAGTGTTTTTGCGTATTCGAGAATTGCTTGTGGAAATGCGAAAAGAAAAATTAAAAGAAGAGTGGTCGTTACTCTGGGTTTCTTTCCCAAGAGGCTGACCCTTTGTAAAATCGCTACGCGGTATGCGGTTTGACGCGTTAGATACAAGTGATTGAATCTATGAAAGGCCTGTGATCAACCGGCCTGCAGAAGACCCATTTCTGACCTAGAGGGGGCCAGCGGAAGTAATACCGAGGGCACGTGATCAGTCTGCAGCAGGGGATCCGCTCAACGAGCCAACATGCAGTCTCACTGACGGAGTAATGAAGGTCCGGCGGACGAGGGCTGGCCAGATCAAGATCGGTCTCTACATAAGCCTAACCAATTCTCACAGTTTATAACTCGATAAAGTCAATAACCCATTGATATCACTGAGAGTACGAAGCAACTCTCTTTCGCAGTCTCCTTATTCTTAAGGCGCCTAGGGTTTCTATGGGGAGACTTGCCAGTTTCTAGATAAGATAGCAGATAAGAGATATATAGCTGCGAAAAGGGTGTCCCGAACTACGTCCAGAGAGAGAGCAATCGGCATCTTCCTCCCATGCACTGCATATACCGTTCAACACTTGTATATACTTTTGCTGAGTATCAATCCTTGAGTTATTGAGCTGTTCACTCTCATTCGAAGTGTTTTAAAAACTGGATACTTCTTCGATCGCTGTCGACAGATGTGGTGAGATCGTAGCGTTAGACCGGATGCCGTTTTGATCTCATGACATATGCCAAGAAAGCCAAGACTTACAGCGCTCATATTGTGGATCGTGTCACCGTGTTGCGCGTTGCGTTAGGCTCGGTGCACAGTGCGTGTACGTCCTTTATCTTCATGCGGTAAGCAGAAGTTGACCCAGGTCGAAGAGCCGAAGGCCGATTCTTCCGTACCGGCAATAGAATAAAGGACTGGTATCTGCACTCCTTGAAAGTTTGCAACGCCCCTACGGCACCCTTCGATCCGATCGCCACATCCCCTATCTCAAAATTCTGCGATATATTTCCTCTTTCTCCTCCACTTTCCCATCATGGCCCAAACATCCTTCTCTTCCACACCATCCCCCAAAACCGCCCTCGTCACCGGTGCGAGCGGCTACATCGGCTTGCACATCGTCAACACCCTCCTTGAGGAGGGCTGGACGGTGCATGGCACAGTCCGCAGCCTGCGTGATGAGCGCAAGGTGCAGCCGCTGCGTGATGTCGCTGAGAAATATCACGCGCAGGACCGGATGCGCCTGTTCGAGGCCGATCTCCTCACACCCGACTCATTCCTCGAGGCGATGAAGAGCTGCGACGTGGTCTTCCACGTTGCTTCCCCCTTCTTCGCGCCCGAGAAGGTGAGGGACCCGCAGAAGCAGCTTGTTGAGCCTGCTCTGGAAGGGACGAGGAATGTGTTGAACTGCGTGGAGAAGACAGAGTGTGTGAGGAGGGTTGTGTTGACGTCTTCAGGTTGGTATACTCAAGCCTCTTCAAGAAACATGTCTCGGAGCTTGCTAACATCCGATCGAGTGGCTGCCACGTTTGGCGATAATGCCGACGTGCTACAATACCCTAACCAAACCCTCACCGAAGACAATTGGAACACCACAAGCACCTTGCAGCACAACCCCTACCAATACTCCAAGACCCTCGCCGAGAAAGAAGCCTGGAAACTCGCATCTGCCCAGTGCCGCTGGGACCTAGTCGTCATTTGCCCCGGCCTAGTCCTCGGGCCCTCCCTCACCCCAGCATCCTCCTCTGGCAGCCTGGACCTCCTCGACCAAGTTCTTCGCGGTCTCATGGTGGTCGGTGCTCCTGACCTGTCCTTCGCGATCGTCGACGTGCGCGACGTTGCACTGGCGCACGTGCGCGCGGCTACGGTACCCGAGGCCCATGGGCGGTACATCGTGGCTGACGGCAAGCTCACCAGCGTGTTGGAGGTCGCGCGGTGCTTAAAGAAGGTGGCCAAGTGGCCGCAGCTGTTGCCGTCGTGGGTCCTGCCGCATTTTGTGTTTAGGATGGTGGCGCCGCTGATGGGGCTGTCAATGCGGTGGGCGGATCTAAACCAGGGGGTGGTGTTTAGGGTCGATAATGAGCGGGCGACCAGAGAGTTGGGAATTAACTATCGGCCAGTTGAGACGACGCTGGAGGAGCACTATCGCGCGTGGGCGGGGGAGATCTAATGGTATGTTTTCTGGACTTTTTGGAATCAGCTGTGTTGCAAGTTTGAGCCCTTAGTGCGCTTTACAGCTGATCTCCAAGATTGCCAGAGCTCTCCGATATATTTCAGGGGCAGTCGGCCTAGAGACTTCCACCATGTATAAATGACACCACGAACGCCCTGTCATGGCCGCCAAACAAATAAGCCAATGAGCAGTCCCAGGAAACCACCAAAACACAGCATGCAAGTTGGTGCCGCCCGTCACAGTCGCCCTGCGGGCTTGTGTGACGTTGCGGCTCGATGTGGCTGGTTCAAGCACAACCACTCACATGTCAACACACGCGTGACATCAACCACCTTGCCTGATAAAGCCCTCGCCCTCACCGAGCGTCTTTGCATACTTGTGGATTTTGCCCCGCAAAACTGCGAAACATCACTTCGCAGCTTGAATCTTCTCCTTTGCAACCTTTTCGCAACAAAAAACCGCCTTGCCATTCCTCCTCAGGGCCATATCTGGGTAGTCTTTGTTGTCCTCGCAGCTCAGTCACTCCCGCTTTTCCCTTAACATCTCTGACTTCAGGGACTTCGTTCTCTTCGTTCAGCATGTCTGCCGTCCGCTGCGCCGAGCCACCGTTGCGCAACGCTATCCTAGTCCGCCGTTTCCACCTGTCGCTGCCCGGCCGTAATTTACCCACAAGGTGATGGCTGACCATGGCTGTAACGACATGGAAAAGGAATTCAAGTATGACGAGCAACCAAGCTTCAAGTACTCGAGATTATCCAGTCCTCATGCCTCTCGCTATCCGATCGGGCAGACTCTCCGTGCCAGGAACCATCTACAAAAAAGCTGTTCGCCGCCCTGCCCAACCTGCGCTCGCTCTCCGTCTGCGGCCGCGTCATTCCCTCCCCAAGCCCCGCTATGACCTTGACGACGCACACTGCAGGTGCCGACAGCTCCTCCCCTTTGACTCCGGGGCCTCGCACAGGGCTGTCGGACCGAGCTGTGGAAGCCTTCACCCTGCCCACGCTCCAAAAACAAGATTTTATTGATGACATTTCCGGTCTACAGCACACAAGTGACACCGCTTCGACGAGTTTGTCCCCTATGGTGCTGCTTGTTGAGAAGCTGGTGGGGGGTGAAGATGACTGGGGGGAGAAGAAGGGAAGGAGTTAGGAGGAGAGATTTCTGCTTTGGTTGTTCCCGGCCTTGGGAGGGGAATTTGGGTGGGAAGGGGGGCGGGGGCGGGGCTGTGAAGAGATGGTGCGGGGAGGTTGGGGTTGAGTTTGCGTGTTTGGGTTGGGGCAGGTGGAGGAGGAGCAAGTGGAGGGGGGGAGGGGGGGAGGTAGGAAGGTTTGGGAGGAGGAGAGATTTGATTATTAGTTTTCGACAGAGCGACTATAAGAACATAATTATGTGTTGAATATTTTTCTTGGGTGCAATGCGTGATCTGAGGGTAAAATGTGATGTCCCTTACAGCTATAAACAGACTGGATCGCTGCTTTGCTCATGAAGTGAAGATAGTCTCGACGGTAGCGCATCACCGTGTGCTCGTACATGTGCCATTCATGCTCTTAGGCGAACTGGTATTGAGGGCTTACATTGAGCCTCTTCGAGGTAGTCATGGCTTTTCTTGTTCGCAAAATCACTAGCAGCACTAGCATCACTAGTACATTCAGCTGGCATTCACCCATGCTGGTTCTGACCGACGTTTCAAGCCCGTGATCCGTCTACTCGTCTGAATCCCTGATCCGAAATGTTCATTGCAGCCAGGTGTAGGGGAAATGCAGTCTAGCTGCAGTGAGTTGCACGCTTGGCATCCTTCGAGTGTGATGAAGCGCTCTGAGCCTAGAGACTACCTAACAGTAACATGTCGACTCTTTTTTTTTTTTATGCAGGAATATTATCTCCATTGAATCTCGAGTCTTGTGGTTCTGCTCCACGTGGCCCTTGTTCATGCGATGGTAGAGTAAGCCACAAGGCAGACTGGCAGAAGGAGCTGAGCAGACCACGGATCCTTAAGGAGATCTGACTGTTGCTTTCCCTGTTGTAACTTGCAATCCAGCAGACTTTAGCCCAAAGGACTTTATCCAGGAGGACATGTTGAGATGGGCAGTTTTTGTTTTCTTGGCTTATTTCAACAAGCATGCCTCGATCAGGGTTTGGTCCAGCAGCAGTACGGTTAAGGAAACCATGTGTGATAGCAAATATTGGGTCCTATAACTGCGTAAGCAATCTGTGTATACATAGAAAGGACCATATCAAGCATAAACAATATGAATGAGCGAAACAAATCTCCACGGTCCCAGTTCCAAGAGCAATTTGCTCCAACGACACCGCAAGCTCACCCTATCCTCCTAGAACATTCACCCCACCACTCAGCAACCAGACGTCTGCACCGCCTGCGTGGCACATGCAGTCCCTGACGGACCGCTCCCAACCTTGGTCGGCTCCTTGCCAGAGCTATTTCCCTCATACAGCCAACAGAGTCCTCCCTTCAGCACACAAGAGTTATTGATCTGTGTCGTATCACCATAATTAACGTTGACTCCGGCCACAACGCTTGCCTTGTCGACCACGCGGATATTCTCAAACGTCGAGTGCCGCTGGTACTGCGTCTTGCAGTTACCACAAGACCGGTATAGCTTGCCAATGTTGCTGGCAAAGAAGTTCTTAACCTTGACCGTGCCGCCGCCGTTGTGCTGGAAGACTTTGTCGTCGGCGTTGCGGGCGCCACCGCCGTTCACATAGGAGGTGCCCGACTTCTGGAAGAAGGTGGCTGCATCCTCGCAAACGTCGGTCCACCAGCTGTTGTTGTTTGTTAATATCCTCCAATATATGAAGATCGTGGAAATAGAGGGGAGGGGGACGCGCGGGGAGACTAACATGTTGTTCAGGGTGCATGTTCCCTTGCAATAAATGCCCTCACCATTATTCGGCCCAACAATTACGTTGCTAAGTGTTGCACCGTCCTCCAGAATGAACAGGGCGTCTTTCTCACCGCCCTCGGACTGGCCATTGCAGGTCGATGGGCTGCGGTCCCACTGGAGCATTTGACCATCGAACGTCTGGCCAGCGGCGATTGTCTTCGCCGCGGACAGGGCAGTCGTCTTAGTCGCCGTTGGGAAGACGGTCTGAAGGTTGGTGTTGGTTTGGGCGCCTGCCAGGGAGGCAACGAGAAGAAGGAGAGTTGTGGACTGCATTGTTGCTGCGAGAGTCTTTGGATCTCGAGTGGAGCTGTAGGTCGATCGCTGGTTAGGGAGCTGAGGTGAGCGTTTGTCTCCCAAGTTGTTGACCCAAGCAATCGCGTCTCTCAAGCTCCTTTTTATATCCAGTTTCGATCCCCGGTCCCATTATCCCTTCGCCTTCTCTTCCTCGCCTTCTCTTCCTCATCTTCCAACCTCAACTTGCCTGATCCATGTTGCCTCCACGGCCATACAGCCAAAACGGAGCAGCACGTTCTCCATGAGTTTCAAGTTTCGGCCCACCATCCTGGATCGGTCAACGGAAAATCTCTACCATCTGACGGCATTTTTCGTTCAGAAACCTTGCAAAACACGTTCTAGCTATACGGCACGACCTTCGTACAGTCAGATTTGCGAATAACGACGAGGTCTGTCACTGAAGTTCATATCGTTATAGCCAATGAATCAGTATTTTCAGAATAACCCTCTCTTTCCTGACTTTAGCAAGATTCAGACCTTTCCCAATTTGTTACAGACATACTCCGTAGCGAGTAGTACGGCCAGAAGTCGATCAGCCAGCTTTGTGCAGGAAGAGGACCAGAAAAAAAAACTGGAGACTTAGATAAGTCCTATTCGAAAAATAAAGAGCATATTAGATAGCGCGCTAGCTGGAAATCTAGGTCTTACATAACGATATGCATCATTTATATGGTTTACTAAGCAGATGCCATGCCGCATATCTCAATCACCAGGGAATTGTCACTTACCCATACAGATAACGATAGTTTCCGCGGTCCATATCCTAGTGATATTATTATCGTCATAGGCCTGATCGTTATCCGCAGGTATGACTGTAGCATCTCTTGATCCATTATCTCGGCCTTGTGCAACATCACTTGGCAGATGACTTGCAGTTAGTTGCAAGAATTGTTTGTTTCTAGAAAGCATTAAAAATGAACCCTGTTCTGTTCGAGTACAAGCACTAACTGCTGTTAATTCCCCAGAAGACGGCAGTCAGCAAGGCAAATCTCTATCCTAAAGGATTTACCTCCTTTTCCATCATGAGATTTTCGTCCAAGAGCTTACGCACACTTGATCCTGTCATAATCATCACTTCCAAACCTCGTCACTTCCCTTGCGAAAGTCACACAAATGTGGATCCCCGTCCGAAACGGCCGGACCTATACGGGTCCAACGTCGGGTCCGACGTCGCAATGGCGATGGGATTCATGCAACATCTTGGCGGGGTGCCGACCAATGGTTGGCGGACTTTTGGGTTTTTCGTTACGACCAACGGACAACCCTGGATCATAGCATCCTGGTCTTTGGATTCAATGCCGGATTCAGGTTCGCCGGGGTTCAGTAAGGGTGTGGCGTGTCCCAAAGGCCGCGGAGAAAGACCGGTTCTGTCGACCGAGGGTCAGTAGACAGAATTTTCCATCATTGAGTGTTGCGAGTATCTGACTCAAGTCTCGAAGAGCGTCTGGCCGTGATTGGTGGATTTAATCTCATTTGGAAGTTTGTTAGCGGCCTGTTTAGACTGTCTCATCAAGAGAAAGGTACCTAACGTGCTTGCAGTGTGGACTTGGCAAACCTCCAGGGCCAAGGTCTTCTGGATTTACGTCTGTTTAACTGGTGAGGATAAAAAACAGCGCGATCATAACTGGAGCAAGTTGCTGAAAGTAGACTACTATCGGGTCGGGACGTCGAAAAATCAAAGACACCGTCACGCGGGGTTGTCAGAACCCCAGAAACCCTGCAAGCCTTCAATTCTAGTTATTGGTAGCAATCTGTATATCGTGCGTTGTACCATTTCACTATTTAATATAAGTATAGTGACCTCTCCCGAAGCTGGATGCGATCGCGCAGTCAGCTAGTACATGTTATGCCAACGGAAACTCCACCTATCAGCGTGTAGAGGCTGCTGCTCTACCTAAACCAATAGGTCTCTGAGAACTTGCTAGGAGTCTAGACGGAAGTCGAGAAGTAATGGTCCGCCTCAGTTGCATGGACCGAACTGGGAGTATCTATTTTGAAGTGCAGTAGCGTGCGAACCTCCGATGTTGATTTGCGACTTTTTAAATTTTAGGCAGTAGTCCCGATTAGGCCAGGGAGGGAAGACAGCGTGTCTTAGCAAACGATGCATAGGGAGGAGTAGAAGAGTTGCTGTTGATAACTCTCAGAATTAATTAAAGCAGAATTCATCAGGGTTATCGATGGAAGAGGGAGAAAAACTCATTTAAGGACTCTTAACCGCACCAACGGACGTCAAAGTGCAAGTTTCCTATCCCCGCTGGTTCAGGGTCGAGGTAACCCTAACCCGCGAGGAATTCGGGTTGTATTTCGATTCGCCAGAGGGTTACTCAAGTCCTTGGCGGTTACTCGCGTTAATGTCCCACTTCTGCCCTACACTCCAGATCAATGTGCTGTTTTTGCTGTTACCTATTTTTGTCAAGCACAAATCCGCATCCCCATCCTTCCGGCAGTTAGCAGCACCTTTGCATGTAGCAAGCCTTTTGCCGGGAGTCCGGACACTCTTAGTCATAACATGCATACCAAAAGCATGAAACGGGACCTCGAATGCATGGTCATCTTCTGCTGTTCGAGGTAAATATCTATGAATGTATCTCCGTTCAATTGGGCGACACCGATGATCAAGTACTGAGCTAATGTCCGAAAAAAAAAGCAAACTTGTAAAGTGTCTTTGTCCCACCTTCGTGGAATGGAGGGGGACACTGACGGATCCGGATGTCTTGGTAGGTTGACCAATATGGCGGCTGAAACTGTGTGGAACGTAACACCTGGTTGGATATCAAAAAAAAAAAAACAACTTTCTTTTTTCTTCTAATCTTCCAGATTTTGACACTCGGGGTTATCGCAATTGAAATTTGACACAACCGGTTGACCTCAAGGTTTTCTTTCTGATGACTTCAGGAAGTATACAATAGTAATGAGAGCATCAAGAGTTTCCTTCCCCGAAAGTGTTTCGAGAGAAAATGTTTTCCGCAGTGAAATACGCACTATTCACGCTCTTACATAGGCAACGTCAACGACATGATGCCAGTCGTTGTCGACCCGTCTGAACCTTACCTTCAGCCGGCACACGCATTGCTGTGCTGCCCGAGCGAAGTATTGACATTCAGGGTCCTATTGTCAGCTTGCGGCCAATGGGCATGCCAACTACGGATTAGGTTGATTAACCCAATCTTTCGGACAGAGCACTCAAGAAGACATTCTTAGTAGGAGAAGCGTATAGTTGGCATGCCAACGAAGATGAGAAAAGCATGAACTCTGGAGAGCCGCATTTTCCCGCTCGGGTAGAGCCCACGGCTCGTTCCGCTACCCGGCAGTCTGTGTGCTGGCACTTTCTGGCTGTCTCTGCCTGCCAAGCTGCCAACATACCAAGCAACACTGCCAAGCTCTGCTAAGCCGTCTTCATTGTGAGGCGAAAACCCTCTGGATGGGATAATTTGTATCGATCAGGTCGTCGCGTAGTCAATAATTGTTTTTTCCGGCCCTCCTGGCCTTCCCTGACGCCTTTAGGCTGATAGTACAGGACTTTGAGCAGACGTCTGACAGTGACTCATCCTTTCATCGCATCAGCTGACTATTATAATGTACTCTGATCATGGAGGTACCAACAGTGAAGTTGAGGTACTGGCATGTTGTGTGTTCGATACGATGTGACAGCAAGTAGACGAGGGGCGTCTATGGGAGGATGGAAGAAGGCGGCGGCCTGAGTGATGGTCTAGACTCCGTTCCCATGTTTAGCAGGGAAGAGAGGACTAGTAGGGCTAACATAGCGACCTGAAGAATCGAGTTGGCCTTCGCAAATTGGTCACATGGTCGTACAACATCTGCAAGCATGAAGTTTGTTAGCCTTGCGACGGAAATCGCCCCAGCCCAATTATGGTGCCCCACCAGCTCGCCGTCTTTTGAGATCCTGCAGGACAGTAGACATTACATATCAACACATAGATCGAAACGATGTGTCAGTTAAACCGGTAACCGTATGGCAGAACAAGCATGTCCAAAGGGGTGCGCTTATTAATGGCGGCGGCATTAGGATTTCAATTACTGTCAATGGCCAATCGCTCACATGACTGGAAAATTTCATCTGCGAACGAGCTGCACGACGGCCCTCGAGTCTACTACATCTGATGAACCACTCCCGATGACCATATCGTCGGTCCCAGCAAAACAGAGCTTGCCCACTAGGCATGCTTTAAATTTCAAGTGATGATTAAGAGCACATATGACATGCTGCTCTGTATTTTTACGTTTCATGCCAAGATACGTCATGTACAGTCATGTGCGGCGCGCATCCCGATCCCTTGGCACCTTGGTGGGGCATGCCTGAGGTTGTAGACTGGATCTACTTTTTCAATGGCAGGACCTGTAGGACCCATCCTACGGCATAAACCGCAGCATTGATGAGACCGCCAACTCATCTAAGAAGTTGTAACACGGCGTTCTGGGCTCAACTTTCCGTCTTCAAGCCGCTGCCTTGAACCGAATCTTCGATGACTGACGTTTTCCCGTAGTGCTGCACTTGGGGTTGGCAGAATGAGATGACTGATTGACTCGCTGCTGTGCTTGAAGTCATCTGGAAAATAAGTTACGACTGTTTAGCGCGTACTTTATCAACTGGTGATGTCGGCTCCTGGAATTATTTGGATTTACCTGGACGCGGGGTGGTGTGCGTTTACATCTTCCTCACCTAGGTATGCTGAAGGGCGTATCGGAGGTTCATGCTGCGTGCCACATTTTTTGCTTGTGTCTGCGATGCATGGCTTGCATGGCATAGCTAAGCTTCGCAGCTGGAAACTTCTGCTGCTGCCCTATAACCCTCATTTGTACCTTGAGGAAGAGGCTGTGAACTAACCTGAACTGTTGGGTGTCAAGGCCTCCTCTCTTGAAAAAGGAGGGGTGGGAGGGAAGGTGAGTCATTTCACCGCAGCGGGATATTGCAGAGGTGCAGAGTGTGCAACACAGCGTTGCCGGCTGACCGAGAAATT